AAAGACTAAAGTACTATTTATAGCTAATAGAATATTATCTTACCTTAGTAGAGAATAGGTATCTAGAAATAGCTTAGTATTCACGCGGCGAAGATTAATAACAACTCTAGGCTTATTATTGTAGTAGACTGTGAATACTAGTAACACTACTAGGTAAGGCTTCCCTAGTAGAACGTCCTTAATAACACCTATAGCTTTAAGAGAGTCTAGAATTAAATCTATATTTTATTTATCTTTTACTAATATATTAAAAGGTACTTACTTAAGATCATTTAGAGGTACGCTTTCTTTAAAAGGAATAGGTATTTTAACACTATTATTAAACTATCTTAATTCTCTGCGGAATAAAGAGCTATTATTACAGATCACTTTAAGAATCTTTTAGTAGGCTTTCTCTCCTTATATTTTAGATATATAAGCCTCGGAAATATTAATATACTCTTCTATCAGTGGCACTAGGAATAAGTAGCTATCTGGAGTCTTCCCTTCTTTATCTAAGCTAAGAGGTTCTAAACCTTAAAAGACTTCTATGAGACTTAGATAAACTCTAGTAGGTTCTAGGTTACTATTAACGCGGTCTAATAGTCCTAGGATTTATCTATATACTATTTTAATAAGAGCGAGGCTAAAGTTAGAGTAAGGGATAGGCGCGGTATAGCTATTAGTAATACCTTTAATAAGGGATCCGAATATACTAAGAGTAAGGTCACCTTAAGATTTAGGTATTATTAAGTACCTGTTTTAATGTATTAGAAGGAGTCGGTATTAAATCTTTAGGTTAACCCCGGTGCTAAGATAAACTACTACGGATTCTATAGTATATATAATAGCTCGAGAAGGTTCTAAGGTCTTCTTTATTATATAAGAGAATTAAAACTTTTTAGAGTTCTACTAAAGGTAATCTATATCCCCGGACTTCTTCTTATATACGATATTTATACTATTCTTCTTAAGAAAAGAATTTAAGAGTAGAATACTATACGCTAATTAATCTACTAAGTAGACTTCCGCTTAGAACTAGAAAATATTCCTTTTAATTAAGTATAAAGAGAAAGGAAGAAGTATATATTCTAATACTATAGGGCCTTAACTAATACCTAAGAGACTAATTTTATAAGGTCTTATACGGATAGGTACCTTAGGAAACTTCTATTATTATATCTCGCGTGATATTAAAGAGATTCCTACTCTAGAGTTAAGGTAGAAGTCTTAGGCTATACTTAGTAGAGAGAATAGGACGCTTCGGGCCTTTTAGAAGAAAGTATACACTTATCTGTTAATATAGTAAATATATTAAAGAATAAGCATAAGTGAAGATAATAGCACTAGTAATAATAGTAAAGGAGTTAAAGTACTTATAGGAATAGAATCGATAATAGATAAATTAAGCGTGTATTAATTTATTAAAGTGATATTATAAGTAGTAATATAGTTATCTTCTAAAAAAGTTAGATCTCTAAGCAGAGAGGTTACTCCGATCCTAAGTAACCGCCTAGACTATTTTCTAGTTCAGTAAACTTAGGAGATAATACCTTATCTATTATCTATATAAGCTTTATAATATATACTTCCGATTAGTATATCTCCTATAGCATGTTATTAACTACTACTATATCCTTGTATTTAGTTATATAAGCTGAGACTTACGTAGTAAGCTTCACGTTATTCTTTCTCTTATACGGATTAAGCAGGCACTAAGGATTAATATAGGCGAGAGATTTATAATAAGTATAAGGGTAATAAAGTCGGAAAGTATTTAAAGTAGAACGAGCCGGGATTACTAGAACTACCGGGACTACTAGTGTTAATAAAGTAGTTTAAGAGTCGCCGGGCGCGGTTAGTCTTCGATCTAAAGGCAGAATAGCTAGTTGTTTTATAGTAGCCTTTAGAATACGTCGTGCTACTTCCTGAGGGATGAACTTAGGTTATAGAGCGCTATAGACTCAGGGTTAGTCCCTCGAGTTAGTAGCTCTACGATTCTAACTATTAAAATTCTTTCGCTTATACTCTACTACTGTAGTAATTATTTATTATATCTCTTAGAACTGATCCTTCGCGGACTATTCGGCGTTTATTACCTTAGTTATAAACTTATCTATTAAAGTATAGTTTAATAAGTGTACGTTTAACTTTAAGATAAGATCTAACTTAAAGTAGATTCAGCGAACCTTTAATCCTTTATCTGCTTCTCCGGCTTTATTATATAACTTAAGCTTCTTTGTGATATAGTCGCGGGCGTCCTTTATAGCTTTATCCTTACTATTAAATCTGTATTAAAGGTCGTCGGTAGCTTAGAGAGTCTAAGAAGGGTCTCTACGAAATCGTAAGCTAAGTTTCTTAACTTATAGGCTTAGGTCGATATTTATCTTAATTCGAACGGAAGCTAAGAGGCTATTAAACTAGTCCTAAGCTAAGTTCTTTATTACGAGAGGAAGCAATCTAAGGATTTATTAGTCTCTGTAAGTAGTAGCTAGGTAGTTAAGACGATTCAAGTATAAAGTGACAGGTGTAGTACTATTGAAGGTTATATCTGCGGCCTTGATATATATAGCTCGTGTTTCTAGCTCGATAGTACTTCTAGGCGTGGACTTACTACGAGGAGGAGTATCTACCTTTAGTTAATAGTATAGGGTAATGATAGGGACTACAAGGTCGTCTTCTTCTAGTATTACTAAAGGGCTCTTTCGAAAGCGGACTATAAAAATCTGCTAAGTGTTGCGTGATCTGCTAGAGTAAGTGAGATATATAATATCTATAATAGCTTTAGTCTCTAGGTTAACGTATCAATTAGTACTAGCTATCCTAAGAGCTATTATAGCTATTTAAAAGTCCGTTAGATATAGAATCTCCCTAGCCTCTACGAAAGTTTTATCTCTTTTAATATTAATAAGGTTATAAACTATTTTAACTTAAGTAGCGTTCGCGAGCTATTATTCGAAGGTATATATAGCGATATTGTCTAAGTCTTAAATTACTAGAGTTACTATAATATCAGAATAGTTATCGGAATTGATTCTTAAGGATATTTCCGTTTTTTCATTGTTAAACCTTTCAAGTTCCTAGTAAGCTAAAAAGCAGGCTTTTCGTAGGAAAGGTAATAGTAAGTCGGAAGTGCTAGGAGTAGAGGACTATATAATAGGTACTACTAGTACTTCCGGTGCTATTAGTAAAGCTAAAGTAGATCCGGGGGAGAATACTTCTTCTAGTGTTACTTTTTCTAATGTGTTAGGTATAATTAACGTCTCTTAGCTAATTCCTTCTTCTTCTGTATTCTCTTGCTTCTTTCTTTTTTAGTGACTCTAAGGGCTATAAGCTAGGACTAGAGATATATCCCTTTTAACGTAATAAGCAGTTCTCGGAGCTACTAGAGAAGTAGAGGGTTCGCGTTTGAAGAGATCCTTAGATAGTAGTTAAAGAGGTGTAGAAAGAGTCGATATTAAGCTCGGGCTACTAAGTTTACTAGAGCTAGAGATGAATCTACTATTTTTATCTCTACTTCTATACTTCTTCTTCTTATTATTTAGTATTTAGCTTTACTATAAGAAGATAGTTAAGAAAGAGGACGCGCTAATTCTATTCCCTATACTTACGTAAGATCTATAGAGTCGGATATCAGATACCAGATAAACAGTAGTATAGTTATTTATATAAGGTTATTTAGGTGTAAAACAAGGTTAAATTCGAGGATTTTAGAATTAATCGAGTTTTAAGAGTTATTAGAATTACTACTATATAAACCTCACACTTAGCTGCTAGAGAGGTCTCAGGGGCTGAATTGTATAGTATTAGTACGTCTAAGGAGAGAAAGGAGAAAGAGAGCGTAGGGCTCTCCTAATGTAGGTAACTAAGCTAGTGCACGTGACCCACAACACAAAAGAAAGCGGAGTTTGGTCCGATCCCAGCTGAAAGTATGTCTGCCATCAAAGACGTACTCGAGTATCTAGACACCGAGGAATCAACCGACTACTACCACAATCGGCTTCACTCAGTCGTAGGTAGGGACACGAAGGAGAAGTAATCTACCAGCTTCCGAAATTCTTCCACTCACATGGCAGTGACTCTAATGAGACAGACGAGAGTGGCGGCATCGAGGAAAAAGACGCAGAAAATGTGTTGCGAGACTTCATGCTGTAGCCATTATGACGATCAGGAAGAGGAGATGGAAATGGAATTTGCTCCTTACGATTTTCTCTAAAATGTGATTCGCGTGGCTGGTGGGAAGAGGCACAAGCTTTCGCATTGTCATCTCCCTGACGGGGAAGACCCTAAAATGTGTCGACGTGTAGGGTTTTAATCCTAAAATAACCAAAGATTACGCTATAAAAACAGTTTTTCCATGGCCATGAGACATCGTTGCCAAATATATGACCATCATGTACAATACATACTCAACAGTCTTTCATCATTCGATACCCAATATATCACGTATGTCTCGGACCATTCTATGAAATTTATCGATAATCAAGTAGCTTACTTGGTGATCATGCTTAATCTTTTTTACATGCCGATACACAAAACCACATTTCGCTATCGTCCAGCTGAAGAAAAGGCTTCAGGGCTGATAACGAGTCTGGCAAGATTCAGGGAGTTCTAATCAAGGCTCAATTCGCCGCTGTTAAATTGATTGTGTAAACTGCGCTAAGTCAAGAGCGATACGCTTATAAAGCCGTTCAAGAAGTTGTTCCTTGTTCCAGTGGAGCATGGGGATTTTTCGCTTCAGTAGCTTTGCCGGGCCTCAAGCCAAAACAAACAGGTACGGATCATTGCCCTTCTTCAGAGATACCAAATGAATCAGTGATATTTGAGTAGAGAGAGATTTCATAAACTCTCTCATAGGATGCAGGTGATTACTGAAACTATTTCTTGCGAAATAGGCTAATCTTCTGGGTAGAATTATTATACTTCTTCGCTAAATACCTTCGCAGCTCAAAAATCCTCCAAGACCCAAACCCTCGAAGTATTGTGCGATTGTCAATCACCGAAAGAAAGGCGCTTATAGGCTATAGAGCTTGCCTGTACTCTTCACGGGACACACTAGTCTCTACTGTCTTCCTGATGCCTCCACGATCCCCACCATCTTCGAGAATATGTTCCTGACTACTACTGCCATCCATAGCTGTTTTGACCATTGTCTCATTTTTCCCAGTATAAGATCGCAGCTCGACTGCTCCTCGTGTACCTCCAAGTTGACTGCTCTGTACATATCCGTATGCTTGTGCGTATTTCGATCGATCGGAAGAACCTGCGAAAGTCTTTTTGAGAAGCGGTCGTAGGGCAGGAACAGATGCTGAGATGATTGCCAGGTTGACTTCGATTTGAGACCAAAGGAGAATATATAGGTCTGTGAGCTTGTAGTGTGCATATGGAGAGGAAACTTACAGATTGCATCGTATGAAGGGTCTTTCGTGATAGCGTAAACATGCAGGGCATAAAATCGTAAATACGAAGCAAGAATCGCAACTCCGCCAGTCGAGAAGATGCCGATCAAGGCCACTAATATAATCAATCAAAGTTTAAGCACTGATAACTATGCAAATCCAAAAATCACCTTTTCTTCGCGCGTTGATTTGTAGTTTGGATAATGTCGGCAGAGACATAACGAGAATGATAACATCAGTTACGACATTGAGCGTCGACATCGAGTAATACGAAGCAGCCACGTCGTTGCAACGCTGTGGGAATGTCGGAGACCAAGCATTCTGGGGTTGAGATCTACATTCAAAGGCCTATCGCAACATCAGCGGTCTGAGAAAATGGGTCATATGGCCCTTCATAGAGGTACGACTGACGCTTGACAGATTTATTTCCCCTGCAAATTCACCATCAGCTACATCACATCCTGAAAAGAAAGAGTCTTGGCTGCTAGGATTGAAATTCGGTTCCTGGCTCGGGAACATGGGCATAGGGATTTGATTTCCCGGCCAAAGGAGACTTCAGTCCCATTGATGTAAGCTGTGACGTCGTTTGTATCCAATCGGAACAAGGCTGTCACTCTAAAATGTGGGATAAGACGTTCCAACTTTAGCAGAACCGTATAGCCGGTCCCTCTCTTAGGCTTGCATGAAACTGCTGCATCTCAACCTCTTTGTTGAGGCACTGTCATACCCACATTTGCGTCTTGCATGATCTGACTCACACTATTAGCAATTATCAGTTGCTACGGGCCACAGTCCTCTCTATTCGCACGTATCACAATGTTAGGCCTTCTGAAGCCCTAAGTATTGACTTACTGCGTCTCGCTAAAGTTGATCTGAAGAGGAAGGTCTGCGAGATCTACTTTATCTTCTCGCAAATCGTGGAAAGCCTCATCCTTGTCTGTTGGTTTAGTATTGTATGTTGGGTAACTCAACTCACACATGGACCCTGGCGAACGCCTTCGTCGGTCGAAACTTGATAACTCAAAATACGATCGGATGGGTTAGCATAGTAAAAGAAACACCAATGCTTGTAAAATTCCAAAGGAATCAACCTGAACCATGGAAAGAAAGTGAGCTGAAAGCACCGAGTCTGCAAAGCCACAATCGGAACGAGCCTTACCAGAACATCTAGTGACTCCACCTAAATTGACAGGATCCTGGAGACGGCAACACAAGCGAGCGAATTGATTTGAGGAATATGGATTGAATCGAAGGCATTCAGGCGGCGGCGAATAGCTTGGCGTATGTAGCCAAGGAATTGTTGAACATAATGCTGGGGTATTGCGGCCTCCGGCTCCACAGAAACGAATACCGCAGGGACTTCTTGCATCAAAAACCATTCTTTTATAATGATACTCACTGCATCTGCGGGGTGCAAAGTCCGAGAAGAATATGGCTCACCGGATGCTGTTCCGTAGATTAAGGCTTCGAATGAACAACGAAGTGAATAAGACTTGAAAGGCAGAATGATCAGAGCAATGTGAGAACGGTCATACATGCGAAAGTAAAAAAATACAACAAATAACTCAGGAATGCTTTACCTCTTTTGGGCAGCTTCAGCAAGCTATTCGATGCCAACATCATAATGAGGCTAGAATTGCTGCTGGAAGTAAACATGGGTTCCAGAATCGGACAAGTGTCATATGGACCTGGGCCAGCATCTCTGTTGCTCCTCGAGCCGGACATCATTTCCAGATCTATCCACAAATGGAATTAATGGGCTACGGCAGCATGCCTGCTCAATCCCACACCTGCAGTAAGTGTCATTTCAAGGAGCTTATAAACCTGGCGATCGCCATGAGGAAACAAAACTGGTCACCCCCAAGGGTCATTTCCGTCTTCGTAATCCTTCAACAGCCAAGATGCAGACTTTCAACCTCATTGTGCTCTCGTTGGCCACGATAGCAAGCTTAGGCGCTTGTGCAGTGCTGGAAAAAAGACAGGAGAGCTGTAATCAGGATAATTGCTACCGACAGATGGAGCAAAAGTTGGACCAAGCTTCCACATTTTGCCCAACATTCATGGCTGGTTCCTCGGCTGCTGCAGCTCTTCCGACTTTCGTTCCAATGTGCCAGGGTCTACTTGTAACATCGCGACTTTCTTCAGCCTGTGCTTGTCTGGTCCCAACCACACCAGCTCCGATCACTGCAACAGCCACCACCACCCCAGCAACGACGGCAGCGCTTCTTGCATGCGATCGAGACAACTGCTTCAGACAGCTTCAAGCAAGTTCATCCCAAGCATCTGAGTTCTGTCCAACATATACACTCGGACCAGCCACTGCTCCAATCCCAATTTTCGCCAACAACTGTGGCGGTCTGGCTTCAAGAATCTCTTCAGCATGCTCGTGTCTCTATCCCAAGACTAATACAATCCCCATTGACACCGTCACATCCCTCACGACAGAATCAACTTCGGTAACAACGTCCAGCAGTGCCACGGCTTCAGCGACAGCAATTTCTTGCAGCGACCCACCAGTTCGCAAGGAATGGAGAAGCTTGTCCACACCTGAGAAAGATGCATACATTGATGCCGTTCTCTGCTTGACCAACACAGATGCCATCTCCAGGATTTCCGGAATCGTGAACAGATATGATGATTTCCATGCAGTAAGTCCAAATTATCAAGTGCGGCCAGTAACATATCTCTGATGGCTCATAGGTGCACAATAATCAAACTCCAAATATACGTAAGTTGAGGTCGGCATACCCAGTTCCTATGACAGAGCTCTGATTGTCGGTACCAGATTGGGTCGGACACTTCATCCTCTGGCACAGATACATCACTGCTGCTTACGAGGCTGCCCTGAGAGACGAATGCGGATACACAGGTGGCCAACCGTAAGTGGCCCCCAGATTTCCGTGACCAAATACACATGAGTTGACTCGATTAGTTACTGGGACTGGGCACGAGATGCAGATACTGTCGACCCAAACAGCACTGCTATTTTTGAAACTGACATTTTTAGTCCCACAGTTGGATTCGACGGCAACGGGCGCTACATCAAGGATACCACTCCCGAACAGAACCCATTCGGGCTCACTGGGAGGACCGGCGGCGGATGTGTGACTGATGGGCCATTCGCATACCCAGCTTTCCAAATCAACTACCCCGGTCCTGCAACGTGCTTGACAAGAGACTTCATCCCTACAATTATGAACACCTTTGCCGCCCAAGAAAATGTTGACGTTGTGATGGCTCAGCCTGACTACACTGCATTTGCTAAGCAGATCGAAAACGAGCCCATCTTCTCCATCCCTAACATTCATGGAAGTGGACATTTTGGTGTTGGTGGCGTCTTAGGGACGATTGGAAATGCGTATAACTCTCCAGGAGACCCATTGTTCTACTTGCACCATGTCAACCTCGATCGTGTACTCACTGAGTGGCAGAACATTGACCTCGAGCAGCGCTTGAATGAGGTTGGTGGTCCGATTATCCCATTCGACTATAGCGGAGATAATGTCACCCTTGACTTCACGATCAACTTGTCGCCTATTGCTCCAGCGATCACGCTCAAAGAGGCTTTGAATGCTCAGGGAGATACCTTCTGCTACACATATGATACGCTCCTGTGAGCACAGCCGAGGCAAAGATAACGTAGTGGTGCTGAGTGTGGATGGTGAGAGATATAAATGTACATAAATGACTGCACTGCACTTCAACCACATTCAATTCAGAATCAACAATAGCTTGAACAAATGATCTTTTGCCTCTGGTCGCGACATTTGTACACGAGAGACTCGCAATAGGCTTATCGCAGAACGTATATAAACTAATTGCAGCAAATAAATCTGCTTAGTGCTGGAACACTGTGCAACAGCCCACAACCACGGCACAAAACGATATAACGTCGTCCGCACTTACGGAACTGGAATAGAACCACGAAAATATTGCTGATCGAGAAATCATTCAAATAGAGAAAATAAACTGAGTCCAGAAAAGCGTCCGATGCAGGGCAGTAACCTACATGGATCGTCTCTATCACACATTGACTGATAAAAGCCTTGAACAGTCATGAACAAATGTGCATGGTATATCTACACCCAACGCACACTGCACAAGGCCGATGACAGCGGCCGCCCGCAAGACAACCGGAACGCCACATTATCCTTCCCATTTGTGTTCCGCACAGCTGATGTACTGCGACTCTATCTCTTTCCAGCTCTCCTAGCCTTTCCAGGCCTCTGCTTGACAACGCCCTTCATTTTCTTACTGGAGAACCCTCGCAAGTCACCAGTGCTCTGTGCATCACCACTCTTCTTGAATCGCTTCTTGCCGCCATGGCCGTATTTCTCGTCCTTCTTTGCACGTTTGTTGGGCCCTTGTCGGTCTTTCCTCGATGTCTTACCAAGTTCTTCCTCAACACCAACATCGAACATTTCAGCTTCGTTCGTAGCGTCTGTATCCGCACCTTGACGCTCTGTGGGAAAATCAGCATCATCGACCACATCAATTGCTGGGGCAACTTACTTCTTTTGAGAGTCTTGATATTATCCAAAGTTTGCTTTCGCTCTTTATCACGCTCTTGCAGCTTCGCAACCTGTACCTGCTTGCCAAACTTCTTCAAGTCTCTCTGCTTCCTCGCCTCTGCGCTTGCTTTCTTTCCGGCAGCCTCATCAATCAATTTCGCCTTGATCTTTGCCATATGTTCATCTGCCTTGACCATCTCCGCGAAGTAATCCGTGGGTCTGGTAAAGGGTACCCCCTCTGATTTCAACTGCTTGCGGGCTTCTTGTACCGCAGACAGTGATTGCGCATAAAAGGCAAGTTCACGATTCAGATCATCCGACACGTCTACAATCTCGACAGGCGCCGAAGTCGTCACAGATTGGTGTTCCGAAAAGGGAAGCTTCGAGATTGGTAAGGCAATTCGTTTTAAGGCGGCCGTGAGGGCGACTGTGTTGTTGATTGTAAGGCGTTGGTGGGGGATGAGGTCTTCCTTCTCCTCGTCTTCCAAGTCCTGAAGGTCTGACATTGGGATATCTTCGTCGTCCTCCTCGTCCGAATCCTCGTCGTTCTGATCGTTCTCGCCCGCTGAAGAGTCACTGTCGCTCTCATCGATACCGGCAAAGTCGATCTGCTGAGAGTTAAAAGCTGTCCTTAATGGCGCATGCGCAAGACTTGCCTTCATAGGTGCCTCTGTCTCCTCATCACTCCCACTCTCCTCTTCACTCAATTCAGCCTCATCATCCTCCTTTTCTTCCTCAACGTCCTCCCAATCCTCCTCGGCTGCTTTCTCCCCGCCTTTTTTGGACGACTTTTCTTTATTCAGTTTGTTCGCAAGCTTTTGCTTCTTTTTCAAATGTTGCTTGCCAAAATCGACTCCCTTGTCTGCGGCCAAAGCCATCTTAAGCTTGCTTTTCGTTTTCGCAACCATTGTGGCGGTATTGTGGTGGGTGGTGTTAGGTACAAGATTATCAAGAGCTTGGGAGGACGACAGAGCTTGATCCGAAATAATTTGATCGCAGTTATCAATGCCGCGCCACACTGACCGCCTTACTGTTCTAGTTAGCGTACATAACCGAGATAAGATGCATAATGTAATTATGCTTAGCGCAACTTGCGAGTACTTCAATAATTCAATAATCGTAATTGTTTAGTTTTCTCATAATCTCATGGCATTCCCTGTATTTCCATTGCCTGCGTCTACATTTCAAACTGCTCTCGATGCTTTAAGAGCTTCCAGGAATATTCCAATTCCAATTCCAATATTCTCAAAGTGTACTTCTCTCTCCTCGCCCCAGATAAACACTTTGCATCAGAATCCTGCCATGCATCACACTTGGAGGCTGCTTGGCCGCCCAGCAAACAAAGGAGGATGGCGTTGCAGTTCCAGTACCCATCTCAGGAGCGATTTCCTCTTCCGCTGTCTTTAGAGATTTTTCCCACCACATGCTGGCTCTAGCTCCACTTGATGTCATCGACTCGTCAGGTCCCCGGGCCGCATCGTCTTTATCTCTTTTTGGTCAGTAAGAGCGACTCTAGGCTCCCAAGACGCTATCTCTATGAGAATGATGCCAAGACGGTAAATATCGAAACTTTTCCGGGATTTTGGATACCGACCATGGCCTCCTATTGTCAGTTTCATACGGTGAACTCACCTGGGTCACTGGTGCATCAGCAACTGCTTCATCCTGGATATCTTGGAGAGAGAATGTGCTCTCTATCAACATGTAATGTGATCAAGGTGTTGAATATCCGTGAGGGAAGAAGAAGAGCTCTCCTTCAGAGAGCTCTCTGCTACTATGGACAACTTAATACAAAGGAAAGGGTAGCTACTCTAGCTCTCCTGTAAAGAGTGATCTACCTAGAGCTCAGGTAAAGGCGGAAGTCACGTGAGCAATTCGCATGAATTTAAGACAACAATCACCAACATACATGTCTAAATCACCGATAATCTTATTTCCTTGTTCTGATGGAAACAGTCGTCGCTGGTCATTTGGACCTGATGACCTGAAGACTGCCAGTCAACCAATAATAGCCGGTCAAGATTCGATTTGTTCGTTGTTCGGTCTTTGAGGACTATTCCAAGTCCGATACTTTGCGGTGGACCCAGCCAGCACACTGAAGTTGATAAAGGGCGATTTCCAGACCACTTGAGGGATTCAAAAGCGATTAGGAGCTTGCATTCATTACTGATGTTTTCGAGGCGACTCTTTAGCCTCTTCGCGTCGAAAGCTGCAGTAACAAAGTTGATATCGTTAGTACCAAGCTCAACGATGGAAGATACTGGCACTGTATAGATGTCAGCTCGAGTCATTTAGGTTTGACGTATTGATCCCTCACCATTTGGCTGTTTGACGCGTGCAATAGCAACATCAGCTTCATCATCGTGGATGCGCCAAAGCTCTTCACCTTCTTCGTTTCCTTGGCCTTCATCAGACAGGATAGAGTGATTATCATCATTATACTCAGTGCAGAGATAGCATTGCTCATGTTTACAAGCAGTGCAGAAGAAGTCACCGTCGATGTTGGTGAAGAACTGCTTCACGGTTGTGCATTCACAACGTGCAGTTTCATGCTCCCTGCCAAAGTCTTTCGCTCCATGTTCGGGTTCAGAAGGGTTGTACTCCTCAAAAGCATGGCTGACAGAGGTGTCAGATGTGATTGCAGTATTTCTTGAGGGGCTTTGAGCTGAAGGCGAGCCCACTGAAAGGCAGAACATGGTTGTGGCCATCTTGTTGAATAAATCAATGAATTAAGATGAACTTGCTATTGTTGTTTTTTGAGTGACAGACCCGCACGCAGCTGGAGTATTTATGCTCCTCGGCTCTAGTTGGTTGATCTGCCGCTTTACTTCAAGCGGCGAGAATCTAGGTAGGCAGGCTGCTTTCGTTCTAGCTTGTTCTTTTTTTATAGATAATAACTATAGAGTACATAGAGTCAAACACAACAAAATAGAAGACTGTTAGGACATACTCATGCAAACTGTACAAATTCGTAATAGTAATATCAAATATATATAAATTTCTGCAGCTCTGCTTATATTATACTATTTTAAACTTGTAACTGGTATCCGACCTTTACCACTTTGAACATTCTATTCAATATCGTGATGTCAACAATTAAGCGACAACCGCCACAATCCTAAGCCCGAGATGTATCATACACGACAAAAGATGTAGGTAAACATCACAACAACAAACATATAATACACGCTGTTAAGATTTAGACATGCCTCCAGATGAAGTATGTAAGCGGTAACGTGTCATCACTCTGTGATCCCAACGGTTTCACACCAACTCAAATTGAAGTTTCATGGCTCATCCAACGGTTTGCTTGGACCTGCAAAGCTTGTCCCTTTAAGGCGTGACGATTAAGTACTCGTACAATGGTAAACACCCCCTTAGATGGAAGGACTTTACATCTCGTAGATAAGAAGGAATATGCTATACACAAGGGGTTGAACTCTGTCATCTATGATGATTTCCTAGCATGGATGGCAGGGACCAGCTATCCCTCACATCACTGATCTCACACATATTTCTATCGAAATCAAGTTCAGCGTACAATACGCCTTACCATAGAGTTCCAAAGCCCGATCCCCAAATGAATAACGCCGTCTTTGAGACACTCCATCCTCATTGTCACACCAAGAAGATTCCAGCTCACACAATCCCACCATGGTGCGTAAAGCAGCTAGATCATCGTAATTTCCCCGCTGCAAGTTTTACTTCATCAAGAAACTCAAATCTTCATAGGCACCTGTATAATGATCGTGGGCGACGACTGTGAATTGATGGAGGTTAGGGACATGGCGGAAGTTGTGAGAAATCCGAGACGGTGCGACTCATTCTGGTACCCGGTGAGTTGGATTGTTTCGCTGGGAGTGACGTTGGTAGCTATATTGTGGCAATCCAATAAGAAAACTGCAGTTCTCATGGCACAAGTGTATTCTGTGCTGCACAGGATGGTATTTCTGCAGTGGAAGCATCCGAAGAAGATACTGTCAAGGATAGGTTTGAAGAAAGGGTATTCGTCACTTCCCAGCCAAGAATATTCTTGTATGAGCATCTTGCATATGGTTTGATGAGTCCATCGAGGCCATGAAGAGCGAATGAACCCTTGTTGGTAGGGCTACTGCAGAGATGCGTCCACTCTTTCGTATCAATATTGCAGACTGCCCAGATGATTCGTGGATCTCGACAGAACTTCTCAAACAGAACCTTTGCTTTTAGCAATTTGAGGAGCTTTTCATCGGCGATGCCCACGAAATTGTTTTCGATGGGTTCCAGTTCGGCAATACCTTCAAGAGAATCTGACAGCGTTAGTTATGTAGGCCCCGACCGATGCAACATTGGACAGAGAAGAGAGTGGAAACTTACAGCCTGGGATGTTGAACAGCTGGAAGGCATCTCTAGCCTTATGAATGATGATATTGTATGATGGTGTTGGTAAATCCTTGGTGTATTTCAGTGCTTCGAAGACTTTTGCATGTCCTGTGTCTTGTGCCAATGCCTGCAGGATGTTGCGATGATGGACTCGGGTACTTATATTTAGGCAGGCAGGGATCTGCCATCTTAGCCTCGAGCGGTGAGCAGGTCAGTCATATGACCAATAAGTTGAGGAGAACAGATTTTCGTTGGCTCGGATGTTTGATTAGTGATGTGCCCACCAGATAATGATTAGGACATGGCCTTGTCTTAAATGGATTATGGAACGGATGAACACCACATGCCAAGGAATTAGATTCATGCATCTAAAAATGTTGTTTTGATAGTCTGTATAACTTTATATAGACCATTTAAAGGTTTTAATTTGAAGAAATATTGAATAATGCTGCGAGAACACGTCTTCTCTGCATCCGTCGTCCAAGTTCAAGATGACGTGTGATGTCAACAAAAGTTAAGCGATATGTGACTGTGCCAACCTCTCACAAATCGCGTCGTCAACAATCAGACATCACAACAAAGCATCATCTGCAAACGTGCCAGGGAAACAACAGGCCTCCAGTCAGAATCACAAGGGTTTTCAGGCAAATGGCAATGCATTCTCAGGTTTCCATTCTCCTCGTATGGCAGATACTTTTGTGCTGCGATGACTTAAACTACTCATACAAGAGAAAAATATCAAGCATGCGGTGTTGCTCATCGGCGCTGTGATGACCAGAATACTCGTACAAAGAGCAAAATACCCCAGTTGCAGAGAAGATATGCTACCTTCGTACACGAAGAATCTACTCATACAGCCAGAAACTGAACCACGCATCAACAACTAGCGTCGTGTCCAAACCACTGATTTCGGAAGTTCGTTACTAATTGTCGCAAAAGTCAGTTCAATACTTTAGATGAGGGAATTGTTAGGAAGACTCACAATCAAAATTTCTTAGAAGTAGGAGAAGGGGATTTCTTGTGCTCCTTCCTAGCTTTCCATTCTTCAATCTCTTCGTCCAGCTCCCGAGCTTCTTCTCGAAGGTTGACATTCGTGTGGTCGAATTGGTCTGTATCAAAGGAGTAGCCAGCCAGTTCGCCGTCGGATGCAGCAGCAACCATTGAATCCCAATCATCGCTGCATCTGTTGCTTGCACCCGCCTGATTGTAGTGGTCATGAGCAATGAGAGTCGCCTTCTCAAGACCTTCAATGTCGTTATATTCTTTGAGGACGTCTGCAAAATCAGCTCGGTTGCACCAACTGACTCTAATTTCATGGACCCTCGGAACACCTCTCTTTCCTTGGTGAACTTTGAGGATTTGTGCAGCATCTGACATAGCCTGCAGATATTCATCGTAATCCTTGTCTCGTGAACCACATCGGAAATACTCGAAGAATAAAACATCCATAGTGAAGTTTATATCAGGAGGAGTTGAAGTGCGTTTGAGAAGGGCAGGCGCAGGCTTGAGGAACTCTTTGGTGACTGACTTGAGGTAGGATCCAGGGATCTCAATGGTGCCAAGTGGGATCGGGGTGCCTCTATAGCGTCATGTCATGTTGATGTGGCTCCAGCGAACGCTGATAACGCGCTCACTCGGCATAAAGACATATGCTGTGATGCGGCCCTTGATCTCATCGGCGACATTGCGGTAGCGACCGGCAGATTCTTGGTCGAGCAAGGGTGTGAGAATTTGGAGACTTGCGGGACCAGGTTGAACTTGGGAGATAATGGCTGGAAATGTTAGCGGTCATTATTTGAATTGCGTAGAGCGAGCCATCCCACCTTTTTCAGCCTCTGGATCATTGATGATGTACTCAGAATCATGTTCGTTTTCAGAATCAAGAACAGAGAGGCCATCATCATCATACGTGTTGCACTCAGGGCACTTCTCATGTTCGCAACTGTGCACTTCCAAGCAAAACACTCATTCTGGCGGTAGAACTCGCGTTTGACGCATCCACAGCATGAATAATTTTCGTTTAACTCCATGTAGGGATCGTCGTCACCGGAATCGTGCTCATCTGCATCAGAAGCGGACCTAATGCTTGAGTCGTCGTCGATATCGGGTTCAGACTCATTGTTAAAGTCAATGGCGGAGCTGAGCTGAGCAGCTTGTCATAGATGATTGCCATCTTGGTTGGTATAAAGAGGTTTGATAGGATGATGTTTGTTTGAAGTGTTAGTGAATGATTAACGCCTTCAAATGAATTATGTTCGAGGTTGTTGCTTGTTCTGATGGTAAAGTGTGGTTGCAAACCCTGCCTTTTATACTTGGTGGCGGCCGGGTGGTTGATCTGCCGTCTTCGAGCGGTGAGAGCGTATTTTCCTCTCCAGCTAGTGGTAGTGGCCGACAATGAACTCGAATGATTGGCCAGAAGGAGGTGAAGCGTTACTGATACAGACTCCCGACAACAAAGATTTTGGCCTTCTTTGTATATACAGCAAGACTCTCAATCTCCACTAATTTTTGCATGTCTGAAGTATTTCATGCCGACCCAAGCAACGACAACCCAGACCCAAGCCATGACAGATGTGAGGATGATCAGTGCAGGATAGTAACCAGTTATTGGCAAAGTTGGATCATCCTCAAGCTCAGGAGGAGCATATGGCGTCTCTCCAACATCCCACGCCCAACTCCAGACTCCGAGGCAAGAGCCCATGCCAGTCACAAAGACAATCCACGTAACGATAAGCACGACCCATCCCCACCATTCTGTCTCTGAATAGTCCCACTCATCATCGTGGACTGGCAGAGGACTAGCAGCAAGACCTCCAAGAGATAATGGAGACTTAGCCTTCTGTCCTGATCGACGACGAGTGAGAGAGCCAGACCCAGGAGGGAAGTAAGAGTCGGAGCCAGAGGAGTTCATGACACCAGGGCGTGGAGGTGGAATACCGTGGTTGCGAATGCTGAGAACGTCGTCCTCGTCTGTGGTAGAGATATACGTGAGAGTAGGACTTGTGGCAGTGGGCGATGTAACAAGATGGTCCTCTGTCCCCATTGGCAAAGTTCTGATTGGTGACAGGAGTATGTTGTTAGCTCGGCTGGCATAGCCTTCCATGGAAGGACGAGGCGTTGTGTCCGACAGACCAAGGCCTAGCCCAGAAGTCTGGTGAATCTCCTCTGGTGAAGTTGTACCATCACCACCATAAGAAAGGTCCAATCCAGTCTCTAGTGGAGATGATTTGAGCTCTCTCTTCTCCCTTTGAGCTCCACGACCAAGTAAAGCAGCTTTTCTCAATGATCCTTTTCTTCTCCTTGTCTTTTGCTGCTGAACAGCAACTGCCATAGCTCTTCCAGATTTCTTTGGAGATATACGGTCATCGCCAGGGAGAAACTCAGGGTTAGGTTCAGCTCTTTGCGTGGAATTTTGATTCTCATCTGCACTTGCTCTCAGGAAGGATAGCTTAGAGAGGATACTGCCGGAGAGGCTTCTCTTATGCCCTGGTGGAAGGTCTTCTCCTCCATGGTGAGGATTGGCGGCAACCTTGAAGTGGCTGCTGGGATCTATCGGGGAAGTTTTGGATTCCATGCTCAAGTGTACCAAGAAGTCTTTAACAAGGCATGTCCCAGTGGCGGAGTAAGCTTAAGGTCTACTCAAGTACCGCAGTTTTCTCAGTAGCCTCGATGGGTCTCTGGCATGGTGTTAGCACATGAACAAACATAGAGATACTGATTGATAATCCTTATCACTACAATTTACAAAGCATGAGGCTGTCGTTGTTGTTAAGAGAAGTGGAAATGAGAAGAGGAGGAAGGGGGTGGCCGTACTTATAGCTGACTTGTGCAAGCCTGGACTGCCTGGTGTCAAGTGAAACAAATCTTAACAAGTGGCTATACTATCATTTGAAGCAGTGAATTGAGGAAAAACTAATGCGGATGAACAATACTGTTCTTGTTGAAATATTCCTTCGTGGCAAGCAGCTGCTGCTTCCTTGCCCCTGCTTGACAAGCACGTGCGCAACTGCTAGAGGATCATTAATGAGCGTGTTCAACAACAGAAACGAAACTTACCTGCTCCAAACACTCTTCCCGCAATCCAAAGTGATGAAGAACAGTATTATGGTTTCCAGAGACTCTCAAGAGTCGGACTTGGGGACAAGAGGTTGCGCCTGGGATGATATCATCAGCATGGTCTTAGCACACTGTCCTTATAGTCTGCCAATCTCTTACTCAGTCAGGCCCTTCTTTTCTCGAGTATCAAATCTCAATATATCAGTGCGCAAATGAAGACAAAGAGCAGAGTGGTGTGATGGTGGTACAAGGATAGTTTCAATATCTGGTCTTGGCGGAGAATGGCTTTGAAGTGTCACAACTGGCACATATCATCAAGGTCGATGCTTGTGCCTCGTTGAAAGATGGCAATGATTGGCGACGTATAGCAGTTGACTGGAAACACACTCGACGAAGATTAGATACATTCCAAAGCTTGATGGTTGAAGGGAAGGAGAACAGTAGTGAAGTGTGATTGAAATAAAGTTGTCGAGATTGCTCGCGTACCTGGCCTCTTGGGCCCACCACCAATTTAGGGAGCCTGGGGCCTGTCAAGCGCTACTGTAAAGAGGCTGAGCTAAAGCATCTACCCGCGGTTGGAACGTCAAAACATCCGAACTCCTCCTCCACTTCGCTCCCCTCTCTCCCGCACGGCCTTGAAGAACGTCAATCTCACCAGCTTTGAGCTTCCGAAGTGCCCCTTGCTCATCGTGGACTTTCTCCCCTTATGCTACGCCGCCGTCGTCTATAGTGAGTGAGCAGCAATGGCTTCGAGCCTGCCAATTCCCGCTCCACCGCGGACGCCCACGCCTCCGACCCCTATTCCCGAAGATCCAGAAGATGGACTTGGGATCAATGGTGGGCCGCGAACGATGCGCTCGACCATTACCTACGATGCCAACTCCCTTTCCCCTCTGTCAGACACCTTCCCTGGCCGTTTTGGATCCATGGCCTCGCCCATGCCGTCCTCAGCAGGCCTAGGAACGCCGTCCTTCAACTCCGAGTCAACCCTGGGACCTCCACCTCCACCTGGCTCTCGCAGCCCTTTTGACTTCCAGACACAGTCCATCAAAGACAGCCCGGCGATGGCAAACTCAGTATGGCATGCCAATTCACTTACACTCCCTACTTTTGCTTTTGCTTCTGCTTCTACTTCTACATCAGATGTGCAGGTCAAGTTTGCAACCGCATCAGCTAACCAGAACACCGCAAAGAACATTGGCAAACGACGAGGCCATAGATACAAACACTCGAGCGTGTCAGCCCAGCATCAGATCTTCCTCGAGCCCCCTCCACGAGCGCCTCTCGCCCTTCCAGCATCTCTCCCGATACCGACATACAAGGAGGCGTGGGCAAGCAGGTCGAAGGAGCAAACGACTCGGATTGCTTGGTGTGCATGTCATGCGCTGGTAGCAGCATACGTGCTCTTCTCTGCTGAAGGCTCACTAGCACTCACAGCCCTCTCCCACCTGATCTTCTTTGACGCTGTGTCCGCCACGATTTGCGTTGTAGTAGATGTGCTCAGTAACTTCGAAGTATGGAAGCGGTCTTCAATACGCCATCCATTCGGACTGGAGCGCACTGAAGTCCTAGCCGGCTTCGCCATGTCCGTCTTCCTGCTCTTCATGGGCTTCGATCTTATGTCACATAATCTGAAGCATGTGCTTGAAGGAATGGGCTCACATACACCGCACCATCCACATTCGCATCAGCGGGTATCGCCTGGTTCGGTAGATTCTGCTGCTGTGCTGTCTATTGTAGCTACATTGATCTCAGCCTACGGATTGAAGAATCACGCGCGCATAGGCAAAGCCATGCGCTTCGCTGTGATATCCTCACTCCCTAGCGTGCTTTCCAATCCCTCCCACTTCCTAACCCTCTCCTGCAGCGCAATTATGCTACTGCTCCCCCTTCTAACCATCACGCTCTACCTTTGGCTCGACCGACTCCTCTGTGCCGTGATCGCCATCTCTATGTTCGTGCTGGGTGTACGACTGGCCATGACGCAAGGCCTGATGCTACTGATGTCGTATTCCGGCGAAGGCGTCGGCGACGTGATGCGCGAGATCCACAAAGACCCTATGATAGCGCAAGTTGAGGAGGCAAGGTTTTGGCAGGTGCATTATGGGCTGTGTATGGCGAACTTGAAGTTGAGGGTTAGAGGCGATGATGCTTCGGTGGGTAAGCTGAGAGAGAGGTTGAATGTATTGGTGAAGAATAGGCTTGGAGGAGGGTATGGGAAGGGAGGTGGTGTGAAGTGGGAGGTTACGACGCAGTTTACGATTGACAAATGAGATGCTTTATATGGCATTTTCGGGAATCTTGTGCATTTTTGGCGTTTTGTACTTATATCCTGCAGGCCATTTTTAGTATTTTGGCAGGCCCGGGTGCAACGGTATATTGTGGTGGGATAGAGTCATGCTGTTACACATCAGATGTACAACAAAATCCAGAAGCATTGATGCCGATGACATACATTTCTTTCAGTCGCTTGAGGACAAGATATTGAACCAGATAGCAAGTCGACTTAAAGGTCGAAGTTGCAGTAAGTGCTTTCCAAAATGCAACGCTAATTTGACAAGGTTCGAAAAGACGAGCCTTGCATGCTGTGCATTGTTTTCAATGATTCTTAGACTTGAGCGGTATTGGTATGAACAAGAGGAGGGTATGTGCAATTTCCATGCTCTAACGGAAGCAACAACCAAAAATCAGAAACAGGAGTGATATCATCTGAAGAAATCGGCCAGCCCAAGAATAAGCAGGCAAACACACACAACACAAACCAAACGCCTCTTCCAGATATGTGGCATGAATCATAATCGCCACTGCTCTCCCCTCCTATTCAACCCCCTCGCCTTCATTCAGGATGATTGACGAACCTCGGATTTCATCCAGTGCTGGCATGTCTCGCATGCGAGCAACTAAACAACCTAGAACAGACTCCAACCCTTCCCCTCTCGCTTCCTCCCCCCAGTACCCGCAGCCGCAACACTGGCCCTCTTCCCGCGTTCCTCAGCCTCCAAATCTCTAAGCCCCTCCATCTTCCCCAACACTAACTCCAGCAACTCCTTCCGTCTAATAACCTCCAAATGACCCCTAACCCTCGGATCCTCCCTCGCAAATCTCTCCACTTCGTCCTTACTCAGGCCGCGTCCAAGCCGGACATCGAGTTCTCTAGGGAAGTTATAGTAAAACTCGGAGAGGAGCTCGACGTTGAGGAAGAGCACGGCGGTGGAGGTTAGCTTAGTGGCTACGACGTCGAGGAAGATCTCGGGGCAGTGATAGCGGGATGATTTGGTGGCGCATTGTTTGGATTTCAGGGCGGTGAGGCGCATGCGCAGGAGTTGGGCGCGGTCCCGGAGGAAGATGGCTTCTTTGCCTGGAGAGAGTGTTGTTAGCTTATTTTCTCGTCTCATATAAAATCAATTTTGAAGTCAGGGCCTTAAATTCGGTGTGTAAAGGACGGGAAGGGATGTGTACGGACCTCTTTGAAGCAAATCCGATGAGAAGCCACCAGCACCACTAGCTCCGTCACCAACGACTTCAACCTCCCCTCTTCTTGCTTTATCGACGAAGCTCATCACATCTTTGAGTTTCCGCTTACCACCTACAGATTGCTCTACTGACTTGACGGCTTCATCACAATGCTTCAATTCGGTCTTGAGGACATCCGCAACGTTTTCTCGGCCACGAGCCCATTCACCGTCTTCGACATCAATTTCGAATTTGTAGGGCTTGATACAGTTCTCTACCTGGTCTGAAGTGCTGTAGAATCTCTCGTTTAGGATGCCAGAAGCTGCTTCAGTAATGGCTTGGCGAGCGAAGGGATGAGCCGCGAATGTGCTCTGGGAGATTAGACTATCAACGTGAGCTTGGAGAGCATTTGCTACTACGGTAGTTGCTAGCCGGCCAATTCCGAGCTTCGTCAGAGCAGATGTAGAAGCATCAAGTTTGCGGTGCCAGTATAGTGATTCTGGGTCCGCGGTTGGAAGGTCAGCCAGGGAGTCTGGCTCTGGTAGAGCTGGTGAGAGGTTCGTGACAGGTTTGTTCCAGTACCTCGATGCGAGGAGATCCAGGACTCTTTGGTCTAGTTCTTCCTTTAGCATTTCTCGGACTTGTGGTCGCCCAAAGCTCTCCGTGAACTCCTTGAATGAATGCTTAAATGCGTCTAAGCTCTCGGCCAGGTAGGATTCAGCTGACAGCGGGCGGTCGTTATATTGGACCTTGAATTCGTAGGTTGCTTCTTCGAGTTCTTGTCTGATAGCATCTCCGGTGCTTTGGAGACTTGCGGCCATTGTTTGTTCCAGGACAGACATGAGTTTCTTACGTAGAGTGGTAGTGCCGACGTTAACTCCAGCATCCTGACCAAATTCGAGAGGATGAGCTGAGAAGTATGCATGCTCATTCTTAGCAATTGCGGAAGCGATGCTTCCGCTACCTTTTTTAAACAAGCTTGTCGGTTGAGGTGGTACCCTTGAGACGACACCGACATATCCAAGTCGTAAAGGATACTTCCGATCATTGAGAATTGCAGCTCCTCTCGTGGCATCAACCAAATCCATTTTGGTGACAACTCCAATGGTTCTTTCTCCTCTAGGGTCCACCCTCCGACTGGCTCGAAGGGCTGTTGAATTTGCAAGATCAACATCTGCTGCTGAAATCGCAAGAATGACATTCGGCGGCTGTATGTACTTGTCGCATAGATCAGAGATTTTCTGCTTTAACTCCATCGGTTGATCATGTCCAATCACTTGAATATAGCCAGGAAGATCAATAAGCGACAGGTCCGGTACGTGTGGCGACGAGATAGTGAGCTGGATGGGATCATCCGAGACACATTCTGAGTCTGGAACCGCCAAATTGAGTTCTGTCAAGGTCCGTTGAATATGCGAGAAGTCTGTGATCTTCCCCAGACCCAAAGCTGGGAATTCTCCATATTCGGCTTGAGCATCTGGTGTGTTAACGAGGGTCAATTCGATGGGTCTCCGTGTAACCATATTGGATCCTTTTGGCAGAAATTCATGTCCAACTATAGCCTCCAGTACAGAGCTCTTTCCAGATGACTGAGAGCCTATAACGACGATTGAGGGTAGATTCAGCGTATCGGACTGTCCCACAGTTTGTAATATGCTCCGAATCTCAATCATCTTCTTGGTCAAAACCATCATCTGGTCGTCCCTAGCCGACTCCTCTCCAGACCTCGGGTCCTCCTCGGATGTTTGGTCGTATCCATATGCGGCAACAGTGGCTCCAGCAGCAGCAGCAGTCCCATATCTGGCCTGCTTTGGCTGTTCTGGGTCAGGGCCTTTACCACCACCCTCCCCTCCTGGCCCCTCTCCAATTTCTTCGTGAATTCGTAACACTTTTTGTAGCCACTCGGGTAATTCAACTTGTTCTTTTGTGTTTTGCCATCCCTGCAGTGTCTGGTCTGCAATTCCTTTTGCGCCTCCAAATAAGCCTCCAGCAACTCCAGTTACAGTTTCCTTGGTCGAGTTGAACACATCGATGGCGTAGTTTCCAGCCTCTGCATACATGCGTCAGTAGCCGTCGCAGGAGAGAGAGAGCCATAACTAAACCTACGGGTGGCCTGGTATTGTACATATGCCAGTCCGGCAATCGTAGCACCCCCAAATAAGGCGGGAATTCTTGCGAATTTGAGCAGTAACCTGGGAAGTATCCGTACGAAAGAGGCGTTCCGAACAACAACGGCATTAGAAAAGGCGGTATTTCCAGCTGGCCATATCCTCCTCCGCGCCGCCCGTACTGCCGAATCTGTCTTGAGAAGCCCTCCGGCCGAGGACGTGGTTTGGTGATGGAAGTGACGCGCTGCTGTCATGTTGACTCGTTGGGCGAAAGGCCGAAGCCTGGCTGACAAGAGTCGCCCGCTCATTGTTACGGAACAGATGGTTGTAGCAAGGCGTTCCCGGAAATCTTGGGGTCATAGAAAGCGAATCATGGGCTGGGGGGCGATGGCGATAGCTTTCTCGAACAATCGTCTGATGCATCCAGTCTGCCAGTTACCCTACCCGTACGTACCCTTCCATGTCAAACAAAGTACAAGAACGGTATTACTATGCGTCAATAGTGGCGTCTACGTGGATGTGGCGGTGCAGATAATGTGTGGCTGGCCTGGGCCCGCGCACGCCCAACTGGCCCTGGGCTTCCAGTCACTCCAGTTCCAGTCCTGTGTCCGGGTCCCTTCGGTCCCGACTCCCGACTCCCGACTCCCGATTGTTGGGTCACTTGGGTGCAGGTACTCGTACTCGTACTCGTACTGTAGGGTGGAGGTGGATCTTGGATTTTAGCTGCATCTTCCCAGACCCGGCGCCCGGCCGCCCCTTCAACGTTCCAACCAGCGCAGACGGTACGGGAATTTTGGTAGCCTTGAGCTGGGCACAATACCTTACTCGTACCTCCCGTACATACACCATTCATCATTTCCATTTCTACTCACTCTCGGTTTTGTAGGTGCAGCTTTATTGCCCTTTCTACACTTGTGTCTTGTCTTGTCTTCTCTTCGTTCTTTCTTCCGTCGCTCGTCCGGGTAATTGCTTGCTTTTCCTCGCTGTCCGTCCTCCCCTTCCTATTTGACCTTAGATTGCGCCATCTGAGTTCTCAGCCTTGCGCCCCCTACTCCTGTTCCCGAGCTCAGCGATTTGACTCACTTACGACCTTTTCTTCCAACAGCACTTTCGGACTCTTTCAATATTTTGGTCCAATGACAAGGCCTTTGAGAGCATCCTCCTAATCCCTCCGTGCAACGAAACTCTCAATCTTTCAAAAGCTGTTGAGTACCTGGGAAGATGTGTCGCTTTCTTGTAAGCACAGCGTCGCGTCTGGCCACGAAGCACCAGCTAACAGATTTCAGGTCTACAAAGGGTCTGATGAGATCCTGCTCTCCAAGTTGATTCTTGATCCCACACATTCCATCCTCACACAGTCATTCGATTCCCGCCTCCGTTTGGATATGAGAAGGCCTCACAATGGTGCGTTTGGACCCATCTGCTCACTCACTTCCTCTTTGCTGACGCGTTGCAGGTGATGGGTTTGGAATTGGATACTACACCGAACCTAAATTAGGTCCAGAACCTTGCATATTTACATCTACGACGCCTGCATGGAATTGCGTCAATCTCCAACGAATCGCCTCCAAGACTGCTTCCCATCTTATCTTCGCACACGTTCGTGCCACGACCGAAGGCTCACTGAGCGATGACAACTGCCACCCATTCTACCACGGAAGTTTGATGTGGATGCACAACGGAGGATTAGGAGGATGGAAACAAATCAAGCGGCCCCTAGGTCAGCGGCTGGCAGACAAGTGGTACTTGGGTGTACATGGTGGAACAGACAGCGAATGGGCGTTTGCTTTGTATCTGGACACCCTCGAGCGCATGGGACACAACCCAAGCTCTCCCCCACAGACCGGATTTGGACCGGGTGTTCTACGACAAGCTATGCTGAGAACAATCCAACAGATCAACGACTTTATTGCGGACATTCCACAAAGTGTGGTGGAGGAGGAGAATGTAGACACCAGAAGTTTGTTGAACTTTGCTATCACGGACGGGCATAGTGTTGTCTGTACTCGATATGTCAGTAGTCGTACCGACGAAGCGGCTAGTCTGTACTATTCTTCGGGAACCACGTGGGAAGACAAGAGTACAAAAGGCGAATACCAGATGGATCGTCGGGATAAAGGTGCCGATATTGTTTTGGTTGCCAGCGAGCCCTTGACGTTTGAAAGAGGTACAAGAACCCGAATCTCATTTCTTTCTTCCTCGTACAAAGTCACTAATCCGAAACAGAAAGCTGGGTCACAGTCCCAACAAACTCGACCTTGACAATTCACAAGCAAACGGTCATGGTACATCCAATCATTGATGAATACTATAGCTACAATCCATACCACCGTCGTTCCTCTCAATTCGCCCAAGACAAGGGCTTGGTCACGAACGAGAAGGGCGTCCGTAATGGCACGAAATCCGCAAAATCTCCAGGCGTTGCACCTCGCAAGGTATCAAATATGTCATCTAGCCTACATGAAAGCCTCGCCAGCACCCTCACTCCTTCCATGCATGCTACTTCAGGCTCGCCAGCACTAACACCCGCCAACGAGACCGTCCCTCCAAGAATCTCAACTCCACCATCTGACCTTCGCAATTTATCACCGCTACAGAGCCTCAGCTTACGAGACTCTTCCAAGCCACCAGAGCAAGGGAACACAAAGAAGAAGCGAAAGTCTCTTTCGGCCATGGAACCTCCACAAATCAATCACCCTGTTCCAGATCCGGAGCCTGACTCTCCGCCACCAAGAAATTATGGCGACCCATTGAAAATAGCTCAATACTTCCCTGAGCTGCACCAGATGTGATGGAAGTTCTACTTTGTATTATCTAGTTGTGCGGCAGTGTTTGGATGAATACTGCCTACGGCGTTGCGTTAGTTTTCATGATGTTTGACACACCAAAATTAGCGAATGGCCTTTCTTGGGATGGTGGCGTTCAATTCTTTAGCAAAGGCATTTGCACGTAGCTGCAATGTGTGGCTAATTTGATAGCGTATTGGCGTTGGATGAATAGAGATATATGAATTTTGTTTGTCCAGCTCAGCCAATCTTGAAGGAACCATGCACTGATGCAACAACTACGATCCTGGCTTTGTCTCAAATGTCAACTGCCTCAAGTGAGGCTAGTTCCTGCGTCCGTCTCCGCGGGCATGGATTAAGAAGCTTTCCTCTTATGCCGCTGAAAAATGTCGAGGCAAGAATTAGTCATATCCAGTGTCCGAAACCCTTCGCGAACAGTAACACCCAATGCGTAGTAAGAAAGAAGTACCACACCTACCACTGCCAACCATCAACCAACCCATCAAAACCATATATGTATGTGTAACTATCTACGTACACCACGGTAATTAACAGCCGCCTATTTCCCTCCGAATAGGCGCCAGCTCCATGCTGACTGCATGACAGTGCTTGTGGCGTCAAATTGGGGGCCAAAAGTTTTGTGCTCACCACAACACTTTTCAGCCCTACGCATATTTTATTTCTTTCCTTGAACATCTCGTTTTTCCAATGCCCTGCACTCCATTTGTCTTTCCGTATCCTTTCGCATATCAAATTTGTGGGTTCTGAGGTCAAAATGATGGGGAGGGTGTCCGACCGGTAGGTGGGATCGATTTGGGGGCGAAGAGAAAACGGACTGACCTACTGACATAGGGAGTTGAGAACACGGCTTGGCGGAATCGTGGAGTTGTTCTTCGAGACCCTGTCGCCTAAGGAAAAAGATCTTTTTGTTGCTACGACTGTGGTCGAGAATTTGCTGGGCGATGTTATGACCGCGGAGAGTGTGCATAGTTGGTTTTTCCCGAATGACTGTTGCTCGAACATGCATACATTGAAGCATGGAACTGACTACAAGGGAATCCCGCAGAAGGCAAAAGTGCTAGCCGTAAAGCCTCTGTGGCATTGAAGCCGTTCATTGCAGGTATTGAGCAGTATGCCGCTGCGTTTGATGTCATCGCGAATGCGAGCTCAACGATTCTGTCGCCACTATGGGGATCTTTTCGGATTGTGTTACATGTGAGTACACTCAAGCTTTTCAAATAATGTGCTTGGATTTTACTAAAAGCAATAAGTTGGCGAAAGAGTATTCCGAGTACTTTGAAAAGATATCAGACATGATGGAGATCATGGGCTTGCATCTTTCTCAACTAAGACGGCTCCCTCAGCTCTTCCCCAATAATGATCAACTAAAGTCATTCATGGTCGAAGTCTTCCAAATCATGTTCGAGTTCTGCACTAAGGCGCGACATGTGTTCGTCAAAGCCAGCGAGCGGACAAGCAAGAACCATCTGCGGGCCATCACACCCGTCGGACTTTCCACGCTCATCAAACTCGTGTGGAAACCGTTCAAGCTCCAATTCGGAGAGATCCGGACAAGACTGTCAGAAGTTATGGCGAAGATTGAGTTTGAGATCAATTTAGCTGAGAAGGAAGAAGCTCACGCTGAGCGTATCAGAGCTGCCCAAGAGAGGACGGTGCAGACCAGTCGATGGGAGGAAACAGAGCAGTTCCAGAAACGTTGGCAAAGTGAACTAGATGAAGATGGCATGGAGAAAATCACTAAATGGCTTGCACCTGCAGATGTCCTGAGCAACCATGCTGCATCCGTCAAGCTGCGATACGGCTCCACAGGATCATGGTTTCTGAATTGCACAGAGTTCCAGCACTGGCTGAACGACGACATCTCGCCTCTCTTCTGGCTACATGCAATTCCAGGGGCTGGGAAGACTGTATTGATTTCCACGGTCATCAATTATTTGAAGCACGAATACCAGAGCGAAGAAGTTGGGCTCGCGTATTTCTTCTGCGATTACAAAGACCCGATGAAACAGGACCCGTCGACGGTCTTGCGAACACTGCTCAACCAACTCAGCAGCCAAAACATGGCCGTCTACCAGAACGTACGGAAATTTTACAAAGACCAATATGAAGACGATCGAGTCGCCAAACTCGCCCCTCCATCACTCGATCTTGTCCGCAGCAACTTTAGCCAATTCCTCGATGCCTCGTTCCAGAAAGTCTTCATCGTAATCGACGCCGTAGACGAATGTCACGATCGAGAATGCATTTTGAAAGCTATCTCGGCGATTGGAGATTCGGTGGAACATGTCAAGATTCTGGTTAGCTCGAGAGAGGACCCACTGATTAACGAGGAACTCAAGGATTTCCCGAATTTGAGGATGAGGGCAACGCATGTGGAGGGCGATATTGAGAGTTATGTCAATGCGACGCTAAATACGAGGATTGCAAGCAAGAAATTAAAGGTTAAGGATGAGGAATTGCGGAAGCAGATTTCTGATACATTGGTGTTGAAAGCGGAGGGAATGTAAGTCTCTCGATCAGCCCATGATCCCTTGGTTTCGTGAGCTGCTTTGTAACTGACTGTGAGACTTGCAGGTTCCAATGGATCAACTGCCAAATCGACCACCTCTGCAAATTCAAAACACACAATGCCATCCGAGAAGCTCTCAAACATCTCCCCAAAACGCTAGAGGATACTTACCTCAGAATCCTTCAGTCAATAGACGAAGACCACCAAGAAATCGTCCAGAAATTACTCAAATGGCTCGTCCGTGGTGCCAGAGAGATGACTTTGAAAGAACTGGCGTCCGCGATAGCCATCGATCCGAGTTCTGATAAACGAGAATGTTGATCCCGATGATGTAATGGATCCGGAAGACATCGTTGGTTATTGCAGTAGTTTGATCACGGTGTCCGATGATCACAAAGTTTCACTGGCTCATTTCACAGTTAAGGAATTCTTGATTTCGCCGAGGATCAAGGATATTTTGGGTGTCTATTACATCGCACAAGAGCAAGTCCATGCTGAGCTCGCTGCGGTGTGCTTGACATATCTGAATTACCGAGACTTTGATCGCCGACCCGCGGTTTCTGTTGAGGAAGTGGTTCCCCTTCTCCAGGACTTTAGCTTCCTGGAATATGCAGCGAAGTCCTGGCCGATTCATGCTCACCACGTATCGACATCCGAGGACCTGATCCATGAACTTATCGAAAAGTTGTTTCATTCAGATGTGCAGCGACGTGGAAACTATGAGTTGTGGTTACAGATCTATCACTTACAGCATCGACGAAATGCATTGACCATCATGCCACCTCCTCATATCACGCCTCTGTACTACGCTTCGTTCTTTGGCCTTTCTAAAACTGTCGACTCCCTCTTAGACGAAGGAGCCAAGATCCCTATCGACCAGCAGAACACGGATGACCCCCTCACAGCGGCAGCTGCCGAGGGCCATGGCAAGGTAATAGATATACTTCTCAAGAGATGCTTCACAGATGTAGACATAGAGAGGCTTGCTCGATATCTCTATCTAGCAGCTTCTCGAGGTCATGCAGACGCTACTGAAGTCCTCCTCGAGGTGGGGGCGTCGGTCGATAGCAAAGGCGGCAAATACGGCACTGCGCTCCAAATCGCAGCTTTAGAAGGTCATCCCGATGTCGTTAGCATCCTCCTTAAAAGAGGTGCAAACCTCAAAGTGGCAGATCCAAGATATGGAACACCGTTATCAGCAGCAGCAGAGAAAGGACATCGCCGGGTCACAAAACTCTTACTGGAAGGCGGAGCTTCAATCAATGGCCGAGGAGGCTGGTACTCTACCCCTTTGATCGCAGCGATAGTCGGGAAAGACGACTCAATCATCAATGAGATGCTAGACAATGGTGCAAATGTCAACGCTCAGGGTGGTCGACACGCGTGTGCACTCATGGCAGCTGCTGCCCTCGGCAAGATCGATCTTGTGAAGAAATTGATAGATCTCGGAGCTCGAGTCAACGACGAGAACGATAAAGGTGCCGATGCTTTGCATTCTGCGTGTTGTGCGGGTCGACTTGACGTCGTGGAATTGTTGCTCGCTCATGGAGCAGACGTCAATGCCAAAGGCGGAAAGCATCGAAATGCACTGAATGCAGCAAGTGCAGAAGGGCATCTGGAAATCGTACAGGTTCTGCTTGCTGCTGGTGCGGATGTCGAGGCTTATGATTCGCATTATGGGAACTCATTACAAGCTGCTGCATTCTATGGACACAAAGATATCGTTCGCGTGCTTGCCGACGCTGGAGTCGATGTCAACATGGATGGTGGAGTAAGAGGAACAGCGCTCGTGAGTGCCGCCTCAGCAGGCAATCTCGAAATGGTAAAATTACTTGTCGAATTAGGCGTACCCATGGAAAACACCTACGATACGGCAAACGCTACAATAATGGCCGTTCGTAAAGGCCACGAAGAACTCGTTCTCTATTTCATCAGTAATGGCGTCGATATTGATGGGATGGGCGAGCTCCGCTCTACTGAAGAATGGACACCTCTTGCACTTGCAGCTCACAAAGGGAACGATCACCTAGTACGAGTCCTTCTCGATCTTGGTGCTTCCGTTGAAGCAGAAGCTGGACTGCACGTCACTCCTTTGATAGCTGCCATAGATAGCGATCACTGCAATCCAAAAGTCCTGGAGATGCTCCTCGCAGCTGGATCTGATGTCAACGAACTTGTCACGCCGGGAAGCAAGGAGAAAGCGGGATGTGCTCTGATAGCGGCTGTCAGGCGAGGGAACATCCCTGCTATGAGTCTGCTCTTGGATCATGGTGCTGATCCGAATGCTGTTAATGGCGACGAGTGCACAGCGCTGATGGCTGCAGTTCGGTTGCAGAATGAGGCGATTATTGATATTCTCATGGAGAGGGGGGTGGATGTGAATCTCTGCTGTGAACCTAATCTGGATCTGGATGCAGACCACGTTACTGTTACTGCGCTCGAGGTGGCAGCTAAGTATGGCCATGTAACTTTGATTCGGAGGCTGGTTGAGGCTGGTACGCAGCTTGAACTCGAGGCTGAGGATACAGTGTTTAAAACTGCACTTCAATGTGCTGCTTATTATGGACAATCGGAGTCAGTTGCTACACTTTTGGATTTGGGGAGTGATGTTCATGTTGTTGGTGGGACTTTTGGAACGGCATTGCAGGCTGCAGCTCTGTCCCAGAGTGAGAAGTGTATTGATCTTCTTGTGGAGGCTGGTGCAGACGTCAACCAGCATCATGTTGGCCAGGTAAGCGACCCTCAAGATCTCTTCTTACCAAGTCCTAACTTGACTCAAAGTATGGAACTGCCCTCATTGCAGCTTGTTGTGGCGACTACTCAAACTCCGAAGCTTACAAGACTAACGGCTTTCACGCTCTCCTTCGGTACGGGGCAGACGTGAACTTGAACGGTGGAGGAGAAGTGCCATATCCGATCATTGCTATGGCGTGTCATGGAGATGCTGACGGAGTGAGGATTTTGATCGAAGCTGGTGCTGATGTGAATAAGACAGGTGGGAAATGGCATTCTGCACTCCAGGCGTCGTTCTGTGACGATAGTGACAGTAAGTGTCTCGATTACTTTCTGTTGTTTTCTCTATCTCCAAATGTCCACACAGTTTCACAATTGGTCCCCATTTAAAGACGATCAAGCATTGAAGACCAATACTAACACAACCAACCAGCCGATATCGAAAAGCTCGAAATCCTCCTCAACGCAGGTGCAGAGGTCAACGCTGTAGGTGGCACCTACGGAACCGCTTTATCATGCGCCTACCGCTCCGGCTACTACACCGCCATATCGCTCCTCTACCGGCACGGCGCCTCCAATACCATCTATGGAGGAAAATGGGGTTCCGCCTTGGGATCCGCCATTTCAGGAGCCTGCCACACCCTCGTTCACCAAATTGTGCAACGCCACAAAGCAGACGTCAACGTGCCCTGCGGAAAATGGGGATCTCCTTTAAGTTTCGCGATCGTACAGCGTTCGGATGACGAAGAAGCGCTGATTGATTTGTTTCTGGATAACAAGGCTGATGTGAACGCTGTTGGGGGCGTGAACTCCACACCATTGGGAGCGGCGGTTGTAGAGGGCGAGCCGGGGATGGTGAAGCGGCTGTTGGATCGAGGTGCGGATCCAAATCTCGTGTGGGAGAAATCTGGACGGAGTCCATTGTTCCTTGCTTGTCAGACACAGGATATGGATGATATCAATATGTTGTTAGAAGCGGGCGCAGACGTGCATCTCGCTACGAAACGCGGCTCGATATTGCAGAGTGCTGCTTTATGGGATGACGAGGGCTGCGTGGGAGTCATTGAACGGATTCTAGAAGCGGGTGCGGATGTTAATGCCAAGACTATTGGTCCGTATGGGACGGCGTTACATGCTGCGGCTGTGGTGGGTAATGTGGCAGCTGCAGCTTGTTTGTTGGAACATGGTGCGGATATAAATGTCAAGGCTGGGACTTTCGTGTCAGTTTTGCAAGCTGCTGCGTTTAAAGGGCCGATTGCTCTCATTCGCTTGCTGCTAAAACAAGGTGCAGATGTTAATATGCTGGGTGGGAGATATCGAACTGCCCTTCAGGCTGCTTGTGTTGCTGGGAGGAAGGCGACCGCGAAATTGCTGCTTGAACATGGAGCTGAGGTCAATATCACTGGAGGCCAGTACGGAACTGCACTCAACGCCGCTTGCAATTCCGGAAACTTAACAATAGTCCGCCTCCTGCTTGCTCGAGGTGCAGATCCTACTATCCGAGGAGGTTGGTACGGGAGTGCATTCACAACAGCAATTCTGTTTCACAGCGACGATATCGCTAAAGTTCTAGTGAAAACTCAACGGGAGAAGGTTGGAGGTTTAAAGGATATGTTGGATCTATGCAAGGAGAAACCAAACTGGAAGTTCGTTTTCGACGGGGCAGAGGAGATGGTCAAAGAGGTGCTTGAAGACGAGGAAGAGTTGGAGGCGTGGAGTGACAATGAAATCTTTGTGCCTGACGAAGCGGAAGATGATGAGTGGGAGGATGAGGATGAGGAGGCGAGTGAAGGTGAAGAGCGAGATGAGACGGAGACAGAAAATGGAGGGAATGAGAGTGAGGAATCTGAGAGTGATGAAGAGAGTCTGGCGCCTTCAAAAGCTGATTCGGGTGTTGTGGTCGAGGGGTTACATAAGAAAGCTAGGACGGCATTGAAGAAAGTTAAGGAAGATAACGGGCTTGACTTCAGCTGGTTGAAGGTGGAAGAAATTATAGATGATGATTAGCTTGTAGCTTACAAGCGTTGGATAAGTTCATGTTCACAAGGTTAACATACCGCAAATCTTGCCATTGTTGACAACAGTTCGATTTCTCGCTTACGATATCCACGTGCCCCTAAAAGCTGAATTCGGCAATCAGTCTACCGCAATGTCAACAATAGAACGGAAAATTGACAAAGGTGAATCTCCTTGCTCCACTCTACGGCGCTTGTCATTTCCTTTACGCTATCTGAAATCTAGCCTTCGAGCTTCCTCATGCTCCCGCTAGCAACGTGAATAGGCAAACAAAACTCGCCATCTCGACTTATACTTTGCTTTCGACTGCTGCAGATATTTGAAATCACACACTCCCTCTCACTTTTGACTTTCAAAGCCGAGTCAACAGAAGTAAACTGTACCCACCCAGGGATCAAAACTCCAATCTGAGCGAGCGAAAACAACGCGCGCACCATCGGACACATAAAAATACCGCGTCGTGTGTCTCTTGTTGCAACGTAGCTCACCGCATCACATCGTCTCGAGATACTTTCCGTAGCTTGGTCAGACTGACTTGATCCCACCTGCAACCATGTGCCTGGCCAAAACATTCGTGTGTAAGCACCCATCTGCTTCTGCTCTCTTCTCTTCTTCTCCGCTCCTCAACCTCCACCTCCTCACCTACGTCTGTTTTCTCCCTTTCTCATCCCACTAACCACCCCCTCTCTCGCCAGATGACTGCGGCCACAAACACCTCATTCGGCTACACTGCACTCGCAATAACCCACTCCTCTGCCACGACTTGACCAACAAACCTGAACGCCGGTACTACGACTGCTGCTGTTGTATTGAGTATCAGCTTAGCGTTGCGGAGAAAGAGAGGAGGGAAAGGGAAAGGGAAGTAGAGAGGTGGCGGGGTGTCAGAGACGAGAGTGCTGGGGCAGGAGATGAGGATAAAAATGGGGAGGGTCATGGTAATGGCAATGAGAGGGAGGAAAAGGCAAGGGTCAGGGAGTGGTTGAACAGTGTGCAGGGGGACTGTGATATGGCAAACTTGGAAGAAGCTCGTGAAAGAAATGGAGGAGAGCCAGTCCAGGATCAGAATCATAAACACATCCACGACAACGGAACATCCACCAATACCGCTCGAACCGCCTCCCGCTCCATGCTCGACGCAGACGGTGACATTGACATGCTCACCAACGAAGCAGTGGAGTTCCAAGATCCTAACGACTGGTCTTGTGCGAAGGTTATCCAAAAACCAAGGGAGGGCGAGAGGAAGGAGGGAGAGGATGAGGATTATGAGGTGTGGGAGGGTATGGATGGTGGACCGTTCTGACGGGTTCATATTTGGTTGGATAGACTGCGGCGTGGGATGAAGCCAGTCTGTGGTTAAGGACTCAGGTAGAAGCTGGTACTGACTTGGGAGGGTTGGCGATGGGGTGGAGGAGAGCTGAGCAGCTGCTGAGTTTTGCGAGGGAATACGGTGAAGGTATGGATCCCGCACAGGATCTCAGAGCATTTTCAATAGATGACTGAATCTGCGAGAAGGTCTGCTTTGTTACCAAAGTAGGCGTTACTTCCTCGTAAAAGTCATTCTTTCATGTAAAAAGAAGGGCTGCCAATACCCAACATTGAGGACACTCATCTGCGTCTAAGTCAGTAAACGCTGCAAGGTTTTAAGGGGACGTAGAGTGCTTCCAACAACCTTTGAATAGTGTCTAGTTTTTCCTCTTCCTCTTCGCTCTCCCCACTTGCGTATTCTGACATGCTGTATGCTATCATGAGCTCCAGCATTCTAGCTTCTATCTCTTCGTGCATCCTTGCCCACTCGTCTTCTTGTCATTTCTATTTTCTGAAATCCTCTATTGCTCTCCAGCAGACCCACGAATAATGGACTGGAAAGCGTCAGTCAGCACGAGCCATGCTGCAATCTATTTCTTGGAGCGGGCTGGGATATGCTCGCACATGTCAGCCCTGCCTAGAAGATAATTTCCGGCTGCCCCGCAAGGCGTCTCCTTACTAGAACAGCTTTTGCATTCAGATCAGCCTGAACTTTCTTTCAACGACACCTACACGTCATGTCCATCTTCGTAATGCACAATGCACAGAACACAGAAACAGAGCTCTTCAAAAATGTTGTCATTCAATACAAATGGATATGACTGGTATGAGACTGCTATATACATATTACCCCACTCAGCGAATGTGTTCAATCCTATCAGACTTTCTTCCAAATCGGTAGACTCAAGAATACAATAACCATCACTGTAGCGAACGCCATTCCACCCATCACACTTTGCAGTACGACCTTCCTCTGGAGCCGTCTCAGGGTATCATCTTTTACTTTCAATTTGCGGTCGAATATCATCAGTTTCGAAACCAGTCGGATAAAACGGGATCGCTGCTTTGGAGTTGGGTCGTCTTCGAATCTCTCCCAGGGAAGAGGCTGTCTTCTGGAAAATAATAGAAGGAAGAAACAGCTACCCCGTATCCCAGAGAGTATCAGTCCTACACCAACGCTCCACATTGGCCAGATACCGAGGCCTCGCCAGCGAGAGCAGTGTCTAAAGGATGGCGATGCAAATGCCAATAGCAACATCGCAAGAAATCCGCCAACTGTGAGGACAATACCTAGACCAGTCGCCATACAAATCGTCTCGAAAGTCCCATTCGATACGCCAAGACGAATGAAGTTTCTGTGTGAACATGATTTCAAAAGGAGGTAGCAGTGTTCTGCGACTGGTTCGAGATGCTTGGCATCAGTGGACGCTGCAATAGCATCAAGGACCTTGCGCCGCATGGGAGCCGGAATGTTGAGCTCCTTGGCCGATCCTGGGAGAAGGAACACTGTCCGTATGGTATCAAGTTCATCTCGTCGCAGGCTCTCGATTTCTGTTGATGTTTTTGCTTCGGCTTCTGCCTCAATCTTCTCAACAACTGAGAATGGTCGTTTGTACACGGGAGATAGTCGTCCATTTTCGCATCCTTTGGACCCGCATGCTACTCCTGGGCTAACGAAGGCTGAGATACGAGAATATATCGCGGCTGTGAGATGTCAGCGAACTCTCCAATTATCAACATGGCCATCACATACATTCTTCGAAATTGAAGTAGTCTTGCCCTTCAGTCTCTTGGATCCTGTGCTCTTGAAACTTCCCATCATTTTCCGGCTTCGCAAGACTCGTTTGAGAGTTTGTTCCAGAGCCATTGACATCGACTGGCGTAAGAGCACGAGGCAACTCTGGGAACGCGGTCGAACGCCCGGCCTCGTAGTTCTTGAACCTGAGGTCGCATAACTGTCAGCACCATAACAGCACTTTCGACATCACTCTGTCGTCTACGTACCAAACATAAAACTCCAGATTCTCTGATGAGTGCTCAATATACTTCAGGTACATGTAGAAGTCATACAGCGACATTGGACTACCTATCTTGGATATCAGTAACCTGCAAGTGTTTCCAAGTGGACGGTACTTACATGTTCTATTCTTTAAGATCCTCTCCAGGCTGAGCTTTGAGGGTATATCATGGCTGCTCCTCCTTTTGGTCTCGGCACTACTCCGAGGGCTGTTGGGATTCGAGGCGGTGCCGGCACTGTCACTGATATCTGTGGCGAACTTATTGACGTCGACGTACGAAGGCTTCTTATACCACCGCAACCAGTCTGGGTAATGGGACATCGTGAGATATGTCTGGGAGCTGGTCAACTTCAGGAGAAGTGAAGTTTTCAGGATAAGGAGGAAGGAAGTCGGGCTGGAGGTGGAGGTGGACGTGGACGTAAGGGATGGAGCGGATGCGGACGCGGACGTATCTTAATACTTTCGGGAAGGTGCGTGGCTGCCATGCCATGCCATGCCATGCCATGGGATGGTGAGGTGAGGTGAGGTGAGGTGAGGTGAGGTGAGGTGAGGTGAGGCGAGGTGGTGTTATGTGGTGTGGGTGGGCAGGCACGGGGGGATTGTTACTCGTTACCTAGGTACCTTATTAGGTACTCGTTAACCTACTCGTTTCCTCGATACCTTAGTCTTGTTTGATGCTTCCTTGCTTTCCAATTGACAGCTTCGCATGGCGCAGCTTCCAGACCAGACCAGACCAGACATCGGCAAGAATTTCTCTCATAAGCACAAGTCATAATTTTTATTTACTCGAACTTTCCTGCAGCCATCCAAGCCGTCAAGCCCTACTCTAAGGTAAGGTAAGGTAGCCGGCGAGCCAGAGCCAGCCAGTGCGACTCGGGCGGGCACTTAGTACTGGCGTTACCTGCACGTTTTCGCTCTGCATCGGGCAGCCCATTCCATTCCATTCCATTATGATGGTCACATCCATCCATCATCATCCCGTGCCTGGTTCCTGCACTGCACTGCACTTGCTCGAGTCCTCACACACAGGTCACAATTCGCTTGGATGTCACAAATGACAGCTTTGATGATCTGTGCTGTGCATTTCTCGCTCGCTGAAGTCGCACGAGCCTTCTCTATTCCGCCTTCAAACCCTGAGTGGCGTGGCTTTGGGCGGACTGGGATGCAGCTGAGCATCCTGCTGGTAGCTGTCGAGTTGAGTCGAGCCCTTCTCGCCCTTCTCGCCCTTCTCGCCCTTCTCGCCCTTCTCGCCCTTCTCCTTCTTCTCGAGCACGCGGGGTCGACTTCGACGGTCTGTGCCACTATCTCGATGCTGGAGTCTTGTCGTTGCACCATGGCGAGCACGGCTCTCCACAAGTCTCGGGCATTACGATATCTATCACTCGATCACTGGATCTGGCTGTGCTTGGGCGGTGGTTATCATTGGCGTTGTGCAATTGATCCGCGCGGTGCAGCAAACTCGAGCAGATTGGCGGACGCCGAGCCCGTGCCCCGCCCGCCACTGCAGCCACCGAAGCGAGGAGGGCCTGAGAGTTGCAGCAAACGGGAAGTCTGTGCAAACCCTTTTGGTCCAATGGCTCAATTAACTGAAAACTTTCCATCCAATAGTCCAGCAGTAGTCTGAAGTCAAGACGCGAGGGATATCGTTTTGCAGCGGTGGATCTTGTTGCTTGTCATCTATCCTGTATCTTGCCAAACTGCAATTTGGTTAAATTACATGTGCTCTTTGACGGAAAGAAGAGAAATGCACTACAGGTAGGAGACCAACAGCATTGCAGCTTGGGATTGAGCGATGCATAGTGTGCAGCAATGTGAAGCTGATGAAAGCTCCTGTCATGTTTCCTTTTGCCTATTCAATTTCGTTTGAGATTGAGCCTGATTTATGTCCGTTTGTCCTGTCATCGGTCTCGTTTTTCAAGCTGAGATGGATCATATGCTATGTGGAGTCACTCATGGTGTTGACTACTAGTACAGCAAGTGCCCGTGATCGACAATTCCATTGTGATCGTCGAGTTTTGTCGCTGCCAATTGTTGCCTTGCCACCGATACATTGTTATGTTTGTCATAGTTTCGCAACATGGACTTGCAGGAGAAAAAGGGCTTGGCATCTCACTGTCATCCCAACTCCTATGCTCTCGTCAACCTTCCACCCGTTCCCATCCAACGATCTCTAGTCTTCTCCCACTTCATTTCCTTTTCATCCAGCCACCCGAGCCAAACTTCCCTCAAAACCTTACGAGCTTCCAAAAACCTGCTCCAATCCCTCCATCTCAACATTTTCACCTGGTCTAACACACCTCTCTCCTGTAGGGAGACGATGAAGTGGAAGACAACGATACGATACAACTCCGCGACGTAAATCATGATGATGACATATGTTCTTCGTCGCTGCTGCATGTCTAGTCGTTGCTCTGTCTTCCTCTCGACAGATGAGTTCGTCTCAAGAAAGGGGTGACCGATCCAGGATCGTCAAGTGCAGAGGGGTTGCTCAGTATTGACGGCGCTAGTGGCCAGGCTCTTGGGGCCAAGTGGCTCGGTATTGATAGAGGAGTTATTGACGGTGAAGGTGTTATTCGTTAATCTTGGGTTGACAATGATTTGCAGCACAGCGTTGCTGGAAGTCTTGACGATAGTCGAGTGGGTGGTGATGGTGGTGGAACTCTTGTCTTTTGCAGTACAAAGCTGTTGTTGACAGCAAGGAGGAGAATGATGACGGCAATGCCCATGATTGTTTGAAATGCACATGTCGTTACAGCTTGTGCTGTTGGCAAATGTTGTGTGTCTTGTCATGGCTGCTTGGGAAAAGGTTTTTTGTCTGCTTTTTCGATCTATTTTGTGCTGCCTTACCGTATGTTCTCCTCATATAATCAGTCTTACTATAGACCCACCGGTTTATGTTAGGTTCCTCCCCGCGATTTGCATTTTTGGTTGCACTCCATGATAAATCTTTCCATTGCTTCTGTTGAAGTCTGTGAACAGCTCCAACAAACAATGACATTCCACTCAGTAAGTTACATACAGGTTTTGTATTCTTTGAAGTCTTCCTTACTGTGTCCCCAAGCATCTTTTAAAGGAAATCTTATTCTAGCGTTGTGTTGCCACGGTTGTGAAACTGCAGCCTGACAGGGAAGAATAAGCAGCAGATTTCAGCTTAAGACTAAAGAAAGACGTGTTTCTTTCAACTACTCCCAAGCATACATATAACAAATATACGACCTCTAAGCATCATCAACAATTTTCACTTCTACGAGCAAAGTATCTACGGACTTGAATTCCATCAGCGTGGTTGAGACCTCGCTTACCTACTTGATTGGAGCAAGCGGGGCAAGCTAATCAACGAGGTCGAGATTGTTTACTTCCTTTCTGGCGCGCAAAGACAGGAACCACTCACTCTCGCGAATCTCCCGAAAGACAAATTGATCGCGTTGTCTCTGCGGCATCCCACACCTCACAGTACGCGATCTTGATCCTAGACTACACCAAGCACTAACTTTCACAACAATACTGCTCCTCAAATTTGCCCGGGTCGCTGCTTCACACCAAGGTTCTGCTTCTTGACAGCCTCATACCAATCTGATCTATAACTACTTCAGTACTAACTGTTTAATACCCAAAGAATAGGTCAGACGCTGCGCCACTTTCCATTCACTTCCTCTATTCAGTCATGGCTTTCCTTATGGACTTCGATGCTTGCAGCTCCCCGTTCGAGAAAGACGAAGATGACAACCACAGTTGCAGCATGTCCATCTCCTCTGATGAGGAAGAATGCTGTTCCCGGACGGTTGTCGAAGATCATACCAAGCCTCCCATCCAACCTTCTACTGAGGCTCACGCGCAATATTCCTTGAATGGGCATCATAGCTGCTCCTTCTTCTCTCCTACTGCAGATCTTGCCGGAAATAACTCGCTCAACGCGACCTTATATCCCGAGAACACCAGCAGCATAGATAAATCCGAGTTCAGGTCATATAACACCACAGAGCACTATCAAACCCGCTGGACCTACACTTGCAACCACATGCTCATCCACGACGACGAAGACCCCCTCTACCCCATCCGTTTCGGCCCCCGCCAACTCCACAAGACATTCTCAGAGCTCTGTCCGATGTGCAAAGAGCTAGCAGCATCTGTCGAGAATAACAACAACAAGAAAAGGAAGAAGAGAAAAATTCTCAAAGATAACGATCCTCCTCCAATCCACGGCACCTCCAAAGCCGACATTCTCGCAGAAAGCACCACCCGTGCTGACGCCCTCAGACTTGCTGTTCTTGCTGCACAGAGAGATGAAGTCCTGAAATACGCGCAGTTCCTCGATGCAGATACTGAGGGTTCAAAGAAAGCTTGGGGGTGGTATGATAGGTGTAACAAAGAGTGGGCGGCGAAGGTGTGGGAGGTTGAGAAGCGCAGTGCTGGGATATACACTTCCAGTATTCCGTCGATTCCCTTTCCTTACGGAACTCTGGAAGAGAACTTTACGTTCGTCCGAGATAAAGCGTATCTCCTCTTGCAAGCTAGCTCTACTTTACTTGAGAGCGAAGACATTGAAGCTGCAAATGTTAGTGAGGGAGCTTTGGATCCTGGAATGAACGGGGAGATTTTTACAAGGCATCGTTTCTTTCGTGATTTGTGGAGAGAGCTGGAAGATATGAGCACGGGTGGGGTGGCTGGGTGTAGTGGAATGCAAGTGGAGGGTTTGATGGAGAAGAATCTGATGGATGTTTGGAGGAGGTTTGTTAGGTTTATGGATGAGGGCTAAAGGGGTGTGAAAGAGCTGGAGAGTGATAGGTGGTGAGATTATGTTGGTAAAATAGAAAAGAGGTTGTTTATACTTGGTGGGAGGGATGGATCTGAGTAGATGAACGTGATATTACCTTGGGTCGTTAGATTGCAGATACCTGGCGAGCTTGGCAGGACAAGAGACACCTACATTAATACAATGATGAGCTTTAGGTCCAGAAATTGCTGACTGCAAGCTCACCCAGGAGTCAACAGTTGATGAACCTGCATCGACTGGATGGCACCAAGTAAGGTAATGTTTATAAATTCGACAAGAGTGAGGCTCGCTTGGTGATCACATTGACATTAACTGTAGAGTACTGTTTGAAAGACTTTCACCTTTCTGTATAGAACTTGACATTTCAGGTTTTGAAACTGTGTGAGTCTTGCACCTCTACATCTATTCATTTTCAACATCTAGTGCTGACACTGAAAAGTGAACTCAGGCATGTTCTTGAGTTCAAGATTGCTTAGGCCCCTCCCATGGTCTACTCTCCGTCGCGTCTAAATCTCCTTCATTCTTCTGCGCCACCTAGCTTAGGTCTTCGCACATCGCATCTCAAGATCAACGTCTTGGTTCGGTCTGCGTCGTTGTGCGCCGCAACGTTTGGACGCGAGGAAAAAACCTTCGATCTGGTTAGTTACATGTGTCTGGGTCCTGAAATTTCTCTTTTTATAATCAACAGCTTATCTCAAGACCACAACTCGTCAGTTACTGACCTTGAACTCTAGGTACTGCCATATCCTCCAATTTTATCTGCAAGTCACCTTCGCAGCCATGGCATCCGTCAAGCTTGGCGTCAATTACGAATGGAAGTTCATCTGTGGCCATATAATGAGGCACCACGGCCAGATTGCGGCTCAAAGTGCTTCGCTCTCCAACAGCTCTGGTGTCACGAGGATTTTGGCGTCCGACAATTGTGTCTACTGCAAGCATTTCAACCTCGCCGACAATGTCAACCAGAGCGACACCCAGACCTACAAGAATGACCGACAAGCCCTAAAGATCTACGAATCTCAGGTGGAGACAATAGAACAACACATCGAAGACGCCGGTGACAATGCCAGCCTTATGAAGAACATGGAGAAGCTGCTGGAGCAGTGCAACTTGATGTGGGCGGAGGAGGTGAAGAAGATGGAGAAGCGAGAGAGCAACAGCCTCATTCAGCCAGGGCATCCAGCATCTCTAAGCACTGCTCTCCTCGAGAAGTTCGACACAGCTTTGTCCAAGGTGAAGCTTCTCGAAAGAGCAGAAAAGATCTTGCTGAAACGAGTTCAGTTGCCGTCATACAAGGGACAGTTGACTGCTGCAAGACTAGAGAGTCGCTGCCAGAACTTAAATGATTACCACGCAAAGTTGAAGAGATTCAAGTGGACAGCTCTGGGTATTGGATCATGGAACCACGTGATTTCTGCTGAGGAAAGACTTGATTGTGAGTGGGCTGGTGTCGTCGACCTGATGAATGCAGATTGAAGAATTTGTGGACAGTGTCTGTTTACTCAGGATTGTTTTTTCATTGAATAGATTGAGGCAATAAATTGTCGGATATCTCAGGCACTGCAAAATATGCAAGTAATGGCCTTGTATCCTAGAGAGATAATGGGCAGAGCGCTCCAAATATAGCAGCCAATGGACAAACCCAGCTCTTGATCGTTTCATATGAAACCCCCTATTCAGTGGACCCCCAAGAAAATGGCAGAACAAAACCAAAAAAATCCTGACTGTATCGATTACCCAGCTTGAAGATAATGGAGCTGGACCCTGCTACCAAGAAGAGCTTATTGTCTCTCTGCCGGTAACAATGCCACGGAAAGCTCAGGACCTAGTACGTCTCACTCCTCCCATTATTTTGAGCAATTTCCACCTCGGCTAGCGACCAGATAATCTCAATCTTCCAACTCAAGAAACACGGACGTGGCCTCTCTTTAACACGATTAAAACGTGGTTTACGAGCTAGGAGTTCAGGACAAAAGCATTGCTAAATTTCAGAACCATAAGATTCAGTGTTATACTTCGCACGAAGAGTGAAGGGTGCTGTTCGACCAGATGTTGAGTCTTTCTGCACCTGGGACCGGCCACAAGCTGCCTGCAAATATGATCCGCCGAGTCCTAGCGAAATATGCACAGAACTATCGCAAACAGCCTTTTAATCGCAGAAACATCCAAGAAAATCATACAACTATACAATATCTCCACTATAAATGGGCTAGAACTCCGAATTTTAGAGCTCAGCAGGAGTTGGAAAGTTTGTAAAGGGTCGGAAGTGCGTGGAACGCCCGCGCCTTGTCATTCCATGCCATGAAAATGGACTGTGATCTCGCTCACCAGGCATTTCATCAATCTACGAAAGACGATCCACACAATATCAGTGTAGACGTTGATTGACTTGCCAGCGCTATGCTATGTTCGGTCGAATACGAGGAGAGAACCATTCTTGGCGTCCGGGATGAGGTCAAGGGATTCATGACTCTCATCAATTCAGATCTCATGAATTTGGAACAAGCGGATGAAGCATCAACGGGACTGTCAGCTTGTATCAGAGAGTTGCTCGTGAATTTGGACAACTTCTCATGGAAAGTAACAAAATGGCCGCGAACACACAAAAGACAACGTGCAATGCGAACGCTTCCACTGTCGAGAAGAGGAGGAATCTCAACGTTGTCGTGAACAAAAATCTATTGAAAGTTCTAATCAAGTATTTTGATCATCTCAAAAGTGATATTCCAGAACTTTTCGTAAGGAAAGGGCTCAAACCGCTCAATTCGAAGCATCATGAGATGTTGAAGTACATGATTTGGAGGACAAGCTTGATTGTAAAGGGCTCGTCTGCCGATATACACAGGCCAATATGATGAAGAAATCAATCAGATCGTAAAAAAGTATCAGCGAGGATGATCCAGAAATGTAGAGAAGGGGCCAAGAAGCTGGTGGATGCCAAGAGTGGCGTTGGTGTCGAGTAAAATTGCTTGCTGTGGAAGGTCTCGAAAGCCTTCATTCTTGTTGCTCTCTTAGTATTGACAGTAGGTTGCGGTTCCCTAATGCTAAGCTTGAGGGATGCCATGTTAGGATTCTTGAGACCTTTTTCCACACTTTGAGGCCAGCGGGGCAAGAACTTTTGGCGTAAATTTATCCAAGAGACTGAGTAGGCTGCGCGAAACATACATCTTTGCTATATCAACAACGGCGATGAACATATGAAGAAAATAAAGAAGCAGGCCGAGGGTTGTCGCAGTTAGTTTCTTCTCGTTCTTTGTGAAGTCAAACTCATCAGACTTTGGGGTCTCCTATCACTAGGCTGCAGATGCATCTACAATATGTAGATTATAGTCAGTTTTATAATGTCATACGATACTAGCATAACGAAAAGAAAGCCTATTTCTGATTATCCCTGAAAAGCTTATCGATTTGATACAATTGCTGGAGTTCATCGCTTGAAAGCTCCTTCCCATTCTCACCCCCATTTGTCTTGGAATTTAAGCGAGGACTAGTCAAAATCGACTTACCAGCCCGAGCTCTTTCTCTTGTCGTTCCGTCACCTTTCCATTCCCAAATAGCATCCAAAAAGTCAACATCGTCCAGTATCAACGATTTCTATTCATAACCCAACAGACGTATCGCTGTATACTTAGTAAGGCTCGAGCACATCTCGGTATTTTGCGAGTGTAATGTTAAGTTTCTAGTACTTCTTACAACATCCTTACTAACCCACATCCCCCTCTAAACGACGCGAAAATGCCTTCAATATTCCCTCACATGCGGATGTTTCAATTCAATAACAGCAAAAACAATATCAAGAACGGTACCTTAGCCTGCCATGACTCATCATTCAGCAGCAACACGACCATCACCACCACTAATGACGGATCTCAAGCATCTGAAGTCTGCGACACCTGCGGTTGCGTGCACGGAATTTCTCTGCTTGCTCATCAAGACAAATTGGAATGCGCGTTGAACCAGATCAAGAAGCTCGAGAGAGAAAAACCCGAAGTGAAGATCTATCCGCCCAGTGAGGAGCTGGTGCTGGAAGATCTCAGTCTGAATACGATCATTGGCTACCACAAAGACTACGTAGCCCATTGGGCTCTTTCAATGTGTTGGAGGTACAGAGCACGGGTTTTGATGTTGCATTTAGAGATTGCGGCTCGTACAGGCGATGAAGAGGGAATTCGGAGGGCTAAGGCGAACTTTGAAGATGCTGGAGATTATCTGGAGGAGAGCATTGACGACCTCTTCGCGCTGATGGGGGATCAAATAGAGCGCGTTTTTCAAGCTACGAAGCGGGAGCTCTCAAAAACACCAGCAGTAGCGGAGAAGGAAGCTTCTGCCGTGGATGAGTCTCTGATGGAAGTATATACAGCTCGAGACACTACGAGAAGGGATTCTGTGACTATGGACGATTATACAAAGAACGCTTCCCTCTTGAGTGTCACTGCGGAGTATTGTAGTGATACGAAATGAACATTGTGAGAAGATCTACATGGATTGGAGAGCCGTCATCATTAGCTTTCCTATAGACACAGCTTCAGAATTAACATCTGTGTCTGCCTACAGGCTTCTCGAAAGATGAGAGTAGCTTTATCCCTTCCAGCTCCAAAACGAACCTTTTGTCCGTGCACGCTGCAGTGGAGTATTTTGTCTTGATCTGGCTTCAGAAGCGACTTAATCCCTTGCTCAAAGGAGTGATCCACTCGAGAGCTACGACCGGATTCGCTAGTCAAGCCTCGCTTCTCGATTTTACTCCACTGGGGTCCAAAAGGTTAAATAGGTTCGTTTTGGAGCTGGAGGAGATACTGAAATATGAGAACTGTGAACACAGAATTCGGCATTTACGACTTTGCTCCTTAATTATCGCTCATTAAATCTCATATTCGGCCCATCATATTTTCCCCCCCTCTGTGTGTGAAGCAATCTACTGAATAGCCCCCATCTTCACCCATTCTCTTCCGAGACAGCCTTGAAGGGACATCTACGCTTTGCCCAGCTAACGAATACTGAGCACAACAAGTGCACACCTCAAAGTGATCTACTCACTAGGCAAGCAAGATTCTGGGGGGTGGCTTTCTCAGATCAACTTTTTGAGAGTCACCTTCGATTTCAGCACTCCATTCCATCAATGTTTCGTGTTCGGGTGAATAGCTACATATTCTCCAAACCTGATTTTAATCTATAAAGCCCCCTCTTTCAAGTCTTGTTAGACTCCTCTGAACAAAAAATACTGGAATTCGAGACTCCCCCCGTCTCCAACAAGATATTGCAACCCTAGCAGCACATCTCAAAGACTGACATCAGCACAGCTGCTCTAAAATCTCTATCCATGACACGAATGAAATATGCCTAGACTGGTGTGAGTTCTCTTCGGAGTCGCGACTGCCCTTGACGCGCGTTTGCTGACACCAGTTTCGAGATTATGGCGAAAGAACCGCTTCGTCAAGAAGCCTTCACCATTGAAAAATGCAGTTCTCGCAGATGATCCTAAGGTTATTGATACCCAACCTGCAGCACATCCACTCGATCTGCAAAGGAAGCAAGAAGAAACTTCCATTAAATACTCAGATTCAACCTCAGAAGCCGGCGGTGAAGTCGAAAGTCATGACCAATTGTTGACAAGGAAGGGGAAAGAAGCTCCGATTCCACGGAGAGGCTGGATTCCGACCAATGTCCACTCTGTGCTCGAACCAGTTGCACACACAAAGAAGCGCAAAGCCCTCCATCAGTCCAGTATCGAAAACAATACCAATGTCGACACAACAAAAATCTTCCCACCCATCACAGCACCACATTTACATCGCCCCAGTCCACAGTACATTGGTAACTCGACCAGTCACATTACTCCCGCTCCCGACTCTCAGAAACCCAGATTTATTATCAAACTTAGAGTCCCAACTCGGTACAAAGCCCATCATTTCCTATCAGCTCAGCAAGCCGTCACTACAAGCAATTATTCACACAGAAATTATCCCCAACCCCGTGAACCACCAGGAATCACTCTTCTTAGCCGTCCACCAGCTATACATGACACCAGCCCAAGCCATGATCGCGCCTCAGCCGAGTCAGCCCCTAGCCCCGATCTCACCCCGACATCCCTCAAACCCAGTCTCATCGTCAAACTCAATGTCCCGATCTGGTACGAGCAGCAACAGTTACTCATCCCTCAACCTAATCAAGTTTTCCAGACTTCTCAAGCTCTCCAGACCTCCAAGGAAACACGCAAACCCGCTTCACAGGCTAGCAAATGCTCGACTTGCGGTGGAATCCACGCTTCTACTTGTATTTCCAATATGGACAGGCTGGACGAGATAAATGCCCAAGTCTCATTTCTCAGCATCCTATCCAAAGCAGCAGGAATGATAATCAATGAAGTCCTGGAGGGAGTCGAACAACCCAGCGGCCAGGGTAACCAAGCAGGTTCAGCTTTCGCTTCATCTTTTTCATCGACGGCATCTAAGCTGGAGAAGCGTGATTCGAAAAATGCCACGATCACGACCAAGATGATGGACTTGGACACTGATCCCGAGGCAGAGGCAAAGGATCTGAGGAGGCGAATTGAGGGCTTAGTAGCGGAGGGCGATATGTGGATAGCTAAGGCGAGACCGTTGATTTTGGAAGCTGCTATGCGAGAAGGTAATCTAGAAGAAGGTGAAAAGTTGAGGAGGGAGATTAAACAGGACGGGGTACCGGTGCGAGCCGGAGAAGCGGAGAGGTATTTTGCCGGGGTGAGGGAGAAATATCTTGGGCGTCAGGAAGGCAAAAGCATCCAGAATTTGACACCAATGTGAGGGCGATTTTTTAGAGGGTATTTATGGCATCCAACTGCTGGTGCAATGACAAAGGGAGGAAACTGGAGGGTGAAGATTTGCAATTATCATTATCTTAGCACTACATCCATCGATCGCCGTCTTGAGTTTAGACACGCATATGAAAATATGCTCTCTGGATACATTGAAAGAAAGTAAGGACCATTACGAATTAAACAGAATGTACATGAAAGTCCTACTCGAAGTCCAAATATTGCAAATGCTTCGCTGCCATGCGATGTCTCATTCTCAAAAGTCAACAAACACTCGCTAAAAGTGCCAAGAGCTCCGAGCTCCCAGTGCAACTACGAGTCGTTCAGCCTGTCACATGGGGCCAAGGTACACGCGCAATAAAGCACTTTTGCATACACCTGGTTGTAGGCAACCAATCTCTGCACATGTTGTCTGCACCGGGGTATTCACTGAATGAGTTTCCTTCCAATGGTTACTGTTAATTATGCTCGCCCGTCGCAACGTCTCGATGGAACACCAAAGCATTACAGTAATGGGTTGACGTAATATATTCTGCTTCCTATATATGAGTAGTGACCCCAGGCTATCCAGAGGCATCCTTACCAATATACCTAAGATTAAGCATACTGTCGTAGAATCCATGCTGCCGAGGATACAAGAATGTCAAGGAAGCCAAGCATTCAGCCAGAATTACTATCGCCCAACCCCCAAAACCATCTATCGCCGCTTGGCCAGGTACGCATACGCATTATCCCAGACCTTCTTGTCTGCCTCGTTGATCTCTTTGCCCAGAGTTGATACACCTTCATAGACTGCATCGAAGAACTTGAAGGCAACATCCAAGTCTTCGGGGAAGTTGACGCTGTGTGGGAGGTACTTCTTGATGTATTCTGCCTTGTTGGCTTCGCGTTCTTCTGGGGTCCATTCGGCCTTGAAGAAGTCATCGAGATAAGTTTTAACTGCGATTCCGAGACTGGTGTCGATGTCCTTGGAGAAAGGCAGACTATAACTGTTAGCCAAGTGATGATGATATTGCACGCACCGTTCAACATACCTTCGTCCTAGCCCATCGCAGTCGTCCCGGGGGCGTTCCCCTTGCCCGTTGAGAAGCAACGACGCAAGAACACCTTCCAAGAGGTCTCTGTCGGTCTCGCGGACTTCTTTAATGATCGAATGGAACGACAGGAAATTCTTGCTGAGTGGCCCAGTGTAACCAAGGTTTTGGTGACGGAGCTTGAGAAGACACGACGTGCGCCCTATCAATATACAATTTGCCTTATCGTCATCAGATCCACGAAGAGGCGCACCGATTAGTTCCGAGTGACGGTTGCGCGAATTGAGATTATCGAAGGAAAGAAGCTCGAAGGCGAGAAATGCAGCCTCTTCGAGGTGGTGAACATCATTGTAGGCCTTTACAGAAGGTCCAATTGCTTTCAAAGTCGTTGCCAAGGCTTTACCCCAACTGGTCAATTGATGTTGGTCGTTGATGTACCCTCTGAGATGGAGAAAACGCCAGAGCACATTCGACTGAAGCTCTGTCTTCGAGTTGATACCGGTTATGTGGCCTTTAGCCGGTGCGGCATAGATAGTTGTAGCGGGGAAATCCTTCGATTGTAGCGAGAGGAGGGCAAATGATAGAGTTACAGGAGATGTTCCGGTCGCTGTTGCTTGAGTTTTAAGCTGTGCATCCTTCACTCCCCATGAATCAGTCTGCTGGTTGGTTTGAGGCTGCATGTTTCGATGGACAAGAGTCTTTTTGAGGTTCTCGTCAAACCAGAATATCATCTCGATATCTTTGAATTGTGTTGCTCGAGCGATGCGCGAAGAAACCAGGGCAGCAGTGGTCTCCTTCAAAGGGAGTAGTGACTGGGTAACCAGCTTCTTATACTCATCCGAGACAACTCCATCCAAGGTCGGGAAAATATGCCACTTCAAGTGCACAAAGCAATTGATGATTCTTGGTCCAATCAGAGCTTTGGAGAGGTAATGATAGAGCTCGGAAGGCATCTGTAAGCCTAGATATTCCGAGTTATCGGCTGAGAGGTTGTCCCAGTCTCGAATATGAACAAGACCGTCTGTGGTAACTGTGCAGCAATGCTTCACGCTCATCTTTGCCTTCCGGTACTTTGTCAACCAGTTCTGATCATGCTTATCGAGAACGTCCTGGAAAGTACTGCAGGTGCTTGTCACTGATCTATTGGATGTCCGCAAGAGGTTGATTGCGTCTGTGAGTGTATACGGTTGCGAAGAAATAATGCCTTCGACTTGGAGAGGAGGAAATGGCGGTAAAAATGAGGTGCCAACCAAGAGAAGTGCATCATGAAACATTTCTGGATTCGCGACAACGTTAAGTTTTGTTAGTAATTCGGACTTGATGATGCCGTAAAAGCACTTTTCTTCCCAGTTACTAGAGGTTGGAGGATGGATAATTGCATCATTGATCTCGTAGAGGAGCAGCTCTTTCGAACCCATAATGCCATCAATAAATTGTTCTTCAAGTGTGTCAAGGTAGGCAAGCTAGGGAACGTTTAGCAGAGATGAAAGAAAGGGGCTAATTCTGGACTACCTGGGCACATGCGCTGAATGGCGCGATCTGAAAGTCCAACCCTCTCTCAGCTAGGACTTCTTGAAGAATATGGTACAAGTCTTGTGCTCGTACGGCGCCTGTTGGAGGTTAGTCTGGAGGCCAGCCACTTGATTCTACATCATACGTACCAGAAGCACCAAAGGTCTTCACGGCCTCTTCGGGGTGGTTATTGCTGTACAGTTCCCATGCTTTTTGCGTCTTTGCGAGAGCCGCTCTAGCATTTTTCAGCGCCATTTCGTCCTTACCAACAACCGATTGTCCATCAAATACAAAGAAAGGCCGCATTTTGTTCTCGCTCCATCTATCCAAATCATTCCCAATATGGTGCTTCAATGCTATTGGATCTCCACCGAGTGCTGCGAGGAGAGGTTCGTGAGCAGGCTGGCCGTCGATCATGTGTTGGAGGTATGATGTTGCTTCGACACCAATGACAGCATCTTTCAGCTCCGAAAATGGCATTGAACTATAGCAAATTAGTCCTGAGCACAAATCACAAACTGAAGTGCGACTTACTATGCGTCTGAATTAACGCTGAAGTCTGCATCTTGGACTGGACAAAATTTGCTGTTAGCATATGGCCAATTCGATCCGATTTCGGTGTCATTAGGTGCAAGACTATCAACAGCTGTGTAAATATCTTCCATGAGGGGTGTGCCTTCGTCTGCGTGTCTGACACCATCATTGCTCGAAGCAGGGAAGACCTCTATCATTTGAGGGTGTGTTGGTGCAACGAAGTTCTTGGTACGAGGCGGAGCGTTGGAGTATGCTCTCATGAGACCATGGGCTGGAGCATATTCGTTGATAGTGTCCAGCCCCGAGTGATAATCTTGGGACGAGAGATGTGCTTGTCGTCGAGACAAGGCTCTTGTAGGGTCCATTGGTGCAGCCTGGGGTGCGTACCAGACCTCACCACTGCTCGCCATGTTGTAACTACCCCGGTACATGTTTGATGCGTCGTATATGTGGTATGTCTCGGATCCCATCTTGCTGATGCGCGGTTGGTTGTTCTGTAGAAGTGATGATGAATGAAGCGTGAAATGTGAACTTACGAGGCATCTTGACTCAGAGCGCAGCCTTTCAGCTGGGCAGGCGGATATGGTATGTAGAACGTGCTTTCCCTTTGCAACTTGGTACTGGCGATCCAAATGCGGGTCGAGGTTACCTTAGAGGTTCGAGTTCGTCGAGTTCGGGCAGTGGAGTGGAAGGGGAGGGAGAAGGAGCGATCGCAAGACGTTGAAGCAGCTGGATTTTGGAATCGAAGTCTCAAATTGCGCAGCACTTCGGATGTAGATGTAGATGTAGATGCGATGCGACCGAGTGCGGCAGAGGTGAGAGGTTAGTCGAATCGAAGAGATGTCTATTGCGAGACTCGGTGTTGCGAGGGACTGTAGGTCTAGAAGGGTAAGGGTGAGGGTGAGGTGAGCTGCTTTCCTTTCAATGTCCAAAGTCCGGGGATGGTTCGTGGCATGGTCGTAGCTCCCGTATGCTCGCCAGGTACCGAGCAGGGGTCTATCGAACTTACCTAGGTAGGTAAGGTAGGATATCTAAATTAACCTTTTTCACGTGATGTGCCTTCTTGGCACCATCTCGCATGCCCTGCATCCGGACTCGAGCCGGAGTCGAGTCGAGTCGAGTCGAGTATCTTGGGATCGGCAATAAAAGCAGAAGATAATTCTTGTGGAGGGACTTGCATCGACACAGACTTAGACGATCGTGGTACCAGAACGCGACGCAGAAAGCCTGAAAGCGAAAGGGTGTACGCTCCAAGAATCTATCAAACACAATTCTCAAGCTCCAAGCCTCACATCTCGTGAAATCTACTTGAGTGAATGGAGAGAGTGGGGGATCGCATCGCTCTACAATAAGTCTGACTTCCTCAGATTCAACTGTACACAATCAGCCGTTTGCTACATTCTTCACAGCCTTCGTTTATTTCCGATAGATCATGGCGATCTCTCACGGCAAAACTGCTGGATCAAATGGTCAAATTCCTGTCATCGATATATCAGGGAGCCTTCCAGAATCAGAAGTTGCAAAGCAGCTTGTCGACGCAGCAGCTACATATGGCTTTGTCTATGTTAAGAACGAAGGGAAAGATATCCCTGTGAACGTGATTGAAGATGTCTTTCAACTGGTGAGGTTTCACAAGTACTCACCACATCATACATACAACTGATATACCCTCGCCAAGTCAAAAAGCTTTTTCAAGTCACCAATAGAGGAGAAGAAGACCTGCACAATACAAACAAATAACCGAGGATGGGTCGGTATGCATGCAGAGACTCTGGATCCTAAAACACAAAGAGTATGTGGCTCCACAGTCCTCCCTCTTATAAGGGTCATCACTAACGGTCATACAGATGGGTGATTTCAAAGAGTATGTATTTCTCATACTCAAGTATAAAGCCCAAGACTTACAGTTACGAGGGCCTTCAATCTTGCTGAGTTCATCAAGGGTCAGCCTCAGCAGCCTTTGCCTCCCGCGTTCGCGCCTCACGAGCAGCAGCTAGATACTTTCCACAAATACTGCCATAGCCTCATGGAAAGGATCCTAGCTTTATTTGCCATTGGTATTGAGGTAGCTTTTCCCAGTCTCTTTGGTATATCTTCGACTGATATCCGCGCAGGTTGATCACGGAAAAGGGGGTTCAGATTGGTTTGCCAGTCGGCATCGAAGTGAAGAGGAAAGCTTTTGCACACTTCGACTCCTCTACTACCCGCCCATTCCTCCAGGAACAGATTACGAGCCAGAAGTTGACATCAGAGCGGGAGCGCATTCCGACTATGGTTCAATCACCCTCCTCTTCCAACGTCCCGGCCAGCCAGGCTTAGAGATTATTCCACCATCAACCAGCGAAGAAGCACACAGTGAAAGGGATTACAGCAATAACGCTCCATGGACACCAGTACCAGTCCTTCCTCCCGGTACAGAAAACGATCCCTCACCTCCGATCTTGGTAAACATTGGCGATCTTCTGAGTTACTGGACCAACAATCTTTTCAAGAGCACAGTTCATCGAGTTATCTTTCCGAACCAGGGAAAGGGAGGAGGAGAAGAAAGATACAGCATTGCGTATTTTGGGCATCCTGTCGGATCAACTGTATTGGAGCCAGTCCCCAGTAAGATGGTACAGGAGTTGAATGGAGCCAATGCCAGCGCCAGTACTGGGGTTCATGCAATGACTGCAGATGAGCATTTGATGAGTCGCTTGAAGGCTACATACCTTGGCATGTATAGCGACGGCAAGGATACCAAGACTCAAGCATGATGATGTAAACGAGCATATATTAGATGTGTACATCAGAAGTTCCTGAATAGAATGCTGTCATCAATGTGCCGATACCCATATTTACTGCGTTATCATTTGGATGGTTTGGCTCTAAGTCAGGTGCTGATGCAACCACCACACTTTCATTTTCATTCAGCCAGCTGAACATTCACTCATCGTTCTCTTTTCTTATCACAATTTTGGATTATTTTCTCAAAATCTTCTATCTGTACATGGCGACCGATAATTTTGACAGCAGATACAAGTACACACCTCTAATCTCTGAACATGCTATCCGACTTCTCACCCTCAAGCCAGCACCCACACCCTCTAGCACCATTACCTGTGATCTCAAACACGCCTATCTCGTGGACGCCCCAGATTCTGAAGTACTTTCTTACATCTGGGTTACCAACTCTTTTTAATACTGATAAGTGGTTTCTTGGCGTGAAAAATTCAGAACCGCTAGACGTGAAACCAGCGGATGAGATCCTATTTAATAGATGCATTTTTCCCGCTACCATCAGAAGTGTTCGAGATTGTCGGATCACAGCGGACCATGACTTCTTGGTCTCGGTACCATTCGTCTCCTACGGTACGATGTCACTCCATCTTTGCGAAACCTTAAGCCCAGCGCCTCACACGAGAACAAATCGGCGTCCCACACCCCCCAATCATCCTTGGAAAATACAAGCTGGAGTCCAGTCTTCGCTGACACAGGAGTGATAATCGTCGTCGCAGCAAGTATCAAGGATCGGACCGTTCTGAGGAAGGTCGAATATGTTTATTTCTGGGTTGACGGGTGCTGGTTGATCGATTCCGAGATTCTAGATTTGGGGAATCCCGGGCAAGATTGGGGATTCTCGCCTGTCATGTTTTGGAAGTGCTTGTGCTGGATTACCGAAGGATTATATGGCGGAAATCTTTCGGATCTACTGAGAGTAGATAGAATGGTCGTAATTACCTCACATTTCTTCTCTTCAGGAGTTTGCGGATGATTTGGCCGGTTTGACCTTTGAGAATTTCGCGCATTTGGAGTAGGCCCCCCGTTGCCGGCTGGGGATTATATCACATTTCGGGGCTCTCGTTGTATGACGAACACATAGAGACTTTTATTTTATCCTTAGCGATACCCTTTTGTTCTGTCAAACTTCTAGACAATTCTTTCTAAACCGACGTGGGCAACACACAACTTGGCAGATCCAAAATAAACAATTCGCTATTGGCGGCACATCCTCACGTTAAGTTGTCCCCTGCCCAATTCAATTTGCCACTCTCCGCTTCCAACTTCCCTGTAACTCTATGCCTTCTCCTCTCTAACACCTATACCCCCAGCCTTCAGACTCTCATTTGCGCTCCCCACCTCCGGACTTGTATCTCCAAATGTTGCCGTTCGCTTATCCTTGTGATGATCAAATTCATCACTATGTCCACTCTTTCCACCCTTTCCAACAAGATCTTTCGCCCAAGAGAGGAGCAAGTGGCGGCCTTCAATGATCGGGTAGATGGTGACGCTGAAAAAGGAGAAGAATGCCCAGAGAAGGGAGACGATGACCCAGCCAGTGAAGAATTTGCGGGAGAATTTGTAGGCGGTGCCGTAGAGACTGGGAGAGTGTCAGTAGTGTGTCAGACTTTGGCTCTACTATTTTCAGAAAAGAAGAATATCGAAAAGGAACGAGGCAATGATAGGACTTACGTCAACGGCCAAATGATAAACAGCGCCAGGAACAAGAACACTGTAATTCCCCTCGCAACATACGCAGCTTTCTTCAGTCTTTCAGGATCATAAGTTGGATCCTCGTAAGCAACATCGCGATCATTGCCTTCATCGTCAAGGAGTCGGATTGCGCCGAGACTCTCCCATGTGTAATTTGCGTTGTGGAAGATCGAGATGCTTATGGTGACCACGGCAGCGGCACCGATACCTGCTATGCAGCCGTAGAGACAGGGGTCTGTGGCGCCGACGGAGGCGATGGTCACTTCACCTGAGAAGCGTTTGGCGAGTGTCAACTACGGCGGGACTGGTTAGCTACATGTTATGATTCAAGAGGGATGGGTGTCGGTGTACCCAAGTAATCACGGCGGCGAAGAAGCCGAGCCAGATTGACGATGTGGCTGCTAGAGCACCTTGACGGGAGGAGAAGAATGTTGCGACTAGCGCCGGTAGCGCCGAACCTGTGAATATGCCTGTCATATTCTACAAGATACTTGTGAGTATTTGTAGGGCAAATCACGGGTCAAGGAAACTCACGTAGATAAAACCCAAGTCGATCTTGACGCCATGAAGCATGGTGGCAAAAGCTGCCATAAACATCGCAAACCCAGCAACACACCAATGGCCAGCTCGAAGCACTTGGGCATCTGTCGCGTTGGGTCTGAGATCTACATGAACTGTGGTTAAACGACCAGGTCTGAAGTGCAGAAAGATATTTGAACGTACATGTTTTATAAACGTCGTATGACAGGACAGTCGATGTTCCAATTAGGACACTAGAAATGGCGCTGGTACAACTCATAAACATCAACACAAGCACTAAGCATTATTTTAGCGGACGATTGCGTTGATTTAATGGAACAACCTACCAGCGCCTGCTCCGCCTTTCCCAGCAATTGTCTGAGCGGCATATGGTAGAGCCAACCCAGCACCAATCTCCTGTGCATTCATTCGTCTCGGGAACGTAGGGAAAGAAGTGGTGTTCTCCAGAGCAACAGCTAAAATGCCCATTGTGGTAGCTAAGGTAAACGGCATGGCATACCATGCCAGCCCTCCAAGAACGTATCCCGGGATGGCAGCAGCAGGGTCCGCAGCAATGCCCTTTTGATGGAAGGAGTTGTCCAGAAAGACGACACCGGTGTACTCGAGGATACTGAGGATCGCAAACTTGAGAGCACCTATCGATCGTATAGTGAGGTAGCTGCCATCCTTAGTGGGGGCCGAGTAATTGTTCCGCTTCGCAGCTTCAATGAGCAAGTCCCACATCTTCCCTGGAGAGCCGATCTGATCTCCGCTCGCGTACACTTTGAACCAAAACATGAGAATGATGATGAGGATAATTGCAGTATGTATCTGGAATAGTTCAGCATAGGAGTCTGCTATGATTGGAGTAGACCCACGTAATCAGTCAAAATGGTAGCTCTTAGACCGCCACGTATTGTGTACGCAGAGACACTGAGTGGGAGCAGCCAAAGACTTGCATACACACTCATACCAGTCAATGATTCTATAGCAGCAGCCCCTCCAATCAAGATGGACGAGACGACTAGAATATTCGATGCCAAGCTGAAGAACATGAAAGAGAAGTGCGCAGTGGTGCCGTATCGAACTCGAATGATCTCGAGGAATGTTCTAGCATTAGGTGCTTTTCGTTTACATTGCTTTTGCTAGTCAGCAGAGAAGAAGGGACTTCTCAGTTCGGGACCTCACAATGGCTAAGTTACTGAAAACCATGATTTGCGTACTGTTACATGCTGCGTAGAAAAACGATCCAGCAACACCATACACGTAAGCAACCGTGACGGACGAGAGAAGCGTTGTACTCCAAGTCCAGGATGAGGTAACACCAGCAGCAGTCAGACCAGTTCCAAGGGATCTCTTTGCGACTGAAAGGCTATTATAAGTGCATGAAATCCAAGCATCAACATGTCTACATACCAGTAAACTCTTCAGAATTCTCTACGTTTCCTCTCCTCTTCATCACTTCAGATATTGCAATCATTCCCAAGGCAAAAAGTGCCCCAAGACCAATGACGACGCCATAGCCGGCACCCTGGAAGACGAAGGTCAGTCTAGGAATGTGTTGAAAGATGCTCATAGCTTTAAAGATCATTGTAAAACGACTTACTTGAGTTAGTGGGATTTGTGGAGCCGAGTCAGCCATACCCAGGAATCAGTATGTGCTAGAGATGCAAGGTATTGGAGGGCAAGCTGTCACTTCATGTGGAAAGAGACAGAATGAGAGTAATGTTTCTGGGAAGTTGGTATATATATGTCCCTAAGATCCATGACGTCTGGAAAATCTCCTTGTGAGATCTCTCATCGCACCGGCCTTCACCCAGGACCTCCGAGACTAAAGATAAGATCACGCAAGTTGAGGCTTGTATTTCTAATTCGAAGCCAAAAGTCCGGTCTTTGTTTGTACCGCACGGTACTTGCATACCCGGGCGTTTTGCCACTAGGGATTGGCTCTGAGAGCGAAAAAGAAATAGGCCAGTAGCGTGATACAAGCCGTAGAGAGAGAAACCTGGGGGTCTGGAACCATCTTACATGCATGCCCCTGCGAAGGCTTGATTTCCAGAAATCAGCTCGTTGAAAACGGGGTACCTTGAATGGATGCGCGCATCTGGAGAATGCCGATCGAACCTTTGGAGGGTACTGTCTTGACATCGAAATGGATGCCGTTTGTTTAGACTCTAGCACGCCATAGATGCGGTGCAAAACCCTGGATGTCCGAAAGATCTCGTGATTGGAGCGCAATGAACGGCAATGGGTGCACGAATTCATCAATTCAGTAGATCGTTACATAGTTCTTTCGCCTGTATAGAGCTCAGAGTCGAAACTGTCACGTTGTTGCCAGAAAAGCGAGTTGGGTATGAGGGCTGGAGGGGTGTAGTTGGAAAAGGCGTTGGTAGGCGCCAAGTTTTGATGACAAAGCGGCTTCCAGCCTCACCTGAAACAAAACCACCTACCTACGTGGTGTGAGGGATCATGTTGCCCATGTCGCCTATGACATGATATATATGGAGCCGATTTCTCGATGCTCTTCTCTATGGTACATACGCGAGTCCACGATGTCTCAATTTCTCTGTGCGCTGCTGCCTGATACTGTAAGACCGAGTCGCGTTTTGGGATTCCCATTCTCTGGGAATATGCAGCAGTAACTTGTCAAGGCTTCCGAGCTGCGGGATGAGATAGATTCCAAAACTAGGATCTTCGCTGGCCATGAGGTTTGCTCTTGATTGTCGTATTCAAAGCATGATTCGAGGTTTGCACGCAGCCCATGTTGCAGCTGGACAGACTTGTGTCCAGAGTTCGCCAGCAATAAGAGGCAGCCTGGCCAAGTAAACTACAGTAGGTGACTAGCTCCCTGCACACCATAAGTACTTGGACAATGAAGCGATAAATACGCATAAATATGCCCTCACCTGCATTCAGTGGCAGGTAATAGGCAATCTTCGCAAGTTTCTTCCTCGGCTCTTAGCGAGTCATCAAAACAAGCCTCACTTTTAGACCAAAATTCCCATCGATCTTCCCAGCTTCGACAAATTGTGAAGTTGACGCAGGGACAGCACCGTTCTTTTGCGAAGCTCAAACTCTCACCAACTTCTGAAATTCGCAAAACATTGAAGCCAACACCTCAGACTGGTTTTCTGCACTAAACAGCAACTCGATCCCATCACACCAAGCCACCAACGCGATTTGTGCCATACCGGCAACTTCTTCTTCAGAAGCAAACTTGCGTACATTATTTAGTTCACATCAGCCAGATATCACTCCGAGCCGTCCTCGCAAAGAATACAAAGCCGCCTTCCCTAGAATGCAACGGGTCCGCCCATCAAAGTTACCATAACGCCAAGTCTTCTCCTTCTTTCCCGACTTTACATTCGAGCTTCGGTTTATGGTTTTCGAGCGTACTCTTCCCCCACCTCGCTGTGTCGAACTCAAGGTGGCCGATTCCCATAAGAAACAAAGTTGTCAAGATAGCAATGCTGCCATACCTGCTCTACTTCATGCATCTTCCCAGTCACGCCGAGTAATGTAGCTTATTGGTTACTAGCTGGCTTTTGGAACTGAGTTTCAGGCCCCTCAGAATTGGTTTGACTTCTTGCACGATTTCCTCTACGTTACTGGTCCATTAGCAAATGAACAAAAACTCATTGACAGGTGGAGCCGGGATTATAGTCTATGGAAGCTTCAATGGCCCTGTCTTACTTCCCTGCGATATGCTTCGAGTCCGTAGCGTCGCTATCGCGGCAACATTGCATGCATTTAGTGGAAGTAGAGCTGGTCAATTTCATCAGCTGCCTCACGATGTTGTCCAGATGTTTGGCATCATTGAGGATATGTATGTAGTGGAGAACAGTCTGCTGGGAAGGTTCCTACTAGCAACAGAGCCGCAATTCAATCGGGGATACGGCGATGGGCAGAAATTTCTGGATTTCGACTATGGTGATGTGGTCACGAAGCAGCCATTGAGCACGATGCGACCAAAAAGTACTATTGCAGTAGTCTCAGATACATGGAGGGAACTGACAGCAATGGAAAGAGCTTCTTCGTTCACCTAGCAGACAGCTTTCGAAAAGAGCTATCAGCAGCACAAATCTCTGCAACCTATCGTGGCCATCGTGGCTGGAATATACCTGATGTGAGACTTGTCAGGCTGGCAGGCTCTGGTGAGGTTGTGCATGTCATTTGGAATAGAGATATATATTGGGATCGCACCAAATCATTGGAGAAGGCGAGGAATAGATGCGGGCTGAAACCGTGGGATCCATTCTCCTCATATTTTGCCAAGGATATTGAGGCTCTGTTGGAAGTCTGCCGACAAGAACGACAAAGTGGCCTTGAGGATGGCGAAACAAGCAGCCAAATGACACTACGTGTCAGACAACGATGCTGAGGCGATGGAGGTAGGACGGTTTTGTTAATGATCGTGCGTTTCTGTGGCTACCTGATGACAGTGCCCGGAAGCTTCTCTTTCAATTCAGCCGGCTGCTCTCGCAAGTACGATCTGTCAGTGTAAAGATAATGAAACAATGATGCTTGTTGCGGAAACACGAAGAAGCATTCGATTTCTAAATCTGTATAATCCAGCCGAAATTTGCATAGGACGACCTCAATTATTTTGCTTTGAATGTGAGCTTGTCTGACCTTGCATTCCTCAACAACTCTGTCTTTGTCAAAATCAAAGACCCAGCAGCTACCTGAGGTCCAACACATACTCGCCAACGAGTGACGAACTATGCCAAGAATTGCCTCAATCTTCATTCCATCTGGTAGAGGTGCCTGATAGAACACGGTAAGCGAGTCTTGGGACGTAAAGCGCCGTTTACTTAGGCGTTCAGGGCAGTTGAGGATAGCAGAGCTCATTATAATCGCGAAGAGCAATGTTGACTATGAAAGTGAACTGACGGAGCGTGAGACCATATGAGATATATTAAATGGGGGAATGTTACGTCGATTTGAAAACTGTCATTATGGTGGTAATACCATGAATCTTGAAGATAGGCGCGAGAGATCTTGCAAAGCGCAGAATTCAGGCGAGGTAAAGCCATGCTTTAAATTCTTAGCACATTTGGAAGCCACAGCCAGCCATTGGACTAGGGCGACATGCTCACAAAGAAGCCAGTGAGATGCCAACCCCGGAATAGCTGAAGATGTACGTTCACGTGGGCCATTGCAAAATAATTTGGGGATTTCTTCATTGTTCGGAAGCACTCTGAAACACATAGTCATTACCATGTGTAGCTCCCCATCACCCATCCATCATCACCGTCCGCATCGTCCGCATCGTCCAGAGCAGGAGCTTTCAAGCTACCTCGCTCAAACTAAGGAAGTACCGCAATCTTTGATACTCATCTCACTGAGATCAGGAGCTTTAAAGCTACCGTGTCTCGCACTCCAAATCAAAATTCTCAGAAAAACAACGCCGATGTGATGTGCCAGGGGTGTGGTGAACATAAGGGAAATACATGATGGTGAATCTTTCGCTAAAGTTGGTCACATCCGAAAGGGGCGCCTTTTCGCGGGTTGTGTCTGTGCTGTAGAAAACTGGGTTGTCGGCGGTGAAATATGGGAATGCCGTGAATCGAATTCGAGTACTCGGCCATTCGAATTAGAAATCGTATGGTGTATTGGCGCGAAGGGGTGTAAAGCATGCTTCTGCATGCCAGAGGAGATGTGCAGCACGCAGCGCAAGCTTACATATCCATCGAATCGCCGTTGGGGCTGGCAAAGCTGAAGCCAGCGCCTTGGGGAGCAGTGTTTGTGCCAAAGCCAAAGGTACCGTCAGGCTTGGTAGTACCGTCCTCGGCCTCAGCGACATCGTCCTCGTCTGAAAAGTACTTCTCGATCATATTGTATGCCTTCATGTAGATCTCCTCGTTGGCATTCGTCTGGCAATCGTGGATCTTCTCCATGCCTTGGCACTCCTCAATGAACAAGGCATATCTGTTGATGCTTTCTTGTCCTTCACCAGCGGCATCCTTGTCCATTTCACCAACCTTCAAGATATTCTCTAGACCGTCAAGGGCAACCTGGATAATCTTGTTGTCTGGGCAGGCAAGGAGGTCACATAGAGGCTTGATGCAGCCCTGGTTGACGAGATAGCGGATTTGCTCCGGCTTTTGAAGTCCACCGGATGTGGCATTAGATATAGCCCAACAAGCTTCCTTGCGAGTCTTCAAATCGCCATTAGACAAAAGGTGGATGAGGGGGGGGATGATGTTTGCATCAATCACGGCTTGGATCTGGGTAGAGTTGCCAGCAGTAACGTTCGAGATTGTCCAGCATGCCTCCTTGCGGATTCCATCCTTACCAGAACTCAAAAGTGACAAAAGAGCGGGAAGAGCACCGCAGTTAATGATGACTTGGGTCTGAACATCATCACCGGTGACGATGTTGCCAACGGAGCGAAGGGCAGGGGTCTGGACAGAGGTGGATGCGTGCATGAGCAACTCGACGAGGCGACGAGGAATGCCAGCTTCGATGACAGCTTGGATCTTATCGTTAGCACCATCGGAAAGATATGAGATCGCCCAGCAAGCGTCGATCAGGACCTCATCATCCAGGGAATAAACCAGCTTAGCCAAAACGGGGAGTGCGGGCAAGATCTGCTGAGAGTGTAAGCTTATCATCACATAGTTCAAGTTGGAATGCTCACGGTGTTCCAGTCTGGCTGCGGTGTCTTGCCACGACAGAAGTTGCTAAGGGTCCAGGTAGCATTGCGGAGCATGCTCAACTTTCGGCTGTCACCCAAGAGGTTCAAGAGAGGCTTGAGGGCACCGCAGCTCAGAACGTAGTCTCGGCATGAAGGGCTATCTCCCGCAATATTTCCCAGAGCCCAGACAGCCTGCTCTCTAACATCAGGCTCGTGACTGCCAAGCAGCTCAACGAATATGGGGACCGCTCCAGCCTCGATGACAACCTGTGTTTGTTGTGCTGAACCAGAGGCAATATTGGTAAGAGCCCATGCAGCCTCGAATTGTACCAGGGTATGAGGAGATCGGAGGAAGGTCACAAATCTGCTGACGACTCCAGTTTTGATGACTTCTTCGATAGGTGGGTTTCGCTCCTTGGAAAGTAGCTTTCTGAACTTCGTAGTAGCTTGAATTTGAAGGTCGATTTGTTCGGAGAAAACGCCAGCGACCATTTGGGGAAGGTCCTCATTCAACTAATGACGAACGAATCAGTATAATGACCAGGCAAGCAGGTATAATACAGAATGTGGGGAAGTGGTCTTCCTGGGGTGTTGCGAAGAGTGGACCATCACCTCCCGCCCTTCAACACAAGCGAAAAATAATCTTTCGCGGCTACCCCACTGGGGGGTAAACAGAGGGCGAAAACAACGGCAGCCGGCACCCAGATGTATAATTACTATGTAGGCATGCGAACGACGAGGCTATTGCGCGTGCTGTGCCGTGCAAAAAGTGATAAGATGTGCGACCAACTTACCTGACTCTCGGTGGGAGCAGTATCATCGTCACTGTCCGGTTCGGCCCCTAAAGAAGCTCCAGGACGCGAACCGTCTCCACCAGTGATACCTCTTCTCTTTGCTAAGTTCTCCTCACGCTTGGCTTTGCGAATCTCGACTTGTTGTTCCTCGCGGCGGCGTCTCAGCTCTTCAGGCTTGAAGGTGTTCTTTGCCTTGAACGTCGTCCGCCGATGCTCGGGGATGTAGCGGTCAGCCATATTTGCGGTTAGTGATGTGCGATTTTCGTATCTTCAAGTATCTCGGTGGGGTGATCAATCGAGGTTGATCAGGTCCTGGGAGAAGTTGTTTTTGGAGTTGAGGATGGTGAGTTGGAGTCGAAGCGGGATACCGAGAGAAGAGCTCAATCAGATTGAAATAAGAGTCACGTGGAGGCGGCTGACTAATGGGTGGGCGCTCACGACGTATCGCGTCTAAAGAAAACAGTCGCGTCTTCTGGGTGAAGTGCTGGCACAAGCAACCTCAAAGCCGGCCGCAGGCAAACATTCGTCTTTGCACTGATCACAAGATAATGATGAATGTGGTGGCCCCTTCATATCCCTGAAGAAATGATCTATTGTCAACCTTCACGTGAAAGAAGCAGCCCAAGATGAGTACCCAGGACTCTTCTCCGTCCGAGCCTTTGCCATCAGGATTCACCACCATTGCGGAGATCAGAAATCTTCCAAATGAGCAGCTAAAGGCTAAGGTAGCGGTCAACGTAGTTGGCTTTGTGAAAGACTTCATGCCTCCAAAACAAACTCGAGGCACAGGTATGGGGGAGATTCAAGTCAACCCCTTTGGGTCCATCTGATGTGCGAACCAGATTTCAAATGCACCCTTGAGCTTATAGATCACTCTATACAAGATGAGAGCTACGGGATTCAGATATCTTTCTTTTGGCCGGAGGAGAACATGCCCACAATATCCGGCCCTGCAGATATAGTTCTTCTTCGTAATGTTAGAGTAAGGACTTCTCAGCCTTTATGGGCTACTAGGCTAACCAAGATCAGGCTCAAATGTACCAAGGAGCCATTTCTTTGATCGCCCACAAGACGACCGAATGTCACGTCTTGGCTGCTACAAGGGTCCCAACGAAGGCTTTGAACTCTCCTACAGCTCAGTGGCAGTCATTTCCGCCCGGGAAATTCAGACAACCGAGTCTCATGGAGACAAACTATGCCATCTGGGCGAAAAGCCGATCAAATGAGATGGATCTTCCATCCGATCACGAGTTCCACGAGAAAAGCATGCAAGCAATGACAGTCAAGGATAAGTTCAGCCTCCTAAAAAATGTAAAGCCTGAGCACTTTTACAATATTCTCGGACAGGTCATCAAACTTCATGATACAATGAACGTCATGACTTTATATCTATCAGACTACACTCCGCATAGCTCATTTTACAATAATGCTTGGGGTGGGGAAGGGGCGTCATCCGACGCCAAAGACGGCGATGAGTACGGTTACATTAAATCACGTGGAAAAGACCCAAAAGCCTGGCCAGGTCCATTTGGGAAGATGTCCATTCAACTCAATTTGTATGACGAGCATGCAACATATGTTCGTGAGTACGTCAAGGTGAAGCAGTGGGTGCTGCTTTCAAACGTACAGATCAAGTATGGCAAAATGGGTGGACTTCTGGAAGGCTACCTGCGTGGAGACCGACAAAATTTCGAGGGCAAGATCCAAGTGCAGATAATGGAGAAATCGGAGGACCCAGAAGGAAACGATATCAGGTGGAAAGAGGCAATGAAGCGCTCTCTCGAGTATTGGAAAAAGCACGAGGCTCAGAAGAAGGCAATTCTTTGCGAAGACGACGGCTTGGGAAACAAGCGTAAGGCAGAGGACGATAGGCCAGTGAAACTCAACTCTAAGCAGCGGCGGAGAGAGAAGCGAGCAGCGGCAGAGAAGGAGGCTGCCGCCTCTGAAAAAAAGCTTGCGGAGAAGTTGAATCTCAACGATAATGGCAAGGTATTCTGTCAACTCGATGAATTAAGCTAACGTCAAGCAGTACGCTGCTCATTTCCAGACAAGATTCCTACAAGCCTGAAAGTGATTATGGAGCCAGAAACTCTTCCACATCCAGGCGAGTCTAGCTATCCGTCACCATTCACAGTGCGAAAATACCGAGCGAATGTTCGCATCGTCAATTACGCTCCAGAGAAGATTGAAGATTTTTCGGTTTGGCGTCGGGAATCGGAATATGACATGCTTTCCGATTACAGCGGAGGAGAGGACACAGACGTTGAAGAGGACATGCGATCGTTCACCAGTGGCAAGGGCTTCGCCAAGAAGATCTGGGAATGGAGGTTCTGGTTGCAGGTAGAGGATGCCTGCTCAAATACCAGTCCAACGAGACCCGAGAAACGGCTTTGGTTGCTGGTCGATAACTCGGCAGCGCAAGGCTTGCTAGGCTTGGATGACGATGCAGCCAAGTTAGTATCGTGTTCAGACGCCCAGAATGATGCTGATCTTAGCCAGTCTTCGCAGGAACCCGGATCTACTCGCTCGTCTCAAGGAGCAGCTTTTCAAGTTATGGGGAGACCTTGAGGAGCAGAAATCTGAACTTTTACGTTTACATGGTAGCAAAGTCGAAACGCTACTTCCGTCTTCTTTTGAGTCGTCGACAACTCCGCCTCGAGACATCGGGCAACAGCCTGATGTGGATAGCGACTCAGAAAGCGACAGGCTCCAGTCCAAAACTTGGAAAGGCAAAGGCAAGGACAAAAAACGCGGGATGGGTGATGTACTTCCTCCAGGGGCGTCTGCAAGTGATGGCGAGCTCAGCAATCTTCTGCCGAGAAACAAAGCCTTCACCTGCTGCATCCAGCAGTACGGAGTCAAGACGGCCGAGGATGATCCAGCCAAAGCAAATGCTGGAGATGGTCGCAGATGGCAGCGAGTCTTTGCTTTATTTGGCACAAATATATTATGATATTGCGCTTAATTCCAGGCGCGGCGTCTAGGATGAATGCGGAGCACGGTAAACCCAGATGAATAATGTCAAGTCATTCAGGAGGCGGCGGGCTCTTTTGATCTTCCGTGAGACATATTGTAGCAGACATGAAGCTTTGACATACTAGCACCAGGCTCAAGCTACGGTATTTGTAGCATTTCCCTCACTGTATCTTCAACAGCCGTAGTCTTCACGCCCCGGCTAGTCAACAAGTCGTCCAACGTCGGATCATCAATCAAACACTCTCCCCTGTCCAATGCAGCATACGTCGAGGACCACCACTCAACCGACGCCCTCTCAATACCTCTCTTCATGCAAGTTTCCACATATTCATCTCTGCCCACGACCCTCACACTAACCTCTTTCCCCCTTGCCTCGCCCACTAATCTCGCAATCTCACTCATGCTCCTCGGCCCCTCCCTCCTCGACAGATAAAACGTCTTCCCCTCAAACTTCCCACTCCCATCCGCCAATACCAGCGCACTCGCCAACCCCAGATCCCTAATCGCTGTCCAGCTAATCTTTCCATCGCCAGCAAGAACCACCTCACCTCTCTCATCGCCCTTCGGGTCAAAATATCCCAGATAAAGCGGCCAGCTCTCGTTATACAAACCTTCTCTCATGACTGTGACTTTCACACCCTCTCTCTCTCGCAAGTCCTTCAGAAATTCCTCAGTGCGTAAGTGGGCTCTCATGACACCAGCACCGGAATCACTTCCGAACGCCAAACTGGTATAAAAGAAACTGGTCACACCTGCTTCACGAGCGGCTTCGATGGCACCGATATGCGCTTTCTCTCGACCAGATCCGGGCGGTGCGTTGTTGAAATCCATGGATATGTTAGGGGTGGAGATGAGGTAGAGAGAGGTGCAGTCTTTGAAGGTCGATGGGGAGGGGTTGTCAAAGTTGAAAGAGCGGATTTGGACGCCCTGGCTTTTGAGGTAGTCCCATCTCGAATTGGAGGTGCTGGATGAGGTGCAGATTACGAGGTCTTTGAGAGGGATGAGATTGTATTCAAGGATAGCGTTAAGAGTCGCTTTGCCTAATTTGCCGGTACAACTTGTGAGCGCAAGCATTTTGATATACCTGTACTGGCGGATGTTCTCGAGTATGTTCTTTGACGATAATAGACAATGCTACGCTCGCTTGTTGAGAAGATGAGTTGTTCATATATAGCAGTCTCTTACTAATTGCTTTGCAAGAGTGGATACTACGTCATTGACAACGTCTCCAGATATAGTGAGGATCATCCATTTCTTCGTCTCTCTCAACCTACAATATTTTGACTGATTGAATGAGATAATTTTCCATCTGCAATCTAGCTCGGTATTCTGGCTTCTCATTTGACCAAATATCCGGGTGGAGTTGAATCAAAGCACAGTAGTCCCTAATTCGCTTCGGAGTTAGGAGGTGATTATCAAGCATGCCTAAGGTAATCTCTGTTTTCAGACAACTTTCCCTATTTCGTTTGCACGCTTTCAACATGCCACTGAAAGTTTCGAATTTTTTTCTTCTGGTTAACAAATATAAACGTTGTACGCGGCTCAACACCTTTGGCTTCCTCACCCGAACTTACGTGGAGACGAGTGTTTCCCAAGCAGGGTTGAGAATAATTTCTTTACTTGGCAATGCATAATCAGACGGTGAAAATTGTGGGGGAGAGGATACGTATATTATCACTACCTGCTACCTATCTGGTCTACAAACGAAAGTCTGATCTTGTTTGCGTGTCGTCATACCCTCTCACCCTTCTCCGCCGTATCTAGAAGTCTCTAGGCTGCACCTTTGCATCTCCTTTGCTCGGACTCGGAAACAGCTTGAAGCCTGCAAAATCATTCACGTTGCTTGTATTATTTCCATAATTTGTAGCTGCTTGAGGAAGAGGGCTTAGTGGCGCCACTCCTCTATAGTTGTCGTCAACCTTGTCTCCTCTGGGCCCTGCGATAGTATTGCCGTTACTGAATCCCCAGAAGTCGTTGCCTCCTGAGCGCTGGCTCATACTTCGAGCAATAGACAGAGGCATAGGCGAATCGATTGGTGTCAGAAGTGGCGAACTGGGTGGGGACTCTGCCTTTCCGACACGACGCTTGCGCATGATGCGTCGAATGAGGAAGACAATGCCGATGAAGAGAGCGATGGATCCAACTGTTGATTATTAGATTGTTTTCATCCATTAACAAATGGTACAACTTACCACCAATAGCGACAGCGCTGATAATTACCGTAGTCTTGCTCGCTTGCACTTTATCTTGAGAAGTTTGCGTAATGCCATTGGCATTTATCGGATTCCCATCGACATCTGTTCCGCCAGAGAGGGTTCCAGCATTGGTGCCGGTGGTATCAGTTCCAAGATTTGCAACTCCAGCAGTTGGTAGACTATCTGCTTCTTGAGTAAACGATGCCACCGCAGACAGACGCTGGAAGGACGGAGAGACAGAAGTGGGTTGTGCGGTAGAAGATGTTACAGTAAGGAATGTTGACGCTTGAGATGTCGTGTCAAGAATGCTTGGTGAAGCGCCATTCAAGCCACTGGAAGAAAGAGCGTTTGTAGGTGCGTTGGAAGATGCCTTGGGTGTCGCGCGGCTCAGTGACTCACTCGTGCTAGCAGCAACAACAGCTGCAGGGGCTCCAGGCAGAGAGGAAGCTGAGGTGTTGGGCGAAGTAGTTGAAGATGATGTGTCAAAGGAAACAGAGGGACTGGAGGAACCTCCTTGAATGTTGGGAGTTGCAGCAACCGCCTCTGGAGGTGGCGTTGACGCCGCGGGAGTTGTCCCAGGGGTTGAAGTAGGAACTTTTGACGGGGTTGAGACAGGTGGGGGGATGTTTGGAGGTGTTTCGACTGGTAGAGCTGAGCTTTCAACTGATGAGGGAACATCTCCTGCACTGGGAGCTGTGGTCGACAAAGAAACATCAACTGCGGCTGATGAAGGCACCACAACAGGCTGTGCCGAGGTTGTAATTGGCTCAGCTGAGCTGGTGGCCTCATCGGCGGCAGCAGGAGGGGGTGTTACGGCCTCTGGAACCGAAATGGATGGAGTTGCGGTTTCAAGTACAAGTGTTGACTTGTAGAGTCAGCAAAAATATACACCACTCCACCTCGTTACTTACAGCGGCAGTCTCGGTTGGTGGAAGTGCAACGTCAGATGATGATGGTAAATCTTCGATCAAAGCCTCTGGTGTTGGGTTTGGGACTGGCGTTGAGGTCTCAGCTAGAGCAAGAGGGGTATTGATCGGAATGGTGTCTGCTGGTGGTGTAATCTCTGTCGGTCGGAGAGCCTCGGTCGCTGTTGGTATGGTTTCTGAAGACGAAGGAATGAAGGTATCCGTAGGGGGAGTGACGGTGTCCGCTATAGCTGGCGCTGCTAGTGGAGGAGGAGCAGATGCAGAAGGTTCTTCGCTAGGTAGACTGGCATCTTCTTCCTGTGGAGGAGCCACTGTTTCCAACTCGTTCGTCACCGCGTTGGAACTATCATTCTGCCTCCGCACCTTGGTCCAAACCAGCTTGGTCGAATCGAATGCTGCCTCGCGGCGTTGGAAAAGACTGATTCTCATATTGAAAAAGGTGTTTACAAAGAACGTAAATAAAAAAGGGAGTACCAGCTCAAAGAAAGAAAAAACTGGAAGGTCCAGCCCGAAGAATGATGATTCGAAAGACCGTGTTGATTAGATTAACAGCGTAAGGTTCGAAAGAGCAGAGAAAGAGAGAGAGAGAGAGAAAGAAAGTGAGAAGGGACGAGGGAACCATGGTGTTCAGTCTACGAAGCTTCTCTACGGCTGAAACACTACACGGTATAGCATAGCCTTAGTTTTCGTGATCGACTGCATGTTTATGGGGAAACTCACAACACATCGTCATTTCAAGAACTCGGTTATGCCCTGCCTCCCTCAAAAAAGAGGAAGTGCAGACAGGATGTTGGGAATGACCCCTATGCATAGCCATGATTGAGTGGCTGGGTTTGCCTCGCTCTCCGGATTAGAGCCTGCCAGCGGAAGTGACAAGGTCCTGGTGGTCCTGAAACGTCTGGGAATGAGACGCACGGAGATCCTGGAGACTCTTGTGGTTCGTACGGGAGCTCGCTTAGCGCTTCGAGACGTCAGGGGCAGATTTTCGTCTGTGCCATTTATGCCCTGCTGGAGACAGACCCAATTTTTCCAGCTCTGCCATTTCATCCGAAATTCTCAATACGTAGTGCTGAGTGAACTATATCTTGCCTGTCCATCTGGGAATTGCCTGCACGTCAGAAAAGTTACGTCCAGTCAACTTCCTCGCATTGTAGATGCCAAAATGCTGACGCAAACAAGTACAGAATAGAATACTCGAGCCAATCCGAATTTCGCTCTTCATACTGTAGCTAACAAAGCAACTTCTTACTCGGTAATTTAGCAGTTTAAACTAGCCGTCAAGGTTCTCTGTGTTGCCGTCAGTACCGATGAAGACCATCTCGGCATTGATGGAGACTCTGGCGTGTCTTCATCGCAGGGCTGGTCCCATTCGTGGCCATCCTCGACTCACTAAGACACTGAAGTAGATATTAACTGTTCAGCAGAGCATCGCTGTAAGGTTGCAAAGTTGGAGGAAAGATCATTATTTAAGGTTACAAATGCTCGGTTGCGTTTGATCAGGTTGTCTCTTCGGCAGCATTGATTTCTGGTTCTCAGCCCACTCTCTAATATGTCGATAACATATACTCCCAACGGTATGGGTGCATGAAAGTGCGCCCCGGATCTGACTTCTTATTTGATGATCGAAATATTTCAATTCGAGTTCGACGAAACGACCTAATTGAACATGGAAGAAAAAGCAAGTATCCGGACACTTCAGTATGTCTTCGGTACGCTGCGTGCAGGATTTGCATCGACTATGGAGCGGGGAAAAGCTATCTTTGGCAAAGCCGAAGTCTGCCTTGGGTGACAAATTTTGTAAGGGCAATTTGTGGACTACACAGATGTGGAGTGCCGCTGTATAAACCATGAACAAGATGCTCCAGGCCCCTGGCAGGTGAGAAACTGTGGTGCTCCTATAGAGACGAACCGACGATCAAGTAGTAGACACCAAAGAAGACATAAAATCTGAAATTTTTGGCATTTGGTACGAGCTGTGGGATCTTCTACAAGTATCTACTTCGTTGACCGCGGCCATGGCGCAAAATTCGAGAGGTAAATGAACTATTTGGTCAATCTTGGATTGCGAATGAGATTTAAGACTGAATGCATCGCATTCTTGCAAGAGTTGATGAGAAGCAGAGCTGTCTGTGAATTTCCATTGTTGCATCAGTCCCTCCAAAGCTACACCAGTACCACCTCACGAGCATCAATAACATTTCCGAACCAGCTGCTTGAAGTTATCCACTCGTTTCTGGTGACTGTGAAAACATTAGCTGCGACACCGACCCGCTCAAACTCATCCGTTGTTCCGTTCATTTGTTTCACGACCAAAGCTTCTTCCCAAGTCCAGAGTGCTTCTCCAGGCTCCATGATCTGCATCAAAAAGAATGACTCGGTTGCCACTCCATTTTTTCCACTCACTCGTGGGCCAGTCATGCTGATGTCAGGCCAGAACGGCGCCAGGTCCAGATTTTCGACTTTGACCGCCAATTGAGTTTCGTACATGTCATACCAATCATTTTCAGAAAGACATTGAATTGTGGCGTCGATCAATTTCGTTCTCAGGACTATTCTCCCAGAAGCTACCGGTCCGAACTCATTTTGGCCAGCTATTTCACATACAATCTTACAGACTTCGGTACCGAGGGCTCCACATTCGAAATATGTTGTAGATGTCACGTATTGGAGCGGTTGTGCTGGATCCGGTTCTTGCGAAACTGGCCATTTGACAGCGCCATCAACTGATATCCAGGACCAGGATGGCAAGCGTTCCTTCTTGGTCTTCAAATCACCAGTCTGATCGCATCTCCACAATAGGTCAAAAGGTAATGACGCCTTCCATAAACCAGCGGCATACATATCCCCGGTCTTCTTCTTCATCAATGCAGCAATACCGGAGAGTGCTGCCAATTTATCGCTCATATTCGTGAGTTTCCTCACAGAGTAGCTTCGGACTATCTCGTGCCATATCTGTCTGATCCCCGTCTCGCCGACATCCTGCTCCAAGCATATTCGAAAAGCTGAAGAAATGTTGTTCTTGGCGGGGTACAGATGGCTCTGGACAATACCACATTCGCATTTTCGACACTTCTAGCATTCCCATACTAATTCTGTAGAAGTGAAATGTACAATCCGAGTTGCTAGCATGCGTTCCTGGAAACACCATCCTCTGGAAAGTACAGGGAAAGTGTTGTTGATGTTCGCTTCCCACCATTTGTTGGATTTTGTTCTGCATGATGTAATAATCTCGTGATTCATGTTCCTCCGAGCATGCATTGAGCCATCTGGACTAGCGATGTCCTGAGATAATCATATTGTTGATCGGGGCATGAATACCCCATCGTTGACGCTGGAGGATTGCGTAGATGAAAGAACAATCCTTGACTTAGAGTAGATGAGTCCCATTTTTGCTGACTCTTGCTCCCACTCCTCCTGGTTACCTTGGACGATGCAGAGTGCATCCACCCAAAGATAATCCAGGCCGAGCTTGTTCGTCAAGTAAAAGGCATCTTTCAAGGTTCGGGGAACGTCTTGCAGAGGAATGGAAGACTCGAATTGCAACTTTGTTGAGTCATCTGTTTTGAAGATGTGGTCTCCATCTCGTGCTCTACCCCAGCTGGTATAAGATAGCTTCATCAGTATACTGAAGCTGGAAGTAGATGGACAACAAAACAGTAACTCAATGCGGCATACTGAACAACATCAGGAGGGAATGGTACCAAGCGAGCGAACTCAAGGTTGGGTCCCAGCCAAATAAGTCTCTTCAGGTATGATGAGTGCAGGTCAATCTCAACATTAGTAATATGGAGTCTGACGTGTCTTGTTCCTGTATAGTTGTATTTTTTATTCGAGACCGGATCTTGGCACTCGACATAGCTTTCACAAGCAGCCATCCATTCTGCAATGATTCCAGCAGCATCGTTACACGACAATTTCTGTGATACCTCTTTCGGTTTTGGCAGATTCGGCTGTATCTCTAATTATCGTCATTCAAATGAGTTGCTTTCACTATGAAGAAAGAAGACTTACCAGCTTTGTATATCTCGATCACTAATGCTCCTTGCCACTGACCTGTGAACCTCAGACCTCCGCCTTCTATTTTAATTCTTGAGGGTTCGTACGACACATCCGTAATACTCGGGGTAGTATGATCCAATGAAAGAACGTCTTGCACGAAAGCACATATCTTGCAATTCACCGCAGAGGTTTGAAGGCTGCGGAGACTAACTTCTCGAACCTCGCTTGGTTTGGCCACAGGCTCTAGGCTTGCGTTACTTCTCTGGCACGTTGAACATCGATCGCTTGTCATATCCATCATAGTTTGACGAAATTAACTTCTTTGTTGCCCACTGACGAGAGTGGGCGATGGCCGAACTAGTCGAAGCGAATTTGTCGAAGCAGAGGCACTTGGCGAATTCATGAAAGGTCATTCTCCGGAAAGTGGCTCAAGGTAAGCAGATACTGGAGTACTGTTCATAGCTAAAGTTTAAAATCTTTTCCTTAAGGATGTTTGCTGTAGTGGCTGTGCCTGTCTCATCCTGGATCTGCAGCCAGTCATGTTCAGGGTTGAGCGCCACTTGTGGTCCAGCTGAACGAACGCTGCATTAAACAACCTCAAGTTCTCGTCAACAACCATTTGAATACTGAGGCGACTCATAGCGAGAACTCGTACCTTTACTCCTTTCCGAAATCTAATCTGGGGCATCATGGCCGAGTCTGACACTGACATCGAAGCTCTCTTGGGCCAATGGGATCTCAGCTATGTTGTTGAGCCCCCTCCTCTCCCGAAAATTCATCGTCAGCAAAAGAGTAACCAATATACAATTGCCAGTGAGGATCCTCTTCATGTATACCGTGAGCGAAGTGGAAAGAATGTCATTCCATTTCCGTCGAGTTCTAGGGAACTTCCACCAACGCCAGAACGTCATGTACGACGGGGATCCTGGGGCATCGACCCAGCGGGAAAGACTGCCAGGCCATCAGGATTCACATATCCTCTTGATAATACTGAGGCAGCCCAGATCAACAAAACAACAGTACAAGATTCTAAAAGTAGCCAAGATTCATTCGCTGACCGGTGGGAAAGAAGAGGGTCATTTGGCATAGACCCCGTTGAGATCCCAGCAGGCAGAAGACGGTGCTGTTATGGACTTGGCGGCCAGCATACGCGAGCATGTGTCTACACGACACCAGTTAAACCAACAGATTCATTCACGCAAGCTGGTATCAGAAGTGCTATGATGACTGAGCCCGGAACGAAATCCATCGGTCTACAAGGTCTTCCACCGTATCATTACAAGCCATTACCAAGCACACGGAGTATCAGACTGGTCAGAGTCCTGGGCTTCGGCCAGGACGGTTTGGATAAGCTCATTGTCAAATGTATGATTGAGACACATAATCTCGATTCGATGCCTCCGTATCAGGCACTTTCGTATACATGGGCATCTCCCATGTACGATGAATCAGACAGAACATATCCTGCCCAAGGCGGCGAAGAAGTTGCATTTCACGGTGAAGAGATAGAACTCGACGGTTCATCCTTCGCGATCTCTGACAATCTTTTCTCGGCGCTCCTTTGGCTAGCTGAAACCAAAATGCAGGGTTATATCTGGGCCGATGCTATCTGCATTGATCAGGTGAACATGGTGGAGAAAGCCATACAAATCTCCCTGATGGGAGGTATTTACTCAAGTGCCAAGAATGTCATTGTATGGCTTGGAAGCGAGTGCTCTGATCTGTTTGACTTTGCAGATGCTCGGAAAACATTGTCAAAAGCTTTGTCGAACCTGGAGGTCAAAAATGAAGCCACAGTACAGAATCCTCTGGACCCAATTTTCCTCAAAATGATTGGGGTCGAGTTGGCGGAAGATTGGATCGAGATGTGGCAAAAGTATTTTCAGTTCTTCCAGCGCCGGAGGTGGTTTAGGAGGGCCTGGATTGTGCAAGAGGTAGCTCTAGCAAGAGATCTTACGTTCCAATGTGGAGAGAAAACAATTCTATGGAAGGACGTTTATGCTCTTGGCTTGCTTCTTCGCGACAGCGGATGGCGACATAGTCTTGCTGAGGGAATGGATTCGAATCCCAGAGGAGGTATCGGCGACGAAGCAGACCGACTTCTCGAATATCGCGACCAGGTACTTCATGGTGGTCCTAGAGACCCCAAATTTGCCAATCTGTTTGCAGCCGCAAATGGTGCATCAACTGACATAGAACTATGGTTTTCGTACCTGCAGTACATGATCCAAGAGATTCGACGGTATCAAGCCTCCAACATGAAGGACAAGATATATGCAGTCCTGGGTCTGGTAAAAGGATTTCTTCCAAATGGTTCTGCGGAGCATATTACTCCAGACTATTCGCTCCCACTGCCTGACATCTACACTTCCGTGACTATGTCGATTCTCATAGAACTTCCAATATTGTCTTGTTTGTCCTACGTGGGTAGCAAGCCAAGTGGTATGACCAGCTTATCGCTCCCTTCCTGGGTCCCAGATTACAGAGCAGCCTTGGGCAGAGTACCAATTATCCATCTAGGAAACCACACCTGCTTCAACGTCTCTAACATTCATATGGCGAAACCAGCTATTCGAAGGTTTCGAGGTCATACGCTCGAAGTGCAAGGAAGGCTCGTGGACACTGTGACGGACTTCAGCATCCCGCTTAATGACATGCGCTCGTCATGTTATGTTATACGCTGTATTGATATGTGTCTCAAACTTTCTAGCATATATCGAACAGGCGAAGATCGAGTTGAAGTGCTCTGGCGTACTCTCATAGCAGATACAACAGAACGGCCACCAATACAGCATCCTGCGCCGGCGGAGTACAGTGACCACTTCCACGACTGGATGCTGACGTTGATGGTACGGTGGTTTTTGGACTGGGAACATCAACCGAAGAGTCGTCAGTTCCAAATGGATGCCATTGAACAGCTCGCGACTAATAGCCCCTCCTCAGCTTTGCCCACTCGGGAAGAGCTCGAAGAAAGCTTCAATCTGGCACTCGAGACAACGGATTCTGCGCAGTCAGACGCGCGGTCAGACCCACCATTGATGCGCAGGCCACTCAGCGAAGTCAAAGAAAGAAGTAGGAAACTGCAACAATTCGTCTCCCCGAATTTGAGGTCAAGCAAAGGATTCTATCTGTTCGATCGCGCGGCAAAGGAAGTCAGAAGTAATAGGAGACTTTTCAGAACAACTGGGGGCTATATCGGGCTGGCTCCAGTTGATGTAGACTATGGCGATGCTTTGTATATCTTGGATGGTGCAAGAGTGCCGTTCTTATTGAGGAAGAATCGCCTTGTTGGCGAGGCGTATGTGCATGGGATAATGCATGGAGAGCTATCCTTTACTGATGAGATGACGACTGTTCAGATTGCCTGAATAGCAGGATACGCTCTGCTTGCAACTCGCTTGACAACCTGGGATTGAAGTATTAGACTTCTGGGAGCAGTCGCCTTCTAGCTGGTACATATCAAACAAAACATTCCAACACTGACAAAGCGACGCTGAGAAATGGTATCGATTCGACTAAAATGTTACTCATTTCCTCTTTTTCGCCGCTCTCTTCTCGCCTCGAACATCCTTCTTTAATCTGGCATCGACAATCTTGTACTTGCCCTTGACACCTCTAGGTCTACCAGCAATAGCCTTATTATTACCGCGCGCAACAACAACCTTTACTTGCTGCTTCGGCTTCTTCTTAGCAGCCTTGCTCATCAATTTCGCAATACTGGTTGCCTTCTCTTTCTCGGTCATACCCTCCTCGTCTTGTAGCAGAGCAGATTTCTTGCGCAACTTCTCTAATCGCTGTGCAGCCTTGAACTTCTTCCGGTCCTTGGCTTCGCGTACCTTCTTGATAGGTCTTGCGTTCAGTGCTCGGAGTTTCTCCTTGATGGCAGCTGCACCTGCGGCAGTGATGGGACGGTGGGGTTTGTCGTGTCGGTGCTCATCATCCAAGAACCATTCTGGAAGTCCATCGCGGTCCTTGAAAGCGTATTTGTTGAAACCTTCGTCTATCAGCTCGCGGGTTGTCACCTCTCCAGTAGCAATCTTCTGTGCTAATGACATAGCTTCTGCAGTGATGATGTCGATATCTATTTGGGTCAGTTTTGCAAGTTTTGGAGGTAAATAAAGCCCTACCGAGTTTGCCATCCTTCCGAGGTTCTTGTTCTTCCCACTCTTTCTCCAGAGCTGTTTTCTTCACAACTTCAAACCCACCCTCGTCACTGTCCTCTTCCTCATCGGCCATAGGGGTCTCCTCTTCCGATTCTTCCTCTTCTGCCATCGGTCGTATCGACTCTAACTGTTCAAGGGCGGCGGACACCTCTTCCTCGTCTTCTGCTTCGAATGCGAGTTCTTCTTCCGGAAGCCCTCCAATATCCTTGAAGAGATCCTGGTCAAAGAAATGTGCTGCTCGCCTCGAGAGCCCTCCGCTTTTCGTATCTTTGCCTTTTAGATCTGTCAAAAGGGGTCTTTTTGATGTGCTATCCTCATCCGACGACTCATCACTACTGTCCTCTTCAAGTTTATCATCATCGCTGGCATCTTCCCCTGCTGAAAACCCTTCCCAGTCACCATCTTCGTGTTCCTTTCTTGCCTTCTTGGCTCGGAACTTAGCATCAGCATCAGACTTTCGCTCTTGGTACTGGTTGTAAAGCGAGTCGAGTTCTCGATCGAGTTTATCTTCCTCGTCATCGCTCTCACTATCGGTTTCCCATAATCCAGGACCGCTATCCAGGTCTTTCCGACGATCTGCCTCAGTGAGGATCGCCATCTTTCCTTTCGCAATCTTGTGAACGGATCCAGCCTTGTCAATAGCCTTCAAACCGAACATGGAGCCTTCGCCATTAGGTCCTGCTTGCTCAAGACCGATCTCTGTAGGTACTGTCATGTGTAGCTGCATCCGAATGATCTCTTTCTGTTTCTTCTCGTTCTCCCTTCGTCGCTCTCTCTTCCTCTTTCCACTCTCCTTTTCACTAAGTGCCTGGAGCTCCTCTTGAATTTTCAACTCCTCATCCATGGGTTCAACTTCTGCTATCTCGTCCTCTGCAGGGGCTTTTGTCTTCTTGGTCGCTAAGCCAAACTTTTCTCTGACCTTCAGTCGCCATTTCAGGAGCATACGAAACTCTTTCCGCCCCAAAACCCGGATATCAGCACAGCAGATTCGGATGTCTTCAGTAGTTTCGGGTAGCTTGTCGATTGCTGCAAGCGCAACATCTCCATTCGGGGGTTGTTCAAAGCTCAATCGATTCATGCCGCCGAGAATCGCGATAGGATCTACTGTTTGAATGAACTCGCTCGCTGTGACTTCCTTGAACTGTGTATAGTTTCCTTCCTCGTAACCATCTCTCTTGCGCTTCTTGATTTCAGGATTGAAGACTTTAGCTTCGTTGTTTGGCGTTGGGTCAGAGAGTTCTGCGAAGACTGATCGTGGATCAAGAAATTTCGGATCGATCCGTTTGGGTGCTTTGAAGCCTTGACAGACGACGAAAATTTCGGCGGAAACATTTCTGGATGAAGGTGGTTTCGTTGCCTCAACCTTTGCGAACAACTGATTGAAAACCCAAAGCAAACTATTGTAGTCCTTCGACCGGAAAACTTTTGTGACAAACGTGCCTCCTTCAACCAAAAACTCTGTCGCCAATTTCATAGCTTGCAGAACTAATTCTGCCTGGTTAAACGAATCCTGTACCCAAGCTGTACCAACATTGGGAGCTCCATCGTGCAGAACTGTATCGGCCTTCCATGTCTTGAGATGCGATCGTATTGTTGCTCGGCACTTATCTGTCGTGATATCGCTCTGGAAGGTAATAACTCGTGGGATGGCTTTGATTGGGGAGAGATCCACGCCGACGATGAGACTGCTCACTGGCATGCATTCTGCAGCTACTTGACACCATGACTATAATCGCATTAGTTTCGTATCGCGAGAGGATAGACTAGAACCTACACCAGGTGCTGCGCAAAGATCCAACAGCACTTTGCTCTTCTCCAGAAATCCATACTTCTTGTTCAGCTGAATCAATTTGAATGCAGCTCTGGCTCGATATCCCTTCTCTTTGGCCAGCTTGTACCACTTATCGAGACGACCTTTACCATGCTTCTTCTGGATACCCATCTTTGCGGATCGGGTCGAATGGTGGCCAATATGAAGGAAAGTGAAGTTCTAGATAATTTTCTTTCGATAACCCATCCCGCCGTACCATAATTTTTCGTAGCACCACCCCTGCTAGCACGCTAAGATAACCAGCCTCAGCGGCCCAGCCCAGCCACACCCACACTCACACTCACACTGCTCCCCGCGAGAAACCAGACTAGCTCACTAGCTCATCACGTCTGACGCGACAGCGACTGGCTTTGGCGTTTAGTGGTTTTGGCTCTGGTCCATCTACTTCAATATCACTTTCGATACACGTCAACGAGGCCACTTTCTGCTCGTCGAAAAGCAAGAACACCTGTGTGGAGTCTCGACCGGCACCCAAGATGCCTTTTACAGAGGCGACAGAACAATTCGAGCTGCCAGTCTGTCAGGATACCCAAGTATCAGAAGTCACTCGCAACCTCTCTCCACCACGATCTTCGCCCAAGAAAGGGAAAAAAGAACGACGTGCACCTTCCGTAACACCTAGAAAGTTCACCAGGTTCTTCACGCCGCGGTCATCTCATGGCAGTCTCCCAAATACAAGGTCTCGAAAAGTTCTGAACGAAATTACTGGACCTGCTATCAACCGGCACACACAATCGAGTCCTCTTCTACCTTTTCGAGATATCAATGGCCAGGAGAGTAGTCCCCTGGGTTTCACACGAGAGTCGAAGAGGAGGAAGGTCTTCCATACACTGGAACAGTCTCCTCGGAAAGAGCTTGGTTTTGTTGGTTCGCACGAAGATCACTCAAATATGGCTGGTGTTCTCTCGTCGCCCTGCGAGAGAGCTGCTAGAGGTCTGGGGTATATTGATGAAGATGAAGAAGTCGATTCTGAAGACGATGGAGATGAAGATGTTCTGCCGCAGCCTGTAAAACGCATATCCAGGTTACAACAGCGAGGACTTGGGGGACAATTGCTGCACCGAAGTATTGGAATCCCGTCACATCACTACTCATATCCTGTCAATGGTTCGTTCTCAGCATTCTCTTGAAAAATGTTTGATGTTGACTTACTACAGACTGGCAAGATCATACCGCTGGGTTCCATAGCAAGCCAGAAGATGTTCACGTTAGCATGAGCATCTTGCACGAAGGAGCCCGTCGAACGATTCCGTTCTGTGCCCGTGGTCTCAACGGTTGGTCCTTTTACGGCTTGCTTCTGAGCTCTACTGACAACAATCTAGCTACCGACTCGACACTTGTAGCAGTAGGAGATGAAGAAGGATATGTACGAATTTTGGAATCTGCCAAAGGCGGAGACCCTCCATTCAGCAAGCACTGCTTTTCCGCACGGATACATTCCAATGCTATTATCGATATGTCTTTCACAGATGATGATAGCCGACTAGCAACCGCTTCTGGAGACCAAAGTGCTAGAGTTTATGATATGCAAAAGCAAGCTACAATCGCCATTTTCGGTAATCACTCAGCTTCTTTGAAGCAGATTCGATGGCAACCTGGGGCTAACAACAATAACGTGTTGGCAACATCAAGTCGAGATGGTAGCATCCAGTTATGGGACCTCAGATGCAACATATCTGATGGCCCAACCAATTGCATATTCGCACCTCGCGAGACGGATCCAATCTTCGATGAACATGACTACGAGGAGAAAATTCGGTTCAATCGGCCGGTAACCACCATATTTGATGGGCACAAATCGCTAGCAAAAGTTGCTCCCGCGATTGGTGCCCCGGACCAAATCATTTACCCTGGAGAAAAAACAACAAGATCGGGCGTTGTTTCTGTCACAGCAATCAACTTTCTCCCGGCTGGCCGAGAACACCTCCTCATGTCCGCCTCAGAAGCAGACGCCTCTGTCAAGCTTTGGGACATGCGACAAAGTTCTTCCATGGCGCGGCCCCGAGGTCCGCTTACAGCTACATCACAACCTCAATCGCACAGCAAGTGGCGCCATTTCGGAATCAATACTCTTAACATCAGCGGTGATGGAAGCAGATTTTATACTTTGTGTAAAGACAACACTATTTACGCCTACTCTACCGAACACCTCATGTTAGGTCATGCTCCTGAGCTGTCCAGCATTCATCCGCCTCGCGCATCATCGCAAGTTAGCACGCAAGAGGGACTTGGTCCACTTTACGGTTTCAGACACGCAAAGCTTCATGCTACAACCTTCTACGTAAAGTCAGACATACGCAAAGCCAAGAATGGAAAGTGTGAGATTTTAGCAGTTGGCAGTAGTGATGGCTTCACAATACTTTTTCCTACCGACGAGCGCTACCTGCCTCTCCAAAATCAAGCTCAACAAAAGGAATTATCGACAGAAAGTGGCCAACCCCTACGCCTACTTGAGAGCCGGCCAACTCTTCGCAGAGTTAGTAGTGGACTTAGCACGCTTGCTGACGACTCTCTTGTCGTTTCAGATAATGGTACAGCACTAGTTCGGGGCCATGATCGCGAAGTTGGTTCCGTATCTTGGACATCTGCCGGAGACTTGGTCACTGTTGGGGACGACTACCTGATTCGGTGCTGGAGAGAGGAAGGCGATGATGCAAGAGATTTGAGAATTGGTGGAGAGAAGGATGGGCGGAGGTGGGGTTCCGGGTGGGCGGACGTAGAGGAAGGCTATGATGACGCTGATGAGGAATTAAGGGTTTGATGTGCTGTCTTTGCAATTTGGAAATGATAGACTGGCGTTCATCAAGATGGCGTACCAGGATATTCTGTTTCTGCAGGTGCGATAGAGGTACGAAACAATGCTGGTGTATAGGAGTGTGAGATCGTGAAAGGTAGAATAGTTTTAGTTTTCAGGCATACCCTAGATCCTGAATATTGTGGAATTTGAAGTTTGAACCATGATATTATGAAGAAGTGTTGTCAACAGAAAATGGTCATTACCTGTGTACGATAGTCATGCGCCTCTCCTCTACTTCGTCGCCAATCCAACATGGGCAATAAATCTCAACTTCCCACCCTTTTCATTCACATTTCTCACATAAGCCTCCTCCTTCTCCACCTCCTCAACAACAATCTGAATCGCCTCCTCCCATCTCTCCTCATCCTCCTTACTCCACCCTTCCTCCGTATCCCCAAGGAAGCTCCACAACCCCTCTGCCCAAGCTCTCAAATCCTTAGCTTCAAGCCACAGCTCGAAGGGTCTGATATCAACCTTCTCATCCTGAAACCCTCCATCCCTATAAAAATCTCTCAACGTACTCTCCAGCAATAAATCGCCACCCCACTGAATCCTCAATTCCTTATCCTGGCTTCGCGTAGCGAGATGCGCTTTCTTAAGAGGGATATCGTGTGGCATATATGCCCATGTCACTACAACGGCTGCGCCCCCTGGTTTGAGCGTACGGTATATTTGTTGTGCTGCGAGGGGCCGGTTGGTGAGTCCCATGATGACGAAGTTGGTGAAGGAGTGTGTGAAAAAGTCCGAGGGGAATGTGAGTTCCTGGGCTTTCATAACGGCTGTTTGAACAGGCCAATTATTGGAGAGGGCCTTTGCCGACGCGGCGGAGATTTGGTAGACATTGGAGTCTGTGGCGTGGATTGTGATGTTGGGTGGTGGGGAGGGGTTGCTGGCTGTGGGTGTGAATATTTCACTGGTTACTTGAAGGGTGCCGCAGCCGTTATCGTCTGTGGTGCTTGGTCAGTGTATCTACCTTATGGCGAAGTGTATAGCAAGGAGAGCAAGGGATATGAGACATGGACCATAAGCATCAGAAAGAGATTTTGCTCGGATTGGAAATGAAGAACGTACGAATTACAGAATTTGCAGGAATTAGTGGGAGGCGGCTACTGAGGATATGCTGCGCCACAATTTCAGATGAGTTGCCGATTATGCGTTCAAAGAGCTCTGCGCTCTTGGGTTGAGCTTGCTTGGGGATGAAGGGTGTTTCTGGCCACTGAGCTGGCGCCATAATGAGTTAATGGATGCTAGACTAGAAAAATCTGAAGGAATGCTTTTAGAAAGTCGAGAATGAATAAAGATCTAAAAACCAATGTCCCATGAATGTCCCATGAATGACCCTCAATGGAGGAGGATGTGCGATTATTTATAAGATTTGAGTATCCATGTTATTTGCAAATTGAAAACAAAGGCGACCTCTCACGTAAGCTCGTACAGACTGGTATCCCACATCGCAAGTAGTCAGGTACATCTTACACAAGCTTACAAGCAGAAAACCAACAAGGTGTACAAGGTAGAAGTGAGATCAGCATCGTACAAAACAGCCAATCAACGCAAGGCTAAGTCGACTTCGAGGACCATGAATCGTCTAAAGTCTTCTTGGCAGCTACCTCGCGTTTCTGATTGCGCAGAGCCTCAATATTCTCATCGACCAGCGCTATCTGAGCGTTGATGCTCAAAAGCTTGTCCTGCAGCATCGCCTCGTACTCAGCATCGGACAAGACCTTCATGGGACTCCACTTTGAGTTTAGCCACGACGTTTTGAGATCTCTCTCCTCCTCCAGAGCTTGGGAACGCTCGGAATTTCGCGTATCTGCCATATTGTACAAAACCTGACCGGTTGCTCCGAAGAGGGCAAACATGACTGCTCCTGGAAGAACATTTCTTCGTCCTCCTATGGCCAAGGTCAGACAATGGAGGTGGTGATTGTACATATACTCACGTAAAAGGCCTCCAGCTGTACCACCGACTGCTCCAGCTATAGCACTGGCTGATGCCTTCTCCCTTGGGGTGACTTTTTCCTTACCCCATGCATGTAGAACGACACCTCTTGATGCTGAAAGTAGGGATTAGCAGATGCCAAGGTAGGGCTGAGGGATCGACAAACCCCAAAAAGTTCCTCCAAGGACAGACCATTGGATTCCGGAAGCCAGGGCAAAGAGAAACGGTGCATTGGATCGTATTACACCTGCAAATCCTCCTACCAGAAGTCCGGACATTCCTAATGTATGTTAGCATCACTCATGAGAATTATCACGTGCAAATGTTGACATTCCAAGTCGAGGAAGAGGAGATTGCACGGAACTGGATTGGAATCATCATACCGGAAAGTCCGCCAACCTGCAGGGCGGGGATTATGATATCTAGTACCTCAGGAGGCAAGTCATTCCGCCGTCGAGGAGCATCTCCGTTTTCCCCTGGCCTCGATGGCTGTGACATATCGTCTTTGGCTTTTTTGATCGCGCATGCGTTCGGCTGCATACTCAAAACAGAGAAGAAGCACCGATTGTTACAATTGATTCACCCATTCGGACTATTATAAAAGGAATGGCATAAAGTTGAAAAGCAGAAAGCGCGTGAATGGAAATCTTGAATCTGGTGTCAGTAAGTTCGCCGCTTGACCGAAAGTAGTATGGTACAGGACCACCAAGATCCCGGGGCTGATTTTCTCAAGGCTAACTTTTGATCCGCACACGAAAGAACAGTATCCTGTCTCTCCGAATCCTACGACACAATCAAGTTCCCAGAACTTGAACAAGCAAGCAATCGAATCTTTACGAATCAACTGAAGGAATTGCTGTCCTTCAGATTACCCCCTAGGACAAAGCGCAAGACCAGGTGTTCTCGCGCAGCGTCCTTAAAAAGCCGCAAACATGGGTAAGCCTGTTCTCCAACACTTTGAAGCCTGCCACGCAGAACTACCAGACTCTCTGGACACTAGATAATCGTCTAGAACATATGCTGACATGTTATTCAAATAGCTCCCAAAAAGAAAGAACAGCAGAAGATGTCCCTCGGGGCCTTCTTGACTGATGAAAGTGAGAGCGCCTCGAAGTCCCGCAGCCTTCCAAACAAAAGCAAGACTGACAAAATGCAGAGATGGGATCCTGGGCCGACGAGATGGAGGACATGCCAGTTTGTAAGTGTTCTATGATGCCTGTTCTTGGATGATTGCTAACGTTCATTTTTATAGCTGGTATGTTCTAGGCGCCGACCCGCATCAGCGATTTTGTTTGGAATAAATAACTAACTGCCATAGACTCTCGCACTGGCTATGGAGGAGGTGAACGCCGAACCTATAGTTCCACTACAGGTCAATACGGTAGCGGTAATGCCGGAGGTCAGTCTTGGACTTCATTTGCCACATCGACTCTTGTTACTGTCGCATATTCTAACATATAATCAAGGCTACTCCGTTCGTGAAGAATTGCCGCTTCCCGACAAACCACCTTACACGGTACATCTCGGAAACCTTTCTTTCGATGCCACTGTTGGTGATGTCACCGACTTCTTTGCTGGCTGCGAATGCACAAATGTCAGAATCATTGAGGACAAGCTTGAGATGAAGCCAAAGGGATTCGGATATGCCGAGTTTGCTTCCAGAGATGGTCTCAAGCAAGCCTTGACTCTCAATGGCACTCCATTCCAAGGTCGCAATATTAGAATCAGTGTTGCTGACCCTCGTATGTGCTCAGAATAACCCATTAGGCTATAATAACTGACAAATCTATAGCTAAGGACCGTGGAGACCGCCCAGACGTAAGGGAAATTACCGACTGGAGCAGAAAGGGGCCTTTGCCAGATTTGCCCGGCCGAGGTGGCAACGAACGTCGTGGACCTGAACGTGGAGGATTCGGGTCTGACTTTGGCGGAGAGCGAGGAGAGCGCAAGGAGCGGTTTGCAGAAGGGGATGGCAAGGTCCGCGATTTCGGAAACTGGGATCGGAAGGGTCCGTTGTCTCCATTGCCGCAAGCTGAGCGAGGACCCAGAGAAGGAGGCCGCCCAAGAACAAATGATGGACCAAGAGCCGAGGGATTCAGGGATCGCAGAGCGTCGCCAGCCGCTCAATGGGGTGAAGGTCGAGGACAAGGATCGCAGGATGGATCGAGGCCACCAAGACGGGAGTTCCAAGAACGACCAGCTGTCGAGAGAGCTCCAACTGCTGCCGAACAGGACAACCAGTGGCGCTCAAAGATGCGGCCTGATGCCCCAGCACCAAAGTCGTCCGTCCCATCTCGAGATGGAAGTGAGGCTCCATCATCTCCAGCACCAAGCCATGCCCTGCCAGTTGGTCGCCCCAAGCTGAACTTAGCCAAGCGAACTGTCTCTGAGGCTCTTGATGTGTCATCTCCTACCACAGCCACTTCTGGTGACGCCAAGGCCAGCCCATTCGGTGCCGCTCGTCCGATTGACACCGCCGCCAAGGAGAAAGAGATTGAGGAGAAGAAGGCAGCATTAGCTAAGGAGAAGAAAGAAGCCGAAGAGAAGGCTAAGGAGGAGAAGCGCGAGGCTGCGAAAGCTAAAGCTGCTGAGGAGGCTGCTGAGGCGGAGAAGAAAGTTGAGATCTTGCAAAGAGAGGGCGATGACGCCAGCAAAACAGGAGAGACGATCGAGACTGAGAATGCCAACGGACATATCGTGGACGAGAAAGCCGTAAAGCCCAGAGAGATTGTTCGGGATGCGAGACCAAAGCCAGTTGAGACTGGTGCTTGGAGAAGGGCCTCAAACGGTCCACCAACTCCACGGGATGACATCCCAAGAGGACCAAGAGGGGGCCATGGTGGCCGCGGCGGAAGAGGTCGAGGAGAAGGTCGGGGCGGCCCAAGAAATTTCGAGCCAAGACAGTACTCGAACGGGCGGGCTCCTCAATCACCGGCTCAGGCCTCTACTCCAACTACGGAAACTGCTGCTATGGAGGACGATGGATGGAGCACTGTTTCGAAGCCTAAGAAGAATAACCGTGGTGGAAACCAGGGGTCGCGCGCAATTGCATCGTGATTTAAGGCACGGCATTCAAAAGTTGGTCATGGATTGAAACAGGTTTCAAAAGATCTCTTTCATTGATTGGATCACGCCTTATACCCATTCCCGCAACCACTAATCTTCCTCTCTGCTTTTCTCGGGAAATTTTCGTTTGGCGTTGGATCTTCTCAAGCATGTGTCTAGATCTTTTGCCAGATCCTCGGCTCTCCTTTGGCCTCGGGGTCGGCGCCTATAAAGTAAAGTGTGCTCGTACACTTAGAATGCATATGGGCGGCCTGCACAAACATTTCTTCTCTGCTCCGGACTGACACATGTTTTCCCGCTCTGATGTTCTAAGCAAATGGGGCATCTATTTCTCGGTATGTCACGACACGTCTGTTCCTACATTGTGCGGAATTGCGACTGCTTGCGAGTGGGTTTATTCACACCAAAAAGTTACTTCGTTAGGTCTAGGGAATGCTGCATTAGGCTGGACTGGATGGGTTTCCTGTTTCCTACTCCTACAGTAGGCGAGGAGCCTTTTTGGGCTGGCTGGTCACTGGTCGTTTCGAGGGCATAGATAGTGGAGGGTCGAATCTTGCGAGCGTTTGTGTTTTGTACTTTTACATGTTTTTTCAGTCATGGCAATCAGACTCTTGACATACAAATATGTGCTGTCTTTAGGTTATATCATTCCGTGACTGATATTCTGCATCTGACATGTTTTCTGATTGCCCTTGTACACTCTGTCATCAACTGTCCCTCGTCCTATGATAAATAGCTGCTACCAGTCTGACATTTCGCCGCAGATACTTTGGTCACCGCGCTGTACTTCCATATCCTGCACCCGTAGCCAATCCAACATCCCGAACAAAATTGCACATCGGCCAGAAGCTTCCCCCAAACTCCATATCATGCCTGTCCCGATTCCCCATTAGCAACAGCACTTTCTAAGACAACACAGACCTGGAGCCGTAAGTAGGGAATGCACCCACCAATAATTCACAGCCACACAAAGCCCTTCCTTGGAGCAAGATTGTAAGACTTTATGGTACCTTGCATTCGCACAATTAGCATAATTCGATGTATTAACGTCAAAGTTCGACAGAGAGACAGAAAGACAGAGAGGGGATTGACAGTGTGACATACCACAAAGCAGGCAAATATAACATATCTCCCTGCTCCAACGTGACCCTTATTGGCTCCACATACTTCGAATGCCTCGTCCCATTCCCATCTTCCACACCCAGCTCCGAATCAGGATCCCAAGTCGCAAACGGGACGCTATCACCTTCTTCCTCTACAATCTCAAACCCCTCTCTTCCCTTGTTTCCCCCTTGACCAACCCCGCCATGGCTGCGGCGATAGGAAGCCGGCCTCAGAACCCTCTCTCCAACACCTGCCCACGCCACAGGCGGCAGAAGAACAAAATGTTTCGACCCGATGATTTGTACATAGATGTTCTCGTAGTTGTCTTTATGTAAAGCGGTTACGGAGAGGGAGTTGCCGATCCAGAGATTGACGGCGTCGGGTTGGGATGAGAGAGCGATACGGGAGAAAGGGATGCTGGGGGGTACGAAAGAGGAGAGGAGAGTGTATTCGGAGGGGAGGTTGTCGTTTTCTGGTTGGGGTGGGTGAGGTTAGTGAGAGAGAGAGGGTTGGGGTGTGTATGCGTGAAATGTTGTGGCATGAGATAAAAAGTAAGGAGGTGGACTGTTTTAATGGAAAGGGGAGGTGGGGAAAGCAGGAGAGAATCAGGTGATTGAAGTGATAGAAAAAGAGGACATACGGGTTTGAGCGTAGCGGACTTCGCCTCCTGGGATATGTCTCTCTTGATATGAGGGAGAGGCGTCGCTTACTGAGGAGATTTCCTTTTCTTGGGCGATTACGAAATCGAGGAAGGTGGAGAAAAGCTGTTGCTCTTCATGAGGCTTCACGAAGAGGAGTTCGTTGGTTATTGGAGATTTGACTGGGCTGTCTGCGTTGCTATGCTGTATTAGCTAGTGCCTGAGATTCTGAATACGGTAGAACAAGGGTCAAAACAAGGGTAGTAAATCTTGAGAAGCGAAAGTAAACAAATCGGTATATGGAACAATTTAAGTTATGCCGTAGAAAGCGACAACCGTGATTGGGAGAATGAGACAGATGAGAAAGTTGATATGAAAATAGCTTCAAAGACTGTGATGCACCAAAGTGATGAATAAATGAAGTATATAACGTACCCAAGCGGCGTGACTGCAACGTTAACACTAACCCCTTCGAGCAGCTGTTTCAAGCTGGGGACATTCCATTCTCTCACAGCTTTCCAATCCGAAGCTCCACCCCTAATGACAAACGGTCTATTCTGTGCTACGAAACGTACAAACTCCAGCGGCGAAGGAAGGGAGGCTAGTGTTGCGATTGTGGAGGGGTTGAGAGAGTTGTAGCTTTCAAGGAGTGTGATGGTGGGATCTTCAGGTATCGATTCTTGCTGCGAGATGGTTGAGGGGTCGCGAGGTTGCATTTTAACAAGGACAGAGGCGCGGTAGTGCAGGGTGCAAAATGCGTGGGAACAAGATGCCAGGGTAGACTTCTAGCGGATGTTCATGTCAAGTTGAGGCTTTTGGTAATGGCGGGGTGAGTTTTGGAGTGGGGTGGAATATCGCCGTGTGGAGCGAGCGGTCATAGAACGACATTGTATTGCGGCTTCATATCGCGTCATCATATCGAAACTTGAGACATCTTGACAGTCTACCCACTTGCATGATAGGTCTATCGTTCTCTGTTCTTGTCATCATAAATATGATATAAATATATATATATATATATATGTTCTGTGGCATTTCGAGCGGCGATCTCGCATGCGGCATGCCCATGCCCCTCTTCACATGCAGTCAGAGTCAGACTACGAACGAGTATGCCACTCACAAAACAAATGCTAGCGATGTTATGCGATGCGATGCGATGCGATGCACAAAATCCATAGTGCGTGCGGGTTTTATGCACCGGTCCCTGTTCCTCGCCCCGCCCTCACCACTCACCAGGGCCTCGAATCCTCAACCATCAGCCATCCCATCAGCCATGATCCATCCCATCCCAACCCAACTTTGAGAAAGAAAGCCAATAATAATCGTGGCTTCAGTACTACGACTGTAATTTACTGTACCCCTGAAATAAGACGGACTGGCCAATTTTTCTCGGCTGCTTGACGTTTAAATTAGATACACGCCGTCCGAATATGTATTCTTTTGATTGGCAGAGCCTTCCCGCTTCCAGTCCGACAAAGTTAGGGCTACAGTACAGTATCCGAGTTCCACGTTCTATTCTCCTTTAGACCAACCTCAGCCGACGGTCCGCAGGGGCTCGCCTTCGTGCTCGTGCTCGGGCTCGTGGCTTTCGACACCAAGCGGCGAAAATAATGATACCTCGAGAGAGAAGTGGTCTTGACTAGAAGTCAGCAGTTGCATTGTATTCCGCCTGTGCATAGCACTGCATAGCACCACATATGTGCATGGGGAAAAGATGCATTCATGCATGCTTACATGCATGGGGTACCTACAGTATGGCAAACACATCACAAGGGATGATGGACAGCCAGCTCACTCCGACAATACTGTAATACAGTAATGGAAACTCAGGAAGGTCCGGAGCTCTGGCCGATGGCGCCTCTCCGTAATCTGCACCGCTACGCGTCCTGGATAAACACGGCATGGTCCCGGGGGATGGGGGATGGGGATCGAGGGGATGTGCCGTGTTTATCTACTTTTTTTCTCCCCTATCTAGGCTCGGCAAGGTTTGTTGTGGCTTATCCAGGAAATTTCATGGGCACTTGGTCCAGTTTGAGAGGGTTGGGCAGCTGAGCTGACCACTTACAGACCGCCTGTATCGAGCCCCCATGCCCGTAGTCCAAATACGAGGCTTGTCCTCAGGGACTTGCATACGACCCTGGCTCCCCTGAACCTCCTCCATTGGATCTCCCATGCGGCTGAGACCCCGAGAGTCAATAGTAAGTTAAGTGATAGCAATAAGTACCTTGTGTCTCCATCTCTTTTCGGACGTTCTCTCTTTTTCCCTTGTTGCATCTCGTGTTGCCAGTGCAGCCCTACACTCGTTTGTCGATATACTTGTATCGTATGCTCGATCTTTTTTTCTTCAATAATATTTAATTATGAAGCTTTGTCCGACTGTTGTGGGCTTAATTGCCGTCTTTGCGGGACTGGGAGTTGCGGCGCCAACATGGCCGTCTGCCATTGACGAGCTGGAAGATGTTATGTTTCTGAATGCGGGCTACAAGAGCAAGGGTTTCGGAGGTCATGTCACGCCTTGCTCGCTATCGGAATTTGGAGTTGGACGACAAACGGCTGCGGAATGGTTACGGATCGCTTTCCACGATATGGCCACGACGAATGTTTTCTTCGAACCACATGGAGGAATCGACTCTTCAATAGCTTGGGAGTTGAGCAATGGCGAGAACCTGGGCCCCGGATTCGTTAGCACGTTGCAGACATATTCTGCGTTGTACAATAGTCGCTTATCTGTGTCCGACCTCATCGCCTTGGGAGTATATGCATCTGTCCGAGCATGTGGCGGTCCGGTTGTGCCTATCCGTGGAGGGCGGATCGATGCCACAGCTGCAGGTCCTATGGGAGTGCCTCAGCCACAGAACCCCCAAGGAACATTCATCAATCAGTTCGCGAGAATGGGTTTCAATACCGTCGATATGATTCAGATGACTGCTTGTGGACATGCTATCGGAGGAGTTCATAGCGAGTTCTTCCCAGAGATTGTGCCTGCAGGAACTGCACCAAACGGATACGCGCTTTTCGACAATACTCTGGAATTCGACAACAATATTGCTACCCGATATATCAGTGGGCCCAACACTGATCCTCTGTCTGTCGGGCCGTCTGTTGCAGCTACTCGAAATGCTGATACTGTAGTTTTCACTGCGGATAAGAATGTTACCATCCAGGCAATGACAAACCCGACCACTTTCAACTCCGTGTGCTCGTCAATTTTGCAAAGGATGATCGACACAGTTGCACCAACCGTGAACCTCTCGGACGCACTCGCACCATATGAAGTCAAGCCCAGTGGAATCCAGCTCACTTTGCTGTCAGGTGGTGCTCAGATCACCTTTTCTGGGGACATCCGAGTCAGGACTACCACCAGACCTGCTTCGTCCATTCTCAATGTCCAGATTATCTACAAGGACCGCACGGGAGGAGTTGGAGGTACCATCACTACCACGACTGTTAGCGGAACAGCCACTGGATTCGATGACAGCTTCACGGTATGATCTCTCTTTCTCTATTTGTAATTCAAGCGCTGATTGATTAGTTCTACGGCTTCAGTGCCAACATTCCAGCGACAACGTCTATTTCGTCATTCAATGTCATTGTCGTAGGCACGGGCGGACTTTCAACCACCTACGCCAACAATGGTGCTGGGTTCCCGATTCAGGACTCCGTCATCGCCTTGGCTCCTCAGAGTTGTCTCAGCGGCACTAATCTCACAGTCGTTGCTGCCGTCCGCACTGGAGTTACTTCTCCTGTGTCATTGGGCGTCAGTCAAAAGGTTTCTCGAACTGGAGGTGTTCCCGTCCCAGCTTTGTCCAACTCAACAGTCCCCATGGTCAAGGGGGCGACCATTGGGCCATATGCAATCTACAGCGGTAGCTCTACCATCGCTTCTGCCGCTGGCACGAAGTATGGAGTGAGAAGTGGCACTTTCGCCGATGATTTCAAGGATCCCGCCTCACTCGGAACATCATGTGCCTCTCTCGGAACTGTTGCGCCAAGCAGTACTTCCAGCTCTGTAGTTTCAACTTCGCGATCGTCAACATCTTCGCGGGCATCATCCACGACCTCTTCGACTGCTGTTCCCACCCCAGTGCACAAGCCAATCGTGGGCAAATATACTTTCCAAGGTTGCTTTACGGAAGGCACAGGCGTTCGGGCTCTTGCCGGCGCAGCTTTCGTTGACTATGCAAACATGACTTCGGAGATGTGCGCCTCAAACTGTGCTGCATACGTCTACTGGGGTATTGAATATTATGGGGAGTGTTACTGTGGAAATGAGCTCGCTGCTTCTTCAACACAAGCTCCTTTGGAGGATTGCAATTTCATCTGTCCCGGAAATCCCAATGAGTACTGCGGTGCTGGCAATCGGTAATTTGACTGATACTCAAGGTAGAAATATGCTAATGGGTCCAGGTTGGAGCTGTATATGCTCACCTCGGTTGCTACAAGCTCACGGTCATCCAGCTCAGCCCGATTCACAAGCTCAGTTCGGTCCAGCTCTGTATCATCACGGTCCTCAACGGTACCAACCTCGACGCCAACTCCTGCTGTCAAAGCCGTCGTTGGTAGTTATGTTCACCAAGGATGTTACACTGAAGGCGACGGTGTGAGAGCTTTGTCAGGGGCACAATATGTCGACTATGTTGGCATGACTCTTGAGATCTGTGCCTCGAAATGTGCTGGAACTACCTATTTTGGAGTCGAGTACGGTGGAGAATGTAAGACCATGTTGTATCTTGACCTTTATTGCTCTCGCTAATCTGTACAGGCTACTGTGGTCAAACACTTGATGCCACCTCCGTTCTAGCTGCGAACCAACTCGATTGTAGCTTTATCTGCCCAGGCGACGGGAGCGAATACTGTGGAGCAGGCAACAGGCTAGAGTTGTACAAACTCGGCTCGGTGTCATCCAGCAGCAGCCGAGTGACTTCGACATCAAGCGTTCGTTCTACTTCTTCCACACGTGTCTCAACAACAAGCACGCAGAGTGGTTCTTCATCTCGATCATCAACGGCGGTTTCAAGTTCAAGGAGTTCCTCATCTTCTCGTACTTCCACGTCCAGCTCTAGGCTGTCGGCTTCAACTACTCGATCCTCTTCCACATCTCGATCTACTTCCACATCTCGTTCCACTTCCACGTCACGATCGAGTTCAAGAAGCTCATCAACGCTCCGATCTAGCACGACTAATACATCAAAGTCCTCGTCTTTGACGGGAGCGAGCTCAAGCAGCACGAGACTTAGTTCAAGTACAACGAAGCCTGCCAGCTCGAGCTCAGCAAGCTCAACAGCTGTCCCAACCCTTCGCATCGTACCATCAGCAGGTGGCTATAACTACCTAGGTTGCTACACAGAAGGAGATGGTGTCCGTGCTCTTGGTGCTGCATCTTTCCCAAGTGATACTAATACTGTCGAATCTTGTGTGGCATCTTGCGCTGGATTCAAATACGCTGGAATGGAATATGGTAAGCATGAGCCCCCCAGCACGATAGTTTTTGAATAATCCAGGACTCGTATCGATATCCAGATACCTCAAGTTCTAACTCGACATAGGACGAGAATGTTGGTGTGCAGATGAGTTCGGAGCCGGATCCGTTCTTGTTCCAAATGCAGACTGTTCCATGACCTGCGCAGGCGACCAATACGCCTATTGTGGTGCCGGAAACCGTCTTCAAGTCTACCAAAAAGCCGGCACAGGCTCTCCCAGCACATCAAGCAGCCGGTTAGTATCCTCAAGCGTCTTGATTTTAGCATTTTGAACTGTAAAACCAGCCAGCACAATGTTCACCCCCGCATCAATCTCTTTGTTTGAAGCCAGTTCGACAAACTCACTTGTTGTCTCTAGTTCTGTTTCTACCACCAAGCCTGCCAGCTCAACAAGCAGGGTGGCGTCCAGCACCTCAAAGCCAGCCAGCTCAAGCACGAAGACCTCGTCTGCAGCGCCGCAGGGAACGCCCGCTATTAAGCCAACTGTTGGCGCATACAGCTACTATGGATGCCAGACGGAGGCTACTGGAGTGAGGGCTCTGAATGGAGGGTTCTTCTTTAATGAGACTTCTATGACGTTAGAGATGTGTGCGTCGAACTGTGCAGGATTCAAGTACTGGGGTGTCGAGTATGGTGCTGAGTGTAAGTTTTCCTTCTCGCCAGGCTTCATGGCTTGTGGAGATGTTATGTTACTAACTAGAGATAGGCTACTGTGGAAACGAATTCCAGGCAGGGAGTGTCACAGTTCCGCAGGCTGACTGCAGCTTCCTATGTCCGGGTAATGCATTAGAATATTGTGGAGCAGGTAATCGATTGTCTACTTACGTTTTGACGGTTTGAATGAAGAGGCGGGTCGTGGGAGGCGGCTTTGGACTTGCAGGAAATGAAGGGATTGATTGGAAGTTGACGAGAGTCTGAAATTTTGGCGATTTAGCTAGACACTGAAGGCTTGGTGCTTCTGTCCTTGAGCATATAGCACGCCCCTACAGAGCATTTAATGACGGCTGAGGGGTAATAAATTACTTCTATTCATGTTACCAGATGCCAGGAATTTTGGGCAGTCCCCAGAGATGTGTGTGCAAGCCTGTGGATACTGATTCTGGAAGCGAATCAATGTCCTTGAGCCAATTGTGTGTCTCTCGGTCGTCGTTACGGTGCCTATGTCAAGGTTGGCTGGCTAGACAGGCCGACTGGTACAGAATCTTCGTCTCTCGCCTATCTCGCCCTACGTACGACGTATGACCTCGAAAGCTTCCCATTTAGGTAGCACAAGCCGTGTTGCAAGGTACTAAGAATGTAAGATCACGGCCAATAATTTACTTCCATTATTGTTGGGCTGCATGCTCCATATTTACCTGTTTTGCTCATCAACAGATATGTCATTCACATGTACACTGGATTGTTTACTTTTAAATGTCGGACGTCAGCCTCCCGAGGTAATACCGCCTGAGACCTTTCTCTACGATTACTAACCCTCAATACGCAATCATCTCCGTCAATCCGTCCAACTCTCTCTGAAAGTTCCTATGCTGGCTTACGTTGAAGGCAAATGCATCCAAGAAGCCCTTCGCACCCTTGACCATCTTTAATAATCCCTCGCTACCAACCACACCACCACTAGTTACAACACCGTAACAGTCAACTACAGCTGCCTCCTCATTACCAGTTGCAAATACCATGCCCTCGACTCCTACTGCTGTGCGGACTAGACCGACAGCTTCGCCAGTCGCACCAATGGCTTTGCAGTGTCCGAACGCCTCCCTGATCCAGTGCACCACGCGGCCTTGTTTGCTGAGTGTGGGAATATGCTCTCCGCCAGGGATATACAATGCATCGAACAGCGAAGAGCGCATTCCCTCAAAATGATGTTCGGGTGTGACACTCTTGCCTCCCGAACTCTTAACAGGCTGTCTCTTAGGGCCAATGGTAAACACCATCGCTCCTGCAGCACTCAGAGCGCCTTTCACAGTCTCGTATTCAACATAATTGAAGCCATCCGCAACGAGGATTGCAATATTACGCGTGGCGATCGTGGGAGTCAGACCTAGTGCTTCAGGCGTAAAGTCGAACTGGCTGAGTCCCTTCATAGTCTTTCCATGGTTAGGACGGCCAGCCTTAGTCGGTGTTGGCGCACCCGCCTTAACAGCCACAGCCTGCGCGAGATCAAGAGAGATATCCGTAAGACGAGTGATCATTCTCTCGTAGACAATCGGGTCATCGCAGTGGTCAAGCTCGAAACTCAGGGCGGCGATCAAGTGCGTTTTCTCGATTGGCGTAATGGAATTCCAAAATGTTTGGGCTTGCGAGAAGTGTTCGCTGAATTTGACGGAGAGAAGTCTCTGTTTCATGGCGACCACTTTCTCGGGGTAGTCAACGTAGGCGCCTTGTGCTGCAGTAGCGGGCGGGATGACGGAGTGTCGATTGGGGTAGTAGTTCATCTTGCCTTTGGTAATAGTTTGGCAGTGTTGTCCGTCCCGATGATTGTTCATCACCGGACAAACCGGCCTATTGATAGGCAACTCTTGCCAGTTTACACCTAGGCGGGAGAGTTGCGTGTCAAAGTAGGAGAAGTTGCGGCCTTGGAGCAAGGGATCGTCGGAGAATCCGATGCCGGGAACGATGTGTGCTGTACAGAACGCGACTTGTTCGGTCTGGGTGAAGTATTCATCAACGTTCTTGTTGAGTTGTAACTCGCCGATATAGCGAACTGGCAGGAGTTCTTCCGGCCATATTTTGGTAGCATCTAAAATGTCGAAGTCAAATTCATCTTGACGAGACTCAGGGCAGACTTGGATGCCAAACTTCCAGGTTGGGAAGACGCCATTGTCGATGGCTGTGTAGAGATCTTTACGGTGGAAGTCAGGATCTTGACCAGCGATCTTGAGAGCCTCGTCCCAAACCAAAGAGTGTACTCCGAGTGTTGGTGTGAAGTGGAATTTGACGAAAGAGCGGACACCTTCTGTGTTGATGAGAGTGTAGGTGTTGACACCGAAACCTTGCATCATACGATAGGATCTTGGGATTCCACGGTCACTCATAGCCCACATGAACATATGAGTAGCCTCAGTGTGTAAGAACTGAAAGTCCCAAAAATTGTTGTGCGCAGACTGTGCTGTCGGGACCTCATTGTCCGGTTCAGGTTCTAATTCCTAGTCAGCTAAGTGCCACAAATCAGTCCTGGTATTTGGGATGACTGACTGCCAGCATGAATAACATCTGGGAACTTCATAGCATCCTGGATAAAGAATACCGGAATGTCGTTTCCAACAATATCCCAGTTCCCCTCATCGGTATAGAATTTGACCGCGAAACCGCGCACATCTCGAACAGAGTCCGCACTACCTCTCGAGCCTAATACGGTCGAGAACCGTACGAATACCGGAGTGTTTCGTGATTTATCGGTAAGAATTCCAGCAGATGTGACATCTTCTGCACTCTCGTAGAGCTTAAAGTTTCCGAAAGCACCTGCACCTCTAGCGTGTACAACTCGTTCTGGAATACGTTCATGGTCGAATTTCATGATCTTAGCAGCATGAATTAGCTAAACACTAGGTCACAGAACAGAATCAACACACCTTTTCTCTCCCATGATTATCTTCCAGTAAAGCAGGACCTTGGCGGTCGCCAGTTGAGGCGTGGAGCCAAACATCATGGCTGTTCTGCTTGACTCCAAAATCGCTGGTGAGGAAGTCGTTTTTGGTAGGGTCAATGGTATTCTGCTTCATGTCTGTGATTTTCTTGTTGGTGCCAATGGCTCCAGAGACTGCTTCTCCGGCCTTCTCGACTGCTCCTCCTAGTACTGATTGCATAATGAAGATGAGTTTCGAGTGGGAAGTTGGATGTGAGAGCAATCGGCAAGATGAGAAAGAAGACGTTTGAGGAGATCTCGCAATTTATGTGACATATCGTGGAGGGGTCGCTTGCACGGGAGACGGGGTACAGTAGCTGCACGCCTCGCTTGCTTTGTTTGGCCAACGGAAGCAAAACAGATGACGTTAGCTCCACTCCACTTTCACAATTAGGTATATTGACGTATCTCCATAGAATCCCTACAATTTGAAGCTTACCCCTGACCCAAAGATGACTGAGGATTGATCAGGAAGTCTTCCTTGCCAATTGAATACCACTTGCTGCTGCATGTTTTGGAATGAAACTCCAATCATTGGAGCTTGACTGCATGGCACGAAGCATTTCCGGCAACAGTGAGCGGCAAGCAAGGGAAGCTGCGTTTGATACATCTAATCCAAGTGGACGGCAGGTAGGTTTTGTACAAGGTGGAGGTGAGCTCCGGATAGGATTACGTCGTGGGTTTGGGAGCTCGAGGAAGCGCGCTGAAATATGATCTAGGCAAGGTAGGACAGCGAAGCATCGGCAGCTATGGCTTCAAGGTCTTATTGGATTGAAAGGCAAGGAAAAAGGTGCATTATGAAGTTCACAAAATGGATGACGTCGTCACAACCAGATACTGATCGACGAGTCACGTGTGGTATTCGACTCTTTCTCAAGGAAATCTCATGCGTAGCTAGAATTTATTTGCCCTTCGCCCAGAAGTCAGATATAAGGCCCATGGCCGAATGCTGGGAGACTCTAGATACTATTTTCTTTAGCGAGGCATTGATGCCACTACTTCACAAACAAAAAATAGAAAGCTAAACTCCTGCGGAGACCGAGATGGATCCATTTCATTTACGGCAAATTCACACTGAGATTAGAGAAATGACTCCATTGCGCATCTCTCAGGAATTGTCTTCATTCGTCTAGCATACAGTACCCATCACCAAAGAAAAGCCCGTCTTGGGCGTGCGTCGATGCTTTTATGTCCTTTACTCCATGCTATGCAGAATGCGATCTCTTTCTCGGAAGTAAGCTCAACTACTCCTCATCACCATCCTTCGCCTTTTCCTTCTTCGCTGCCGCAGCCATAACCCATTCCTGTGTCTTTGCAAGCACCTTCTCCTGACTCTTCTTATCACCATTCGCCTCCTCCCACTCGCTCCACCTCCTAAACCACGCCACAGCCTGCTTCGGCTTCAATGCCTTGTTCGTCTTAACCATGCGCTCAAATACGCCTCTGATAACATCTTTATCACCCTGCGTAGTTTCCAGATCCAGCAGTTGGTTCCAGATATCGAGACGTTTGGGGAAAGTGGTGAGGAGGGCCTCGAACATGGTGCGACCTCGCTCGGGGGACCCGGCTGCGGAGTGAAACTCGAGAGACGCGAATTTGAGCGTGAGAGCGATGTGGGTGTGTGGTGGGAGTGATTGTTTGGCGCGCGAGAGGAGGCCACGAGCACGGTCTGGGGAGGAGAGGGTATTGAGGAGGAAATGAGCGTAGTTTGTCCAGACGGTGGGGGATTGGGAGAACTTCTTGACCAGCACCTGAAAGAGATCGTCGGCTTTCTGTCGAGCTATTAGTTATAATCTCACCTACCACAATAGGGAGTTTGGCTTACGCTGTGCTTGCCAGACTGGATGTAGATACTGGTAAGTCTTTCGTGGATCTCTTGCGCATCGTTGTATTGGCATGCTCGCTTGAAAACCTCCTCTACTGTCTCATCGCTTCCGTAGGCATTCTCCAAATTGAGCAAGGCAATCCATACGTTCATCTTTTCGGTCTCTTCGCGTATGTTGATTGTTTTGATGGCACGCTCGGCGATCTCTCTTGCTTTGCTAAGTTCGCTGAGTTGCATCTGGAAAGCCATGTATTGAATCCAAAGGGCGGAGGAGTCTGGTTGACCCAGAAGTAAACGCTCAAAATCGCTAATGGATTGTGGCCCGTTGGCATCCAGGTCACCGGTTCGATCAACCGTAATTTCTGCCTTCCTGCGCTTCTTCTTCTTGGGCTTTTCGTCGCCCCCTTCGTTGTCAGACCCGCCGTCTGATCGGTTGTCCACCTCGTCAAGAACGTTGGCTGACCAGTCAAATCCTCCTGCGCTAAGAGCTGGCACATCGGTTTCATCCACATCTGGCATTTCTTCGTCTGAATTTGCACCAGCTTGATCCTCATCGCTGTCAATGCTTTCAACGTCATTCAGATCAATTCCACCAACCTCGTCCTCTTTTTCATTACTGGAGTCTCCGGAGATCTTGACGCCTTGCATTTCACTGAGATCTTCATCCTCGCTGTTATCCTCGGACTCGATGCCATCATCGAAGTACGATGCTTTGAGGCCGAAACTGATTCGCTTCTTCTCCCTATCAAGACTTAGGATTTTTGCTCTGACAGCATCTCCCTCCTCGTAAAGCTTCTTTACATCGACGACTCGGCTCTTGTCTGCCATTTGAGACTGATGGCATAGCCCACTGAGGTTGTTCGATCCATCAATCACTATGAATACTCCATAATCCTCCACTTTTCTCACCTTGCCAGTCACTATTTGACCGATTTTAAGATCGTGGAAGCCCAGTGGAGCAACGTAGTCCTTGTCAATGACAGAAGCTTTCAAACTCATTTGGACGTGATTTTTGGCGGAATCAACCAAAGTGACTTTCCCTTTCACAAGCTGATCAACCTCAAACTCGTTCTGCCATTCCTTGATATAGGAGTCCGATAGCTCAGCAACACGAACCCAGGCAGTAACATTCCCGCCCAAGTTCACAAACAAACCACGGTCGGAGACATTGCTGACAAAACCACGCACGATGTCGTTGGGCTTTACCTGAGACGCCGTTGATATCTCCGGATCTTTTACATCGAGAGATGAATTCAAAACTCTTGAGGGTCGTGTGGATAGTCTAATCTTCTTGTTCGGAAGATCAAGATCTGTAACACAAACCCGAATGATCTCATTCTTTGAGTACTTTGTAGGATCTGCTTCCGAGTAGTCGTCGGCTAGATCGGTAAGATTGACAGGGGCCGAGAGACTATCACTGAGCTGTACCATAATATGTCTCTCAGTGGTTTTTGTGACCTTTCCGGGCACGACCATTCCTTTGCTTAAGCTCTTGAGGGTCAATGGCTCCGAAGACTGTGCCGACCGAGCGGACAAATCAAGGCGATTGTTCGCAGCGTCAACATGCTTGACATGGACTCTGATTGCTGATCCGACAGGGAAGTTTGACTCCAGGTCCTTCAATTTGGACACATCATCTGAAATATCCAGAGCAAGAATCCGGCCACGTACGTTCGGAGAGAGATTTACCCAGACGTAGCTCTCTTGTATGTTGTTCACATAAGCAATCCAGGAAGATCCGGGCTTGACCTGGTCAAGCACGAGCGGATCCTGGACCTTACTGCTCTGGTCACTCGGTTTGGCGGACAGCTCGAAAACCAGAGTCTTGCCTGATCGATGTGATATTGGTAAGAATCGGTGGTTTCGCGCATCGTGTATACCCAGGACACGAACATTCAGTATCTGCTTTGGCGAGAACGAGCGGAGGGGCCGCTTGCGATCTTTTATTTCATCCCAGGAGTCGAAGATTTGTGAGACATCTATCCGACCTTGGATATTGTCTGCAAGCTGAACGTTGATCTGTGTGTCCTTGATCGAGACAATCTTTGCCTTTGTCAATCTACCTAACGTGAGGTCGTCAAGACTCTGGAGTGTTGTGTCAATTGGATTCAATGCTTCTTGATTGATAGCGACAGAAGGAGCGGACTTCTCGGTTGAAGCCTTGGGTGTAGCAGCATCAATCATAGATAATTGGAAATTCTGTTGCCCATGATCGACTCTAACAATTCTGACTTGAAGGGTCTGCGCCTTTTTCAAACCAAAATCTGGGAGGCGAATTGCATCCTCCGTCAATTTGACCTTTGGCAATAATCCAACGAGACCACTTGCAAATTGAACAAACACTCCTGTGAGAGTGATATTTCTAACAAATCCATGGACGACCTTATTCTCCTTCACGTCTTCAAAACTTCGTAAGAGAAGCGAAGCTTTGGCGTCGGCGATAAGACCTGGCTTGTTTGTCAACACGATGAAATGCTTAGATTCGTTCTTCTCGAGGACCAGAAGATCTGTCAAAGTTTGTCCAACACGAATCTTTTTCAGCGCAGACGCATTCTTTTGCGCCGAGCCATCGGTGAGATGGGCCACAGCAAGACTGGCACGAAGGCCTTGAAGATCAAGAGAAATGGTGTCGTTTAATTTCTCTGTAACCACAGCGGAAACAGTCTCGCCCACTTTCAACTTCTTCATGATAATTTGCTGAGCAAGCCCAAAAGAAGAAGGATCTTTGCATGACACAGTCAATTTTTCCTCCTCGGGATCAACATTCAGAACGTGAACATTTACAACCTGCCCGACACGGAAATGCTGGGTAGGATCTTTAATGTATGCCTCGCTCATTTCAGCCACCGGAAGGAATCCACGGATTGATCCGTAGAACTGTACAACGGCACCATTTGGGAGGATATTAACAATTGTACCAGGACTCTGCATGCCAATCGCAATATCCTCGTAGGATACAAATATGGATGCATCTGAATTTACCAGTGTTTTCTTTAGTGTGAGGCGAATATGTCTTTTCCCAGGATCTGTTGACAAAACCCTGGCTGTGACCGTAGAACCCTCCTTGAACTTCTTTTCAGGGTGCAGTAGCTGGACGTCTGACATGTGCGCTTCTGACACAAGCCCAGTGATACCCTCTGCAAGATTCAGCAGTACGCCTCCCACACCCCTTTCATTCACAACGATCTTCTCAACTTTGCCTCTGACCACTGCGCCAATTGGCACATCCTCGATCCGGAGAAAAGGCTGCGCCAGAATCGACTCCTCTAATGAGACGAGGTATATTCCGTCTAGAGGATTATATCCGATCACTCGTGCACGGTGCTTGGAGCCGGTCTTGTAGTGTCCAGTAGTTTCTGAGAGGGTCTCGATCTTTCCATCCTTGACTCTTGATATATGCACAAACCCCGAAACACCTTTCAGACCCAAATCAACGAAAAGACCCATTCCTGGCTCCACCTTCGTAACTGTGGCTTCCTCAACAATAGAAGACAGAGGTAAGACGTCTAGAGGATTCTTCCTTTCTTTGTCTTGTATGGCGAGCTGAGATGCGAGTAACATCACGTGGTCAAGCAACGACACCCCCAATTTCGCAGGTTGAGCATTGGGAAATGTGCAGATGACCCTTCCCTTTATTTTGCTTCCAATCTTGTATTTCTTCTCCAAATCCTTTCCATCTGCTCCAGCACCTGAATGCATCAGATCGGCAGTCACGTCAAGCATACCCATGACTTTTCCCGCGATTCCTCTTGGAGTGATCTCTGCGACCAGTATCTCTACGGCAGTACCAGGGACGAAAGCGTCAATTGTTGGAGCTTCGGACAGGTAGTTTGGCTTCTTCGGGTGTGCAATTTTGGCCGGATCCACACACAGCTTGACGGTTTTGCCATTAGAATTGAGACCAGTGATCGTGCACAAGAAAACGGCTCCTTCTTGGATGCTGGAGATATCCACCCCGTAACCGACGTCGTTCGATGACATAAACCCTCTAATATCTGGGTCTGCAAGGCCGAGATCCATAATGAGACCATGGTCTTCTACACTTGCCACGGATGCCATGAGGGTATTGTTGGCCACCACATTCTGGGAAATCATAGAACTATTCGATTGTTGGGGCTTAAGCGACAACTCTATATGCCTCTTTGCCTTGCCAGATGCAACCGCTTCATCATCCTTGGTCGAAACAACGTATGCTCGAAGATATTGGCCGACTGTGAATAGTTTGTGCAAGTCTACATCCTCTAACTCGGTCTCCTCGTCATTTCCTTCATCTGCAGCAATCGCCTCGATCCTCTCTGTGATCTTGTCGGAAATAGAAGTGATTGGTACATAACCGGTGAGATTATTTGGTAGGGAAAGGGCGATGTCAAGATCACTGATCTGGGAGACTTGTCCCAGTACTAGTGAGCCTGTAACTAATCGCTATAGAACGTCAACAAAGAATCGCTGCCATGATCGCAGCTCAAATATACCTTGTAGCTCAAGCCCTCAATCCTGACATCCTCTTCGTCGGCTTCAGTAGCTTCCTGACCTTTCTTCCCTTTACTTTTCTCCTTTGACTTCGATTTGTGCTTCCTTTTTTTAGTATTTTCGCCATCTTCCCCGGCATCATCAACGTTTGTGGATTTCCCGCCCTGCTCAAACAACACATCTCGAGTAGCTTCAATTTGGATTTGCTTGTGCTCTAGTGGTGTCAAAAGACTTGCACCACCTCGAGGAAATGCAATGTCTTCATCTCGTACTTGTGATATCTTCGGCACATGTGGGATCTTTGCTCTGGTCGTTTGTTCTCCTTCCTGCTCCTCCGCTCTTGGTCTTTTGGAAGGTCGATTATCTGCGTCTCTAGGATTTCGTGATCGCGCAAAAGATTCGTTGGTTGGACCGCTCTTTCTCTTCTTCTCGATCGGCGCCATACTTCACGTCCAACGTCGTTGTTGACGTGTAATTGAATAAAAGTCTTGGGCCCGGATGCGAATCTGCAACTTCTCAAAATTTTAGTCTCCATTGTAGAACTTTTTGGCGGGGACCAGCTAGCGTAGTCGACTGACAGGGGGCCTTGTTAGCTTGTTGATAACAGGACTGAGATACGGGTACGGGCTGCCAGGGATGGCGACGAAGTACCTAGGTAATGTAGAAAAAACGAATCATGAAACCCCGGCATACATCGCAGAGCCGAGCTATTTACAGTCACTTGGAGCCTCTGAAGTATTGTACATGATTTCAGATTATATTTCATAGCTCACCTTCTCGGGTCTTCGTTGCCCAGAGTGCCGAAAGCTGCTGATAGCACTATATTTTCTAGTAATGGTAAGGAGCATTTACAACCATTCCAATTCAACAAGGCAGTATATTCCACGACCCACAAAGCCCTTTGTGCACTGCAAATGTGCTTTGGAGATACATCTTGTACCATTGAACGGAGTCATTAAGTGATTATGTAAGCTAGATGGTTTCTTGGCAGCCTGATGTCACAAGCCCCGCGACGTAAACATTACGAGTTGCCTCAGTTGGGAATAACTTTCTGCAACGTCGATTTCAACTGATCATTCTCCCTGCGTGAATTTAAATCTGCGCTTGTTATCTTATTTAATGGGACCATTACGAAAATCCAAACGAGCACGAACGAAGCCTCCAAATGCGGAAGAACCGGTGACAGGAAGTCTCCCAACGCTACCACAGGTCGAAGACAGCTCTTCAGTAAAGAAAGCCTCGACGCCACCTGCCGATACGTCCAAAGATGCCTCAAATAGAACAAAAGATGCACCCACTCCCATGAAGAGTGTCAAGGCCGAGGCCAACTCTTTCAAGCCGGTAAGTCTCAGAATAACACACCGTCTATCAGTAACTCACATGCCATGCAGCTTAACACGAAGGGAAGCTGGTATGGAACTTGGCCTCGAAAGTCGACTGCTTTAACCCAAGTAGCCAGAGAATCAATTTTGGCCGATAAACCCACGAACTCGTCAACTGTTGATCTGAGTCGATTTGAGCCGAAGAAATCCCCCACCATTACAGCAGCTAGACCGCCTTCGATGTACCTAGGGAAAAGCAAGGAAACTCTGGATATCACTATGGGAGGAACCTCGGACTCAGATACTTTGGCAGGCAAGGATGGCAATAAGCTGGATCCTGAACCGTCGAATGGAGAGGCTCCTACTACGGACGAACCGCTGAAACCACAAGCTGAAGGTCCCGATACCCAACGCCCACCACAAGCCGAAAAAAACTCCACCAGACCTGCTACTTCTTCTGGTTGGCTAGGTTCATGGCTTAACAGGCCAAGTCTAGAAGCCTCCAGTGTGTCACCAAAGCCCTCTGTGATAGTCGAGGTGGTTGGTAATAAACCTCCAGCTATCGAGGCGCAAGTACTTGAGACAGCAGAAGCGCCCTCCTCAACTACGCAGATAGAGGGAGTCTCTGAAATTACTACCCAAGTCCCAGCATCGTCTTGGTTTGGGCTGTGGTCGCTAGCGGCACGAGAAACTGCTGCAGAGGCGCCGAAGCAAGAACTCCCAGTCAAACTCCCCGACAACGACCAGGACACTGTTACGGAAGATTTTCCGGCACCAGTTCCAAGTACAACTTCTGAACCAGAGCAGGTTGTTCCAGCAGCGGGCTCGAGCTGGGCGTTTTGGTCTACCGAGCCAGCCAAAAAGCCGCCTAAACTTGCCGAAAAGACCGCAGAACCAGGAGAGCTTGCGATAGCTGGCGAGGCTTCAGAGAATAAACCAGAACCTGCGAAAACTGCAACCGTCAAAGAGAAAAATAAGGCAAAATCAAGTAAACGGATCCGGCCACAGTCAACTGAAGAAGATGAGAGTGCACTCAAAGCTGAACCGGAAGCGTCGAAAACGACGTCTTCGCCAAGCCCATTGCCTGGTAAGATAGTGCCTACAAATCTTCTCATTCCTTCGGTGAAGAGCACGTACAGGCTAGTCGAAAACCCATCAATCCTTCAGCAGATTACTCGTCTGATTCTTCACGGCCACCAACAACCAGTAAAACATGTCTTTCTCACTAAGGAGCCTCCCAAGATCAAGAAAGCCCTAGCTATTGGAATCCATGGCCTCTTTCCTGCACCTCTACTCAGGACCGTGATAGGACAGCCCACCGGAACATCCATCCGTTTCGCAAATCACGCATCGGATGCGATTCGACGATGGGCCAATGAAAATGGGTGTTTGGATTGTGAGATAGAGAAAGTTGCGCTTGAGGGTGAAGGGAAGATTGCTGAGAGAGTTGACAACCTCTGGAAACTACTTCTGAACTGGATTGATCATGTTCGGAAGGCAGACTTTGTTTTGGTAGCTTGCCACTCGCAAGGGGTACCGGTTGCTGTGATGCTCGTGGCCAAGTTGATCGAGTTTGGGGTTGTCACTACCGGAAAAATTGGCATTTGTGCGATGGCTGGAGTATCACTAGGACCATTTGCCGATTATAAGTCAAGGCTGTTCAGTGGCTCAGCGGGGGAACTTTTCGAGTTCGCGAATCCAGAGAGCGCCGTATCCAAGAGATATGAAGATTCTTTGAAGGTCGCCGTGAAGTATGGTGTTAGGATCACGTATTGTGGTTCGATCGATGATCAATTGGTGTCAATGGAGGTTGGTACATTCATAATTCTCGTCATTTCAACTGCTAACAGATGGCAGTCATCTATATTCTCCACCGTGAGCCATCCGTACATTTTCAGAGCGGTGTTTGTGGATGGTCGAATCCATGCTCCAGACTTGTAGGTCACATCCAAGTTTATGCTAAAGCTCTCTTGTTGATCAATCTCTAGTCTTTCACATCTCGTTGGTTTCGCGTTGAAGTTAAGGAATCTTGGAGTTTCTGATCATGGATTGATTCGAGAACTCTCCGCGCCGCTAGCAGGCAGTCTTTATACTGGTGAAGGACACTCCCGGCTTTACGACGATGGGAATGTTTACGAGTAAGTTAGGTTTCGTAGTGAATGTTGAGTTGTGACTAATTGCCGGTAGCCTTGCTGTTGAGTATGCTTTAGAAACAACATCAGTAGGCGACGTTCCACTTGACATCAAGAAATACGAGATTCCCACCAATGCAAACCCCTATGTTCTTCCATGGATCATGCGCGGGCTCTTGGAAGAAGACTTCGTCAAGACAGAACTCGATCAGGAAACCACGCAACTACTGAAGCAGTTTGACGACTGGAAACCGGCGACTAAGGTGCTGAAGGATGTGAAGTATCGACTGGAAGCAGTCCGCTCCAAACTATGAGATGGGTAGTGAAACACAGGATATGGGCAAGGGGTCGGCGTTGGCTGGGTTGAACGGCATACAACAGCTTAGAGGAGCAAGAATTGGCGTTGAGATGGTGCAGATTTGGTGTTTGCAGAAAGATTGATACCCTCACATGAAAATGGCTTTAATTTTGCTCGAAGAAGCGCTGGCTCCTCTCTGAAAACAGACAAGTGAGATTCTGAAGCTGCTCCAACAAGTAAACAAGCCTCGAGCCAATGCAGGTGCATGCGAGAATCGACCCCATTTTGAGTCCGCGTGACCTGGCAGGGGTTGATCGCCGCTCCCCTCACTATTTGGCTTTAGCGTCATGCGCATGGCAAGGCTGCAGGATCTGGAGTGACAGGCAACATCCGACCGAGACCTTTCACTTGTACAAAACATAAAACTAGACTTATCCTTTACAACCACACTCGTTACATTTTTGGACATTTGCATTGCGCAGTCTCTACCATCTCAGCGAATACATTCCTACAAAACTACTTTCGATGTTCGGTGGCGTCAAGTCTGGGATTCAGCGCAGGAAGGGCGTGGTTTCCACTGTCCGGATACAGACTGAGAAAAGACCAGCACCCCTCCCCTCCGTCGAGAGAGCGAGACAGCACACATCTCAAAGACCTTCGCCGTCTCGAGAGTCATCTGCTCGGCCATCACCATCTTCTGCAGCTGCCAGCCCAGCAACACCCGCAACACCCTCCTCCGACCCAAACGAATCTTCCTCTTTGCGCCCTCCAAAGCGCAAAGCTGCCAGACAACTATCTCCCAACGACATGCCTATCATGTATGACACAAGCGACGAGAGTAGTGACTCTAACATCGACCTTGCCGATCACAAGTCATTTAAGAGGCAAAAGACGAACCGCCCGGAGGATGAAAAACGACAGCTTCGATCCAGGAAAGCCTTCTCTGATGAGGACGGTGGAACTTTCGATATGATACATGCAGCGGATCTGTGTGACAAGTCTTCCAAGGCGTCTTCGGGAAACGTTACAGTTGAGCTGAAGTATCCTAGTGCTTCCCAGCTTGAAAGGTACCAATCATGCTCCTGGTAGTAATTTGAATATGGCTCAGCTGACACAACTCAAAGATTTTATTTGGACTTCGGCAAAGACAAAATCGACTCATTAGAAGAGATCGTGAACGTTGCTAGGATCGTTCGAGACGTTTACTTAACAAAGAAGCAGGCAAAGGGTTTTGCCGCAGCCAATTCTGGTGTTATCAGACAATTGGAGAAAGCTCAAAATGCCATAACATCTATCAAGACAAAGAGAGTGGATATTCGTTTACTCGAAGACTTCAAAAAAGCGGTTGATTTCTACAACGCAACAATGACAAGTCTTCTCCGAGAAGGAGCTCTTGCCAAGAATTTGGACGAGCTGCACCATTTGCCATTGGAGATGGTCCAATTCATTCTACAGCAAGTTTACGACCGCGCTGTGTCACCCCATGTGGATGATCTCCGGGTTTATAAAGCAGGATCCGATGGTGTCTACGGGGAGCTTCTTTCGTCCTTTGTCTCCACAGTTCTGGGGAAGTGTGGGCTTAAGTCTGACCAAGTCTTCGTCGACTTGGGCTCGGGGGTTGGAAACGTTGTCTTGCAAGCAGCTCTGGAATTTGGTTGTGAGAGCTGGGGTTGCGAGATGATGCCTAATGCTTGCAGACTCGCGAGAAAGCAAGCTGCCGAGTTCAAGGCTCGTTGCCGCCTTTGGGGTCTCAATACTGGTAATGTTCGGCTCGAGGAGGGCAACTTCTTGAAGAATGAAGCAATCATTGCAGTGTTGAGGAAGGCAGATGTGGTACTTGTCAACAATGAGGTTTTTGGGGAGCAGACAAATAAGGACCTTGGGCTTTTGTTCCTCGACCTGAAGGACGGATGTCACATCATTTCATTGCAGTCATTTGCACGTGGTAGCGCTCGTAACCACCACGACCCCGCCAACATCATTCAAAATACCGACGACAGTCCTCTTCCTTTTGGTCCTCGTGATGTCAGCTGGACAGGTCGCGGTGGAGACTATTACATCGCTACCAAGGATGAAGCCCATCTCGCTAGGATGCGTGCCGCTAACGAGGGATAGTTATTTATCTGTTCTGTGATTGGCGTGTTATTATATCGTTTTCTGGAGTCTGTAAATAGAGCGTGACGGGATGAGAAATGACGGCTTAGAATGTAGAGTACTGACGGAGGCGAGCATTATGCTAGATGTTAGATAGCGAAGCGAAAAGATCAATAACATTGATACCCAAGCTTCATCTTTCCTCAAATGCTCTATTCATCTCCTCTGCCTCCCTTCCCTTCCTCGCCATCCAACGATCAATAAGGTCCTTATTCTCAGCTTTCAGATCCTTAACCTTCTGCTCCGACATGTTCAACTGTAAGTTGAGCGAGATGACCTCATCATGAACGTCCTAATGTCCGTCAGCAAAAGAGCCATCTGTATTGCCCACGCGGCACTTACATCAAGCAGCTTTGTCTTCCCCCTCAGCTCCTCATCCCTATCTTTAAGCTTCTGCGCAAGATACGACCTGTCCCTCGACAACTCCTCTATTTGTTTCGTATCCGCCTTACTCTTCGCGCGTAGCTTCACCAGCTCCGCCTCCGCATTCTTGATCCGAGTCTGCAGCTGCCCGTTTGAGCGTAATGTTTCTGCAAGATCCCGTCTTAGCTGTCCCGTGCCTTCATTCGTTCCTGTTGGCTTGGGGGAGTCTCGGGTTTTCGAGTCGGATTGAGGCGGAGATGGCCAGAGATTTGAGGCTTTGTCGGCTTCGAGCTCGGCGGTGCGGTCGAGGAGATTGGTGACTATATGGAGGATTAATATACATGTAGAATTTTTGAGGGACCATACCTACAGGCTGCTATCAGATCGGCATCCAACTTCTGATAGCTTGCCTGCTCTCGCAGGTCTCGGTCTTGGAGAGCCTGGATATACTCATCGCGCCATGAAGTCATGGTTCTCGTTATTGTGCAAGCAACAAACGAGGGACGCTACATCATTATTCGTAGCGAGCAAGAAAGTTGAAAGTCTATAGAAAGGCTGAACTCTGCTTGTTGATTACGAGCTTGTGACGATTGTCCAAGGCTGCAGGTTAGGGAGCCTGATTGCGGCCTGTCGCAAGATAGGCTGGAGCTTAGAGCGCTAGCGGCAATGAGGTATACTGATGTGTGCCCACTGCAGCTGCATCTCCAGCCTCTCTCTTCAACTGCCAGACCAACACCGAACATCAATAACTCAACTGCCCCGCTCCACCACACACGCAACGCAAATATAATCACTTGACCAAATTTCGCAAACCGATTTCGTCAATCTTTCGAGCGTTTGTCAAGAGTTGTGGAGGCGAGGTCAACTATTACCGCCCATCAACACTACTACTTACTGGCTCCAGACTCTCTTCGCAATGGCGTCTAGAAAGAAGGTCTTGCTTAAGGTTTGAGAACCCGATATATGTTAAGATTTCGGAAGCCAGAGTTACTGAGAGTGGTCTAGGTTATTATCCTTGGAGATAGCGGTGTAGGCAAGACGAGTTTGATGAACCAATATGTATGTCCTGCGGCTGGAGCTTCTTCTACATGGAGACAGATGGAAGGTTGGTTTGGGAATTAGGGCTGATACTGGGACAGGTCAACAAGAAGTTCAGCGCAAGTTACAAGGCTACGATCGGGGCGGATTTCTTGACAAAGGAGGTGTTGGTTGATGATCGATTGGTCACTATGCAGGTATGGCCTCGTCACGAAGAATATATGCGCTAGAGTGCATAGCTGATGGGATGCACAGCTTTGGGATACAGCCGGACAAGAGAGATTCCAATCGTTAGGCGTTGCGTTCTACAGAGGTGCCGACTGCTGCGTACTGGTTTACGATGTCAACAACTCCAAGAGTTTCGATACCCTTGATAGCTGGAGGGACGAGTTCCTGATTCAGGCTTCGCCGAGGGATCCTGACAGCTTTCCATTCGTAAGTTTGATGCATTTTGCTCGTGGGGGATATGGAAAGTGTGCTAATACATGGTTTAAGGTCGTGCTAGGTAACAAGATTGACGTGGAAGAGAACAAGAGAGTGGTAAGTCAAGAGTATATGAAGTCATGAGAGCTACTCGCTAATTTAGCAACAGATATCCTCAAAACGAGCTATGACTTTCTGCCAGTCTAAAGGTGGAATTCCATATTTTGAGACCAGTGCGAAGGAAGCTATCAACGTAGAGCAAGCATTTGAGGGTATGTGTCTCCACGCCCTTGGAGTAGTAAAGCTAACATATTTTTAGTCATTGCAAGAAATGCGCTCGCCCAAGAAGAATCTGAGGAGTTCAGTGGCGACTTCTCAGACCCTATCAATATCCACATTGAGAACGACAGAGACGGTTGCGCATGCTAGAATTCTGCCTTTAGCAAAGAAAGAGAGACAGTACATCATTTCTTCCGGCTCACATATGATTTCCTTCTGTCTATTATGGGACTATGCAGGTTCCTGTCCTGTGTCAACATTGGCTGCTTGAGAGCCCCTTTACTTGATTTCTCGGTTGGCTGTGCAGGTGAGAAGACAGACGGAAAGGCAAAGTTAGGGTGATTGAAGTGTTGGTTGCAATGGGATTTGTAAGGGTGTTTGCTGTACATAGGGATCAGATCATACATGGCGCTTTGGTGTCTGCGTCTCCTTGATTATACAGAATGCTTAATGGGCTTTGAGAGGTCTTGTATCTGTGTGTTGGAGGCTGTGAGCTTATGATGAAGAGTTTGCATTTATAAATTGGATAACTCTCGTGGTGAAGCATTCTTCTTATGGTCAAGCCGCATGGGTTTGCTAGATGTCTGTATCCATTTAGATAAGTGGGCTGCATGTTCTTAGATACAGTTGCTGGCATATTAGAAGCGGATACAAACCTATGTCTGTTGTCACAAAATTGCCTACTTGTTGGTGAAAGAATCCTAAGGAGTAGGTAGCGACCTCATCCACTTTGATCCCCCCTTGTGTGGGAATGTGCGTACCTTATCCGAGAAACGAGGTCTTTAATGGATAAATAAGGTAGAAAGTACGTCTCTCCCAGCACTTTACCAAAATCCCTTCCTCTCCTGGACCGGAATCACACTAACTTCCCGTAGCACTAAATCTCTAACGTCCCGCGAAAATGTATTTATCCAGTAATGAGCCCTTTCTCAATGATACAAAAACGCTGTCTCATGAAACCCCTCACCTGATCTTTGACCTTTGCTTCATGGCTCTCCGCAATAGTCAACAATGAAATGAGGGTTCTTACTTCCAGAAAGACAGTAAATAAAAACACTAATAACATTTCTCGGATCCAGCAAAGACTCTCATGCAAGGAATATGGGCGCCCAGGCGCCCACCCATTCCTATCTTATCGCTGCGCCTCGGGTCCGGCTGCCTAATCGCGGTATGGTGGAGCCAAGGCTACAATCATGACTTCGAGGGTGACAGGGTCTGACAGATACGACGTCTCGAGTCGCGACAACCTCGAAGTGACCACCACCCTTGACTTCTCCTGACCGCAACAACTTCAAGCAAACAGTATTTGCAGATCATAATGGAGAATCCGCAAATAGCATGAATCTATCTTTGATTTGGTGAGATTCCATAATCTCTGGTTGGCAACTGTCCTTCACCTTCGAGTTATTTTTCTGACAGTGTGACTGGACCAACAAAGCCACGCGCCGCCCAATAGACGAACCTCGAAAGTATACTTGGGGGTATCAAATACAGGAACAGCCGCTACAATGAGTGCCCAAATACCCCCAGTTCCACCGGCTTTGGCTGCAGAGGTTCTGGCGTCCAGGGATCGATCTGTGGACCTCCACCGCATGCAATCCCACGACAGACAATCTCTAGCTTCTGCACCTGCAGGGACAAAGACCCAAGGCTTCAGAGCGGGCGTTGGACTTGGGAATGTGGCAAGACGGACGCTGGGGATCGTCTTACTGCTTGTTACTGTTGGGTTGTGGACCAGCTCTAATTTCTTGACGAGTGTATGTAACCCCCACCTTATCTCTCTTGTGTACCACGTTAATGAGATACATGCAGTATATATTTGCGGATAACACGTACTCTAAACCTTATTTCGTTACTTATCTCAATACTTCGTTTTTTGCAATATCTCTAATCCCGATCTTTTGGAGGATATCGCATCAACATGGTGTCTCGCATATAAGGACATCCATGGTGGAGTTCTGGCAGCAAAGGAAGGCAAGTTACACAGCTATCGGCAGCAAATCCGGTGGCGATGAAGACGATGCCGAGGATCCTATGTCGGGTTCGCATTCCAGACTACTCGTGGATAACGATGTTGGACCAGCTTTGAGCTTATCCGGAGATCCTCACCCCCAAGACGAGATGCTGGGCGTGTCCGAAACCGCATGGCTCAGTCTGGAATTCTGCTTCCTCTGGTTTGCAGCCAACTACTTGGTTGCGGCTTGCTTGGAATATACCAGTGTTGCGAGCTCGACTATTCTGACATCAACCAGCAGTATCTGGACGTTGATCTTTGGAGCTCTGGTTCGCGTGGAGCACTTCTCTTACAAGAAGCTCATTGGAGTCTTGGCTTCGTTGTCTGGTATCATTTTAATATCTTCGGTCGATCTATCGAGGAAAGATAATGACGACCATCGGGGAAACTTCCCGCATAAATCTCAAGGAGAGATTGCCCTTGGCGATGCTATGGCTTTTGGAAGCGCGGTCATGTATGGTATCTATGCCGTTGTCATGAAGAAGCGGATTGGTAACGAGGATCGTGTGAGCATGCCGCTGTTCTTCGGACTTGTTGGTCTTTTCAATGTGATCTTCTTGTGGCCAGGATTTATAATACTGCACTTTACTGGAGTGGAGACATTTGCCCTGCCACCTACTAGCAAAGTCTGGGTTATCATCCTGGTAAGTTTTCTAGACTGTTCCACTTGAAAACTGTACTGATATCCGATAGATGAATGCTGCATCGTCCTTCATTGCAGACTACTGTTGGGCATATGCAATGCTCCTCACTACGCCATTGTTGGTGACAGTTGGACTGTCTATGACAATTCCCTTGTCCTTGATCGGCCAAATGATAATCAGCAAACAGTATTCCAGTGCTCTGTATTGGGTTGGAGCTGTTATTGTTCTCCTGTCCTTCCTGTTCATCAATCATGAGAGTAAAGATGAAGATGATCCTCTTGTCAGGCGTGAAGGCATTGATACCATTGCTTGAGGCTTGATCGGGTATTTGTGCAGTTGACAAGTTCTTTCACTTGGAGAGAAAAAGTGTATCAATGGACTAAGCCGTGAATGGGTATTGGTTGGTGAAACTAACTGGCTTCGACTGGCCATCAAGACGGCGAAATTGGCGGACATGGCGCCACTCCATTGCTTTTCATGGGTTCGCTCGGCCTTTCGATAAAATATCCTTGGATCCTGCGACAGTGGTCAATTAAGGTCAAGGTCAAGGTCAAGGCCAACGACAGAAACAGTGCAGGTGACGCAGCTCCTGGCCTGCTGGGAAAGCCCTACGTGTGGTTCCGGGGATATGAGGGGGATACAGTGCGTCCGTCGGCAGATCACGCATAGGTAGCTGTTCGTTGTTAATGGCGCTGCCATTGCTGGCGTGCAGTGCTGTTTGGCATGAGATGAGGCTGGCCTTGGGATCACTCGGTGTTGACTTGCTGAACATTTTACAAGACTAATCTCGCAACGAGTTACTCTCCACATTGAAAGGGCAAGAAGCTCCTCTTTTCATTTCGACTTGAAGATAAGTTGGTCAATTGTTGATGTTCTCTTCTTCTTCATCTTCACTTCATGTTCAGGTTCGAGGAGGGAGCCTGACTGGCGGTCTTGGCCTCGCTTTCAACGGCAGTCTCCTCGCGGCCGTAGCTTCCCTCTCTCGCGCTTGCAGTATTGACTCGACCCGACTTCAATTTGGAGGGGCCAATACCACCACACGAGGTAAAGTACATCATATCGCGCAATCATTCATTCTCTCTTCCCTCTCCCCTCTCCCCTCTCCCCTCTCCCCTCCTCCCGCTTTTCAACTTCCCGCATCGATCTCCTCGCAGCCCCAATCCTTCTTCCTCCCACATTTGTGGACTTCCACTCTTTCAGTTTCTTTCTCCTGCATCCTTTCGCCTCTCGTATAGACCTCGTCTTCCCGTCACATACTGTCATTCACCCTCCTGATTATCGACCGACCAATCTGCGCAACAATGGCCGATACTAGCTATCTCGAGAGTCTGCAGGCTGGAGCGGGTTTAGATCCGAACGACCATTCCAGCATGTCTAGTTCGATCATTTGGACAACTTCCGTCCTGATGGCCGCTGTTGCGTCCTTCGTACTCGCGCGTTTGTTCGTTCGAGGCGGATACCGCCCTTCGTATGCCGGCATCGATCATTCACGTACTCTTGGAAATGATGACTGTAAGTACGTTCTTTCTGGCTCTGACGGTATAGCTTGTAGCCTCACAGTGCCTCGTTACTCTGGCTCGGCTTGCCTGTCACACGTTTTCAAAGGACAACACTGACTAGAGGTCGAGATATCATGTTCGGAGCCTGCGTCGCCACTATCTTTCTTGCTATGTGCTCAATCATCGGTGCCTGGTCAGGTCTTGGGAGACACATAATGGATATTCTGCGCGAGGACCCGGACCCCAAGCTCGAGAATACCCAGAGTCTCATCCAGATCCTCTACGGCTGCTACGTATGCTACTCTCTTGCCAATGCCCTCACCAAGTTGTCGATCATTGCTTCCTACCTTCGCATCTTTCCCAGTGTGCACTTCCGCCGTGCCATGTGGGTGCTTGGAGTCTTCGTTGTGCTTCAAGCACTCACCTCTGTCGTCACGATCATCTTCGAGTGCGATCCTGTTGAAAGCTCGTGGAACTGGAACGTGAAACGCAAGAGATGCATTGACATTCAATTGTTCTTCTACGTCACCTCCGCCATCAACACCGCTACTGACTTTGCTCTCTGGGCTGCTCCAATGCCCTACTTCTGGAAGTCTCGGATGTCACGGAAGCAGAGGATCGAACTGGTACTGTTGTATTCAATTGGCCTTCTGTGAGTGTTCCTTTTAACGACGCGTCAACACGTACTGATTGCTGGATAGTTCGTGTCTGTCGGGTCTTTTTCGTCTGGGACAGCTCAAGGGTCTAAAGTCATTGGACATTACATGTTAGACTCAACTCCCCGTCCTCGTACATCTCCTCTCTCTGACGCTCGTATTAACAGATCATGGTGCACTTCCCCTCAATTGTTCAATGGGCGAGGTCAGCCTTGGAATTATTTGTGCTTGCATTCCTCCTCTACGACCTGCGTTTCGACCAATCTTGAAGAAATTTCGACTGTACTCTAGAATGTCGCCCGTGGATAAGGCCAAGGTCACCCCAGTCTCGACTCCCCAAACGAGCCAGCATCCATACTTCGAGCGAAGACGAGAGCGAGCCTTGTCCCGAATCGCTGAAGATGGTCCCGTGGAAAATATTGAGTTTGACGAGTTTGAGGAATCTTTTAGACAGTATCTCGGTTCCTCCGTTGCTTCTTTACGACCGTCCGATACCGGTACTATCGGCGAGAGAGGTTCTGCTACCAGCACACGTCTCTTCCTCTAAAAATTTGCAGGAACGATCCTTCTGAAGGCTTCTTCGTCCGCCATGTACCTAGGATACTTTGGGTTGATTTCGTTTGCTTTGGGTGGAGACGACACATACAGTACATCAGAATGGTTATGATTTGATTTGCTATGCTGCTCAGACAAGGAAGTTATGGGGATCTTTCAATTCCAATCGCTCGGCGTCGGTATTCAGCTGAATGATCATGTTCAAGATCTGATTGCTGCTGCGGCAAAACACTGTAATGTAATGATAATGAGCTATAAGGAAGTTTCGGCTTTCTGCTCCATGCAATACATTACTTCTTATATATCTTCTCACAGCAACACGTATAATATTCAATGTTTCTGATCCCAAATGTGACATATAACAAAGACTTTAATGTTAATTTGTTCCCTGAGCTGGCTCAATAGCCACTGCTGTCATAATACACACAAAGTGCCTTTTGATCACATGGGTTCGGAGAGATACCTACTCCATTGCCCTCTGCAAGACTCACATCCTTATTATCTTAATCCAATACAGTCTGCTCGATGTCTATCTATCTATCTATCTACAGGACCGTAAGAGGTAGGGAAGTAAGCACAGGAGTATTGGTGTATTAATACATGGGTATCTCTGCTCTGCTCTGCAATGCTCTGTTCTGCTTTGTGTGCATTGCTCGCTGTACAGTGCACAATTGTAATTATGTAGAGTTCCGGGGCGCCTCCTCGATCTTGATTCGTGCATCGCCTTGCTCAATCCGTTGAACGCCATTCCTTGGTATACCTGCGAGTCTCCGAACGCCTTTCTGGTTCCATAGTATTCGAGTAGTTTCCTGGTCGTGGTGTTCGTTCATCTGGTGTCATGGTGTGGATATGGGTCTGTTCTTGTTGTGCTGCTTTTACCTTCATAGGCCATTGCAGTACTTTATTTTAGTCTGTAAAGTATGAAGAAGAATAGCAGGAGTACAGCCATGGTAGGCGTAGGCAGACCCTTCAGCACACTCCTTTTCACACTCTCACCCGTGCTCCTCGATGTTGTCGTTATACGATCTTTCTCACTGCCCTCCGTTTCTACCCCATCTGTTTTAACCTCATGCTCATCCACAAAAATAACCTGCGACGTCCCGGTCTTTGAGCTCGAAAACCGTCTCACCACTTGATCGAAACTGGGCAATCTTCCTTTAAACATTATGACCCTCGCCACTGGGCCAGCAACCACATCTAAAAACCCTCTCCTACTCTTACTCTCTCCCTTGCCCTCCATACCAGCCACACACTTCGTCACATCGTCAGTCTTCTCCAGCGTCCCAAGCCTACTCATCCTCTCCTTCGCCACAGATATGCTATCACGACTGGCGTTCAGCGGTCGTCCTCTCGCAGTGCTAGCTGACGCCGCAATGTCGAACTCCGTAGTACCGACTACGGCGTCGAGTTGGTTGACCAGTTGGAGCATGTAGGTAAAGATATGTTGGGCTTCAAGGACGATATCGTCTTTCTCGCCGACAGTGAGAAGGACCTCCGCTTCTGCTATGCGGGATTTGAAAAGCGTTTTCAGATCTTCCCCGTCTGAGTCGCCGGTAAAAGAGAAGAATGAGAGGCCTGGGACGGGTTTGGCGTTTGGTTCTGGAGGTGGAAGACGTGGGTTGAGCGTTTTTGCGGTGGGTTGCACACGGGTTGGTGCTGTGTTGGTCTCGGAGGTCGAGGAGGGAGTTGTACGGGGGTCCGGGCGGGATGTTGAGCGTGGTGGTACGGCGGAGTCGTCGATGCTGTATGGTCTAACTGGAGAAGATTCCCGAGACCAGAACGCATCGCCTTGGCCTCCTGCTTCTTTCAATGCTGCCCGGAGGTACCGTCCGCCCGAGAACAGGGCCATGTACAGAACCCATGCATATGCTAGCAAGACATGAGGATTTGCTTCCACGGATGTCTTAGTATGTTGCAGAAATTCTGCCAGAGGTCCAGAATGTGATATGGCTCTCAACTGGGCCGTTATCTGGTGATCCGGGGTGTTCGTCAGGGTCCGTATGTCTGCCAGCAGTCGCCCTGCTCGAAGCAGACCTGGCATCCGGAGGTGTGAGAGTAGAGAGTGTGTTCTTGTGCAGATCTTCGGCGTGTGGATCATGGGTGTGGGTTTCTGCGTGCTATTCGACACCAAGGGAATGGACTTTGAGTCCAGGAGGGGTTGCCCTGGATCGCATGCATCGTGATTGGTTTGCAGGGTGGTCGGCAGCTGTGGAAAGGAGAGCAGTGCTCCCCAGAGGTCTTCGAAGGTTGAGTAGATAGGTGCGATGTGGAAGAGGCCTGAGACGTAGGTTGAGGGGTTGGTGGTGTATGGTGGAAGGGCGAGGGGTAGTCGGGTCAGGATAAGGCGATTGAGTTGGGTGTGGAGAGGGCGGGTCGAGATATTGACTTTGGATTTTGTCAGTCGTTTGCATAACTTCTAGAGAGATATGAGAACATACTGCGTTCGGAGAGGGAATGAGGGTTTATCGGGGGAGAGGGCATAGGAGAAGGCGTGGGAATGCTGCTGTCTGACATTTTCTCGCTATCATGGTGTGCGAACATTAAACAGTAAAAGCGGAAGTGCGATAAGTATAAGTGCAAGAGAAGGAAGTTATCAATATTTGTACTCTAGGTAACGTGTTGTAGGTGAAGTCGGAGACGGTCGTGAATAGGGGAAGAGAAGAAATGATTCCGAATAGAGGATCGATTTTTTGGTTCTGTTTTGTTTTGTTTTGTTATTCACACACTTGGAGTTGGGGTCGATGGCAGATAGCTCCTTCGATAGTTCCAGGACGGCTTGGGCACTTTGGCACCGCTTTGGACCCGATCGCGACTCTTCTGTCGCTATCGATAAAGTTTATTTCGACTAGACTGCGCCAGAAGAGAGGATAGAGCGAAGGGGGTAAGGGTAGAGATAGAGTCTGGAGATCGTATGGGGAGAGAAATCATAGGAGGACGGAGGACAGAAAGTGGACAGAATACTTATCTTCTGGTCCGGTCCATCCACGGCCTCGGCATTTTACTAGTGTGGATCGATTTGTACCTTTTCGATCGTTCGATCGCATCATCGGAGGTAAATTTACTCGTACAGTACCTACAGCCTGGATATTCTTGCGACATCTGTTGCTACGTTCTTCTTGCAGTCGAAGATGGAAACCGCCGACATTGTTCTTTATTTTGCTTTGATATTTCAGATTCAGGAGAAGAAGGCAACCAGCCCTGCTTGCTTCCCTTATCTTAGGTTATCTGGACCTCGCCTGCACTGCTGATACACGGGGATCCGACATTTCCATTGTGTCTCTCCAGAATCCCATCCCGGCAGCGACTTGATACGAGAATACCATCTGGCGGCTGCGACATAGATCCATTCCTACCTAGATACCTCAAGTGTCTCAGTGTGCAAGTGTGGGATCATGTGACGGGCTCAACTTTTGTCACTTTGACGGTATTCCCATGTTCTGATCGTCAGCTTGTCTGTCTGGTTCACAATGGTCACCGATCTCCGAAGCTTACCACTGGTAACAAATGCCAGTTGGACCTTTCAGTGTTCTGTGGGTATGTCGCTGACGTTGATTTCGCCTGATATTCGCTGCATCCTGGCTGTGTGCGAACCAATCCAGCCTCGCTGCCTAAATCCTGCTGGATCCTTTAATTGGCATGTAAGTTTATGATGTTTCACCTGTTCAATCATTCCTCGTCGTTCTCATCCGTTCTTGCCTGTGTTCTTGTCTCATCTTTCCACGTTTTTCGGGGGCCCAGCTTGTTGGCTTTCTACAGTAAAAAAAGTCTTTGAAACCATCTGCAAGATGGAAACCGGCACCAGCCACGAACCTGCCGCTGTTGAGGCAGTTGTGTCGTCACTGCCACCCTTCCTGAGGCTTTGTCGTGAGATTCGCGATCTCATCTATCTTGCCGTCCTTGGATCAGCCGATCGAGCTCCGGTATCGTCAAGTGCGTGCGGGCCTCGTCTTGACCTTGGATACCAAGAGTGTCTAGATGCACAACAATTGGAACTCTGCCAGCACAAGCAACCCCCACTCGACTATGGTACCTTGAGTCAATGGAATAGATACTCGAAGGCTTCTTCTCGCGTCAATAGTCGGTCTCTTCTATATCTTAATCATCAGATACATGTAGAAACGTTGGAGGCTATCTCGCGCATCAGAGCTTCAGGCAGCCTCAAGTACTCGCTTGACTGCATTATCGAGAATGAATGGGTTATATATCCGACATGGCTTTCCGTACCAGCTGTCTCATCTCACGTCGATGTTGTGGAGGCTCAGATCAGAGCGGTTGGAGATTGGACGGAGAAGTACAAGTCTGGCTGGCGCGCAGGCTGTGGAGAGTACGCTCACATCATCTGGAGTTTACTCGAGTTGCTTCAGCGCTTCCTCGTCCGAGGCCCGGATTTTCTATCCCAGCCCAAGCAAAGAGGGCTCGCCATTGGGACCCTTGTGCTGACCGTCCTTACTCCAGACGAACCAGAGTGTGGTTTCCTTCCGGTGGAGCACCATATTGGTTCAAGTAGCAATCGGAGTCATGGTCTGATTCATCCGGGGAGCGTGGCAAATATGCTGCACTTGCACATGGATACCTTGTTGTGTTATGCTTGTGGTGGAGTCACTGAGCGTCACAGGACCGGGTACCGCGTTATGAAGCTGGGAGACTACATCGACAGAATCGAAATTCGGCTTGATGGCAATGAGAGGAGCTCTTGGACTCTGAAGGAACTGCTCTACAAAAGCCAATGGAACTAGTTCCCCAAGGTTCACTGTTTTCTTACACTGAGCTTAACTATCATTTCAAACTTTCAATTCGACGACTTGACAACTTGAGCAACAAATTCGTGCCGAGCTTACGCAGGCTCGAGAGGCAATTCCACTCATGACCTATAGACCAAGTTGTAAATCAGCTTCGCTTAGTCACGATATCACAGAGACTAGTTGCTTGACAATTGCCACCAGCTCAACGGGCTGCCAGAAGGCTGATTCTTTCTATTTCTCCTGTTTCTCCGTTGCTTTCCATGTAATCTTAATTACTAGCTACATTTGCCGAGAATCAGAATTCTTGTCTGTGGCGCAAGCGAGCTTGCATGAGATTGATGTTTACAGTATAATTTTGCCTCTGGTAATCGACAGCTCGCGTACAGTAAGTAGACTTCCGCTAGTCCTTCGGGCTCAGCCAGGATGAAAACTGAAGAAATCCACACTCGTTGTTAATCCTCTTTATTCTGACCGAGAGCTATTGTAAGAAGTCTACTGGATCGCGAGCTGACCGTTATCTCCTTTCTCTCTATCTAGATTTTGGTAGAGATCCGAGAATTCCTCTGTGTCTTTCTATCCAAGTTTTACTACCTGATAGTGTACCCCAACGAGATTTCACATTGGAACAAATTGACTTGTTTGTAAATGGTTGAACCGTTGTTGTTGAACGTTTGGAGGCTAGGACAGTGGTGCTGTCGAAAGGTGAGAGGTAAAATGTTGATGCACTGATCTGCTGTACCGGGTGGAAGCATACACCACCTCTTGCTTTCCTACCTTATGGGAAGTCTCCTCTCTCGACCTTGTGTATCCACTGGATACTTTAGCTCCATTTCCCCTTTGAACTCGTGCAGATGAGGAGATGCTGTCGCATATATCAATACTCAAGGACGAACCCTTGGACACCCCCGCTTTAAACTCTTTATCGTGTACGGCGTCGTATAGCCTCTACCGCTTCCTTGTCTCGCCTTCATTACTCCACACACAGGACATCGCCTTTGCCCGCTCCATGCTCAGTATTCTCATGCCTACACGTGCACAAATCCCAGCTCTCTGGACAACAGCAGTCTTCTTCCACTCCATCCCTAACCTAAACCCTTCATCTAATTCAGACTCTCCGTGTGGATCAGAGAGTCCATCTTTATCTACATTCTCAAATAAGCCGAATGCCAAGAAAATTGACGAGATAGAACGAAACAACGTTGTGGAATCGTTTGGGATATAGAGACGTCCGCAGGGATGGGGGGACGCTTTCCAGAAAGTGAGAGTGTGTTTGAGGAGGTGGATTGATTTGGTGTGTTGTTTGGGAATCTACGGATAGATACGTGGAAGAGGGTGGGTAGGTGGTGGGGAGGATGGGAGTGGAGGGAGTTGGTTCAGGCGTCTGGCTTACGGGGCTATAAAGTGTTGGTGACAAAGTGGATAGCGCTTGAGAGAAGGGAGGAAGGGACCGGCTGATGGAATTTAGTGGCTTAATGGATTTACTGGATGCAGGTAGAAAATTAACATTGGAAATATTTTAGAATAATGTTAATGCTGTTTCTTGATGGTGGTTAGGAAGAAGGATGTTGGGAAGAAGCAGAAGTTGTTTGTTGACTTTCGGCAGCGTGCTCTCGCTTAAGCAATGCCATAGAACAAAGCATTCTCAATCATATTTCTAACATCCCAGCCCAGGCTCGCCAGGGTCGGGGAATAAATTGCGTAGCATAGCTGGCGTGCTGGACTTTGTTGCTTCAGGTCAAAAGCTACTGCAAGATGCCTGGAACAGAGACCCATATGCATTTCGCAAGATCCCAGGACTATCCGAATGTTAAACCCTCAGCCCTCCTCTTAATTGTCGTAAAGACCCCCATCGACGTACTCAACTCATCGAACCAGCCATAGCCAGCCCCAAGTCCAACTTTCATGAGCAGGGACACAAAATAACTATGTTGAGGACTCATATCCGGCGATGCCGCTGCGCCTGTCAAGAGAATCCATACGAAGATTCCAGGGAAAGCATCCCACGTTGCATCGTTGTCAGGAGATTCGAGAGCTTGACAGAGTTCCTGCGCTATGGGTAGGTTTAGAGGTGACGAAAAGGGAGTTGGTGGTGTATGTGTGGCGGCTGCGAAGATCGTTGCTGTGAGGTGTATTATTCGGTGGAGGAGGGTGATAGGTTTGTTGGCTGTGGCTGAGAGGGGCGGGAGGGTGTATTTTGGAGAGCTTAAGCGGGTTTGGTGACTAGTCGTGAGGTCTTGCATGTGTTGGAGGGATTGGATGCTTTTCAAGCAGAAGGGTGAACCGCGAAGCACGTGTTCAAGCCGGCGTGTGCTGCAAAGAGGAGAGTCGGAAATGCGGTTAAGTCGAATGCCGAGGATATTTGGGGGTAAAGATGTAGAGGTTGAAGCTTGGATGAATCGGGGGGTGGTGTTACTCATGATTGCGACAATGAGGTCTAGACTGTACGATATCAGCGAAGAACGGGCGCAGGGCTCGACAGAATAAATGAATTCGTAGTGCTTACAGTAAAACCTTGACCAGGAAGTGTTTGTTATTTCCGAAACTGCCAATACCTCCCCGGAGATTAACAATTCGTTCAAGGCCATTGACATGATGGATGGATTCTACATTGTTACCACGAGCGATCTGTATTGAAATTTGTCAGAGTGTCACGATAATAATGTGTCCTTACTCACCTCGAAGCTGATGAGCAGCAAAATACTTCCAATGGTAGTGTCGCTGGTCCCAAGGACATCGTTCCGCAATCTTCCATTGATCCACTTGATTGTCTCCACCTTGAAGGCGAAGTACTCCTGACTGTTGTGAATGTGAGGTAAGACTTGAGCGCTGTTGTGTAAGCAGTCACGCGGGGAGCGGAAGTTCGGAATAGGAATGATCCTGCTGGGCATCCAAACAGAGACTTTTGGGGTCAAGCGGCCAGTTGACTCAGGAAATGGCCAACCTTCTGAACGCATGCAGAGAATGGGAGCTCCGTCCAGCTGGAATATTGCATATGGAGTAGCTGTATACATAAATAAGTACTGAACCTTGATGCAATGATAGCTCATTAGTTGGAGTTTATCTCACAAGAGTCAAAGGTCCATTGTTCGAATGGACGTATAAATCCAGCAATAGAGAAGAATCGTGAATCTTCTATTGTACCGCCTTGGCCTTTTGAATGTCGAGAAGATGATTCATTGGGATTGGTGATAATAAGCTGTTGAATTTGATTCGTTGGGTGCGCAACAGCACTCGATGGCTTGGCCAACTCTTCGGCACTCTCATTAATAGCGTCGGGTTCCAACGATGAAATTGGAGAGGCAAAACTGCCATTAGCACTTGCTTCAGGAGTTTTTGAATCTGGATTTGATGCTGATGATGCTGATTTATCCTTCTGAATTAAGGTATGCTTTCTCACTGTAGACTTGTTCTGCGCTCTGCGGCGAGAGTGTACAGCTCGCATGACATGGTGGCGAACTGTCTTACGATGCTCTCTACTGGCAGGAAGAAGTGGTTCTTCTACCATAACGAAGGGCATCGGGTGAAGGTCTTCGTTCGGACTTGAAAATGAGCTTGGTGGTCCATGGTTACTGCTTGCCACACCATGGTTCATTTCGGATTCTGCTAAGTCGTTGAAGTAGTGAACACCGGGCTAAAGTGCAATGTAGTACACAGTTTCTTGAATTGGCGCGTAACGATGTCTTCGGCGTTCTCTCGGTTCGTCGAATTTTTGGTGGTTTTCATTTACCAAATCGAGCGAATGCCTCCTGATATCGGCTTGTGTGACTTGAACTAAAATGGTAAGCAAGCATTTCAATGGAGACCATAGTCTGGAACGTCAATACATAAAGTGGCTCACAGCACTACCATACGCACTTCTTGGATAGCAGTCGCGCCGTAGGAGGTGGAAGCTGGCTAAGAAGCAGACCTTTTTGAGGATACAAATGAAAGTTTCAGCAATCTGAGGACGACCGAGGAGAGAGAACTCGCTGGAATATCACAGATCTAGGAGGGGCAATCTCGGGGAGCTAGGTTCATTCCCACTTTCCAGTCTCAGCGATATACTCGTACCTATATCGAGGCTTGGCACGTTGCTCGATGGAAGTCACAGCTGTCCATGATGAAACTCGTCGTCTCATCGAATACCTGCGGCAAGCCGAGACAGAGCATTATCGTCGTGATCACTTCTCATCGACAAGATAGAGGCAGGCGGTGACGCTGTGGCTGTTGATTGACCATTTGTTGGCTCATTGATGGGGCAAGTTGTCTCATCCTCGCTGGGAGGAGCCTCGTTTCGGCGAGAGATGCTTCATCTCGCCGAGATAGCAGCATTACCGGCGTATACCGTCTATGATGAGTTTATGAGCCATTGGTCTCCCACTTTCGTTCTCCACTGCTTCAAATCTACCAGGACGCTTAATAATCCTCGTTTATGCAGAAAGGTGGGCAAGTACAAAAAGTAGCAGGGAGTGCCTGCCGTATTGGACGTGATTGACTGTCCAGTCGGAATAACTTGTTCCCACATTTGCTGAGGTGCATCTCATTTCACTGACTCTCTGGAGTTGAGGCTGGTATATCTTGTAGATAATCGCTGCACTGCAATCTGGCTCTTGTTACTGGTCGTTGCCCTGATTTGTCATGGGTTTTCAGCTTTGTCACCGGCTTCTCTACGTCGCCCCTAATCAATTTTTGCCAAGCAATCGACCTTAATGTAAGCACCGACGCATCGTATGCAAGGGCTCTGAACATCGAAAGTCGGGTACGCTGAATACGAAGGAGAGATAGCGGGGCATTAAATCAGACAGAAATTGTCCAAGTTCTATTACAGGCCTTGATCTGTTCTGCTCCAAGAAGACGGTGAAACTGGAGGCAGTTAAGCAAGACTTAGATATGCATCAAATGTGTTGGGAACAAAATAACGCATTTCCATTCCGTCAACTCTCTATTAAACTGTCCTGAGGTCAGATCCTCATTTTTGACTCAAAATCATCTAGACAGCAGTCCACCTGCGGTACCAATGACCTCGATATTTCGGCACTTGAGAACTACCGGTACTCCAAGAGCCCAGATAGTAGTAACCGCTGACAACATGTTTCGCTGAGCATCCCAATAAGCATGCTATGTGGCGAGACGGGTAGTCGAGCCCATTAGGTACAGCAATTATGTCGTGATATTGGCATGAGCCATGGTGATGTCCGAGTAATCCTCGGCGGGTACGCATTATATTGGTGGTAAGATATTCCGCTGGGTAGCAGAGGAGATGGCAAGACACATCGCCGATTCGAAGCTACCAAACAATCCCAGAACAGCAATACTAACAGCAAATGACTGTTGCTTGGCAGCAGCGCCATTTATTGCCATCTCATCACAAATGATAAGGGGATCAATGGCAAAAGATATGAAGTTCTGACACATGACAATGTAGCCGATTACTTGATCAGGTATGCGGAAGTATATCAGTGATCCTAAGCCAAAGATACTGATATGGACGATCGATTAGAGGAGATCGGCCTGAATCATTCTGTCCAGGAGATGATCCTACTACCAGCGATGACGATCAAGTTGCAGCTCACCGTCTGATTTTGGACCACGCAAGTAGCAATCGTGGCGAATCTCTAGTGACCGAAAAGAATAATTCAGCCTGGGTTCATCTCTGGGGGCGAAAGTTAACGTCTCATTGCGCATTGAGGACACGATTCAACATCTGCAGTGCAAAGGTTCCGATTGTAAACAAAGGGGGCATCTCGCTTCCAATTAGCGAGATCAACATTCCAGGTCATCAGACGATTGAGCAGTTTCAAATATCCCAACAAAACCTGAAAGGCTTGGGAACCAGCCTCACATATTTGTTTCCTTAGAAACGTGTCAATAATCCATTAATGATCTTGCCGCAATCTATAGCCTAGGTTCGCGTGAGGGCAGCACCGCGAGCAAATACAATGAAAATTGGTGGCTATGATCACGTGATATCCATCCCCCAATTGAACATACCTTACCTACCTAGGTAGTTCCATGGGGTACCTAGCATGTATGTAGGTTCGATGTCCTTTTTGCAGAGATATGAATCGTTTCTTGAACAATATGCGACTTGTAGATAGAACTGCAGAGCAAAGATCCTTCATCTGTGACAGAGCTTCAGGTTTCGTTGACCAGAATTTAAATTGAGGCGGGCGCGTCCCAACAAGGGAGGAGATCGCTGCTGCAGTCCGAACCTTCTCTCGTCAGCTCATGCAGAGTTATCGAAGCAGAGTTGATGCAGGTTTCCCGCGTATTTTTGGATCTGAAGATTCCAGTTTGACCAGTTATTTGTTTGCTACACAAGTTTGAGAGGGCAAGCAAGCCATCGACGATCGTGTCCAGGGTGCTGGTGGTGCACCAATGGAAGCGGGTCGGCTGCAGCCTTATTCTTGATTTACGTTTACTGTACCTAGGGTATCGCCGCCTTGATTCGAGAGCATCGCATTGCCTTCCCAAAGGTAAATTGAATAATATATACCTACCTGAGTTGCCATCTTCGCGATATCCACCGTCAACCTTTCTCTCGGCCACCAGCCCGGCCAACCGGTTCTTCCCTTCCTGTGCCTCGACTAGAATAACGACGGCGGGCGTATTAACAAAAGCTTCTTTCACTTCGAGCTTTATCGGGCGCCCAACACCACATCGCCATCCCCGCAATCAACCCTTCCGAGCCTTCCAACCACTCCAGCCTTTCGACGATGACCCTAGCGGCACAGCCTCCTCACCCAACTATCCCCTCCCGTACCTCGACTAGCAGTGAAGAGCTTTGCGAATCACCGAGGGGCGCTGGTGAGCTATGCTGATCCGAGTACTCCGTATCTCTCTGTTGGCGGTATTTTCGGAATTAAAGTGAGTTGAGCCGCTGGGTTCAGATTATTGCTTTCGGGAACAACAAGACCATTTGCGCATGGCATCTTTTGTTGTCGTCCCAACTGCAGAAAAACGGCCTCCGAGGCTGGAGGAACACATATTCGACGCCGAAGATAGGACAGACGCGCTGCGAATGGCGTTCCGCGACCGAACGATTTAATGGCGCTCCTGAATCCTACCTTTATTTTCGGGGTGATAGTGCTCGCATACCTCTCCTCGTTCATTCTATTCGCCGTTCTTCGAATTCTTACGGGCATATCCATCCAGCGCATCGGATACTTTTCGTTGAGAAGACTGGCATACACACCGAAAGATGGCATAAAGATTGAGGTTCGGGGCTTGGGCGTGAACCTGCACCGGCCTACATTTGCACAACCAACATGGGTCAGCATCGTGCTCACAGAATTGGCGGTGACTGTAGACTTGCGGGCTGCAGATGGGGAGAAAGGTGGCAGTCATGAGGAGGACACTAATGGGACCGTGGAGGGGGCAGATGGTCCAGCATGCGACTTCGAGCCAAAGAGGAAGCCGTTGTCGCGGACAACCAGCTTTGGCCACCCTCGAAGCAAGAGTTGGAAGACGCTCACGAGTATAAAGGAACGCATTAAACGTCTACACCGTAATATCAACTGGATCCGCATGGTTGACGTGGTGGCTACAAATTCGTCTGTGACGGTTGTTGACGTGGGGCAGATACAAGTTGGAAGCTTTACCATGGCAGTAGACACTCGGCCGAAGATGGTGGACCGCGGGAGGATGTTCTCACATCTTAAGTCTCCCAAGAAGGAGCAACGACCAGCAGAGTGGATGATCACGGTTCGAAGTGCTTTGTTCACCCCTGAAGGCAAAGATTCTCTCGAAGTGCTCGATCACGCGACCCTCAACATACACGGACTGCTGTATAAAGACTTGGATGGGCTGCGAGATGCTGCTATCTCCCTCAAGTTGGGGAGAGTTCACATACCATATGACGATATTAGTACCTGCATGAACAGGTACAAAGGATGCCGGCGGCTCTATGTGCAAGAAACACCAGATGTGGAGGAACTCTCCGTCACGGATCTTATTGAGGAACTTGATAGGCCTGGCAGCCGGGAGGAAAATCTTGTTCAGACAGTATCAGATTCCAAGGAGTTTGTGAGCTCTATCCTTCGAGGCATCAAGGAAGTCCAATTTGCTGTTAGTTTCGTGGGGTTTACAAAGAAAATCAACGCCGTACAACCCCATGGCACCCCGATCTATCTGAATGCTTCAATGAAGGAGGTCGGTGTTGATCTGCACCGATTAGACCAGAAGTCTCCTGCACACCGGATGTACTTTTCTTCAAAGGACGTAGCACATCAAGCTTTGGTCGCTGCTCTAGCGATTTCTGTTGGTGTAGAAGACGGCCATGGGAAGTCAGAGAGGCTAGCATATATTCCGATGGCAACAACGACTGTACGGACAACTCTCCCTTCAAAAACAGTGGAATTCGCCGCGGACAACAGTGCAGCTGAAAGGAATGCCAACATTCTTTTTGCAAACGTTGTCATCACCTCACCTTCTGTTGACTTGGATCCAAAGCATTTGCCCCTGATCCTGGCACTGTTACGCAAGAATCAGAGACCAAGGAGTTCAACACGGTCTCAGAAGCACGTAGTTATCTCGCGACTATTGCCAAAAGCCAACGTCAAATTCTCCATGCATGAGCCTGTCATCCGAATCGCTTTACCTCCCGTGGAGAAAACCGCAGCAGAAGATGATTTTGATCTGATTATTTCGTCGATATCATCAGTCTCCCTGGACATAGAGTCTTCGCACTCCGCTGTTGGAGAACTCCATTACAGTCTAGGTTCGACGTTGCGTGTACAATCACACGACCTTTACTACCAGACATCTTCTGGAGCCCACTTTGACTTGGTTCAAACAGAGTCTCTCGAGCTCAAAGTTCAGCTGAATGCAAATCCAGAAGTTCATGTTGTCGCGACAGGAAATCTTCAGACCTTTTCTATATATATGATTCGACCCGAAATCAGTGATGGGGTACGCCAGATTGTTCGCCAGTTGCGACTCAACGAAGCGCCCACCAAGAAGGCACACGCAAGAACCACTCGAGACCCAAACTTCATCAGAGCACTGCCTCCTTGGCTCCTACATTTCCAGTTGTCAGGCTCCGACTTTAGCGCTGAGGTGGCTGGCGTGGACGAAGATATCTCTGACGATACGAGAGGTATCGCATTACAACTTGAGTCTTGGACAGCGGATTACAAGGCTTTGAAATTGGATTCTTTGGAGAGAAAATCCTCGCGGCGCCGAACAGGTAGTCGGTCGTTGACGCCTGATCCAGAATTCTTCCTGAACATGCCTACGTCTCCACGCAGAAAGCAGCAGCAGCATCCTACTGATGGACGTCGCCTGGCTGTTCATGTCCGTGGCCTAGAAGCTTTCATTGTCGAATCGACTGATAAGTGGGAGCATGAGCCATTTGTTGCCATGCCACGCTTCGAAGTTGCAGTGTCCACGTCCAGTGATGCTCAAGGACCAGTATTCCACGTTAACTCGCATGTTCGACAGCTTCTCGTCCAGTACTCCTTGTATCGACACTACGCTGTTGGAGTTGCCACAACCGTCCTTAGGAAGGCATTTGTACGTACAAAAGCAGATAGGGACGAAGAACGAGCCCGTATAGCATCAGCGGCTGTCTTTGATAATGATCTCCTATCACCGCTCAAGTCTCCCGAGGACTTCTACACCCGGGATGCACCTGAGTACCCTTTCACTGCAAAAGAGTTGGTCACGGTCGACCTGAGGGCGACGCTGGTCCAAATCAAAGCCCAAATGCCTTCAGACCCTGCCATAATGTTGCAAATATATGGTATGGAAGCCGGACGACACAGGTGGTCACCGCCTTTTCTCCACTCCAAGCTTGCAAGGCTGTATGCCGAAGCCCCAAGAATTAAACGGGTCTGGGCGAGACTTGTCAGTATCAAGGGCTTGCGAGCGGATTTACGTGAAAGTCGGAGAAAACATAGCAATGGAGAAACCTTGGACGAGAAGCTTATCGATCTTAATTCTGAAGCCATCCGACTAGCGATTCCACATCAACTCGTCCTCCACAAAGTCTTCGACAATTTTGTCAACACTCTCAAGGCTGTGCAGCAACTTCATCATCGCTTTGTCACTGGTACGAATGAGTATATACTCAACAAGGGTCCGGAGGGGCCGAAGCAATTACCGAAAATATCGATACGTAGCAGAGCTCTCCTTTTTGAACTTGAGGATGGCGCATTCGAATGGAAGCTTGGGACTATCTACCGGACCGGATTGGTAGAACAGGCACAGCGTATCGCACGCGATGTGGCGTTCAAAGTTAAGGCTAAGAAGATCGAGGATGAAGAAATGAGGAAAGACTCCTCTCGATTTCGCAATAGATCTGCTCACCCACGGGGTCGCAGTACCCACAAGGATGCCCAGGCGCCGAAACGGAGTAAAAGTGAAGATCAAATTATCCATGAGAGTCATCATTCTAAATCTCATCGCGGCCGTACGCTGCGTTATGATCCTGAAGGTACATGTGGAATTAGTTCATCTGCCAAAATCTCAATTGGCGAGGCGCATGAGAAGCTGCAAAGACACAATGCTCAGAGTTGGAAGCGGAGGATTGACCGCATCTACGGGTTGGCGAAGAGTGGCATGAAGGACATTCGAGGCATCTTCTGGGGTCCTGATGAACTGCCCGACGAGATGGAGGATTCTGAGAATATTCTCGAGGTCCCACAACGGCCGGCACTGATGGCCACGCTGATTAGTGACCTTCACATCACTATCGAAAAGCCCTCGTTTCCCATGCACCAGCTGCCAGATTTCATTCATCGCGTCGGAAAAGGGATGCCTTATGACATGAAGTACTCGCTTTTAATCCCTATGCATGTGCAGATAGACATGGGAGAAGCTCGTATAACGCTGCGAGATTATCCACTGCCTCTTTTACATGTTCCCGCCATAAAGCCTGGACAATCACCACGCCTTCCTGCTTGGTCTCTCAAGTCAGATTTCGTTATTGCTGAAGAGTTCCGCGGCTCAGAATCAACGCGACACGTTAAGGTAGATATTGTCCCTGCAGTGAAGTGCCAACCTGGAAGCGCAAGGGCTGGTGGGTTCGCAATTGACGTTCGGAGAACCGTTTCACCGGTCAAGTCATACTCGGACATCAAGGTGGACATCAACACTGGGTTCCCAACAAGAATTACGTGGGGTGCATCATACCAGCCAGCAATTCAAGACATGATGATGGTGATCGAGACATTCACCAAGCCTCAGGTGGACCCATCTGATAGAACTGGTTTCTGGGACAAGATTAGACTCAGCTTCCACTCTCGTGTCAGTGTTGCATGGAAAGGAGATGGTGATGTCCATCTCATGCTCAAAGGAACCCGCGATCCCTACGTGGTTACTGGCAATGGGGCAGGGTTTCTCATGTGCTGGCGAAATGACGTGCGTTGGAACATTTGCCGCGAGGAGGACCCAAGAAAATTCATGACCGTGGACAGCGGCGAATACATTCTTGCAATTCCGGATTTCAGTCACCAAGCACGCAACATATCGAAACTCGATCGCGATAGCGACAGCATGACTAGCGTCGACAGTTTCAAGCGAGGTGCAGCCTTCAAGAAAGTTGTTATGAAACTCTCCGGAAATGTTCAATGGCTCGTTGGTTTAATGTTTGAGAGAAATCTACGGGAAGAAGGCAAACGATCGTTTGATTTCGAACCACATTACAACGTCATCTTGAAAGAAGCCCGTTTCGCACAGGCACCACCCGGCCTCGAGTATGATGCTTTCAGAGGCTTCCGCAGTCACCACATTCACATGTCAATTGCTGTCAAAGCACCTGTCAATCGTGAGTGGTCCGTATCGAACCTGGAGAAATCGAATAGCTACAACACCGTACATCTCACGCCTCGATTCTTTTCTCACTTCTTCGCTTGGTGGTCAATGTTTAATGGTACAATGTCACTCCCTATTCGACAAGGAGCATTATGGCCAGGCATTGAGAAGTCAAGTAAGAAATTCGGCCGACATCTTGCTACAATCAAGTACAATCTATTATTGGCGCCGCTCTTTATTAGCCATATTTACAAGCATAAGGATGCCGAAGATTACTCTGCGGACGTCGTCTCGGCCACTGGATTGAAGATGAGACTTGACAGTTTTATGCTTGACATGCATCAGCGACGTGAAGAGTTTCCTACTCATGATAAGGGCCGCAAGACACAAGGAAAAACTACAGCTATGAAGATGCATCAAGCACAACTCGACTTGCTTTCTGCCGATATTCGTGCCATCACGGCTAGCATTGCAGGTACTACACCTGAAGATTTGCAGAAGGCCTCAGCCCCAACTCTCGTTTCTCAATTGGATACGCCCTCCACAGATCTGTCACACTTCGAAATTCCGGACAACGACTTCAGTTGGATCGATATGGACGATTTCGTCGAGTTGGATTGGATATTACCCTCCGAGGCAAATCCAGAAACTAAGATCATGCCGCTTGCATATGCTCCACGCTTCACTTATTTCCGCCAGACCGACCACGGTGACACAATTTCGGGTGACCCAGACAGGACCAGCCCATTCGGACACGAACAGACACATTTCTGTATCATGAGCAGAGATGATGATCCTCGTCGCGTGCAATGCCATCTCATCCAGACCCGCCTGGACCAACTGGAGAAACAGATGGAAACCCATAGCCAGGCAGTCGAAGATGCTGAGCTTGAATGTGTTCGGGATGACACTAATACTTCGCTTAGGGCTGACTTCGAACAGCTGAGCAAGCATGGCACTTTCTTGCGAGACAAGAGACTCTTCTTGGAGTCTATGCTTCGACGGATGGCCATGCGCATTCACACGGACAAGAAGCGCGCAGTGCCTGATGGAGATGCAGATGTCGACAGTGATGGTGAAACCTCGTCACCCAAGCATTACGATGCAGCAGCGGAGGGAATGGACACAAATCCCGGAGCAGACTTCATCAGCGATTTCAACAATCGATTTGTTATCCACAATATGCAGCTTAAGTGGAACAATCTTTTGAGGAATATCATTCTTCGCTACATCCACCAAGTCAGCCAAAGGCGTGGCTTTGTCTACTATCTGTCCAGACGCGCCGTCAAGTTCATCCTTGATATCGTCGATGAACAGAACAAGGCCAAGGTTGTCAAGCCGACTGTAACGCCGGAGACGGATGATTCTGATAGGAGCCATTCGCCAGAGGCCCCAAATTGTGAACCTGGATCCCGAGATGTCGAAGATCGCATCAATCAACTCCTGGCCGATGGTAGAGACTTCGTCAACGCTGATGATCCCAAGGGTCCGAGAAAAGAGCCAGAGAAGAACCAAAGGGTCTCTTCGGAGAATTTGCATGCTGGAATCGGACGAGAATTTACACCACAGAACAGCTACCACCTACGGCTAATAGCACCTCAAATTCAACTTCAAAGCGAGAAAAACTCCAAAGCTGTGGTGCTCGTAACTGCCAAGGGCATGGAAGGGAAGGTAGTTGAAGTCATGGATAAAGATCGCATCTTTGACGATGTCAGTGGTCTTGTTCAGCGACGCTTTTCGGTGGAAATGGATAGCACCCAGTTTTTCGTTACTCATCAGAAGTGGTTCTCATCGCAACTGCTCTCAATGTACTCTGGAAATCATTATGGTGTCCCGGCTGGATCTGTTTGGCCTCCATGGGTACCCATGGAAGTAATGTTCGACTTCAAAGTTGATCCTTTCGGCTTCAAGCGTATTGTCCAGAAGACTTCCGCGACCTTGATCTACGAGAAGTACAATACCCTGCGACTTAAATACAACGATGAAATCAGCAGTGAGGGAACCCATGCCGCAGCTACAAGCAAGGTTGAAAATCGAATGGACCATCTCTATGTCGAGTTTCCACAGATCTTCGCCATCTGCAATTCAGCACAGTATTACGCTATGTACATCATCGTTATGGATTTGCTTATGTACAGTGAGCCACTGGAGAAAACAAGAAATGAGCGTTTGGAGAAGATCATGCTTGCTTCTGACTTCAGTGATCTGCGAGGTGCTCCCGAAATGGTTATACGCTTACAAGAACGGATTCGACAGCTGGAAGAAATTAAGACACAATTCCAGATCAATTCAAAGTTCCTCGACAAGAAAGGCTGGGAAGATAGACTTGCGTTGGATAGAGATCTGACAAGCTGTGAAGACGAACTGTTCTTCATGATGAAAGCAATTACCTCATCTCAAAGAAAGTACGATGCTACCCAGACTAGCGGGCTGCTTAGATGGATCATCTCATCCGACCAAATCGTTTGGCATCTTATCCGTGACAACAACGAGCCACTTATGGAGTTCCAGCTTCAACACGCCGAATACGATAGAGTAGATAACTCAGACGGATCACACGCAAACAACATGAGCATCGGAAAGATTATTGGCCTCAATCTTCTCCCAGATGCAATCTACCCCGAAATGTTTGCTCCTTACTCAGACGCTGAACGTGGAGTCTTCAATGAGGGCGAGAATCACCAAATGTTGAGTGTAAACTGGAATATGCTTGAGGCGATCGCTGGAATACCGGTCATGGACCATTTTGAAGTCAACCTTTTCCCCATGAAGATCCAGCTCGAACGAGAGGTTGGAAAACGACTTTTTGACTACATGTTCCCTGGCACAAACGATACAAAGAACAAATCTCCGTTCATGGTCAAGCATATGCAGCCAGTTGAAGACGGAGACGAGGATGACGATAACTCGATGAAAACCAATAGGCCTAGCACCGTGGCTGGAGACAAGTTTGATGGGGATTCCAGCAGGAGAGCGGGATCATTGGAACTTCGCCTTCGCCCAACAATGCACTCAGAAGCCAGGCCTAGCACAGCTATCATACGCAAGAACAAGGCTTCCAGCCTTCATGCACGAGAAGAAGGCCATCATTTTCGAATATTTCAATCAAGCAGCAAGAATTCTTCCAGCTCTCGCAACCTGAGCGCGAAAACCTTGGGCAAGAAGGCATCAATTGAGAGCTTACAATCCAGTGTCAATTCGCGACCAACTCTAGGGCGATCATCAACAATCGCGTCTGGTCATGAGAGCCAGTCATCCAACGGTGACGTAAAGTCCAAGCGGTTCGGAATTCATCGTAGCTCAGGGAAAAAGGAAAAGCCATCAGACGATCTGACTGAGATGATGTCTCGAGCATCCGAATACATGACCTTAGCACATGTTAAGTTGACGAGTGTGGTGCTGTGTCTGAGTTATAAAGGGAAGGGAGAGCGAAACATTGAAGACGTGCACGATTTCGTCTTCCGTCTTCCTGAAATCGAGTATCGCAATAAAACTTGGTCAAATCTTGACCTTGCGCTCGCACTCAAGAAGGATGTCATCCGTGCCCTGATCTCCCATACTGGTGCTATCATCGGGAACAAGTTCAGCAGACATCGTCCTACTACCGCTCAACAACACCGGCTTCGAGAGCTTGCAACAAGTAGTATGCTACTGAATCCGTCAAGCCAGGACAACTCCCATGATAATAGCGATGCAAGCAGCAGTATGTTTGGTACAAGTCCAATTGCAAGATCCGATCGATCCGATCGATCCAGGAGTCCTCGAAGATCATTTGCATCGAGCAATAACGGACAGCTGGACAGGACACCAAGCAATTCTAGTAGTGTCCTTTCCATCCAATCGAGTGGTCGGTCACAGACCTTTCCGGCTTCGTTGATGATGACTCCGGCGAACAGAACCTATGATCGATCAGAAAGTATTGCAGACAGCGAAAAGACAGGCTCGAAGAGTACAAAGAGCAACGACGGAGGCTTTGTCGCTACTACTCTCAACCGTTTGAAGAAGAAGGAGCGAGAGAGCTCGTCAAGTCTGGGCGGAGGACAAGTAGACGACCATGAGGAGATGTCAAAGAAGAAGAAGGGTCTCAAGACGATCCTGGGCGGGCTTAATAAGCATGGTAGTTGATATAAAGTTCTTTTGTAACATATACTTGGTGGCTGGGCAGTAGACCCATTATTTTAGGAAGGTTGTGTAGGATTGAGGAAACGGAGGCATAGCCTTTGAGGGATAGAACATGCATGGGCGGCGTCTAGGAGCGACGAAATTATAGCGGGCTTCATCTCGGTGTTTTTTATGTTTGATTATAGTATATAGTTGAGATGGTTGTTGAGACCGGGGAGGAATATGAATGGCACACTATTGAGTACAGGTGCGGATTTGATGCTCTCCTGCGACGTTGTAGCAAGACTTCGCATTCCGAAGACGTAACAAGGGTTGGTCAGCATCAATTGAAGGCTATCGCCTAACTACTGTACGAGCTTGTCCTATCCAAAATTATCTCGATTGTTTACAGGTCATGTCACTGCCGATCTCAGTGTATGCCAAGATGAGATCCAGGTACAATCTCTTTAGGACCTGCCTTATCCGGCTAAAAAGCAACATTGGCAGCTTCCTGTTCCGCGCTGAACTTCACGATACCCCTCTTTCCCAAGCATGACATATCTTAATATGCCGTCGACATGGAGCGCGGGGTACCTGCAAAGCTTGCCAATGATGCTGTGGTGAAGTCATCGATACAAGATATTGAACTTGTGCCATATATTGAATAATTATTATGGGGATATTTCCAGACGTTTTAAAGGACAGAAAATTCTGCTTTGGTTTTCAGATTTTCATTTATTTGCCCTGTCATTCTTAAATCTCATAATACGTAGTTATGATATCCTCATCTTGCAAAGTAGCCACACTGCTACTTTCATTCCTCCCATACACATCCGCAACCTACTCCTACTACCCTTCAAGCACACCCACAAATGCCACAATCCCCATCCCCACCTCACCCTGCGATGCCGTAACAGCATGGCCATCTGACCTCCCTGGTGTGCCCTACACTTCGCAATCCCCAGATGAGGAACTTACTTCTATCCTGGAACAAGTCGATCCTGTTCGCATTCAAGCTATTGTCGAGAAGCTTGTCTCTTTTGGGACGCGTCATACACAGAGCTCACAGACTGATCCTGCACGAGGCATTGGTGCGGCGAGGGATTGGATCTTGAAGGAGTATCAGGGGTATGCGGAACAGAGTGAGGGATGGATGACAGTGGAGTTGCAAAGTTATGTGCAAAGCCCTGGAGGGAGGATTTCGGCCCCGACGAATATCAGGTACGTTCTCTCTGAGTGAATTTAGTTTTGAATGGTGAATAAAGGAGGCCATTGCCGTAGAATGTAAACTGATCGTCATCTAGTAACATTATTGCCACGTTGAAAGGAACCAGCGAGCCAGAACGGATTGTGATTATGAGGTTTGTTTGCACATGAACCCAGATCTGATGCAGGAACGTATGCTAATAGAAGAAACAAGTGGGCATTATGACTCCAGAAACACAAACGTCAGCAACTCTGTTGACGATGCTCCTGGAGCGGATGATGAGTATGCTTAAATATCTATTTCTTCTCATTTCCAATACCATATATTGACTCATTTCCAGCGCTTCAGGAGTTGCCATAGCCATGGAACTCGCCCGCATTATGGCCACCCACCGACCTCTTGCAACCATCCAATTCGCAGCCGTAGCAGGCGAGGAGCAAGGTCTCCTCGGCTCAACTTACATGGCACAAATACTCGCCAATGCCTCTGCTAACGTTCAAGGAATGTGGACGAACGACATCGTTGGCTCTCCCATCGGAGATGACGGAAAGAACCAATCCAACATAATCCGCATCTTCGCCCAAGGCATCCCAACCAACGAATCCACGTCGCGAGCAGCCCAACGCCTCTCCATAGGCGGTGAGAACGACTCACCAGCCCGCCAGCTAGCACGCTTCACCGTCGACGTAGCAAGTAACCCCCTCACTGGTATGCAAGTCGAGACCGTCTACCGCCTCGATCGCTACCTACGCGGAGGAGACCACGCCCCTTTTCTAGCAGCCGGCTACGCCGCGAACAGATTCACTGAACCTCGCGAGGATTTCGCACATCAGCACCAAGACGTGAGGGTGGAAAATGGGACGCAGTACGGTGATTTGGCAGAGTTCTGTGACTTCTACTATATTTCGAGAGTGGGCAAGGTGACGGGTGCGGCGGCGTGGAGTCTTGCGCAGGGACCGGATGGCCCGAAGAATGTTACTCTTGATACGGCGGGATTGACAAATGATAGTCTGTTGAGGTGGAGGGGGGTCAAGGGTGCGGTGGGGTATGAGGTTCTTTGGAGGGGGACAGATGAGAGCGTTTGGAGGGGAGTGGTTGATGTGGGTGATGTGCAGAGTGCAATGGTGGGGATCAGTAAAGATAATGTTGTTTTTGGAGTGAGGAGTGTGGGCGGGAATGGTTACAAGAGTCCAGCCGTGTTCCCGTTTCCTGGGTAGGTGAAGGAAGGCGAGCAAGTGTGTTCTCTATGTACCGCTGTATTGTATTTCAGGCTGGGAGAAGAAGTGCAAATAAGTACGAGCTGGAAATAGCTGCTGTAATGCCCATAGCAATAATTCTGGGAGTCTAGAGCTCGTTGTAAGGAAAGCGAAGTTCTAACTGCCTGTGTAATTGATATGATTGTTGATAGACGTCCTGTTTCGTCGTAAACTAAGCGAGGGTCGATTAGGGGGTCTCTCGCTAGAGTCAAAACAAGGAGCCGGATATCTTGGACGAAAATACTGCAAATAGTGGTAATTTGAATCTCACTCTATTATCTATGCTTATACAGCATCCCGATTAAAGGTAAATTGAAATTCGGGGTATTTTCTGTCACATAACAAACGAAAACACGTCTCCGTGTCCTGTCAGATCCACTTGATCTGTATCTCGAGACTATCCTGTAATCCATCTCGGTCTAAAATCTCCCCAGAACCCTTATATCCAATCCTAGTCATAATGCCTGCTATTTACATCTTTGCTTTATTTCTTAACCTTTTTAACCTTCAGGCCACTCATCCCCCCAGCCGATTTCCACACACTGTCAGACACGCGAATGGGAAGTTTCCTTCCCTTGAGCCTTTGGTCAATCAACCAAAGCCCGACAACAAACTCCTCCCTCTCCAGTCTCCCATTCTTGCCTCTATCGACCAACTCATACGCTTCTTCCAAAACATCGTCATGTAACCTCGACCGGGAAAATATGTCCCTGACAGCAACACTCGGAACTGAATCTTCATCTCCAGGCAACCCTGAACCAAATAACCCTCTATTCGACGCCCAGACGGCTTCATATCTTTTTCGTTCTCGTTCCGTGATAGCATCTCGCCAGCGTTTCCTGTCCCCTTCATGATGTTTATTTGGGTGCTTCTTAACGAACTTCTTCTTGCCTCGTCGCTGTAAACCCTCATCGATCTCTTCTTTAGATTTTGGTTTCCGCATTGTGGTGCGTAGGACGGCGGGCTTGGCAGGGCTGGGTGTGCGTGATGGGTCGTTCTCTTTCGCGCTGTGGTGGAAGAGTCCGCCGCGGTTGCCTCTCCGCGGAGGCGGTGGAGGTGGGTGGAGAGACGAGGCGTAGGATTTTGAGGGTGATGCTGCGCGGGAGGAGGCCAGCGAGGAGGCCACGATTGCATTTGCGAGGGAATTGACGGTTACGGAGGGGTTGGAGTGGTTGGCATGGGATTGAGATTGGAGACGCCGGTTCTGGGCGGCGATTTCAGCGCGCCAGGATGGCTGGTAGTCCGAAGGTTGGTAGTCGGATACTGAGACGAAGGAGTCGTCTGATGCTGCATCGTCATCATCAAGTGCGGTTGCGACCTCCGGCAATTTGGGTTTGTTTGGGATAGGAATGGGTATTGGAGTTGTGATAGGTAATGACGGTTTCCGTCCAGTTGGGGGAGGTTTTCGAGGCTCGGATTCGCCGGAGACACTCTGTATTGTTGCCAGAGTCGGCTTTGTAGATTTCACAGGCGGTTTTCGTGGTTTATTCGCCAGTGGTGATGGTGTCCGATTCCGCATAGGAGATGGTGATCCATTGATTCGTGATGCCTTTGTCGGAGGACCCGAAGCAGGCCTCCTAGCAGTCGGCCGCTTTTCAGTTGATGTAGACGCAGCATTCTGCTCGAACATCCCTATCAAGGACGTTGTGGGCGGTATTGGGGTCGTGTCCAGAGCATGATCAGAGCTTCGCGAGGAATTGATACTTCTCACGGACGGCGTTCTAGAATTCCCGGGCCGCCGCAGTTTCGCAGTAGAGGATTCTTGTTGGCCAGTGATGTTGGGGCTTATCGATGCAGACCGTGAAGCTGCAATGGTGGCAGCTATAAAAGAAGCAGACCTCGATTGATCTGCAGGTGTTCCTGGAGGCTGGAGATAGATATTTCTGGCACCGAGTTGGCTCTGCCTTTGCTGAACCATGTTCCGGTCCGGGCCTCCCGTATATGATCTGCTACCAACACTGGATCCAGTATTCTGATATGCCAATCGCTGGTCTCCTCCCAAATCTTCTGACCTCGAAGCATTTATGTTCCTCGTGCTCTGACGTGAGCCTCCTGTTATTGTTCCCCCTACAGAAGTTGCCGCAGCCAACGCTCCATTGTTCCCGCTGTAATTGTGTATCTGCGGCTTCGGCTTGACAGGAGGTTTCCCAAAGGCTAGAGTGGCTCCTCGGAGAGCTGCATTCCGATTCCGTGCTTTGATTGTAGAGCTCGAGTTCGTGAGAGGACCGCTGCCAAGCCTGCTGCTGTCCTGCGAAGCTGTTCTGTTCGAACTCATCGAGCCGCAGTAGGATCGCGAGCGAAGGGCGATCGAGACGGACGGTAGATATCATACGTATGGCGAATCATGAGGTTCTGCTTATACGAACGTGGTGCCCCTGGGATGCTTGTCTCCTTGGAAGCGTTGTTCGGAGGCCGTTGGAATAGACCTGGATATTTAAAATGGGCGAGGCTGAGTAACTCTTAGCACAAGGTACAGCAGCAGCCTTACCTCAGCAAATTTTGCTTTGAAGAGGATTTCTTGTGCAGTACTTTTGAAGTGTACACTAGGACTGTTGGAATCTTGTTTCAATGGTAATAATACATTTGATCTGTATCGTATTTGAGAATATTGTTATATTCAAGAACTCATTCACCATCACTGACAAGGCTGACAGATCAGCAGACCCCTCCATATGCGGCAGGAGTCTGGTGATGCTTTCAGGCGGCTCCCCTTTTGCTGCAACTCATGTAGTAGTAAATGCAAACAAATATTTCGATGAACCTGTCTTGTTGTATACATTATTACAAGAGTATCCAGGTCAAGGCAGGTTACTTCAATATCTTCCACCTATATTTCACTCCACCCCTTTCGTTCCCCTCTCATTCTGTACCTCTCCTACTCCTGTCTCCCAAGCTCCCCAATTCCATGGGATCAGTGCTCAGGCACAGACAAGCCTTGGCTACTCTGAGTGCATGACAGAAGCTTATGACGGGGCATCGAGGTCAAGTGCTAAAGAACTTCAAATGATTTTTGACTGTTTCAGTTCTCTATTCGTCAGTCTCGGCCACTATGTACACTTCCAAGACACGTTGCGCGACATACAGCCACGAACCTGGCACTCAAGGAATATCAGAAAGCTGTGGTATCGAACCGCAAACCTATTCAACTCCATTCGACCATCAAATGCATGCTGTCCGATTGCCATTCCCATGAATCCGATACTCCTGAACCCAATATAGTCTTACAATACCAAAGGACAACGCAGCGCTATGCATGAAACATCTTCTCAATTGTGGTACTGTTGAGATCCCGTAAGTGCTCCCTCTTTTCCATCTTCTTCGTTCTCACTTGTCAATTCTCAAGTCTCCTCTCCTCACATCTCCCACTTCTCATACCCCACACTGGACCCCTACCCGTCAATGAACGAGGTTTAAAACCTTCACCCCGGAGACGACAAAAATTTGAATGGACCCTCCACGCAGATACCGAAGAAAAGAAAAGCCTATCCAGGGATGGTATTGTCTCCGATGACACGGTTTGAATCCTTTTGAACCCTTCGTGCATCCTTTTCACCCGCGGCGTGAACAAAATGACATGAATCGCCAACCGCAGAGCTTTGACCCTGCCAGATCACCAATAAATGGCCAAGGATATCCTCATCGAGTGCAGATCTTGTTATATCTCCCTTGTTCATCGTTATTGTGGAAGGCTGAATAGTTTCAGCGAAACAAGACTGAACACCAACGCAACGTGGTTGATAATATTTAGGTTGATGCACGCGTCGTATGACAAGATGCCTGAAGAGGACTGATCCAGGCACAGTCGTTCTGATAAGGAAGCCCAAAATATTTTGTGCGTTGACTTAGGCGGTCTGAATCCTCGTCCTTAAGGCCGCCATGCATGCTGCACCGTGACGGTAACACCCCTGATGATCCCGGCGCCGTAAAAGTTAATGCATCTCCGAACGTCTCCGGTGGAAACAACAGCTGTTCTTATCCCCTGAAGATTTGGAACAGCCTGTCAGGATCAAATTTGTCGTCAAGGTCGCGTGCAGCAGAAGATGAACATCCTGACAACTCGAGACGGACCCTGATTTCCGCGACAAATGAAGAGCCTGCAGCGCCGCTGAAGCGAACAGTGGGGGTGCTGTTCAAACCTTCCTGTGGGATTTTCACCGTGGTCAAGTGGGTCTAGAAATCCTTCCAGAAGCCCGGCACTGGCAGAAAGTGGGCATCCAGGGTTGATTCGGAGTCCACAAAGGCGGTTAGGCGTTGCCGAATCGCGATACGTAATGTAATGCTGAAGATGGACCTGGTAACTCCCAGCGTCATGTGTCTGTTGGTAATGCCGGCACCTAGATTCGAGAAACTCCAGGTCCAGTTGTGTTCCTGGATTAATTCGTGTAGGCGACCCACCTTGCTGGAACTCCGTTCTCAGAGATTTCGTAAGGCTTCGTCGGCGGTATCCTCGGAGGCAAAGCCCATCGCGCCCTTCCAGGCTTCTGGTCATCCAGCTTTCCCTTCTTCCGCATAAGCATTTCCATGACGGCCACTCGAATGAAATCACTATTCTCCCGCATGTCCCTCTGTCGCGCCAATGGTCCGGCGGCGACCTCGGCCACATCTTCCGGGGTCGGTATGGTCCGTCGGCTAATAACCACAGGTGAAGTTCCTTTAGTTGAGCGAGATACCTTGTAGGTCTGCATCTGTATCGAAGCTGTACAAGCCGTAGAATTCATGGTCTGGGTGTGCGAATGTGGAACATGAGCCTCGATGGGGGCATTCGTAGTAGGATTGAGATATCGGCGAAGCGCTGGAGTTGGAGTGTCTTCGAGACGAGGGGGCATTCTTTCATCTGTAAATGGTACTTGAGGATCAATAGAGATGATCGATCTTGTAAGGAAGTCGTCGGGTGTGATCATAGGCGTGGTGAGACTAGAGAATGATCTTGCAGCAGACCTCAGTGCCTTTAGTGAAGCCGTTAGATTAGATTTGAATGCCGATTTGCGTCGGGGCGACTCTGTCTCGATGCTGGACTTGTCGTCCTCCTTCTCTGGTGATTTCTGAAAGACTCGGAAATCAAGCTCATCAACATCAACGTCCGATAATGGGTGACTTTCGGAGGAAACCAAGAGCGGAAATGAGAGTGATTGTATCCTTCGGGAAGCCGTAAGCCTTCTGCCGCGAGATCCAGACCCAGGAGTTACAAATGAATTGAAGGAAGGTGAAGCCTCGGACATGGATCCATCGTCGTCCAAAGAAGGCATGGATTCACTGGACATAGTCCTTGTTGATAGCACCGACTCGCGCCCAGCTTCGCTATCAGCAATATCTTCATCCTCGTCCAGTAGAGAGAGCAGTAGATCCCCCGGGCTCTTCCCTAGAGACATAACAGAATCCTTCTCCGCCTCTCCCGTGTGTTTGAGTATAGCATCCACAGTCAACCTTTGACTTGCACCACTCCTGCGCCGCATCTGAGGAGGGATCGAGGTCGTCGCGAGTAATATCGCGACTGATGGAGGGACATCGGGCCTCAGCCTCCTCTCGGCACGCGCATTTTGTCTCTTCTCGTTTATACGCTGCGGTCGTTTACGATCGTGTGCTACGGCGTTCTGACCTCGGGGTATGATAACTGGAGAAGATGGGGTGGTCGGTCTCGAACTCTCGGTAGATGTCGCTGTTGATGTTCTGGACGACATGTCCTTCGTGTTTGTGAGAGGTTTGCTCTTTCTCTCCGGACGCTCATGTTTTATTTCTAGGTGGTTTGGAGAAGGGGAAGGAGAAGGAGAGGATGATCGCGTGAAGAGGAAAGACCGTGGTTGAAGCATGACGAGGACCAGGGACCTCCAAGTGATCGTTAGTGGTGGACCGAGACTAACAACGCCTATTACCAATCGAAACCGCAGACGAAAGCCAAGTTCCCTTCCCAACGAGAGGTTGCTCGATACTTTGGTGTTACGATACTTGCTATTTGACAGTACAGTGGTCTGTGGACGAAGTTATCGCGAGCAGGCGCCTTCCTGGTCCAGCAGCTCGATGCAGATATCAGTCTGGTGGTTGTGATGGAACATGTCTCTACGGACACTTATTGGGAGGATTGTGAAGTGATAGTGACAGTATGTTCGTGTCTAAATCCAGTAGAAGGGATGGACAGTGCGAGTGCGAGGAGAGAAGGAATAATCATGCGAGTGTTACTCTTAGGTGTTAAGAAGGAGGGTTGCTGTCAGCAAAGGGAAGGAAGGGATGGGAATGGGAATGGGTATGGGGACGGGGACGGGGACGGGAACCGGGTGTGTTGGGTTGATATGGATGACTGCAGCCACCCAGCCAGCCAGCCAGCCAGCCTCGCCTTGTCCTTGTCCTTGTCCTTGTCCTTGTCCCTCTTCCTCTTCCTTCCTCACTTCTCTCCCTCTTCCTCTTCCTCTTCCTCTTCCTCTTCTTCCTCCTATCCCTGTCGGACTGATAAGGAAGGCACGAGACACTGCGCCAGTAGTGGCCCGGGTGGCCCCTGGAAGAAGACTTGGACCCCTACTTAGTACTGGGACGCTGTAACACCCAGGGCTGACTCGCTATCGCCGTCTTATCTTGCCCCCCGTTCACCCCCCTTCAAGGCTTCAACCCCCCATATCCCTTCCCTCAGGGTCGTTACTCGTTAGTTCGTTCTTGTTATCATTGTTCCAGAAGACCGAGGTAAATTACTTCTGCACTTTGCGTTGGACCTTTCAGCGACGAAGTACAGCATCTACTCTGATCGACTCTCATGACGAACGGAATATCTCAGGCTCTCAGATCAACAGCGCCTTCTGCCAGAATGAAAATTTTCTTCCAAAAGCAAATGAGGACCCCCAAATGTATGGTTTATCTTGCCTGTACACCTCAGCACCGCAGATGGGCGTTGCAGGACAAGAGTCGAGCTCTGATTCATCCTGTTTTGCCTTGCCCTTGCCCTTGCTGAGCCTGTGTCAAGTCTCGGTACAGCTCATCAAATTCCCCCCCCATATCTTGCCGGCGCCCGAATCGACCCGTCACGTTCCCCTTGTCTACCGGCGTTCTACCTGTCGCCGTGGCATGGGGGGGTCCAAGGTTTCCTGTCAGTGGTGCATTTCGACAACCGTCTGTCTGTGGGCCCCAGACGTGGAGGCGAGGGAGGGTCAAACTTCAGGATCGTTCAGACTTATCCAGAGGACTCTCAGGCATGAGCAGCAAGGCTTTCAGTCACCTTCACCGATACAAGGGTCCACTACTCTAATTTACTTGCATGACGATGGTTAAGGAAGCCACCTGCATGTTGTATCCCGCTCCCCAAGCCTAGTGCATCTTCCGACTCACCCAGTCACAGATCGTGCATTTTCTATCACTGGCTAGGATAGATAAGGCCAGCAAGCCTTTTAGCAACCCCATTACTGTACTCTATTTTCGGCCAAGAGTTGGGGATTGGAGTTGACCAATTCACCGGTTGAAGCTGAGGCTGGCCCAGGAAGCACTCATATGCTCTCCACATCCATCTTGCTTGCATGCGGAGGATGCAATGCAGATGGATGACTGCTACGGTACTGAGCGGCACTTGCATTTCTTTTCACCGCGAATTTTTCTCTCTCTTTGCATTTCACTGGATTGCTTTCCTCTCTTTTTCATTTTCCAAATGGCCATTCGCTGTCCACTTTTGTTTGCTCAACCTCACCGCTGCTCTACTACCTCCGGACTACTCTGCTCGTGTGCCTCTTCGCCTTCCTAAACACTGCAAGTTGCAGAGAAAATCGAGAACATCAAAATTGATGATCCGCAATTGTCTCCGAAGAGGGCAAGTCGTTTATGCTCCGTGATCGGGAGAGGCCGTTTGATTGAATTGCGGAGAACAAAGTAAACCAATCCGCTACTTTCATGTCCGCTTTTCAATAGAGCCTCGGCATAGACTCGAGCTTACCAGTTGAAATCATCCAATCCCGGTATTTGGAGTGACGAAAGAGTATTTAGGCATTCTCCAGTATTTCGTACTCTGTATTGAGAACGAAGCGGATCTTATCAAAGTTATGGTGGCCGTGGAGGAGGTATGCGGACTTTAGAGCCCTCCAATCAAGCGGCGACGATATATCCAACTAATAAAGTTGAGTCGCGCTGCATCCCACACAAACTACCCCTCCTCTTTTCCCTTGGGCTCTTTCAGCTTTCCGAAGCATACGATGAGATCGATCGACTCTGTACCCCCAACCCGGAGACTGCAGTTCGCCGTTTTCATGCAGCCCTTATCTATGACCTGTCATATTGTTGCGTATTTGCCCAATCAGGATTTGCTGGTTTTGAGGGATGCCTACATCTGATGTTCGTTCGTCCCTACTGTCAGCGAGAAATGGGCGCTCACGTGTGCATTATTTAATCGCCCGTTGGAGTTTTACCACTGCACACCACTCTTTTCCTTCTTACGAAAAGCGATCATTTCTTAGAGACAGGTAGCACTTTGAGTCGCTGTACCTAACCGTTGACCTCGCCTTTACCGGACTTGGCTCTAAGAATCTGATTATCTCAAAGACAAATGGCTGTTTGTCATGTTTGGGACACTGGTCGATTTGGCGTCCGGCTGTCCAGTGACACGGTTGAAGTCGGTTGGAGAAATAAATATGCATCCGACGGCAACAGTACATGTTCGGGGTCGTCACACATTTCGCCATAGCCTCTGTAGGCAAACGCAAGCGGAGTGTCTGAGTTAACAACAAAAGTAATCCTACCTTCCAAATGCGCTTTTCGTACAGCCACATTGGCTTCTGGCTGGAGAAGGGCATTCAGCTCTCAGCCTCAACTGCTTCGCGATATGCCTGGGGAAAGACTTCCAGTTTTCCGCTCACAGTTTCATCAAGTCGAGGCTGCGATAATTAGAGTGCCCAGATGTTCTAAAATGACCTTTCAACAACGAACTCAGCAGATCGTGTGAAATAGTAAGCTGGCTGTTCTACTGGCAAAACTTGTTGGCATATTTGATGTCGCGGACTGTAGCATGAGAGACTGAACAGTAATTGCCTAGCTGGACTTTGGGACGACGGCAAAAGGTCTCTCTGCGAGCTCTCGGGTAGCGTTGTCCCGGAAGACGAATCTACAGCATCCTTGACCTAAATTTCTCCATTATGGTTCTGGGCATCAATCAACTTCCGTGTATTTTGCCTACAGACTATAGGTCATACGGCAGAAATGTATATTTAGGCGAGGAAATCCAAGTGGGTAATTCGAATGAATCTTTCGGCCAAAGCCATGAGGCTATGAGGTGAAATGCGTGTCAGAGGTCTTGATGTTCACGAGCGTATGCATTCACATCTAGCGGATGCAGCAAGGTTTCCAAAAAGCCAACCCAGCCCAAACAAAATCAAAACTCGACTGCTCATCGATAAGCCTCCGCAATCAAGCTCGTCACAAGTCGACACAGCCGGGAGGTGGTATCGAGGGTCCAACTCTCAGACGCTTCTGGTGCCGCCAGGTAGAATTATACATGTATATTATGAGATAAGGAGTCTAGTGGAAAAGGTATCTGAGTGGGAGCTGGATGTTTAGACTTTTGGCCATTCATATGGGGATACTGGTTGCCGTTGACTACGCGGTGGAGAAGTTATCATCGTGGAGTTCTGATATGCCAATGAAGTCGCAAACTGTGCGAGATCAAGCATGCCAATTAACCAGAACTATGAGTAAGTAGGCGAGTGTGTCTAGCAAAGAAGCATGCACCAAAAATAATCGAGAAAGAATGGATTGAAAGCTATACTCGGTTGACCAATGTTAGATTTGCTGATTCTTGGTTGTTGACTTTGAACGCGCCAAAGGTGGGCAGTATGCTCTGACAAAATCATATTGCGGGCGGAGCTTAAGCCGCTGCATCAGAACGATTGTTGTATGATTTGAAGTAAGAACAAAACGACAAGACTCATAAGCTTCCACTTGGGAATGGGACATAATGAAAGTTACCTCACTTCCAGTCTTCAAAAACTCAAAGGTACAGGTCAGAACAGCCTCCCTTCTATAGCCAAAATTCAGCCAATCACGCATCTGGCGCAGCCCCGCAACTCACCTGATCTCGCGTTTCGCGTGCTGCTTAGAACGACGACCTCCAGAATCATCAGAAGACGCGCTCGGCCAAACCCCTTTCGTCTCCCGATTCGATGAGTTCACCTATCTGAGGACTGTAGAATTTAAGATGTCTAGCCAGCGGAGTCAAACAAGCCAACCAAGAGAGCCAGATGAAGAAGCCCTGGCCGACCATGAACTACAGTATGGTCACGGCCTCATGACTGAGGAGGAGCTGAATGAGAAGTTGGTCTGAGCAGTTTTAGGGCAGGGCATAGTTGTTAACTCTATTAGATATCCTGATCGTCCGATGAATCACTCTAAGACTCTACCATTTCATGAACTCTTTACAACCCTCTTCAATCCGCTCAACGACAACAAAGCGAAGCCCAGCGGCCCACATGCTGCTCGGAAGAAAGGCCCTGGTTCCAAGACTTTGAGTCCTCACGAACAGCGTAGAGCAATCCTCGACCGTTTTGTCTCAAGATGGCGGAGCGAGGTGGGAAACGACTTTTACCCCGCCATCCGTCTCATCCTGCCTGAGAAGGATCGTGATCGCGCCATGTATGGCCTGAAGGAGAAAGCCATTGGAAAACTCATTGTTAAAATGTTGAAAATCAATCCAAAATCCGAAGATTCTCTGAGTCTGCTCAACTGGAAGGATGTTCGAGGGGGCAAGATGGCAGGAGATTTTGCAGGACGATGCTACGAAGTTTTGGCGAAACGGGCTATGAGGACTACAGTTGGCGATTTGCGAATTGCTGAAGTCAACGCTATGCTGGACAAGCTCTCTGCGGTATCCAAGGAAGAGGATCAGCTACCTATCTTCAACACGTTCTACGATAGGATGAACGCTGATGAATTAATGTGGTTGATCCGTATCATCCTCCGTCAGATGAAGATTGGAGCATCAGAAAGGACCATACTCGATGTAAGTGACGCATTGTTCAGGCTGTCGTTCACGTATACTGATTTTAGAACAGGTCTGGCATCCAGATGGTGAGGCTCTATTCAACGTATCCTCAAGTTTAAGACGAGTCTGCTGGGAACTGGTTGATCCATCTATTCGCATTAGTGATGAAACACGAGGAATTACACTGATGGAATGTTTCAAGCCCCAGCTCGCTCAATTTCAATCACATTCATTTCAGAGAATGATCGAGAAAATGGCACTGGACGAGACGGGTGATCATAAGGGCGAATTCTGGATCGAAGAGAAGCTTGATGGCGAGCGAATGCAGATGCATATGGAAGTTGATGATGACGGAAAACGAAACTACAAGTGGTGGTCCCGGAAGGGCAAAGACTACAGCTATTTGTATGGAAACAGCACAGATGACGAGGACTCAGCTTTGACGCGACATCTTGATGGGGCTTTCCATGAAGGAGTCGACAGTATTATCCTTGATGGCGAAATGATCACCTGGGACGTTGCTACAGATGTCATGGTAGGATTCGGAACTTTGAAAACTGCTGCTATCTCTGAAGGGCGAAATGGGTTTGAAACGAATTCCGGTATCCGACCATTGTTTCGAGTATTCGACTGTTTGTATCTGAACGGTAAGCAGCTTACGGGATACACTCTGCGGGAAAGACGCAAGGCAATGGAAATGTCTGTGAACGATGTTCATCGACGACTTGAGAAGCATCACTATACTGCCACGACTGATACAGCAGAAATCGAAACCCGACTTCGCCAGGTAGTAGCCGAAGCATCTGAAGGACTAGTCCTGAAGAAGCCATCGTCTATCTATCGTCTCAATGAACGCAATAACGAATGGATGAAAGTGAAGCCGGAGTATATGACGGAATTTGGTGAGTCGCTCGACTGTGTTGTCATTGGCGGATACTACGGTTCTGGTCATCGGGGTGGAGCCCTGTCATCATTCTTGTGTGGACTTCGTGTAAATCCGAATCATATTTCAAGTGGTAAGTCAAGAACTTCTCTGTAAGATCAAGAATCTAACCCGCACACAGGGGCAAGTCCCATGAAATGCTACTCCTTCTGCAAAGTTGGAGGAGGATTCAGAGCCGAAGACTATGCGAAGATCCGCCATCTCACTGATGGCAAATGGAACGATTGGGATCCAAAGAAGCCACCTAAAGATCTCATCGTCCTCGGTGGTGGAGACAGGCAGTACGAGCGGCCAGATGTGTGGATTAAACCCTGCGACTCTGTCGTTCTAGAAGTCAAAGCTGCATCAGTTGGTGCTTCTGATCAGTTCGGAACCAAGTTTACATTGAGATTCCCTCGATTCAGGAAGATACGAGATGACAAGCGTTGGGACCAAGGACTCTCCCTGGAAGATTTCGATAAGTTGAAGGAGGAAGCTGAGGCAGAATCCAAGGGCAAGGAGTTCAAGCTCGAGAATAGGAAGATGGCAAAGAGACTGAAGAAAGACATCGTCATAGCAGGGGCAGACAGCAAAGTCAAGACACCATATGCAGGTCCCAAAACCAAAATCTTCGAGGGTCTGGATTTCTGCGTCATGACTGAGATGCAGCATCCTCAGAAGAAGACAAAAGCCGAGATCGAGCAGGCGATAAAGCTCAATGGAGGCAGTATATTCCAAAGCGTCACAGCCAGAGAAGGAATAATCTGCATCGGAGACAAGAATGTGATCAAGGTTGCGAGTTTGGTCAAAAAAGGCGAAAGAAATATTCTGAGACCGGCTTGGATCTTTGAAGCGCTGAAGCAAGCAGAAGCTGACGGACTCGACCGACCTCGATACCTTCTTCCCTTCGAGCCAAGTCACTTATTCCACATGCTCGATTCCTCTCGCCCAGACTTCGAGGACAATGTTGATATATACGGCGACAGCTACGCGAGAGACACTAACGTGGAAGATCTGAGAGCTCTAGTAGAGCACATGATCCATCCCAAGAACTCTACCTTCTCATCCGACGAGTTCCTCTCCCAGCTTGAAGAACACGGTAGAGGACTTGACGATATGCCCGGTTCGATGTTTAGGAGATGTGTAGTCCGCTTGATTGCTTCTGATGAAGAAGGGACAAACAAAGATATAGATCTCTTGATCATGAAAAATAGGTTGAGGTTCTCGGGAGGCAAGGTTGCGGAGAGTGGTCAGGAGAAAGAAGGCATCACGCATTTCGTTGTTTTGGAAGACGATTCAAAGGTGGCAAAAGAAGTACGTCAGAAAGCTTCACGGTTCAAGAAGATACCGAGGATTGTGGGTAAGAAGTGGCTGGAGGATAGCTGGGAAGAGAAGACGTTGATGGATGAGGAGAGGTATGCCTTATGAATCATGAACAGAGTTATGACTACAGTATGAGCAAGAACTATGTAGGAGCTTAGATTTGTGCCAACAATTATACGCAACAAGTCATTCTCTTATTTCCCACAAGACAAAGCTAAGGCTATTGTTGCAGCTGTAGCAATTTGCGCCTAGCGTCCTTCAAGCTCAGTGCCTCATTCTCTCTATCACTTCCAGAGGCTACCTCCAATTCCTCAGACAGAAGTGTCATAAAGGCAGCATCTTCATCAACAGCAGTGTCAATCGTAGCCTCATCCGCAAAGCCCTCTTCTAACATTTCTTCCACGGTTTCATCAGATCCGTCTACTTTTCGCGCTCTTCACTGTACTCAAAACATCTTGGGTTTCATGGTCAAGTGATAGCAGCCACCCTGATTGATGTCTTGGCATGCCCCTAAGCAAAACAACTTTCTGAAAACGACGATCAGTACACCGGTCTGGTCTCAATTTCTCCAAAGCTGATTTTGAGGGCAATGGTTAAAGCAGGAATTAGGAAGCTTTCGGGTTTGGGAGATATGAAACTGTAAGGAAGAAACAAGGTCTAAGGAGATACAAGACAAATTGAGCTAAAGAATTATATCTATTAACGATGTAGGAGTTGTTTTTTGATGAGATGAAAGGGGCCTTGGTCATTGCGTAATGCCTTTTGAATTCACAATCTACATTGGCGAGTAAGACATATAATTCCATACGCAATCTTCGCATTGGACATGCTTATAATTTGACCCTGTGATTGCTTATATTTATTTAGTTATTTACCACTTGGAGCTTTTTTCATGTCCATGTCACCAAGTACAAATCGTCTGCATCCCACCACAGCTTCTGCCTACTCTTACCTTCCCAGCTCCCCACCATAATTCTTCCTGTTTGTTGATCCACACTTCGCATAGTAGTATCTTCGTCACTAGAATATGGATATCCGCCTTCCCTACCCATCATACAATTCCCTTCTACTGTCGTTTCCTTCTCTGTAGTAAACAGTTGACATGTTGTATGATCTGGCGAGTCTTCGAGGCGGTGCCGTGCGTGGTCTTCGGCCGCGGCTTGGAAGGGACAGGTTGTGATAGTTATTTTGTGGCAGGCGCAAGATGTGAAGAGCTGCGGTTTGTGGACGCACATTTGGGCCTATTCGTAGATTCAAAATAAATGGACTTGAAGAAGTGAGTATTTTCGAGATCTGGAGGGCTTCAAGGAGAAGGAAAAGGGAAAGGGGGTCGATGAGCCTTTAATTGGCATAGAGTATGATTATGGGACAGATTCTTGATGGAATGTTGACAAAATATTGTGATTCTGGATCTCTGTATTCTCTGATTCATGGTAGCTTGAATTCATATCGTCAGATGCCAATAGTGTATGATGGAGCTCTTCTTGCTGGTGACTGGTAACAAAGTTAACATAAAGACTGAATGCTTCACATCCGTATTAGACAATATATTCACTAAAGTAATTCTCTCACATGCCGTCCTCCACTTCGTACTGTTTGGACTGTTCTATCGAGCATTCAAGCCCATCGCCTTCTCTTCCGTTCGGAACCCTCCATCTAGAAACGCTCATAACACCAGACCAACAGCAATAGGAAGCACAATATCCACATACCAAACACCCTTGGAAGTCTACATCCTCTGCCTCAGGTAAAGTATGTGCACCCAAACTACCTGTTGTTACACACTCCGCACCTGTATCGGCACATGGACCGACACCTCCTTGTGCGCCACGTACAAAGCTATCCCGGCATATATTGCCGCTATGAAGATGGACTGTGGGAGGCTAATTAAGCAGAAGGAGACTTCGAGGTAGGGGTTTGTTCTCTTGGAAAGGATGGGACAAGCCCCTGGGCTGTGAGAGAGATGGAGAAAGGGAAGTTTCGGCCTAACTTGTTCCTTGGCTGAGGGGGAGAAGGCAATGGGGATGGGCAGTGGATGAACTGAAGGATGCTGGCTTGCTTTCCAGGTATGATACCTCAGGAAACAGTTTGCTCGGAGATACCGTCTTAAGAGATTAAGAAAGAAAGAAGCTGGACAGATATATATGTGGAATTGGACGCTATTCTATAGCTGGAGGATTGAATGAAGTCTTGGTATCATTTACTAAAGTGCACTTGTTCTGTAGACAGATTTGCTTGCGAAAATAAAACAGACAGAAAGGTGCTATACAAGAAGGGGGTTGAATAGGGGGGGGGAAACAAGATAGTAAGACGCCGTTGCTCCCCCAATGCACAGGCCCAGAACACCACCCAACCAGCTATCCTTCCCTGCGATCTTTCGATCTTGCCATCGTCCGGCTCTCTATCTACCCAATCCAACCAACGAGCTAACAACATCTCCACAAGGGGAGTTCCATAATCTGTATCAAGCGCGAACCAAATTCAATGCAGCTGTAGTCCATCTATCGCAAAGATCAAAAGCAAAATAAGGAGACAGGTGTAACACAAAGAATTGTCACCGCTCCCAATACCCATCCATCTCACCTCTTTCAACCCCTGCAATCCTCCGCGCACTATTACTTCCAGCCCCATAAAGATACTCCATCAACTTCGTCTTCTGCTTCTCCCGCACACCACCCAGATACCCACTGACCTCTTCGAGCCCCCTAATCTGGTCCTCAATGCCCAACGTACTACCATTTGCTCTCACAAGCGGACTAACCAGCTTGCGCCTCAGATTCTCTAGGTTGGCTTTGAGCATCAGGAGTTTGCGGTTGTGATCCTCCAGAATGTTTTTGTTCTGCACGGTCTTGGAGCGGATGTTGCTGAGAAGTTTCTTGTTCTTTTCGAATTTGTGGAGGGTGTTTGCGTTGGGGCCAAGCAATTTGGTCCAAAGCGACGAGAGCAAGTCGTCCTGTGCTGAGTCCTGGGCGTCGGATTCGCGGGCGACAGTGCGGGCTAGATTGCCAAATTGGCGATCGATGGCTTCGAAGAGGGAGAAGAGGGCTAGGGAGTGGGTCAGTTCTGAATTGATGGACTCTTCGAGGACGGAGAGAAACTCGGTAAATGTGCGTTGAAGGGTTTGGCGTGTTCGTTGTTGCGAAGACAGTCCAAAGATAGAGGTAGTTAATGTACCAACTCTTGTTGGCGTTCCAGATGGGGTCTCGAGGACTCCACATTTAGTCAACAACGTGTGTACGTTATCAAATGCGGATGTCATAGGTGACGGTGGTAGAAGTTGAAGTTGAGAGAGCTCTCGTCTCGCCCAATCCATTACAATTAAAATCCTGGAATCATTAGACTCAACCCAAGGTAAATCTCAGTCCTACTTACCCATCAACATCACCATCCACATTCGCAAAAAATCTCGTCAGTTCAATAGCCAACGTCTTAAGACTCTCACTTAATCCATCCAACTCCTTCACTATAATAGGAGCGGAGGTCATATTCGTTGATCGTACACTCTCTCCAAGATCCCATACAGCCACCCCAGTAGCTTGGAGATCACCAACTTGTTGTACACCATTCTCCGAATAGAATATGAGCGGTTCGAAAGCCTTAGCAAGACCTGCAACTTTGACCAAGTCTGGAACCGGGGGCGGGTCGCTAGGTTGGAAGAGTCTTTGCAAAGCTAGGAATGAGAGAAGAGCAACAAGAATTGAAGTCGCCAAGGACGTCCACGATTTCGTCATGGTGGTAAATCTCGTTTTGATGAAAGAAAACGCTGCTTCAAATGGCTCTGTTCGATGTTGAACTTCTGCTCTGACAGCGAATCGAATGTCTGGAAATAATCAGTGCTTGCAATATGCTACAGATTCTTCTATGTCTTACAGTTATTGGCATTCTCTGCTGATTGTACTGCATCTTGCTCCTGCTTGACTACACCCCCAAAGGTTCTACCAAAGTCTTCTGAACCTTGCGGATAAGGACCAGGACTCGGACTTCTCTGCTTATCCGGCGACATCGATCCAGTTGGTAGCCTTGTCCGCGCAGCAGCAGCTAATGTGGCATCCTCCCCATCATCCGCGCTCTCATATTCCGGACTGCTCTCTCTCGAATCCTCCCTACTGCGCTTGCCCAGCATCGATCTATTCCAGAAGCCGCTGCTTCGATTGCCGTTTCCGTCGCGTCTCCATGCCGGCGGGCTGTATCTGCCTCCCGAAACCGAGTCTGCCATCTCCGAGCCTGTGTCTGAGAGGAAGCCAGAGTGATGGGAAGGGTATCCGAAGCGGGGCGATTGGCCTATCTCGCTGCTTGTCGGCTCGAAGTCTTGCAGAGATGCGTCTAAAGAAGGGTGCTCTTCGAACATCTGGTCCAGGTCTTCGATCGTGGGCTGGGGTCCCATTATGGGCTTGGACTTGGGCTTGTAGATGTGCGACCTGTAGGCGGGGTAGTGGGTTGTTTCTGACGTAGATGATGTAGAGATATGCAAAGGCAAGCACTGCAAAAGCCAAAAAGGTTCCGGGTGCGACGTTAAGAGATATCAAAGAGAGATTGACGTGGTTTTCAACAGTGATTAGGGGCATGACCTGAAGTCACGTCTGCCTTGTTGAGTCGTGATGCGCGTGACGCGAACGAGGTCGCTGGGTCAGCCTGAGCAGGTAGACCGAAGTTCTTGCGCCGAGAAACAGCTGTTGATGGTTGATTGAGTGATCAAGTGAAAATTGACAGCGACAGTACGATAAGGGAAAGAAGAAGATGCGACGACGGTCGGTAGGGGAGGTATCGAGATGGTTGAGGTGTAGTGGGGTTCACTCGAAGGGTATCCGACAGCTCCCAGCCACTGGATTAACTTCCACACCACACCACACCACACCACTGCGCTGCGCTGCGCTGCACGGCACCGACCCTCGATGCACTCACCTCTCACAAGCTGTATAGCTTCACTACGAGTATGCTGTGCTGTATGTGCTGGCCTCTCCCACGGTCGACCTGGTAAGTCCAGCGGTGGTGGATGTGTTGGTAGGACGTTGCAAAGAGGAGGCGGGACCAATCGTTATCGATAACCTGCCCCAGACGAGGCCCAGCGACGGGCCGCAGCGCGATCTGCAGCCAATCAGAGCAGGCTGCAAACAAACCTTGAAACAGCCGAAAGAATATGGACATCCATGAGCACCTTCCGGGCGTCCCTTGCATAGGGCATATAGATGGTAAGGCTTTTTGATTCAGATCTTCGGACGATTACCAGCCATCTGAAAATGGATTCTGTCGAAATGTGAGAGAAGGGGGAATCGAGTCACCTTTAAGACATTAGCCCCTCGTCTAGGCAGCAGGTACCGTCACATCAGCCTCATGACCTATTAATCAAGATGCACATCCACGGAATGAGAGCCGTGAACACCTCGAGACTCTCCGTAAGAAACTCAACAAAAGACTGAAGCAAAGCGCGGAGGATTTTTAAGCTTCTTCGGTTTCGAACTCAAAGCTCAATCAAGCTGAACTGAAAGTGAGAACAGGTGAAACCACCAACCTCCTCGTCTTCAAAAGTTTGCCACTGTTAGTCCTCTATCCATGTAAAACCAGCTTCCATTTCCCCGCATTCAGCTGCTACAAAAGTGGGATGTACAAGTATTTTTGCTCATGAAGCAGCCAAAGAAAAATATGGAATCTAACAAATATCGCCTTTGAATTTTCTATCGAACGCCAACGCCAGTACAGTCTCATGTTCGACCACAACCGACAAAGCATTCCAGAATCCCTTTCACAAATCCCGATTAACCCTCGCCTTACGAGGTCTTCCCCGTCCACGCTTCAATGTCCCACGAACATTTCCACCACTCGCCGATACCTTCCTCGACGTCTGAGCAGCAACACTCTTCACTTTCGGTGGTCTTCCCCTTCCTCGCTTAACTGGCTGAACAGGCTCCTCAACCTCATCCTCGCCTTCCTCCTCCTCACTCCCTTCCTCAACTAATCTTTGTATAGCCGCGCTTCCCCTCTTCCTCTTCCCCCCAGCCACAGTAGTAGCCCTAGCAGGTCTACCCTTCTCCCTTTTATGCTTCTCTTTCTCCACCTCCTTTTCCCTCCTCTTCAGCTCCTTCTCCTCTGCCTTCTCCCTCTTCCTCTCCTCCTTCTCCCTCTTAGCTTGTTCCCTTACTTCCTCTTTCGCTCTCCTAGCCAGCTCTCTAGCTTCCTCCTTCTCCTTCTTCTCCTCTTCCTTCTCCTGTTCCACTTCTTCAGCTCTGAACTCAATCTCACTGACGAGATACCACCTCCTATCTGGACCACCTAGGAAGGCAGGTTGAGGCTCGGTTTTCATGCTGAGGTCTGCGAGGTCTATGTCTTTGAGTCTGTGTTTGTGAGGTGGTGTCAGTGTGTAGCCCAGCTTGGTAAGGTGGTAGGGAAGGTGAGAAGACTAAGAAGATGGGAAACGTACCTATATCTCGCCCTCACATCTGAAACCCCAATAATGCTCCCCTCACGACATTCCTCGCACTGCTCATCATTCGTGAACGGGTTGGTACGGAGGGTTGTGTCTTCAGCTTGGCACTAGTATATCAAATGTGTGGTCAGTTTATGTCGTCAAACTGGTGTGAGAAATAGTGGCAGTGCCCATTGAAGCTTCTGCAGATTCATGGGGAATGGAATGGGCAGCGAATGAATGATTACAGTGTCGCATGTTCCAACTGGAAGTTTCGTCATTTTGGCTCTTTCCCTCTCCTGCCTTCTCTTTTGGGTGCACTTCTCCTCTCTTCCTTGAAATCCAGTCTCGGTTCCGTTTCCTGATGTTGAGTAAAGTAAATGCCTCTTCGAAGTTGAATAGTAAAGTAATGAAGAATCCCAAGAATGGAAAAGCATTAGAAGGAAGGAAAAGGGAGTTTGATCGGAGATATAGGAGGAACAAAGACAAGTAATAAATAAAGAAAGTAATTGAGGAAACCGTATCGTTCTCGTCATATGCCTGATGTGATGCGCCAATCAATCATGGATTTAGCGAGCCCTTTGTCTCATGTAAATACTATGACCTCATGTTTCCAAATTTGACTTGCAGAACGATAAACTGTTGGAAGTAATTAGGCTGAGTATTGAGGAAAGAACTTAGCAGGCTATGACGACATAGTAATAGGTCAAAGAGACCTGAAATGCAAAGCAACGAAATAAAATACACCAGCACCATGACAAACTCCAGGATTAAGCACTCACAGCGATTATAAAACGAGGATAAGGCACGTCAGTTCATCTCAAGCATTCATTTCATGCCTCGACGAAAGCTATCTAGCTATCTAAAGTAGTATGCCGCGATACACAGCCGCAGAGAGAAGCAGGTAAAAGTAATACATGCCCATCCAATCCGCCATGCATCAGAAAAAGGTGTCCACCAACTATCTATAAACAGCGCCTTAGAGTGTCACATCTCCATACCCATGCATCTTCCCCCGCTGATATTATCCCATTTTTTCAAGGCCCTGATTCCTCCATCATTCGCTTATTCGCTTACCACCCATCAAAACATTTGCACACGATGTATTTTCCACTTTCCTCCCAAGCAGTCGCTAGCGGCGTCTTGCGCAGCCTGGTATTCTCTCTTTCGAATACAAAGAAATCGGGGAATGTGACACCCATCCTTTCCAGTTGCACAGAAGTCTTATCTCGCGTTGGCCATCACGCCTCTGTAATATTCGAGACTCAACTCCACGGTATGCTTCAAATATCGGTCCTCGGTAAGTGGAAGTCTCAAGATTTTGTGAAGATTGGACTTCTGCGGCATATTAGTAGATGTTCTGACCTTTTGCTGAACAGTGGAACTTACCTCGCCCTTCTTGCCCATAACAATCACAGTCTTGGCAACCACACCACTGATCGTCTCAATAGCCACCGTCTCCATGAAGCTCGGGTGACGAGAATCCTGAACAACTGCTGGGAGGCCAGACAAAAGTCGCTCAAGAACAAGATCGTCGATAGGATGTCCTTTCTTGTCGTTGTGAAGAAGTTCCAAGAAATCCTGGTATATCTCTCCGCCCAAATGCCATTCGGCGATCGTACCCTCCTTGCCTTGAAACCCGGAGAGTAGTGTCCTGAGGGTGTCGTAGTCAAGCTCGACAACAGCCTTGGGGGCCACTTCTCTGGCGAAGGTGCGATGTGCTTCGTTGAAGGACCCAGCTTTGATCAGGCACTCGACTTCCCCATTTGGGTTTCTCTCGACACTTCGCATGTACAGTGCTTTTGCCTCCCAGACCCATGGTGCAGGGATCTTGAAGGTTTGGGTCAATGTGACGAAATTTTGGCTGTCTTCGGTACCGACAAGTCCTGCATGACGTGCGAGGTGGTCTTGAATGGACTTCTCTCTAGCATCGTCTGATGTGAGATGGAGAAGAACAAATATAGCATCGAGCCAGCTACCTTCGTTGGTAAGCTGCGCCGCGAAAGACAGTGTTGTTTGGTCAGCCTTATCATTGTCATCGTCTGCATATCGGGCACGACCAGATGATATAAGGGCTCGGCTAAGTTGCCAAGAGAGACGTATGTCGAGAGGAGAGAGTTGAGAATTCTCTGGGCGGAGCACATCTTCGATGTCCGAGTCGGAGAAGGTGTAGAGCTTCAAAAGACCCCAGAGGAGATCGTCCCGCTCTTCCCGATTCACATCATCCCACATGGCTGGTACTTTCTGCTCAATATACCAAGCATGAGGTCTAGCAGATTCCTTGTCTTGGCTAAGGTCGTCTGCGAAAGCTTGAACCGCGGCATCAATTACATCGTTAGATGAGATACCATACCAAAGCCTGAGCCCAAAAGCTTGTCGCCAATCGAGACCAAAACGCTTCGAGATGACGAATGCCTCCATACGATCATTGAGGTCTTTGGATCCACTGCAGAAGCAGACATTGCCTGCAAGCATTTCGTAGATTGCACGTACAGGTTGACTGAATTCTGAGAGCATCTGGGTCTTCTTCCAGTCATTGAGTTGTTGGCGCATGTCGTTTCTCATGGAGTCCTTGCTGCCAATAAGAGCGACCAGGGTGGCGAGGTGGAAATCTCCTGTATTGATGAGATGTCCGCAAGCATCTGGGACTCGGTGACCTGACAAGCATGCAATGGCTTTCTCCTCATCCGACTTAGCCAAAGCAGCGCCTTTCGAAGCTGCATCATCAACCAGTTTCTGCCAGAATGCTGACAATTTATCCTTTCGGAGACGGTCCTCTATGTTACCGACTTGCTCGAGATGCTCGGGAATAGTGAAGTTGTCAAAGAGAATACTTGCAAGCTGCCATACGAGCTTCTCGTGAGCGGTGGCCGGATTCGTAGCTGCGCTTTCGTCAAAGAAGTCACCGAACGTAAAGTTTTCGGGTAATTGGGCATGTGGAACGCCATTTGAAGCATCAATGACTGAAATGTCTTTTTGTTTCGCAAGTAGACCAGCGGAAGTCTAGGATTTGTTAGTCGTGTCACAGGGCTGAACTGGAATGAAGTACCTCATCCGAGAATTTCGCAAAGCGAACGTCTCGGTGCTCTGAGACCACTGCTTTCTTCTGAACCGTAAGTAAGCCATCACGCTCGCGAGCACGACGAGAGGATCTTCCGAAAGGTTTCGAATTTGGTGGAGCAGCATAAACCAAAGTACCGTCATGGCCCCATTGAGGCTTCATCGAGTCGTGGAAAGCGCGTTCACTGTCGTCCATGTTGGCCATATCGTGATCACTCGTCTTTGCTTTCTTCGCATATGGCCACTATTTGATACACAATTCTTAGCAAATGTCCTTTATTCATCATTACATACATGAGCAGGCGCAACAAACGGCCTAGATTCAACCATCCCAATCGAAAACTTAGGAAGGAATACCAACCTCGAAACCTTTCGGCTTTGCTGGGACTTTGGCCTTGACTGGGCTCCGAGTCTGACCGAACAAAGAGTTCATTAGATCAATACTGGTCGCAAAGCCACGTCCATCGGAGATGACCCGCTTGGGGATTGGTGTTGGTTCGGAGTCAGGTCGACCATCGTTTCCCTGGATATCGATCAAACTCTTGAGCAAGGCTCGGTCTTGCTTCTGGGGACTAATAGTGGCCTGTAAAGCGTTTGCCCAGTCATCACCAGCAGAGAACTTGTTCTTCGAAGGGGTTTCCGAGCTCTTTAATGCTCTCATTCTGGCCCGTAAAACTGCTCCAGGTGTTTCCATCATACCATCCACACTCTCATCTTCACCTTCTTGCGAGGAACCGAGCTCCGCGGTATTGTCGGCATCTGGATAGGAGCCCGCCATCTCCTGATCCACAATACTGACAGATTCGTCGTCCTGATACTCGCCGTCTTGATCCATTGGCTCTTCGACGCCGTTTTCAGACTGCGAACCCACGGAGCGCTCATCTAAAAAAGACTCCTGGTTTTGCTCGTCATATTCACCGTCCATGCTTTCATCCTCATACAACTCTTGATCGTCAAAGGCACCCGGGAGAATCTTCTTCTTTCTGAACTCAAAAGTATCCTCTGGATCTGACTCAGTGTATGTCATCTGAGAGTCGGAGGCGAAAGATTCGTCCAATCGGGCTGGCTTGGGCGTACGGTTCTTTGGCGTAGGTGTATCTGGTGGAGCACTCAGAGTACTCTGACCAAATTCACTAACATCTTCAATCTCGTCGTCCTCGTCCTCGTCTGGAACTCCGTAGGTTGTATAATGGTCAACAGTGAACTTCCAAATTCCAGTATCATTATCGAAATCAAGAAAGTGGGTGCCGTCGACTTTCGCAAGACGTTGCTTGTGCTTCTGTAAGCCTCTAGCAGAGTTACGATCCTTCTTCCGCGCCCAAGAGTGGTCCAGTGTAATGGTTGAAGGTTGATTCAAGCCTTTTCCTGGGGGTGGCTTTTTAGCAGCGTCTGCATAAACCGTAGCTGATCGAATGGTGAGTACAACAATATTACCGAGGATGTCGTCAAGATTGATGTTGCTGAGATCGACTGGTGCGTCGAAATGAATGACACCAGTATTGTGTCGACCAACAACGAAATTTGAGACCTTTGAGCGCTGGGAAGGGTTCAACTTCTCAAGCTCCTCCTTTGAAGGCTTCATCCAGTATTCTCCAAGAATTGGCTCGTCCTCCTCGTCAGTTTGTGTCTTGGATTGCACAAGGGCAACCTCCTCCTCTCGGACAATAGCCAGCTGGTTGTTGCTATTCGGGAGTTGTGACATCTCAGGAGGAGTGGATGGGCCCGTCTGCTTTTTTCCATTCACGACGGCTGCGGTGTCTGAGCTAGCTTCATTGCTGGTGACTTGCTTCAGAGGGCTAGAAGAACCAGAACCGGAGCTGCCGTTCCCGTTGACATCGGCGCCGAACGAAACACGCTTCTTGAGGGCTGATGGCGGAGCAGACGGGGCTTGTGGAGTTGGTGGCGAGAACAGGTCGTGACGAAGGCCACGACTGATGGTGAGCTTTTTAACACTGCCAGTGCTTCCGTAATGCCGAGCATTGGGACTAGCAGAGAACGCACCAGGTGCCAGGATGCTATCCTCAGTGTTGAAGCTTCGGCGAAGGCTGCTGGTAGACATGCTCTTGTTCAAAGTTCGACCAAAACTACCGGCACCAAGCAAGCTGCCACCGAAACCAGGGGTACTGGAAGTGCTAGATGCGCTGCCAGGTGTGTTATAGTTGCTGTAGGAAAACCCAAAGCCTGGTCTCTTTTGGGGTGTTGAAAAGCGTGAAGTTGAAGCAGAGTTCAATTTATATAATGGAAGTGCAGCGCTCTTCTTGGTCTTGACATTGCTCGATAGAGGTGTAGCAATAGGCCCTGGGTTGCTGACCTGGTTATTTGCCAAAGGAGCAAAGATGGATGAAGAGCCGCTGAAAGCTGTGTTATCGTTGATGCTAGCTGTAAGTGACTGGCCATTCTGTTGATTCTGCTGGGGATTGAAGATGGAACTTCCGCCGCCAAAGAGAGTGCTTTGCGGCTGCTGCTGCGGCTGCTGCTGTTGATTATTTAATGAGCCGCCAAACAACCCTCCAGACGGTTGCTGGTTGTTCTGGTTTCCAAACAAGCTATTGCCAGCTTGTTGCTGAGTTGACGTACTTCCAAACAGTCCGCTAGGCTTTTGCTGATTGTTGGCCGCACCGAAGAGTCCGCCTCCAGTGTTCTGTTGCTGGCCCTGACTTTGGTTATTTCCGAACCCTCCAAAGAGGCTGCCGCCTGCGTTGTTCTGTTGACCGGAATTTCCAAACAGACCGCCACCTGTGGCGGCAGGCTTCGCTCCAAAGAGACCGCCAGAGGCTTGGGTATTCGTGGACCCGCCAAAGGGATTCGAGGCAGCGGCTTGGGTGTTTCCAAAAAGCCCACCCCCTGTGTTAGTAGCTGCAGGTGTTGAACCGAAAAGACTAGTTGCCGGCTTAGCTGCCGTGGAGCCAAACAAACCCCCAGGTTGTTGACTATTAGTTGCGCCAAAGCCACCAAATCCAGTGCTTGCAGCTGGCTGCTGTGCACCAGCACCAAACCCAGTCGCAGCGGGCTGTTGAGTGGCCGTGTTGCCAAATAGACCACCACTTCCGAAGCCACCAGTCGCAGTGGTAGATCCGAAGCCAGTGCTTGAAGCTGCTGGCTGGGAGGTCCCGAAGCTGAAGGGTGTCTTGGCAGCAGCAGCATTGTTGTTTCCGAAGAGACTGCCACCTGTATTTTGCGCAGCAGGTTGTGCTCCAAACAGACCACCACCAGTATTCGTAGCTGCAGGCTGCGATCCAAACAGACCACCAGTATTTGTAGCTGCAGGTTGTGATCCAAACAGACCGCCAGTTGCTGGCTTCGCGCCGAATAGACCACCACTTGTCGCAGTACTGCCAAATCCAGTTGATGCAGGTTGACTTGTGCCAAACCCTGTGCTAGCTGCTCCACCACCGAAGACATTGGTATTTGTGCTTGCACTGGCACCGAAACCAGTTGAAGCGGGTTGGGTTGCGCCGAAGCCTCCAAAGTTCGATGCACCGAAAGCTCCTGGCTGGTTATTGGAATTGCCATATCTGCGACCCTGAGCATAGTCTGCAAGTCGGAGCTCCTCTGGCGAGAACTTCTGGTATGGTTGCTGGAAGCAGATGCTCTGGAAGGCATTCTGTTGGTTTGAGCTGCTGTTTGGCTCCTTCTCGACGAAAGCCTGGAATGGAACGTTTCCTGTACCCTGACATTCTCCTGCACCTGCGGCAGTCAAAGCTGTAGATTGGGGCGCCCCAAATGCTCCTGTACCTCCACCTCCAAAGGGAGAGGTTGTGGCAGTGGAGCCGAAAGGATTCGAAGCTGGTGCAGCAGCACCGAATGCTGGCTTGTTCTGGCCAAATAGTCCACCACCAGTTGTAGTATTCCCACCACCAAAGGGCGACGATGTAGTGTTTGTGGATCCAAATCCACCAAATCCTGAGGTTCCAGCCGTAGCAGTTCCAGCCGATCCGAACATTCCACCACTAGAGGCCGTAGTGCCAAATCCTGAAGGTTTCGCTCCAAAAGCATTGTTGTTCGTTGAACCGAACCCACCTGTGTTTGCGACGTTAGCATTTCTTCTTCCGCTCTCGCATCTAAATAGAGACCTGAAGAATTCTCTGAAGAGGATTTGCGTGGATTCATGACTGATGTGTAGATGATACCCTGAGATCTGCGAGCAAAGAAGATGGGGGACGGAAAAAGTTGAAGATTTTGACAGGTCGTGCTAAGCAGCGCGGCGCAAGGGTCGATACCAGAATGATCCAGTGCAGGAAAATGGACATACCTCCAGATCCAAAGCCCCCAGTTGTTCCAGTCCCACCACTGCCAAAGAGACCGCCAGTGTTTGAAGCTCCGAAACCTGTGGTCGCAGTTGATCCAAAGCCTGTTTCGCGCAGAGAAGAGTCGAGTAAGCGATGGATTCGCGCCGTTTGTCAAAGATCTCAATCCAAACCAGACACCAGCTCGCAGACATGCTAGAAGAATTGAGAAATTGAGAAACATACCTGAAGTGGGAGGGGTGTTATTCGCTCCAAATCCGCCGCTACCTCCAAAAGCGCTTTGCTGAGTATTGTTATTCTGGCCGAAGCCTCCGAATCCCCCTCCAAACGACATCTTGCCTATGGGGGAGGTATCGGTGTATCAATGTGGAAGCTTGAGCTCGCACCAAGGAGCGCAGGTTGCGAGAGATCGATAGGAGACGCGGTGCGTGGTGTCGCGGTTCTAAAAAGGAGGAATGTCGCGCTCAGTGACGACGGAGGCCCGCAAACATTAGAATTGATTAAAGAGAGACAAGAATCATCTACTTTGGAGAGAGGCAGAACGAGGTTGGCGAAAAGGGAGATGGGAGTCGTCGTCGGCGACTGGAATATTTTATGGGTTGAAGCTGGTTCGCAGGCTGTTGGAAGGTGAAGTTACTCGGCAGTGTCCGCTTGCTAGCCCAGCCAATCAGCGCGTGCGAAGCCTGTCTGGTGACTGATTCTACGCCTCAAGTTGCTGCCTAGGCGGATTTCAAGGTACGAAGGGATAGGTAGAGAAGACATCTGAGAATCTAGGCCACACAGTATCGCCACCAGAGTGTTGCCTGAGGGGAAACGGTAGGATCTGAAGCAATCCTTGATAGTCAGGGAGTCACGTAAGGCTTCCCTTTGAAAGATGACTCTTCCGATGTGTTTTTTAGAAGGATCCGAATTCCAGCACTGTGTCGAACGGGCAGCCAAGTCGTGCTATCCTTGGTCAAAGTTGAACAGTGGTAAAGTGACCTCACACGAGACGTCCTTGTATGTTATCAAAGCTGGAAATTAGCTTTTCCAGACTCCATTTTATATTATCCAAGGTGCTTTGAAATACCTACCACAGGATCCCAGGCGAACATCCGTATCAGAAGAAAAACTTGGGAAGCTAAATCCCTGCACTGTGCAGTATCTAATGATCTGCGGTATTAGGAAGCCGAGAAAGCTCTGGGGGCAGGGAAGGATGATGAAAAGACCAGCTCTCCAACAGCATATGAAAAGAAGAAATCCTATTGTTTTACAGTTCGGCAACAAATCTTTTGACGTTTTCTTTCTCAAAGAGTTACACAAAAAAAAGACATGTACCTTCGCTCTGGCAGAACCAAGTCAATATCAACTTCCCACGCATGCATGCAACCCTTGCCAGACACGCTAGCACGCGTGAAGTCGCGTTCTTCCCGTCCCTTGGTTCCAAAATCTAACCCCACGTCCAAGACTCACTCAACGACAACCACCACATTTCTCCTCTTAAAGAGACAGTAATACAATACAACGCCGTACAATAGTACATAAGCAACAATTCGCTACCTTGCCCCGCCGTAACCTTCTAAATCTCCTCAAGCTATCAAACTCATTGTCACCCACCTCTATCCGGCGCAAACTCTCACCTCCAACACAGCACAGCACAATGGCATCAACAGCACACCCCTCCTTCCCACAACGGCCATACTCCTCAACACTACACGGCAAACTCCCCGAACGAAACGTAAATGCATTTGGCGGGTCAGCGCATCCAGCAGGACGAGATGCAGGGCGTGGAGATCGTGAAAGGGGCCAACAGCAGCAACGGGAGAGTAAAGAGCCCGAGACACCACAGGTATCGGACGAGCAGAGGGAGGAGATAAATGAAGCTGTATGTGCGACTTCATGAAGCATCCTATATTCCCAAGAGCCAAACACCAGAAACCTCTTGAAATTTACACGATTGCGAGACCTGATCTAACGAAACACAGTTCGCCCTCTTCGACCTCGACAAAGACCACCGAATTGACTACCACGAATTCAAAGTCGCCCTCAAAGCCCTCGGCTTCGACCTCCCCAAATCCGAAATCCTCGCCCACCTATCCACCTACGGCGTCCCGCCTCTCACCCCATCCAATCCCCCACCACAGTCTTCCCGACCTCAGAACGCCTTCGCCGCACCGCATCAATCCGCAGCCGCCTCCAACCCACTAAACCCGAACGAGCCTCTTCCCCCAGGACGCCTCACGCTCACACTCCCCAGTTTCCAGACCATAGCCGCGAAACTGATCAGTGAGCGTGATCCAAGGGATGAGATTTTGAGGGCGTTTGCGCTGTTCGATGCTGATGAGAAGGGGATGATTACGCTGGAGGATTTGAGGAGGGTGGCGAGGGAGTTGGGGGAAGGGTTGGAGGATGAGGAGTTGGTGGCTATGATTGAAGAATTTGATCTGGAGGGGAAGGGAGGCGTAGGGAGGGATGAGTTTGTGGGGATTTGTATGAGTTGAGAGTCGATCAAAGGATACTTATATGGCTACTATAATTTCATCTTAGTAATTATTTGCTGGTATGAGGCGGGGCGTGGTGGATGGGACACAGCCTTCTCGTATATGGGTTAACCTGCATGTTTTGGTACATTACCATGGAGCGAGGAGTCTAGGCGCTTTGGCAAGTTGATCATGGAATTCCTTCGCCCCGTCTAAACGTGCTTCACCGCAATTTCAAGCACATCCGAATGAGATTGAAGAACGCGCACAGTAAGGAGTGGTCAATGAATAGATACTGTATGCCATCGCTCGTGAATTGGTTCACCTCCCCTCACTCAATCTAAACACAATGAACAAAGAAGTGACGAAAAACGATAACCCCAAGCCATCAGTCATCCATCCGTCAGTGACATGACTTGTCATGTCACCCGTCAATCATTCCTCCCTTCCAAAAAACGTCACTGTCCTAGCGAAGTTTATGATTTGCACGCCTGCTAGGAGAATAACACAAATGGGTGCGTGCAGGCAAGCAAGTAAGTACGCACGATTCGTACGTCTCCTCTCCTCTCCCTCTCGAATTCGAATGAATGAAGGTATCAACTTCAAAATTTCTCCCTGTCACATCCCATTTCCGAGTAGATATCCCTAAAACTGAATCAAATCACCTCCTTGCCCGTTGTTTTGTTGCGGTCTTTGACCAAATGGGTTCGCGTTCTGCTGTTGAGAGCCATACCCACCACCGAATCCATTTGACATACCAGCCGGTCCAGTTGCAGCCGGAATCTGATGTCCTGTAGCGCCATATTGTGTTTGTGGCATTCCAGTGTACTGGTTTTGCAAGAATGGGTTGGTACCAGTTTGCTGACCGGTAAGTCGTCCGAGTCCTGCGCCTGCACTATTGACGAATGTGCCGGGTGCGGTGTGCTGGGCGGGAATTCTCATCTCGCCAGTGTTACCGAATGTATCCATACCATCACCACTTGAAAGTAAAGCGTTGAGTCTTGCATGATGAGGATCTTGTTCCTTGGGAGGTGGCTGGAATGAAGCAATTGGGTTGTAGGAATTATTATTGAAAGTAGCAGTCTTCTGCTCTTGGAGAGTGGCGAGAGATGGCTTAGTAGGAGTTGCGGTTTGAGGACGAGCAAAGCTAGTCGCGAAAGGATTATTAGACCCAGTGGGGGTTGGCTTCATTGCCATAGGCTGGGAGTTCGTAGCCCATGGGTTGTTCGTGCTAGCAGGAACAAGGGGTTCCGGCTGTTGCTGCGGTTGTTGAAACGGACTCTGTTGAGCATATGGGTTGTAGCTCGTTTGCTGTGGTTGCAATTGTTGTTGTTGCTGCTGTTGCTGTTGACCATATGGATCAAAGCCGGTCGGTTGAGCTCCAAATCCGTTCGAAAATCCATTCTGGTAGCCAGTTGGCTGCTGCTGTTGGTAACCAGTGTACATGTTATTCATGTAGCCAGTTTGTTGTTGCTGCATATTTGGGTCAATGGGATTTCCTGCCCAATCAACTTGGGTCTGTTGTTGATATCCTTGGTTGAAGCCAGTAGGTTGAGCAGTCTGGATAGGATCGTCATCAAATAGACTGGCTGCGTTCTGCTCCTCTAGCTCTCTCCGCCGAAGCTCCTCTTCCTCCTTGCTCAACTTAATCGCCTTCGCAAGATCATCATCCTCAGGCTCTCCATTTCGACTCTGGCGCTTCTTTCTATCCTCTTCTTCTTGATACTTGCTAGCTTCGATAGCCAATTTGTATTCGGCATCTTCTTCGTCGGCTCGCTGAGCACGCTGTGGTCGAGTAGCCCGACGTTGAGGTTGTTGGTGATCCTGTGGGCCATATTCCTCAATGCCAGTCACTCTCGACTTCCAGTTCTTCCGATCACTACGCTCAGCACGAAGTCTCTCTTCGTCCAAGATAAGTGAGGTCAACTCCTTCGCAGAAACCCGAACTGAAACCCTGTTAGCCAGATCTCAAATGTGACTCCATGAACTGGTCCCTACCATTCTGCCCCACGTCCCGACCGTCTTCATCAATGTACTGAAACTCCCTCAGGGTCTTGATGATGTAGATGTTCTTATGCGCCCAAGTAACAACCAATTCCGAACCTTCGTGAAGACAATAGTCCAGAACCTTGAGAGCTTTCAATACGTGGCGCCAGTTCTTTCCCTTGTCGTTCAATCGCTTATCCAGCATATCCATAATCTCGTAAAATTCATTCGAGCTTCATGGCGTTAATAAAATAATGACCATTAATTATGAGCATATGTACATACGAATTGAAGGTCATCTGGGCAATTTCGCTCATTTCTGTCCCAGTAGGCCCCCAGGGATCATTGCTTGTAGCTAAAAGAAGTTAGCTATGTATATTGAAACATATAATCATTTCCGTACCATTCCGGACTTTCACTTGGACGGAGGAGTAACCCTTCGTCACATTCTTGACGCTTCTAATGACCTTCGACATGTTTGCGACGAGGCGGAGAAGCGCTTATTGAAAATGACGAACTAGGCGGCGAACGGTGTCGGATATGGCGGTTGCAATAGATGACAGAGTTCCTGAACGATGGCTGAATACTCCGGATATGAAGTCGTAGCCGGCACTACTGTCTGGAGTTGAAGTGTCGTCGTCGTTCTGGATCGCTTGAAGATGGCGGGATCGTCAAAGGAGAGCCCCGCACTGGTTAAACAGACGAAGAAAGAGTATTAGAAGGAAAGAGTGGGTAGGCGCGATATGGACGAGATGGCAGAGACTGTTTCAATGGTTGTGTGAAAGCATAATCACTCGGGTTGGGCGTTTTGAATGCGAAGAGATGGCTGTGACGACGAGCTCGAAGGCAAGAGGCGCTAGAAGTCATCAGCATGCGCAGCGCCAAGCCGAGCCAACAGGAGGAAGTGGCCCGCGTTTCCATCACTTCGCTGATTCACCGATCCGGGCCGTGCAATGCGAATGGCATCGGGTTCAGCCTTACTCTATTCTGCTATCTAGAGTTTCTTCTACGTTTCGCTTTCTATTTTATCCAGTTTCTCTTTCTTGATCGAGTTCTCGCATTCCGAAATATGTCCTGCACTGTAAGCAGGCGTTGGGACATAGTGCATTTGGACGCCAAGTGGCAAACTCTTGGCTGATATTCCAAATTCACACAGCCTTCTCTCCAGCCTTCTTTGTCTCATTCTCTTTGGACTCACCGGCCCTGGATGGCCCTATGATATTCTTAGCCTGAGTGCAGATTCGATGTTAGACACATACACTGTCATATTCAATATTCAATAGCATGCAGGAACATTGATTGATTCACGGAGGGTTTCTTCCCCCTGCGTGTTAGTTATTATTTGATCACCCACATTAATTCAGTGCGCAGTTCTGATTAAGCTACTGCCACTGGCTGCTTTCAAGCCTACATATGTACCGCATCAATATTCGGGCAGTCCTCCGAGCTTTACTTGGGATGAGAGCGAAGGACGATCATTTTTCTGTCTTATGTACGGCTCGAAGACTTGCTTCACAGCACCAATTTCGCCCATTGGCTATTGTTTCCCCTTTCTTGATCTTCTACTCAATGAGCTGTTTTGTTATCTTGCAAAATATTCCCAGCATCAACCTGTTTATCTAGGAACATTTGGCATTGGCCCAGTATTGTTTAGAATCCATGGTACCACGGCGTTTCTTACGTAAGGTTGCCTTTGTACATCACATGTCCTGGTTACTTACAAAAGCTCTGGTCTTCTGGTATCTATTGAATGCATCGGGGTGCCTTAGTGCGAATGAATCCATGCTCATAGGGGGTCGTGGTCCAAGTTCAAAAGAATATCAAGCTGATGCCTTTCCACGTCCCTACAAAAGCAACTACAGCTCGGTTGGCGATCTACCTCTGAGCATTGGTAAGGATCACAGGCCACTATCGCACAGAGATAGGCATTCAAGTATTATTGTTTATTGTGTAGTGGATATTGCTGAGAAAACCAGCAGAAGCTGTGCTACTGTACTGAACGAGTGGCCCAAGCTCCCTTCTTGGCCGGCAAGGGCAGAGTTGAGCCCCTACTCAATTCAAGCCTCAGTTGGCTCGCATGAGTTTTCGGAACGATGTTTGAGCTTCGTATCGTATTTGCCAGTGTACTTACTACCTTTACTCCTGTTTTGATTTATGGCAAGAACTTTGTGACTCCACAGATCTTGAAAGATCATTACAGCGGCATCCATGTGTGGCTGGAGGCTTAATAAAAGATTTACAACAGAAAGTTACTTCTTTCACTTGGTTAACGCTTATGTCACTTTCTCTAGTTTACAGCTGTGAACTTCGAACATTCCGACGAAAGAACCATCTTCATCCGGCAAGCGTGTCTTAGAATCCAAGTGGCTATTCTGGGAAACACACTCCTGCAGACGACCCCACCATCATACATCGGAGAATTTACGAGGCGACTCCAGAAGCTTTCAGGTTGAACGCCACAGATCGCAAAGAAAGTAAAAAGATAAGTTTGAAGGTCCAGCTTTAGACAATAAGCTTAAGCTACTGTGCCGCCTCTTCTTTTTCTGGAAGAACAAAGGACGTTTAGGGCCGCCACCAACCACTTTGATGGGACAGTGAGGTTACACTCAACGGGTCTATTTTCGTCTCCAACTCTGTCTGACCTTACCCGTCCTCAAGTCACCTCATATGAGGCGGCTTCCGATCACGAGATAATTCCCAGCCCCGTTTGCAGAATTCGGCAGGGTTGAATAAGTGCCGTACTCTACATCTTTATGCCCGTTAGCACTCTGTGCATTAGGGCACAATGCAATCGAAGCTTGGGATCACCACAAACATGACACAAGTCCTGGAGGATGCCAACCGACAAGGCTCCTGCATATCCCCGTGTGCCTGTGCCGGCTGAGAGGCATGCCGACGAGTGGTTGGATACCACCAGATTTAGATACTTGACATGCCGACTGCAGTGACTTACACTTCTACTTCCTCTTCCACTTCACGGGGGAGGGGCATGCTATGGCGGAAAGCTTAATTCTCTCAGTGGTTGGATTCGGGTGATAGTGATAGCTGCTGGTACGGTATCTGGTATGCTCTTCGCGTCTTGCTGGCCCCATCACAATCTTTTGCATGATGGTTCAAGTTGATAAGCGCCCTGTCGGTCTGCTGCCGCACCGTCCCGACGCCTAATTGGACGCAGGCTGGACAGCCAAAGCAAGGCCGCCCACATGTCACGCAGGCCCGCCAATCAGCACGTGTGCCAAAATTGGACATCCCCGTCTGTGCATGGGGCTAGTACCCGCTAGTCCGCCCCCTGCCCCACAGCGTCCTTTCTTCCTCGACTGCAAGCACGAGCAGGGGTCCTTAGTCCTAAGGAGGCCCCATTAAGATGGCCGGGACCCCTCCATCCAACCTGCTCGATCTCGTTTCGTGCTCAACGACGAGCCTCAATCTTTTCTCATCTTTTGGGACCAGATGTGTTCAGGCCAGAGTCGTCGCCGCCGCCAGACGAAGCCGAAAGCCCTTCGCTGGGTGCACGTCTAAACAGGACAGACAGAACAGGAACAGGAACCGAGCAGGATAGGCGAGAGAAGTTGCTATTTTTGGATACCAGATTGATATCATGGCGACCTTGCGAGAGGCAGCTCGTCGACGCTTGAATCTGGACCCGTTGACGACCTCCCTCAATCTCCCTCAACATCAGCCTCACCAGCAGACTCCCAGTTCTGCTTTGTCATCGACGTCTCTGAGTGCCCCCTTTGGGTACAACCCGTCGTCGTTCACTCCAGTGAGTGCGGTCAGGACATCCGCTTACAACCCAGCACAATGGTCGAATTCACCCAGTGTCACGCCAGACAGCAGCACTCATTTCTCATCGGGGCATTCTTCAGCACGCCCTCAAGATGTGGAGAGTATGCACAATCTCTTTTTCTGCGAATCATCTTTGTTCATGAACTGCTGTGCTGTCTAATTATACCTGTGGAGACGCTAACTGCTCCCCGTAGTTACCCCACCCCCTCCTCCGCCTTACAGTCCCCCTAGGTCACAGCGAACTTCAATGATTATGAATGAAGAACCGTCTTCTGGCATTTCACCTGCTTCTCGACTTTCACCATCAAATCAGTACCGGTCATCCCCAGAACCTACATCAAATCCTACGTTTCCACCTCCTCCAAATACTCGGCAACGTGCTGGCTCCAGTGATAGAACACCACACTTGTTTAGTATATCTTCATTTTCCAGAAGACCTGCACAGCCTGCGCAGCCTGCACAACAAGAAGCACCAAGACCTTCACCCGAAATCAACAGAGATCATGCTTCGGGTTCACGGCGGCCAGTGCCAATTTCTATTGAGGCGCCGTCATCCGAGGAAGAAGGCTCAATACAGGCCGAGTCAAGACCACCGGCTTCTCGGAGAGCTGCATCTACTGGGGCTATAAGTACTCCGTCGTCATCCCGCTCGCGAGGTTCGTCAACATCAAGATGGGAGCCTGGGATGCCACTGCCCCCACCCCCTCCTGGGCCTCCTCCGCTATCCTCGAGATCACAGAGTATGAGTCGATCGACTGATCGTGTTGTCTCTCCACCAACTAGAAGGCCTGGGCCGATGTCTTCTCTGGGACCCGTCCCTCCAACTCCTGCGGGCTGGGTGGACGAAGATATTGCTGGGAGAGGTAGATCCCCCAATCGTGGACTTCATATCGACACATCCAGCGTTGGCTCGAGTACTGCTGCAGAATCCAATTCGGGCTCTAGTTCGTCAGGCTTGGCTAGGGCCCATGCTGTGAGAGGCGAAAAGAGTCTTCGAGAAAGGAGAACCGAAAGCAAAACCAGGCGAAGCGCTGTCACAGAAGAGCCTTCCAATAATCCTTGGGCCGAAGCTATCACGCCTTCAGATATCGTTCTCCCACAGACGTTACTCACTCGAAGACCAACAATCACACGGTCAACTCCGAGAAGTGCAAGATCACACCATGTCGAAACACCAAGATCTGCTGAGTTCCAGCACAATACTCCTGTACAAGGTGGCCCAGGAACTGGATCTAGGGGCTCAACTCCCCGCCCACCTGGTTCTTCTAGTCGACCTGAAGCTCCAACCCCACCTTTCTCTCCCGGCCAAATCAAGGCTGCCTTCATCGAGGGGTCTCCCGCAATACCACCGAAGGCATTGCCTACTCCTCCACCTCAGTCCAGGCTCACCATGAGCTCTCCAGGTCGACCCGTATCGCATATACTTCATATCCCAAACAATGACAACACGACTATCGCAGCATTAGTCCCGTCGCGGCCTGGATCAAGGCAATCGAATCACAGTCAAATGTCACAAATCTCACCTGCAGAGCAATTTTCGCGTGCCGCTGTAGAAAGGCACCAGGCATTTGCACAGAGAGAGGCAGCTGCCGCAACCGATGGCGAGCGTGTTCGAATTTTTGCAGAGTTCATAGTTACTGAATCTCGTTTACGAAGAGAAAGATATGCGTCAGCAATTGATGACATGGGGTCAGAAATTCTTGAGCTAACCCGCGATCTATTTCGACCGTACAGCAGCCCTAGGAGAGAATCTATGGTTTCAAGGTCCAGTGCATGGACTCCGGAATCATCAACGGGACCTAGATCACCAGGTCCTATGGGCAATCGATCACATCGAGGCTCTCTAATGGCGGCTTTACACGATGCACCCAAACTGCAGACAGCTCAGGAGCCGTCGTCTGGCTCAACACCCTCTTCTCCGGCACTCGGACGACCAGAATCGACTTGGTGGACTGGTTATATGCCTTCTCTCTCGCCAATTCCAAGTATGAGTGTGAGCGAAGCGCCAGATGGTTCAGATTCTAGAGGTCGACCATCAAGCAGGTGGTGGGAGGTTAGTCAGGAGGGTTCAAATGGCACTCCATCAATGCGACTGGAACGATCAAAACGAGAGTCCAAATACATGGGTATGCCAAGAGAATTACGGGAATCTTTGCAATACGAGAATAGTGACCCTAGAGCGAGTCAAAATGGCAAGGGAATCGATATGTCTGAGCCCAGAAGCGTGCAAAAGGTGTATGGGGCCAATGAGTATCCACCAGAGAAGGTTGGCTGGCATGAGCCAAGTAATCGATCGTCCTCTTCCAAACCTCAAGAGGCTTCAGTCAGATCCCCGGCACCCTTCTCACCGGCACTTACAACACCAAATCCAGATCATTTGGATGTCTCCCGCCTTGTAACATTACCTCCACCCTATCCCCGTCACCATCCAGCCGTCAACAACAATCACCCAGACCTCACATCCATCCGCACTGTCGTACGTGTTCTCAGCGACTTCACTGAAGTCGAAGCCACCAAAGAGCGCTTCTCAACAAGTAGCAAACAGGTCCAAGATGACCTCGCCGCCGAGACCAAGAAACGGCGAGACTCGCTCCGGATCAATATCCAACGTGAAGTCGGCTCCGGAAACATGACCTACGCAGATGCCGCCAAGGTCGAAGCCACAGCCCTCGCAACTGAGCAGGAAAAGACCAAAGAAGCTTCCAAACTCGACTTCGAGCTCTTCCAGTCTCAAGTCGTGATTCCCGTCAATGACCTTCTCATGGACCGAGTCAACCGCTCGACAGAGCTCTTCGAACAGCTGCGCTCCAAACTCTTTGTTGATGCACAACAGCAGTCACCGAATCTAACCCAAGAAGAAGGCGACGAGCAGCCCGAACTTCTTGAGAAACTCACACTCTTGAAATGGATCTTCGAGGCACGTGAGCAGCTCCACAGAGAACTCTTCGATCTCCTCAGCGACCGCAACAACCGGTATCGCGACATGGTCATAATACCCTACCGGCTCGCCGGGAACAACGAGAAAATACAGAACGCAGAGCTCTTCTTCGCTGAAGATGCATCCAAGCGAAAGCTAGCGTTTGAGCAAGAAGTGCTCAAACGCACGGAAGAATTCATGGATATCATCGAAGAGAATGTCGTCCGCGGTGTTGAGGTACAACTTTCTGCCTTTTGGGACATCGCACCGTCTTTGAGCCGCATCACGGACAAGATTCCCAGCCGTATTGATGAGAGTTTCGCGATCCAAATCCCTGCTGCGGAGTACGAGGAGAATCCCAGTTACTACGCTTTTCCGATGCAATATCTCTATAGTTTACTAGGACACTGCGAGAAAAGCACATACCAATTCATTGAGAGCCAGACGAATCTTCTATGTCTACTGCACGAAGTCAAGAGCGGTGTCACGCTCGCGAATTGTAGGTTAATGCGTACGCAACGCATCGCGCAGGGAGAAGGTGAGGAAGAGGTCGAGGCGGAGTTGAGAGAAGTGGAGAAGGATGAGGAGGTACGTCTGACCGATGATCTGAAGGAGAAGGTCAGGTGTGTGGAGGAGCTGTGGAGTAGTGCGTTGGGAAGGGAATTGACAGGAGTCAAGGAACGAATCGTGAGTTTTTTGATCGAGCAGGGTGGCTGGGACGAGGATGAATGATCCAGATTCTCCTCTTCTCAAAAACGAGTTTCTCTTTTATATTCTTTGTCTGGGTTGGGATAGATGGGTTGGGGACTCTCGAGATACGAGTTGTAAAAGAGGCACGGCACGCAAGGGTGTTCGTTTCTTTGTATTTAATTCTACCTGTGAGCTAGCTATGTTCGAAAAGAAGAGGAGGAAAAGTGATGGATACGATACCCCGAATGACCCCCACAGATTACAGAAATTACCACCAAATATTATATGTCTCTTACCATACCATGCCAGGCGTCCTAAGTGCACCAGTTTTCAAAACGTCCCACGAGATTTCAACTATCAAAAAGCTTCTGTACTTCTCTTAACCATAGTCTTATATAAGCCTTCAAGGTCATACATCGTGATACTACCTAAAAAAAATTCCAACAGCAGAGAAGCACTCCAATACATCGACAACGCACTCGCCAATGTGTGATGCCAAATTACGACCTGTGTTCACTCATACGAGTTCGTTTGTCTTGGCCTTGCGTCCTGTAGTCAGACCAACCTTCATGAAGATGTCCTTTGGTATTGGTAGCACAGCAGATTTCAATAGTGCATCATGATCCTATTGCTGTCCAACACGAACAGCCAACCTATCGAGTATTGACAACGCACTATGTTGGGATTGTGGCAGGCAATTGAGGATTTGAATGTTGTGCTTCTGGATTGAAAGCCGTGTGTAACATTTACTATGTTGAGTAAGGACTTACTCATGCTTTCTATGTGAAGGAATTGTGTTACTGAGCTTGCGGACTAGCGGAGTTGATGGGCCCTCTCACGGGTTAGAAGCAAGGAATTGCGGAATGTAGGTAAGAAGACGCGGGAGGAGCGTTGTGGCGGTTTGTTGGAAAATAAAAATCCGAGAAGCTGATTATCTCTTCGTGTAACTCCCACGTTTAGACATGTACAATACAGCTTTGGATGCACACTTTTCTTCCAGGTATTTGAGATCAAAGTTTGAAAGGGCACTTTGGGAAGAGCAAGGCAAGAATAGGTCAATTTACGGGTGAGTATTATGTCACCGGGGTTGTGGGTGCTCTCGCCTGGTGATCTTCAAAATAAGGATCTCGTGGCTAGAGGAGGAGGCAAAGGGTCTCTGATAGTTTCGATTGAGAAACTGCCTAGTGATCAGTAGCTTTCTCAAGATGCTGATGGTAAACTCGCTGACATTCTAGGATGATGCAACCACAGACAGAACTATATGATTCACTGAAGTGCAGCCCGATGCTGTGATGCTGGAGATCGGAGATGCCATTGGACTACGAGGAATGATCTTCGGTGTATTGACGAATATGAGTCTTCCCACCGTGGATGGAGATTTGATGGGCAGAGCATATCCTGTAGCATGGCAAACAACGCCAATAGTATCCGAAACGAAACCCGTATTTCTACCCTCGACAATCTGTGATGGAAACGGCAATGTCATGGCAAATAGCCCTCTCAAGTTCTCTTCGGGCTTTCTTTTAACAGGTGAAGTTGGATGAAAGAAGCCAAGTCCGAATTGATGGTTGAGCGACAATTCCGCGCACACTCTCACACGTGGGCTCTCACGTAGCATGTGCGAAAGGACCTGTAACAAGAGCAAACACCAAGCAGTGGGTTGTTGAGCACACGATACCTCTCTCCTGGCGAATCGGACGAGCCGTTGCCCTCTCAAGAAAATCAAAACAGATTGATACCGTTGCTGAAGCCATGATTGAAGAAGCTAGCAGTGGTAATGTGTTGTTCATAGGAAGATTGTGGGTGTTGATAGGAATTTGAGGATGATCATGTGTATGAAGAAGCAATACTCGAGGGTGAAAAGGGGAAGATGAAAACAGCGTCCAAGAACGAGAGTATCTTCAAGGAGCGTGATTGAGGAGTATGGAAGATGATATCACTCCTGAAATTCACACCTCGCTTCTTCTACGAAGCGAAGTCGAGGCTTCTTGAAACCCGACTCTTGAATCATGCTGTCGCACATAAAACAGACTAGAATAGAAGCACATGGAGATCTCGCAATTCAAAACATCACCATCGAAACTTTCGGCAACAAGTTGCTTTACTTGGAAGATCTGCGAGCGTGAATAATCATTGGAAAAGCCCAAAATGGGTGACCACGAACTGACGAGAGAAAGATGCATATAAGAAAGTACAAGGCCTTCCACATCGAAAATGTACACATAAACTCATATATATATATACGTTTCTCTATCTTGAATTTTCCCCTTCCATGCTGTACCTGCCATCTCAAAATCTCTTCCTTACTCAGAAATCGAAAAGAACAGATAAACGTCCAGGCAGGCAGTCACTGTAAGAAACCCCCCCCCTCATCAAACCGTATGCGCAGCAAGCAGGCAAAAGAAAGAAGACGACAGGACTCCACCCGTGAACAGGCAACACTTACTTAAAAGGTAGACAAAGCAGGTACCCGAGATACGACGACAGCTCGTGATGCTGAAAACAGAATGGAGCTCGGCAAACTCCAGCTGAGCTGACAATAAACGAGGTCGAGGTGGAGGCGAGCTTACGCAGGATTATCATCTCTTGCGCCTTCTATTGTCACCCCGTCGTCCTGTCTTGACTTGACTTCGGTTTTGGCCTGGCTTGGAATTGCCACGAACAAATGACGAAAATGAGGCGCAGAACAGAAACAATAAGACAAATGACGCAGATACCAGTACTAAATTGAAAGCAAATATGACTGACTGCCTGCCTGCTTGAGGTATTGACAAACGAAGGATCGTATCGTGTGATTACTAACTCCGTCCCTCCGTACAACAGGTACAGCCAGCCATGCATGGTGAATAATTCCAACGAGAAGAAAGAAGTGGACGGAATCTGCATCACGACCTTGAGTAATCAACCAGGTATAGCTGAGAGGGAGGCTGAGACCCGAGACAAGACAAGACAAGACAATGAGTGAAATGCACTTCCACTATTTGTAAGTCCTTCCTCGAGTTTGGTGTTAGAATCGTGAGCAGAGAGAAGGGATGAATGAACACAAGGTAATCCAACGAAAAAACTACGGAGGTAGATGGAGGGGGCGGCGGGCCAAGTCCGTCTCTTGGCGGGAGGCGGGAGGCGGCGGGCTTGTTCAGCGCAGCAAGGGGCTGCTGGGCTGTTCAGGGGCTGAGTTGACATTTGCGCAGCTAAGCGAGCGGCGTCCCCTTTTCCCCAATGTCGATCTGGGACCTGGGATCTGGATCTGGATCTGGATCTGCCTCGGCATCAACCTCACTGGAATTTGAAATTTGACTCAACTCAAGTAGGTAAGAGTAGCCGACAAAGAGTCGTCACGATGGAGTCAGTTTGAAGAGTGAAGTCACGGTAGGAGAGACAGGAAGTGTAGCGTAGTGTAATGAGCATCAAACTCTTTTGTATAGTGTAAGAGTCTTATCTTAAATTCTCTAGGTACTGACTCTCACAATGATATCTCCAAAAATCGGCGATGCAGCGCATCCAGCCTTCCCTTCTTTCTTCCCCGTGCCCACTCATCCACATGTCATCCAATTACTATAATGCAGTGCGGTAAAATGCCATCCCATGCCATGCCAAAAGGGAGCAAATCCGACTCCAGTACGCCATGCTAATGCGAAAGGACAAAGGAAAAGATAAAGGGACAAATGTCAAAACTCCATGATGCAGACCTGGCCAGATTCGAATGCTTCCATCCAAATTGAATCCCTTTGGCCCCCAAGGAACATGTAAAGAACAATGCTTTCCTTCATTATGTCCTCCGAGATCGATTGGACCTATCATATCGTTTCATGAGCTCCATTTTTTCCACCCTTCCATCCAACTCAAATTGACATAGGAAATTCGTGCATTCTTATCGTTATCCAACGCATCATGAAGCATAGCTGTTGCGTTCTCTCTGCCCTCCAAGTAAACGCGAGAAGATATTGCCGCTCATAAGCCTTGGCTTCTTAGCCGGCTTCTCCTCGACAACGACTTCACGCTCAATCTCGTAAGGTAGCATACCACGCTTGTGTTGAGGGTACAAGACCTGGTGATCCATCTCGATCTGTACGATGTCGCGAATGACAGCATTGGGGCTGGTGTTGTTGGCGCCGCGGCAGTACTGGCCGTCTTGCTCCATCTCCATGTAGCTACCGATGCTTGAGCTTGGTGTGCCAGCGCGCGAGATCGAGTCCACGTATGAGGAAGCTGAGGAGGAGACCATCGAGTATGTGTCTGCTGTACCACTGCGTGCGAGACCTGGGACTTCGGTGGAAGGTGGAGGAGAGTCGTAGCGGATGTTTGAGGATTGAGGTCTGCCAACCACCATGCCGGTTGGATCGATATATTGGCCTTCGTAAATCTGGTGTTCTTGGTACCCTGGTAGCCAGTATTGACTCGCCGACTCGTATTGTACCCTGTGCTGCTCTTCCTCTGCCAATTGCTGTTCTCGTGCAGCTATCTTGCGCGCCTCCTTCTGGCGAGCGTACTCTTGCTTTCTCTCGATCTCTTGACGGATTGGCTCCAGGAAGGGGTCAAGGTGAGCGTAGAGGTCGTCTTCGCTGATGTTGAGATCCCAATCGAGAAGGAAGAGAAGTTGCTTCTCCATGAGGTTGACCTCGGTCCTTGAGAAACCAAAATGCTCGTAACCTCGAACTTTGGTATACTCGGCCCAGTGCTTGTTCTTCGGTGAGGAGTCATTGAGGAATTTTGCGGAAAGGATGAGGGCAGCGAGAAAGATTCGGTGTACTGTACACCTTAACCCCTTGGCAACAGGTGGAAGCTTTTGCTTTAAACGTTCGAGGTACACCAATGTCGTCATGAGAGTTGGTACCTGAACATTTGATTTCCGTACCAAGTTGCTAATGAAGCGTTCCAGGGAAGGAAGGGCCGGTGATTCTGATCCATCCTCCGGGGGTGTTTGAGGAGGGGAAGGAGGTAATGAATGGGAGGTAATTCGTTCACACTGGATGACTTCTGATGCTTTGCGGGCAAGATAGTTGATCATATCAGTGCTTACAGGAGTGTAGATGAAGCGCTCCAGGGCGGCCTCGTTCAATTCTCTTGAAGGGTACGACATGTTGTATCGAAGAAGATGTTTGGTGTCGAGGATTGATCTGGTTAAAAAAAAAAAGGGCACACGAAGCCAGGAGGGTATAGAAATATGAATGCTAATGAGTATCGTTATATCGTAGTCTAGTGGCCGTGAGCTTCGTATTGTTGATTGTGCCTAGCAAAGCTGTTTGCTATTGTGGCGCTGTTGATATTGTTGTTGGGCGAGCCGAGAGGTTGATTAGGCTTGGATTGCAGCGAGGCTGTGAATTGGAACACAGTCTGCAAGGCGGAAAGGTGTGTTTTGTAGCGACGACAAAAACAATGAATTGAATTGTCGGCTAAGACTCGACAAAGACTTGGACCTTGAGAACAATGCAAGCGAGGCGGGAGCAGGAACAATAAAATATGCCTGAGAGAGTGTAAAGCGAGGTAGTTGTAGCGAGGTACAAGTACTGCGCTGTGCTGTGTTGTGCAGTGCAGTGCAGTGGAGTGCAGTGCTGTGCTGTGCTGTGCTGTGCTGTGGAACGGCGAGGCCGGCAAAGGACTGTGGGGTGGCTGCTGTGTATATGAAAAAAGCGGAGAAGTATCGTTGTTGTAGACAAAACTTTCCGACCAGCGGAGAGATTCAGGCGCAGATGCCGACTGTGGTGGATGTTGTTTCGCTGGCGCAGCGTAAACGATTCAAGTCATGCGAATGCAACGGCCGCAAGGGAGGGAGGGAATCGTGTCAGGGTTGACAAAAGACTGGGACGGCAGGAAGGCAGGAAGGCAGGCGGAGGCGATGATGATTCGCAAGCAGCCAAGCCCAATGCCAGAGAGGAGTGCGTGAGAGGAGAATGCGAGTCGTGGACGACGAAGGAGCGAGTAGAGTGGAGTGGAGTGGATCGGTGGATGGGGAAGGATGATGCTTTATCCAAATGGAATAGCAAAAGCCTCGCTAGATGCCTGAGCAGAAAGCCCTGGACGAAGGATGGCGGGCGGGACGATCTGAAAGCGAATCGAGCCAAGTGTAAGTGCGCACAGGGAGTGCTGGAGTAGCACAGGCTCTGGAGTAAAAGGGTTATCCAAGTCGTACGTCCGTACAGTACAGTACAGTACAGTACAGTATTGGCCAAAGTCGCCGAAAAGAAGCTATTATTCCGCTGTTGATGTGGTATTTCCTGGGGCTGCAGGGGGGCACAGACGCAGGGGCGAGGGCGAGCGAGCGAGCGAGGGGTTGACAGTTTCTTCGTCCGTTCGCAGATCTTCTAGCTGCAATATCGATAAAGAGAGGCGTGCAAAGTCCGAGTGTTTCGTTTCGAGGGGTCGTCGTGCTGTAGATAATGTACTCCAGAGGGAGGAGAGGAGGATGTGACGTTGATGAACGGTGATGAACGGGGAGCCGGACGATGCTCGAATGATCTGTCTGAATGCTGCACCTGATTATAAGTACCTTATCCGACTGACACCGGGTCGTCGTCTCGATGCGATGTTGGTGCGGGAGTGAGCGTGGAGGCTGGTGCGAAGTCGAGGTCAAGTGCGAGGCAGGCGAGGGTGTGGCAGTCAGTCAGTCAGTAGTGGAAGTGGTGGCAGTAGAAGATACTTCTACTTCTGTTTGGACAAGCCTCAGGGTAGATGAGGGTGGAGGGGATATAAGTATTGTACGTATAAATGAGGAAGGGCGTGTGTGAGGCAAGGTCCAGATAGCGGCCTACCGAATCAAGACTCGACGACGCCAGGAGGGCCGCTCCTATGGACTTGTTTTAATTGTTTCCACACACGCCGTCAAGGAGTAAGAGTAAGGTATTTTCGTCGTTCGTCCAATTCCAGTCGCCAGTCTCCAGTAAGGAATCTGCCGGTGGCCGCTGGATGGTTGGCGGTGGTTGGTCCTACGCTGTCGGCGACCAAGCAGTAGGCCGCGCGATGCTTCGCCCCTAGACGCTGGGAAGCACTGTTGGAATGCTGACGGACCCCTCGTTCCAAAAACGGCCCAGCAAAGTGGATGGCAGTTTCAGCCCACTTGCGCAGGGGGAGACCGAGGATCGACTGGCAATCGACTGGCGAGGAGCGAATTTGAGATGGGGAGGGTGGTGGGTATGGGGATGGGCGATGAAGATGAAGATGAAGATGCAGGGGACGAGGGGGGCAGGAGGGAGGCAGGTGAGGCACGCCAGGGTACGGATACAGGATGGCAGTCCAGGAGGGCAGGGCAGGGCAGGGCATGCAGCGTACCACAGGCACAGGTCCACAAGGGAGAGACGAAGATCCGGTTTTCAGCACGGCGGAGGGATAGGATAGCTAGGTAGGTAGGTAGGGAGGTAGGATACCTACGGTAGGTACCTAAGATAGGGATGTCGCCTGGATAGCCGTGAATGGGTCCAAGGGGGTGAAGGGGGAACTGGTCCGTGGCACTGGAGAATTGCTGTTGTCCCTTGGCTTGGCGGTTCTGGTGCAGTGCAGTGCTGTGCAGTGCAGTGCTGTCTCCTGCAAAGGCTGTTTCCAGGCTGCACTCTCCTGAGTCGCTTCGTTCGGTTCGTCGATATATTCTCCGTCAAACCTGCGCCGTATTGGCTTCGGCCAATAGATAACCAAAGCAAGGTTGGCTTTCAAGGAGCTCCTGAAACCACGATATCAATCAAATCAAATGAACCGCGCTGCTCAGAGAACATGCAATAAAGTCTCGCAATAATAGAGGGATGCTGAACTTATTTTTGCCAGAGGGAATGCTGGCTGGATAAATGTGCTTCCCTTCCGTCAGTGAAGGTGAGTTCCGCCCGTCACAGTAATGTATCTAGTCATGCATGCGTGAGGAGGTTGGAGATATCACCGCCAGTTAATTTTTCTTACAATTTCCGCAAAGATGGTTGGGGTTGGGCTGCAATCCAGTGAGAGGGAGTGAGTTGTTCATTTCCTGCGTCATAGATGGCGGTGAATGGCAATGCTTCAACGGTCATCCTCACTCTCCCATCGATCACGCAGCATGCATTCCCTTGTTTCTCGAGTCAGGAGTGAGTGTGAAGCAGCTGATTGCTGGTCGCTTGATGTTGATGGGAGAATCAGGCGAAGTTTATCCCCCCGCCCCCCTCGACTCGGCTGGACTGAGCAATGTGATATGCGTCGTCGTTTTTCATGCATGGAGGGAAAATATCATCATTCATGCATCCAGCATTCTTGAAAATGGCTGGCAGGCATCTGGTGTTTGGCTTCCCAGTGAATAAGAATTGATGCCGAATACATTACACGTACGATGAGGCTTTGAAGCCCAAAGCCCACTTCTTGGCCGCAAACAAGGCCTGATGGAGGCTATGAAGGTCGAAAATTTGCCTGCTGGGCATGGAAGATCGTTATTGGTATCGAGAGAAGAAGAAGAAAGCAGTCATGCAGCTACGACGATCTTTTCCATCTGAAGACTTCTCCTATCTCATCTTCGGATGAGCCATTCATGCCTTTCATGCCATCCCCTACCACAACAGCTGAAGTCCAGGCTCGCTTGGAATGGTCTGGCATCGAATCTCTAGCCTCCGTCCGCATCTGCGAGTGTTCTGGTCTTTTGATCTTGGTGGCGGAGGGGAGGTGTTGGTAGGCTGGGGACGTGCAGGGAGTGACAGCCAGGGGCAATGCCTAGGCTAAGAGCAGACTGGCGGGATTGCGACAACACCAAGCGAGAGATCTTCAGGGACCTGGACGGCGCTGTGATAGGCTGTGCGCCAGTGTGTTTTGAAACGCTCAGTCATTCTGGTCCTCGAGCCGTGGACCAGCTGCTTCATCTTGACTGCCACATCATCATTTCATTCCTCACCAGCGACCACTCTTTGTGCAGGACCAGTCACCAGCTCAGAGCAAAATCCTCACGCATGTGCAAGCAAAAGTCCTCAGCTTGAGCAGCAACTACCAGCTACCTACAAGTAGCCCACCACACCTGCACGATTATTATTGCGACTCGTTTGTTGGACCAGTAAGGTCATGGTGAGGGTGAGTTGCCCACTTTCTTCACAGCCTACATATAATGAGATAGCAAGATCCGTGCAAATTTGGTTCAAATTGGAGCAAATCCGGTCTTGTAAGATCAACCCGACGTTGCCATCAAATTTGACACCTGCTAATTATGTGCAGATGGTCTAGTGGTATGATTCGTAGGTGTTCCACATCCTCCTGAGGAAGGTTGTCCTAACGAAGTAACGTGGACGCAGTCGCTTAGGGTTTACCTTACCTTGAGTTCAACATTGCGAGAGGCCCCGCGTTCGAGTCGCGGTAAGACCCATGGTGCACTGGCACCCCCTTTTTTTGCCTCTTTCTTGCCTGATCTGTAATGTTCGAGAGCACATTGCTCACAAGTAATCAATTCAATATAACTTTATACGACGTACTTTTCAAAAGTTTATTTTATTGCCTACAACAGCCTGTTCTATTCAAATGATGAAGCACTTGATGTGGCCTGTCTCTTTGCGTAGATTCCTGGGCCATCAAGGGACTTACTGAGATAGGCTGGATAGACCTCGACTGAAGCTGGTCTCGAGGTGAACAAGGCAGATCTCTCAGGAGACCAAAAAAGACGGTTTAACAAACTCCCTCCGGTCCTCCGGGCCGAGTTTTCGACTTGACTATTCAATTCAATCGGATACAAAAGAGAAAGAAAAAAAAAGTTAAACATCGTGTGGTGTTTGGCCTTGGCCCGGGATCTGGAATTGGTTAGTGATTTGTAGAAGAACATATCGTGGAAGATTCAACTTACTGAACCGGGGACCTCTCGCAAGTTAAACTTTGGGTGAACCCTAAGCGACTGCAAGATGTTAGATGGATGTTGAGTTGAGATGCGGAAGATGGGACCACTGACGAATCATACCGCTAGACCACCAAGGCGTCTCTATTGGTTGATGATTTTTTCTTATTTCGTTACTTATAAGCTTCAAAAATGGCGTTCTGTGTGAAAGATGGAAGCGAGCCCTTTCCCCACTCCCCACCGAGCCCACTCCCAGTCTGGCCATCAGATGCATACACTTCCGGGTCCTGAGCTCCAGCTTTGAAGCTGTGGCTGAGCTTCAACCCGGAGTTGACCGCCGACATGAGATTTCGGAATATCAGCAGCGGCCATCCCGGCCAGAGCGCTTGTATGAAGATCAACAACCGCCGTGGCTCTTCAAGCCTCACCTACCTTTCAAAAAGAGAACATCTACAATACCACTGTTCCATCAACGCAAGTAGAATTACAGTATGTGGTCTACCTATTTGCAGACGCGCATAGGCAGCGAAACGCCGGTCGGACCAGTTAGAAGGATGGCGGTTACTTGCTTGAGCGGCTGCGCGGCTCAGCATGAGGTTTGGGTAAGCGCTCGTGGAATGATAAAGCGGTCTATTTCGGGCCTTTCCCAGGGATCCACTGCGAGATTACGCTGAAACAGACCCGAGATGTCGTTCATCAATACCTGGATGCCCGTCTGGCGCTCATTTCATGAAGCGCCCGCGAAGTTGTGGGTATGCGTACGAGCCTCACAGTTTCCAATTGTTTTAATTGTATACGCGCTTTATCGGATGTCGTGCATAGTAAGGATTTTTTCAGCCTCATTCGTCGTTCTATTCTCCTCCCTCATGTTAAGCACTTATAGTTTTGGTATGGATTTTTCTTGGAAACCAACATTTTTCGGGATATTTTCATCGAGCCGCAGCCCCTGCATGCCTCAATCCAAAGTATCGGGAACCAACACTCCCGTGCAGGCATGATTCCTAAATGCTTCAATATCCAGGTTTAGGTTCAATCATTGTCCCGTAGGAATGCAGCGTTGGAGGTATTTCGACAAAGGCGGAGGATCATCTTTCATTTGTCCCGGGGTATCTTCCATCCTGTTGTTGGTTGAGGGACAGAAAAGATCAAGATGATCTGTCATGTTCTTCAAATATCCTTTGTATTTCTTGAGGTTCATGTGCTGCCTAATAATAATTGATTGTCCTGAAAGAATTGACAAGATTCCATTCATGTCTCGTCGCACTACTTGTTTTCGCACCAACTTCTAATGATAAGGGCAGCGTTACATTCCCATGTATTCTCCGACGCCCCCAAGTTCCCGTGAACGGCTGTCTTTTTGCAAGGTGCTCTTGTCATCCTATTTTATCTTGCAGTTAATGTATCGAGTGTCCTTCTGGAATCGCCCAGCATTTGGTCTACATTACGATCGATATTTCAGAGGATTTACGAGTTATCAAGAAGACTGGTGTTTTCCGAGGAGCAGAGTTAAATCGGTCTTGGCGGCAAGGCATTGAAACCCTTGCCCTCCACCTACCTACATTCCAGCACACATCTGCTCGGCAGAGTCTTATTCAACAGGCGCGGTCTTCATGACAGGCTCTTTGCTTTTAGGCTGTTTAAGCTGAGAAATTTCATTACTTGGAGCGATTATCTTTACCAAGCAAAAACCTAAGGGAAACACAAACACACGATCCATGATCAAGGAAAGCAGGGCTGTAGAAATTTCTCACTCTGTGAGCCCCGTCAAAATAATTACAGAAGGTGGCATCAGACCGCCGAATAAGGCAAATTGTCGTTTTGCCTGCCCCTTTGTTGCTTACACCCTCCTGACTGCTTACAAGCCAGGCTTTGAATCCACATATAGAAACTTGATAACTGATTCATCGATAGATCTTCAAAAGTAGTAAACAGAATCTCTAGGGTAGACTCGCCTTTATTGATCGCATCTCGAGTTTCCCGTTTGCGTCCCAATTCTGTGCTCTTTTCCACTCTGGGAAGAAGGCTTCCACCAACCGTGCAGACGCCAATCAGCGGCCCTTCCCATCCCGCTTCCCCATCCCTAGCGTTAGAAGCATACCAATCAAAGCCTCTCGCTTCACCCAATTCAAGCACCATTCAGCCGCAGCTAGCTGTCGATCGATTAAACAAGGCTGAGGTCCCGTTCCGCATTTCAATTTCCTCATCCCTGACCCATCCATCCTTCATCATCATCTCCCCAGACTTGCTTCATCTCGCCTTACGTTGGTCGACTGGACTAGCTTCAGGCCGATTGAACTTGAGAGGATGGCACCAACGAGGCTGAGGTTCGGCCAGCCGGGCAAGCCAAACATCATGAAGACGCCGAATCCGGTATATGATTTCTTCCGTCCAGATCTCATGAGTGAGTCGTATGCGATTGGAGATGTCTACTCGACAGAGGTAGTACAGAAAGCACAGGAGCAGTGGAATATCCTCTCGTGAGCCATACTTCTCCTTCTACACGAATAAAGCCGGACCTGACGATACATAGAAATGATGAGCAAAAGCTCTATCCATACCTCACCCACGTGAAGGCGTTGTCGAACACATGTAGGTATTCGGAAGCCATATTTTTCTCGTTCGCCCGCGAGAAAGCTTTATCTTACGACATATGACAAGCCAGCTTCATCACTTCAGGTCTAACTCGTCCCAAGGGCCACATCTTCGTCTTCTAGCGGACTTCATGGAAGTTAGCACGACTCCACTACGTTGGAAAGATCTCAGTACGACACACCCCACCCCTGGAGTGAATATTGAGCCAGAGGTTCGAAGAGAGCGAATCAAGGACCGAAACGACAGGGCTTGTCGGACCAATGTCATGTTGTTGAAGTATCTTGCATCAGGACAGGTGACAGAGATGCCATGTCAGACGCCTACTGCACTTGTGGCTGCTCTTGAAGAAGAAAATGTTGAGGAGAAGAAAGAGGAACGAGAAAGTGAAGATTCTGGGGTAAATGGCGGAGCAGCTCCAGTGGAAGAGTGCAAGTTAAGACTGTTCGTCGTGGAAGACCTCTCGCGAGACGTGATTGAGGCACTGGGATCCAGATTAGACATCGAGCCTGCGTTCTTCCGGGAACACATAGTCGACTATGCATGGTGCAACATACGCGATCGGTGGCAAGATCCTCCTAACATGAGGGTTGCTGAAGGACATCGACGATGGGTGCAGTTGAAATATGTCACCGCGAGGTACTACAAGACTTCTGCCGAGTTTACGGAAGGTGTGAAGGAGGCGGAGAGATTCAATGTTCTAAGAAGACCGGACGATGATGTCAACAATAAAGCAGTATGGGACGATAGGAATGCTATTGTTGGAATTACGCGGAGTAGAGCCAGCTTTTGGTTGAAGAAAGGCGAGCATGGTAAAGAGGATGTTGGTATGTGCTCTCTTCCTCCTTATCTTGCTCTTCATACGACTTGCCTCAATATGGTGTCGGAACCTTGAAACTTACAAGTTTCATTGCAGGCGTTCTTCTCCTCGATCCAACTATTCAGAAAGGTACACCTTTGTGGTACGGGTATCGTAATTGGGAACCAACCCCAAGCATGAAATCCCCCGATATTCCCGCAGGCCCGCAACGCAAGTCTCTCTTCGAAGACTTCATCTACTGGGCGAAGAAAGCCCCGGCATCTCAATTAACAAACCTCTCTATTACCTCGAGTAAATCCAGGACGGATATGCCCATGCAAACCCTGCTCTATCTCATCTGTGCAGATTGGCTCGCTATTAGTGACTACATTCGAACCCGCATTGGCATCATCGAATGGGAAATATCAAATCCCGACCACTTCCTCAGCAAAGACTTCGGCATCGACGATGCCCTCAAAAAACTCCACGTTTGGCGGCGTCTTGTTCCTCTCTACCGCGAAATGCTCACTGATTCTCTACAACGCGTGTTCCGCGTACCTGTCCACGACACCAGCACATCTGTGACACTGAACGGCATCGAATCCGCCCTCGCTCCAACTTCAACCTCGACACCACTCGCATCATCCCTCGCTCCAACCAGCAACCACCCCATCAAATCCGACTTCTCACGTGCTCTCTCCTACATGGAAGAATACCAGCAACGAATTGACCGTCTAACCTCCGTCGTCACGGCCATCATCTCAATCGAAGACTCGAGGCGCTCCCAAGATGACAATCGCAACGTGGCGCGGCTGACATGGCTGGCGACGTTCTTCATCCCGTTAAGCTATGTGGCGAGTTTATTCAGCATGCAGGAGAACATTGGGCAGTTGAGACCGACGATGAGACTGTACTTTAAGTGGGCGGTCCCTGTGGCAGCGTTTGCAATGGGATTGGCATGGATATTGACTCTGCCGTGGGTATTGGGCGTTTTCAGACACTTAACTGGGAAGAAGAACAAGAGGAAAGTTTGAATAATAGGGTAATGTATAATTTTGGGAAAGTGAGAATTGCCCCTAAATTTGCTAAAGCTTTTATCGTAATATTATGGTGTAACATAACTGGCGTTTTGGGGCATGGCGGTGGCTTTCTAACCAAGTATGGGCATGTTTACCTTGAAGCGACTTCTCTGAGACATGCGTCTAGTTGCTGTTGGAAGTTGTGGCATTGGTACAGAAACTGAAGTAATCAAGATATCTCATGAATTTTCTGCAATTTCGAGATCATCCATTTTCCCCTCCAATTGTGTCAAAATCTGCTTTCCAGTCACAGTCTTATCCGCAGGACCCATATCCAAGTCCACGTAATCATCGCCATCCACTATTCTCTCACTCTCAGGATCCTCCTCGCATCCGTCTTCCAGAAACGCAATCTCGTGACTTGACCAGCATAGCTTGGCACATTTATCCTGCCCTGAACAACAACATTAGTAATTGCATGTCAGATGTCCCCAGACATGTTTTGGACATTTCAAGCTGGAAGAGAAAGGAAATATGGGCAGCCCGGATGCTTACAATACTGCTCGACCTTAAGCCGTGGATGAATTCGCTGTCCAAAGTCAGCAAACAGCTCGAGTACGTAAAACTTCCATGTTGACACAAAGACTTACCCTAGCAATGATCTTCTTTAACATCGTTGGATCCGCGGTCTCATCTTTCTCGTAGAGCTCAAAAGCAGCCCATACCCAAGCAGCCTCCATCTCTCTCCTCTTCAGCATCGGCAGCTCCTCCTTCCTGGCAATATCATCCGCCATTTGACAGAACCACAAGAACCTCGGCTTAGTATCCTGATCGGCTAAACTAGCTAGTCTCTTGATCCTAGGTGAGACCTTATAATCGAACGACGTAGTCATCAACCGGTGGAAGTCAGAGTAATATTCCATGGGTTCGCCGTATTTGGCTTGGAAAGAAGGCGAGAAACCCCAGCGCTCATAATCACCGACGTAAACGTCTTCGAGCAAGAAGATGATTATGCTGCTCTGCCGTGTCGACATGACTGGTACGGGTGGGAAGAGTTTTAAAGCTGTGGCGATGGTGTGATCTTCGTGACCGGACTCGATTTCCGTGAGGTGTATATTGAGGATTTGGGAGCCCTTTTCGTGATTGAGCTCGCTCGAGATAGAGAGCAGACGGCGGAGATCGTTTGCTTTGAAGGATCGGAGGTTTTGAGAGCCAAGCCAGACGGCGAACCAGACGCTCAGCTTTGAGAATTTGAACTCGTATTCCTGGCCTAGGATGATTGCACGCTCAAAGTCAGACATTGGAATGTCGGGGAGTCTTGCTTCATCTACGCAACGGTGGAATATTTGAAGCCAGAATTCGAGGGCTGGAAGAGAGATGTGGTGGAGTTCGAGGGGTTCGTCCTGGCCGAATTGCTCCAGGTGAGCTTTGAAGAGATCAGAGTTCTCCCGGAGAACCTTGCAGGAAACTCGGAGGAGAGTTTGTCTATGAATACGTTGATTGGCGTACTCAAAGGTCTGAATATACATGTCTCCTGCTCCGTCGATCTCGATGGTATTGATTCTCGGCATGGTTTGGTCAGGAGGGTTCTTGCTTGAAGGTTGGGATGCACTTACTGCATGGGAAGACATGGCTACCAAGTCGATCAGTGGGTGGGAGTTTTGGCTCTTTTTGACGCAAAACAGATGAGGAAGCGAAGAGCAAAATGCGTGCTGGTCGTCGTTCGAGATCGCGTAGAGGTTGATAGGAGGAGCCGATTATGGGCAGGAGGGTCGGTGATCAAGAATAAATGCATCTACCGAGTCGCACGCTACTATCTTGGTATAAGTGAATCGCGAATGACTCAATCTCTGACAGGTGCGCGCTGCAAAGTCGCCTTGCTAGGTCTTGTGAATTCATCTACCCGCCTCACTCGCTTAAAAACGTCGATAAACAAAAGGACAAAAAGAGACAAAAAAAGGAATGAAACGAAGTTTTACTAAACAGACATTATTATACATAAAGGGGCAATAAAAAGAAGAAGAATCGTCAAAAGGCAAAAATCTAAGTTGTTGGCAACTCAGCCACGGCACACTGAAGAGCGGACAGGGACATAGACGCACCCAAGACGCCATTTCACGGTGCAAGATACGCAGTCCAGTCCGTAACTCAGGTCTAGTTAGAGTTAGAGAAAGCTGTCACATCCCATCGCAGGTTAACGGGCTAAGGTGCCGTGGTTAGATGTCAGGCAATTGCTTATTTCGCTACCTAAAGCACGCAAAACTTCGGCAGAATTGACTGACCACTAAACGAATGGTAGCCGAGCAGGTGAGTCGACGCGAATACTTCACTATCACCGTGTGACCGAGTGATGGAAGAATTCGTTCCATATACGGTGAGGTATTTCAAATAGATCAGCAGTTGTCAGACCTACTATTGCGATACTAGTCTCATACAGGTAGATTGACACCAGTTTTATGGTTCTTTGACAACCCTTCCGTAATCCGCAGAGTCCCAGGTTCCCTATTGGCAGGCCGATAACCACCAGCATATTTTAACGTCACTCATATTAGTATTGTTCTATTTCTCAGAGAGACACTCGGATGGGCTCTTTATAAATCAGTCCACAACATTGACCTCGGGACCAGGGTCGACCCGCTCGCTAAACTTCTGGATTAACAACAAAACAAAAAATGGGAAGATGCATCTAGTAGGACCCAGATAGCTACCAAGCCAATCGTATCATCTCTTGATATACTAGTAACAGAAAAAAGTCTGAAACATATCTTAAAGAATATCAGGCGAAAGGAAAATTGTCAGCATGGCCAGTATTTACAGGCTCCCAGCGGCAAGTTGCACCGCGAGAGTGCACACCTGCATGATCAACTTGAGACTGAAGCGCTACCTAAAGACGTTTTTCTGCGGTACAGGTACCATGGTGCGAGCTGTATAATCCCAACGCGAATCAATGAGCTACAAGTATGAGGAACCGGTGTCCTATCACTTATTTCGTTGCATGTCGTGGGAAAAACCTGAGTAGAGTTTGTAGCTTAATGTTATCTAGGTGCGACAACTGGAGAACCTGTGCTAGTAACTCATGTCAATAACAGCCTTCTGCTCTGATTATGCCCTCCATTTCCACGCCCGCTTTTCAGCAGCATCAAGACCCCTGACGGCCACTACACATACCGTAGCTCCAGCCAGTAACAGGGCATCAAAAATGATGACCTCTCTATAATTACCCAACTTGCTCTCTCCAAGAATCTGACCACCAACAGGAGACCCGAACATCGTACCAAGACCACGAACGAAGTAGATGAAGCCGTTGACACTGGCATATGCTTGCAAACCAAAGACTTCTGCGATAGTCTAATCTCATGTCAGGTGAGAGTTTTTGTAGACGCAAGAAAAACTTGGATTAAGAATCAAGACCTACAGTTGGGAACAAAGCATTGTACCCACCCCCAGCCATCCCATAGATAACCACAAAAGCAAGCCACAGCCCCTTCTTTCCCCCATCCCCAATGCTCCCCAACCACAATCCCGCCACAGCAGCAACACACAACAAGCACGTACTACACAATGTGTTTTGCCTCCCAACGCGATCACCAATCCACCCCGTCAGGACCCGTCCAATGGCATTCACAGCATTATTCACGGCCAAAAGATTAGCGCCGAATGCAGCGGTGTAGCCAAGAGCTACGCTGTATTCAGCAAGGAATGTTAAAGGGAGGCCATTCCCGCCCGATTGCAGGAAACCTGCGCAAACTGAGACTAAGAAAGTGGGCTTGACAGCCATTTTGAGATCAACGTGCGTGGGTCTTCTGCCGAGGAAGCGGGATGGAGAGGCAGAGACGGCGATGGGGAGGGAGACAATGAGGACGATTAGAGCGAGAGCTCGCAGTGTCCAGCGTGGGCCAATGCTGGAAAGGAGAGCTCGTACGAGTGGTGAGAATACCAGTCCGCCTATTCCTGCGCCAGAGAGAATGAATCCCACTGAAACATTTGATCAGCCAAGTACTCTCTGTTTTCATATTGCAAATATTCAAGAGGGAAGAAATGGTCACCTACTTGCAGCTCCTCTCCGCTCATTGAAGTATTCTGGAGCAGAGCTCAGAATTGGGAAATACAACAGCGATGATCCAACACCATAAAGCAATCCTTGGGTAAGCAGCAACTGCCACACCGTAGATGAGATGCTTGCCAGCCCAAACCCCAAGCTCATCAACAATACGCCTAGAATACACAATTGTCGCAGCTGAGGCAGTGAAATACGTGTAAGCATCGGATTGATGAAGATGCTCCCCGACCAAGTCAGGCCAGAAGCCAGTGTTCCAACGAACGCTACCAGAGCGGGAGAGTTATCCGCTGATTTCAAAATGGTTTGAGAGGGACATATGTAATAGGATTGGAAGACACCATATGATTGGTTGAGGCCGATTGTGATGACGATGGTAAGGAAAGAGGAGACAAGGACGAGAATTTGCCGATTTCTGGAAACTGGACGTAAAGCTGTAGATTGTGAGGGATCTTCGGCGGGAGATTGAGAGTGCTGTGATCCAGTGGTGGTGGATGGTAGCCGGGTGAGGGCTATGCCTGATGGTCCAGACTCCATGATTCGATCAAGCGAGCGCGAGACTCAGAATCTTGACGTCGGGCTGTAACTTGCAGTTTAAGGAAGGTGAACTTTCGGTATAAGATGCACCAATAGTCCAGTATGTATTTTTGTGAGACTATGGTGCTTCCCGCAATGACGATTCTCACCAGATTTGGAATATCTGGTCGATGGAAATCAGGAGATTCGATTATGACACTCTCTTCGCACCGTGCTAACAACGCTGACGGCGCCTAAAACGGGTAGCAACAGGTGGTATTGCTGAAGTGTCCTTCTAGGAGTGAGGGTTTACACGTATGGTGGTCTAGCATCTTCTTATACAGATGTAGTTGGGAGATTTTCTTGTCAGCTACATATTTCCCCACTCTTACTTACGTGATCGACAACCGGTTCTTCCCGCCGAGCCTCGGGCTGAGGAGAACTCTCCGTGGATTTCTTGTGTGCTGAACCCAAAGACTGTACAATAAATTTCTACATTTGCTACCTCGTGGTATATCCTTACAATTGATACAGTCGATGCAACCCAGATCATGGATCCACCAAAGAACGCCAGTCATCATTAATCCAGAACAAGCCCTCATCCGCAACAAACGACACGATGACGAAGATGTAAATTATCCTGTCCTTTATGAACCAGATTGCTGAGCCCCAAAACCGCCTCTTTACTTTCTGAATGCTGCAGAGACGTCGGCCCTGGACCATTCTGAAATCACCTCTCCATCATATACATCTCGACTGATAGTCAAGATCCGATCCTCGACCTTCTCGTAGAACTTCTCGCAGTTTTGGATGACCTTAACTACAAGACCGCGACTAAGGCCAGGCTCATCAGCATCGCCAAAGTGCTTCTCGACTCTCTTTTTGAGCGCCTCGATGCCCTTTCTAATTTCCTTCGAGTCGTAGCCTGCAAGAACCTTGCGGAATGTGGTTTTTGAGTGACTAGGCATACTAGAAGTCTTCGAGGCTGGCTCTCCTGGTTGTCTAGATAGCATGAGACTTTCTGTGCTTTCAAGAAAGTCGAGCAGTTTCCCTAGAGGTCTCCTAATCACAGCACCGAGATAAAGGCCCATGTGCTCGTTCATTTCCCGACTCGCATTCTGCTTCCAGTCTTCAAGAACCGGATTGGCACGAGCATCGACTTCTTCAAGGTAATGATTCATGTTTTCGATAAGTAAGACCTGGTAATTCAAAGCCTCCTTGTCTTCAGGGTCGGCACCGGCAACCTGAGCACCGGGGTTTTCTCTTGCAATGACCTTCAGTGACTCAAACATGGTCTTGTTGATGCGAGCATATGCATTGTTGACGGTCTGCCGGATATCGAGGTCATGGGACGTCGAGAGCATGGTTTCCAAGGTCAAGGAGAAGGATGGGAATATCCGAATAAAGGCAATGACTCCTTTGCGCTTCTTTATCTTGACCTTTGTATCTTCAATGGCACGAATTTGCTCGTCCAAGAACTTGTTGAACATGCCAAGAAGTTTTACGTGTAGCTTTTGCAGCATTCGAGACAGGTATTCCTGATTTGATTCTTCAAATCCGACCAGCTTGCGCTCAATGGCGGCAATTACACCGACACCTTGTCTAAAAATCCGTTAGCTTTTTCCTTGTCAGGAATGGTGGGAGTATATACAGTGGATCGGATTGAATAGTCCAGTCAACAAGCGATTGGATATCATTGGCATAGAACGAAAACACTTCTTCCATCGACTGGACAACAAGTTTTGCGAGACTTCTATCTGGGTCCATAACTCTTGGTCGTCGAAGGTCACCACCACGTCGAGAGTCTGGTGGCGACGCAGCCACCGCATCGGGGAAATCCGATTGTGCGAGAGAGGTGACATGGAAGAACTCAACAATGAAGTTCTGTTCCATGCTCATTATCGGAATCGTTTCATCGAGAACTCCGCCAAACACCTCGTATGGTTGAAGCCGGCCATCTGACTTGTCTAGACTAGATTTACTAGCATTGTCACCAATTGGAGACCGCAAGCTCTTCGCCAAAGTTTGGCTCCGCTTGACAGTCAACTTCCGAGCCGTCGTTGCAATACCTTCAGTCTGCTTCTCGATTTGAGATGTAAACAAGATATCGCCCTCATCACCAATTGGCTTCTTGGCAATGCGCTTCCAAGAGAAGGTAGCATCTCGGAACTCGTCTTGATATAATGGTCGGCATACCATTTCGTACATTTTCATAAGCTCCTCCCATTCGAAACGATCAACCTCTCTTGAGAACAGCATTAACGGGCTATATCTCCAAAGAAGATCACGGGCAAGATCGTGGTTTCGAGGATCGAGCTTAGCCTTTCCTGCAGCTCGAGTAAGATTACTGCCTTTCTCTCTTTCAAGAGCCTTTCTCGTCTCATCAATGGCAGCACCAAACTTGACTTGCAAAAACGGCTTCAAGCGGCGAAGGAACATTGCGATCTCCATCTTGTAGACATCTTTCTTTTCCTGCAGTACTCTCATACTCCCAATCTCACTGTTTCCGTAGCCTCCGGGTTTGCCGGAGCGGAGACTTCCGTCCTCGCTAGGTCTGGAAACAGTTGTGTTGAGTGATGGATCGATAGTCAGCATAGCTTTGAAAAGCATGACTAAGGCTGTTTCGATCTGCTCTAAGCCGCGAGGAGACTCCAGTGATGCTTCTCGGAGACCACTCAACTGCTCTCCAGAGATTGAAATCGTGTCGAGAAGAGATTTCAGTTCCGTTTGGAGGAGCCTTTGATTGGCTGTTTGTACCTGTAAACCTTGTGATTGAGCCTCGATATATGCGACATCCTCATTCAAAGTCTGAAATGTCAGTAAGTAAACGACACATTGGAGGGGGCGACTTACGCCAAGCTCGACAAGATACAGTGTGAACAGGCCATCCAGCTCTTCACATTCCTCGATACACTTGTCGAGACCCGTTTTGATCGCCTCGATTCTGTCATCCTCCTCCTCTAGCCTACTCAACCATCCGCCAGCTTGAATCTTGTTCAGCTCTCGCTCAACCTCGTCTTTCATTTGGTCGATATTTTTGGATCGTATGCCCTCGCCGACCCAGCCAAACTCCTCCCATGCAGAAACTAGCTCCCCACCACGGTCGCCAAGAATGCTTGGATCAACGCCAATGGCAGCAAGCTCCTTTGACATTGTCTCCGCCGGAGGTCTCGCTCTTTTAGCCTCACGAGCTTTAGCCTTTTCGGGCGGCGTATCTTCCTGTGGCGCGGCCACTGGAGCTTCAAAACTACCAGGACGTCCCGATTCTGGTACCGTAAGCTTGACCTCTGGGACACTATCATTCTTCTTTCGAGAAACCGGTCGTTCCAGAGGCGTTGTTGCTGGTGTGGTCCCGGTTCCTGTGGTACTGTCTGAGCTCATTCCCCGAAGGAGCGAGGGTGCTGGTACAACACCAGTAACTCCGTCTGGGCCATCGGTCATCTTTGCCTGGGCTTCCCTCAATCGCTCTGCAGCACCTCCAGCGCGTGGCTTGAAGGAGCTAAAAGCATTCGCAGCTTTTGCAGCCTTGAACATCGCACCAGCAACCTCGTTCTTGGACTTCTTCTTCTTAATCATAGGTCCCAGTCCCGGTCGATTTTCCTCTTCCGGCTCCTCGGCAGGTTCTACTGGAGGAGGAGCTTCGGCGTTTGCCGACGGCGACACCATTTCCGCAGCATCTGATACTGGGGCTGGAGGTGGAACGGGGACTGCTTGGGTGTTGTTCCTGCGATCTAAACTTTCAGCTGTATTACGAGATGGAACCGGTCTCTGGAACCCGTTTGTAGATGATGGTGGATTTCCATTGTCAGTATCTTGCTCCCGGGGAATACTCCGCTCACTACTACGTGTTGGTGGCCGCAAATCTTCCCGTCGCATCGCAGGACTTGTGAGAGGAGCAGGAACGATATTGTCATTCGAATTTAGGGTTCTCTGGCGTGAATCACCAAGAACTGGCATTGGAGGCCGACGACGTTCAGGAGGTAAGGATAACGGCGCGGGAATAGGAGGTACTTCACTCGCCATATCTCGAACTCCTGAAGAGCTTGAATCAGGAGTCACAGCTCGTTGAGATGTGGGAGTTGCACTCCGATCTTGGAATCTGCCTGGCGCATTCGGGAGACCATTCATTCCACCTCGTGACCGCGGTGGTAGACTGGACCCATCATCGCTTCTGGCGAATGATTCCTGACTCGGCTGTGTACCTAGTCTTCGATTATTTGGTGGTGCTTGCTGTGAAGCGGTGCTATTAGATTCCATACTGCCCCCCGGAGAGTCGCCTCGTTGAGCCCGCATTGGCGGTCTTGCCGTCTGACCATAAGGATTTACAGGAGGGGTCATCTGTGGGGGAGGACGCTGTACTGCATCTCGACTGGGTTGATTCCTGAGTACAGGAGGCTCTCTTGATGGCTCTCGCCGTCTGTCTCGGCCATATGCTGGTGGTGTGGGCTGCTGAGGAGGTGGCTGAGAAACAGGCGGCGGGCGTGCTGGAGCGGAGACACCGAGCAATTGATCCCTTTCCCTCGGCTCAAATCCAAGAAGCTCTGGGGACTTTCCTCCGGTGTACTTGGTATAGATTTTGACCAAGCTCGCAATGAAAAACTGCTTCTCCTTCTGGGTATTCGCCTGCCAATAGTATGGTTTCCCAATAGTGACTGTGAACCCAATACCTCCCGCCCATTGTTTTTGTTGCTCCTCTTCGGGACTTGCTGGGTTGATGCCACTATAGGACTGTACGCAAGACAGGTCGTCAAGCATCCAAGTTTTGCCAATCGAAAAGGTCCCATTCGCATTCTCCCTTGCCTTATGCATCCGAACCCTTCCCGACTTCCTCACAGCTACGATTATTAGACGCGGCTTCTTTGCACTTGGATTGGCATTTGGTGGCGGTGGAGTAGATGGATATGCAGCGTCTTCTATGATTCTGATGTGTGTGATGTATGATTCCATTACTAGAGGATATGAGGTTAGCTGTTGGTCTGCAGTTCAACAAATGGGCTCATACAAGATCCATCTTCATCCTTCTTGCCAAAACAGCTGTCCACGATCCTGCGCTTCTCATCTTCAAACCTTTCTGCTCTGGACATTCCTCCATTGCTGGTGCTGTCGTGGACCCCGCCCGGTCCATTCTGACCTGAACCGTCCATTTGGCGGAGCCACGTCTTGTCGGGAGGTTCGCGTTCGGCGTTCAATCATCTAGGGACCAAATGAAGATTTCTTCTCATTCTCCTATCCTCCCTCTGCTCATGGCTGTGCGCCTGCTTTGTGGGCTAACAAGTTGGGGATGAGACGGGTACTTTCTGGCCGTACTCGAGCTTTGATGTTGAAGTTCCCCTTTGGAGCTCGAGGCTCCTGACATCAACTGTGGCTGCGTTCCGGTGAGCCGCACGGACAAAAAGTGCAGGCTGCCTTGAGGAAACAAGAGCTCAAACCTGCTGCAACAATGGAGGACACAAATTGATCTGGATTTATGTCTGACCCTCATCATCCTTCCTAGTAATCTGAAATGTACATATATGCCGTTTTTGCAAGATTCTTATGTTCATTCTAACACCATGAACAAGCTTTCGTAGCTGGGACGTGAAAGGAAGTTCACTCACACAACGACAATTTCTGCCTCTAGAATGCCGTGTTTAAACCAGGTGGTGTTACAGCGGAGTTTATCAAAATAGAGACTTTTACTGCTTCGCAATCATCCCGAGGTCCATACGATTATAGATAGTTTATTTACGACACAATCAGACAATCTGATCTCAGCAAACCGCCCGCCTTCTTATTACGCCAAACCTTCTTTCCAACGTACCTTTCCGAAGAAGTATACTGTGGGGGAGATGGACATGAGACTTCACAATTAACTACTAATACTGGCTATGGGTAGCATCGAGAGCTTAGTCTTGAGGTGATTTATGTGATAGGCAAGAAAAAGCCGCAATAATCTCTCGGTGAACAAGACACAACGTCAAATCTGGACGTGTACACCAAAAGCCCAATTGCTTTCGGACGAAGGCTGTGCGATGTGAGCAACGGTCAAATCAAATTTGGTCACAGAGCTCGCGCGGGACGAAATGCGCCTCGCGCGCGTTGGCATTTTGCGGACGAATCGACAGTTCTGCCATAGCCACAATCCACCAGTTTAGGAGGCGATCAAGCGAGATTGCTAATATGCGCAATCAAATTTGCTCTTCTTTTACGAGCGCTTGAGCTATCAAACACAGCCCCGTAACCTGCACTTCCGCAGCAAAAGTGCGACCGGTCGCAAGACGACGTCTGCCCTGGGCAGATACTCTCATCAGGTACAAGGAAGTGAGGTTGGGAGCGCCTTGACGCTTCCATTCCATTTGTACCTCCGACCCACTTCATGTGCAGGTCAGTCCCTACCTAGTAACTAGAAACTGCAGATGGATGGAGAGCTGATGTACGGAGATACCCACACAAAATACTGGGCGCCAGCTTTTTGGAATGTACCTAGGTAGCTCTCCGCCGGCCTACTCGTATCTGCTTTGGCCTTTATTGAAGGGTTTCCTTTCCCAATCATTCCATTGTCCGCGAACGGCATGAAGTCACGCTGATTACCTACTGTACCTTAGCTGAGCTGAGCCGTCTCACCTCTCACCTGCCCCATGCATGGGACTTGGGACTTGGGTGCGCGCGAGAGAAATGAGACTCTCACTCTCCTGCTCTTCTTTTAATTTAGGCCATTCTTCATCCTCTAAATACCTTTCCAATATCAAAACAAAGCGCGGTGTCACAGCTTTCGTTAAGCAATCGCAGTCGACCTTCAGTCATAAAACTGGGAGGCTGTAAAGAAGGAGGTTGGTTGTCAGCACGGCCAATCACAGCTCGATCGCATGGTGGCGCAGCCCCAGCTCACCTGAACCAGGAACCCCAGATCTCCAGCACGAAAGCATCCTAACAGCCTCACCGAGCTGCTCAACTAAATAATGAGAGAGAGGTCGCTTGCACAGAATCCACAATTCTGAAAAAGGTCAAGCACTTACGGGGGCACTGCTATTCTATGTAAGAGAACCGCATCAGGCCGCCGATGGAATGGGCGCCCTTTGTTCTACCGTTGATAAAGACGGGGACGAGTCACCAGAGGGGAAGGGTCGGTCTCAGCAGTTCCCTCAAACAGCTCGAAGACTCCGAAAGATACCTCAATTTGGGAGACCAGGAACGAGATCTCAGACAGACCACCTGACCGACTTAGACATGGACGCTTACAACAAGGCGTTGGAAGCACTTCAATCCGAGGAGAAATCAAGGGCGTTCGATGCTCAGCTTATCGCCGCGTCATCAGATGTCGAAAAGACAGCCGCTGAGATAGTACGGAAGATTCGAGGCTATGATTGGGATCACACCTACAGCAAACCCCTAAACGTGGACGGCAAGCGAACTCAGGGAGAGCATTTCCTTGGCAATGTAGACCTCATCAACAAGACGGAACTGTTCAAGATTGCGAAGATGATGCCAAAAGGCGCTCATCTTCATATACATTTCAACTCCTGTCTTCCAGCCAGATTTCTCATCAAGCAAGCTAGGGAAATCGAGGCAATGTACATCCGGAGTACACTTCCTTTGACTACACCACAGAACTGGATCGACTCCCGGATATCATTTATGGTTATGACCCCAAATGAGGCAACTCATGTTAAAGATTCAGAGGGTAATGAGCAATTCGTTGAGTTGGGAAATATCTTCGATGAACAATATGTGTGCAACCGATGGATGCCTTACAAACAATTTCAGCGCCTCTTCTTCTACAGAGATGATTCTGGCCGCGAATGGCAACGGACAAGTGGTGCAGAAGCTTGGCTAGAGATGAAGATGCATATCTCAGAGGAAGAAGCCCATGGTATTAGGCAGACCAGTCGAGGGTAAGTTTGAGCATTGTCTCTTCTCGATCAAGGTAACTGACCAAGCCAGTATCTGGGAGAAGTTCAACCATCGCACGCAAATGATGAAAGGACTATTTGCCTACGAATCCGCTTTTAGAAACTATACTAGAGCATGCATCATGGACTTTGTTAAAGACAACATTCAATACGCCGAGATCCGACCTAACTTCATGGCGACTAATACACTTAAGACGGATGATGGGACTCAACTAATCGGCAACGATGGCATTATGGGAATCATCGACGAGGAGCTCAAAAACACCATGAAGCAGATCAGCGAGAGCGAACAGTACTTTGGAGGGATGAAAGTCATATACTGCACACCGCGATCTTTTAAGAAAGAGCAGGTGGAGGCTTCTCTGAATGAGTGTATAGATCTGAAGTTAAAATTTAGAGATTTGCTGTGTGGTAAGTACTGATACTTCTGTGTACCGTGTCGGTATTAAAGATCTCAAAGGTTTCGATCTTGTTGGGCATGAAGAAATGGGCAACGAGCTTCGACACTTCGTTCCCGAGTTCTTAAGCTTTCGGAAAAAGTGCGACGATCAAAAGCTGGATCTCCCATTCTTATTTCATTGCGGCGAGACTCTTGAGGTTGGTGATAAAGTTGACGGTAATCTCTTCGACGCTGTTCTACTGAACTCGAAACGAATCGGTCACGGATATGCCATCGCCAGACATCCTGTGATCATGGAGAAATTCAAGGAGAAAGGGATTGCTATTGAATCATGCCCAATATCCAATGAGATTTTGGGTCTTACTCCGAACATTGCTGGCCATCACTTGCCTATTTTACTGGCGAACAACGTGCCTTGCACGATCAACAGCGACAATGCTACATTCTACAAGTAAGCGCCATTTCCCGCGTTCCTGAAATTTGAAGCTAACAGTTTCTAGATCTTCTTTGTCACATGATTTCTACCAAGTGATGATTGGCGCCGAGTCCATGAGCTTACAAGGCTGGAAGCAACTCGCCAAGTGGAGTCTGGAGCACAGCTGCATGGATCCAGAACAATTAAAATCAGTCACCGCCGAGTGGACGAGGAAGTGGGATGAGTTCTGTCAATGGATTGTCAATGAATACGGCCCGATGATGCAAAACTGGGAGCCAGAACCAGGTCGTCATTGAGACCTTTGTTCACCACTTCACATCTGAAAATAGATTCGGACTCTCACTTCATTCAAAGCACGGTATATTTATCGCTGCCGATAATCGAGCGCTGAGGTAGGCTGTCGCAATAGGGATGGAGTTTGCCGCTGCTGTAGAGAAGACTTTGGGCGGGTGGGGGTATATCTGGAGTTTGGAGGGGTACTCCACGGACATCGAACGTGGTGGCAGACAATTGAAAAGCAGCGGGGTTTTCCGAAGAGATTCGCGGGGAGTTCGTTTCCATAAGCCTGGCATTATTCGGGCGTATGGCGTTTCGAGAAGGGTGGCTTCAGAGATACCTAGGCACTTTGTATATAAACTGTATAAATTATCCAGCATGATTTTGAAGCACGAGTCAAAACCATTGCTTCTCCCTGTTTCAATCATTTGGTCCCCCAAGATGGTTGCGTTCGGATCTAACTTTGGTAGTTTATTCGGCACCATACAATAGATGAAAGACCGGCTTTGCCAGGATGATCCAATGTCCAAAGGGCCCGCTGCAGATATACCTTCTTTGTTCGTTTGCTCGTGTTTATTTTTCAGTCAGCAGTACATGAACAAAGACTACTTACTGTAACACAAAACCACGTTAGTTATGGCCGTTTCCAAGTTGCCGTGAGGAAGAGCAGCATAAATCATCCCATCAATGAACCGATAAAGAAATGAGAATTCTCAACACGGTCCCCTTCCACTGAAGATCGGATGGACCCGAAGTCAGTGCCATTCTGGGAACGAAGCCACGGCCCGTGCCTGGCGCGTGCCGAGGCTTTGGGAAGCTCATAGCATGGAATGAAACATCGCTGCTGCATCCGAGCAACAGCTGCACGGCAAAAGCAAGCCATCTGTTTCCAATGTACTAACGAACGATGAAGAGTTTACCTCTTTGAGGCAGAAGAGACGAGGGCCGGCTCTCTGAGTGGCTGCACAATGTACTGCACATGGTTTCATGTGCCGTCGCGTCAGCTCAACTCTTGGCATCTGACAATGCTCTTATTCTGTACCCCAACCCAAGCTGCTTGGGCAGTTGCTGGAAGACGGAGGCTGAGGCTGAGAAGAGCTCAAATGGATTTGGCAAATCCTTTCGGAATTTGATTTCGTTTCTCTCCACTGATGAATACTAAGGACAGCCTGCACTTCTCGTTTGTCTTTGCCTACCTACCTTCTTCCTCCCGAACACTCACAAACTTTACCTTTCCTGCCAGCCACAAGAGCTTTCCTTCGAGAAAGCATCGCTCGGATCAAACCCCACAGTGCCAGCCTTGGCAGATCGGCAAGAGCTGTTGGGATTCTGTATACTAGCACCATGTCGAACTGGTTCCCCTCAGGCACCAAAGGCGAGAATGGATGGAGATTGGATATCGTCTCCCTGCTGGCGGTCGTAGGAGAGAGTTCCATCGAGGAACACTCCCAAGCCCTCACAGCATCATGGACCTGCATACTCCCACGAATCATCCCCGCGCCTCAAGTCCTCCTCAAACCCTCCCGACCGACTCGAATGCCCTTCCTCAACGCCGCTGTCGTAGGAGTTCACAATGGCACTCTCGTTCCAACGCTCAACTACTTCCCGAATATCATGCACCCCATCGAAGACCTTCCCCCCTTCGTCTTCAAAGTTCTGCAGATCACACACAGAGGAGAGCGAGCGCCCACAATTCCGCTACATCCTGGGCAGGAGAAGGCAAATAACAAATCGAAGAATGACCTGAATACTACGCCGTTGAGGATAGAAATAGGCATGATCGAGAACGGACCTACAACTCCTCTCGAACACCCAACACTTCGCAGGACGCTCACTCGAATAGTCACGCAGCAAGACAAAGAGAAGCCACGAGTGCCGCCCCAGAGATTCTCACCGCTGAATATACTCTCCGTCGGTTCGTTCTTGGTCACAGTCGGTTTAATCATCGGCGCGATATTCCTAAAAGATGGAACTGCGATTCTAGCAGTCTGTGTAATCTCTATGGCGTCGTCGATTGTTGGATATGCTTCATGGTGGCAGCCAGTTCTCATGAAGCGTTCTTTCAAGTCGAAAGTACCAGCAGGGGATGTCGTGATCCGTACTCGTGAAGGAGCTTTCCTCCTTGTTCGATGTAACGAAGACGTAGCTCGAGAGCTGTATACTGGGACAGAAGAATGCCAATATTACGTTGGCACTCAGATGTATCGGATCCTTGTTGGAACTGGAACGTTCCTGCTCATGGCTTCCGTAGTGTTGATGGGCAATTGCGAGTTTGCTATGCAAGCAGCCATTGGTCTCTCCTACATCATCCTCAACGGCCTCTTTTGGGCCGCCTCCCTCGTTCCAAAAGACCTTTTCTGGGATCTCTCCAACTATGAATGCCGAGACATCACCCCCCCAGATGCGCAGGATGCCAATCTTCCTCAAGACGACACACTTGAGGGTCGACCGTCGTTCACTCGCACCGTGTGGTATGCTATTCGCGAGACGAAGAAAATTGGCTGGATCACGAGAGGAGGAGTGGCGCCGAAGACAGATCAGTGGGATAATTGGCTAAAGGCAGCGGAGGAGAATGCCATTGCTGGGAATAGGGGTTGGAATGCTGTGGAGATGAGAGAGGCGATGGTTGGGCAGGCGGAGACAACGCCACACCCTAGCAAGCCGGTGAACTTTGGAGAGGATTTGGCGGAGCAGCATGTTCCTGCTGTTGACGTACCTCTCACGGAGAAGAGGTAGTGGTCGTTATGAGATGCATACCATCATATCGTTGTCGCATTACTGCTATGTGGTTCCGCTAGGTTCTCAACAGCGTTGTTTCTGCAATATACCCTGCATTCAGCGTCGAGGCAAGATGCTACTAGCTTGTCTTATTTTTGCATGCTCTTGTGATTAGCGTTGACCTAAGGACTGCATATTCATTTTGAAAGCGCTCGTTATGGATCTATGGACTGCAAAAGTAGAAATTGTACAGCCAGAAGACTTTCCCACCGTTGTGTAAGTGCAGGTGCATGTGCTGAATCCTAGGTTTCAGCACCCTATTCCCCACTACGCAGCCCTTGCCCAAGTATGCGTGCAGCAAAGGCCAACAGAATGCTGCCCCCCAAAAAGCCTTTCAGTGGACGGTTAGTAGAATCAGTTAAAGAAGTCTCTCTCCCGTTCCCACTTGAGCTTCTTCAAATGTTGATGTCTCTCCATATCCGTCTTTCTTCACATGAATGAGAAGTACCAAGTTGGCTGACCATGCGCAATACTGCAATTGCGACTCCACTCCTTATCCTTGTCATGCTCCCAGTAATCATCATCCACGCTTCCACCCTTAGTTCTCTTCATGCAATCGAGGCACAGGCCCTCGAAGTGATCACTGATTCTATGACGAAGTGAATGGACAACTGCTGGATTGCAATGGGCCTGGCAAAATACGCAGGCGTCGGTTGCGACCTCGCACTCAAACTTGACAAAGCCTTTACTGTCCAGAATCTCCTGAATAGACTTCTTGTGGTGTTCATGAAGAGGCCATATTCCTGTCTTGCCGATGCCCATGTTGTAAGCGAAGAGAGCCTTCTCCTTACAATCACACTTTGCATTGAGGAACGAGCTGACGGGGTCGAACAAGCCTCGGATGAGCTTGCCACGCAAGGTTCCTCGAGCACCATTGATTGAACCTGATAAGGAACAAGTCAGTAACCCTATCTTGCAAATTTGAAATTGACTCACCTACAACATTGCCATCTAGGTGAAGATAACGATGCTCAGTTGGATTGATCTCAGTGACGTGGTCCGCACTCTTGTAGGCCAGATTCTTCGTAAGCCAAGCGAATGCAATTGGTGAGTCGAACATATAAGCTGGATAGAGGTGTTGACGCATGTCATTTAACTTGAACTGCTTCTCATCAACACCCTTCCAGTATTTGTCGAACCATTCCTTCAGCTCCAGGGGATCAATCAGGTATTTCTTGGCGAAAACCAAAGCATGCCAGACCTCCTTGATGGGAATCGAATAGCAGGCATCATCGAAGGCTTGGTGGAAACAGCGAAGCCAGAGATCAACGCTAGCGATGGTGTCCTCCTTGAATATGATCTCTTTGCTGCGTGCTTCGAGAAAACCACCGCTCAACATGACTTTCAATGGGTTGGACTTGCTTTTGTCGATCACGGTCTGGCGGGAAACCTTGAAGGAAGCAGTCTTAAGGACGGGGTGCTTGCCATTGTCATCACAGATTGTGAGATCATACTCGAGGACTTTGATGGTGAGATCGCCATTTGGGTCGATCTCATGAGACGAGTGGTCCTGGCAAACGTGAGCAGCTAGCCAGAAACGAAGATTTTTTTGCAAAGAACATACTGGAATAGACATTGTGTTGTTTCTGACTTTGAACTAGAGAATACTTTGAAGATCTTGAGAGACTGCTGAGCAGCAGAAGTGCGATTGCAGCAACTGCTGTCGTGGTGTTTGTGGTTGAGAAAGAACGACGTGGACAAGGCAAGGCCATCTTTTGTAGACCACAAGCGACAGGAACACGCTAGCGTGGCTACTCTCTCCATCGAGAGACGAAGTCAGGCTCACCCTTCGGCAAGATAGCACCGCTTTGGGCTGGGGTTCTTGAGACATCAAGAACTCTGTGAAAGTAAAGCCGGCAGACCGATCTCCGTTGCGACCAGGGTGAAGACGAGACTGGAATTTGAGAGCACAAGGCTGTTTGCGGAGGGTAAAATTTCGAAGGCGACTTTGATTTGGGTTCATCACTACGCTAAAGACCCATCTAACACGAAAGAAAGACAAATAAAGTTGTTGAAGCAGATTTTCCAGGAAATTCTGGGGGTTCTGTAGTATTCAGTGTCTCGAACAGCATTGATGGTTGGGTGACATTATATACCATCCTCTCATTTGCCAGATCTCTGTATACTTGCCATGATTATCGCCACCTCCCTCACAAGAGTTCAGTTTCATGAGTATGACTACTATCAGCGCTGATCAACAGTTGAGGTACTTCGATACTGTGAGGTTTCAGCTTGCTTTCATTAGTCTTGTTTACAAAAAAATCATGCTAAGCGAGAACTCTTTGCAAAATTTATCTACCAATTCAACCACTACAACATCAACAACACCGTCCTGTGATATTTTCTTGTAATGAAGATATTGTGTGTCAGATGATTTCGAACTACCATTACACAAGAGTGGGAAGGAAATTGCGAGAAAATCATTTGGTATTGGTATTCCGAACGCCGGCGCTATATCACAACCAACTTGCTACATCCATTACCCAACGTGCTAAGTACCACTTAATGATTCAAAGAGAAGTATCACTCGTTCTTCCTCTCTCCATCACTGTCATTTGCCTCTTCCTCCTCTCTAGCAAAATCACTTTGTCTCCTCCTGATCTGGCCCCGCTCTTTCATGGCACCTCTAATCTTCATGCTTACTTCTTCGAAGCCACTCTTTGAGTCCAGCGTGCTGAAGCTCTTCAGAGGGAATGACCCAGAACCAACAGCCCCGCCACTGCTACTGCTCCGACTTCTACTTCTGGAAGGTGGTCGGGTAGCGAAAAGGCCAATGTTGCCCAGATTCTTGAAAGATTCGTTTCTCGGGAGATATCCTGACCCGGCAGCAATTGAAGCGTCTGTGTTGGTTCTTGGGTACGGAGGTGGTGAACCTGTGTCCGAAATTCCAGACGTATTGCTTTCGCTACGGCGATGTTTCGATGATGTTGGACTTCCAGAGAAAGGATCTGCTACAATCCTGGCGGCGTCGAAATCTGGGAACATTTCCGGACCCAGTGTGTTAATCACATCAGTGACCTCGGCACTCAATTGTGCTCGTCGCTCTCGTAGCTTTTGAATGGTGTTGCTTGACTGGGGGCTGAGGGACAAGACTAGCGGACGTAGAGACTTTACGATGTCCATTCCGACTTCTCCAAAGCGCAGGGCTGCGAACGTGATTGCTGGAAAGAAAATATAACCGAAAATGACGACTGCCCACAATGGCACCCAGTCTGGCATATATCCTTGGACTCGATTACAATAAGTCCAGTATGTGAGTAGGATTGTGTAGAAGTTGTAAAGAATTGGCGCCAGGGCAAGTGCAACCAGTAATTTCCATGTGGCCATGACATCACGCCCTTGTAGCTTGACAGTCGAAGCCGCAAGGGCTTCTTTCGATTTCTTGATACTGATAATCTTCGAGGCGACAAAAACAGGTCCGAATAGGACGAGACCGGGGATGACACCAATAGAGAGAACCGAGATCTTCCCGAGGCGGTAGAAGAGTAGGAAAATGACTTTCGGGATGGAAAATTTAGCGTACTCGACTTGATGGTCTCGAATGTTCAGATATCGTAACTGCTTATTGTAATCTGTGACGGACTTCTTCAACGAAACAATTCTAGGGTCGTCCTTGTAGTGTGTGTATCCTTTCACAAGTCTCCGGTTGAGCTCTACTACCATTGGAAGTGGAAGCTTCTTGCCGGTAGGATTGTATAGTCGTCGAGCCGCTTGGATCAGCATGAGCGTGTCGTAATCTGGACTTGTTACTGTAACGGCTACCAGAGCTTGGTAGACCGTATCGAGCAGTTGGCTCACAGCCTCTCTTCGTTCGCCATTCTTGTACAGCTCGACAAGCTCCTTTGGGACTTCCACCGGATTTCCAAACTCTACCACTGCCCGAGATCTAAACTTGTGGGCATGGAAGTAGTTCATTCCGCACGGCACAATCTTCAATCCGCTGTCAGGGCTCGCTGCCAATGCGCCAAGTGCCATGATCGCAACACCTGCCTTGAGAGGCAGCAGCTCAGTTCTGTCGTGACTACCACCTTCTGGGAAGATACCTACAGCACCTCCAGCGCTGAGGCGATCGAAAACCGCATCATAAACTTGTGTTTGGTCAACCTTCGGTGCAGTCTTGTATTTCGAGCCTGTGAAACCTTCTGGTCCACCCTTCACGGTTTCGTCTGTGAACTTTCCGCTGCCATTGACATCCTCTCTGCCTGTCAGCTGCTGCATCGCAGCCTGGCCTTTGAACGGTTTCTTCAGTCTGAGTTCTTCTGCGCTTATAACCTCCTCGATCTCAGCATTCGCAGCAGTACCATTAACGCTTGGCAGAACCAACAACCCGCCAATTTGGACTTCCTTCCCATCAAATTTTGTGCCCACTCCACGGATGAGGAGGGGGTCGTTGACAGGATCGGGGAGGTATATCGTTCCAGGTCCTGGCTTGACCATGTCGAGTGCTCGTCCGACTGGAACAGCGCCAACTTTTCGCGCAAACCACCCTATAAGCCATCGGTTCATCGACTTCGCAGCAATCAGAAAGGCGGCTCGACGGTGGCATTCTGTTCGCAGGGTTCGCATTAAGATGAGAGGGTCGACAAACTAAGTAGTCACAAGTCAGTATATTTCTCTGCCAAAGCTCGACATGGCATACTTGATTTGCATGTGGGGCAGCAACGAAGATTACAGGTCCTCTTCGAGGGACTTTCCATGATCCTCGAGGGTGGACTTCTCTAAAGAACAAATCCACCAGAATAGAAAACGTCCAGAGGAAGACATCGTAGACCCAGTTCGTCATAGGATTCCTCTCCTTGTGCTTGACATGGTGTGGCATGTGGTCATGGATTTCTGGTTCTTTCGCCATATTGTATCGTGTGAAAGTTGGAGCTTGACAACGGGCAGCCGCGGGGAAGAATATACTCTGGAGATGTCTCCGCCGGTGATACGGATGGGAGTAGTCTGAGCAAGGTTGTAAGGGTATCTGTCGGGTGAGGTCCTGGCTAGGGCCTTGAATAATCCCACCTGCAGCTCAACAAATCGCGGAAATCCGCGGCGTAGTGATATTTGTTCGGAATTGTATATTTAAGCTTTGAGCATCGCTAGAAGTCATACCGTTTCGTAAGGAATGTGTCGAGGAATTCAAGATGCGGTTGTGGCAGCTCAAACAGACTTATGACGGAATGTGGTGTAGGAAACTACAAGGTTGGCAATTTCCATGATCATCCAACCAAGTTGGCGGGGCAAATTGCCGCGCGTCTGTGCGGCTACCATAACTTCAACTCGAACGACTTCCCCGATTAACTCAACACTTTGAGGCTTGTCCATGTCATATCTTCGGAAGAGTTCTGCGGAGATATGACATATCGACAGTGAATGTCAGAATGTTGTTTCCTGGTGGAATTTACTTCATATTTCTCTCACAGCATGGAATTCAAAGTTGTGAAATATGCCTGCGACTTGGCTTGGATTTTTCTCATCTTCTACAGTACGGGTTTTCGGTGCTCGACTTCTGGGTACTTAGATACGTGCGTATATGACGAAGTTCGATAGATTGCGGGCGAGAAAACAGTGATTCTTGTGAGGAAAGCCACCACTAAAAACAGGCGGCTTGAGATACACCCAGTAAGCTATTCATACAAGAGCTTAATGAGATTTGACCGAAGAATTCACTCACAGACATTTTTCAAATTCTGCTTCTTTCTTAATGATGGTAAAGGCACAGACTCTGCAGGAGCTTCCCTTGATGAAATGTTCGAGCGCAGAATACCCGTCGTTGACGCACTGCACTGATCGAAAGTTCAATACGGGATAGATGCGTAACTTATTGCAATTCTTGAATACGAGTAGGTTCAAGTAGGTTGAAGTTTTCACACAGTGAAAGTAAAAAGGTCGTAGTTGACGCTGAAACTCCGAGAAAATTGCTTACAAATGTCAACATGAGCATCATCTGAAAGGCTCTGATATCCACTAAAGGTAATTGCCAAAGGAAAGATCCTAGCTTTCGAATTTCCTGAATTACTGATGCATACCAATCGCAGAAGTCTGCAAATCCCTCAGGTGGCTCTAGGGCTTACTTGCGGTTAGAATACAACTGTCGTGTGCATACAGCAGCCGCTTCCATAGTGACGAGTGAGTACGACGCAGCAAAGGCTTCTAGCGCGCAGCACATTTCCCTGATATTGAATCTTTAGCGATTCGTCATCGGTTCTCAAGAGCGCCATCCTTCGTTTCCTCAATTCCCTTCCCCTGAAACCACCTCCGACACGATCTATACCCATCAGTACCCTCGTCTCAGGCTCTTTTTCTTTCGAACTCTCTTCCCAATCATGGCAGCTAAGGGAAAACACGGTAAAGTCCTCCTGTCCTCCATGTAAGTACATCGTCGGATCTTCTGCTATACGAATGTCCTCTCTGACAAGGCATAGCCTAGCTTCGTGACGTACTACGGTCGGAATCATGTAAGATTACATGATTTCCCAGTCACAGTCATCGATCTATCCGGTATTTTAATAATCAGACTATATCAAAGAACCATCTTTGAAGCCACAGACAGCAGTCCAAGCCATTTCCTGCGAACCGATGGTTTCAGGACTGATGAATTCCTCGTTGCGCAATTCCAAGTCTCAGCTACAGTCATGGTCAAGAGCTGTGCTGCGTTTGAGGAGATTTACCAAAGTAAACAGTGGTCTGAATTTGATACTTCCTATATCGATTTGACTGCTCGGAGTCTCTACCTGTTGGATTCGTTTTTCGAGTTCTCCACGACTCACTCAATGGTGATGAGTATCTGACATCTGTCACGCTTGTCCAGGTCGAGAGCGGATTATGGATATTATACAAGCTTTCAAGTGTTCCAAAGAGAAATTTCGACATTGGTTTTTCGAATGGCTAGCTTCTATCGAATTGCCTTCTTCCATACCTCTGAATCCCGGTTCGTCTGAGGTTGTCAGTAGTCTCTGCTCTCAATTCAACCACCAATCCTCAACCATCCTCAGCTCCACGAACGCGATCCCTATCCCACTTTGTTTCACTAAATGTCGGCCAATCCTTGTCCGTTCGCTTCACTAACTCTACGAAACAGTCTATCTCCGTCGCATCCTCTCCCGGTCAGCCTACTCTTCCGCTAGCTTCTCCCCTCGCTTCACCGCACGTATGACACACCCATCGAATGCTAGTCCGACTTTTACACCCTTATGACCAGGCGCTGTATCTCGCATCTCCTCACCAAAAGCAAAAACAAAGGCTCTGACTCTGACTGGGAGACTCTCCGCAAGATGTCGTAGCTCAGCTGGGTGCATAGCGTGGATGACAAGGTCAGACGGAAAGACTGGACGGAGAACACGGTTTGGAGAAAAGAAATGGAAGTTGCGTGGTTACAGACGGTGATTGGGGTTTTTTGAAGGGGAGGTAAAGAGGCTTGGGGACACGTTTTGGGAGAAGCCGGTTGTGCGGGAGGGATTGCAGTGGGCTTTGAGGAAGGTTTGGTGAGAAGGTATATCCACGAGCTTCTGCAACCTAGCCTCAAAACCTGCTGATGCATATTTACAGCGATTTCACCTAATAATCCGTGTCGAAGCATACTGGGTCGAGAAAGGTGAAGGTATACCACGAGATTTGTGGGTCAAGAAGACAGCACGAATTGAAGAAATTGACGAGATGAGGTTACGAAGTCTACTAACGAGGAAGATCATAGCATGGATGGTCTTCTGACGATGGTGGAGGGCTTGGAGGTTGAAGCTGCTAACGCCGTGGACCCGGCAGGGCTGACTGCGGAGGAGGCGATGATCAGGGCTACGGGGAGAATCTGTTGTGGCAGGACTATTTGAAAGTTTAAATTAGAAACCAGAGACTGTGTGCAGGTGTCTTCCTACTATGTGACTCGTTACGGCTTACAGTATGCAAGGTCCCTTGGTCATAAGATAATCAAGCGAGGTGTTTTGTTCTGGCTAGCTGCGAAGTAGCAAGCAGAAACCACCGCTTCGGTTTCAATGTTATCCTATGGGGTTAGTAGAGACTCACCCTCCAAGATATTCAATATTTGGGAAGAGTGAGTACCTTCTTGTCTGCTTCAGGAGGAGACTATGAGATTAGCCTTTGGGCCGAAGAAGCGACTTCGCTTAGCTTTAATTGTTTATTTATTTGCCGGACCGAACCCCCCCGCCCCCCACCCCAAAAAGAACGCCAAAAAAGATGAGCCTGACAAACGAATCACCGGGAGATGACAGGCTTGAATTTACCACAATCATACCTACAACCAAGCTTCGGTTTACAGCTATGATAAAGCAGATCCCGGATTCCCCACAAAGTTTTGCCTACCAATGGGCCGATACACCTTTTGCCCTACCGATGGGCCAAAGTTAGAGGGTGCAAGTACCATACCGATCGACTGCGCCTCTAAACCATCACCCAATATGGCAAGCAAAGAATACTACGGCAGCTAGACACTGCATTTTTATGTCTGTTGTATCTATTCTCCAATCTGTTCACCTCACCTCTGACGAGTCGCAAATTCTTTTTGTGGAAGTTCATGGCCACAGCCACTGGCAGGAGGGCGCTCCTCACATACGTCTCGACGAAGATGGAACTCTAATAATCCGACTAAATCGCCCCATCTCGGAGGATGCCAAGCCAGTGCTGTTTCTTAGGGCCGAGGGTTTCAAAATCCGCGGTGTCGTATTGGCTCACTTCAAAATATCGGCTGAAGTAATGACCTAGCGCTCCATCGTGATCGCAACAACATTTGACAGACACAACTGGAAAACTTGTGCACCTGCGTTCATCGACTTGGAATACTCCAACGTCATGACCGTGGAGATTGTTTTGCGTGGACTACACGAATGTTTCGACGGTCAGCATACCCTCACACGTGCTAATGTTGAGCAAGTCAGAGATATCCTCAACGCTATCAGAGGCAAAAGGAGAAGCTTAGACAATGATTTTTCGAGTGATTCGCATCTAGAGACATGCGTCATGTCATCATAGACGACAAAGCTTCTCGTCAGTCCCTTGTAAAATTATGTTGCAATTTCAACCACCCTTATGCAACCAAATTCATCGAGGCGAACCTTGGTGTCAAGAAGTCCCCGAAAGCCATCTTCGATCATCCTCCTAGCCTTGTTCCTTCTTCACGCCAACTGTGAGAAGCCGTCATCCTTCACCGTCATGTCCCGCCTGACGCATACGCCTCTCTGGGGTTTTCAAAAGCTTCGTGAAGCTATACGACAAGCCGATGGAATTTTGGTTTGAGTTCTATACGCTCATGACGGCTGATGATATAACCCGACTCACTTCGAAGGTGAAGGACCCAAGTACGGCCTGGGAGAGACTTCGTGCAACTCAGTTCGTGAAGTTCGCAAAGGAGGTTGACGAGAAGGTCAACCGGAAGTATTGGACTGAGAAGATTGTATGGAGATCTGTAATGGAAGGTGCCTGGGTGCAAAGGGCAGTTGTACCTTATGACGCTGAAGTGTTGCGAATGGGGAATGCTTTCACGTTGGATCCATACCAGCGAGAGGGACTTCAAAGCCAATTGAGAAATATCATTAATAAGGTACGTCAGCAAGTGGTCTTTAGTGTTCGAGTTCTCTTTTAGACCACAGAACGTTTGCTAAGAAGAATCACAGAGGTTTCATCCGATCACACTTGTAGAGGCATACTGAGCAAAGAAGGGTGCGGATGCGGGCAGGATCGTGCTTCGTGGGCGAAGAAGATGGTCTGCGACCAAGAGATGAATGAAATGAAGCTCGTGGCCACGGGAAGTAGAGAAGAAAACGCTGCAATGGCGGGGCTTTTCCAGATGATGGAAGTTCTCCAGCTTTAAGCTGAAAACTCTCCTGATCCGAACGAATCGACTCTGGAGGAGGTTATCATGAAGGCAAAAGCTGACATGCAGGTTGAGGATTGATGACATGCAGTATTTTGCTAGATATCAGGCCATACATGTAGATTTCATTCTGCAACAGTAGCCTAAAATTCAACAGGAGATCATAAATACCCTTTGATATATATTACTTGGTACATTTTCTCTATTGCTTAATGATCAGTGACATCCAGCTGCTCGTATACATTTTAAGTAACACATGTTCTTTGAAATGGGTGAGACCCGAGACTCGGTGGACGTGCCTCTGTACGTTGCATACATGACTTTGAAGCGGCCGGCGGTGGGAAAGGCTGAATATGTATTATACTGAATAGGTCGAATCAGCTCCGAATAGAGTCTGGTAAGCTTAGGCACCTTGAAGAGAGTTACACTAGCCATAAAATGAATATACACATTAGGGAGAAATAAATGTTGTTTCAGCTATTCCGATTCTGAGCTGGTTTGAATTGCGTTGCTGGAAATGAATATTGTATGGCTGGCTCCGTTGTACTGATGATGAAGAGATGGCATCCGAGGAAGCCGAGCTTCGATATCGACGACATAGAGATAAGAGAAAACAATTCTTGTGTACTTATTCTGATAGCAGACTCAGGTAAAACTCCATCCCAGGGTATTCCATCACAACGGCTGCTATGTAAAATATCTACCGAACGCCTTCTTTGGGCATGCAAAGCCCCGTAATATACCACCTCACTTCCCCTTCCCTTTCCCCTTGCCTTTCCTCCCAGCAGGAACTTTCTCAGGCGGCAGACTCAACGTCCCCCCCTCAAGTTCCCCCTTCTCCAAACCCCCAGCAGCACCATCCTCTCCACCTTGCTCCTCCATCTCCCTAATCTTTCCCTCCGCACTAATACTAAACAACAGGTCCCTATTACTCTCTTTCAACTCCTCATTCTCCTCCCTCACCCTCCTAACCTCCTCCTCAAGCCCCTCCATCCTCTTATTCACATGCCCAATTCTCTCCATCAGCCCCTCAGAGACCTTCTTCTCCTCCATCAGGCTCTTGCCGAAGCCACGGGCGATCTCGCCGCTCTTCTCGGCTTTTCGCTTTTCGCGCGCGAGGTCTTTCTCTAAGTTGGTGATGATTTCATCTTTGAGGGTCTTGTTTTCGAGGGAGAGGGTGCGCAATTGGTTGAGGGCTTCGTCGGCGCGCGATGAGGCAGAAGCAGCGGCGGACGAGGCAGCTGAAGCCTTGGCTACTGCCTTGCTGACTAGTTCTTCGAAGTAGACACGTTGGCTTTCGAGCTGGCTGGTTAGAAGGTGGGTATACTCCATGCCAATCCTATCTAGTTTTTCCCGCGGTACCATATCTTCCTCATCGTTATTGACATGACCAGCGGCCATGTGACCTCTTGCGGGAAGTTCAATGACTTTGCTATCGCCTTTCCCGCGGATCAGGCGATGAACCCACATATCACCCGCGTAGTCCCAGACATGCTGTGTCTCGATCTCGAGGGCGAAGTTATGCGCTGATTCCTTCCAGTGGTCTTTTGCGTGACCACCTTTGTAGCGGCCACAACCCACGCTGCCGCAGATGAGACAGATCCACAGATCGTCTGTGGAGTCACAAACGCTACAGAGAGAGGCCTCACCACTGCCGAAGGGAGGGTTGTGTAGGTCTGGCGGATATGAAGGTGAGTTTGGGGAGGTGAGGGAGAGCGATGGGTTGGTGTGTCGACAGACCGGGCAGCCGCTACCACGCCATTTTTGGAGACAATCACAGTGGAAGACGTGCTGGCAGAGGATAGTGAGGAGACCGGTCGTGTCGTCCATACGCTCCAGACAAACTGGGCATGTGGGGAGTTCGACCAGGTTCGGTGTTGGTGGAGGGAATGGTCTAAGTGAGGACGCGGGAGTTGAAGAGGGTGTGAAAGGATCATGAGATAGCTCTGGGAAGCTGGTATTGGGATTTGAGGAGTTTGGTGTCTGGAAAGTAATCGACTTGATGAAGGTAACATGACAAGTTTCTGGCTTTTGATATGTTAGCTACTAGTAAGCAAATGCAGAACAACAAACATACCTCCATACTGTTGAACACCTTCCCATCCCACTCCTTCCTCCACCTCCTCGCCACAGCAGCATCCCTAAATTTCATAAGAACCAGATACCGATTCATCCTCCCTGTCATAACCATCCTAAAATGACTGACTTCATTTCTCGTCTTCTCGCCCACGAAGCCAAGGAAATCATTCGTAGTAAGATAGCTGGGAACAGCCGGAATGCACAGCGTCGTGCAATCCTCCTCCTCTCCCACCGAGTGTCCTTCCTCATCAGCCTCATATAAGTCCTCTTCTCTCACATCCTGCGTTGAAGTCGGATCTCCATCCCGATACAGATGTACCACACCCCACCCAAGCTCCGTATTCTTCGCTCCGCCCTGCTCAAGAGGCTTATACAGTGCCTTTGTGACTTTGCCCAACGAACCCACAGCTTCCGGCGCAAGACCGGCATTAATCCCATTCCCAGTCCCATTGCCAGACCCAACGCCTCCAACCGCAGAGCTACTCTCACCCCTCCTATGTTTCGGCCTCTCCATCATATCTAGACCCTCGATCCTCACACGCCCAAACCTCCAATCTTTGACCGCGGTTTGCAGATCTGTGGGGACACGAATCGGGTTCGGGGTCGGGAACTCGAGGGTTTGGTTCGGGGAGATAGTGGTGCAGTCTTCAGATTCTGGGATCAAGGGCAAATGACCCCGCACTGCTCGAGCACCGCGGTCGATTACACCTCCTGCTGCAGCAGTGGTTTCGTCACTCTCTCGAGCTCTGATCGATGTATTCTGGCCAAGTGATACGGAGCCTGGACTTTTCGTTCGTGTGTTGAGTCGAAGGTCTTGCCTGACAGCTTCGTGGGCTGGCCACTCTTCTGTTTGGAATATGTCACTGCCAGGAGGCGGAACCCAGATTGCTCTCGTGAGCCCTTTTTGTTCTTCTATCGTTTTAGAACGTGGTGTGGTATGAGCTGTAGATTTGGATGACGCTTTTGTCGCTTTGTTCTCGGTCTTATTAGAGGGATAGGGATATAGTTCGAATTTCAGATGGTAGAAGTAAGATGGCATAATTTCAGTGGAGCAGCTACCTTGCGTACAGTATGCCTCATGACGAACGTTAAGAGTAGTTTTGATAAAATTCTAGACGTTTCTGCGTGGCGCGTTAATAAGCAAAAATCCATGTGGTTTGGAGGGAAGTGTGAAGGGGAACACTGAAAAACACCGAAGAAGTATCAGCCTCGTCTAGCCTCACTTTATAGTCAGAACTGAAAGGATATCTGTACCTTCCAATCACCGTACAGACGTTTAAATTAGAACATCATAATATATTGTCACATCACAAAATGTCAATGCCATGGTTTGAAGAGTCCGAATAGTTATTTTATTGGACTATACAAGTATTTCCTTGTGCACATACCAGTGCAACGATCATGCTTATGTACGTGCCATGGTTATCCCCCAAGCCATACCAAACGCCACGCAAATCGAAAAGAAAGAGAAAGCCCCAGGCCCTTATTGGCCTCCACGAAGACGGAGTACCAAATGAAGGGTAGACTCCTTCTGAATGTTGTAATCGCTCAACGTACGGCCATCCTCCAACTGCTTACCAGCGAAAATGAGTCTCTGCTGGTCGGGTGGGATACCCTCCTTATCCTGGATCTTGGACTTAACATTGTCAATTGTGTCCGAAGACTCAACCTCTAATGTAATGGTCTTTCCAGTCAAAGTCTTGACAAAAATCTGCATACCACCACGAAGACGGAGAACCAAGTGGAGAGTCGATTCCTTCTGAATGTTATAGTCGGACAAAGTGCGACCATCCTCGAGTTGCTTGCCGGCGAAAATAAGACGTTGCTGGTCGGGTGGGATACCCTCCTTGTCTTGAATCTTCGACTTGACATTATCGATGGTGTCGGACGACTCAACCTCCAGAGTGATTGTCTTTCCAGTGAGTGTCTTCACGAAGATCTGCATACCACCACGGAGACGAAGGACCAAGTGAAGAGTGGACTCCTTTTGGATATTGTAATCAGACAGAGTCCGGCCATCTTCAAGTTGCTTTCCGGCAAAGATCAGACGTTGCTGGTCAGGGGGAATGCCCTCCTTGTCTTGGATCTTCGACTTGACGTTGTCGATAGTATCAGAGGATTCCACCTCAAGGGTGATGGTCTTTCCAGTGAGGGTCTTTACGACTAAGAAGATGTTAGAATGTGATTTCAAAGCGAAGTGGCGGAAGTGACAACTTACAGATTTGCATACCGCCACGAAGACGGAGGACGAGATGAAGAGTAGACTCCTTCTGAATGTTGTAATCTGAGAGAGTGCGACCGTCCTCGAGCTGCTTGCCTGCGAAGATCAAGCGCTGTTGATCGGGAGGAATTCCCTCCTTGTCCTGGATCTTGCTCTTGACGTTGTCGATAGTGTCCGAGGATTCGACCTCGAGAGTGATGGTCTTGCCAGTGACTGCGAGATGATGTTAGCATGCGCTCGTGTTGTTGTGCAAGTTCAAGCCAAGTTTCAGTGGCGTGGCGTCACACGAGGCTCTCTGAGATAAGGGAAACTCACGAGTCTTGACGAAGATCTGCATGGTTGCGGAGATTCAGATGTATTGGGGATGTGGTAGATGATGTTGATTGAAGAGGTTGACTTGCGAGTTGGATTTGTTCGAGAAGTCGAAGATGGTTTGTAGAGAGAGGAATGGGCGGTGTTGGGCGAGAGTGGTTGCTTATATGGCGCGGCGGGGAGACTAGCGTGGGGCGCTAAGAGGTCGGAATTGGCAGGCTGGCAGGCTCTGGCAGGTGCAGCCTGATTCGATGATTCACCGCGGCGAGCGAGGCAGAGGGAGAAGCAGGACAAGGAAGGAGGCAACGGCAACGGCAACACTCGTGCGAGCGAGACTCTGCGCTGCGTGGAGCGGAGGGATGGCGTGGCTGTGGCAGTAAAGTGAAGTTAATGGCTGGAGCGAGAGCAAGAGCGAGGAGGCGGCCTGGCGGCTTTGCTGTTGCTGGCTTGCGTGCTTGGGGAATTGAGGGAATCACCAGGAAGCTTCGAGACTTGGCTACTTGTATGCTATGAACATTCACATTTTACCTGGCCATTCCATGCCATCATGTATTATTCCGGGACAGCCTCATGCACAAAGGATATGATGTCGCTGCACTGTGCTGACCTGTCCCAATATTTTGTCATCATGTCTCTTTCTCCAAGTCTGATATCGACCCATGGGGCATCCCATCCATCCATCACCTCCCCGCAAAGATGAACCCACCGAGCCCACCGAGCCAAGCGATAAGGCAGCGGGCAAGGCCGATTCTACTGTAGAAGATGGCCCACTTTGACCGCTGCATGAACCTGAATGGAAGTGAGCCCTCAAGGTGATCTCGACCCCACCTCCTTCAACACGAGACCTGGAAGCGTTGGACGATGCGATGCACCCAACTTCTACGTAGCTTAGGTGTGATTGAGGTCGCCAACCGGCATCCTGTCTCGGCATCGTCTCGAGTACAAAAGAGAGCCGTCGAGTCAGTTTGCATCCCCCCCAAAAAGGCAGGAAATCCTCTCATGCTGCACTCGCAAAGGTTCATGTCATGTCCATGTCGGTGCCGCCGACCTCCTGCGTCATCAGCGACAGAGATTGCGATTACGAACAAAGCGAGCAAAGCAGGAGGATCTTGGCGAAATGCCAACGGTGACTAAGGTACCTCAAGGTACGATTTACCCGGGATGATGCCGACCTCGGAGGAGTCACGTGCAAATACCGACTGTCCATTCAATTGGAATTGGAAAGCTGCAGGTGGACATGAGGTGGGGGAATTCTGAGGGGCAGTCTTTCAGAGGGTCTGAGTGCAACTTGGTGGTGATGAGGTTGAATGTGGCCATTCTTGGGCTACTGCTATCTTCGATGTAATTCAAATCCTTTCTGTTTCAAAACTGTCTGCGTGAGTGTGTCCACTTTCAACTCAACTCTAGGTAGGTACCTACCTGTTCATCTTCACAAGCCGCAAGCGAGAAAGTGCACATCTATGTCTTCAGATAAAGCTCTTTTATTTTGACCGAGATTTATATCTACTGGCGCCATATCGTCGTGTGCATAGCCATACACAGTCCTCTTTCCTGACAACTCAAATTCCCCAAAACAGTGGTTGCAAAGCACACCAAGCATCCTTCCGGAGGCAGTTTATCCATAGGGTTTCCAACGCCCAAGATGCATGCTCTCATTCAATTCCAACAAACCCATCAAACAGCAACGTATCCTTCCAAAGTAAAGCCTTCCATCCGTAAGATAAAACATGACGTCCGTAAGGGCAATGAAAACGTAAACGTGAAAATCCTTGATCTCGTAATTAGATCCTCGAGTCATTCATACAGGTCTCCTGCCAAAGATAAACCATCGTAACGGGTCGTAAATATGACTTTCGCTATGCCCCATTCAAGCAAATTCAACACGTGAAATCACCCCCTCTTCCACTTCTTTAGCGAGTAAATGAAAATGAAAAGAAAAAAGTGCCCTCGCTGATGGCATTCCATACGCTGATGGTGGAATAAAAGAGAGTAAAAGATTTAGACTCAAACCAACAAAGGGAAAAAGATTCGTAACTATCAATATGGCCCCGTCGTGGGGCCCTCCACTCTATGGAGCAGTGTCGCTGAATTTGTACAGACGAAGTGCATCGTGGGTATATAGAAGAGTATTTTCAGACAAGGAAAAGACACTAGTTGGCTCGGATGACGAGTTTTGACAAGAACTTGTTGGACAAGGAGTCGAAATCTCTTCGGTCAAATTTGGCATCTGGACGAGTCTTGAGGTAGGATTCTGAGGCAGTGGTTAGTATAGGGTTATGTCTTATCAGAAATATTGTGGCTTACCATGCTTGGTAACGTGATCCTTCATCTCAGTCATTGCTTCGCAGACAGCAACGTTGTTGTTGAGAAGCTGTCCGTGTCTTCTTGTATCCCATTCAGTGAATGATGGGAGCTTCTGAGAGATGGCGTGGAAGAGTCCGACGATAACACCAACTGGAGTGGTCTCCATGTCGCTGCAGAACTTGTTGACAGCTGCTGCATCAGGAACACGGTAATGACAATCGAACTGCATCTCTTCCCAGACAGCGAGAAGGATGGAGGCAAGCATGAAAATTGTAGGCCAATTCTTAAGCCTGTCGCCACTATAGACACTGGAGTAGAGCGATGACAGTTCCTCAAGAATCTCCTTTTGCAGCTCACGCCACATATCTGCAAGTGCGCACTTGATCTGGAAGTTGATCATGACAGGCGCGATGATCTTTCCGTTGTACTTGGACTCCTCGTCATCGATCAAGCCCTCCATAGGATGTTCGTCACCACGTTGCTCGACCATCGTGACATGGAGTGTGAGGTTGTAAGCGAGAACAAGCTTCAGTGCTTTTCGGATGACCGGGACCTTCTCTTTCAAGTAGTACCGGTGGGCAGTCTTCAAGATCTCAGTGATGAACGGAGTACCCTCAAAGTAGTCATCGATGAACTCCTCGAATGGACCATCGAGATGCTTGTCGAGGTACTCAGACAATGCTTCCGTTGATACACCCTCTGAGCCGGCCGACATTCGCTCGGTACGGGTATCGAACTCGAGTGGCTCCTCATGCTCGGTCTCGATCCAGTCGACAGTGAAGCAGCTGTCATCACTAACGTATACTTCTCGGGCCATGATTGGGATGGCGAAACCATATCCGTGAGTGATCCAGATGAGCTCCTCCTTTTGGGCGAAGCCCTTGATGTTGTAGACAGAAACGCCACGGCCTGCATGTCTCTCATAGTCCGCTCTCCAGTCCTTCATGAAGTAACCGATATCCTTGATGTCAATACGTGTACAAGGTACCTGCCATAACCTTGCGTGTGAAGGTTGGCAACCAGCACATGGTTCTCCCTTGTCACATGTTTTCTTCAAGAATTTACATCTCAAGCATGCTCGCAACTTTCTGATCTCACTCGCTTGCTTCCTTTGCTCCGGTAATAACGGTCCACGTCTTCGTCCAACACGCTTCTCGGTATCCTTCTTTCCATTCGATGTACGGCGAATAACAGGCTTTGTGGCTTTGGCTGTAGGGCTCTTCCGAGGTGCCGAGTTTCTCCTGGCTGGAGGTGACGAGGTAGACGATGGGGTAGTTCTACTCGATGGTGGTGACATCTTGATCGGTACCGGGGCTACGGCAGCGGCGGGGCTGACGATCTCGTGGTTGTGATGATGAGCACCATCATGAAAGCAATTCCGGTGGTCATTATTATTGTTCAGATATGTATCTGATGCCGGGGAGTATGGTGAGTATGGGTATGAGATGTCCTCGAAGCTGCCGAACGACTCTATCGTATGCCCAGTGCCGTCCGACTGTGACGAGTCCGAGTGAGTCCGAAGATGTAAGGTTTGCCCAGGATTGAAGATTGCTGCGTTCTGTGCCTGCTGGTATGCTTCGAAATTGGGGAAGTGATCCACCGTGGCCCACCCGTTGTCACTACTCGAGCTCGGGAGTGACAGAACCTCCAGATACGTCCCAGTTGGCGAGTTGCTCCCTAAACTCTGACGTCCTATACTTGGTAACCCGTCGTTGGCTCCCGCGAAGTTCATAGCATTCTCGATTTCCTGCCAGTTTGCCCACATCGCTGCCTGAGCCTCCACCGTCTGTGGGAGTCCATTAAAAGGTGCCTCCATCTGAAGCCCAGCATCGAATGTGCCTTGAGTTGTTGGAAGGTGGTAGTCGAGGGGAGAGGTCTGGAAGGTGCCCCCAAAGGCATTGAATTGGCCCCCCATTAACGAGTTATCGGGAATGTACTGTGAGAGTTGCTGTTGAGGTTGCTGCATCGGCCAATCTGTCATGAGGGTTGGGGAGTTGATATGTCCAGCCTGAGGGAAGTGTTGATGGGGGTTGTGGCCCGGCGAAGTCTCGCGCCTCTCGTCAGCAGCAGTTCCTGAGGCCATATCGAGAGGCATAGGCCAGCTCGAGCGCGCGGCCATATTGGTCGTGAATGGGTATCGGGGGTCTCGAGGATCGAAGGTTAGGTCCAACAGACCCTCTGGTGTGAAGTCAAGATTCGAAGTCATTGTCGCGAGTTCTTTTTTGTGATCGGAATGGTCAATAGTATTGTAAGAAGAGGGTAGGTGACACCGCTCTTTGAGAAAGAGGAAGACCTCACGATGAAGTCGGTGAGAGGCCTGGCTGTTCGTGAGAAGGTTGAGGAGAGCGGCCGTCGAGCGAGCAGGCTCCACACAAGAAGCGGTGAGCAGAGGCCGGAAGAATCGCAGGGTGGGCACGAAGCTTGCCCGGACCATCCCAGCCCCGTCAAATCAGCGCCGGGTTTCTGGACACTCAAAAAGCTCACTGCAGGACGCTACTGCGCGACAGAAGTCAGGTGGCCAATGGCTGCGGAGGGGCGGGGGAGAGAGGGAGCAGCCAGCATGGATTTGCGCTGGATTTAGCGGACTGGGACGGTTTCGGGGGGACGTGATGGGCCACTGGGCCACTTTCAGCGAATACCAAGACCTGGGAGCAGGGCAGGCGAGCACTACGGACTGAGCAGCCTTTCAGAGAGAACTCGCCTACGAGTATCCCCTCTTGCCCCCTCTTAAAGCGTCGGCTAAGGCGTGGGGAGGGGCAGGGAGGCGCAGGGAGGCGCCTGTACTGTACTGTACTGTAAAAGGATAGCGCGCCCACTGAAGCAGATCAGATAGACCACTCACCACTGAAGCAAGGGATGGCAGGCTGGATACAGCGCACCAGCCACTGAAGATTGCAAGCCTCTACGTTCCGTGTCAACAGCCGAATCCCTCCTCTTGTTCATAATTTATCTACCTCCATGAGGTGCATACAGTACCTATGCTAGGTTTCCCGAAGAGAACACGAAAAATCCTGACATTGAGATACTGGCATTCTTACCCTCTGCTTGAAGTTGACATGGTCGTACAATACTCAATGTCCTGCTTACTACCTTACCTGTACTGCACAATGTCGTTTCCTGTCTTATCCAGAAGTAGTCCAGTCATCCCGAGCGTGTCTTGAAAACCTTGCAAAGAACCTGCCAGTGTGTGAAAATCTCGGTACGCCTCCCCCAAAAAAGCCAGACCCTGAGAGAATACCCCACCCTCCTTGCTCAGCTCTAACGCAACGCTGCATACTCGCTTGGCCAGATTATGGAGTGGAGTGGTAACTGAGGCAAGCGCGGGAGATGCTGTGATCGACAGCCAGGCGATTTGTACAGTACAGTACAAGTACAGAACCACCTTCGTTTCTCGTGGTGTTTAGAAACTTTCTCGATGATGGAAGGCTCCATTTTCTGCTCATCTTGAGGCGGTTTCCTCATGGAAGGCCCTGCGGCCATGCCTGATAGTCCTCGTTGTAAGTCTCCGTTTGTGCACGTCTTACATTCTGGCTTCGGATCGCCAACGGGAGCGAGCATCAACTCGATATCCTTCCTACCTTTCCGTATCCTCCTATCTCATCTGTCCTATTGACAGGGACGAGGGTCTTCCTGTGCTGCACGACTTGTCGTTGACGGCCAACGGCTGTACGCGCTGATGTCTTCGTGTACCCACGCACTGAGCAGTGGCCCTCAACGCCGGTGGAGAGAACCCCGCTATCTCGATCCTCCCTCCCCCCCCCCCCTTCCCGGTCATCCTTCATCCTTCACCAAGGCCTCCAGGGCCTCCTTCTTCATCACAGAGTTGCCGCCGTCGAATGAAACATAAACTGGGGCCAAAGCTACAGTATTCCGAGAGTTTGAGACGGCCTCTCAATTAGCCAGGCACGGCAGTGTATCATCATTCAATCACGCGTCGATAGCGAGTCAGGTTTGCCCCTCCCCATTCCGACTCTTCTCGTTTCACCCAAACCAGACGGGGAGAACAGGAACCCGTCTTGCACTGCACTGCACTGCACTGCACTCATCTCCGACTTGGGACCGCCGGCGTCATCGTCAATCGACGACCGACTCGTAAATTACTACTTCATCTTCGCCCGCAGTAGTTGCCTCTTTGGTGATCTTACCTGGCTGCAGCTGGCGCAAAAACGAGCTGCATGTTCAAATTCATGCGCTTGGCCGTGGATGCACGCTATTGGACACACATGATGCCTGGTGATGCAAATCAGCGCATACCGACATATTGCTCGCATACCCGGCTCAGCTTGCCTTTACCTTTGCCATTGCCTTTGCACTTGTACTTGCACTTGCACTTGCAGCTCACATTCTCACAGTCCCATGGCAATCTCGAGGCCTGGATTTTGTGTGACAAGTTGGCAGAGATGCCAGCTGCCATGTAATTTATCTGTTCAAGCTCTGAGTGGAATTGACTCCAACCGCCATTGCCCCTCTGCCCCTCTTCTTATCATCCTCGGCGAGCGATAACGTGCCTCAGGGATGGGGCCAGTAGTGGGGTGAACTGGTGAAGCAACGGAAGTAGTTCGGCACGGTTGGCTGCACAACACAGTGTACTGTGTTTAAAATATCTGTTACTCAGGAGACGATGTCTAGGAAGATGATGCGTATGTCTTGTACCTTATGCTTGAGGCTCCAAATTGTGCAAGAAAAGTAAAATGTCCCCAGATTCAAAAGCAATTGAGTGTCGCTTGGAAAACCGCTGATTGATCTAAGCTTCCTGGTGGGCCTGCAGGGGTAGTAAGGTAGGGTAGGTACCTGAGGAACAGAAGTGAGAGAACAACTTCTACAAACTCCTGGGTACTGAATTAGTACCTACTATCAAAGAGCTGAGCTTCTCAAATACGATGAAAGGTCAGAATCCATGCCAGACATGTGGAATACGTCGTATCCAATCTCAAAGAGAACTTGTAATGACATTCCACTTGAAAAGCGAACCCGCTCGTGGTTGCATTTGGCTCAAATGCTTTGGTGGTGGGGCATTTTTTAAGCGAAAAAGCAAGGACGGGAAAATCGAAATCGGGAAGTTCGCTTCACTTCCAACTGCCCTTGCTTGAATTTGTCCAACACAAACCCGGACAAAGAGAAGAGGCTCCAGCGAATCGAAGCACTCCTTTCCCAAAATGAGCCTCACATGACTTTCATCAAAGAAAGAAAACACCGCAAGGTTATCTTCAAGAGACGGACCATGGCTAGCTCATCATCATCCTCCTCTGCTGCACCGTCTGAAACATTTGAGCGTTTACTTTATGGTGACCGGGAGACCCGTCAGCCTGGATTCATCACCGAGGATCCTGCCCTTGCCGATTCTGCGCTCATAGACCCTGTCTCGGGAACCACGAGCTCTCCTTACACAATGTCAACAAAGACCGCTCGTACAAGCATGATTCCAGACATATTCACACAACTCCCGCTTTGTCGGGACGTTCTCATGACCCAAACGTCCCAAGTCCAAGATGAGACGATACAAGAGTGCCTTCCTTTTCTTTCTGGTCTGGACTCTGATGTGGAGTACAACGACTTTGGAGTGCCACGGCTCGCTAGAGATCGACACATTGCTTTTCTTCATAAAAGTTTGCGGAGGCTCCCAGCTGGCTATGTTGCCGCCGATGCTAGCAGACCTTGGATGTTCTACTGGGCTCTAAATGGGCTTGCCACTCTCGGAGAGGATATATCAGAATACCGAGAGAGAGTCATCAACACTGTCCGGCCGATCCAAAATGAGAATGGTGGGTTTGGTGGAGGCCATGGCCAAATGTCGCACCTTGCTCCAACATATGCAATTTTGCTTTCTCTCGCTATTGTGGGAGGGTCAGAAGCTTTCGATCTTATCGATCGTAAGAACATGTGGAAATGGCTAAGTGCTCTGAAGCAACCTGGTGGTGGTTTTCAAATGTCCATTGGTGGCGAGGAAGATGTTCGGTCAGCTTTTTGCCCCTTGCGGAAAATCCGCATATCAGTGCTAAACCATCGCAGTGGAGCATATATCGCTGCTGTTATCATCACACTCCTCGATATTCCTGTCGAACTTCACCCTGATTCACCTGCGTGGTCACGTGAAGGCGATACACTTCTCATGGGTCTCCCAGAGTGGATATCGAGATGTGAGTAATTGTCCTCTCATCCTGGCCTATTGTTTAATAACAATCAAAGGTCAAACATTCGAGGGCGGAATGTCAGCTCGTCCGGATGTGGAGGCTCATGGAGCGTACGCTTTTTGTGCTCTGGCTTGCCTCAGCATCTTGGGTGACCCTCATGAAATAATACCAAAGTAGATAACTTTCCTGCTTCATCTTACTACACTAACAAACACTATTCAGATACCTGGATGTGCCATTGTTGATTTCATGGCTCTCAGCCCGCCAATACGCACCAGATAGCGGCTTCTCGGGCCGGACGAACAAGTTGGTCGATGGATGTTACAGTCACTGGGTGGGAGGGTGCTGGCCCTTGCTTGAAGCATGCCTCAATGGGATCAGCTCTTCTGCGCAAACACTGTCCTCAATTACTGTTGATGGGAAGCTGTACAGTAGGGAAGGTTTGATAAGGTATATCCTGTGTTGCTGCCAGGACCAATCCAGGCGAGGCGGACTGAGGGACAAACCAAGCCAGTAGGCAGTTCAACATCGATACTACTAAATTTCCAGCTAACAGAACTCCAGCTCATCTGATTCATACCACACATGCTACGTTCTAGCTGGCTTCAGCTCTGCACAGAATGATTGGTATTTCAATCAAGCACCGCCGAAGGTCGGATCTGGTGGTCTTCTTACCTCGGCATTTCAATGGACATCCGAACCTATTATTGAAATGTCACAAATATTTGAAGAAGGTGACAGAATCGGAACTCTTCATCCAGTATTCGTCATACCCGAACGCACTGCTGAGGAGATGAGAGGTTATTTTGCCTCCAAAGGGGCTTTCTAATGTCGATAATGGCTTTCGGTGCATTAGGTTAGAACAAGTGGATTGGAAGCGTTACATATGGGCCGGTCGTGGAGACGGATCTTGAGCCAACATGGAAGCTTGATGCATAGATTGCGGAGTTTGGGGGTATTTACCATGTGTAGTGGCACGTCAAGCGAACCAGTTGCATTGCTATGCGCACAGAATGCTCGCTTTTCAATTCCACATATTTTTCCGGGTTCACAGCGTACTAGGGATTCGCAGCTAAGTCATTCAGTAAGGGCTCAGTAGGTGTTTTGGTATTACACGACTTGGCCAGTCGAGCCGCGTCCTTTCTTGTTTATTTCTTCACGGCCATGGATTTCTTCAAGAGTGGGGTCATGCTGGTGAGACGTTGACAGGGACATTTATCACGAGTCAAGTTTCTAGCAGGTTGATATTTGCATGGTCCAGGACCAGCTTCTGTATCGTGAGTTCACTACGTTGGAATGCCAGAAGCTGGAAGGAGTTACAAACGGAGGACGGCAAGCCACATAATGACGCTTGACAGTGACACAACGCCTATTGAAAAGTGACAGGTCGAATAGACGCTGTGCGAAGAAGATTCGGTGAGATGAGTCTGCGAACGTAATCAATTTTCCTTCCATTTGCATTCGGAGAAGTGAAGTTGATTACAGACTGAGACTCCTGCTACAATCTGCATGGTGTTTGCATACTTCTTGCAGATCTTGAGCGGTATTTCTAGATTTTGCTATGTTGAGTCGCGATGCTGTGGAGTTTTTGTATTGTGGGTTTGCTTGTGTGGTGGTCTCGCGCCAAGCGAAGGGCACTCAGCGGTTCAAGCTCGCGCCCCCGCTCCACTCCACTCCACTCCACTTCCCTCGATGATTTCAAGGTTCCATTGCCTTGAGCTGTTCGCCAACCTCCTCCCTCTCCCGCGGCGACATCAACAGACCATCGCCCTGCCCTGCAAGATCTCGGTGACCACAGGCGAAACCTTTTGATATATGCATCTCCGTCCCAAGGTGAACGTCTAGCATCACGTCTTCTGAGACATGTTCATGACTTTCAAAGTCAATTCCCCCGTGTCGTGCTGTCTGGGCTCAGAACTTTCTCACGCTGATTTAGCCCCGCATGAGCATGCAGCTGCAGAGAATATACCTCCGCGCCACTCCACGAATTGGAGCCCTTGTCAGACTGCGCGAACCACCGAAAGTTGTCCTCTGGAAATGCCCTGTCAGACGATAGGACAATGCAGCCAACAGATAGTGAGCCCACCAATGCCAGCCAGGCCGACCTCCTCCGAAGCGATCCCCTCCATGGCGGCAATGCTGGCGACAGGCGGTTCAGGTACCTGATCTAAGATCCGCTCCCAGGCGACAGGATGACGATGTCTGGGACCTTCAGAATTTCCTTTTCCCGGCGGAAGGTGACGGCAAGCCATCTGGAGGAGGAGACGTTGACCATGGGCCCGAGACTGGTCGTCAGGTATCGATTCCTTCTCACGCACTGCTTAATATACCGCTGCCGTATGCCTCTTTCAATTTTCACGGCATAAAGCCTTACTCCTTAAGTCCTCAAGCGCAATGCCAGCTCATCATACATGCGATCAAGAACCTTGCACACGGCTAGTCGTCGGTCTGGCTTGGGTTGCCTCGCCCTTTCTGGCCCTCCCACCACCGACTGGAGGGTAAAGTACCGTGAGATCTCAGAGCAGGCCAGCCACTCTTTATGCATTGAGTGGTTCACCGACTTCGTGTCAAGTCCTACTCCAGTCATTCAGTGTCCAACACGGTGGACTTCGCCATGCATAGCGAAACCGTTGTAGTGCGGGGCTGAGGGGACCACTCTCGCTCTCGATGCTGTACTTTAGCCAGTCCAGAGCTTCCAAATATGGTTCTTCCGTACTCATCGCTCATTTATGGCTCGCGTCAGTGGGCGAGTAGTTCTAAGTCTCTGATATTTTAGTTGCATCAATCCGGTGTCTCTCGATGCCAGTGCATTAGCGGCCAGCCCGTCGGATCTCCATGTCACCCCAGGAGCGAGCGACTTTCAAGTCTTGAAGGCCGTCCTTTCTTCGATGGAGGCAAGGCCTGCGTCTCCATTCCTCCTGCTGCAACAGCATGCAAATTTTGCCCGAGATCTATGGGACGGGTGTTGAGCCTTTTGCCACCGCTGCTGCATCGACAAACAGTAGCTGCAGACCAACCTGGAAAGGACGAATTGATACCTCTGACCCCTCAGAGATCATCGCCTAGTATGCGCTCCCATGTTGTGGTGGAGTAGCCTAATCTCGCGTTGAAAATATCAATTGGCAACCACGTACGCCAGCACTTCGATATGGGTCACATTTGAAGAGCCGCATCATGACTTGCATCTGGTTGAAACCTTCGTCCTATCTCAACAGCGCCTGAATAACTCTACGGGAGTCCAATCCATAATCCTTGTCTCACGCTAACCGTAGACTCTGCAATAAATCACACATGTCTCGCCGTCGCTGGACGAAAGTCCTGCACAAAGCCCTAGACACCCACTCCATCCGTCAGCCTTACTCTGTCAAAACCACGACGCTGACCATACAACACTGTTATCACCTACACTTAACAGACTGTGTGCATTTTTCCTTGTATACTCCAGGTTGGGCTCAATTGCATCAACGGCGTCGTCGTGGTTTGGGCATTCATCATCATCGGTACATCCTGGAACTCGAGAAAGTGTTCTCCCACACTCTCTACATCCACCACCTTGGACCTGTTCCTGGAACAGGATCTTGTCACACTTGATCGTTGGCAATTGACGAGTCACGATGGGCGGGTTTTATATGGCATATCTGGAGAGTACGTTGATCCACTGAATCGGAAAGAAATCTCCTCAATCCAATGGGTCTTGTCATCCGATTTTCCTTCCGGTCCCTTGTGTATCCCAGATCCTGCTGGAAAGGGGCTTTCCACCCCCACGATCTTGCACGTTGGCTCTCTCAAACTACCCTCCCGTTGGGCTGGGGTACTGGTTCCACCGCCCATTTTTGCACCATGTTAATGAATGTGTTTGCACATCAGTGCATTTTGTTATGCAATTCCTTACTATTCTTGGGACTTCATTTTTGTACAATGATTGTAACCGGAGCAACTACTGACAGCTCGGCAGGTCTTTGCCGTCGTCGAGGCTGGCGCGATCCCTTGTATGAGACGTACAGGAGCTCTTCTGGCTTCACATGTTTGGTTCTCGTCAATGGTCGGGAATACCAGACGGACTTAGCATACGAATCCGATGGGCTGGCTCAGGAGAACGCAGCTATGCGGGCGTTCATGGTGTGCCGTAACTTCTCTGTGAATGGAGGTATGCTGGCTCGCAATGGTGTGGTTCAAGGCCTTCCCGCGAATGAGAGTGGTGGTAGACATCGTAGAAGCCGGGGTGGTCGAAGCCATTCTGTCAATTTAAGCAGCAGCAGTTCCACAACGTCATCGGAATAGAGGGCTAAACTGATACGTCTTCCGGCAGCTAAGAATTAGCTGTTGAGCATACAGGCTGAGCCTCTTGGCCACCAACGATATGCTGCTCGGTTCTGGGGGAAACCTGCAGCAACGCAACAACGAATTACGACGAAGACAAAACAGCGACAACGCTATAAAAACGTTGCTTGACGATTCTACGACTCGATCTTAATGACGACTGACGACGATAACGACCGATTTCCCTTCCACTACCTTTCAACCACCAAGACATGATTGCGGTATGGGGAAAACAGCACCTACCGCTGGAGATCAGAGGCAACTCGACCCACAAACTGTCTTTACGGAGGCTGTCTACGAATTGTGCAGTTGCAGATATGGTGTGTTGGAACGTGACGGCGGCTTGAAGATTCTCCTTCTTCGCGAATGATGCATTTAGCAAGCGTGGCGGCAGTATTACTTTCATTTTGGGAATGACAACCCACGAGTTTCTTTTCTCATCAAGGGGTAAGGAAATTGGGTAACCGGCAACCCATTGGGCATAATGGACGATCAGACTTATGATAATGATGACCTGACGATGAAATAAAAGCACTTGAGATACCCTATGAGGTAGTTGCTCGGTAGTTTGATAATACCTCTGATATAGAAGTTCCCCGTGACTGTGTAACGGTTGGACAGGAAGACTGGGAGGACCGCCGGGACGGATGTGGCGTCGAGTGCAAATAAAGCAATCTCGTACAAGCACCCCCCCTCACTACTCAGCCACTTCGAGCTTTTCTTTCAACACTCGTGATGGCCATACGAGGGGGTTCAGGGCGTCCCTCCATCGTATCACAAGAAAAGAAACAAGGCGATAACCACCCCACGCGTCTGCCAAAAGAACAATGCCGTATCGCATTGCGTCCAAGCCTGACACACAAGGAACAGGCGCTTCAAATAGACTTTTTCTCCCCACGATGATGATGCTGTGTACCAGCTGATCAGAACTCGCTGTGGGATCGTGGCTTGCGCTCATTGTGCCATGAATATCCGATCGTTGTAGCCTCATCCTCGGTCTGCCTGGAAACCGTTCTGTACCTACCTGCCCCCGGTGTCTAGGTACCGTCGAGTTCTAACTTCTCAGTCCAAACAAGCGGAGCATTATCCGAGCACTCCCATTATTCAATCGATCCAGAACGTGAAAATAAACAGATTACGAGGCCAGCCCTTCAGCCTCGTGCAGCAATCAAAGCACATCTAATTTTGCCTTCCGTCGAGCTAGGATCCACTAAACTGCAGAAAAGGGGCTCGCCGACGGGACCTAGGCGAGAATATTTTGGGACCAAGACCAAGTCCAGGTGTCCTCCTCGACCCTCCCATCCTCCTTCCAACCATTCGATTTTCTACTTCGAGAAAACTGTACAACAAATTCAATCACCCACGACACTCGTTGAACAACAGTAACTCACTGTCCAACTTGACTTGAAGGAAACCAGCAACCAACGCAGATACTCCCTGTTACGCAATAAAGCTTAACACTTTCAATCGTCACTGTGGGGTACTTTCTGCCCTTCGAACTTGCACACTCTCACAACATCAACCTCCGCACAACTCAAGATGAAGGGCAAGTCCGAGGGTGAACTTTGTACTGTGGATATATGGCTAACTGCTGGTGTAGCCCTTATTCTCGTTGGTGGCTTTGGCACCCGTCTGCGCCCTCTCGTACGTTACCCCCTAGCCAGCTAGCAACTTCATCCTCGGATGGTCAACGGCCTACCGCAGACACCCAGAACCTCAGAATACCTTCAATGATTGACGGAACAATAGACCCTCACCCTCCCCAAGCCATTGGTCGAGTTCGGCAACAAGCCTATGATTCTGCACCAGGTTGAAGCTCTGGCAGCAGCTGGCGTCACAGATATCGTACTAGCTGTGAACTACAGACCCGAGATTATGGAGAAGCATCTGGCAGAAGTGAGTGTTGCACCTCCCCTTGTACCTTCAGCAGGTACTGACAATTTGCGCTCCTAGTACGAATCCCGGTTTAACGTCAAAATCACCTTCTCTATTGAGTCAGAACCCCTTGGTACTGCAGGCCCCCTTAAGCTCGCAGAAGAGATCCTTGGAAAGGACGATACCCCATTCTTTGTTCTGAACTCCGATGTTATCTGCGAATACCCCTTTGGAGATCTCGCCGATTTCCACAAGAGCCATGGCGATGAGGGTACTATTGTAGTCACAAAGGTCGAGGAGCCCTCGAAATATGGTGTGGTTGTTCACAAGCCTAATCATGCTTCGCGGATTGACCGATTCGTTGAGAAGCCCGTTGAATTCGTTGGCAACCGTATCAACGCCGGAATTTACATCCTGAACCCAAGCGTTCTGAAGCGCATCGAGTTGCGCCCTACCTCTATCGAGCAAGAGACCTTCCCAGCCATCTGCGCAGATGGTCAATTACATTCTTTCGACTTGGATGGCTTCTGGATGGACGTTGGTCAACCAAAGGATTTCCTATCTGGAACCTGTCTTTACCTTTCCTCGCTCACAAAGAAGAGCTCGAAACTCCTTGCTTCTTCCAGCTTGCCATACGTACACGGCGGCAATGTTTTGATTGACCCCTCCGCGAAGATTGGCAAGAACTGCAGAATCGGGCCCAACGTTACCATTGGCCCAGATGCTGTCATTGGTGATGGTGTCCGCCTACAGCGTTGTGTCATTCTCGCAGGATCGAAGATCAAGGACCACGCCTGGGTCAAGAGTACCATTGTCGGCTGGAACTCCACCGTAGGCAAGTGGGCACGATTGGAGAACGTTAGTGTACTGGGAGACGATGTCACAATCGGCGACGAGATCTACGTCAACGGGGGAAGCATCCTGCCACATAAGAGCATCAAGGTCAACGTCGACGTTCCTGCGATTATTATGTAAAACTACAATACAATCTACAGTTTCAGCCACTGCCAGTTTCGGAAGAATGCGGCTATTAGAATCGCATCTACCACGCCTGGAGCATGGCTTTTCGGCTAAGTACAATTTATGGTACCTGGCTGTGTAGTATTATTGAGGGTCGTTATTCGGAGCAATAGCATCTTCTCCCCTCCTACTCTTCGTTTTTCGGATGAAGAAAGAAAGCAAGCCAGAAAGAACGCAGTCTTGGTGGGACAATTTCGTGTTGTTTGCATGCGATGGCGTCTATGGCTTCATGCATGCAATTTTGAGCGCACTTCAGAAAATCAAAGGAACTATGGGCATGTCGTTTTAGTTTTTGATCTTATTTTGGCGAGTGGCTTTCTTCACGGAAAGGGATTTGGTTTGGGCTGTTCTCTTTGCTGGCTGATGGATTTGTTCATTCTCCCAAATGCCCTTGGGTGATGGATGGGCATGATTATGTTTGTAAATGCATTCTAATCTTAGATAATAAATCTTTCCAGAACAGACGTGCTTCGACTGATTCATCCTTGCCTGCCAGTGATATGCAACTCACTAAGAATAAGCTGAGATTCCATTGTTGACTTCTCTGGCTCATTTCATCGCTTTTCAGTGACAAATAAACCCTTGAACTTCCGCTCAGCACAGGATTTAGACCAGATCGCCTCGTTGTAAGCAAACTCACACTTGCCAATGAATATATTTGCAGAGCATTCCTTTGAAATACTGCGTCTCCAGCTCGAAAAAAGCCTGGACAACCAGAGGTGGTAACTTTTGGATTCGGTGCTTCCCACATCAGCTTACAACTCAACAGAACTTAATCTAGGCCCTCAATTGAACGCAACACACACAAGTATGGTATAAAAGTACTACTTACTTTGCTACATATCTCTATCTTTTACTCGCCTCGTCTAATATGAGAAGGCCCTTCTCCAGGTGGAGGACCAGATTTCCGACCCATTGAAGCTTAGCCCATGAAGAAGGACCGAGCTGCAATTTACCCCAGAAAAGTAAATAATACTCGCCACATCTCTCCATCCCTCCTTTCTAAACCACAATTCATATCCTCGCCGCAACAAGCTTCGTAACTCTTCCAGCACAATGGGGTTACCACCATGGGAGACGAGCGATGGTCAGCTTTTTGCCTTGATTACTGGCGCAAACAGGTAAGAAGTACAGAGCCCGATATCCAGCGGGGTCCTGCAGCAGCTTCATCCTCCCCTTCAGGATCGACAGCGCTGAATCACCAGAATTTGATGCAATTGAGCTAATATATTACCAGTGGTCTAGGCTTTTCCATTGCAGCCCGCCTCATCGACGAATTCTTCACGTCTCCCTCAACCAGCCCGAATAAACATCTCATCCTCATCCTCTGCACGAGATCACCTATGAAGACCCGATTTACAATTTCACGTCTGCGCGCCCACCTCAGAATACAAGTCGAAAGCTCCCCGTTCGCAAAGAAGCAGAGAGTGAAAGCCAAGGAGCAAGGCATTGAGTACAAATGGGAGGACATGGTACAGCGAGTCCATTTCCTGGGCGTAGAAATTGATCTCTGTGATCTGCGTAGTGTGTATGCTCTGGCGGACAAGCTGGTCAATGGCACGGTTGGGAGTCCGGATGCAACTACAATGGATGGCGGTAAGCTCCCACACGGATCGCCTGGTACGGCGAGCTACAGTCCGGATGTAGAGCAGGATAGATGGGCGCTCAGCCAGAAGCCCGGATCGATCGGCTCACAAAGGTCGTGGGGTTGGGGATTGAGCGGGATACGGATCCCCAGGCTAGATGCTATTATCTTGAGTGCTGGTATTGGTGGCTGGATAGGTCTGGACTGGCCATTAGCAATAAGAACGGTTTTGTTCGACACGATAGATGCGGTTACGTGGCCGATCTACAAGAAGTCGAGTTTGGGGGCTCTGGTCCGGACATCACATTCAACAGACGATGCTAAGCAATCGTTGCTAGATGATCAAGAGAAATCACTCGGGCCACCACTGGGAGAAGTCTTCTGCGCAAACGTTTTTGGTCATTACATTCTCGCCCATGAGTTGATGCCCCTCCTCTCACGACCCACATCGCCCAACGCAAAAACTTGTGGCAAAGTTATCTGGGTCAGTTCTATTGAAGCTGTGGATGATAAATTCTCAATCGACGATATTCAAGGCTTGGAATCCGACTCGCCATATGAGAGCTCGAAGAGAGTTATGGACTTGCTTGCTTTAACCTCGAAGCTACCAGCTACGCAACGACCATCGGCACCATTCTTTGACTGCTCGAAAACCACAACGGCAAAGAAGGGATCATCGAAGAACGGTGAACCTTCATTAAAGCCCGAAATGTATGTGACCCATCCAGGTATTTTCGTGTCAGACATAATGCCACTCCCTGGTTTCCTGGTCGTCATCTATACATGGGTGTTCTACATCGCAAGATGGATAGGAAGCCCTTGGCATCCTATCATACCATATAAAGCGGCAGTCTCTCCCGTCTGGATTACTCTCACTGGTACCGAAGAACTCAATGCTGCCGAAGGAGGTGGTTTAAAGAAGATAAAGTGGGGATCAGCAACCGACACGAGTGGAGATGAACGGGTGATGAAGACTGAGGTCCCTGGATGGGGTTGGAATGGCGACATCGAGGACACTACGGAGATCAAGAATAGAAAAGGGAGGAAGAAGGATGCGGTTGACTTGACAAAAGAGAAGAGAGAGGAGTTTGAGGTTACTGGAGCGAAAGTTTGGGCAAAGATCGAGGGGATGAGGAAGGAATGGGAGGGTGTGCTGGGAATCAATGGCAGAAAATAGCAATGGTCTCTTGACTGATCGTGCTTGTAACTATTGATTGTAAAGTAGGGCATAGCGATGGATATCTACAGATATTTACATGGGATAGGCATATGTGCTGAGTTACTCGATGTAAGGATATTAATAGTTACCTCTGTATCACGTGAAGCCAATAAGCTAATCTAAGACTAGAACGATATCGCTGACCTATGTCAAGGGCAGTCAAACCTATCGACGAGGACAAACGTTTCTTTCTTGACTGAAGCACTATTCCCCAGCTTCCACTTTCTTAAACACAGAGCTAAACCCGCCGATCCCGCAACGTTCTTCCCTCCATCAAGAAATTCTGGTCCAATTTAACGCACCTATAATCATGCTAACTGGGACCCCAGTCACCAGCAAGTGATTTCGAGAGCAGTGATGTTTCGGTTTCTACGAGTTCCGAATGTGTGCGAAGGAGAGGACAAGTGCATGCTGGTGGAGATGAGGAGAGGTGGTGAGCTGGCGACTAGATGTGTGAGGTTGAGGTGAGTAGCGTTTCTATTGTTTTGTATTAGTCGTTTTGCATCATGCTTTGTTTTGAATAGGGGCTTTTTATAGTGCTATATCACTGGTCCATAATACTCCATACCCGTTGCACGGCATGTGCCATTTTGCGATGTGGCCTTGATCAAAACTCGTCTACATGCTTCTGAAAGTCTGCTGAGTAGGCGCAGCATGAGGAAACACTATCGTGCTGATCAGAGCCATGCATTACCCCGTTTCTCTTAACCTGAAGCACACTCAAATTAGAGCCGCGACGATCTCAAGAATGCCTTTTTTGTATTTATGATGAAGTACTGGGAAGCGTACTATCTCAAATCACATTTTTCGACGAACCAGCCATACCTACGTACACTTAAATCATATTCAACAATCAACTCATTCAAGATCTAGCTCTCTACAGAAATGAAATGTGATATAGTATATGCATTTTCCACGCGTATCGTTTTGCTCAGCTACACCATCTAACCAAAATATCAAGAACTGCCAGGGAATAGCGAAATTCAGGAGTGAAAGGAACAGAAGCCGCTCCTCGGATTTGCCAGGCACTGTATGTCTACAGGTTTTGTTGATGCCTGGTTGTATGTGCTCGCTTTCTGCTAGGAGGCACATAAATATTGGTTTTAGATCACCGTTCCCAAACTCTAGTGGACCAGAAACCTGTCTATACGTCTGAAAATTGCAACTAACGTCGTCGTCAAGCTCTTCAAGCTGGACTGGGTCGTTCATTCAGGAATTAGTGGCGAAGCTGGAGTCGATGAGTTATATCTTCGAACTGATGACGCTGTATGAGGAGAGCAATTGTAACTACTGATAGGTATCCAACACGTTACTCGAGAAGAATCATGTTGAAGGTGTTGACGCAGGAGCAGTTCTATGTGCTGCAGGTCAGCCATCATGGAACTTAGTGGGCTCAAGAAGCGTATGTTCGATACCTGGGATCAATCACCTTGCTGCCCAAATCTGTGAGTGTTTGGCTAGCTATACGATTGGAACGGCAAGTAATTTCAGCCAATGTCAAGAAACCAGGCCGCAATGTCGAGGCTACGTGTGGTAGACCTTGGAAGATGAAGACTTCTCCTTGTCCTGCTACAAGTGGACCGCGAACTCCCTCAGCTGTTAGGAGATTGTGTCTCGTTTGTCACTCGCACAATTTACTTGAGAAGTATCAAATTATACGCTAAATCTAAAGAACAAAAATGACCAAACTTCCGCACAGCATTCGGGTTCGGCTCTATCGTATATGTATGCTTCGCTGTGTTGCGATGTTGGAATTGTGAGATGGGTTCTCCAAGTTCGTTGGGATATCATGTGTGTTGAGAAGAGGAAATGTTTGGCTGACCAAACCTCACGTTAAAGGAGAGCAATGGAATTTATAGACAAGCATAATCTACAAATAAGTAATTACCTGGATCTCGAAGCGCTTAGACGAATCCATTGGCGTGGAAGGTAGAGCGTTCCATGTATGGCGGGCATGTCAGCGATGGAAAGTCAGTCTTCCAGCGAGATAATCGTTCTTGACTCCGTAGTAGATCATCCAAATGACAGCGCAAAAGTTCAAAACAACTGTCTAGGTAACTTTAACTCAAAAAATGACTGCAAGGTTTTGTGCTGCCAATATAAGATTTGCGAATAGCCTGGGGTCAGACAGAAGAGGCGAAATACTCGCTTAGCTTTCAAAACACTCACCATCTTGTCGGAAAAACTTTCCGTGGCACAAATGATCAGAGATTTAATGCTTGTATTTACTTTCACTTCCGAATGGATGTTAATATACTCCTATGATTTTCCCGACCGGTAACAAGCAAGACTGGGCACGGAGCATTGACTTGCCTCGATGTCCTTGTTCAACAACCGAAGACAACGTCAACGGACAGAGGCATAACAGCTCACAAAACATTTGGAACCTCCACTACAGATTGCTTCTTAGCATCAGCACGTAGCCTTGCAGCTACCAACATCCCGAAACACTGCCTCCTTCCTATTTCGCATCCCTGGACCCTCAAGTCCAGGATCACAAGCCACCATTTCCCCCCTGCCCTGCACGCTGCACAACACACATGAATTCTCCGACAGGTCGTCGTCAGCTCAGAACGTCTGTTCTTCCGTAAGGCTTAAACAGGCAGGGACTTTCCATGCCTGTCACTACAATCTTAATGACTTTCGTTGCTGTGACGTAAGCCGAGGAATGGAGGGTAGTGTTTCAATATGCTTCAGCTTCGGAGCTGAAGTGTTGAAAGCATATACCGAATATCTATCTTCGGCACGAGAGTTGACTGGGAAGCGAGGTCTTGGCGAGGTGTTTGAGAGGGTTGGAAGTAGGTGGGGAAGGGGCTGATGGGACTCAGGGGAAATAGTGGATGTTTTTGCGATTGGTGTTGTGTGTTGTCCAGTCCCCTTGAGCGGTAATTAGGAGACTGATTTGAATTATTAATGGCTTCATCTTCGATACTGAGCATTTGAGCGCCCTACCTGAAGTCCTCAAGCCAGAAAGATCGGATCGTCAAGGAAACGTTTAAGTAAATCGACCATATAACACATTTCATACATTTGATACAAGAATTTCATCGTGACCTCCTCGTTATGTCTCTAAGCATATATTTCCCAACATCAATACACCAGAGCGCTCTCTCTCCTCCAGCAATTAAACGGTCAATTTGATAGCTCGCTTGTTGTTGTTGTTGTTATTGTTGTTGTTCTGGTTCTGATTGCGGCCATTTCCATTTCCCTTGGTGGCACCTGGGGCCTTGGTCGCAGTCGCAGCATCTGCACCACTTGCTGCTCCAGCACCCTTGGCAGCTCCTTTTCCGGCGCCCTTCGCAGCTCCGGCTCCAGCTCCAGCAGCTGGTGTAGCGGCTGCTCCATTGATGTTCTCTCTGGAAAGAGTCTGAACTTCAGCTGCCTTGCTGACAATTGGGAGTTCAGCTAGTTCAAGTTAGTACAACTCTTCTTGGGAGACAACAAGATCTCGTACCTCCTGCGGCCTTGAGAGCTGCAGCTCCTTGCGCCGAAACTTGGTTGGCCTTGTTTGCAGCATCGAAATCGAGCTGGTCTTGGTTGACTTGAGCAAGAACAGCTGGGAGTGTAGCTGCGGTAGCAACTGATTTTCAGTCAGCACGGGTGTAAATAACCGTGTGTCAAGCAAAGGCAAACGAGATATGTCAATGGGTTTCGATTAATGCTTTGTCTAATTGAAACATATTTACAGAGCAAGAAGCTTGCTCACACCCAGAGAACATGGACAATAACCTCGGGGGATTACGTACTGGTGTTGGCAGAGTTCTCGTTGGGGGTGACGTCGGTCTGTTGAACAGCGAAGCATCCTCCGAAGGGACCTGCTTGAGCGTTGTTTCGGCATCGGACTGTGCAGATGTTTCCGGTAGAGCCTATAGTAGGCATTTGTCAGCCAGGATACTCTTTCATGAATGCATGTTGTTCTCACCTCCAATGCAGTTCATGGAGTCGGGCATAGTGACGGTGATATTGAAGTCCTGGGTCTTCGCCTGGGAGAAGCCGTTGACACCGGGAACGTTGTTGGTAACGGTCAGGTTTTGAGTGAAGACACCAGTATTACCTAGCGAGATTAGCATAGGCTATTGGCAGTATTATCCTTCACTTACCAGTCTCCTCCAAATCGCATGCATATGGTCCAGCACCATCAGCATTGACCTGGTGGATAGTCACAGTCATCTCTGTGCCGGCCTTGACAGAGGTTACTTGGTTTGCTGCGAGAGCATTCTCGGTATTCTCTCCGATATCAATGTTGCCAGTCAATTCCGTTCGGCCGCATTCGTTAACAATGTTGGCCTTGATCTCAGCGTCTCGAATGATCGTGGTATCTTGTTGACATGGACTGATGCTTGTGCAGTTTCGTGCGATAGCATCGTTGACTTAGAAAATATTAGCACCGTGGCATGGCTCACTGAGTTAGGCTTTACCTTGGAACCCTACGCTTGCTGGAGATCCAGCTTCACCTTGAGCACTGAGGATAGCACCGTGAGCGTTGACCAAGGATAGGAGAGCCGCAGTGTAGACGATCGAGGAAATCATGATGAAGATATTTAAATAGTGTCCTGCACGAAACTTTGAAAGAGTGGATGAAAGTTAAGAAGTAATGAATCGCCCGGATCCTGTAAAGCAAAGAATAGAATTATCGAACGAAGAATGGAGTGACAAGCAAGAGACTGCAAAGAGGCCGCAGAAGGACTTTTAAACAACTCGCAATAACAACTAGAATAAACTGACAACGGCTCCATTGTGGATACCGAGCAAACACCGTCCTACAACGCTCGTTGCAAGATGGGTGGGACTTGGGATTGTTATCGCCAAGACAGACCACTTCGAGATATGCCCACTCACTGGAAACAGCCAGAAACAATTCGCAGGGTAAGTAGGCTATGCTTAAATGCCATGCTCACGTCAATCAGATCATCGGATGGCAGATCGCAATGGCTGGCGAAGACTTCTGCATGCAAGATGGGATCCACAGTCAGGTTCGAGCAGCCACTACGGTGCAAGGTAACCTAGCCAGTGCAGGATAGGGAGCAAGTCCTCGCGACACAGTGTAGCGTTTGACCCGCTGCCCAGTGTTCTGATATGCGTTCGACTGCTCAATCATCAGGCCAGAACCAACGAGAGTGAAACTTGATGATGGGCTCGATGGGGTGGCAGGAGGAAGCGTGAGAGCGCGTTGTTTCTAACTTCGCTTTGACGTGTTTTAAACGAGTGGGTTTTGCCAGAAAGGGAAAGCCGGTAACTTGCATCCAGTCCCCTGCACTGACAGGCATGAGGTGGGAGGCGCCGAAGACAAATTAATTGTGGAAAGAATAGGCTCAAGGAGTGGAAACTGATCAGGCAGTTCATTTCTTCCCATTCGTGGCAAGTGTTGAGAGTGGAGGACTGATGTCTGTCTGTACCTCACAGCCTTGTGCATATTGCAATCCATCAATCCACTAAGCATTTCTCTGTAACACAATTAGGAAGCTTGTCAGGAACTGTAAGCTGTCCATGTTTTTGATAATTGTTGTAATGGACATCGCAGGATTGGAACAGAACATTATTTGTGATGCTAACATCATAATCCTGCTAGGGAAGCAAGGCGGTATGTGCAATCGAGTATTGTACACGACGAGCATCGGACCTATGCTCCCATCCTGGACATCGCGCAGAGACCTTCCAAGATTTCCTGGCTGGGGAGGTCAGATCGCCCCATTTGATGTGTTGATTTTAACAAGGACTTGGCCGAGATTCGTTGTCGTTGCTCGCCTCGACATACCATCTCGTAGCAGCACCTACTAGTTGGAGTCCAGAGTACCGAAGTGATCTCCCTTCAACCGACGCTGCTCCCACTGCTGCTGATTCAGTCTAGATATTGAGAACATGGAATGTACACCACAGGCCAAAAGGCCATGGCTTGTATGGGCGATCTTAGAAGCGTCAGAGACTGCAAGGTTTGCTGTTGGCCAAGAGCAACTCGTCTGTACTTCCTCGCTTAAGCTGCTTCAAACATTTTTGAGTCAGGTGGAGTCGACAACCCCTTTCCCTTTGACAGGAATACTTCGATGATGCGCAAAACCAACAGAGGTGGCGTGCAAACGCCTGAACAAGCAATTTTCCAAAAATCTAAATTTAGCTCGGGATCATCCTAGTATGTGCCGCAAGAGTTCCTTCCGCAGATGACTCGGTCCAGCGGCACAATCTTCGTTGCTCACTGGAGATCACAGCGAGGTTAGAGTTGCTCCTCTAGCTGTTTTCGCCTGTGCTTGCAACTGTGGACTGTTGTTGTGTGGATTTAGCTCGCCTCCTGAGCATATGTCAGGCACTGTCTGTGCTACCATGTGGTCTTGACTGTAGAGGCGAGTCTGAACTTACTCTGAGTGTGGCTGCTATGACGTCTGGGCTTGCATAGGGAGATTTGTGAATGTATGAAACAGACGAAACATGCATTGCTCAGGTGGTATCAATGAGAGGTTCATGACCCTGCGACCTGTACTTGTACATATATCAACCAGAAATTTCCATGGACCGCTCCTATTGAGTTCCTCACGCGCCGAATGCCCCAAGCGTGCTCATCGCTTCAATGAACAGACTCACAACCCGCCCCAACGCCATAGTCGCCTTGATTTGACCCTTCCCGCCATAAACCATACAATTAGTAAGTGAAATCTTTAATCACTCATCTTCCCCTTCAGCATCCAACTCCATCTCTGTTGAGATGGCTGGTGCATCTTCCATGACTTCATCGTCATCATCGAGCGGCATCTTGCCCCTCCCTTTCCCTTTTCCTTTACCTGGTAAAATAGGCTTTCCCAAACCTTTTCCCTTTGACTTTCCCCTGGCATCAAGTATTGGTTTCCCCAATCCTTTACCTCGACTGACATCACGTCGTTTCTTCATCGCGGGGGTTTCGAGGGCGGCCGCATCTTCTGCTTCCTCCAAATCCACATCGTCTCCGCTCTCAGCAGCATCTTCGTTATCGTCCTCCTCTCCTTCCTCATCTCCAAGCAGTACCTCGTTTCCCAACCTGCTTCTTTGTTTCAAGAGCTTCGGAGGTAGACCGGGACCGCTGTCTGCACCATTGAAGTCAGCCTTTGAAGTACCTTTCGGGTACCGGCCGGGGCCTCTACCGGTTCCCCCACTCTTCCTCCTAGATGTACTGCTTCGGGGTCGTGCTGCTGAAGTACGTCTAGATGAACCACCAGAGGGTCGTGACCGGGGCTTTGGTCTCGAGGATGAGGAAAGTCCTGACCTACTTCGGGTAGGAGTAGGCCGCGATGCCGATGGCCGAGGGGTATTGCGGTTGCGCGCGCCAGGAATTGGTGGAAATACTTCAAATCGTGTTGGAGGAATGGCAGCAGACGCTTCGTAATAAGAGACCTTCTTGGGCATACCGTTAAGCTTGGGCCTTGATTGTGATCCTTCACCATTTGTATCTGTTGTGCCCGCTTTAATGGACTCGCCAGATTCCGTTGACAGTTTCCCAAGCGACTCAGTAACGGCATCAGTATCACCGTTGGCAAAGGTTTCGAAGTCTCGTTTGCTTGTACTCGATAATCTCGTCGCCGAAATTTCATCATCGTCGTCGTCTTCGTCACGAGGAGCAACCGTGTTCAGAGGTGGTGCATGATCAAAAGCAGATGCATTCCCCCGCCCCATAATGTATGGTGTCCATACAAGTCCCATTGGATTGAGCTTGGCATAGCCTTTGGCCTCGTGCTGTCGGATCACCTCGCGATAGTAATCCGTCTTGAGCTTTAGGGCATACGTCCCAGTAATAGGATCTCGAATCAATGCACCCATCGCATCCAGTGCTGAGATTACATCGTCTGGGGTCAAGCCCAGTTCATCGGATATTGTCCTAATGCTAGGTATCTTGTCGCGTGGTTTGTAGTCCTTGAAGTAGTAGCAGAGCACCAGTCGCCAGTAGTTTCGGTATGACACCAGGCCCATGTCAGACAGAGGTTTCTCTGGTGACCCTGTTTTCTTTTCCACTCTTGTCAAAAGGTAGGAGAAATCCATTAGCAGATGTCCGTAGCCTTTTCGTTGGTGAATAGGAAGGACCAGAATGCAAGAAACATTATTCAAGCTGCTGGGTCTCTTTTCTTTAGAGAAGTAGCCAACGAAATGGCAGCCTAGTTCGTCATATTCTGTCATGACATAAAAGAGGAATGGCTCGACGTCGTAGTAGAGCGTTTTCGATCCCAGAAATAGTTTCGCAAGCAGGCAGAGATTTTGGCAGTAAAGGGGGTTTTTCCGACCATCCACCTCGAAAATCATGACCTTACCATCTCTGTATATTTCGTCGCCGGGCGGATGCTTCCAAGGGCATTTTGTCTTGTGTCTCCAAGCAACAATGTCCGATTCCATATACTTCAGACAGAACTCGCAGATGAACAAGGCTTTGTTTCTGCTGTACTCCTCCGGGTATGGAGCGGCGTACCAAATATCGATCTGGTACTCGCCAAATTCGATATATTCAATCTGGCTTGCAGGCCCTGACACCTTGCGTGCCTTCTTGATGCCGGATTTTGCAGCTGCCTCGGCCGCCGCTTGTACACGATCTTTCCAGTCCTCTTCAGCCTTTTGGCGAGCCTCATCGAATTGTCGGCGGTGCTCAGGTTTCGGTAGTGTCATTGAGGTATCTGCTTCTTGTTCCTTGAGGATACCACCGTATGGCTTGGACTTGAGCTCGTCCATCTCTTTGTCGTGGAGGGAGTAAAATGGCTGAGAGTAACTTGAAGGAACAAATTGAGACACTGCAGCTACAGATCGAGATGTCGAGCCACCACTCTTTTTCTTCTTCGGCTTTGGAGGTTGCGACGTGATGTGTTCTAGTTCAATAGGATCAACTCTAAACATCACCTTGATGCTCTTGGGCAATCTTTCGAGAATGGTAACAGGCGCCTTCGACGACTTTGGCCTTAGGGACCTTGAGGCTCGTGGGCTAATTGGGATCTCGACTTTCCTGTTGGAGCCATTGGTCAGGATAGTGGATTTATCAACAGCAGAATCAACATCCATGCCGCCGTTAGCCAATGTTAACTGCGCATCTGCTGCTAGCGCTTTGGGTTGACTAGAGCTGGCATCTTTGTCACGGGTTCGCCTTCTAGGGGTGTCTTCAACTGGATCAGCATCAGAGGAAGTTTTCCTCTTGCGCAACAGGCGTGATCCGTCCATTGGATCATCCGGCGCAATGAGCTGATTGAAAACAGAATGCGAGTCAGGTTTAATGGCTCGTTGAGATGGAAGAAGGTCCCCTGCGATCCTGTCTCTCGATATCCGTCTGGCGGCGGGATCAAGTGACTCAGGCTCTTCTGGTACAGTGCTCGGGACAAGATTGTTTGTCACGCAATCAGGACAGTACCAGGCGCCTAGTGCAAAGTCAGAGATCTAAATTTCCTCGTCACGCTGTGCCAATGTTGACTTACCATCGTCTGACTTGAGTGCCCCGGCGGTACGGGCGCATTGCCGATGTGCTACAGCCTTGTCAGCCTTGTCCCAAATAACATTTCATCAAAACAAACCATTGTCACCACAGACACCGCAAGCTAGGTATAACTCGAACTCTTCGCTTGGGTCATTCTCCTCGTCTTGCTGACAGAATCTATAAAATTCTTAGACAAATGTTCCGTGTCCGCATTTGACAGGGTTTCTTACATGCAGCGATTCGGGTTCGCTATTTCGTCCTCTCCTTCATCTTCTTCGGCAGCAGGCTCCCATCGTTCCTCGACTTCAGCATCTGACGAATCTTTCGATTCGTCGTCGTCCTCCCCGCTTGCACCGCTTGCAACGCTCACATCATCTTCATCATCGGATCCCGAGACTACATCTTCATCCTCTTCCAAGTGTCTCGGTTGTATCTTGACCGCACCAACTCCCTCGGCATCTTCATCTTCTTCGTCGTCCTCGTCCTCGTCACTTTCTTCCTCGTCCAGTATAGCTGATTCTGCCACTTCGTCATCCTCTTCGCCCTCGGCATCCTCATCAGAGAGCTCGTCGGTCGCAGTCGCCTCCTCCTCCTCTGGTTCTGTTCCCTCTATTTGTTCCAGCATTCCATTATGCAGCTGACTATTGGCTGCAAATGCATCTGCATCTGCCATAGTACCTGCAGCAAGCTCATCATCTTCCTCGAACTCAGCATCCTCTTCTGACGTCGCCATGCTATGCTGGAGCTCCTCCTCCATGAGGACCGCTGCCGCCATCTTTTATCGGTCTCTCAGCATTCGTCCAGGTAGTTATCTTAGATTTTGTGAAGAGTCGTGGTCTAAACACGAGGCAAGAACCGTGGCAAGGGGTCCTCTGGGATGCGCCTACGAAGGCTGAGGTTTAATACGCCCTTCAGGTATGTGTGACCGGTACTGAGTGGTATCCTTGGGGGACAAAGTATCGAATCCACCAGCAACTATAGGCCGCCTGGCCGGATCTTGATTGTGGGGGAGGTTTTGGTGGTGGTGGAGAGGTATGTGCCTGTGGGGAACCTGTAGAAAGACGCGATTTGTAACTACAACGGTGGTAAATCAATTAATGACACGATAAATTAGGATGCCTGAGGTCTTCCGACGCGTAGATTACGTTTGATTTGAGTCGAAATCTGTTCGTGGGATTGTGCTATGGTTAGATTCTTCAGCGCATTCATGGTAGTCACTTTGCTGCTGTCGTCTCGAGTTGCATTACTAAGCAGGCTGGGAAGGGGAGCCTTTCAGGACGACGTCAATTCATCGTTGAAGTAAATCAATCGGCCACCCACGACGCAAGCAATTGGGTATACCTGCTCCACAGCATCAAAGCCAACAGTCATATGCTAATTGTTGCATCAGGATTAAACTACGAACTGCCACCATGGGCGTACCCTTCGAAGCTCTCCTCCCCTACGGAATCATGCTTGCCGTGCGTACTCCATTCCCGCCCTTTCTGCGCATTCAAGGAGTGTATACTGAGTGATGCAGATGTTCGGTGTTACTGGAGCAGGATTGTCGAAGATCAGACATATGCAGAACGGTGGAAAAAGAGGAAGACATTCGGTGGATCAATGGGACAGAGTGAGTTACCCTTCGACCTCTCCACCACGGCGTGTGCTAATTAATCTATAGCAAAGTAGACTTCTCCAGCTATACCAACTCGCGAGCGGTAGCACTAACCAAATACAGTGATGGATCGCGATCGCAGATTGACTGGATTCTTGAGAGGACAAACAGACAGCCCAGCGGCGCCTGCAGGTTTCGAGTTGAACAACCCATGGAGAGTGTGTATTATCAAACCCTTCATCACAAAAATCGTAGTGCTAAGTGGATCTACAGCTCGAAAGACGGATCATGTAGAGTGGGCTGGAAACATAGCATTGTACATACATACTTCGGAACGAAAGAAACATGATCACAAAGCTTCACATGACTCAGGCTTTTCTGTGAAATACATATTGTTTTCTGGATAGTCGCCAACCTGTCGACCTTTTGGGACTCGGAAACAAGTCGCAGGGCTCTCTTGCGAAGCACCAGAAACTTATACCTCCACCCATTATCTAGTGCAGTGTCGGCCTTGCATCCTGAGGCAATGATCTGCTCGATGTCATTCAGCTGGAGAGGAACATTGAGAGTGCCATCTTTCTGATCTGGCGAATCTTTCTCAATGAGTATCGAGCGTGTCTGTGAGATATCGAAATATCTCCAAATATTGAGTCATTTCTGATGCAATAACAGCAGAATCTTCCTTGCGGTGGCTGACAGAGTTGCTTGTCGGCATGAACTGTCAGAGAGCTTGTGAAGCCCCCAACCATAATCGATATCCCCAGTACCTGGCTTACGATCATATGGTCATCTTGGGTGCCTCGAGTTTCTCATGCCCACAAGTTACCAAAAGCAGAATTTTGCCAATGCAGCATCTATGTTTTTGAGCTGATTCTTGCTCCTGCATTTTGAGCTATGACCATTGTATGGCAAGACCAAGCTGATTCAGAATAGTAAGACTTACGTTTCGATCTCTGTTCGGCTTCACTCTCAACTCTGTCACCAGCCCCCTGAAGCCCATCTTCTCTTCCCTGAAGCCCATCTTCTCTTCCCTGAAGCCCATCTTCTCTTCAACTCCTGGCACAATCCCAAACCCTCTCTCCAGCAGGGTCCCACCTTTCAACCTCACTCTGCACCCCCTATACCAACAATTCCTTTACCCAAATCGTTCTCTTCAGCTTCCCGTTTGTCAAATTCAGAAACCTTACCAGCTTTCCATACACTAATACATTCCTTCCACAGAATAATATATAGTTGAAGAAGCTCCCCCTCACGTCCTTCGTGGTCTTGATGTTCATGACTGTGATGTCTTGCGGCTGAACTTCCGTTTCGCTAAAACATTAGGTGTTGTCCCACATGGTGTTGCCTGCCAGTCTATATTTCAGACCCAACATGTGGAAGATGGGGATGTGAATTCAGGGATGGAGGTGCAAATCAAACGGATGCGGCCATTTGTTGAATTCCGCGGGAGGGCGTTGCCATCGTGCAGCTCTATTGGAGCTGTTGGATTTGCCTCCATCAGTCATTGGACATGTTCTCTCTCGAGCTACAGCACGAGATACGCAGCATATGCGTCGATACAGGAAGCGGAACTGGAAACATACCAATTCCACCAAGTCCAACATCAACAAGATACCTCCTTCCGTCAAAGCAAGCAAGATTCCAACCAGAGAACATCCCGTCGGAGCCTCCAAGCACTGACAACGCAACTCTAGCGCCTGAACTCCCGATAGTGAACCGAAAAATCCTCCTCGTAGTGATAAAGAGCGTATCATTGACCGTGCATCCTCGTCCGTCACTTGCTTGACGTCCTTCCCACTTCTTGATCCTCTCAACGTTACAATCCTTCTGTTTGTGAATGAGGGCTTGGTATTCATGATATTTGTTCTCCGAAATCAAGATTGGCCTCACCCTCATGAGCAATTCCCCTACTCTGGGCTAGATACTCGAACAAGCCTTTCGGATCCAATGTTCCTACATGACGACGACTGTAGTGCAAGTAGAAATGTGAGATCGTAATATTGGCTTGTTGATATTTCTCACGTTCTTGCATGTTTGCAGTGCTGAGAAGTAGGTCACCCAGCCTGTTGAGGATAAATCCTTGGGGTACATGCTGCAGGAGGATATGTCTTTGTGCTGTCCGCAAGGAGATGTGAGACAGGTATGATTTTAGGGCGGGAAGGGAGTGTTTTGGTCGGTAGGAGAGCGGCATTTTTGATTCGTCTTGCTCATGCCCACGTTTGATATCTAAGGTATGTATGTAGTAAAGCGAGAAGTTCGCCAAATCCGACAACGACCACATGTACGAACATAGCACATAATTGGCAACATCAGTCAGCATGATACTTATCACGATATCTCATCGTACGTCTCACAGACTAACGCAACACATACTCTTACAAGTCAGCACAGCGTATTCTCACAAGGTATCTACTTTCTAAAATGAGAAAACTTGCCACATTTACGTAGGAATAACCAGAATCCTGGTTTTCGAACTGTCTTGTATCATTCAGCACTACACTGTGCATCTATTCCTGCAATTAAAAAAATGAATATTGGGAACCCAAGTAGGCGTCAGCTAGCTGCGTTGCTGAATTTAGTGCAGGGGTCAGTTCATGAACAGCTAGCTAATCGGCCTTTAGAAAAAGAATTGTTGGAACAACTGTACAACTCACTCGATTGGTCTACTACTCGGTCTCCTACTCAAATACAGAGACTAATTACTCATGGTCTCACTAATCCCCCGGTCCTGAGGGTTATTTTGAATACGTTCTGTATGCAAGATACGGCGGGATAAGCACTTCGCTGTCAGCTTGGCGATGATACCCAGACACCTCCTCCAGGTAAATTACTGCGTGATCTTTCATGAATAGCATGTCGATTTAACCACCACCAATCATCTCACAAATATGTGCGGGGATTTCGCTGCCTCTATGTGCTCCCTACGTACATTCTATCCAATCAAAAAATCCCAATAAATCACATTTAGAAATCCCAGAAAAAGATCCGCTCGCGAACGGTACGGTACCTTGTCGAGCTTGTACAGCTGCACTCAGCCATTGCCAACAAAACAATCAAATATCTGCAGGCCTGCCTGCCTCCTGCGTATCCACCTGCTCGGAAACAAAATATATTAATCTTTCCCCGCCATCAGATCTGTCAGAACTGATAAATCAAAGGCCATTGTAGCTCTCCTATTGATATTCCCACCAAAATCCCAGAATGGGAAGCCCGCTGAATACCTACGCCACTCAATAGCTAATAGGTAGATTAATCCAAACCACCGCCACCGGAACTCCCTCATTGCCCATCGCTAAAAATCGCCTGTCTCGCCACTGAGACTGACAATCTTCTCAGCCATTTGATCGTCGCTTCGTCATATTGCAGATCATGTACGGACAGTAAATCTACTCTGCGTAGCTCTGTCCCGTCTCCGCCCCCAGAATCTCGGTTAAGGGTTAAAATTAGGTCCTGTTTTGTTGACCCCTGAATAGGGGCTGGTTACTGCACCAAGGTACTTGGTGAGGCGAGGCGAGGCGAGGCTAGGCTGCCGGCAATGTTTTTGGACGACTCGAACAAGAAGAGGTGAGATGAGACGAACTGCTGGGTACCTGAGAATGTATTTCTGGCGTAGTGACATACTCTCATACGATCTGCACTATGCATTGTTGTATTTTGGGAGCATGTACATTGGTCTTGGCTGCATAATGGATACCCTGTGGAAGGATTTGATGATGTTTCTTACAGAGGAGCCTCCAAATAGTCTAATGATACTGGAATCGGATGAGCTGTCTAACAATACTTTCTTGCCATCGCCCTTGTCCGGAGAATTAATATATGATTTCCCAACTACCACACCACGCCACGCCCGACCGACCGCCGATGCACCTGCCAAAGACACAAATTCCCTTTAGAATACAATGCCAAACAGTCCCCCTGGGGTATACCGAACCGAACACGTGAACAAAGTCCCTTTTCCTTTCTAAAAATATTGCTGGATGAACAAAGGGAAGCTTAAAAGGATGAACGTAGTGGTGTATGAATGCCTGTCCCAACGCCCACGCTGTGCTGTGCCATATCACCGAGCAGACCAACATGCTTCACACAAAAAGGCCCAAAAACCAAACGCTATCCAAGCCATGCGTCCCGAGTATCTCGCCTGTGATTGTATAATACTCCCATAAAGACATATGAAAAAAATAGAGAAATTTTGTGGTGTCAATCCCACTCGTAAACACTTTCCCACGAAGTGAAACACTTTTCAACACAAAAAACAAACGCCGTTTGAACTATGTATCTTGATCTTCCAATTCTATGCACATTCCATGCTTGTACAATTGACCGTATTTATCGTTACTCTATTCTGAATAGGAAATCTGCAGGCTGAAAGCCGGCGTATTAGCCTTGGGAATAGAGACCGCTTCCGATGTTATTGCCTGCCGACATGTTCGGGTTCGACCCAGGTGATGAAAATGCCTGATAGGGTTCTCTTCTACCAATGTTGGCCGGTGCTGAGAAGCTCGGGTAGACGGGATTGCTACCCATCCTTGAAATTGGAGGAGGCATTCCATAATTCGTTGCAGCATATCCAGGAGACATTGGACCAAGAGATATCTGCTGGATACTATCAGCCCGCGGAGCTAATGACAGGGGCTGTGGAATCCCAAACGGTAGCTGCGTATTGTAGCGTACCGCCTGTGATTGAGTCGGAAAGTGGCCATCTAGTGGAGAACGAGTAAGACTGGAGTCGAACGGAGACGGTGTCCCAGTACTTCCTGTCTGCGGTCCAACTCGGTCGGTAAAGTAACTTGGACGAGAAGAGGTCGCAGACTGGGGAGACTGGGTGTAGTTATAGGTACCGTATGCTGGAGGCTGAGCTGCTGCATATTGATTGAAACCCGCCTGCTGGCTGTCTGCAAATGGTCTCGAAACAAGAGTGGTGTCCAATGTGCTTGGATGAACCTGTACGCCAAAGGCTGACGATGATTGGCTTTGATCGGAACCTGTTCGAGGACGTTTTGAAATCTGATAGTCATCATAGGAGTGACTACTTGCATCTGTGAACGATGTAGTAGAGTGCTGCGAGTAGTGTCGTGAAGGAGGGTTCGGTCGATGGCTCCAAGAGGTCTGTGCTTCTGTATAATCACCTTGATCGTTGTGATCTCGTCTGGCTGGCTCTTGAGATTCGGAAGGAGCTTGACTCTGACGATCTCCTCCTGTACTTTGCTGGCGATTCCCCTGTCTGTAATGACGTGGTTCGTAGTCGTCATGGGCTGGTCCCCGTTTCCGGAGTAAAGTTCGAGGTTCCTTTCGCAATCTCAATCGCACACCTTGATCGCTAAAAGACCGAGTGAGAAACGTCGACTCTGACATTCCCGGGAAGTTCTTCGTCGAATGGACTGGGAAGGACTGGGACGTGACTGATTTTATATAGGAGCATGCATCCCCGCGCATCTCATAGAGAGTGAACTGGAGTCGGAATCTTCCCTCATGCTTGACAGAAAGATCCCCGAAAACGAAGAAAGCTCCATCGTAGTTATCTGTGTCTTTGAGTCGATGGAGAGACGATACTAGGGTTCCTGCCAGTGTCGAACCAAGAGATCCCGCTGCGGTCGGAAGCTGCGCATGGTCGGATTCGGGTAGGAGGCTACATGACATGAAGAAGTAGGGACCTGTGAGGAAGAGAAGTCAGCCTTAAAACCTCCTGATCCAAGAAGAATGGCACACTTTGTAAAAAGTTTTGGGCTGCATCTACTTGTGGCGATATCTTTAGCTGTATAATCGGCGGGGGGTCGACTGGTTTCCGGTCTGAACTGTGTTAGATGCTTCTACCTTGATGGGAATGCTAGATTACATACCCTTCTCTTTACCAATTGCGACCCTCGCATTCTCAGGACCTTGCCGTACAATGAGTTCGCAGTGGTGGCTATCATTCTTCATTAGCAGCGGAGACAATTTTGGATCTGGTTGCGCAGTGTACCTCGATAGTCCTTGGATCTGAGAGGTCATTGCCTCAGCAAACTGGTGGCTAGATTGAACTGTCGACATTGCAGCTCTGTTCTTGTTCAAGCTCAATGTCTAGTTGACCAAGCTGGCAGAGTCCTGGATATCGAGAAGTGAACGTTCAATCGTGTGTGCTAAGTGTGATCGCCTTGACAGATCTCTGTGAAAGTTGGTTGAGTATGTGGATGAGTGTTATGATGTATGCTACCATAAGAGATATGGAAAGGTTCTGGACAGCTTCTTGTATGTAAAGATTCTGTGGATTTGTGCGCATGGAGACTGGATGTTGGGAAAGGCGAATTACTGCATAATCCACAAGATGTCATAAGAATATTTAGCGGGGTCCTACTTCTCACCCCAGACCAGCGTTTGACTTTCCAGAGCCAAACCCGGTTCGGGGTCGCGCCTTGACTTTCTCACCGTTTGAAGGTGAAAGTGGCGCGAAGTAGAAGAACGGCGAAGCTTAGGTAGGGATTAGCTTTGTGTTAGGAAGGCGCTGAGGACTTAGGGTTCTGAAGATACCTTTGAATTCGGCTAGTCGAGGCTCTTTCTCGGTACGCTCCGAGAAAGCGTCTGTGCCGGTCCTTGATAGAGCAAGAGCAAGAGCAATAGCAATATGGAACCACGGTTAGGTCGAGACAAGTGTGCCCAGGATGATGCAAGAGCGACAAGGCTGACAGCGGTAGGAGTCAGCAGGAGTGAAGGGAAGGGTTGCTCTGATTTCGACACAATGTACAAGAGGAAAGTCGTCTCGGATTCGGGCAGAGCCGTAAGAATGAAGTGAGCGGCCACTAAAGGCGGTTTGGCGTGGAAGAATAGAGATTGAGGAGGGGTTATGTGGAGAGATTTGGAAGGGATTGCAGGTGGTGTGTGGTTTGGAGTTCAGGTGGAGGTAGGCCAGGTAGTGGGACCTGGAGGTGAGGTGGTGTGGTACGGGGGTTAGAGAGATCCTATGAGGGCTAGACTGGAGGATGCAGAGGAGTAAGCGAGGTCCAGTCGAGGTCCAGTCGAGGTCCAGTCGAGGTCCAGGTCCAGGTTGAGGTCGATTGTCCTGTAGGTACAGGACTGTACCGTACGGATCGTGGCCGTGAGGACGTGCTTTGCAGCGCAGCGCAGCGCAGTGCAGTGATGCAGGAAATTCAAGTGTTCTGGACGATTTGACTGGTTGTATGGCTGGCCCGTGGGTGCAGGTAGACGAGAGACAATTGACAACAGCCTTTGGACGAGACGAGACGAGACGAGCCGAGACGACTGCACTGCAATACGACCAGGTAGTGGTGGTGGTAGTGTAGCGGTAGTGGCAGAAGGAGCGCAGTACAGCGCAACGCAACAGAGTAAGTAGATTGTGTCAGAAGGGACAACGGTGTGCTGAGTGGAGGGCAAACTGCTTATTCTCGGCGCGGGTTCTGAAGGAGAAATGATGGTAGGCAGTAGGTAGGCAAGAGGAGTGTGGGATACCTAGGTAGTGTGCGGGTTGCAGCCAGTACAGGACATGCGAAGCGCAGAGCCAGGGAGCCAGATTCCAGCGAAGCTTCGAACACACGACAGGTAAAATATCTCCTAAATTGCAGTGTCGAGTAGTCCGGGCAAAGTGCTGTGTATATTGAGCTGTGTACTTGCTGATTGGGCCGGAAGTAGGGAGGCAGGGGAGACTATGACGAAGATGGAACACTTTCGTCGTCCTGGAGGTTACAATGGGGAGGTAGCAGTTGTTCCAGAAAAGACTTCTGTAGGAGTAGCGTTCCGGAAATAGTACGAACACCAGCACGTCGTAGATCTTCGTTCCAGAATTAGAATTCAACTTGGGAATACCAGCAATTGCAGAGGCCCAGATGCAGTCAGTAACTTAATCGTACAGTAACAGGAGACGAAGGTCGATAAGCAAGTAAGCAGCTGAACTAGAGCAGTGTTGCAGTCAACGTGGAGAAGAGGAGATCGGAGCAGATCAGGCGAGATAGACTGGCCATCCAGAGGGGGTCCTTGTTTCTTTAAGGTTGTGACGATTTGGTTGCTGCTGTGATTGGATCTCCAGGTTCACGGGACTCGATGTGACAGGATCTGGAGCTTGGGAGTTTGGGTTCAGATGTGTGCAAGCCAGGAAGAACAGGCTGTCGAAGGTAGGTTGAGCCTTTTGAGACGAGGCGAGGCGAGGCAAGGCGAGGAAGTGAAGCGGGCGTAGGCGTAGGCGTAGGTACAGTAAGTAGATGGTATTTTCTCTGTACCTTAAGGTATCCAGGATTCCAGGGTCCTGCAGTGCCGGGGAGCCGTGACCTCTGGTCGTTTGCCGCAAACAGATGGTGGAGATGAGAAGGCACGATCCGCCGTTGGATCTGCTATGATGGGGGAGGGGAGGGGAGAGGAGGGGAGGGGAGGGAATGGGTTGGGCCGACAGGGAGGCAGGTTGGCAGGTTGGCATCAAAGTGAAGAGATTGACTGGAGCTGAGACTGAGACTGAGACTGAGACTGAGACTGAGACTGAGACTGAGGTGCTCGGGGACGGCTTTGGCTGCGTTGGCTGGCGGTCGAGGGCAAGGGAGAAAGTGGGTATCGAGCGAGTGAGTTGAAAAGTACAATGGGCTCGGCGCCAGAATACAAAGCAAGCAACGCAAAGCGAAGCAAAGAAGGCGATTACACGCAGTTAGGCAAGCAAGCAAGTTGGTGCCCTGTCCTGGTACTTTCCTTCGTTCTGATATGCCCTGGTATATCCTGGTCGGTCTTCTCCCCGGTCTGTCTGGCAGTACAGTACTGTACCTCTCTGCACCAAAGCAAAGCAAAGCAAAGCGAAGCAGCACGCACCTGCAGACGCACAACGCTCTGACCGAACCGTCTTTGACAGCGGCGCCTTTTCAACCCTTGACAGGGAACCGGCAAGTCAGTCCAGTCAAAACCAGGCAGGGCAGCGTAAGGCAAGGTGCTCAGATCAACGAACCAAACGCGGCAACCCTTCGAAAAGTGCCGGACGCGAGCTCCTCCTTCATGAATGGTCTGTTATGGACAAGGAAGACGTAGTAAGCCCGACGATACGACTTGACAGCAGAGCCAGCAGGGCAACATAAAACTTATGGGGCAGGTACTAGGGGGCCCAGGGCCCTTTTAAAGCTATAGCTGCGGCGCCACCCAGCTGATCTGGGGAGGAACTCGGAGAGAAGCTGGAGCTGGACATGTCGAGCAAGCAGCATCAGATCAAGTTCGGGAGCATAAGAAAGCAAGCGTCGTGTTGCGAACTAGTCAGCTAGGGAGCCGGGCTTTGACATGGGAATATGAAGGATGGTGGGATGGATGGACGGGAGGATGGAGGTTCGTCAGGAACCATGGCCATGGCCGCATATCAAAAAGCAGGGCCGTCCATATGGCACACATGGCAAAGCATGGCATTGTGTCTCTTTGCAGTATTCTCTCTGTCTATCTCTGGCTCCTTGGGATTGTTGCACCACATTGCAGCCAGACGCCAGAGCAGGCTGCACCGCGAGAAAGGACGGCGCCAGATGTGGCGACGAGGAGAACAAGACAGGGCAGGGCATAGGGTGTGATTGATGGAGCGCAGGTGCGTGATGAACTGAGGGTTAGAGGGATGCTGGGAGGTCATGGGTGGTGAGAAACGAGGGTAGCTGGTCTCGCTGGATGGTGGACTGTGCTTGTGGTGTGGAGTTTGCAGACAGAGTTGCATTGAGAGATCTGGAGACGAGGCAGCAAGCCGTCCCTCCTTTCCGCTTTGGTGCATATATCGAGATTTCTTGAGGTTCTGTTAGGTCAGGTTAGGATAGGTGTGTATGTAGGTCGTCTGGCGGCGTTGAAAAGAACTAGAAGGGAGACCAGGGTCCACGACAGGGTTTTGTCTCGATCTCCGAGTCTGCTTGGACGGGATCGTCTGAGCGCTACGGTTCGTGTCATAGATAGACATCCAGGGATCGTGGATATGGGTGTGGGTCTGGTATGGGTAGGATGGGAATTTCAAGGGCATGGGCATGGGCTCCCCCTCGTCCCAGCTGCTGTATGGTCAACATGGGACTGCGGATGACAGAGCGACGAGGAAGCCGTGCTGTACCGCCCTGCCCTAGCGCTGATATCTTGTCTGGCCCTGTCGAGCTTCTGGCCGGCATTGGCAGTGCCAGACGCCTCCTGGAGATCTCAACAGAGAAGCGAAGCAGGCCAGGCCAGGCCAAGTGCGGGAAGGCGCCTGAAGGAGAATTAAAAATTCTTTGCATTTGTCGGGTAGATTTTGTCTCACTGGGTGGAGCGAGGGGGGATGGATGGGGGCTTCTACAACTGCTCATCTGAGGCTGGTCTCAGGAGGCAGGGCGGCGGCCTGGACAATTCTCCATAACTCGCAGTAGGTAGGTAGGTAGGTATTCAGTGATGTTGGTGAGCATGAGCGAAAAGAGGGTTACACACGAGCGAACAAAATTTGCATCTTCAGTGCTGGACGTGGGCGACACAGTCGCGGCAGGCCCCGTGCGTCATCGAGGTCATCCTTATCCATTCCTCGATTCTTCTGCATCTCATCTCATCTCAACTCCATCTGGACCGAACCGAGTACTCCTGGGACGCTACGCTTCCTTACCTGTCCCAAGCATTGCGCACGATTTCCGAGCCCCTTTTCCTCCCTTCTCCCATTCCCATGCTGCCCCGCCCGTCTTTAAAAGCGGAGCGGCTTGCTCTATACTGGTATATGTATAATTGCTAGCTCTCGGTGCTCTTGCTCTTGCTCTTGCTCTCATCTCAACTCGTTTGCAGCATCCGGCAAGCCCGCACTGCAAGGGGTAGGCGAGCTCATCGTGATCGTGATGTTGAGCCCTGGTCAGGAGTTACCCAGATAGAGCGTTGCTACATGCTTGGATCCGAATCACTTAACTAGGCAGGGCGATCATATGCGGCTGCTATCTTATCTTATATCAGTTAGCTACTATACTGTACTGTACTGTACTGTACTTACCTCCTACCTAGGCTAGGTACTTGTGGAATAGGCCCTTCCCGCTGATTGAGGCACCTCGCCTAAGCGAGACACAGCTTCACTCCACAACCTAGTAAATTATGTCTTTCAGCTAGCTGGCTAACTACCTACCTAAATTTACCTGCCTTGGAAGCTATTTGAAGGTCTGGAACATACGTAGGGTTTTCTTTCTTCGACGTTGCTAATCATGGCACCGACAAAGACCCCAGTCGATGGTGCACTGGCTGCTGGCCCCGAGCGCGGTTCAGGGCATCTCGCTAGACATGGCATGCCGCTCAAGTGGCTCGAGAGCTCGGTGGGATCCTAATCCTAATTCTAATTTACAGATCTTTGCAGCACTTCTTCGATTCAACTCAATAATGGCGATGTACTCGCCGCTTCTACTTCACAGTAGAACACGCCCCATTTTTCATGCGGAAAGCATTTGGCGGCAGCTTACTCGTAGTCGCTCGAGTGCCTACCTATTCTACTAGGTATTGACAGCGGCTCTCTCTTATGATCAGGGATTTTGGACCTGCATGCATGCATGCATACCTGTACTGCATGCTTGCTTGCTTAGCTGCAGCTAGATGCCAGCTCGTCGAGACTCGAGAGGGAGAGGAGCGCGCGAATCCAATCCACCTCGAGCTAGAATGGTTTGATTTTGATAGCTCTCCACTTATCTCTGTTTGTCTTCAATCCTTCACCGACTTGCCCTCGCCATCAAATGCAGCCAAAGCCGAGCAGCTCCCAAGCAAGTCAAGATACGCAGCCGTGCGCAGTCAGAAGTCTCGAGTCACCGTCATCATTCGTCGCGTCGAACATCAGCCGTGTCACTCCCTCAAGCCATTCATTCATGCACACGCGCTTCCATGAGTTTGCATGCAATGATGCAAGCGACTTCTGCTCCCTGGGACACGGGGTTCCTGCGAACCTGCTACGAACCTTCGATGACGGCAAAAGGGAAGGAAGACCAAGGCGACAAGGGAAACTACTGTAGGTAGGGGCTGGCCAGGGCAGGGCATGGCAGGGCAGGGCAGGGCAGGGCAGGGCAGGGTAGGGGGAGATGAGGAATTGCCTCTGAGCTTTGTCCACCAGTTCACTCGTGCGCCCCTCGAATGATCTGCTTGCACCGCATCACCACTCCAGTTTGGACAACATTCGTCCGAACTTTCAGTCGCTACACTTCCATTCGGGCAAGCCTCCGCTCCGGTTTTCTTATCCGGTTCATACCGAGATGAAGAGCCAGATCTCCGGCCGTAGTCCCAAAAGAGTAGCATAAGGTCATCACACAGCGGCTGCCGCTGTCAGTTGTCGCATAGTCGAAGACATGCTTTGCACGTCTCACGACACCCGACGTCGTCCCTTTGTTGAACGATCGTGGCAGAGCTGAGTGCCGGGCCAAAACTCGAGCAAGACTGGTCATCGCATCCTGCATACGCTTCAAAGCTGGCTTCCATGAGGGAAACACATGGCAACTGCACAAGTCAAAAAACGATACATTAGGCTCTCGTTGCGCTTGGAGAGCTGGGCTGGATAGAGGAGTCCAGATCACGCCGGGTTCTACAAAGCCTCCCAGACCGTACGATTTGGCTGAGATTGTGGGTACACCAAAAGAAATCCAGGCTGTGGCCGCCCGAGCACGAGATTTCCACGTGGAAGAGGTACCTTATTGCTTTTGTTCTGTTGGTAGCTAGCAGCGCACTTCTGCAAAGCTTCGTCCTGGTCTTATGGCCCCTTCGAGAACAATATCTAAGACAAGTGGCTTCTGCGCCTGCATTTCTTCTGGGTCACTTAGTACTGCCTGCTCAAGGGGTTTCGAGTCATTTTGATGACTTTTATCATATCGGTTCCGATATGATAGCACCATTCGGCTAAGAGGCGGGTTGGCATAATAGGTTGGCTATCGTATTATAATAGCGGTTTCACATTGCTGGAACGAGGCCGAGCCAACACAAATTTGTCGCACCTCTCTCTGCGTTTGCAGGCCTTGTCCATAACATGCGACTCAATATTAGTGAACAATAGCACACATTCCAGTCCGGGCCGACAAGACCAGGAAAATCGCAAACCGAGTACACAGGGCTTACATTATTTTATCAACTTCCTGAAGCAGGAAATGTAGGTCTTGTTTGCTTGTCAGCGCTCGGGTTTGCGGTTTACACCTTTTCTAGATGGTAATTTGCTTCACTCCAGACGGCTTGCGCTGACCTACGGCGATGCCTTGTGGTGCTCTTCAATCGATGCCAGCACTGACGACCCCGCTAGTCGCCCCTGTTCCTGCAAAATTCCTAAGCGAAGCGCCAAGAACAGCCAGAGGTGGAACTAATCTACTTGTCAACAAATGTATTTTCAATGCGTTTTCACTTACACACGGATACGCAACTTCAGTCATCTATGTGTATCACTGCTGCCGTTCCAGCACGCGAGATCTACGAGGACATCCGTTATGTCTGTTACTCCTCGGGCAATTGGTACCACAAGGTGTTACAAAGTGCAAACGATGATGCGTCTTTCCAACAGCCAGAGGTGCACAAAGTCTTAAAAAATTTCCGGTTCAGTAAACCTAAAGATCTATTTCTAATATCGTCTGTGGCAGCCGGCTCTTGATCCGAGCGATATGCACATGTCTCGCCTTTTTCACGATATCGATCATCTGTACCTTACAGCTCAGCTATAGATGTGCCTGGACAAGCCATCGGCGGAAATATAAACTAAAGCCTGCACACATGGCACCATTATTTTTTGCTTTAGGGGACTCTGGCGGACTTGGATTAAGCCATGCTGCGCCGCATGGGACGATAAATCTCTCCAGCTGAAGTTCTTCAGTCTTGCTGGCGGTAACTTGGCAAGCATAGACGGAAGTGGAGCAACCCGCTCAAGGTACCTAGGTACTTGGATACTTTGCAATGTATCTCATCCCCACTTCGGGACTCAGTGTCGATGGAGACCCACAGCTGAATATGCATGCACTCCAATCTCCAGTGCCGCCTTATCGCCCCCTCTCCCGAACGCCGAGCCTTTTCTATCCCGATTCCCGTATGCTGAAGGCGGTTGATTGTCGCCGGAATCTTCTTTAGGAATCGTGCAGGTGGCATGCAGTCCTTTCCTCAAAGCCTTTCACAATAATGAATTGACAAAGTGGACGTCTTGCAGATCGCTTGTCCTCTTTCGATCGTTTGAGGAGAGCCTCGTCTCAATCCGTACATCGTCCCGCTGAGGCCATCATGCGTCAAGAGTGACTGGTCTGCTTCGCGCGAGTAAGAGCGCAAGATTGATGCAGTAATATTATTTGACCATTTACGAACAGAGGTTCTGCGGGCAGTGTCTTCATATCAGAATCCTTCAATCTTATCAACGACTTTCGGCCCATGGCACGACACGGCAGGGACCGCAAACACTCAATTACCCGGATTTCGGCGAGTCGTGTCTGATATCAGATTCGTTGTGTCTTATGAGTCTCAGCAGGCGCGAGCTATGCATAGCCCACAAAGATCAATAATTGAGGGTTACAGCAAACGCGGTTGTCCCATGACGCTACCCGAGCAGCTCCAAGTGAATCGCCATCGCCATTGCCATTCGCCACAATCATCTTTTGAAGCCAACCAGGGTTCGGTCCAGGATACATGGGCCCTGGTCAGCGCTCAGAAACCCTTGGTGCCAAGTTCTAACGATGCTCCAAGCTCCAAGCTCCACTAATTACTAGTTGTGGACTGTAACTAACAGTATCAGTAAAGGAACATCAGCTTCCGAACCTATGAATAATCAGATAGACGTCTGGGGCATGTTCTGCGTACATGAACCCTGAAGCTGCCAATCTTAGGGATGATCACATGGCCAGTGTGCGATAACACGGCCGAACATGCTCTGATGGGAAATACGATGTGACTGCCAGTTCAAGGCGGCCGCTTCGGGTACCGGAGACACCCTTCTCGAACGTCTTTTAATCTCCGACTGTGGCGACGAGACGGGCATTGTGCCAGCGACCCCAGAAATCCACAACCTGCCTTGCTGAGACCTACCTCCGAACAACCTGGTGACATTCTCGGAACCGTCCAGCGGATCTTAAAGCCCTCAAGCAAGTTGACTTTGGGCGTTTCTCTCCTATATCGCATGAAGTTATGCACGTACTTTGCAAGAAAGAGCATAATATCGGTCCGCCAAAAAGGCTCCACAGGGTGCGTGCGGCTGTGCGGTGTGACTTTGGTTATCAGTGACAATATCGTTTGTCTCCTAACAAAACCATGGCTATCATGCAATCATTGTAAGAGCAAGGAATTAGATGAAAACCTTTCACATGCTCCCTAGCATTGACTTTTTTGGATTTTTCGCCATTGCTAATTCATGCTGGCGACTGTCATCACTTTGGCCGCCGACCCACGATGAGAAGAAATCGTACAGGGATTTAGATGAAAATTCTCGTCAGTGAGAGACAACTGTACTCTGGAACGACATCTGTGTGGTTCTCTTCTACCTTGAACCATGTCTGAAGACAAGAGGAAGAGCCGACGGGAGTTTACCATCTGTCATTGGCCTGGGGAGACATCAGATGATCTGGCCTCACAAGCGTGAACGATTGATGAACTTGACAAGTGTTGACTTTCACGACCCCAGAAGTTCCCCTATGGGCATTATCAATTGCATTTACGGGTTAAGATCTTCCATCTGGTTTTTCTTTTTTGTATTGCGTCAATCTTTGATATTGAATCTTGTTGATATTGCACAAGGCTTCACTTTGTACGCCCATTCTTGCATCTCAATTCAGTGCATACGAGGTCGTTACCTGTCCGCACCTGTTCATTGAGATCCTTGATTTCGGTGGCGGTACGAATCCATCTGGGGAGATCGCTCAAACCCAGCCGCTGATGGCAAGTCTCCCGTGGGCCACTTCTTGCCCACTCATCCAAACTTTCAACCAACGACTCAGAAGCAAGCCAAAACTCGGTTCAGACCAAGCACAGCCAGCGTGTCACCGTCGCTCCCATCGCTCTCAACAACGATCCAAACAAGTCCACCAGGATGCAAAGTCCCAGACGCAGCGAGTTGCTTGGGATTAAGACCAGGTTTCTCCAATCGTCGCTAATATCTTCCTGTATGGCTTCCAAAAGCTGACCAGATATAATATTAAAATCCTCCCTACCTATATGCCCACTGAGCATATCGAAACAAATGGTTTCATGTATCACCCAAATTGCCCTGAGTTCTCTACCAGGTTATCACCCATACCTGATGACATGCACTCCGAAGTCTTCCTGGGATACTCAAGTCTGTAACTCGAGCGCTTCTACTCCACCTCGAGGAATATGTTAAGCTCACTAAGCTATGCACATCTGCAATCCGAATCGAGCTAAGAACATCTGATGGGCAAGATGGATCTCCTTCAAAGCCGAAAGAACGGCCCATTGTCCGCGAATTTGTAAAGATGGTCGGCGAGCTCGCCCCCTCGCTGTCTCCCCACTCGTCATCCCAGGATGATGTGCGTCTTAATCCCGCTCTTGTTACTCTCTCATGAGCTGTACAAACCAGCTCAACTTTAATGAGAGTGGAACGTCCTCGCCGCCGGCCATGGTTGCAATGATTCCCCGAACTGACTGGCTCGTACCCCTCCAAGCAGAGGAAATCAGAAATTTCGACGACCAGTCATCTGTCAGCTCATCACTTCCCTTCAACCTATAGACAGCTTCAGATAAGACTCACTGCCGTGATCCTAGTGAGCAGAAAGACGGAACAGGTGATTTCTCCACAAGGCATCCATACTTTCCCCCTTCTGCAGCGGAAGTCCCGAATGGTAAGCCCGGAACAACAATTTGTGGACTCTGGCATTGGTCTTCGAGTCACACAGCCTGGGCCAAGAAGCAAGGGCAGAGGAAACCGTTGATACCGTGCCGCCTTTGTTTTCGGACCGTCTGTATCGTAATCAAATCTGGTGTTCGAAAGGACTGGTAAGTTTTTGAAAACCTGGAGAAGATGCTCGACATAGCTTGCTTGAAATCTCTTAGGGCTCTCCGCTGTTGGGTGAGCTATGCCATGAAGTAAGGATGCCATGGTTTGAGTTTCCGTCAACTTTGGTAACGGTCTGGGATGAACGATACTAATTTCGTCCACAAGCCTCGCCTTTCCCATCGCTTCTCCAGTCTCTACTCCCCTCCCATACTCTCAAATAACGGAGATCGAAACTTCCCATCCTCTGATCTGGTCCTTAAACATTGTTTTGACAACCTGGCGAGACACGTTCCGAGGTCTCTTACCTGCCCAAGGTCGAATTTCGCCCCTTCGAATCCCAGACAGTCCCCTCAGAATGCCTAGAAGCGGCACGGTAGCTTCCAAGTGCCAACGAGTGAAGTCTCACTATAGAGTAGAGTGTGAAATACCATTATACCCTCTGACTGACCGCAGAACACACTTTTCCCCTCTCCTCCGCAAGCCAATTGCAAGACACGACAACAACGAGCCTCCACCTGCCACGAAAATGCACCTCCATCTAACAAGCCTCGAAGAACCATCGCGGAGGAATCCACGTCTAGGCCACAAGCCTTGAAGCGAAAAGTTTCCATTTCGAGCAGCATACAGCACATCGAAGACAACGCGTCGGAGCCTTGGAAACCTTCCGCTTTCCGCAGCAACATCGATCGACAACAAAATATGAAGATATAATTTAGGTTAATATAATGGATAAGATTACGAATACACTATTTTCAAATACGTGGGAAGGGAACGCTCTTTTAAGTAGCTGTCTAGTCAGCCACAACGCAGTGCGAAACCTTGGAGACAGATGGAGGGGGAAGTGAAACACTTCCGCGCCCTAAAAGGCAGCTCGACCTGTTGCGGTGACTGTGCGCGGGCGATTTGACTACATTTGGTCTGCTGTGTAATACAATCCACACTGTTTGAGTGAGGTGGTGGGTTTGATGGGCGAACTTTGACACTGGCTACCTCGTCTGTGCGAGGGAGCATTGACAGAAAGCCTGGTAGAGGTAGAGAGTATGAGCTGAGAAGAGTAAGATGAAATACAAATGGATCAAATACATCACACATCTTCTGAGAAACTGCATTGAAGGGGTAAAAGTATAAGCTTTGCGTTCTCTTCAAGTGAAGAACTGTCATCCACCGCGCGCTAGTTCATGCAATAGCTTTACATGAGAGCACGCTCCACTGAAACATCTATCGGATTAGCATTCAAGAAGTGGCTTCCCAAGGCTCTCAATACCTCCTTCAATCCCGCAATCGTCACGATTGCCTCTCCATCCGCACATTGTCCGAAATCCTGTATAACTGCAGTTTTCGTCACTACATTCCAAGTGGGCCAATTTTGCCAGACAACAGGTAACTGCAAATGGAGCATCTATTGAACGTATACTGAAAGGAAGCTGGAGCATGAATTCAGCTACAATATCTCTCAGCGTCCTTCCCCTCCAGCTGTCACCTGGGGAAGTCAGCTGGCAAACCTGAGGACATGGCTCCATTACCAGCATTCTACGAGTCTACTTTCCGTGTCCTCATCTCAATTTATTACGAAGCCAAATGCTGACAAGCTTGTCTAGATGGTTCTTCATTCCAGCTGTCCACTCATATGCAAACTTTAGCTGCCTGGTTGAAACAAGCAGAGGTCCACATGCTCTCAATGGTCTTCAGCTTTTCAAAGCATGTTCATGGCTACGAAGGGCTCATGGTGCGGTGCGGTAGGACTTCAAAGCCTCTGAGATTATGAGGCCCTGGCCCCTGTACCGATGAGTGGTGTGGATGGACAGAGATGAGATTCAGAAATCATGTGCAGGGAGATACTTGGATCCGGAAGGGGAGGGGGGTAGAATATACTTCCCCAGATCCCGAATTTGGCAAGTGCTCAATTCTTCCTTCGTCTCTCTACCCTGGGGCTCGCCGTGCTGCGATACATTTTCCACGCCAACAGCCCGATGCCCGATGTCAGATGCCCGATTTCTGGATCTTGAAAGCGACTTCCTTCTTCAGGTCGAACCTGAAGACGGTGCTCCAACAAATTTGTCGCAGCTCGATGTTCGAAGCTCGATGCTCGATGCCCGAGTCTCCTTGCCAAGACGTAACTTCCTCTCCCCGAAAACTTCGGTCCGTTTCACACGTTCACAATCTCGTGCCGCGCGCCTCGTCCCGCAGAAGGAGTCTTCAATTTAAGGTTCGGGTAGGTCATCCGAAGGGTAAAGGGAAAGTTAAAAGGAAAGGACCGGTGCAAGATGACGATGTCGTGAGAACCGGGTTGCCATGGTGCCGCATTGTATATCTGAAACTTCAATCTTGGATAACCCGAAGGCAGGAAATTCACTCATGATTGGTAGCAGGAGATTACCGAGCTCGTAAGGATTTGATTATCAGCATGGTGATGAAAATAAAGGGGATGTTGGGATTATCAGGCAGCAAGTCACTGGTCTGGAAAGTAATGCTGGTCTTGTGATAATCTGATGCTGTAACTTCATGGTCTAGTCCCTCCCAGCTGTGGTGTGGTATGCTTGCAGGCGCAACCTCAACCAAACTTCGTGTGTATCTCAGAGCTCCATCGTGACATCCTGACCACCAGTATGAAGAGATAGCGCTCGGAACAACGGGTCCTGCTCAATTGGAGGTAGCTCTGGCGCATCCACCTTAGATCTCAGTCTGGAAGCAATAGAGTCTTTCTGAACTACTACTTTCTTCTTCTTAATCTTAGCATTCTTGAAATTCTTCTGCTCACCAGAACGTTGTGTCAGAGTTGTTCCCATGGCAGTGCCACCGTCTTCCCTCAGCTTCTTCTTTTCTCTTCTGGTAGCCCGTTTTCTTCGCATCTTTGTGCCGAAATGTCCTTTGCCTCTCTCTTCGCAGTCTGTGATCTCCGGTCCTCGTCACTCATAGTACCCATATAAGCTTCGATGTTCTCATTTGCCTATTGTATGTCAGCAAGTTCCTGTACTTCGTAGAACATAATCTGCAGCTCGAAACAGCACCAACCGAAAGCAGAGCCTGAGTCAGTCTATCCCTCCTCTCAGCATCGCAGATGTCGTCAGCCTTCCACTCAGCGTGTTTCAACTCGATAAGTTTCTTCCACTTAATAGCAGCGGTATTTAGTGGTGAAGCAAGATTTTGGTTCAGCCGTTCTAAATCTTTGAGAAAACCTGCAAAACCAATCTGGGCGAAGATGTGTTCGAAGTCCTCTTTGTAATGTGGCATCTTCAAGCTCCGGACACTGATTTTTTTGATTGGAAGTATCATCGTCAGTACCATCGTTGATGGTAAAATCTGCCAGTGAAGGTTAGTTAATCTGCGACCCTCTGCCAACAATGTCAGGTGGATCTGGGATCTGAGACTCACTCTTGGAAAAAGCTCTTTCCAAAGATCTAATGGAGTCTGTACCGCTTGACTTGACCAGAGACTCACTTTGCGCTCGGCCACCCGGTTTAAGTTTGCATCGAGCCATTATTTGAGTTCAATGATGTTGTCTGTTGATGATGGGAGAAGGTTCGAGTCGGTGCAAGACAAACAATATCACAGACGAGAGTCAGAAAAAGACTTGCGCTGGAAGCAGCGCCAAGAACTATGTGATGAGGATCTCAATGAGTTGATTCGGAATTGTAAATAGGTCGTATGTACTCGCGATGATGAGAATGTGAATCGGCAGAACAAGTTTCTCAAGCTCGACTTTGTTTTGGTTGTGGATTCTTAAGCGAGAGCGACCCACCAAGAATATAAATACACCTTGGAAGCTCGTCTCAAAGTAAAGAGAAGAATGCATCTCTACAGGAAGAGCTCTCATGAGATAATTTCATAAGCAGAAAGACAAGGTACAAACTTTGGAAAACTTCCGAGGAGATCTTCTATCATAAAATTCAAGTTGCGGTATAATTCGAGCTTGTTTCTCATCTCCAGTAATACCCGTCTGTACTTATTGTGCTTGTAACAACCAAAATCCTTGCTGACCACCGTCCTGCCTAAGATAGGACATCATTTTAGCTATTTTCCGATTCTTGAGTTGACATACGTTCTGGTCTCTAGGGGGTGTGATGTTCGCTTGCTGACGCTCTCAAGAGTTTCTCGGCGAATGTGCACAGGCTTCGAGGGCAATTGGACCAGAAGAGCTGTTATGACGCCCATCATTAAGGAAGTAAGTTCTTGTTTCATGAAAGTCCATGATCTCATCCCAGGATGGGAAACATGCTGTTTCATTGATTTTCCCGCGCAAATTTTGAAGATTGTCGATCATTGTTCGAGTTTCTACAGCTTCGGCTTACAACATGATTTCTCCTCTCCCGCAGCGACAGTCAAATCCTTATCTTCCAGTAGCCGACTTCCATTCGCTTTCTGTGTACTTTGCGGCACATCTAAAGCTGGATTCTGCTCAAAGAACCCACTGGGCTTCAGACTCACTGTCATCGTATCACACGGCATGACGGGATAGTCCTCCGGTCTAGGATTATGCGTCAAGCTTATTGAATGCCATACAACAATATCCTCCCCATCAGTCTTATCGCCTCTTCCAGCCCAAGCTCCAAGATCGCTTTTTCCATCAGGCAAACTCTGATAGGTATAATCGCCTGCAGCGTAAAGCTCATTGTCGCGATGTGCAGTCACCCAGAAAGGGTGAAATGCGTACTTCGCTCGCTTTCCATGCCAGGACTCGGGATGGGCCAGAAGCATTTGCTTGTGGGGACTGTGAATAGCGTAGGCGATGGGCTTACCTGACGCTTTGTTGATTATGGAAGGGTTAATGATTTTGTGGGTTCGGTTGGGAGCTGAGTCCAATGCAATGGATGTTGTGATGAGGCGGTTGTTCGTCACATAGCCTACACCGTATGGGTTTCCGTCATCCCAGGGCATGGCCACGGAATCTTCCTCGACGACACTATTTTTGTCTCCATCTATACAAGGGTCGATACGGAGACTGAAGACATGTTGGTGAAATGGAGCCATCACTCCTTCATTGACATTCGTTCCCCATGGCACACATGCTCCTGGATCGATTGGAGCTGTTGAGAGGATTCCGGTCGCCTGGATTTTGTAGTGGAGACCAGCTGCTTGATCGAAATGCCACATGAAGACATACTCATAATTGCCGACAGTAATTATGGTTTGGAGAACGAGCACTCGAGACCTAACGATCGAAACTGCTCCCGTACGGCCGTCGGTATGCTTCCATCCGATGCCATCGTCGATCTCATGCATGCAGATTGCATTTGGCTTCTCAACTGGCTGTCCCTGGGAGTTGCTGATGACAAAAGAAAAGTACTGGCCTCGACTTAGCTGTGGCTTCTGAATATACACGACTTGAGTGCAAGAATAACTCTTACCTTGATGACCCCCAGACAATCGCAGCCCAGAGCTAGATTGTTCGCAGCGACTCCAGCCCCAATGTCTCCAACATCAAATACACTCTTCCTTGAATATGGGTATCTAGGGTCGCCATATGGCACGAACATCTCGCTTAACGAAAGCCTGTGGAAGAGCTCTCGCCCGGTGTATGTCACATCATGCAACACCATTCCTTCACGCCACGTGAATCCCAGACGAAATCTCCATTTCTGCCACTTGATGAGGTACCCATCAACTGTGAAAGAAACTCCTTCTGGTTGATTTACAATTAGGGGCTTCAGATCTGTTCGTGCCGCTTGGGTCTGAAGATCATGATGATACTCTTTAGGGCGGTGAGATTTGAACTCTGCATCGTAATTCAACGTGGAGTCTGATCCTGTTGGGAGACGAATGATGTTAATGACTTCTTTTGTTGTCATGTCTAATACTGGAGAGAATGGCAAGGGGTTGTCATAGTGGTTGGATCCAGGATGGTTAGTGCGGGCGAAAAGGTAGCACTGACTCTGGTTAACCAGTAACGTCCAGCCTGGCCTTATTCATAACTCACCTGGATATAGCGTGGAAGATTGTCTTCAGAGTCCCTCCCATACGGCCAAGTATCACACACGACCTCCATGTGGGATGGAAGTTTGAACTTCTTGATCTCATCCAAAACTTTGGGGTCTTTTAGACACGCATCTCTCAGCTCAATGACTTCGTCCATATCGTTCTGACCATGAAGTCCAAGATCCAATTTCTGACTTCTCTCAATCTCACCAGATCGAACATTCACCTCAGCAAGAAACAAATTTGGCGTTCCACGATGGTAGAAAAGCGCTGATGCAATCCGAGGCAGTGGGGAGCTTGTGCTTCCATTTCGTTCTGCTTGCAGGAAAGGACGAAGTTTTGCTTTGGGAGGCTCGAGGATGGTGATGATTTTGAAATGGAGACTTTGGTCTGAGTACTTGGCTTTGAGGAGTGTTGAGACCAGAGAGATCTCGGCTGCATTCAAAGGATCCAAGGGGTGCTTTGCAGCTCCCATATTATTGGAAGATATGCTTGCTTGAGACATTGTAATTGAATCTGAAAGTATATCAGCTCAAACTACAGCGACTTCGGGACTTCGGGATGAACGGTGTAGCAGGGCAAATGGGTGATGGGAGCTTGTTTATCGCAAGGATGGGGAAGCTGGTACTTGCAAAGAGCCAATGTTGGTACACCTACTTACGTCACTGGTTTCCAGAATTTCACGTAAGTAAGGCAAACAAACAAAGAAAGGCCGAACTTCACAAACAGAGAATGTATTTCGCAAATCTAAGAGTAGGATGTCAAACCCGGCCAACACACCATCGATGCTCAGGCCCGAGATAAGACTTCCACGTGGTGTTGGAGCAGAATCCCCCCTCCGCCCCCCACTCTCGGCCAGGAACCACAGTCAGTCGGAAGCGCCATCCTAAAGTAGTTTGGTTGTGTACCTGTACTTTATTTTATCATTATATATCAATCCAAAGATACCGCAAGAAGTAGGAGATCCCGAAGCTGAAGTTGTTGCCAGCTAGGAAGCATGAAGACTTCCCACAGCATTATCCACATGTTGCATCACTTGACCATTACTTTTGTGGAAGATACATCATACTCTCAATACATGCAAGACAATGTTCTCAATACAAAAGATAGCTATGTATATCATCTGTGTAGAACATCTTTTACTATAGGCTCGAAAATAAGTTTACATGTCTGATCCAGCGGCCGACTCGAAATAACCTGGTCCGACATCGTCATCCTCCCCTTCATATCAGGCGCAACACGAGTCCTAAACTGCGAATATACCTCTCTCAATAAACATTTCATCTCAGCAATCGCCAAACTACGAACCATCAGTCTGCAAGTAGAGTAAGAAAGCAGGAGAAGAAGCAAGACTTACCGTCTCCCAGTACAACCCCTGCCACCCAACCCGAAAGCGAAGAATAGTCTATTCATCTCAGGGACTTTCTCGGCATCGAGCCACCGCTCAGGAATAAATTCGTTGCCGTTCTCATAGATATGTTCGTTGAGTCGGTGGACGCTGTGTGCTTGACAGCTGACAATTGTTCCTGCTGGGATAAAAAAGCCGTCTATTGAACGGCCTCCTGTCGGTACATAACGAGGCTGAGACATGGGTATGGGTGGGAAGCATCGTAGGCCTTCTTTTATGACCGCATCTAGGTATACGAGTCTATCGAGTTTGCTCTCCTTGTTTGCGCGGACTTCTTCGATGAGTCGTTTCTGTACTTCAGAACTTTCGGGTAGGGAAAGTTGGTACATCAGGAATGTCAACCCATCACCGGTAGTATCAATACCTGCGGCAAGATGATCCATACATTCGGCGGCCATCTCAATCTTTTCAAAGTTCTCTTTGCTGTGCTGAAGTTTGTAGAGCAGTGTCTGTTCCCCTAAGTCTGTCTTCTCGTTACAGCTCAAGACATGGCCATTTGCGATAGGCGATGGTCTTGGCTTGGTGAACTTGTCTACCATGTTTGAGAGCGTTGGCAAGCGGTACTTCGCATAATTCTCTGCGGAATGTCAGAAAGTACAAAATTGAAGATGTACAAGACGCACGTTTCAGACTATTGTGGTAAGACTGCTCTTCCATCATGCCAAAATCCTTTTCATCATCGAGAGAATGCGTACCATACGGATGAAAGAGATGGTGAGAAGCGCAGTCTAGAGCAAAGCAGTGTAGATAGACCTAACGTGGTCAGCAACAGTAGAGTTATAGCACAACTCTGTACTCACGTATGCATCTAAGCTGCGCCCTTGAGCCTCAGTACACTTCTTGACGAAAGCTTCGGCTCTTTCTTGGATGCCTCCCATGACTTGGGGACGCATGATGTTGGTGTTTGCGTACTGGCCAGCGATGTATCGTTTCTTCTGACTATGCTAGGAATGAATTAGAATAGTCCAAGAAAGTTCGAAGTGTACCTCACAGTTCCCTTTCCCAAAGTCGAAAACATTGTCCTAATAACAGTCAACATCTCTTCCCTCTATCGGACTTGACCCCCTCACCTGACACCAAACTGCATGAAAAGCGTATAAAACTCCGTCTTGTCATATCCGCTCCCACCTGAGGTATAAATTTCTTTCAATGCCTCCAAAGAAGTGAACGACACTTCATTGGGTCCTACCCGTACAACAGGTCCGTATTGCTCATGGAGTTGATGTATGTATTCTCGGCGTTTAGACGCGAACTCCTTGCTCATGAGCAAGATGTCTGTTACAAGGGAATACTTGGGACCCGGAAGCTTGGAAAGTGGTGCAAAGATTGCTCTGTATACTCCGATGCCGATAATGACTGTTGCCAGAACGCACATTGGCCAAAGGTTCCCGAACATAGTTGCTCTGTGTTTGGCCCAAGTCAATGGGAAGATACGGAAGGATATAAGAGTTTTATCTTTCAAGTTCTCTGGAATGTCAAGTTCACCCGTGTTAATTAAGGCAAAAAACGGTATCTTTAACTTAATTAGCGATGTCACGTATATCGATGGCTGGGAAGTGTGGGAGCTCATACGGAGAGATAGGGCGATCCTTGATAACCGCCAGTACTAGGTATGTCTGCAGTATATAAGGGCGAGATTTCTCAACAGACTTCATCGACAAATAAACTACTTTGATAAACGAGCGTGCATCTATTTGTGAGTGTCGAAGTGGAGGATACTACTGCAGTCGTGACCACAACCTAAAGTGGGTGAAGGTGGGATGAATGGCGCTAAAGCCAATGTGGCTTGCTACCAAACTCAATGAGAGGAGCAATAAATATGTCACGATGCATCTCAAGCATCTGATCTTTCCAAAATCCGGGCAGGATGGCGTGACGAGATGGGGGGTTATTCAGCCCAAGCAGAAGGAGAGTATAGAAAGCACATCGGAAAGGTTAGATCACCGGCAACTTTCATCAGTTTGAAGAGTGGAAAGTGAAGCATCTGATTCACAGAATGAGAATATTGAAAACCATCGATTATCTGCATTCTGATTACCCTGATCTTTCGACGCATTGCTAAAAAGTGTTGCAAAATTGCCCAAACACTATACACTTATGCCAAGTCAGCGATGTGCATGCATCATTGTAACAACTTCCAAGCCCTCTTCCTCACCAATTTTAGCTTGCGGAACCGACGTATGTATAACTTTCGCCTGATTCAAATTCCAGAATTAGTAATGTTCCTCCCACATCCTATCATCATATCTATCCTCCTGATCGAACGCGAGATCGGCTTCTTCATCAATGAGTTCAATGAGTCCCGCGCCGCAACTTTCCTCGATCTCCTGGCCGTCTTTACCGATCAGGACAGCAAGGTTGTCGTTCAGTGCATTTTTGAGGTGTCCAATGCGGTGAAAACGTGTAGAGCAGACGACGAGCCAGCGGACGCGGAAGGCGCCTGCACTTTCCCAGTTGATGGCTCGTTGCCAATCTGGGGATTCCATGGATCCAGGTAGAGATTCCATGCGCGCCTGTGTGTGTTATTTTGGAAAATGTAGCGGGACAAGAGTAGGAATCCAATGGCTTACGTAGCCTTGAAAGGCGCGGCTTTTGTTGATTGAGAATACCAGAATCACGTTCTTACAGGTCTCAAATGCTTCTTTAAAGACGCTACCGTTTTGCAGTTGGGTTGTCCAAATAGACTGAGAGCCAGAATCAGCGATGGCGGCAGACATGAAAGGGCAAGCTCACATCTTGGATGCATCTTAGAACGTTTTTTTCGTTAAAGGATTTTACGATGAAGTATTTAGTTTCTGCTTTCAAAGTCAACAGGAGTAAGGTGAGAAGGCGCGAGATGGAAAATTTAGACAAGCAAGCCGAGACACTCGTCACAAAACGTCACAATGATGCAGACTTGCGAGAGTTTCACTGAGCTGACTTAGAATTGTATAATGAAAGGGCAATAATCATGGCAACAATCTGTCAAACACGACGATGACAAATACAGTACAAAGCAGGGGTATCCATCTAGAGAATGCAAAGTTGAAAAGATAATGGTATTCACAGACCTCCTGTTCCTCCTCTGTCAAAGCCCTGAGGATCCTTAAATGGCTTGCCGTTCGCAATCTTCGACCCAAATCCAGTTTCCAACTTAACGTCCGAGTTGTAGTCGACATCTCGACTGTCCCGACCATCACGAGAGTCACCGCGGCCTCTACCACGACCTCTGCCTCGGTAGTTGGGATCATATGCACGACCTCGATAACCACCCCGATGCTCGTATCCACCACGACCTCGCTCAACTTCTTCTCCATCGCGGAACGTGACCGAATCGTAGCCTCGTGCACGAGCAGGTGGCCGACTCTCAAATGCTCGACGACTCGGGTCTGGAGAGGACTCGCGTTCTCGGCTTCGGCCTCTTGCTTCATGACGAGGACGCGACGTGTCCCTCTCCCGACGTTCAACTTGTGGCGAGCGGCGAGATGTATCGAAACCACTGGACCGTGGACGACGATAGTCTGATCCATCCTCATCCTCAATTCGCTGTGGTTGATATCTTCGATCGTCAGTACGGGCGATTTTCACACCACCATTGATTTCGCCTTTTGGTTCTCCAATATCGCTGTAAGGACGCTTGTTAGGAGCTACTCGATCACGCACAGAGTCTGAAGGAAAGGTTCCAGCTGGAGTGGCAACAAACTCAGTACGACTCCCTACTTTATGAGGAATTGGCGGGGGGAGCATTGACGATGTAGGCACATGTCCTCCAGCAACGACAGGAAGGCCACCTCGCTCGTCTGCCTCCATTTCAGCGAGAAGCTTGTCTCTTTGCGCGTCCAAAGCAGCAATAGCACGTCGACGATTCAAGATTTTGCTTCTATAAGGGGTGTTATGGTAACCTGTAATATCTAACCATTCTCGTAGGTCTTCATCAAGAGGTAGCAAATCCTCTAGAGTAGGTAGCTTCTGTTCTCGACTCGGTCTGTCAATGACCTCTTCGCGTCTCTTTTGGTTGGTCTCTGGTCTGAGCTCTGGTCTGCGATGATCCTCTTCACGATTCGCTCGACCTTGGTATGCTGGCCGCTCGGAATTTGGATATTGTATCCTCTCATCTCTGCCATTTCTGTAATCTGGCTGGTATGTTCGCTTTTCTACCCGCACCTCCACATCTTCATGGCGATCACCACGAATGCGCGGGACCAGATTATTGGAATTGGTCGGAGGAGCTCGATGGGGTGGCGACTCATCTCGCGATGGGCGAGGGAATGGCTTATCTGTTCGTTCATCTCGAGTTCTGCGAGAGATTTCTTCATCAATTTTTGGAACACTTGCACCACCTTGTGTCTCCCTCATCTTGGCGCGAGGTGCTGTTGCGGATGCCTTAGGATTTGTCTCGCTGTCTTCAAAGATCTCGCCCTCGGATACAGAGCCGTTGCTGTTATGTCTGTTTCCTAACGATTTTCCCTTGGCAGCATTGTCGATTTGCTTTGCCACTTCTGCCTCATTACCTCCAGTATCGACCTGCTTCGTATCATTCATAGGGCTTGCTAAAGAAAGTACTTGTGATGTCGCGCTCATGTGAACTGGGGTTCTCTGTATGCTAGATGTAATGGCATTAACATTCTCTTGTTTTATAGTTGTAGGTGCAGTAGGCTTTTTTGATTCGGAATATTGTGAAATCAACTCGTTGAGATTCAGCTCCTTTTCCTGCTTTTCGGCTGTTGCGATTGGCGTCTTTGGAGATGCTCGGAACGAGCTTGAGCTATTATCGTGAGGTCTTTGTTTGATAGCATGTGCTAGATTTGTAAGAACAGGAGGGGTTGCAGAGCTTGCTCGCCCTTCTCGTCTCTTCAAAAGTTCAGCTTTCAATTCCGCGGCCCTTGCATTGATTTGAGTAGGAGGTCGAGGAGTATGGATGGCTGGTTGTTGCACATCGAAAGGAGGTGGCGAGAACTGGTGGAATTGCTGGTCAGTCAGGAAACCTGAAGCTGCAAGAGCTTCAGCGTTGAGACGAGTCTCGTCGCTTACCTGAGGGAGAGGACCTTGGCTGTTGAACTGGTTCTGCATGTTAAACAAGCCGACCTCCGGCTGGAAGGTTGCACCACTATGATCTTCATATTGTGTCATACTTGGCTGTTGCGGCAGGTATTGCTGTCCTTGAATATGCTGACCTGGGAATGAGGATGGTGGATAATCATCCTGGTTGAAATTGTGCTGGAATTGGCCATTGTTGCCAAATCCGCCATTATTATGCCACATCGTCGACGTGAAGGTCAACTCTGGAGCGTTTGTTGATATCTTATTGTGGTGGAAAAATATGTGGTACGTGATAATCCAGTCACCCCAGCTTCCTTTCAAAGGATAGGCCGTAAAAATCTAGACCATAGACAACGATCTTTCAAAAGCTGCCGCGCGGTCAGTCGAAGAAATGCAAAAGAGATATTGTAGAGCAGAAATGATGAAAAGAGCAATTAATCAGTTAAAGCTACCGTCAGACGCGCTTGAAGCGACTTGCCGTCAGCTAGCGCGGCTCAGTGTGCAAGGGTCCCCCGCCGAGCCCGCGTTTGTTCATGTATGGAAGGGTCAAAGTAGGCATTTTTCATGGGAGCGGCAGGGCTTAATCAGTTCTTTAATTTTCTCAGAGAATTGATGTGCCTTGAAACCGACTGCCCATTGTGTATCATAAAAAATACTGCAGTATGTCCACGAACTATACAACAGAGCTATAGACAAAGGTTCCAAGCGCTGCGGCCCCGCATCAGACTATGCCGGGGGAAGGAACGAAGCATATAATCCTGCTTGTACCAATGCATATATTACCATGAATCGCACAAAGCCATTCACTAGCACAGTCTTTCCATCCTGAGAAGCCAATACACCATACCACAACCAAACAGGAAAGGCCGAAGATATCCTCGTAATGATTTGGACATGAGCAGTGGACAACGTGAGTACGACTAGTGCGAGTTGAGTGGCTGCTAGATTCCGTAACACCTGCTGTGCAGCAACTCCTTCACCAGTCTTTTGACCTTTGTCAATTTGGTCTTGTCTCTCGGAGAAGTTGAAGCTCAGAGCCCATAGGCCAGATTTGGTCAGGATGAGAAACATCGGGGCGGCAAGAAGGAACAATGGCAGATTTGAGACAGTCCAATACCGCAGAAAGCCGCAATTCCTAAGGAGTCAGGCCGGGCAACTACATATCAGAGGAGTAACATACCAGTAGTAGTCTTGAACAAAGGTATATATGCTGGGTATTGCTCTTTGGCACCAGGGTCGCATATCCGGGGTTGTTCCTCCACAATACTCACGATATGCAATGAACTGTGGTACTAGAAAGCCAGCGCCAACACACATGCCTCCCAAGCCTGTAGCGAGTAAACGACGAATCACGGATATTTGCAGTCCATTTTTCAGTGCTAGCAGCGTTCTGAACGCTTCTTCAAGCAAAAGCAAGCCGTTCAGTATTCCATTGCTTCGAAAAGTTGTAGCGAGTCCGAAGCAGATGCCAGAGAGCAGAACCAATGCGTCGTGAGATGCAGAGTTTGGCCCATGGTGAACAATGCTATTAGTAAACAGCAAACACCCAATGAAGCTCAGCAACGCGCATGAGCTCTCAGCATAAGGAGAAGACAGGAAGAGTCCGGCAGGCGAGATGATGTGGAATAGAGCTGCTTTGAAGGCGAACGTGACAGAGTAGTTGGAAAACAATGCTCGGGTGAGGCTAAATACGGCAATGACTGAGAGGAAGTGGGAGAGATGAGCGATGCATATGGCGACCAATCCTTCCAGACCAACATAATCTGGCACACCAAAATTTCTTAACACTATGTTTGAATCAGTTCCGAGAAGGCTCCAGTGGCTGCTCTCTTACCATGTGAGCACAAAGCAATGACTCGCGTAAATCCCCATCCAAAAGCCCATTCTTGCTCAAACAGATAACCACGGCGGGATATTTTCACAAAGTAAATGCCATCCCATCTCGTCAGCTTGCCCACAATATAGCGAAGAGCCAATGGCAGCTGTTCGCCATGGTCATGGTCATGTTCTGTATAGAAGAGGCTCGTCGAGGTATCATAGCCAACACCCGGGCTGCAAATCGAGAGAAGCAAAAGGAGAGCCTTCCAGACAACGAGGAGAGCGATTAGATCGCGGATGGGATGGTCCTGAGGCCGAACCCATGATTGCATGTTGAACCTGCACGGCTGTTGGATGCCACAGTCGGCGTCAGTCCAGACTCCAGAGCCTGAGGTCAAAGAAAGGCTGATGGCGGTGAGGCTACGATCTCATGCGTTCCGTTCTATGGTCGGTGTCTCCACCTCCACCGGACGGGAGGTAAGGTAAATTAGGTAGGTAGGTACCTTGACGCAGTCTGAACACAACAGCACAAACCCGAAGCCGCTCTGGACTTCCTCAGTGCTGCTGAAGCAGTGAAGAGTTCAGACCGCACTCGCACTGCACTGCACTGCACTGCACTGCACTGTTAAGGTATGCTGTGTTAGATGTCAAGCTGAATCGAAGTAGTGAAGTATTGTACCTAGACTGTGCCAGGTCTGGTAAAGATTGGAACATCAAGCGCTGTGTCATTGGCTGAGGATGAAGCTTAAGAAGGCTGTCTTGTCTGTCAGTCCAGTCAGGTCAGATCAGATCAGATCAGGTCAGGCTGTCATCACGAGAACACTTCCATTATTGGTGCCGCTGCCTCTGCTTTCAGGTTCCACTGCGTCCGGGCATGCCGTATCGCCGTATTCCATTCGTTTCCCCTGTCTGTCGGCTCGCGGGTGCTGCGGGGCAGGGCAGGGCAGGGCAGGGCAGGGCAGGCTACCAGCCTTGTGGGGGACAAAAGCAGCATCCGGCGAAGCGTCGCTGGAAAATATCCAATCCAATTCACTTCCGTACAGCCCAGTAAGCAGGCCGTAGAGAACGATGTACAGTAAATTACAGTACAGCACAGTACCAGGTATTCAGAGGGCGGTTTTGTGGGCCGCTTTTTGAGGCTCTCCCAAGCCCAGGCCGGCTACCCAGTGCTCTGCCTACGTAGTCCGTACTCTCCCCTCCCCTACGCAGCGTTCAGTCTACAACTACATACAGTAGGTACGAAAGGTACGAAAGGTACTGTAAATTTACTGCTCAAGCAAGGATGCTGCTGCACTCTATTTGCTGCCCTCCTGGCCCTGGCCCTGGCCCAAGAAGGCTAGAACAGCACATGCCATGCGCCCTGGGACATGGATCTAGTACTGTATCGGACCGTAGTGTCCTGCCTGTGCCTCGCAGAAGCTCACTTCCGTTTCCGTTCATCTGCCGTATCCAACGAATCATCGTCGGCCGAATGCAACAAAGTTGTTCACAACTACTGTATGCTGATGTGGTGGTGGCTCTCCTGACCTGAACTCTCCTCTCCTCTGCCTCTCGCGTTCCCCTCCCTTGCGCTGCGCTGCGCTGCACTGCACTGTACCTCTCAGCTCTTATTTCTCTGCAAGCCAATCAGCCAGCCTACGGACACTTCTTGCTCCGAGCCCGATGTTGTGGCTGGAGCTGTGCAAGAGCAGTGCAGTGCAGTGGAGTGTGCGAGCGAGATGAGGGGTTCTGATCTGACCCTGATCTGATCTGATCTCCTTTTTCTTGTCCGAACTTCCGGTCGAAGTGTTCACCCCACTCACCACGATTGCTTACCCTACCCTGTCTTCATCGCCTTTTCTCCTTCTCTTCCTGTTGACGAGTGGCTTACATGCAGCGGATCTTAGATATCGTCCGCCTCGCGGGTCACTGAACAACTCTCCATCACTGCCGGCATAAGCTTTTTTCTCATTTGTCAGGGGAGCAAAGGCAGCGGCACAGGTGCCAGGAAGTCAGCAGTACTCTAAAGCTTCATTGATCGACACTGGCCTATCCCACGTTTTGGTGGTCGACGTTTCCGGCCATCCGCTCAACCTGCTGACAGCAAATCGACTCGGTGGCTTCCACTTCAATCCCGATGTCTGGTGGTGTTACGTCCCAATTACAACCACCATTCAAATCCTTGGGTCCAGCACTCCTATCATTTATCAGCTACGTACCGGCTAGTCGGCGCATGGCGTTCGGATTCATGTGCTGACGAGAGATCATTCCATATAAACTCGGGCCAAGGAAACCCCCTGGATCTATTGTCCTACCTAGGGCATCCTCAGCCTCAGAAAACACCCCTCTCCCTAATTCCTCCTCTTCGCTTCTCTACGCTTGCTTCAACTCGAGGGAACATCTAGTCCTTACTATTACTATTCTCATTCCCGACTTTGCTGATTGCGGGTCTTTCGCGAGATATCACTCACCATTCGTGGCTGGAGCTTTCTGACCTCAGCCGCCTGTCAGCCCTTCGTGTGTCAGTCCAATGTACTCAAACAACAACAATTTTCTTCCATTTCCCGAATTTCGAAAGTCTCTTATAACGTTCGCCGGACTTCACTGAGGAAGACGCCCCCAGTTCCGGGGCGTCGCTTCCGTTCTGAATACTTTACGATGCTCATCCATTCTGGCAGTGGCTATCACGCCCATGAGTTTTCACGCGATGCATCCACCTCTCGTTCTCGACTACGAAGTAATTCACTACCAAAACGGTCCCCATTAGCGCGATCAGCATTTTCTGCACCTTTGTTAGCCCCCCAATCGTCAGCGATTAATAAAAATCCTTCGCCAATCTTACGCCGACCATTGAGACCGTTGTCTGAGAACATAACCCCTACCAAGGAATCCGTCGTTCGATTTCAGGAGATTGAGCAGGACGCAATGAGTGAAGATGCTAGATCGTTGGCCAATTCAGAGGGCAGCATCACTACTGCTGGAGGCGGCAGACGTCGGAAACGATCCTTACGGAAGAGCACAACCTTCCACCTTGCCCATCCCGCTCCGACCCTTACCCAGAAGCAGAGGCTTCTACAGATTCGACCGAGGCTATTGCTACAATTACAGCGATTGTCAACAGATGCAAGACCAAGGCCAGCTCTCGACGTTCTCCCTTCTACGGTCGTTGTTCCCCGACTATATAAGAAGTTTCCACGTATGTTTAGGGGCAAGGCAGAATTAGGATGTAATGATGTTATGGTTGTCAAGAGTGAGGAATATGAGACAGGCATCGAAAGCAATATCGATGGTAGTGATTCAGACGAGGACGGGCTTGCGAATAGAGACTTGCTGGCTGTCATTTGCCAGATGCCGAAGGACTGTGGAGGTTCTCAGGGCAAGGCTGAGATGGTTTTAAGCGATGGCTCTGTTTGGGAAGCGAGTCCGCTTCCAAATGGTCTGTTCGAATTTGTCTCCACCGATGAGCATGGAATTAAGACAACCGCTCGGTGGGTCAGGAGGAGTAACAGACGCCAGAGTGTTGATATGACAGAAGCCGTCGTCAAAGCCGAAACAAAATTCACTTTTAGCCTTATCGATCCAAACTCCCGGCGTCATCCGATATTAGCCACAATGAATCAAGCCAATTTGGACATACCTGACTGCTACACGTCTATCTTGCCTTCAGTTTCCAGGCCTCCTACGACTTCTCCATCGCGCACTTTTGCCAAAGATGTAGTACATCGAGCCGAGGAGGAAGCCATGCCTGAGCGAGCAACGATACCTGTGGACGAAAGATTGAAGACTCTCATTCAAATCACTGGCATTTGGCTAGCTTTACGTCAAGGGTGGTCTCCTTATTTCAAGTACAACGATGCGATGAGTACGGCAAAATATCAGCCGGCATCAGGAGGACGGGTGAGATCGATGTCTTTGACACCCGAAACAGGTCGCTTAAGCCCAACTTCAACAACTTCAAGCACCCCTGAATCGGGCCATACTCTTGGTGCTGTCCTAGGTGGCAAAATTCGCCGAGTGTCTGCCATCGGATGTCCAAGCAATGGCAGTTCGCCGCAACTCGAACGCAATCCCAGTACACCAAAGAGAGCCGTTTCTACCGGTACCGCATTCATGCAGCGAGCTGCTGCCCGCAGAGCTGGTAATGCCCCAAGCACTGTTGCTAGTGACAGCGAGGGGGAGAGTATGATGGAAGCGAGTAAAGTCCACGTTAACAGATCCGTCAATGGCACTGGAGCCAGCGAAATTCCGCTAACTTCACTTGCTCTTCCTGGGTCAGCGGCAACAACCCCCGATACACCAACTCGAACCTCCAAACGTCCTCATTCATATATGCCTACCAGTTCTCTCCAGCACAGTGTTACGACCTCGCAGCCAAAACGGCACAGTATCGCATTTTTTGGCGGGAAGCCAGCTTCGGATCAGATTGGCAAGCCCAGGATTAGTCGGTGGAAGTCATTCACCAATCTGTTTCGAAAACCCAACAGCGGTTCACGCTCCACGTAGATCACACAGTCCATCGTCGGAGTTTCTTTTTTTTGTTTATAACACATCGCAGCATTGTACCAACGGCAAAAACAGTTTAGATACCACCAGAGTCTCGTTTGATTCCCCTTTGCATACGGGAATTTTGGGACAGGAGTTATAGCGCTCATGTCTTCCGAAATTCAGCTTCGTTTTCAGATGAGAGGATTAACATGTATATATTACGTTCAGAATGCCCTGCATATTTGGGTGCTTGGAAACAGGAATGAAACGATTCGATTTGTATCCAATGTTAATTGATTTCGCAAAGTGATGAGTCTACCATCCTAGACTTCTCGGACATGTTGATGTCCGTAGCCCATGGTTGGGTAGCCCTACGAGGGTTTTTATACAGACAACAACTGTGATCTGTCTGCATTTTGTCTGTATTCCCAGTGGTAGTCAAATACAGACAAAAATTCAGAAAAAGCCTATAGTAATTTTGTTGAAAAAACTGTAGACAGAGTAAGCTTTTTGTAGCTCGGACTTTTATGTAGCCTTTTTTTTACTTTTCTGTGTTTCACTTAAAATACAAACTAACCTTTAGATTACTCGAAAGGGAGGAAAGGAAGGAGAACAGCAAAGAGATGGACAAGGAGGAGGAACGGGGGAAGGTAGAGATAAGGATACCTTACCTTAAAGGGAGACCTTACCTTAGAGGGAGACCTTACCTTAGAGGGAGACCTTGGATGGGACCCTTGGAGGGAGGAGGGAGAGAGAGGGAGAAAGAAAAAGGAAGGAAAGTAACTTTATAAGCCAGAAAACTCTAAGAGGCAATAGTCGGTTCCCCTTTCAACCTGCAGGGACTCAGGTAGAGTCGATGAGAGCAAGTGTCACGCGAAAGCAAGAGTCAAGCAGATTTCTAAAATTCAAAAACGTGAGAAACAAAAGACAGAAACTATCCATTAAATATTGATTTTTCCGGAATTTCTTAATTTTGGTAGGGGAAGCTCAGACTTTTTTTCCTACTTTCTGGCCAGGAAATTTTGCCTAATGCTTGCTTTCATCGACTGAAAGCGAGTGCCCGCAGCTTCACAGAGAGGGGAACCGACTACTACGGACAGTAGCTGTACTTCCCTTACATTACCAGTAATGTCTGTACTTTCACTTGAATTCTTCAAAAATCAATCAGAATCAGACGGAGAGTCCAGGTAGGAAAAGTACAGGCAATTGACCAAAATACAGACAGAAAATACGTCCAAAAAGGCTGTTTCCAGACAGTGTCTGTAGGTAGGAAGTGCTGTCTGTGTCTGTAAAAACACCCCTCGTCGGGTACCTAGGTACAGTAGGTAGTTGTCGTCCAGGCAAAACTAGATCACGTATGCGCGCAAGGCGGGAGTGGATTGCGTACCTGGCATGCCTGCCTGCCGTTTGAGGCGGCGAACTGCGAACTGCTTTGTGTGAAAAGGGAACCTTTCCCTCCAAAAGGATTCTAAGAGCGCTTTCCTGAACATTTTGCAGCTTTGTGATTTTCAATTTGTCGCCCAGATTCATACTGTACGATTCTCCCTATTTGGCACTGAGTCTTGTTCAAGGCTCGGGAAGCTCCTCTCCTGTGTTCTCAGCTCAGCCTTCAAGCTCACGGTCTTGGCGAACTTGCTTGCTTACCTATGCAAGGCTGGAGTCTTGAAGTGCAACCTCATTTGGCAGCCGACCTCGCTGTCTCCCATCAATTACGAGAAAGGCACATGCGACCGACCGAACCAGCTCGCCAGCACCCATCTGAAACCTGCCAGATTCTATATGATCAGTTGTTGAGCGGACTTGCCATCAAACGGGGTGTGTGATAGAGCTTGGAGCTCATTTCAACAAGAGCTCTACATTCCCGTCTAAGTATATCTCCACCGCTCCACATGTAACACACGGTCATTTGGAGCTCTGCTAATATGTCTTTGGGCCCAGGAGCTCTCTGCAAACGGCCAAAGCTGACAGGCACCCGAACTTCGAGCCCCGGTGCAACGCGCAAGACCATGGAGGACGGCTATACGAATGGTCGCAACCATGCACAGTTCCTGCAGGGTATCGTTCACAGTGGACAGTCGAACGACGCAATATCGCGTGCAACTTCGCCTGGCCTTGGATTTGGTGCCAATGGTGTAGATTCAGAGAAGGAGAAGCGATATCGACCACGAACATTCCCATATTTCCAACTACTTCCATATGCCGTCGAGGAAGAGGGCGAACGAAATGCAGCCTTGGGGGAGATATTGAAACAGCTCTATATTGCACTCAAGGCGGAGGACATATCTCCAGGTGCTGTGCACTGGACAAGAGAGCTTAAGGGATGGCTGAACCTCAAGTTCGAGATCACGCGGGAGCTGCGGATCAAGCTGGTCAAGATGTATTACATGTTGGCTGTGGCACCTGGGATGGACTGGGTGGCGGCAGACAGATTCGAGAGCATGTTTAGATTTCTCATAAAGTGAGGCTCTCATATATCTCTATCCCAATTCTGCTAACAATGCCAAGGAAGAAGCACTATCTAAAACCAGGAGAGGACTTAATACTTGACTGGAGGCCGTTATGGAAGGAGATCAAGTCAATCGTCCTTCCATCTGAGATGGCAACACACCAGGGAGGAAGGAAACGGAGTCATAAGAATATCGCCAACATGTGCATGTTCGCATCACAATACTTTGATCCCAGTGAGCGCCAAGCCATGTTAGAAGAGATCTTGCCGTATTTCACGACCTCGGAAATATCTGGCGCATTCATTGTACTTGGCTCTTTGAATCTGTTAATGCCCACGCACCCGGCACGAAACGAAGCTGGCCAACTTCAACCGCAAGACTACCTCCCCACTTTCTTCCACCTCTGGTCCCTTGTGAATCGATCCAAGGCCTTTGACGTTATCTTTTTTGACATGTTCTCACGACTTGCGCGAGACTCGCTCACAAGTGAGCATGTGCCGTTCTCAGAATACGGCATCTTTACGAAGGATCAATCAGACCTGATCTTCACTGCCTTGTTGAGACTGACCGAGATTCCTGTGGGTCAGGCATCTTCTCCATACAGTGGTGTGGTTGATCTAGGAGCTGGTCTTGGGGCATATCTAGAAAGAGACAAGAAAAAGGTACCAGTTGGTTACTCCATCGCAAGATGGATCGTCATGTCATTGTCGCCAGTTTGTATAGACAAGCCAGGCTCGATCCTTACGAACTTGGAAGGATTGATGGAGTCTGTGGATACATTTTTCCACCCGTCAAATCAAGGCTCCTGGACAGATATGCTGGCACAGATCGTCTTCCATTTAGTTGATTTCTTCGTTATGCGGTGGAACCGCGAGCAGAGCGGAGAGATGGATACCCCTCCAGAACGACGAATCAGTGCGGAGTTAAAGAAGCGCTTCGTTCTCAGTCTCAAGGAGGTCATGTTCATGGGTCTCTTTTCCAAGAAGGCTAAGTCCTTGAACTGCTTTTTCGGGGCCATTCAAGGTTTAGCATATCTCGAACCTCATTCCATCATTCCAGGAGCTTTGCAAAGATTCTATCCATCATTGCAGGGCCTGGTGGAAGTTCACCGGACACAGTCATCGCTTTGTGGCCTACAGTTGACTGCCAACGTCATGTCCAAGCACAAAGGTCTGCGATGCCACATTACCGCCCTTCTTGCCTTGGCATTGCCAGGTATCGATGCAAATGACTTATCGAAGACATTACACACCTTGAACTTTATCCAGTCTGTGGCATATAGCATACCATTCGTCGACCTGACGAAGGAGCATGGAGAGATCCATGATTCCTCGTTAGCGATCCAATGGGTGCAAGGCGAGATGGAGCGGATGGAACGGGAGGGACCGAATATCGAGATTGACTACCGAAAAGAATTGAGTGACGAAGATGAGGCAAATATCGTCCGCTCCTCTACTGCTGGATTTGGTGAGTTTGTCCTGTCTCTGCTTGGGAAGATCTTCACTCTTCTGGAGAATCTACCTGAGCTGTCACGAGCTCGATCCGGCTCTCCTGAAGAGAGTGTGATAAACACCTTACCGTCAGCTCTCACTCCGCTATTCGCGGCCCTATCCCCTGAGATCTTTGATCAAGCCCTTGAGAAGATTGCCACATTCGTTGGGGGTCATGTCATTCACCAATCCCGAGATGCGATGGCCTTCATCTGTAATTCATTATGCAAAGCCAACCCAGAGAAGACCTTAAAAATCTTCGTTCCCCTGCTGATTGTCGGGATCCGGAATGAGATTGACTACAACAATGCAGCCTCGGACAGGAGCAGTGGAAGCGATGTGCTTCCTCGAGACAGAGCTCTTGTCTGGCATATCAGCATGCTGAGCATGATCATCGTCCACGTTGGGGACAGTCTCATGCCATACAAGAAAGATCTCTTCGATATCGCTTTGTATATGCAAGAAAAATGCCGCGGCATTCCCACTATCCACATCTCGAACTATATCCATCATCTGCTCCTCAACCTGACGTTGATCTATCCTGTGGATGGCGCACTTTACGAACCAGACGTGTTTCAGCGTGGCTTAGACATTGATGATTGGGGAAAGACTACGAAGCCGACAGAACTGACTATCAATTGGCATCTACCTTCTGAGGAAGAGATCAAATTTGCTGTGGAGCTCTTCGAATCCCAGGTTGATACTGCAATGGAACGTCTTACGAACCTCATCAGCGAGAACCCAGCTGTTAGCAGAAAAGGCAAGAATAAGGAATGGTCTGACGAAGTCTCGAGAAATCTGTCACAATTGCGACTGATCATATCAGGCATCGCCACTCTTTTCGACCCCAAGAAGGCGTCTGGCCAATTTGACAAGGACCAGGATGGCGATACACAAATGAACGAAATAGAATCCAGTGATGAGGAAGAAAGCCCTCTCGCGGAAGCTGCCGAAGATGTGGAAACCCGCCCTCAATTTCATTATCGAGCAGGATATTTGTTAGAGAGAAACAGCCCAACATATGTCCATATTCACAAGCTTCGTGAGAACATCGGGGAACTTTTGTCCAGGTTACATATTTTCTTATCCGAGTTCCAGGAGGATGATGTTGCTTGCTTCACTGCCCTGTACCAAACCTACCGAACCTGGATTACAGACGTTGGTAATGAAAGATCTGCACATATGCTGGAGCGAGTTAGCAAACTATACGACGTTGATATTCGGGCCTTCAAGGTCAGTGGGCTTCGAAAAGTCTACCCACGACCACTCCTGGTTAAGCGAGCTAGCATCTATCACTTTCAACGAGCCAAGCATAACTCCTCGGCTAGACACAAGTCTGCCCTTGACAAGAAGCTTCTCCTAGACTTGGCAGCTTCCGCTGTGTCATCATACGCCGAGGTTCGGATCAATGCCCAGGCAGCACTGGAATCTGCTCTGAAGAGTCTTCTTGGAGGGCGTCCTCTCGTCATACCCGAGCTGTTGAAGACCTTTAGAACAGCTCTGGAATCCAATGATTATGACAGAATCAAGGGTTCGTTGTACACATTGCTGTACGGAAGTCTAACCAAAACAATTTCCAAGGATTGGCGTTTCGCTCCGGATATGATCGATCTCTACATCAAGACAGCCTCGGTCGACAAGCCCTCGATTCAGAAAGTCGGTAGCAATGCGTTGTATGGTGGTCTCATGGAATTTGGCAAATCTCTCGAGCACATCATTGTTATCAACCAGGAATTAGTAGATGTCTTTGAGCCCAAGGACAACAATACAGACAAGATTTCCTCGCGACATAATTTTATCGTCGACCGCAGACGCAAGGTTGAAGAAAAGAAGTTAGCATTGGCTGAGAAGCTTATCGAGATCTCGAAGAACTCTCATTGGAAGATCGCTGGCCGATGTACGCTGTTCATACTAAACTCCGGCCTTCGAGTGCAGACCCTTGCACCACCGTCTCTCATCAATTTGGCAATCGATGGCTCTATTAATGATCATCCCGGTCTTCGAGCCAGCTATGCTGAATCGTTCATCAGAATATTCAATCATCTTGATACTCGTTCGATCTACGGCCACAGTGTCGAGAATTTTGTCCTCGAAAAGGAAAACGCAGAAAACAGAATTGATGTGAATGTGCGCAAAGACGACCCAGATTGGACGAAAAAATTCCTCGAGGGCTTTGAGAGTCATGAAATTCCCGAGTATTTTGTCGAGCGAGATTTCCCGGGTTGGCTTGTTTGGGGAACAAGTTTTCGGGGTACCAGAGCCAGACCAATTGAGTTTACCGACTACGATGAGCTGGAGACGTCTGTCAGAAAGCAAATTGGGGACAAGCTCACTCGCAGTTGGTACAGTAAATTCTTCGGCTATATGAAGCAAGAGCCTCGTGACTCTGCCTCGGATCGATTCCGGGTGCATAATGCCGCTCTTTTGATGCAGACATTCGATCTGACTCTCACTGGTTTGACGTCTGCTACATTTGAGGACATCAAAGAGGAACTCAAGACAACTTTCGGCGATGGAACCGACAAGCACCAACATCGTGCTACGTCAGAAATCCTAGCTGCCCTCCTCATCTGTGTCATTGAGCAGCCGATCGAGCTGCGCAATAAGGTTTGGGAATATGGCGTACCTATTATGCTGCAAGTCTTTGCCGACGGTTTGACACCAGAAAATATTGCGTACTGGATGACTTGTCTCCACATGATCATTGGTGGTCGAGACCCACGGCAGGCACGGGAAATCATCGATACTCTCACATCGTTCCGTTTGGATATGTCCTCTAATGCCGCCTTCAAGGAAAGCTCCAAGGTCCAACTTCTCGAATTTGCAATTCAAGATGCAGGATGGCACTTCCGCGCCGAGAAGCCTATTCTTGAGGATTTCTTGGCTCACATCGACCATCCATACAAGGCTGTTCGAGAAGCTATTGGTCGCACGATTGCCTCAATCTACCGTACTCGTTACTATGAAGCATTCATGGATGTCAAGACTCTTCTGCAGGAGAACAAGGCTTCCTCGTCAATTGGTATCAAGCCTTATACCCCAACGAAAGAGTTCTCTACCAGCATCAAGGATGTTTTCGCTCGGCTCGAAGTCTGGCGTGGAGAGCGTGCCCCTGGTCAACAAACTCCGTCTTCCTATACTTCAGGTAGCAAGACTGTCTTACTCTGGCTTGACACCACGCTACAGTCTTACGAATGCACACAGCTGCTGGACTTCTTCCCAGACGTCTTTATGGAGCAACTGCTGCACATGATGGACGTGAAGGAAGATCCAGAGCTTCAGCGCCTTGCCTATCTGGTTTACCGCCACTTGCCGAATATTCCCTTCCGTGCTGGAGAGGATGGTGACTTCATTTCTGCATTAATCCGCATTGGCAAGATGTCGACCTCCTGGCATCAACGTCTAAGAACTCTCATCAACATGCAAGTCATCTACTTCCGACGCATATTCCTCATCAAACCTGAGCAGCAGCAAGCCCTGTTTGAAGCTGTTGCCGACATGCTGGAGGATACCCAACACGAAGTCCGTTCAGGTGCCGCCACTACTCTTTCGGGAATGATTCGCTGCTCGCCTGTTGCTCTTCGTAACAACATCCTTTCTTCTCTTCAAAAGAAATTTACCGAGTCATTAAGAAAAAACCCAATGCCGAAGAAGACACCTGGTACAAACACACCAATCAACAACAATCAGCAAGTCATTCGACGACATGCTGCAGTACTTGGCCTTGGTGCACTGGTCACAGCATTCCCGTATGCGACACCACCGCCGGTATGGATGCCAGAGATCCTTGCCTTGCTAGCGTCTAGAGCCGCAAATGATGCAGGTGCTATTGGCAAAACTGTTAAGACCATCCTGGCAGACTTTAAGAAGACTAGACAAGATACGTGGGTCACGGATCAAAGAGTCAGTTTTCAAATTTCCAAAAAGACGTGGGATCTGCTAATACATCACAGTACTTCACGCCGGATCAATTAGAAGATTTAGAAGGCGTTCTCTGGAAATCCTATTTTGCATAGTCAGCTTACAGCACTGTCTTTCAGCTGGCTCAAGGATATTTCCGGGAAGGGACAATATGTTATTGACTGGATTGCAGCATGGTTATACGCATGGGACGCGGAGTTTGTCTCTTTCTTGTTCTGATCGGTATCTTACAATTCTGGCTCGCAGGCTGGCGCAAAATACATGGGCAGAAGATGAAATTTCCGTTGTTATCACGCATGGATGAATGGATGATGCATTGATGCGTAATTGGCTGGCTAACTAGGCTGACAAGCGAACGGGTTTATGAGCGATTGTGTATTTGTGTGTATGAGATACCGAAATTCTTTCATGGAGGGATGATACATAGGAATGGCAAAATGGTGCGCAATTATGATTGAATCGCTGGACAATAGTACTCTCCTGACCGTTACAATATTTGTTGTTATGCGTTTCTATTGACGTGAAATTGTGTCGCCGTAGCTGTCCGGATTTGTGGGAGATGTTGACTCAAAGATCTCCCAAATCGCGCTAGTCGCTAAGCGAGTTTTAGGCGACTTGTTTTGAAAGCGACACAGTACTGGCGTAACGCTTTTTTAAGTGCTCTGCAGGTTAACGTCAATAACTAACGATTTCCATATCTAAAACTGAAATAGTTATGTGACTGTCATTGCTTATCGTGTTGGCGGGCCTTCAAGGAACCACTATGCAGTACGGTTTCCTCGTAAAACGCCAAACAAACCGTCACATATCTAGATTTGAACTTCTTACATGTTTGTCCTCCAAGTTCACTACATTTGGTCTATACCTTTCTTGTTGTCATTGCAACATCCTCCTATTTAATGCCATAAAGGATTAAATGTCGCCACATATGCACATTGAAAATCTCGACAAAGCCATGGACGGTATCCTCGGTGAAGAAGCCCCACAGCCCGACAAGCCAAAGAAAGTTCGTATCAAGAAAGCGAGGAGACCCGATCCAATCGTCTCAAACTATAAGAAGAAGCCAAGCGAATTCTTCCTGTTCCTCGTCAATGAGCTCCGCTACGAGAAGTTCGCAAACGACGTTCAAGCTCTGAATCCTGACTTTGTCAAACGCGGCTATATGGAATCCATCTGTAAGTACTAGTGGAGGATATAACTATCTTTCCTCAGTGTCTCAAGAGTTTCCAGCCACGCACCATATTCTGATCTCGACCAAATCTTCTGACCCAATTGCTAATCATCTCGTTACTCAAGGTACAAGACTCTCCGAATCCACCATAGTGAATGGAATGACCGGTCGTCAACACACTTGGACAAGAAGAAGGTCTTGCGTTACGCCAATTCTCAGGTATGTCTATACGTAGCGAGGAGTATTTCCTGTTTCGCAACACACGTTTACATGGAACAGACCAGTGGATATGATGGCTTCGATCCAAAGGAATATTGGGAGTTGCAGAGGCTGGTGAATGGCTTAGATGGTATGACTGTGGCTGGTAAGGAGCCGAAGGTCCAGAAGAACCTGCATTTCAAAGCGATGCAAGAGGCACGTCTGCGGAAGAAGGTAGAGCGCCGACTTATGGCTAAGACTGTCGAGCAGAAGACGCCGAAGGAAGAGTACCATGCTATGGGTTCTCTGAGGCTGTTTGGATCTACTGGTAATGCTCTTGCGATTTGATTTCTTCTTGGGGCTTGGAGTCCTGTGAGGCGGGGATGGTACTTGGTCGGCCGCTTCAATAGAGTAATCACATACTTGATAATTGGAGGGTCACCTACATTGTAAAGCCACCACACCCAGAATAACATAGAGTTTCCTGCTACTGGTAGGGGCTTTAGGTCACTTGATGATATGATTTGGAAGACATAGGTAGAGCTCTTCTGCTGGAGCCTTGGGCATGTACTAATTTCAAGAAGATAGCATATTTCTTGAACCAAACTGCGACGATAAAGAGATTATTACCCTATACTTTTGATTCAAGTTGCGATATAGAGCTACGTCAGAACATCGCTGGGAGCCCAGGGCATCGGGACAGGGTGGGTCGTGGATGAGGACCAAAGATTCAGTAGATATCCTAAAGCCTAACCATGACCATGAAGTGGCAATAGCGATCTTATTATAGACTCATGTTTTGTGATATGTGACCGTTTTGAGGCTGCTGGATCTAAAGCCCAGTTAATCTATGAAGGTGAATGGTGGTGGATGTATGCATATGAGAACCCGTTGAACGAGTATCACTTGCATGCCACCAATCCGTTCCAAGACATTTATGTTATCAAGAATTTGTATTACACTATAGAATATGATGTCATCTTCTTCATCTTCTTCCTCATGGTACTCGTCATACGACTCGTCTATCTTTCGCAAAGAGATGCCTCGGGAAACCTGGGAAGATACTGGTTGAGGAGCATCAGTAGTGGCTGGAGCGGCCACGTTTCGGAAGTGTTCTTTTCTCGCCTTCCTATGATCTTTCTCCTCTTCGATTGCCTTTTTCTAATATTCATCTTCCTTACTACTTCAGAAACTTTCAATGTCAAATTGTCCATTCAAACCGCCTTTCATCTGTATGATGATCAGTATCAATGATTAAGACTCTTTGGAGGCAACTTACCTGAGCAAGGGCTTCCTCAAAAGTACGATACTTCATTTCGGTGCTGACCATTGCATCGGACTGCCATTCCTGGAAGACCTCCTCGCAATACGATTTCCACGCCTTTTCAGCAGACTCTCGCCGAATTTTGCCCCCGTTCTTGTGCTCCAGTCGTGTGATGAGTTGTTGATATGACATATAGAAAGGGGCGATTGTAATCTTTGTGACGGGACTGAACAAAAATTGGTGTTAACCTCGTTGCTGAACTGAGTGGAAGCATTTCCAATTCTTTGTTTCCATTCTTCGACATCATCTTCCAAGAACTTCCCCAGAAAATCGCCTCCTAATCCACCGAAACCTCCCAAAATTTCCTTCAACCTATCTACAGCCTCATCTTCATCAATTCTGCTTCCAATAACATCTTCCTTTGATGCACCTTTCCAATTACTCGCACCCATGACTTTCGATAGACCTAAAAATGTCGGCATCTGGCAATCACGTGGAGAATCTGACAACCTACCTTCCAGGAGCTTTTTAGGCTTCGTAGAACCATTGCTGTAGGAGATTGTTGGTTTGTCCATTTAGTAGTGGTTGTCAGAGGCGTAAGTGCTGACTCCTTGGTTGGTGGTTGAGCTTAAATTGAGGGTTGGAAATGTTCTGTTTTTGTCCTGGAAGGTGTGGGGATATTGGAAGGACTGATATACCTTTTTACAGAGTGGGCATAGAAATTTAGACTAGTATTTCATCTGGAGCGAAACATTGAATCTGTTTGTAGCAAGGCCCTAATTCACTCTTATGACTTTAAAGCTGAGGAAAACCTAGCTGCCCTAATTAACTTTGTTCGTGGTTGACAACCAGATACAATCGAATAATCATTTAAAAACATAGTGCCATAATGGCAATGTAACTTCTTCGTTCTTCAATAAGGTTCGGCCAAGATACAAATACCACTCTAATGTCACGAGCAAACTTCGCATCATGGAGGATGGTTACTTGGTTCGAAAGCACTGTTGTTTGGGCGTAGCTGGCTCTTTTTTAATTCATAAGTTAAAAACTCTAGATTTTACAATCATTTAGAAGCCAACTTCAAAATTCAAAGAATGGAAAGGCCTGCAACAAACCAGTCTTGCGGGTGGAAGAGGGGGTTCGGGCATGTTCATAGTTAGCTCGCTTGGCTGGCTGGATGGGATGATCACTCACTGGTATGTAGCGCAATAAGCAAATTTCAAATGCACGGTCGGATTCATCCGGCTGATGTGAAGTGGCGGTTGGCTTGTATCTTTCCTAACACCTGTCAATCCTCTTGGATCGCAGTGGTTAACTATACCTGAGTTGTGGGTTCATATCCCACCGTAGCCTTGGCTGCGAATCTGGCCTGGAAAAGCAGCTTCGGCTTGCTGGGCTGGTAACCAGAGGAGGCGAAAAGACGTAGCTGTCATTTTGCCATTCCATCTTCTTACGTACCCAATTCTCCATGAGTTGTTCTTTTTCTTATCTTTGTTACTCCGATCCAGCGTGCCATTATTTAGCCAGGCGAACGCGTCAAGGCCAGTGTTGATTCCTCGCTTAGTTTTCTCCTCATCAAATACAGTCCCATCGCGATGGATACAACAAGTGTTCCGGTGTGCAACACAGTCTAGGAAAACTTCAAAATATCTATATTCACAAGATAATGGATTTAAGGTACGTGTAGGCTTTTCTTACTTTGCTGCTCTCTCCCGCTCTATCTCTCTGTTTGGCACAGAGATTTCGATATCAACCTCTCTCGTCACGTCCTGTTTGATAGATTTGTCTTTTAATCACCGGTCAAAAGCGCCTATCTAGGAAGGCTCGGTGACGCATCACCGTTTCAGCATATTCAAGTGCTGACTTACAGAGCGTGAATTAGCCGCCTTCGGATCAAGCCCGTGCAGCATCAATGAGTACAAATTCTGTTTTGGCACAGCATACCGGGAACCTTGGAGGCTACGAGAAATGATCGTTTGACTGCTTAAAGTCAGATGCGCACAGCCGAGAGTATGGACCTTTCCACGATATTTCTTCCTAGAACTATACAGAGGAATTTTCCCCAAATTTATTGCCCTAATCAATGCTATGTACACTTTCAACTCTCTGTAACACTCTCAAACTTCAAGAATAGCTTGTTGCTCATCGGGCTGCAAGTATATCCATCCTCCTGCTCAATGCCCTCATCATTCACAATACTAGTCCTAAAATTGGAATATACTGCCGCAATCACCAACTTTATTTCATGCATGGCAAAGTTACTTCCCACACACATTCGCCCACCGCTGCTGAATGCCCAGAACCACCGGTCCCTCTCCTTCCTCTGATCCTCGGTGTATCCATTTTCATCGTCCATCCATCTCTTATGATCCCATTTATCTGGCTCGGGATACACCTCCTCGTGTCTATGCACACTGTATGCTTGAGCACCAATTCGTACGCCACCGGGCACAGCGTACTCTCCTAGAGTGCAACCGGAATATGGAGTCATGCGTGGCTGGTTTCCTGGAATAGCGGCATTGGTTCGAAGTGTCTCCATTATGATGGCATGGAGAAGTGGTAGGTTATCGAGCGCCTTCGAACTGGGAATAGCTGGTGTCGAAGATGAAAGGCTCATATTCGGGGAAAGAGTAAGAAGTTCGGCACGAAGCTTATCCTGCAACCCGACGTCCTGAGACATATACCAAGAAATGTAAGTGAGCATAATTCCAGAGGTCTCATGACCAGCTGCGATGTGATCAATCATCTCGCTTGCCATACTTTTCTCGGGATATTTGAGGAAGTCTGGGCTGAGTATGGATTCGTCGCCTTTGGTCTTGCGCTCTTTCTCCATACCGGCGAGGACAGCTTTGAAGACAACGGGCTCATTGGCCGGATCGGTGTCTTTAGCTGCCGAGCCGTCTCTGAGGTAAGCCGATGTCTTGTCACAGCGCTCTCGGGTCCATGCCTCTAGTTCTCTGTTGTTATTATCTACCCAGCGTGGGATAACGTAGATATTCAACTTCCGGAGAAAGCTGCTGAAACGAGGAAGCTCTTGTGACCAGAAGACATATGTCTTGCGAGTATGGTACAGCGAGAGCCAGTGCTTTCTGAAGGTCTCGTTGATCAGAAAGTCACTCCCATTCTTGAGCCCGAATTGGTAGGCGGCTATGAAATCCATCGTTGTGGCATTCCAGATATCGTGGATCTCGATGCCTTTTGGGGAACGGGGAGATGACGATGCCATGGTAAGAAGGGGAAGAAGACGGTCAAATATAATGACCCTAGCTTGTGCAGCTGCAGCGGGCGATGTATGGATTGTCGACTTGGAGTAGATATTGCTCATCATGCGCTTTCTAGCTGAGCTACAAGATAATCAGCGCTATAGAATCGTCATGATAGGCTCAAGATCTCAGTCATTACGACATCGACCCTGTTACATGCTCGGATTCAAGATCCGAGATCATGGAGAGTTGAAGAAGAGGACATCTACTTGCTGTGGTTTTGAATGCCAAGAACTGAACATGCATGGAACCCTTGACCGCTACATCAGTTTCTGAAGAATAAACACTCAAGAGGAAGAGTATACCCATAGTTATCAAAGATTGAATACCATTCTCCCTTCTCAAATCCTCCAGCATATACCGTTCTCAACCCATTGAGATCATTAACACTCAGCTCATTCGGTGCGAGTCGGATGACAGGGCCATACTTCTGGTGAGCAGCATGAACATTTCGGTTCTCTCGACAATTGAACCGTGTCCATAAGATCCAAAAAGGTGAAATTGGAGCTGACCAATGTGCACACGGGATCTTGGAGAGCGGCGACAGCAAGACCGGGAAGACAACGAATTTGTATAGTGCGAGGACGAAGATGACGGCAAGTCCTATTCCAGGAATGCCGATGATCGACATGACCACCAAACGATTGTTTCTCGAGCTGTTGCTTTCTTCCTCTTTATCCAGAGAACAAATTCGAGCGATAGAAGCTCGTTGATATGAAGTGTCTCGTAACAGGGGGACAGAAAGTTTCAAAAGGTGGGGTGATGGCGGGGTCGAAATTGGATTTCCTGCTGCCGTAAAGAAAAGTATAACACTATTGCAGGCTTGAAGGATTTTTATAGACTAGAAGATTTGCGAAACAACTGTAGTAGAAATTTTGATTCTTTTTGCCATTCGAAAAAAGAAAAAGCTTTTTGATATAGAAAGAAGCGTGGATGCTATTATGGCAGTCATTCTTCGGCAAACTCGCCGGCTAGCCGATAAGGTTGCATGATGGAAGCTAGTGCAGTCCCAAAGAGGCATCTCGATCCTGATCTATTTCTGGGCAGAAGCATTGATTCAGCGCTATTACATTATAACAGTGGAAGATTTTGAAGATTGTTTTTCGGTCCATGGTACTTAAAACTCCTTGTGAGAAGTTGACAATACTCCGGTCAGCATCTTATCCGATCAGGCTCGTGGGTGACAGTCATCTTTTGGACAGAATGACAAACAATTCACACTGGTCGATATGTCTTAAATTTCTCTGGGAATATTTGATAACTTTGAAGTTTACTTGAATTCAGTATTGAAAGCGTGAGAACTCTCGTCGTGGCTAGTCTTTTGTTGGAAGTTGAGAGTAGTAGACTTTCGATTTTTATTATATCTTCTGTGGCGCCTGTACAAGACAAATCCACCGTAAACAGCGAACATGGACATCTTCTGACACCGATTCTTACAAGACCCAATCTCAATTGAACGGTACGAGACATATATCAACATTGCATCTAGGCTCGGAGGGAGAAATTTGGGCGTGGATCTGGGCTTAGCTGGGGGGAAAAAAGTCTGGAAATGCACAACATTTCGGTGGCCAAGAAGACTAGGGAACATACAACCATTCTTAAGACTAAGCCAAGCGCGAAGTGGCAGTCAAAACTTCTAGTAGCCTTGTCGTTCCTTTGGTGCGTATCCCTCCTCAAGATATGCAATATCTTCCTTGGTCAGCTTCCCCGAGCTTGCAAAAGCAACAGCCTGGACCGCCTGATCAATTCTCTCCTTACTACTCAATCCAATGATCGGGTTGACACTGTCCTTGCTAAGGCACCAAGCAGTGGCAATGGTGGTCATCGAAACACCGTGCTTCTTGGCAATCTCCTCAACTCTGCCGATGACTTGCTTGTCAATGTCATTCTCCTTGGAACGGATCATGTTATTGAGGTAGGCATCAGTTTTCTCACGCTTTGTGCTTCGATCTGTAAACGGGCGGGCGAGAGCTCCTCGGGCTATTGGAGACCATGGAATAAGACCCACGCCAACATCACGACAATATGGAATCATCTCGCGTTCTAATGGGTTCATTAACTGTTACAGAGTGCTGAGATATTTTGAGAACATGATTTACATACCTTCTTCACGATAGATTAAGTTGTAGTAGTTTTGCATACTCACAAATTTCGCCCAACCGTGCTTGTCCGCGATGTTCTGAAGAGTTTGGAATTCCCAAGCAGCCATCTAGACGCCGTAAGTGTTGGCAATTGCAAATTAAAAAACAAGGGAATCCTTACACTGCTAGCGCCAATGTACCTGACTTTTCCACTCTCTTGGACATCGTTGAGGGCTTTCATGATCTCCTCTCTTGGCGTCTCTCGATCCAATCTGTGGATCTGCAGAACATCGATATACGTTCCCAATCTCTCAACACTCGCATCAACAGCATCCAGAATATGCTTCCTGCTCAATCCCTGTCTGTTGACAAAATCGCCGTCATTGACCGAGGCTGCAGAGATTGGTGGCTGGGAACCATCTTCGGCAACTCCAAAGTAGCATTTGGTCAATATGACAATTTTGTTGCGGGGGATCTTATATTGCTTGAGAGCCTTTCCAATAATCTTCTCCGAAAGACCGTTGGAATAGATGTCTGCAGTATCCCAAGTGTTGAGACCAACGTCGTAGGCGTGCTTGAGAAGAGGAAGAGCTTCATCTTCTTCAATCACCCATTCTTGCCATTTGCTTGATCCAAAGGACATGCATCCAAATATGACTTTGGAAATTTTAAGACCAGATTTGCCCAGGCGGGCATATTCCATCTTTGTTGTAGCAGACATGGTATTGTTAATGGTAATGTACTTGCTATGTTAGATGACTTCGGTTGCGTGAGGGGTTTTTGGTGGACGAGACTGGAGAGACGTTAAAAAGTATTTCTTTTTGTAAACGAGGTTTAGTTAATCGTCGTGACTATGACCTCAAGCTCGACAATCCTGGCTGTGCTTAGAAATTGGAAAGCCTATCATTGAATACCTTGTTGATGATCCGTACCGAAGTAAAGCTTGAGCGATTTGCTACCGTACCCCGCTTATCCACTGTGAAGCTCTCCACTCGCTAAATGCAATACGGTAACTCCAGCTTAAATCCGAAGACACCCGTGGTAATGAGTACGGCGATATCTCACGGTAGGATGTTGATTTCTGTAGACGTTATACCAAGATCAATTGTGTTCGTTCCTATTAGTCGTGCCGTAAGCACAGAGCCCTGTTGGGAGATGACAAGACACTAGAAACATTCACACATGCACACATATTTTGGAGTCACTCGCTGGAAGTGTTGGGTTCAGAAAGGTTCATTTCCCCGCATGAATATGGCCATCTAACCAGCTGCGAGAGCTATGCCCTCCATTTTCCGTCTCAGAGTAGAACTCTCTTCGTCTTCAACATCGATCTCGATCTCCATTTTCGGCCGGTTCTTGTTCAGCCCCTCCAGCAACATGCACGCCTTGCAAATATCTTGACTTGACATGTAACCACAGTTCTTGCATGTGCCCAACACTTGCCGAGTAAGCTTCTTGCCGAGTCCTTGTTTGGCACTACTTCGTTTCTCCTTCTCCCCATCCATTCTATCATGACGCTGGCCACTTGGGCCGGTGGAGGCCAAGGAAGCGATGTCAATCTCTCGGGTTGATGCTTCTTCATCCTGTTGTAACTTCTTCTCCATGTCGGCCATCTCTCCTCCACTCGTTCTACCATTCAAATTCCCACAGCCGCCAGCGCCATCTTCCTCGCCATCAGCACTTGACAACGAAACCTTCTGGCTCTTGCATTGGCTGATTCCTGTGACTTCTTCTGGTACCAGTTTAGCCATATCCTCACCACTGCGGACCACATCCAGAATAGCGCTTGGTCGCACTCGCTCCAAACTCTTGATCAGCGTCCTTGCGCTGCCTCTAAAAGCTTCTGGGCTATATATGCACTCGGTGCTGAAGTAATCGAGCTTCTTGTGGTGTGCGTATAGCACAATTTCTTTCTCGTATGCGTATTTCAGAGGCTTGCTCCTTCTGACTTCACTCATTTCGTCGCCCGTCACTATGCTCGTGCTTCGCGCAAGTCGTGGCAGGTCTCCTCTTAGCAGATTCATCAGAATAGTCTCAGCCACATCATCGGCGTTATGTCCAGTCACCACATGCTTGATCCCCAGCATTTTCGCTCCTCTATCCAAGGCCTGCCTTCGAAACACTCCGCAGTATGTGCAGTTTCCTTTCTTGCCGATGGTCTCCACAACTTGATCCATTGTCCATCCATATAGTTCGTCATATCCTACTATCTTCAATTCCATGTCGTACTGAATTGCATTTCTCTTGACGGTTACGAGGGAGTCATCTCGGTAGCCTTTGATTCCTTCATCGATGCTAAGCAGCACCAGATCCAAGCCATAGCTGTAGCGCTCGTTGAGTGTCTTGAGCACTGAAGCAAGTACAGTTGAGTCCTTCCCACCTGATGCACCTATTGCTATTCGGTCTCCTGGGGTGAAAAGCTTCGTGGTTGTGATGGTGTGGTGGATTTCTTCTTCGAATATGGCAATGAAACATGGCTTACAGAGCTTTTGAGCATTTTTTGGTCGTATTATTAGAGCTCTCGCAGTCTTGCAAATGGCACAAAGAGAAGGCGCCATCTTGGAAGACTGTGAGCGCTCGAAACGCAGAAATTCCAGTGTTGTGGTGGGGTCGAAATGCACCGCCAATATGTAACCAAACTCGAGCAAACAGCACAAACAGGATAGACACGTGATTAGCACACTAAGGTTAATTGCCAAGATTTTTAGCGTTCCACACTCCCACATTGGATTTGCGAATTTTCAAACTCTTACTCTGATCCCATCGACAACCACTCCGACAAATCGCACCTCCACCACAGCGATTCGATCAAGATGGTAAGCTATTGATACACCCTTCATGAAATAACTCGACTCGCCGCCACTCTCGTACCTCTACGAGCAATCGCACGTCGAGATGTACATTCCATCAACCACCCGAGGGTATTGATGATGATTTGGCTTGAGCTTCATCTGTGCAGAAATGCCAGTGTAGTCTCTTTAGAGTTCAAAGAAGATTATTAGTGAACATATTCGCTGATGACTTCTTTTCTCAATGATAGCCTCCTAAAGCAGGAAAGAAGGCTGCTCCAGCCCCGTTCCCCCAGTCTAAGGCTGGTTCAGGATCGAAGAAGGCCCCAAAGGTATGCGCATCTTTATCTCCCTCTCTCTGTCTCCTTTGGGTCAATACTAACATGCTTAGAACCCCCTCATCGAGAAGCGCACCCGAAACTTCGGTATCGGTCAAGACATCCAGCCACGTAGAAACCTGTCACGCATGGTGAAGTGGCCCGAGTATGTCCGCCTCCAACGCCAAAAGAAGATCCTCAACCTTCGCCTGAAGGTTCCACCTGCGATCGCACAATTCCAAAACGTCCTCGATAAGAACACCGCCGCTCAAGCCTTCAAGCTCCTCAACAAGTACCGACCAGAGAGCAAAACCGAGAAGAAGGAGAGACTTGTGAAGGAAGCCACTGCTATCAAGGAGGGAAAGAAGAAGGAGGATGTCAGCAAGAAGCCATACGCTGCCAAGTACGGTCTTAACCACGTTGTCGGCCTGATCGAGAACAAGAAGGCCTCCCTCGTCCTTATCCCCAACGATGTCGACCCTATCGAGTTGGTTATCTTCCTCCCAGCACTCTGCCGCAAGATGGGTGTCCCATACGCCATTATTAAGGGCAAGGCCAGACTCGGAACGGTCGTTCACAAGAAGACCGCTGCTGTTCTCGCTTTGACTGAGGTTCGCTCCGAGGACAAGTCTGAGCTCTCCAAGCTGGTTCAAGCCATTAAGGAGGGTTACTCTGAGAAGTACGAGGAGGCCAAGAGACACTGGGGCGGTGGTATTATGGGTGCTAAGGCTGTTGCTCGCACCGAGAAGAAGCGCAAGGCCCTTGAGAGTGCTATCAAAATCTAACTGCCTTCTTGATGCGTATGTCTTCGGCGTTTTTATGATATTATGGCTCTGGAAGGATTTGTAGCTAGGCGCAATCAAAAATCCGGCTGATGATACCATACTTTGGGGCTTTTCTTCGAATATCTTGAATTCTTTCAATCTACTCGTCCAAGTGAATTCCTGTCTGCTTATGAATACTTATTTTCACGTCTCCACGTTTCGTTAATCACATCTCATGACCCCCTCCTTCATGAATATCCTCGGATAACACTACTTGAAGGGGCAGGGGCGGCTGCTCAACCTCTATCGCAACAGTTCTATTCATCCAAAGTCAATATTTACTGTATTAAAAGCTTCTGGGGAAGCCCGAAGATAGCAACATTCTCAAACTCGTTTCATACTTCATACTCCAAGGCGTGCTTAAATCCTTTGGTGTCCTTGGCAATAGCAGCGGTGCCCTACTTGCCGGCCTTGATCGACAACAGGGACCCACTAGGTCAATAACTGCAAGATTGAGTTGTTGTTGGTCCCGCTTGGCTGAACTACTTTTTATTTGGTTACACTCAGTTCTCAACTATCTTTCTCCAAACTTCCGCTGAGATGAGCTGAGGGAAGGGCCGACGGGGTGCAAAAAATTCTCCTCCAGCAGATGCGATGAGGTATTTTGATGCACGATGGGTGTCGCCAACCGCCACACTGCTCGCTGAGTGGTGAGAAGGCGGTCCGAAGGGTTCTGGAAGGATGTCTCGGGTCCATTTCAATCTGCCTAGTCATGACCCTTGAAAATCCCACGCTCAAGGTTGAGGTCACATTTGCCAGCGCCACGAATAAACCCACCGGCAACTACGAGTACCTTAACCTGGCCAAGCGCCCTTCTCTTCCCCCATTACACCCCCAACATGACTTCGTAGCCTGTACTTGGGCGACTCTCGGACGGACCCGTGAGACGTAGGGCCACCGGGACTCGTTTGATGTCTCCCAACAGCCGACAGGGGTACTTCGGACCTCCTCAACCTTCATATATTCGGCCTCCTCCCCCATCTGGCCATCATCGTACGATATCCAAAAACATTCCGTTGCTCTCCACTTCTTCTCCACGACCCCATCATCATCTGCGCACTCCTCTGTATTTCGGAAAGATTGTACTACGCCTGCCGCCATAACCTACCCTGGTCGCCCCGCGATAAGACGCTTATCAGTTTGACAGGTCTAGCTCCCGCGAAACTAACTACCATTCACACAAATCACAACTCGCGCCATTTCCAATTCGCCAACCATCGTCACGTCCTCCCAATTTAGAATATTCGCAGCTTCGACGAGGAACTGACTTCTATTCTTCTTCACCAAGACATTTTGCATCTACTGCCGTTGTTGTTTCATCCTATCAATTTAATTGCAATGGGCTCCAACCGTAAGAACAAGCTCTCACCGCCGACTTGCTACACTTCCTACTCTCCTTCGCGCAAGCCTTATTATGCATGTTCTTCTTGTTACCCGGAGGAGAGACTGCAGCAGAACAAAATTTGAAATCAAGATGAAACTGATGATTTGCCGCTCGAATTAGAAAGAAATACCTTCGAATACGCGCTCAAGTCCAACGAAGCATGGGCCAACTACAAAGGTCACCAGAACCCCGCGTTCTTCGAGAAGCTGGCAAGAGGACAAAGTCCCACCATCTGTATGTTCCTCTTTAACTCTATGACCCGATGAATCTTTTGCGGTCAGATCTTGACACATTTCTTTACAAGTTCTTGCTGTGCAAATTTGGAAACCCTTGGCTGATACATTCGCCATTTCACAGTATGGCTTGGCTGCTCAGATTCCCGTGTACCGGAAACAACACTTCTGGGATTACAACCCGGTGATGTCTTCGTACACCGCAACATTGCCAACATTATTTCACCCACGGATATCAACTCTATGGCTGTGATAGAGTATGCCGTCGTACATCTTAAAGTCCAACACATCGTTCTCTGCGGCCATACATGTTGTGGTGGAGCTGGAGCTGCACTTGGAGATGGTAGAGTCGGCGGAGTTATCGATGCATGGATCACACCACTAAGAATGCTGCGCAAGAACAACGAGGTGGAACTCAAGGCCCTCCGTGATGACGGAAAGAAGGCCGTCAGGCTTGCAGAGTTGAATGTCGAGATGGGAGTTGGAAATTTGATGAGCAGTTGGTTTGTCGAAGAAGCGATCAGGGATCGCGGCTTGACTGTGCACGGTGTGCTCTACGACGTTGCTTGCGGCAAGATCAGGGATCTGAAAGTCGGAACCACAGGCAAGGAAGGGTACCCAGGATCATCTACCCAGGAGCAGCCGGGAGAGATCGTCAAGGGAAACCACGGAATGCTGGTTTTCAGTGGAGACGTGGCTACGATGGCTACGAGATAACATGGCAGAGTGAACATTCGCAAGGGCTGCATTTGTACATTGCAAGATCGAGCGTGTTGAGAACGGATACCCTGAGATTATTGGCAGGAAGGCTATTTGGATTTGAAAACCGGGAGGCTCATCAGCCTGTTGCTTGGAGCTAGGCGTTCAGTTCAGTCGACATGAAACCTCGCTCAGATTTTGGATGAGAAGGAAACGGGGAGTTACCAAATCATATTTTTATACCAATTCATTGTCTTGTAAATGCTCGTGCTTGCCCCCACGATGTATCTGCATTAATATTACCCCTTGACGAACTTCCTTAACAGCGTTGCTGATATAGGTATTTCGCGAGGGTTAATGCGGTATACAACATCTCATGTTCCCAAAGAGGTGACCGCTACTGCCTAGATGTTGGCATTCAATCGAAATCTGATCCGACTTTCTCGCGATCATTCCATACATCTCGTAACCCATCATACGTGGCGATGATCGTAATCCAATAACATTTCCGCTTCCGATTTCGTCTGACCACCCAAAAATTTTGCTGCCTCTCGGGATACGGGTACGCCATGCTGTATAGAGTTCATGTCAAGTATGTCTACTCATCTTTAGAAATTTTGCACAGTCGTTCCGATGTCCTTTGCCATAGCTAACTTGACGACTTCTCCTCCGACGACCAGGTCCATTAGGCCCATACCAACACTCTTGTAAATAACATTGCCGCTGCTCAACCATCTGCTCATCTGGTCTTCCTTCTCAGTCTGCTCCTTTCTTCTTCTACCGCTCTGCGACGAGACGCTAGTGCTTCTTGATGGTCGAAGCGAGAAAGATGACTTGCGATTCAGACTGAACGATGACTTCCTAGATGGGCTTCTGGAAGATGACCTAGGACTCTCGATGCTTGAATCGCCAAATATCTTGGACATGCTTTTGACTCCATCCGGTGATATCGAAAGATCACCGAAAGAGCTTGGTGGACTATCCTCAATGGGTAAATCGTCGTCATGCGGATGCATCTGATCCAACATGACGAGCTCTCCTAGTTCTACAGTCCGGTCTGATCTCACTCCCGCTTGTACTAACTCGCCCGCTTCTTTGAGGCATTCAAGACTGTCCACGACGATGACGCCGCCTTCTTCGGCTCGCTTGTGGAAGTGGTGACCAGCTCCATGCACTTTGATGGCTTGATTTACGACTTCAGTTGGGACTTCAATCATATGCGGCTTGTAGCTTCCGACGGCTATGATGAGTCGAGGTCTCATTCTCCCTTCCGTATTCGTCAAGATAGTGTGGTCGAAAAGCGGTTCGGTCGAGGGCGTCGTACAGAAGATCATGTCAGAAGCTCGAAGCCGCTGCTTCAGGATCCTGTCTATCTCGATGTACTTCAATGAAGCCAAATCAAATTGTGTGTCCACCCAGCCCTCGGTCCGCTTTGTAGCCATGTCATATGTTACGAAAGACCTCATAATCCTTGTTGCTCGCTCGTTGAAATCTCGATTAATGAAGTGAACATTCTTGATTGTTGAACCGCGCAGTAGAAGGGCAAGTCTCACATGCCAGTATGCTTGTTTTCCCGTTCCGAATACTGTTATGGTCTTGACTTTGGTGCGGCGTAGCATCAGGAGAGAGGACGCCAGTGCAGTCCGGAATGCAGTGAGCTCTTCGGCGTTCAGAAAACCAAACGGCTTGCCGTTGCTGTCCATGAGCGAAATAGCGCCATATAGAGTCGCATCTGCGTTCCCAGTGTTCGCTGCCGCAGGGTTCGATGATGGCGAAGCAAGAGTGACAACTGCAAAGAGGTCAGTGCCTAGATCATAAGGATAAGATTCTGGGTCTTACCTTTGACTGCCAGTGCAGACGAGCTTATGGATGGCATAAACAGGGTCGTGGTCCCAGTACTGGCTGATTCAATGACTGTTCGCTTTGGTTGGTTGTCTGCACAAGCTCCAGAGTTGGTTGTACCGGTGGCATATTCATGTATTGCATTTCGCATAGCAATCTGTAGAGTCTCGACATTCTCCTTGGTCAGATTGTTCAATACTTCCTTCACATTCTCGTCGCTCAGCACGGTGAGGGGCATATTGAAGGTTGCTGCTGTTGTTTCGTGGTATATTCCTAGTTCCAGAGGAGGCTGAGGACTATCCCATGTCCTGTGGAGGTTCTTTTGAATGAGAATGGCAAGATGTTCGAAAGTCTCCAAATTTACGGCATGGTCAGATCTTGCGTGATCTTCAAAGACTTTGTTTCCAAGTTTGGAAAACTCCCAAGCCTCATCCGTCTTTTCAAGTGCTTATCTGCTTGTTATCTTAGCGTGAGAATACCCAGATCGAGGGGTCAGGTATCGGCGTCGGGGATAACGAGACGGATTTTGGAGCTCCTTGCAATCGAGGTTAGATCTGGAGGTTGGACTCAAATCTATGACTCAAATCTATGTCAGTAATGAAAGATGGCATAAAATTGACAGAAGAAAGCTGGAGGCGATATGTTGCGCACTTTATTGGTTCGTCTTGGTGAGCTTGCTGCATACCCACCATGCCTTGAAGCATCCTTGCATTCCCCACACTAGGAAGGGTGTGTGTACAATTATGTGCTAACAAAATGATCAAGATTGGTGTACAATGCTTTGGGTTCCATTTTCGCCTTACTATCCAGGAAGTTTGAAACCGGCCTTGAAGAGTGAGAGAGTGTAGGTATTCAAGCCATCGAAAATTAAAAGAAGACGGTCGTGCTCGCTTACCTCCCAAGACCCTTTTTAACATCTAGCACTTGGAATTGTCCATGGACTGGATTACTCTTACAGGGTTTTTCTTAACCATGGAGCAGCTGAGTAGATGGCTGAATAATACAAAATTATTTGAGCATAATTAATGAACGTTATTTGAGACCTACAGTAAGTCTAACAGACGAGGGCCCTTGTTTCTGAGGGCAAGTTGTCATCATCCTTGTGGCAATGGTTTGGCAATGAAAGGTATTATCTGTAGAGATAGCCTATCCTCTATGCTTAACGAAAGCTTCCTGCACTTTCATGCCTTTGGCCACATCTTGTTTCACTCTGTCATCCGCCACAACAAGGTCAGGCAAGAGTGATATGACTTGCTCAACATGCTCATGAGGGATCACAACAACGCCGTTCGTGGAGTCACTGAAGACAAGATCTCCTGGTTTGATGACAGTGCCTTCAATATCCAGGGGCACTTGAACGGCATGAGGCTTGGATTCTGCTCCTGCCCCAACGACTGAGAGCGCTTTGGCCCATATCTGGTAATTTTAGCGCTTCGATTTCTCATACTTTAAGATGATTCGGTAGGAGGAAAAGGAAAGATAGAGAGGGAAGTCGACAAACTCACAGGAAGACCAGTGGACTCTAACTCTACAATGTCTCTAGCCCGACCACTTATTACCACACCCGTGGCATTCAATACTTTCATGCGTAGCGCCATGATGCCCCCAAGAACAGCACATTTCTGTCCTTCAGGTTGCTTCATGACCACAATAGTCTCAGGTTGGGTGAGGTCAACATAATGTTTTCCGGCTGGAATATTTGTTGCAGGATAGTTTGGCGCGGGCCCTGCCTTTGGAGCAAACAGAACTGTGGAAGCTGGTGCGATTGTGATTTCGGACCTTGAGGAACCAGCAACAGGAGCAACAAGCTTCAGATCTGCTAAAAAGCCGGCATTAGGTACTTTCAACTTGAGAAGCGCATCGGCAACGTCGCAAGCTGTGTACTTTTGTAAAGTTTGGAGCTGTTCTTTGGTTGGTCTTGACGTAGCCATCAGTCGGAACTGCGAATTGAGATGAGGCTCGTAGACTGAGAGCTTTTGGGCTGAAGGCAAAGATTGAACTGGTGGCTGAATGAATTTGCACCTAGTAATTCTTTTAAGACTCTGCATCAGAAAGTGGGAGGTAGGCAAATGAATGAGAAAGCAAACAATGTTGAAAGCGATGTGAGAGGAGGGCAATGACCTCGGCTAGAAAGGGGCTCCGCTGCTTTTGCACTCAACCACCTCATCAAAGCGGCCATCGTATTTTCCTTCGTCTTCATATCTAGATATGGCTTGGAAGAGAGGTACTAGGTATTATTTGCCAAGGAATTCTTAAACCAATCATATTGAAATTGTGTTTCCGTTCAGAAGCCTCTTCTGAGCATTATCTGAAAACCCAAACCTCTTTTCATTGACGTGGACCAATTCTTCGAACATGGAGGAGTTGCGAATTCTGACTCGCACACCATGCCATGGATATCATAGCTGGTGTAAAGTCTTGCATGCATGTTCCCGGCGCCCAGGCGGAACAGGATGCTTGAGGAATCTTGAAATGTTCTCACGCAAGGTTATCCTTGGAACGATATCAATAAGTTTGCAGGCTATGTGCTCCAGCCTGTAGCTATTGTGAAGATCCAAACAGGGGACCTCTGGTGTGCGGGGACTTCATGAACACCAATAGCTAGTAGGCTTCTTCAGACTTTGTGAGCGCCAGTCACAATCATGTTAGCACTGCAGGTTGAGACTCATTCTAATGAAATCTACTCGAAACTATAAAAAGCTCACTGTAGATGTGCGTCCTGAGGAGGGAGTTCTTGTGACTTCATCCAATCTTTAATAACTTTGTCATTACAGAGAAAGCCATTCCAGATCGGTAAAATCCCATGACTGGTGGGAAGGAATCTGATTCTCTTGGCAGTGGCCAGATGACGAATATGACGCTCGACGGGCCAGGCCGAAAGCTTTAATACCCATATCTGCCATTCAAGTTTCAACTACCCATCTTCTCGCACTGCAACCAAAATCTGGACGCCCAGCATTCCACATTGTTTTGACGGCAAGAAGACCAGACGCTTGTGCAGCGGATCCCAGAACATTTCCATCCGCAGCCTCTCACAGCTTCAAATCCCCGCCCCACCATCTTTATCCAGCCATCCACGCCATCAGAAGCATCGAAGCGCGAAGCTTTCCCGACGCCATATCTGCACTTCCAAACCCCGTTCACATCTGTAGGATATCGAGTGGTAGTATTAGGCAGCTGCTGTTCACACACTTGCAGCATAAACCTCCCGCCGAACCGAACAAGAAAGCTCCCTCCTCTCACGGCTCGATCTCGACCCCACTCTGCATATCTGGTCGCATCGCATCTGCCGCGGGGAAGAATAGGTAATTAGCAAGTGTCAAGATGTCAATCAAGTAAGTCTTTCGCTTCTATCAAGCGCATTTTCGCACTTTACTTCTCTCTTCGTTACTTCTCTACATGGTTTCTATTTTACGGCGATGTATCAATTTCATCAGGAGCAACATGCCTATGCCTTACGGCTAGCTCAAGACAATGTGCTAAAGCACGCCCGTGGTAGCTGGGTTATGACATCGCCCAACGAGGCTGGCTTTGTCAAATTACCAAACGAACGAGTTCTCTATACATCACCACCGCGAACAAGCTTACAGCTCTCCACCCCGAATGAGTTTCCTGGAGCACAGCCTTTCTCAGTGAAGAGTGATACAGGGATTGTATACCTCACAAATCAGCGGGTATGGCAATATTTTCCGAGCTTCTGAAGCCATGTTGACCTTGAATAACAGATAGTCTACCTTCCATCAGCTCCTACTTCCGAACTCCAATCTTTCTCTTCCCCTATCCTCAACCTCCAAGACACTTATGTGAGAGCGCCCTTCTTCGGCGCGAACTACTGGATTGCCTTGTGTAAGCCAGTTGCCGGCGGCAACATCCCACCAACGCACTCTGCAATCGAACTACGCTTTACATTTCGAGAGGGCGGAGCTTTCGACTTCCATACAATCTTCGAGCAAATTAAAGAACGTTTGTACCAGGCATACACTGTTGCTCGGGAAACATCACAAAGAGACGCCGCTGGCAATATCGACCTAGCCAATGTTCATTTGGAGCAACTACCGGCGTATGAGGCAGCCAGGGAAGTGGTGGAGGACGATGGACCTACTATCTTAAGCCCGATCCCAACACGTCCGGTAAGGGACAGTGGTGTGGATGGTGTGAGAAGTCCTATCACAAGCTCGGCACCAAAGCCGGAACCGTCCGGAGCACCAGCACCAGACGAACCCCCACCAGATTACGAAGAAGCCCAGGCTCAAGCAGTTGGTATTGATTTGGACCAGAGACTGAGGCAAAACGCGGAGCGATAGGATAGGCCAGAGAAGGTTGTAAATACATTCACGCATTCAATGGGACTGCATAGAGCGGGAAGAATTCTTGCAGCGGATCATGGCGTTTCGTTTCAACCAGGAGAGAATTACTCCATGACGATCTTACGTATGGAGTTTGAGAGCCGAGTTATGGCAAAGATGACATATATTGTTCTGTATAGCAAGGGGATTTCGATCTGACGAAGGGCTTGCCGCGTTCTTGGACTTAATGCTCACATGAGCGATGCCCGAGTGACTTCAGAAACCCTCCCTACGAGATACCTTGCGTGTAAAATTGTGCATAAAAACAGCAATAAGTAATGCCAACAAGAATAAATGAAAATAAAATCCAATTGATCATGACAAAATCTTTGCGCAACGCAGACATTGGGGGTATGAAAGTTTCCGGAAACTTCAGGAGATCCAGTCCGTCACGTGGATGTCCTCTAGCTCAAAATGTGGCTCGGCCAATCAATACGTCTCAATTCCAAAAGCTCAGATCGTTCGGTTCGTGAGAGATCTTTCCGCTCCACCTTGATCGAATCGAACGCAACACGCATCACCAATTCGCCCCATTGAGCCATCAGTCGTCCAATTGCGATAATAGCCAAGATGGGATTCTTTGATAGCTTCAGCGACATGCTGGAGGCGGCGCTACCATGGGGCTCGGCCGAGGCGGAGGCCCAGAAGGAGCAGGAAGAAGAGGAGGATTCGAAGGTACGTTCCTTCTTTCTCGTTGTTGGCACAAGAGGTTGGAACTGTGCTGCGGATACCTACAAGGAATGTTTGCGCAGTACCTGTGTCACAGATGGAGTGCTAGACATTACAAGTGCCATGGGAGACTTGCAGGCAGAATCGCCAGAGCATTGAGGATGTTCTGTTACGTGTTTTATGGGCAATTGGAGGTCATGGCATGAGCGGAATCCATGGAACAGCTGCTAACTTGATTTCAACACAGGATGCCTCCGAAGACAGTGAAGAGTCAAAGGATGAGCCCGAAGAAGAAGCCGCCGAGGAAGAAGAGGAGGAGGAGGAGGAGGAGGAAGAAGAAGACATGGTGGACCCAAAAGAGAAGCTCGAGGAGGGTGAGTTCCCATATTCTTTTCTGGACAGTTGGGCGATATGGTCCACATATGGAAGCACGGCAGCGTGCAATGTTCTTTGAGAATGGGCCTCTCGGACCTGTGCTCGAGTCAACAACGCCCTACCAAGGACTCCACGCCGTCCGCACGAAGCTGTTCCGTCAGCCAGCAATATCAGACTAGATATCGACTACTCCTAGCACATTCTTGGCGATGGCTTGGGACATGGGAATGAGCAGATTGCCAGCTACGGCAGAAGGAGAATACCTTCTCGACACCTCAATAATACTGTGGCGGAGGCTTTTGCATTGAACCTTCCTTGGAGACGGGGTTATAGATCCGGACATTTTATTATTCTTCGGGCGAACGATTTCAGGGAGCTGAGCTAATGATGAGCAGAATGCAAGGAGTCCAAGGCTTGCTCTCCGGCAAAGCACCACTTCGATGAGTGTGTTGAGCGGGTTACTGGTGCCCAAGAGCACAGTTCTGACAAGAAGCACCCCGACGAGGATTGCGTAGAAGAATGTAGGTCAAGATTTCGCCCCAATTGAACGTCGAGATTGACATTGCACAGTCTTCCATCTCGCCCACTGTGCAACCGCGTGTGCCGCACCAAAGCTTTGGGCTGCTCTCAAGTAGAGTCCTGGGCATCCTCATATATAAAGCACATCGAAATGCTCAGACGACTTAGATGATAGGGGGGAGGTTATAGCAGGCAGGATTTGTACAAATCGTGTTTTTGTATGATGGGCGACACCACTTTTTGAGCGGTTCTGCATGTACAGTAGGGGAGAGCTTATAGACGGTACCTTGGTCAAGCGCTTTCTGTGATGTGCATATTGACCAAGCTCGTCGTCGACAGTACTTTCACAAGTGTGGACACTCGAACTGGTATTCTGGGTTGACGCTCCAGTTTCTGATTTTGCCATTATCACCCCGTGTGCAGTCCAGGACCGAAAACAGTACAGTTGCCGTTCAATCTTAGCTCTCCATAATGAACACACGTTCGAAATAAGACTTGCATTTATTCAGAGAGGTGACAGCTACCTCGGTCTCTCACAGGATAACCAACCTGCACGATATCACACTTGGATATTGTTGCGGACCGGCGGTGTCTGGATTTGGATTACCTTGATATCGGCCTTGCCAATTCAAGCAATTGACCCGGCGACCACCACGAGACCTTATCTTCCAGTCTCTTGAGCTCTTTCCCCTCTCCGACCTGCACGAACATATATTTCTGCGTGTAGCCAGTATTTTCTTGACAGCATATTTTTATGAATGCCACCCAGCGAATCCACCGTAAAGAAGATCCATATACCAGGGTTGAACCGTAAGCTCGGATCCTTCAAGCGTATTTTGTGGAGCACCTGTAATCTGGGGTGAGACGCCATGGGGTCGCCTCCAGGACCAGGAGCCAATGTCAGCGCGACAGAGAAACCAGAAGTACAAGAACCCACCTCCTCTGCGCCGGAGGCAGACAAAGCTGGCGTTGCTATCAACCAGAAACGCTCTTCTGCTGAAGGGGAGACGATTCCGGGTTGGACAATTATGAGGCCGTTGAGAATGCGTGGACTAAAAAGCAAAGGTAGCGCGACGCACTCGAATGGAAATGGGCAGAGCGCGGATAGGAAAGGGGACCTCAAAACGACAGAAACAAACGTTACCAATGGCAGTGGGGATGGGCCTGGAGGAGTTGGGGAAGTCGAAGCCTTGCATGAAATCCGCAGCAACGATGAATTACTCGGATCCGATGATGAAGGAGTCTCAGCTCGGCGCGTTGTCGTAGAAAACTCGGCAGAAGATGAGGTGATAATAACAAGTAGTGAGACTGAGTTCAAGGTGTACAAAAGACGCTGGTTTGGGTTGGTGCAACTGGTACTCTTGAATATAATTGTGTCGTGGGACGTAAGTGGAACCTATAGTATTCAGCCAGCCTCGCAATAGACAGCCTTGCTAATGCACAACAGTGGCTTACCTTCTCCGCCAACTCTACGACCGCTGCCGAATTCTACCACGTAACATCCTCGAGCATCAACTGGATCAGTACGGCGTTTCTATTTTCGTTCGTTGTAGCATCTCCAGTCGTTGTCTTCACTCTTCACCGTGGAGGCCCGAAAACGGCCATCATAATCGCCTCAGTTCTACTCCTAGTGGGAAATTGGATAAGATACGGGGCTACAAAGGCAAGGAAGCATGGAAATTTTGGTGGTCTTATGTTTGGACAGATCTTGATTGGATTGGCACAACCTTTCGTACTTTCGGCTCCATCTCGATACTCAGACCTGTGGTTCACAAATCGAGGAAGAGTAGCAGCTACCGCCGTCATGAGTTTGGCAAATCCCTTGGGTGGAGCTTTGGCCCAACTTATTGGCCCAGCCTGGGTCAGCAAGGCTTCTGATATTCCGAATCTGGTGCTATATGTCTCTATCATTGTGAGTCCAGAGTTGACACTTACGCTACCGATGCTGACATTTTCTAGGCCTCTGTTGCAACTATTCCTTCATTCTTCATCGCAGCAAAGCCTCCTACACCTAGCTCTCACTCGGGAATGCAGCCAAAGCACCAGCTTCGACCATCCCTACGCTTCTTGCTCACATGTCCAGAATTCTACATGATCGCGATACCATACGCCTTTTATGTAGGACTTTTCAACAGCATTTCGTCACTCATCAACCAAATCCTTCAGCCCTACTCCTTTACCGAGGACGAGGCAGGTATTGGAGGTGCCCTCTTGATTGTGGTGGGTTTGGTAACATCCGCCATCACCTCACCGATCATTGACCGTACAAAGTCGTACCTGATTGCTATCAAAGTCTGTGTACCCATCATTGCCCTCTGTTATCTAGCATTCACTTGGGCACCTCAGACGAGAACCATTGTCGCTCCATATGTCATCTTGTCTGTTCTTGGTGCTTCGTCTTTCAGTCTCGTTCCCATTGTCCTTGAGTATTTGATTGAGATCACACATCCTGTGGCACCTGAAGTCACTAGCACAATTTGCTGGACCGGTGGTCAGCTCTTAGGAGGAATTTTTATCATTGTGTCGGATGCACTGCGGGCTTCGGGAGCAAATGATGGCACCGCAGATGATCATACCAACAGACCTCCGGGAAACATGTACAATACCCTAATCTTCCAGACAGTCCTTGCCCTGGTTGTTGTGCCTTTACCACTTGCACTGGGCTGCTGTGGCAGACATAAAGGTGTGAGAATGCGGAGAGTCGACGCTGACAGGCAAGCGGCGGAAAGGCGCTATATTGCCAATGGGGGAGTAGTGGCAGTTTGAGTTGCAGTTACGATCGTTGGATATTCAGGGCCAATTGGATATTCCAGATACATACCACCTCCAATAAACTATTGTTGGATCATATCATTCAGAGTTCGTCTTCTCCTATAGATTGTGACCCCAAGTTTGATGCAAGTCTGCAATGCTGGATATGCCTTGTGGCAAATACGGAGGGACAGACCCACCAGATACGATCCCAGAGCATGCATACTAAAGAGCACACTGAGGTCTTACTACATTGCCTTCTTACCAGAGTATCTTCATTCCAGGGTGGTGATTTCCGTAATTCTTATAAGAGGCTGGTTTTAAAAAATGGCCACAAAGCGAGCCTCATATCAACAAAAGAGCTGCGTGTCATTTTGAGTATTCTCTTTCGCGAGGTGTGAAGAAGTATGGATCGGCTCCATACGCTCGGGTTAGCACACTCAAGAGGCATAAATATTGTGATAAAATCAGGGTAGAGGTCGAACAGGACCTATAGAAGGAGAAATATTACTTGTCAAATCTGAGACAAGCTTTCTCTTCTCTGAGCAACGTTGCCTGGCAAGCGATCATACAAGAATCCGTGATTCTTTTCGGAAAAGTTCTAAAGCCTCGGAGAAGGCTGAGAAGTATGAGAATGGGTGAACTTCAAGGCTCAAGAGACAATGTAAGCAAGTATTCTCATTAAAGATTCATTGTGTATCAGGTGGCAAAGTTTCGCTGAGCACTTCAGACGCTCTTCTCTTCCCACGAGTTTTAATTGTACCTGCACCGACGAATTTCAAAACCCATTCTCGAACTCGTCGCGTCTTGTCCACTTGAGGTTGCATGCCTTCCTTAGGTACTAGTTCACCTGCCCTATAAATTCCACCAACATCAGTCTTGTCGATTCGATTTCTGTAAAGAAGGTGAACCTTGGTCATTTCCTTCCTCAAACTCTGTCCATATACCTTCCCACGAAAGCTATTCAGAGCGACATTGCGTATTAGTACCACATCTTGCGGCCGCAGACACTCTAGCACCGTCCTCATATCTCCTCCTGTGGGCTGAGAAGACGACAACCAGAAATTGACCCCAAATCCGGATTTTGTCTCGTCGCCAACGAGTATTTCGACCAATGAGACATCTGCTCCTCGACGTGTCCTGACTGCCCGGGGCTGTGGCAAGGAGATGATGCCAACAATGAGATTTACCGTCATTGTCTGTGGTTGAATAGAGCTAAGATATGCTGCTTTAGGAATGTTCTTGAGGTCTGTCAAGTGACCAGCTATGGGCACTTCCTTTTTAGACCCAGGTGCTTGGTACTGAGAATCGAACGAAGCAGAGTTCGATGAAAATTCATCACTCGTAAAAGAGGATGGTCCTTCTGATGTAGGGGCTATTTGAGAAGAAGGCACATCTTCATGGCGGGCGTAAGATTCCTCGTAGAACTGAGACAGGACTTGTGAGACGGACGCCTGAGTCGAAGGGAAAGAATCGCCTAATATTTGAGCTTGGGAGAACTCCAACTCAACTTGTGAAGTGGTGAAGAAGGAAGTGTCTTCGGCTTCCTGAGTTTCTGAGTACCCTGTAAAGAGCTGGTATTGATCGAAGTTGTCAGGCGGTGTCAGGCCTGTGTTCAAGTGTTGACGGTTTAATGGCAGAGATCTCCATTGTGGATGACTTGATACAGCGGATACAGAGTCGGATGCGAGCCCTATAAACTGGGCAATAGGTTCGATGAAGGTATTCAGAAGAGCATCTTGATCCCAGCTGAGGGTACGAGCTGACGGAGAACCGGTGAAGAAGATCAAACCAGGAGCCATCTTCCTGTGGCCAATGAAGACAATTTCACTGCATCCTCTCGGACCCGACGGGAAATTTTAGTGTTCCGGAGATAAAATGGAACATGAGGGCGTTAAAAGCCAGATGCCATGCCTCGTTGGATGCAGATTACTATTTCTACGAAGGAGCCGCGTCATCCCTAATAGAACTTTATCAAACAAGAAATGAAGTCGAGGTGTCAGGATAAAGACATCGTGTCCGCTCGTCTCCCCATCAACAGAAGACTGTTGTCTGGAGTTGCACGTTTGTCAGCAACAATTTGATTACAAATCGCGGATCTGATTAGCACAATACGGCGCTCGGAAGACGGAAGACCCCACGTACGGAGTAAATACATACCTTAGGTAGCGAGGGCAGGTACCTGGAGTTGGTGTCTGCGCCCGGCCCCACCATGTCGGCTTCGACATACAAAAATACCCAACAGTCCCCCAGAGTTCCAGCACCGCAGCAGCGCAAGAGAACTATGGCGGCCACTTTCAAATCATTCCTAAATACTGCACGACAGACAATATCGGGTACAGCCACGCCAGCCGGAATACCGCCTTGCACCGAGCTTTTCCCAAAGGTTGACCCAAAAGTGGACGGAGACGATTGTGACCATGATTGCAATTCCTGTGTCGTCAAATATCCCAAGGGCTTCAAAATTGAGGAGGATGACCAGCTTTATGGTCAGGTGAAGGGATGGAGTACACATGTCTTGGTTGCTACTGGAAAGACGGATTGGGTTCGAGATGTCGCAGATGAAAAAGGAAGTCTCATGGAAGCGATTGAGAAGAAAGCAGATGTGAAAATCAGTAATGGCGTGAGTAAATGTTGCGAAATGTCTACCAGTACCCATATGCTAATTGCCTGTGCAGAGACTCATGCTATCAGCCTCGAATATACCCACTCCGACCCATTCCTCAGATTATGATGAACCTACGACAGTCCTGCTTCTCCCCGCCTTTATTGTGGTAGAAAATGTCACTCCCAAATCCGTTAACACTCTGATCTCCGAATACATCAATAAAGCACCAACAAATATGACGCCTCTTGGGCCAGTTTCCATACCCGCCTCAATACCAGACGCTCTTCCTACGGCGGAACAACTCACTTCTCGACCTTCTCCACACCGCGCACTCATACTCCTGTGTTCACAAAAGACTCGAGATGCTAGATGCGGACAATCGGCGCCACTGTTGAGAAAAGAAATGGAACGACATCTGAGAATTTGTGGTTTATACAGAGACCTAGATGACGAGAGACCTGGGGGAGTAGGCATATACTTTATTTCGCATGTTGGAGGGCATAAGTACTCCGCAAATGTTATGGTCTATCGGAAGGCAAATGCTTTTGGACTCGACAAGGTTGAGAGAGGAAAGCTGGCTGGCGAAGTATGCCCGCCACCTTCAAAGGGAACCCCCGATGAAGTGCAAGAGGGTGCTGCACAGTGTATGTGGATTGCGAGAGTCAAGCCGGAGGATTGTGAGGGCATTATTAAATTTACAGTCCTGCAAGGAAAGTTGATCAAGCCAGAAAGCCAGTTGAGAGGTGGGTTTGATAGACAGAAGGGACTGTTCAGTTGGTAGGAAGGCCAATTTTGGTCCGCATCAGCATAGAGGAGCATGCAGCATGTCTTGGATTGACTAGAGGCATTAGATAATTAGAAATTTAGACGGAGTTGATGGAGCATTTGGAATGACATTTGGGGTTCTGGAATGCAGGTATTCTTGCAGGCAGCTCTTATTGACTCGAAATTCGTGAACAAAAATTGCTTCCATACTGGTGAGGTCAGATCTATGTCACTTGTATCTCAAGCTTTCGACGAAGCATTTAGAGCCCTTCCATCACTCTCACAGCACTGACGACGCTAATAGCTCTCAAAGCTTGCCAAGAAAAGGAGCTCGTCGGAACATGATAATATGATATGAAAAACACATCTGATGAAGTGTTGGATTGCTTTGATCGTTAACTCAGGCGATACCAGGATGTTAACGTTCACTTGTAACCGGACATGCTCAATGATTAGGCAGGAGTTGCCTAGATGGGACTTTCTGAAGCAAACAAGAAAGGAAAGGTTGGTATGCGGGTTTTAAAGAATGTAGACTAGAATCGCGAACTCCAGTACGCTATTCACGTAGCTTCCTGGCTTTGTCGTGTCGGCTTATGCTAGCATGTAAGATTGTCATCCACAGGCGACTAATTTTCGTACCTTCAATTCTTCCTGGGCTGATCAGCAATCTTGAATTCTCTCGTGGACCGCCCAGCTTCCCATTCCAATCAGTTTATCGAGTGGTTAGGATAGCAGGCACTGGAGAAACAGGGCTTTGGTCCTTAGTTGATGTCTGATATACACCACGGAGATGATAACAGGCTTCAATTGACCTAGAAATCACGATCACGATCCACTGATGTGCAGAAGGGCTAGTGCTTTTCAAGCGTGGCGGGTGGAGCTGGGTAAATTCATGGGCGTTGCCCCGGGCAACCAGTCTATGATCAACAACATCGTGGGGGAGCTCGATCTTCAACCTCATCCTCCACATACCATTGTCGACACGATGCCCATTATTTGCATCACTGCAATATAATCTGGAGCAGCAACTGGCATTATTATACGAAGTGTTGCTCATCATGGCTTCGCATTATCCTCAGCCGGATTCTTACCACCACACGCGCCCCAAATCATCTGTACTCGCCGGTCTACCTTTCATTCACAGGAGAAACCCCTCAGCCGGAGCTGTACTCTCTTCTAACGCACCATCCAACGAGTTCGTCGCCACTCCAGTGTACGAAGCAATGCCGTTTCTTCCACCGGACCATCCCCATTCTCGAGCCCTGGGAGAAATCCATCAGAATCAACAACCTCAACCTCCAGTCTCGCCAAAGAAATCGAGGGAGGGGAAGCGCCCAAATACGACTGAGGAGGGGTTCAAGTCGCTACACAAGAAAACTTTGAGTTCCATCTCACTAAAGTCTTTGGCTGGCAGAGATTCCGACAAGGTTACAAAACCAAAGGAATCCAAATCCAGCAAGCCGAAGAAGACGAAATCATCAACCAATCTCGCAACCCTCCTCTCGCGCCCAAAGTCGTCGAGAAGTCTACACAAAGAGGCCGAAGCCGAAGCTCGCGCACAGAAAGACAAAGAAAACCAAACACCGATCTCGTCGTCGCCTTCAGAAGCAACCCGACCCCCGCCAATATATGCTCAGTTCTCCACCGAACATTTCGCGAAGCAACCACTAGGAGGGAAATTTCTTGAGGACGAGATAGACCGATACACCCCGGAGAATTACTCTCCAGGAAAGCAGCGCAACTTTTTTCAGGGGCCTGGACAACAACCTACTCTGACCAAACGCGATGAGACTCTCGAACGACCCAAGATGCCATACTTGCCTAGCAGCTTCAGCGTACAGGATATTACCCGGAAAGTTAGCAATGGATCCAGGAAGAGTGCCGAGCTGATGCGTCGAGTCTCTGGGGGTAAACGGCCAAGCTTTGACAGGAAAACAACAGGATCCTCTGCTAGATCTGAGAGCTCGGACAAGGCAGCTCCGACCAAAGGCCAACGAGTAATGGTCGCTGTATCAGCCTTTGGAGGAAAGACACAGAAGGTAGATGCTCAACCAGAGCAAGTTCTTCAGGACAAAGATGTTGATCGGGAGTTCGAGGCCATGTTGGACAGAAGAAATATCCCAGAACATCAGCGTGGGAAAATGAGAAATCTTGCTATGTCAATGAAGAAGGATTTCGTTAGACAAGACTGGGCGGAAATAGCTGCTGCAAAGAATGGAAGACCTGGAACGAATGGTAGCGACTCAAGTGCTGATGCTACCAGCGGTACCCAGGCTGTTCCTGAAGTCAAAGCTAAGAGGCCCAGAAGTCGGACGTTTACCTTGTCGAGAGGAAGCAGCAAGGAGCCGCAATCGCCAACTAAGAAGAAACCCGAAGGGACATTCGGAAAGCACACACGCACCAAGTCGACCGAAAGTGGAAATGGAGCAGGAAAATCATTGGCCGCAACTGGTGTTGCAGCTGCTCAATCGATCATCGCCAAAGCCAAGGGACAACTGCCAGATGATTTTGTCTCCTACTTGAGGAAGGTTCAGAAGCCTGAGTTGGTTGAAGTTGGCCGGTTGCATAAGTTAAGGCTGCTTCTCCGCAACGAGACCGTCGCTTGGACAGATGATTTTATTGGTCAAGGAGGAATGGAGGAAATTGTTGGCTTGTTGCACAGAACTATGGAAGTGGAGTGGAGGTAAGTTATTCAGACACTTTGAATATTTGAACATACTAATGTAAAATAGAGAGGAGCACGAGGACGCTTTGCTTCACGAAGTCCTGCTTTGCTTGAAGGCACTTTCAACGACTGCTCTTGCTCTTCATCATCTCGACAAGATCCAGCACACCTTATTCCCCGCACTTCTACACATGATATTTGACGAAGAGAAGAAAGGACCGAGCGAGTTCACCACTCGTAACATTGTCACTTCTCTTCTATTCACATATCTCAAATCCGCGCCGATCTCCGAACGAGCTCACCGAGCCAAGATACTTCTCTCGTATCTCAGGGATCCGGAACCGAGCGAGTCACAGCGACCTGTCGGCTTCGTCCTTGATATGCGACGTCCTCGGCCATACCGAGTCTGGTGTAAGGAAGTAGTCAATGTAACCAAAGAAGTTTTCTGGATCTTCCTTCACAACCTGAATGTCGTCGCGCTTCCAGGTGCAAGACACCACGACAGCGAGACTATGTACGAGACAAGTAACGCAGCCATCGCCTCTTTAATGTCTAATAGCAGTTTCGATAGCTCAAACCCACACCACATTTTCATGGCCAGACACTTCCCTCAGGAACTTCCACCCGTGCCGGCAGCTCCATACGTGGGAGGAGTTGAGTGGGATGCTACAAACTATCTCGCCTCACATCTTGATCTTATCAACGGTATTATGTCATGTCTACCCACAAAGGAAGAACGGAATACCCTCCGCGAACAGATGCTGGTGTCGGGTTGGGAGAAGTGCTTGGGAGGTACACTTCGCTTATGTAAGGAGAAGTTCTACGGTGGCGTACATGCCGGCTTGAGATGCTGGGTTGCAGCAGCTGTTGACGATGGTTGGGATACCCGAGACGTACGAAACGGTCCTTCAGTTGAGCCCAAGAGTCCGGTGAGGCAAAGTCCCAAGAAAACTGCCGCTGCTTTGACACCTCCACCGAAAATCGATATGAAGCTGGACTTTGCGGGAGAGAAACAAAGGAAGCCTGTGAACGACGATGTTTGGCTATAGCCAGTGTTGAACTCGATTTTTAGTGTTGTGTCTATATTCGCCAGGGGACATGTTTCTGCTTCGGCAGGATGGAGTTCGAGTCATGGTGGGTCACCAGTCCTTTGATCATGGCTCTCTTGTTCCTTCTATTGTATCTTGGGTTGTTGGGTTTGGGTCAGTGGTTTCTGGTTTCTGGTTGCCGTTTCTCTCGCCTTTCTTACGATGAATACGAATGGGTAATGATTATATGAGTGCGGAATGCATAAATTGAATATCATGAACTAAGTCCTGTCTGTCTTGAGTTCTTTGCTAGCGTGATTCCGAGTAATGTACCGACTGCCTCAAGCCCATTATCCGCAAGCTGCCTTGAATATAGCGGAATCGAGGAGGGGAAAGATCCGCTAGCAATTAAGCAACATTCTCCTAGGTGGATGAATTTGACATTTTATAACACAAGTGTGTACCTCAATCATGAGCTATGGAAGACTCCAATAGATATCTACTGTGGTCTTTCATCTAATCGTCTCGATAAACCCACCTGAAAAGCTGCTACAACAAACTGGAGCCCGACAGGCTCACGATATATATATAAATTGGTGTTCCTGTCTTCCAATAGCTTAGGGCATCACAGACACAGGAGCTGGAAAATGTGTTTCATTCTGATGCTGCCCCTTACAATGGGAGAGCACTGCAGTGAAGAAGGTTCAAAAGAATGAAACCTAGCCCCAGAATAGGAATAGACAAGGTCCAGAACGGATACCATATAAATTCCGAAAGCAGATATCTCTCTACGTATTATGAAGTCAGTTGTCACGATTTACTATAAGCCAATGAGTGGCTCATGAAAGGTATCTGTTTATTCTAGGTTCTGGCTGGCTGAAGAGCAACGGATTGTGGTGCTTTTTTTTTTCAAGGTTTATTGAATAGCACACTAGTCTTCAAAACCTATGATGCAAGTTGAGTCATTTGGCAATTTGAGAACTGTGCACAATAACATTTGTGCCGAAGCTGTTTTCGACCTTTGCCTCGCTTAAGATTGGGAGATGTTTTTTCTTCTTCCAATTCCAACTACATCGGTATAATTTTCCGCGAACCTTGCTCTCTGCTGCTTCTAAGAATCTCAAAAAAATACTCTCTCTGTCAATATTTGTAGTATTGCGCATTATTACCTCTCAAAGTCTCTTTTGAGGCCTCGCAACGACCCTCCAGAGGCAGCATATAATATGGTTGCAGGTAACTAGTTGGAGATGAAAGTTGGGACTGGGTGATATACGCGACGGGCGCTTGTAACTGCTAGAGTGATGATTGAGAACAAAAGTCTAGGTTGAAAGACACAGCTGCTTTTATGAGGAAAATGGTGGAGAGGGCATGAAAGGTGGTGAAGCTTGGTGGCTGGCCTGTTGGCAGAGTGATTAGACAGAGAAGGTACAAATTGGGAAGCGGTTGGTGAATGTAATTGTTGAGGACATAGATGGCTGTTTGCATGGATAAAGCTGATCTTGGTTGGGGTTACATGCTCCAGAACGATTTGGTGGGGGGCCAAAGCTGAGAAGCCGTCAGGGAAAGGACAGCAAGAGGTTGGAACTGCACTTACTCAGTCTTGGGTCATTTCGGACCTCTTACCTTGGCCAAGGTAGAAAGAGGCGTGTGGGATTACTGTGAATTTCTATGGCAAATGTACGCTTTCCCAGGAAGCAACTTAGCCTCGGCTGTTGGATAAATAATTACTCGCTTAGGTAGAAAATATGGAGGGAAATATGGGATGGAGCGCAACTACGAAAGCGTTTGGACTGGACTTCAATTTGCTATCTCATATCATCTCACGATTATCATTCTCCGAGTACTCCTCATGATGCATTACAATCTGTGAAACAAATTGCTGCCCAACAAGATCAAATCCAATCCAGCCTAAACATTCCCAAAACAAAGCTCACTTGTGGAAGGATTTGACCTTCTCCATCTCATCATAACTACCCATGAAAATGCCCGATCTGTCGTGGATATGCGCGGGTACAACTTCCATCAGTCTGTTCATCTTGCTGTCCAAAGCCTGTCCACCAGCTGCTAAAGGTTAGAAACAATTTCATGAATATTAATAAAAGAGGTCGACTCACCATTCTCGAATACCATCGCCATAGGAGCACACTCATAGAGAATTCTCAGCTTTCCTTTGGGACTTTTCTTATCCGCAGGGTAGGCAAAGATACCACCATAAAGCAAAGTCCGGTATGCGTCAGCAACCATACTACCGATGTATCTCGCAGAGTACGGCTTTCCTCCTTCCTGAGTGGGGTACTTCAAGGAGTTGAAGTATGCCTTGGTTGGCTCCTCCCAGTACAAGGAGTTACCCTCGTTGACTGAGTAGATGGCTCTCGATTTTGGCATTCTCATATCCGGGTGGGTAAGAATGAATTCTCCGAGCGCGTTATCCATCGTGAAGCCATTGACAGTGCTGCCCTTCATGGTAATGACCAATTGGGCCGAAGCACCGTACATAGTGAACCCCGCAGCGACCAATTCCGTTCCTGGCTTCAGTAGATCTTCCTTTGTACCCTTCGATCCCTCTGGCAGCTTATGGATTCCAAAAATCGTGCCAACTGAGACTCCAGCGTCCAAGTTGGAGGAGCCATCGATAGGATCACATGCCACTGCATACCGAGCTCCTTCGTGTTCTGGGAAGTATATGGCCTCCTCCTCTTCTTCGGAAACGAGAACGGCGCACTTTCCGGACGAGCGCATGGCTGCTATGAACAGATCATTGCCAATGACATCGAGTTTCTTCTGGTCATCGCCTGTGGTATTGCTGGAGCCTGCGAGGCCTGTGAGGTTGATGAGAGTTGCTCGTCGGATGTAGTAGGCTATCGATTTGAAGGAAAATTGCAGGGCATGGCAGAGTAGTCTAGGAACTTGTCAGTCGTCTTTTATTTGGGGTCTGGGAGAAGCCGGAGACGCACGTAAAATCTCCAGTGGCTTCCTTGTGTTTTGACTGTTCTTCTGTGAGGAAACGAGTGAGGGTTATGATGTCTGTATTGATCTTCTCCTGCTGAACTGCACCGTTGGTTGCCATGATGTAAGATTGTGACGCGGAATATTAGATGTTTGCTGGTGAAGAGAGGAGAAAGAAAGTATTGGAGAAATGGGTAGGAGTTTCAATTGAGGATCGTTTTATGGGTTAAAGTTGGACCTCGGGTCGAGACGGAGGGGTTCCGGAGGGTCAGAGATGAAGCTTTGAGACGAGAGTTGACGAAGGAACTCGGGGTATTGTGAGGAACAGAAAAGATATGGGAATGTTGGAAGAGGGGATGCGAAGTAAAGAGGTGGGAATGGGAATGGACTTCTCTTATTAGTATTTGACGCTTAGGCACTGGCAGGCTGGCATCACACGATGACCCACGGCAAATGTTTGCTGGGTTTCAGTAGGTACGGTGGGTAGGCAATTCTGTGAAATCATTGCTCAGCTTGGGCGGGCCTGGCCATGACATGCCTTCTCGTGCGTGCGGTGCGGTGCGGTGCTGTGCAGCTCCTGCCCCGCGTTGCTCGGCATAACGACCGCGAGGGACCCCGCGCTAGAGCACACGGACACGGACAGGAGGAGGAGAAGGGAAGGACAAGGAGGACGAGGACGAGGACGAGGAATGGGCGATGATAAACCGGCACAGGCCTCAGCAACACATGTATATCCGGGACCCAAGAGAAGGAAACGCCTACGAGAGAGCAAATCGGTCTCGGGTTAATTCCAATCTGGGCGCTCCGCTTCCACTCGGGAAGATGGCCAGCCATCACCTATCCTGTCCTGTCTTGTCTTGTCTCCTCCCCGGATCTCCAGACCATTGCGATCGAGCTGTTGATACTAGAGAACCGGGAGATGTCGGATGTTACCAAAGAGCCGCAGAAATGTTCTTCCGCCATGGCCCGGGCAGGGCACGTTCACAGCCCCTGGTGGTTCCGGACGCGAGGTGGGGGTGTTTGCGGACGTCATGTGACTGTACAAACTCACTAGCGGTTTTTGGTTAGGCTGCCGAACTCTCGGCTGCGGCTACTAGCGCCATCGTCGCACTGCAAAAACTTCAAGCTTGAGCTTGACCTCTTCTTTTCTTCCAAACTATATCGCAGCAATGTGAGCAACAACCACAGCCTCGCGCACGCAGCGCGCACCTGTTTCCAATCTCTGGCAATGGTAAGCAACAACATCTCCATTTTTTCCCCTTGTTTTACGTGATGACACATATACAACCGCAAACTAGAGTCTTTGATCCCAAGGGACATGAAACTTTTGTAACACGTCAGTCTGAACTACAAGCAATGTTACTCGGCCAGCAGCAGTTTTGTCATTGGTCACTGCTAACATTGTCATCAGATATTGCCCAACTACATGCTGTGGTACTCCATTGCGTCTGCAATGCTCATTGGTTCTGTCCCTTGTGGTAAGCTTCCCTGCACCTTTCTTTCCTCTACCTACCTTGCTGTGATGAACATTCGTGCTTTGCACGCTGGAAATTACCGACTGAAATATCATGTCGAAATCAAATGGCTAAATCTGAGCACTCTTCTACTCTCACCATTGCACAATCAAGACGAGTCTGTTGAGCATCTTGCTGACGAGTATAAAGCCACAGGACCTCGATGACCGGCGTGAATCCACTTCCATGGTATGGCCCACCAGCTCTGGCTTCCCCCTACCCTTATATACGACTGTCAAATGATGAATTGGCACTGGGCTCCGACAGTTCTCGACAAGATCGGGGCTGGCTTGTGAAAGGAGATGCCTCTTTGCGGCAGGCCTAGAAAACCTCGCCCACTGATTACAGTCCTTCTCAATGACAATATCGAAGATGACTTGGCTGGACATTTGCTGATTTCAGCTTCAGAGTTTTCTCATACCAGTACATTAATAGTAGGGTCATGGGGTGTGGACTTCTGATATATGGTAGGTCACAGTGCAATCTCTTTGACTTTTCAATTCCATTTCTATGATGAGCATTTTAGATGACGAGTCTGATCCGGGTAACCGATGTTGACACAAATCAAATTATACCATTCATGCCAACTGATCTTTTTCTGGAACATACTCTTGTGTACTGTGTACCTTTCATAGCATGAGCTTACTCAGATTTTCAGGTCTCTTTTCCACGGACAAGTGCACTGCTTGTGCGTCCATGTCCTTAACAGGGTAGCAGGGAATTGATCGAACCCTTCAATGGACCCTCGGCATTCTCCCTACCTCAACACACTAGGTAAGCTCAACATCTCTTTCAGCGACAGACACCAAGCATAATGATGACCTCGACCGACAAATGACAAGCATATGTCCAAGCCCTCGGGCGGTGACGAGTCTGTCTTAACTGAATATGCCTTTGTTGTCTTTTTGCACTGTCGTACTACAGTGAGCATCACTGACATACATCAAAGACTTCTTGCAGTTCCCAGTCACTTCTTCAAACATGGTGCCGAGTGAATTCGGCACTTTGTACCTACTCCCCAATTGGACACTCTCAGGTAAGCTTCATTTAATTCCACTCTTTTTCCAACGACACCTTTACATGATGATCAATTATCACGACGGTCAACATAAAGCCACACGTTGGTATTGATGAGAATGCCTGTGACAGGGCTGTAGATCTGATATTTCCTTCAACGCCTCTTCGTTTCCTCCAACGTTCCAAGAAGCTTCCGCTGACTGGTACCTAAGAGATCCGTATTGAAGCGCTGAAATGCCTTCGTTGATAATCTTGAGTGGGGAAATGGGGAACTGGGGTTTGAAATGGCACAGCTGGATGAAACCGCTGTGCAGGCAGAGCTCTACTCAATTGAGAAAACTTCAAAGCATACTATGACTTCATCCAATGTGACCTCCGTGATCGACATGACATGCCCTACTCGTCCCCTCTTATCCACCACAGATTAACTGCTCATTACCTTGATCCCATCACCGCCACGTTCTTGACTTAGATCTTCGACGCTGAACGTCTTGGAATCTCTTCATGCAAGAATTGTATCGCTGAACTAATGAGCCAAGCTAGCAGTACCAGCATGGCCACAAGGAGACGTCTTTTTGGTCTTGAGTCACAAACGATAACATTAAAAGATTGTGAAGAGACAGATTGGCTCCTTTATAGAACAATATATTCTCTTTTGTCCCTTTTCTTCCATGCACATACACATTCATCCTCCTGGTATGTTCCTATTCTATACAAGATCGTCATTTACAAGTACAAGTACTCTTTGGTCCCCTTCTCCCTTTCGTTCTCACTTGCCCAGCGTGCATTACCATTAGTTGCGTATCATTCCTTCTACAAATATGATCTGTCTTGAAGATGGGTATAACTTGATACAAAATCCAGCCAAGAACAAATGCAGTCGGTGCTGCAACTCCTTCCCACCTATCCTTCACCTGGCTTTTCCCAAGTAGATTTTCCACTTCCATTTCGTTTTTGCGCTGGTGCTGATGTTGCCATTTGGCATGGTATATTGCGTGAAAGGAGCAAAATAAGTTTATTTTTGTGTCTTGCTGTCTCTATATGTCCGTGGCCAGGACTTCAAGGTGGCCGACTCGAATTTTTTGCTGGTCTGTTTTATCGGTTCGGCCGGGCTGCTTTACCGGTGATTGCTGCGTTCGAGCAGACCTATTGCTTGTGTGTTTAGACATTCAAAATATCAATGAGAAGAGTGACATCGCTAGAGCTGGTAATACCAGTAGCTTCGCATTTAGTGGTGAAGATGTGACTCCAAATGACTTCGTCGGGCTCGGCGTGGCAGTAGCCGTGAAGAAGCCAGTAAGAATCTGCGTAGTAGTTGTTACAGAGACTCTTCCTGTACTCTGGGATTGTGCCGAGGAAGTTGACGATGAGGTAGCTGAGCTCCAGTCCTTGGCTTCGTCATAGAGTATACCATTGATGATCACACCCTCTCTATTGACAATCTGCTGCTTCTGATCCCCATTACAAGTCTCGGGAATATTTCTCTGCCAGCACGTAGCTGACGGTGACGGCGGAAGCGAATTTGTGTGTGTTGCGTTGAGCGCACCTGTGGTGTTGTACAAAGAGGGATTAATTATCTCTCCTGTTGAGACAGAGGTGCCGCTCAAGATTCGTGCGAAGACCTGGAAAGCAGTCTCGGGCTGGTAGGCTGGGACGCTGTGTCCTGCGTCGTAGATTCTGCTGAAAGATAGATTGCCGTATTGGCGGACTACACCTCCGATGTATGAAGTATTTACAATGATGGGTGCGTACCCAGACTCTGGAAAGATTGAGGCGTATGATGGAGATGTCGCTGCTGCAACAGCCAGAGAAATGGCTTCCCCGCCGAGCCAATTGCAGATGTAATCTCGGTCGCCATACATGAATCCCACACGGATTCCAGCTTTCAGGAGCTTGGCAATCTCGGGAATCAGATCGTTCCGTTCATAGTCTCCTGTAGAGGTAAAAGCCGAGATAACCTCTTGGTTGGTCTGTGTAAAGTTGACTGGTGAGCCAATGGCCGCCTGGACTGATGCCGTATTCAAGTACTCTAGGTAGGTGCTTGGAGGGAATGGATCCGGTATGTAGTGAGCAATATCGTAGATACTCCTCCCAGCATCAAAGTAAGGCTCTATTACATTGGTAGAGCAGGAGCTGTATGCGTTGGAGCATATGTTATTAACAACTGACACATCTCCCTCATTATTAGGGTCCTGGCTGCTCACAGCTGTCCGACATTGTCTGATAAGATCTCCGCATCCTCCTTCAGAAGAGAAGCTGGCGCTGGCAAGTCGTGCTCGTGTTGGGTTGATTGCGGACAAACCATAAGTGTTATTGACCGCCATTGCTGGGTAGAAAGGAGCTTGAATCAAGTCATCCACACAGCCATTGACGATACCGAGCGAAGCAAGTTTAATCTCGATAGTGCCAGCCCTGGAGAGTGTTCCGTTGGACCGCCGTAAGTTCTGTTCCTCCCAGATACTAGCAAATGCAGGACCATATTTTCCACCGTAGCTTTCGGCGAACAGATGGACACCCATCGTCGTGCTACTATTCGGCCCATACTCCGGAAAAGCCCCCAAAAATCCTTGAAGCATGTGCCAAATGACCATTCCGGCTATTTCGGTCGTGTTTGCGGTATTGCTGGAGTTCAAAGAGCTAAACGTCCCATTCATGAAGGTGGTTGCAGGCTGGGAACTCGGAAGCACTTGCGGAGGGGTGTATAAATCGGATGTAAGAAGATCGATGGAGCCATTGGTAGGAGTGTCGTAGGAAAACCCAACTTGATTTGGCTGCAAATTGTTAGTTGGGGAGCTGCATCAGAGCCAGCTGAGGACATTAGGAGAACACCGATGGAGCTGATCTTCATCGGGGGTTCCGGAGGAACAAGCTCTATGTACCATCTTCCAGCTCGCAGATTGTTTCCCTCCCTCCCTCCCTCCCTCTAGACAATTTCTGAGACTTGCCACAGCCCCAAGCGCCAGATTGGAGAAGAAAATAGTCTCTCCTTACCTGATCAATGAATAACATATTCGAGCCTCGATCCCAGCCCCAATCCCGAACCTTTGTCCCCAGTTTTCCCAGACCAAGTTCGACTACTTCACAAGGGCCATTCTCGTTGAAAAGACCGATCATGGAGCTCGAACCCGGACCTCCATTCAACCATACTGTGAGCTGATCCGTTGGATCCCTAGCTCCTATAAACCAAAAGAACGTGTTCGTCGGATACCTCCCGGGTAAGTGGACCCATCCTGTATACTGCTGCTGTGTCGGAAAGGCTGTTTCGCAGGTGCCTGCTGGCGGAGACTTGTAAGAGATCGTGATATTCCCATCGACAGGGGATTTGATGGTCGTCAAGTTGACTGCGGACGGTGGGTACTGAGCGAGCGTGATTGCGACGAAAAAGGGAAAGAGGAAGAGACAATGCATCATCATTCACTCATTTTTCACTGCAGGGAGAGAAGAACAGAAGCAGATGCAATTGGGAGTTTTCAATGGGAGAGCGAGTGGATGGGAACCTGCTCGGCGCCGCGAGGTTTCGCTGATCTCTCGTTGAGAGCGGGCCGGTCCAGTCCAGTCTAGTCAGCCAGCAGTCTTCCGGAAAAGCGTTGCTCCAAGCGAATGCCGCTTTCTGCTTGGGCTTCCGCCTGTACTCGTGCTCCTGTTCCTCTTCCTCTTCCTCTTCCTCTTCCTCTTCCTCTTCCTCTTCCTCTTCCTCTTCCTCTTCCTCTTCCTCTTCCTCTTCCTCTTCCTCTTCCTCTTCCTCTTCCTCTTCCTCTTCCTCTTCCTCTTCCTCTTCCTCTTCCTCTTCCTATTCCCCGGCCAAGCTTTGCACGCAACTTTCCTCGGCACCCAAAGAGCCTCAGATGCTGAGGGCAGCAGATGTAGATGATGGTGCGAGTATCCAACTCTGTTTATGAACAGCAAGCGTTTGGACTCCGCATTTAATCCCCACGGCCCCCGGATTTCAGACGAAGCTTTTCCTCTTTCAGCGCATTTGCGGCTGAAGTGCCCGTGCCGTGCTTCGTTCTGTACCTGCATTTCCACTCCCCCTGTTGTGGACTGCGAAGATTCCTTCCATGTCATTTTGCTCATCAGTTTGCTTTGGTTCTCATCACGTACGAAGTATTATCCAGGTCACCTCTCTTTGCCATCCAGGACTCTCAGCATGCCAAGCAGGCAAAGGCGCTGAGTAAAGGTTGCAGTATGGTTGCAGGGCCCGACGTTATCACTTACATTGGAGTTCCGTTGGCTGTCCTTGGAGTTCTGCCTATCATCTATAATACCATCGCGACCCTTGCGACGCTGTCCAGAGTAAGACGCATGCTCCGTCATGGACGTTTGGCAGGAGTTGTTAGAGGAGACGTGATCAATCATGTTATAGAGGTTGAGCTTCCTCGTTACACCATTGCCCCTTTGCATCGAGAGGAGCAGCGTCACGAGTATTGGAGACTGTCAGATCACCCCAGCCATATTCCTGGCGGTACCTATACTACCTTTAATGTAACTTTGTTCTTCTATCAATTCTACTTGTTCAGTTGCTGCTTAGAAGTCCTTGAGTGTTTCTCAATATTTTGCTGACATGGTGGGGGCTAGTGGAAAAGGCATAACACAGGCCTGAAGACGCAGAGGATTGATTATTCAGACCAACTGCGTCAACCTCAAGCAGAGATAGGTTTCGAAGAGCTTCTCTCGTTTCTTCTAGATCTTGGTGCCGTACCAGACCCTTCTGGTTTTCGAATGCTCAGGGGCAGTGGATTATGGGTTCCGATCGGCACGCCTCTACTCCTCTCACCTGACCGACATGAAGCTGTTTTGACTATAGCTCCCTTGGACGATTCTGACGGCAAGCTGTCACTTGCCGTAAGATGGTCATCCAATTGGGGTATGAGAGACCCTGCTTCTTTGCCGCCATATTGGGTCAGACTTCGCGGGGCAGATCCTTCAAGACCAACCATTGCACAGCAGAGCAAAAATAGGAAAGATGCTGGCGAAGTAACAAATACGAATGAGAAGAGCATGACGTCGCTAGAAGCAGATTGCAAATACAGTGACGGGACATCGATTGTGAAAGCTTCGGATGACTGGAAGAACAATATCATGAACGAAGCTTCTCTGCCAGCCTCTTCAGCTCGCATCGGAATCGATCACCCAGAGACCAACCTATCTGCCATAGAGGATATTGTACCCACAATTCGATGCCAGGTTGGTGTCCATGGGCTCATCTCAGCCACTCCAGAAGATCTCGATCCATTATTGTTTGAGGCACTTGATACAAAACATCTTGCAGTCGATGAAACCACTGTCAACAGTGTTAGCGTTTGGTTCGCGAGCGTTCTCACAGCACTGAGTACATCCTCTCAAACCATACTCTGGAATTATAAGATTCCCGCCGAAATACTCGCTTTTGCAAAGCGCGATACGATCCCGTGTGGCGTCCTCGTTTTATTAAATATCGTTGAAGAATCAGCAACACCAGAATGGGCAACCAAATACAACGACGACGAAGAGATGCGTGAGGCTCAAATGCGCAGACAGAGAGATCAATCCAAAGCTTTGATGAGGGAGATGCAACTTCCACCTGCAGAGAAATCCAGAGCATTTCATGAGCGGGTCCGCAAAGAGCATGATGATTGGATTGACGGGCTGAATGCTACCAGACGAAGAGATGCTCAAAGAGCGGAGACCAGAATTATTGAAGCCATTCAGAGTCCAAAATGGGACAACAAACTTGTGGCTGAGCATAATCTGTTGTGGCTAAAGAAGGAAGGGCACATAGGCGAAACTCATGATCTGAAGCGATCAGTGGAATTTTTGCTGTGGAGGATGGTGAATGAGCCAATCTTTGCCCAAGAGTTGGCACAAAGCTTAGACTCCTGGCAAGCCTTTGTCGATAACGGTGGTCTCCGAAAAGCCGAATATGTGGATTTGAAGGAACATCAGGTTATGTTTGGATATGCCAGCTTGCTTCTAGCTGTCATCAAGGCTTCGGTGACCGCTGCTCATGGTTCGTTGGGAATGGATTTGCAGGAGTGCATGAGAATATGGAAGACCGTGCGGCTTGGCTGAATGTTAAAGACATATTACCAAAGCTTGTGCAACACAAGAGATGTCCTCAACCTTAGCAGGCCTCGCGAAAGGAGGATGCTGTTGTGCTGGGCTATGGATTTGGTCGTTGTGAATCTCTACAGGCTACCAGGATTCAAGATCACATCCAATTGCAAGACCCTCAAGCTGCAGAGGTCTACTCGCGTAGCCTCCTCGTTCGATTCTATTGAATAGTAACGGGATGCACACTTTTCTTTCGCTATCCTGTTTCGTAAACTGTGTGCCCCGATTCCGCATGGTTATTTCGAGTCCACGCATCCGAAACTGTTCGCATCTAGTATTTGACTGCGGTTCGTTGATTTGCCTTTTTTACAATGTCCTTAAGAGTCCTTAAATACTTACTGAAGACAACGAGTCATCGGCTTCGATTGTTTGCCATTTCAGCTCCAGCAAAACAGTCCTTCATGTCGAGTGTAACATGCTGTCGCGTTTTTTTCTCTGAAGGGAACATGCCAAGGGGGGTTGTGTTTATTTCAGACGAAGTACTGAAGTTCTCCACACACAAATGTCGTGTTACCCCAGTTTCGGGATCCAATGGAGACACCAAAGCTTCGAATGTTTGGCTCTCCGCATTTCATTCAGTCCGTCCGAAATCTGAGTTCTCTCTGTGCTGTCACTTTGAAGCTAATGTACCAGCTTCAGGTGGAATTTGACACAATAGACTCGCGATTCTTACTGGTGGGATATCGTTGATGCTGTGCAGCTCTGCACTTTATTTTCGCCGTCTTGGATCCCCCCTTCTTGGCAAGAAAAAACACCTTGCGAGCCAAGCGATCTACAATAAATGTCCACATGATTCGTGCTTCCATCCCTACTTAAACTTCGAAATAATGTTTATCTCATTCCACCACTCAAGTATTACGTTTCGTCTATACTATTTTGTTCCAAATAATCGGCAGTGCTTCCAGTGCTCCACTTCATTGTCTCTGGCCATGTTTGTAGACATTACGGCAACATGAGTCCCCGGATATTTCTGCGATGATCCCTTGTACTCTTGGCAAGTACCACATAGATAGTGTGTTCAAAGTGTCTGGAGGACCGACTCATGCGTCATGATCGAAGTGGTCGCTTTACTTATAAAGCTCGTAGCCCCCGGAAATACATATTGCCTTCACAATCAGCCGCTCAGACTCTTCCTCTTCACACTCGTTACCAGGGTTTCCTGAAAAATATTTGGCAACATGCGTTCCTTCCTACTCCTTGCGCTGTTAATCAGCCTTGTAACCTCAAGTCCTCTTGCGGCCAAGAAAATTAAAGCTACCAATGCCAATGCCATTGTTCGAGCTATTGACCAGAGTACACCTCCAGCGGGTGCAGTTGTCGTCGATGCCAGTGGTGCCATTTCAGGATCTTTCAAGACTGTTCAGGCGGGCGTAGATGCCCTCTCCAAGACTACCACTGAGTCTCAAACTCTTTTCATCATGGGCGGGACCTACAAGGAGCAAGTCTACATCCAGGCACTCATGTCACCACTTGTTGTTCTGGGTGAGACTACCGACGCCAGATGTTACAAGGGCAACAAAGTTACCATCATCAACAACATCTCTCGCAACAATGTCTCCAACAATGATCTCACCGCAACCGTCCGAAACTGGACCCCTAATTCCAAATTTTACAATGTAAATTTCGAGAATAACTTTGGAGTAGGTACTGGGAGCTGCCATATTTTCCTCTCTACATGCCTCATAATTTCCCAAAGACATGTCATGTCCTCTACCCACAACATTCCAGATGTTGTAATTGCTAACTCCTACGCTTACCTAGCACACTGCCACCAACGGCCAGAACCTGGCCCTCTCGGCACAAGCAACTAACCAAGGATACTACGGATGCCAATTTATCGGTTACCAAGATACAATCCTCGCTAACACCGGCAATCAACTTTACGCCAAGAGCAAAATCGTGGGCGTTGTTGATTTTATCTTTGGTCAAAGGGCCAAAGCTTGGTTTGAAGCGGTCGACATTCGTACCTTCGACAAGGGCTACATTACTGCTTCAGGAAGAGAAACTGAGGCTAACGATTCCTGGTACGTGATCAACAAGTCCACCGTCGCTGCACGAGACACCGATGTTGAAGCTGGATCTACCGTTCTTGGACGTCCATGGAAGGAGTATGCACGAGTTGTTTTCCAGAACTCCGAGCTCAGTGATGTGGTCAATGCTGTTGGATGGTCGCAATGGAGTAATGCTACTCCAAATATCGCCAACTCGTATCTTGCCGAGTATGGCAACACCGGCGCTGGGGCTGCTACGGCGGGCAGAGCTGCGTTTGCAAGGCAGTTGGATGCACCGGTGAAGATTGAGTCGATATTGGGGGCTTCGTGGGCTTCGGCTTCTTATGTAGATACTACTTATATGTAAATATGCAGAACGATTAGCTCTTTTTCTCTTGTCCTGGATGGCGGAACAAATTTTGGTGGCATTTTAGGATGAGACTTTTGCAAAGATATCTGTATTGAAGAATGGGATAGAAAAATTGGGAGCAGGCTTGTACATTGCAACTTGGAGGGTATCATTAGTCAGATACAAGGTCTCGAGACTCAAAACTTGTTGGTAACATACCATATTGTGAAGCACCGCAAGCTGATGAGTCCATGAATAAAAATCACGATTGTTCAGGTCTTGGTCATCATGCAACGTTGTCTGGAACGTAAAACAATTATAAATATATCAACTTTTCAAGTCTATCCAAGGGACCAGTCGGAATTTGGAACCCAGAAATCAAGATCTCTGGGGCATGTATCGTCGTCGAAGCAACCGTCTATCTTGACCTTGGACTGGACCTGACTAACCTCCACCATTGTTGAATGATGAGGGAATAGGTAAAATCTTGTGAACATGCGGAAGGCATTCCTTACATAAGGTAAAAATAAGGCCGAAACTCGTCCAGGAATGCCGAGGAGAAGTAGCAGAAAGTCCGAAATTGAAATTTGTTGAGGGCCATAGGAGTAGAATCTTGAATGTCTGGGAAGAAAACATTCTCATCGCATCCCACGGTCAATCAAGAGATCCTCTGCGTATTGACTGCACCAAATGTACTCGGATTTAATAAAACCATCCCCCCTCTATCGATAGAACGCTCCGTGAGAGAGGACATCCCTTCCACTCTGTATTTGTGTTATGGGTTGGACCATTCTCTCCTGCACGCCATAGTCCAGGAGTACGAATCTAAATGTATTGCTTGGAGGAGCCAGAAGTTGCAGTCCATGTCATAAATCTTCAACCATGATAAAAGAAATTCCGCGCTCTCGAATTCTCAACCAAAGGGATCCTCATTTTCGCAAGTCTACTCCACGTCTCAGACACCTAAGTAGCTTTATTTCAAGAACCTGGCCGGCCTCACTGCCTCACTGGATGGATAACCAAAAAAAGATCAAAAGAAGCTGCTACGTCGGGTAGTCGTGCTTTACCCAGAGGAATGCAATGGCGAGACTTCACATCGAACTGTAGACTGGCCACTTATGCTCGGGAACCAAGAACTTGATTCGTGGTTTTCAAAAGAATTGACCATTTTATGTTCATTATGCAAAGCTACCAGCTTCTTTATTGACCAGAGGCAGGTGAAGCTCCTGTCGATATTTGGAAAACGTGCTAGGCTCAGGAAATACTGACTCACTGCCCCCGGTGCCAACAGAAACGTAAGGGAAACCACTTCTTATGGCATTGCGATATGTGACTGTATGCTGTTTGTGGTACCACGACAATTATAATTGTGGCTGGATCTCAACCTGGAGTCGAGGTGGTAAGGAGTGAATTCGGCCGCTTCGGGGGACTTGTTTCCTCCGCGGCTGAGATCTACATAATCTTTTCGTTTATTCCAAGGAAAACCTCATAATAGCACTACTGTTGATTAAGGAGGGGTAGCATAATGATGAAAAATGGACATATGAAATGCAGAATAACATACAGATCGCTACATGGTCATATGATGCTCCTTACTGACCTTTATGGATCTACAATTGGAACCCACCCATTCATGCACACTTCACAAAGTACACACTTGAGACAAAATCCTTGCCTTCTGTACGTAGTCCTGTGCTGGATGGGTGCTACTTTAGACGTATCTCACGGTGTCATACAGATCTGATGGCACGGGGTAACGACGTTGTGAGCCACCCCTATTCTATCATACTACTTGCCAATTTCCAAGGTCCTTGGTAATAACTCTTTTGAGTATCATTGTTCCATTGGAGCCATTGAGTAGGTCAATCAAATGTGGGTTGGCAAGGGATGAGAGAGTGATCGTTGCACCGGTAGGTGGCAACAAGCCGCATAGGTCAGAATTGAGAGATCTGCGTGTGAGGGGGCAGGAACGAATCGAGCCAAGTGAATCGTCAAATTCTAGCAGACATACATCCACAGCTGGAACGACACGTTTCGTAGCTGTTAGCAAAGCCTGAGACGACTGGTGACGGAAGATCGTTATGCCAAAGAAGTCCAAACACCTTCCTTCAATCTCTAAGACTGAAAACAGGCGTTGGCTTGCAGCGTCCTGCCCGGTTTTGATGACGGAAGTCTACAATACGACCATAAAAGGATTAAGCACAACGGTAGGATACAGCCCGAAATGATGATGCTAATGAGATGAGGAGAAAACAACCACAGATCGGCTTTGCCGAACTAGAGTAGCACAGCGCCTTGATCCTAGAGTGGCTCGACACCAAAGAGACACGGCCTTGACATCCAATAGTTAGGAACTTGTGGGAAATTGGTGGCAGTCGTGATACAGTGGTATGGAATAGAGACAAAAGTCAAATTTCTTGCGAGAGACATCGCGGCTCAGGTGAGCAGATGTGTAGTTAGGACAATCTAAAGGGGTGATGCCAGTCGTAAGAGGAGTCACTGTCTGCGTCTCGCCGTTTCTAAGCCAGGAGATTAAACGTAGAATCGTTTGACTTGGAAAGACCTCCTCCCCCTCTCTCTTCTTCCACTCATGTCAAAGGAAACGGCGCGATCTGATTACTGGCACGACTTTGTCCACTTAGGCTCGCAATATTCATTCTTTGGTCTCACATCTCCAGCAGTTAGTTCCAAACAAACAGTAGGATGAGTAATGAGTGATGATTTGGAACCCCAGGCTCAGGAAGCTCGGTGGTCCGGCTCTGCCATGAACCGTGCAAGGATACCTTTACATCTGCGAGTCAACCTCCATGCTGCTTATCACTCACTTGAGGTACCAACATGGACACATAATAAACAGTGCATAAGGCTTCGACAAGAGAAATCCATGTTCTGGATAGGTACCGACGGATGGTGGATGCGTTTTTGTTGATCCGGAAGCTTACCGCTGTGCATATATTCAGACACATCGTCGGAGGACACAAGTTGAACCCTGCCGGGGGATCAGCGGCAGCGGCAGCGCCAGCCAGAAGAGAGACAATGCAGCGCTTGTTTTCTGTCGGAGTTTTAGCTCCTTAGGAACTCTGGGGTTGAAAGAGCAACGTAACGTGTTTTCAAGCTGTGGCGGCTCCATTTTTGGCTCAGCAGAGGAGAGAATGAGTGAGGCAGGGAGTGGCTGGCTGCATGGAATGAGGGAGCTGGAAGACAAGAAACCATGCGGAGAATTAGGATTTTCCGGTGGTTCGGGTGGTGGGTCATATTCGTCTCGTGACCTGCTCCAGATGGGAATCTCGAGTGAGCACGTTTGGGGCGCACATCAAGCATCGATTTGTCGACGGGTGTCTGGTGAACGCAAGATCAGACTCGAAGTTGTTGTGCCAAAAGTTTAACAAGACGCTAGGAAACTTCCCGATCCGTAGCTGCTTGCCAGCCTTGAACCAGATCCTTCTTTCTACAGTACAGTAGCGAGCTTCTGCAGAAAGTCAATCGTGCATTCAAACATGAACTGGTGCAAGGGATGCAATATCGAACTGTGCATATCCATGTCCCTTTAAAGAAACATGAAATCGAGACGTGGAAAGTTTGCACGGGGACCAACCTTGAACGATGCCTGTTAGACAACTTTTTACGCTGTACATTCGGCATGTAATAGATCACTAGCTGCTACTCTCTCGATTTATCGGAGAATAAGTACTAACACTAGGAGGATATCATGCAGTGGTTCGTAACTAGGTGGGAATTAATCCAAACCATCACCGAGTCGGATACTGATGACCTCATCTTGAGCATTACGAACGACATTAAGACCAACGTGTACCTTGACTGTTTTGGAGATTTGGAGTAAGAGCACCGTGTCTGGCACTGCTGGTCGTCGAGGACTATTTGTCATCAGAAAACCAATAACAAACAATAATATGCATGAGTGAGGATCGGTGGAGTAAGCCACTTTCCCCAAATGCGCCACGCATAAGATCAAAAGATGGCAGATTTTCATGGGCAATGTTGTGAAATTGCTTCCATACATCGAAAATAGAGTTTGACTTAGTTTGTTCCTTTTGGTGCCCAACGCGGTTCTAGCTTGACCACGCATTTCTCTTAAGATGGGAAGCAGATGAGGGAGGGGCAAGCTAAACCACGATGCAGCCTCAGAAGAAAGAGTTATCATCATATTATGGCCAGGGCATGAGATCAAACTTCTTCCATGACTCCTTCTAGAAGGAAATGCAAATCAAAGCGGGCCTTGCCCCATTTCTGCACAGGCAATACTCTGGCAAGCGCAGAAAGTGGTCCACATCCACAGTGTCGTGGAAAATGCAGGGACCATTGAGACAACTCGCGACATGGACTTTGGGAGTCTTCAGGATGAACTCTAACCGTGATGTCCACTGCGAATGGGCCTACTCATGACCTGACGCATCCGGGGAGGGAGCTTTCTCAAGAGTACTCGGTCAGTACTCTGAGTACCGAGCGACTTTCCGGACCTTGCCAGCTCGACTTGCGAGAGATTGTCAATAATCCATCCATCCAACATGGAATAATGGCATCGTCCTGGTGGCAGCATGGTGTGGCATCCGCGTTGGGCTGAAGGCCTCGCGCCGGGATGTGTCCCGGAGAACTAGTAAATGCAGATATTATCAGATCGATGCATAGGCGGTACAGTACAGTACAGTACAGTACAGTACAGTAGGAGAGGTACGGCAACTTCCAGGCGCGAAGGCTGGAAATAGAGAGTTCTGAGGTGATTCCCGTGCTGCACACAGCGAAACAAAAGCCCAGGGCGTGCATGCCAGTCGTGAACGAGGTTAGTGCACAGGACTAATGTAGGAACGTTCAAGCAAGACACAGCAGCCAAGCAGCTGTCAAGCAGGTGGCCAGCAGCCAGCCACCCAGCACCGCAGCGGGGGGTTTAAGGTTCGCAGAACCATGGTTGTTCCTTGCGATGCGACGTAAGTTTACAGTACTGTTCTGTACAGTAGTAGATCTTCAACAAGTGCTATGGGGACGCTTACGGTCTCGTGGTGCGGGTTCCCTCGTGTGCTGTGCAGTGCAGTACTACTGTAAGTACTACTGTAGTACAGTAGTAGTAGTGCTGCGCTGTGGTCGAAACGCTGCTCCGTGCTCGGCAGCCATAAGCTGAAACTAGGGCTTGCAGGGAGCTCCAAATCTTGCCGCGGACTATCTTTTGACTTTCCAGAAGCTGGATGCCTGTTCGCCGCCCGAGCGTAAAGCACAGCAATGCTCGACGAGGGGCAGTAGCGCAACAGAAACATACCTAGGCGGCTAGGCCTAGGTAAGAGCTGGTGGTGGAGCTCCTCCTTCCATCGTGACATGACCGGCAGGCAAGATGTGCTGATTGGCTCTGGCGAAGGGACGGAGGTACATAGGTACATGCAGGGGCGCAGCACCAGTCTGAAGCACATGAGATCAACATCGAAAACTCCAGATGTGATGAGATGTCTTGCTTTGTTAACTGCTACTGATACTGATCTTCTTGCTGAGTTGCTCAGGCTCCAGGCCAGGCCAGGCCAGGCCAAGCCGTGTACCTTATCTCACGCTTCGCTTTATTGCTGCGCAACCGACGACCGACGACCAACGCCAGGCTGTGATATGCAGTAGGTACCTCCAACAACAAGGGCAGGGCAGCTGCGTCCGAACTAGATCACCAAGTATAATTTACAAGCAGAGAGATGCTAACCAGGGCTTCAGATCTCTTGTTTTCAATGTCCGAGAGAGCTGGATCAGGCTAGCATTGAAGCGAAGCTGGGGATGGGGAAATGACAGACTGTAGATTTCAGATTGCATTGCATTGCATTGCACTACACTGCATTACATTGTTCCGTCGGTACATCGTCATCTCATAACTGGCGGAAGTTTGACTGCGAACCTGCAGTCGTCTGCGCCATCTCCATCCGTCACTCGAACGGGCATCTGTGGTCTGTGGACTATATGCGGGTGATTTATCCGTGTAGCTTGTTCTTCGCCTGCTTCGAGAAGGAATCGAGATGACCTGGTTATGCCTGCAGGGCAGCCGGCGAAATAACAACTACCAAGGCACGCACTATCTCCGTATGGAGTGAGAGGCTAGCGACTCTCTTCTGTACCGTACGCAGCGTAGACGCTCGTGACGGCCACCAAGATGCATAGAAGCCTTACTGTTTTAAATTTGCTTACGCTACAGTATTGTAGATGCAAGTGGTACCAAAGTAGTGCTTCTTCGCCTGCTCTGGTGCGTACAAGATGAAACGTTCGTGCCTCCAAGTCTGTTCTGTTCTGTCTGATGAAGCCCACGCCGTCTCCCTTCCCCGACCCTGTCCATACCCCTTTTTCGCACCTACTGACCCCTGCTCTAGCTGTGTTCGGTTAATAGCTTCCAGATCTTTTCTAGAAGGTCGCTAGAACGCCGCTAGAACGCCGCCAGAAGGTTTCTGATGGACGCCAGATGTGCAGACACGGGCCAGGATCCTCCACTCGTATCCCTCCCCTTTGATTTCTCATTGACCAAGCAGCAAAGAGGATGCCATCGACGATTCAACATCATCATACAGCAGAGCTAGTCGCCTGCTCGGCTTGCTGCCTTCCACAAGCTTTCGCAAGATTAGATCCGGTCGCCGATCTGGTGTCGATGGTCGGAATTGCACTAATACGCAACCTTAGCCTCCATGGTTGTTGGGCAGGAACTATTGCGGGAGAGGAAGAAGTTCGCGACTCACCTCACCCTAAAGGACGGTACGGCATTCATTTGGAGGGAGGGCTTTAGATGAAGGCAGCTGCCCATTAGCGGCGACGACAAGAGGCTGTTCGGCTAATGCCCCCATTATTAGATCACTCATCCGCGACTACAGTAATTGAAGCCGCCATTCTCCACTTCCTGGACCGAAGAGTCCAAGGAGGCTAACGATCTCTTGCAGCATATCCGAAGTCGGCAAATCAGATAGCTTGCTGGCCGCTTGGACGCTTCACTTCGACGGAGTCAGTACCGAAGAGCACGAGCTGCCTCGAGTCCCACACTGAAAAACGTTCACTGGCCAGGGCTTGTGAGGCAAATAATGCAGGTGCAAGTACAGAATCAAAAGCAAAAGAACAATAAGAACGTAGTAACAGGCAAATGAAGAATTCGCTACTCAAATAAGCCGTTGATTGTGAAAAGCAACCAATTTAGACCACGAAATCGACCAGCAAAAGGCAATACATGTGGCAGATGAGGCCATGCCGCCCCTTGTTTACCCAGCAAATCCAATGCCATGAGGGCGGAACGGAATAGAATTAGATCTGACGAATTTCCAGGGGGCCACGTTCCACTCTTCCTCTCTCGGAGAGTACTTCAGTGGGGAGAGGGCCCTGGTGGATGTGTGGCTGCGCTGTGATAACCATTGGGTCTGAGCTCAATAATTGAAGTGCAGAGCAAGAAGGAGGCGCTTTTAGACGAAATCAATCATCATGGAATGACCTCAAATTTTGTCATCAATTCTACTCAGCATGCCGTCCCGTTATGTTCTGCGTTATTCTGCAATGTTAAAACATGACACACCCCTCGTGACAGCCAATTGCCCTTACGCGGACTGCTCCGCGGAAAGCCTTCGATCCCGTCATATGCAGCCGGTCGGCACGGCATCTACAATAACCCACACGTCGGATGTCGTTGAGGCTCTCATTATTCTCATCCGTCGCCACTCACGAGTCGGATGCTCTTTAAAACTAATGTGCCTTCATCATGCAGCCACCTGACTTGCGAAGTTATACCGTCGCTATATTTTGGGGACAAATGGTTGTCAGTAGCTGATCAATATAGGTATTTCTTTCCAGGCGGAGAAGATTTGATTGGCTCCAGTTTATGCCCTTCATCAAAAAATATTAGAGCCCCGATGTTCCATAAATACATCCGCAATTGCGTCTGCATGGAGTAAGGCTCATAGGAGGATTTTCACTTAACCAATTTCCCGTTCCCTGGCTATCGGTCCTAGTTTGTTGAAATTGCTGTACGGCACGAGTAAGTAATTGTTCATGAAAGTGAAGATCGGCTTCTCGTTCGCCAGATACATCAACGCCTCTGCTTGGCGAGGGCGCCTAAATAGCGTTGCAGTCTCACAAGAGACCATTGGACTTCTGTCACGGGTCAGCTCGAGTGTGAAAAGGCGTGAAGGGCATGTTTCAGGTCCTATTCCAGCACTCGAGCAGGACTGGTATTCTGCAGTTGCCGATACGCTTTCATCGTTTCTGGAGTACAGGCACGAGCCAATGCAAGTGAACTCATATCTCACAGGTTCGGACCGAAGATTCCCTCGCGGTTGTGTTCAGTGTGTGGCCCATGCAGAAGGATTCACCGGCTGCTCTCCCGCTGGAATCATCCCTCGCTGTTCAAGAAAACGCAGCGCAGAGTGATCACGGCGTTCCGTGTTCAGACCAACCCCATCCTCGATTAAGGCAGATCAGGCAGAATGGCATGGCATCGCATCCATCATTCCTGTCATTTACAATCTGCCCACCTCGAGATCTGGTTGCAACACCAATGCAGAACGGGAGTGTGGCGACTCAATCGTGACGGGTTAGGACCGTCCGCGGAGGCTATTTCAAACTTTTAAGACAGATCTATTTTGCTTCTGGTGTAGCTCGCCGTAACTTCTATGAAACCAATCCGCGAGGCTGAGCAATTTTCGCTTGACTGACTGTACAGGAGTCGGCCAGGAGAAGCAGGAAATGGAGGAGACACAGACTCAGATAAAGTGGTAGGGGCTTCTATATTCTCCGAGAAATCGCTGCAACGTGTAACTGTAAGAGAGGAGTTCATAATTGGGACAGCTTCGCTTCGCAGTTCGAGTCCGAATGGTGGCGCGAGTGGGCGTGTTGTGCTCTCAGTGTCGTATCATTAGATAAGTGAGAAGGGCACGTTTCGAGTGGAAAAATAGCCTCTACGAAGCGCAACAGCTGGTTCGTATGAGGATGGACAACGAAATAATGGGCCAGCCAGCCTTCAAGATTCGACTCGTACAGTGAAGCTAAACCGCTACCAAAAGAACCTCTCACCCAAGTCGTGCATGGAAATGACACGGATCAGGACTAGGTGTGCCACCCCAGGCCCCTTCCAAGGATCCGTTGTTCTAGAAAAGGGGGGGCAAAGGAAGGGGGAAGGCGGTCATGAAAGATAAAATAAGATTCCGGGCGGTCAGTGCATCATTACAGTGTTCCACCGAGCTTCTGGAAACAGGGGTATTGCCTTCTAGAAGATTGCCCTCCTCGAACAGTGCAGGCCCCGAGATTGGAGCCGAAGCATGAATCAATGCCATCCACGACCACGACCTACCCTCCTGGGAGGGCCATAAAGTCGCTGATCACTTGATGGCATCTCAAGTCCTTGACGTTGCATATGACATAAGAACAAGGCTAGCTAGCAGTACTGGCTGGAATCAAATCAAACAGACACCCTAGCCCAACTGACGGAAGGATGGAAATGGAGGCATCTCGCTCATGGATGTTCAAGCCCCTGGTCCAGCTAACGGATAGAAAGAAGGATGGGCACGCAGGGACGGAGATGCACTGTACTTTTGGATTTCAGATGGACAAAAAATTAGCTGTTCTCGATCTTAATTTCGCTATTTCTTTTATCTTACAATTGCCACCTTGACTGCCGCATGTCATAACCAGCTGAATTGATGCTTTTCGTGCATCTCTGTCTTGTTGAGGTTTAGGTATGGTATTTGACCGGCTGGGCCAATGACTTGCTGCAGAAGCAAGCCACGACAATCCACGCCACCACCCGTTGTTGCTTCTCAGGGAGGCAACATACAGCATGAAGTGCACTGAATAAGTCAGTTTGGGGTTTCTTGACTCGACTCCACACGCAGGATGTGGACTTGTACAGTAGGGAGTGTGGGTGGCCCTGTCTGATCAGCAACGAACGACAGACACGGACTCTGCAAGACTAGCACCAGGGCGTGAGAAACATCAACATCAACAAACACCCTCCGCCTGCCCCACTATGCATTCCTATCAGTCCGGCGCAGAAAGCCAAAAGAAAATATTGAAATTCAATGGGATAGAAGGACCGCAGACATCATCAACTCCGCGTCCGCTCTGCAGTCCGCACTCCTTCTCTGTGGCCGCAAGAAATATGTCTCTGAATCGAAGTCTGAATCGAAGTCCCGGGACTTCTGGCGCCCCCTAACCTTAACCTAACCAACATAACATAATCCTCCCCCTCTCTGCCCTGCCCTGCCCTGCCCTGCCCTGCCCTGCCCTGGAAAGCCATGCCCAAGGGCCAAGACAGACGGGACCCAAGTCAATCGTCAGGCCTGTCTGGTAGCCCCTGCTGCACTGGCTGAAGGGATCAACCCCGGCGGTCGACGTTTGGGCTGCCCTGTGTGCTTTAGCGAGTCGTCAGGACGGTCAGGCACGTTTGGTTTGGTTTGGTTTGGTTTGGTTTGGTTTGAAGCAGCGAGTCGTACCCACTCCCACTCCCACTCCCACTCCCACTCCATCCACTACCTCATTCTGAGTACCCTACCCTTGCCTGACCACCTCAGGGAGTCAGGGCTCACCTCCCGTCGCCGCACCGCACCGCACAGCACCGCACAGCACAGCGCAGCACCGCAACGCACCTTGTCCGCCCTCCCAGCATTAGTGCACAGCTCCCTACCGCACCGCACCCACTTGCCCTAATAATCCCCACGCCCAGCAGAGAGCCAGAGCCAGAGCCAGAGCCAGAGCCACTAGCTAGCAGGCTGCTGCTCCCCAGCCCCTGTCGACTCCCTGGCGGCCCCCTGCAAGCAGGAGGAACTTAAGGAAACTTAAGCTGACCAGGGTGGCACTTGGGTCCAGCAACCGACGACTACTACAGAAGCAAGCACGCCCGCTCTCTGCGAAGGTCAAAGGTCACCTTCACCCTGCCTGCAGCAGCGCGGCCACCAAAACGTTGAGCCACCCAAACCTTCCTTCTTAATATTCGTTCTTGCGCTCCATCTGCCGGACACAAAATCTACCACCTACCTTACCTACTTTCTTCGAATACCTCCCGGCACTACACTACACTGCACTGCACTGCACAGCACAACACAACACCGTTTTGAAAAGACAAGCTAAAAAGTGAAGCTCAGACACAAACTCTTCTCTTCTCCACGATTCTGTTGACCAGCATTCAATCCTCCCTTCGAAGCCCGAGCCCTCTGCGTTTCCTCGAAACCTGCCCATACCGCCAGCGCTCCCTTGCACCTGCAGCACTGCTCCGAGGCATCCCATCCTTCGTGTCACCTCACCCCAAACTTCAACGTCGTTTCCAACGTCAAGTTGGACCTGCTTTCTAATAATCTCTGCCATCTGCTGCAAGTTCCACTTCCACCACCTCGGAGAATGTATTTCTCTTCGAAGATAGCTAACTCGAACTAGCGTTTCCGCCTTTCATCTCTCCCCTCGCCGTCAACTGCTTCCACGGCTGCGCTCGACGCCCTCACGGTCTCTATCACGACCTAGACATCAATACTTGCCTCTAAAGCTCAATACGGAACAAAGGATCTGTTAGGCAGGCTACTGGCAACTGCAACCTGACGCAGTACGCGATTTCATAACGAATCAACATTAAGCCTGGTCTTGTCGGCGCAACCAGCTGAACTAGAGCATCGAGCATAAGACGAAGCAGCAGACGGTGTGGACTGTTCAGCACACGTCTAGCGAGACGGACTTATCGAACCTTTGTTCTGCTCTGGATACCTGTGGGCTTTCTGCCGTTCGACAGCTCACATATACGGCCGAACTTCTGGTGCGTGCCTCAAGACACTGCAGCATACCGTGCCAGTCCTGCGCTTGAAAGAAAGACACAGGCCACGAAGAGAGCCAACAGTTACACAGCTCAAGGCCAGCTATCTCGCTGCCCCATCGTCCGTCCCATAATTTGTCGGAAGCAGGGATCGCCTTTTCCACTACACTATTTTGGTGCGTCGTAAAACTTCGACTTGAGACTCGAAAACCACTACCACCGAGCAACAAAGGTACCTCCGTACCAACGAGCAGCCAGAGTTTCAGGATTTGTTCAGGCCAGGCAAATAAATCAACGCCCAGCCAATCTTAACCGGCAGCTCAGTGCCCGTGCGTTCTGACATTCCCGCGCCCCACGCACCCAGCATCCGCATTGGCGGATATCTTGAAGCTGCGAAATTTCGGCCTAACGCCCATTTGGCCTGGCTCTGTCATCTTGCACAAGGTGAGCACGCTCGGGTTGATGCATGTTTACACACGCATTCTCTCCACTCTTCCTGACATTTTGCTTTTCCTATCCACCCATGAATTGGCGGTGTGAATGCGGCCAGCAACAACAAACCTCTTCTCGGATTTGTGTTCAAGTAGTTATTGTACATGACTGACCTCACTTGCTTCTAGATTCATCGTGCGCCTCGTTGAACCACTCTCAGTCGGCGAAGACTCATCTGAAATCGCGCCGCGACGACATTCTCCGTCACGTTATCTACTTCGCGTCGGCCGTCTCCTTGTCGAGCTGTGTTTGATCACATCAAATCTGGCGAGTAGAGTCCAGCTAAATCACTTGCGGATATCCTTCCGAAATCTCGTCCCCGAGACATAGCATTACGTTCAAGACACAGCGCCAGATTTTCCGAACCTGATCTAACAAGTTGGATGAACCCCTGATCCGAGCGTCCCCAATTTCTTATAACCTTCCACCCACACCGCGTCCTCTTTGCAATCTTTCAGAACTATTCCAACTCAATCATGGACATCAAGCAGATAGTCAACGCCAAAGGCGGCCCCAAAGCAGTTGCGGCCGCCGCAGCAGCAAACGGAGCCGCACAAGACCTGCACCTCCTACAGTCCATCTCTCAAGCCAACAGCATGCCTATGTCTGACACAGGATCAGAACGCGGTAACTCGCCCCATGACTCCGAACATTCACGTTACTCTGCTCCAAGATATGGTCAGCTTAATGGAATGAATGGTGGTCCCAATGCAATGCGCTACCCCTCCCCAACAGCCATGCAAAATCCACTTCCAATGCTACAGCAACCTTACCGATCAGACAATGGATTTGATAACGGCATGATGCAACAGGAGAATACCAGACCAAGACAGGCTGTAGATGGTGCTGTCCAGAAGGCGTTCCCATGCAGCTCATGTGGCAAGGGGTTTGCAAGACGAAGTGATCTCGCACGACACGGTAAGCCTCTCAGTACCACCCTAGATTATCAGGTCTGACTTCTCTCAGAACGTATACATAGTGGCGTTCGACCACATGTCTGTGAACATCCAAACTGTGGCAAGCAGTTCATTCAGCGGTCCGCTTTGACTGTACATATGAGAGTCCATACCGGAGAGAAGCCTCACATGTGCGAGAGATGCGGAAAGGTAAGCATTCTTGTCCCTCTGTGTGTACCACACTAACATTTCGCAGCCTTTCAGCGACTCGAGTTCTCTCGCAAGACATCGCAGAATCCATTCAGGCAAACGACCTTATAAATGTCCTTACGCAGATTGCCAGAAGACTTTCACTCGACGAACAACTTTGACTCGCCACCAAAATCACCATACCGGAACTGTTGAGGAGGCAGCAGCAGCTACGGCAGCAGCTCTTGCTACACGAGCTGGAAGCAGCAGAGGAGGCCGTCAGCGCTCGGATGGAGAGCAGTACTCAAACAATGGATCTCCCATGTCAACACCATCTCCAGGACAGAGGCATCTCACAGCATCGCCTCATTCAGACCTTGCCCCCATGAATGGTATGCAGCGACACCCTGGAGAATACCAGTACATCAACAACAGTCACCTGCCTGGCCATGTCCGTGGAGATTACCACATGCAAGGTCAACAACCTCCAACCACAGCTCCTTACTCCAACGGCATGAGACCAACATCTCATCCATCCGCATATGGACCACCCTCGATTCTGGAACCTCCTACAAACTCGGACCGTCAATCTGGCAGCGCCATCGGTAGTCCTCACATGAGCAGCGTAGGTTGGCAATCACCATCGCAAGGTAGCATGCCATCTCCTTCTCAGAGCAACGGCTATGTCTACCCGGATCCAGATTATGGCCAGTCGCTCTACTATCAAAATTCCAACATGCGAAGACCACAGAGCACCGAGCCCGATGCGTATGATGTCAAGCCAAGAATGGGGCAAGAGATGTGGACCGCAGCTCAATAGATTCTGCCACACCCAATTCTCTCATCACGATCATTCGCAGCAGCTTGCAATACTCTCTTTCATACTTTCATGAATCGTCTTTGATACACCCTCGATACCCTGTATATTTCACGTCTTCACTGGCTTTTCTTCCCATTTCCTTCGTTGGTGTTCTCGGGCATTGCGGCATAAAATCATACAGGTCTACAGCACTCTCCAAAATTGGGCGTCATCTTTCTTTTGTCATATTGTTTTCGCTGCTTTTCTTGCTCTGGCGCTGGCATGTTAAACTTAGAATGAGTCCGACTTGAGGCCTTGGCACCAAAGGAAACAAAGATGGGGCCGAGCTGCGAGGCTGATGAGAACATTGATGATTTCCTTTTGTTTGTTTTGCCTTTGCTCTTGCTCGATGTCTTTGATGGGTAGGCTTGTTTTTTTGTACGTCGCTGGGTCTAATGAGCTCTACATCTTGCTTTAACTGCTAAAGACGGGTCTCGGGAGGAGCGGTATATCATGTACATTAATCAGAGGCTGAGAATGATGCTCAGTCGTAGCATACACAATCTGGTGAGCAATGAACCTTAAACAAGAAACAAGAACGCAACTCTCCGGCAAAAGTGCGACCTTGAAAAAGTATGATGTAGGCGAGAAGAATCCCTTGGCTCTATTTTGTTAAAGTGTCTGTGTTCCTTGAGTTGCGTACTCTGGGCAAGGCACTCAATTTTTTGTTCGGTGTCCTTCCTCGTGGGGCATGGTACGCTCAGATAAATATGATGCATCTCTTTTGGGGAAACTCAAAGAAAGTCGACTTCATGTCTTGGATCCCGACGGACCATTGCGAGAATTTCATCACCGTGTGTTTGCCGGCTCCTATCCCCAATACTTGATAGTTTAATAACCTCTTGCGAGAATTTGGGAGCCTATCTCACAGGTTTACTGTGAACGGACTGGCAACCAGAGCTAAGCGCGTCGCCACTTCCTAACTTTTAATGAGGCAGACGCATTTCACATGTGTTACTTCTCATTCAAGGGAATTTCGTTTCCGGCTCTGCGAAAGTATTTTGTGGACTCGATTCCGCTGCGTCTTGCATCTTGCATTCTTTACATCTCTCACGAGCATATCTTCTGCGCTCGATTGTCCACGGCTCCCAGCCAGATCGATGATATTGCTACACATTGTTATCTTCGACTCTAAATGTATCCAAGCACTCAATATCCCGCTCCCCGGCATACGCGACGTCATGCTCGTAATCAAAGATTACGTAGTCATCATCCATCAGCGCCACTTTCAACATCGACCAACTTCCTGAACGATCCTGTCATTCATTCAGTGGCAGCGAATATTCCTCTTCCAATACCGACAAAGATACACGCGTCACGAACAGCACCAGCTGTGCGAACACCACGCCCGTGTCCCAACCTCCACCTGCATACCATGAGAGCTCAAACGCATGAATGCTGTTACTCTGCCCTTGCTCATGAGTTGAAAATCATGATTGTCGAGGAAATTGTCCGAGTCTTCACCAGTCAGCACTGCTTTATCCAGCTGCGTTTCAGAACACTCACCGCGCACCTGGAGAAGAAAAGCAAGGTGGAAGCCAGAGATCCGGGGGAATATCATTCAACTGAAGATCCAAAGGCAGATAGGTATTATCTCATCGCCAATACTCCCAACCCTTTGCCACTGTCGATCTGCCGACTGAGTCGGGAGGAAGCAATGAAGTATTACAAGCGCCTTGACGAGCCTGGATGTTATAAAGGTCGCTCACGCAACGAATACATGGCTCCAATCTATATATACCCGGACCATGATACCATTGTTTTCTGTCCCGTTAAGTATTTTGGAGAATGGAGATGTGGAAACTGGGGTGTTTTTCCTTGTCCCAATTATGGCACTAGCACAGGCTTCAAACAACTACTCGGAAGCGGCTGTTATGAGCTACAATTCTTCTTGTTCAAGGCCATGCTATTCAATCTCATGAGGGACAATCTTATTAAGACTCTGGCCATACGCCCAGGAGAAGGACCCTACTGTATCAACGGAGTTCATTGTTGTACTAGATCAAGGTTTTTCCACAAGAACTGGACGAGATGGAGTTTCCAGCTGAGAGATTTCCTTGGCTTGGAAAAGCTTATCATCTTCCATGAATACCATTCTCCGTTCAGAGCGTCAAGTGGTCATCGCGTACCACACTGGGAATCAATTTCTCGATTCGAAGAAGGCTTAAGGGCCAGAGCACGCCATGATGTTGGTCTACACGATAATCGTATTTCCAAGATTCTTGTGGCAGACAGCCGGTGTATGCCAGCACCTGGTGAGCATTTCGAAATGACGGAGGAGAACCTCGCTGCGAAAAAGTTAAGATCATTAGGCAATGAATGGAAAGTGAGGGTTCCAAGAATCTCTGAGAATGTGTACGGACTGCTATGAGAGCAATGATAGCAATCCTTGTTTCCAAATATGTTTAGAGAGTCAAATGAAAAGAAAAATGATCACTCAGTGCCTAGCCTAAGAGGAAGTGAGTATCTCAGATGCTTGAACTGCCCATTTTGATGTGACAGTTGCCTCTCATCGTTCCGGGTAACAACTTCCAGGCTTACGTGAACCATCTCGTCTTCTTAACAAGCTGGAGATGCAAGTACCGAGGTGGATACCAGGTCTTTTGGCCCATATATACGCGATCGCTTTTGAGTGTAAATTGAGTATCAGCCAGGTTGAAGATCCCAAGAAGAGGAGTAAATGAATCATTTTTCTTTTTCCAGCACAAGCGACGCATCGGGAAAAATGAAATAAAGAGCAGTGTACTCACATTAATTCGCTTTCCTGTAGGAGAAGACTGCAGCCTAGGAGATTGGCCCTATCGCCAAAAGTTCGGCGCGCTCCACGACTAGCGAGCGAGCTTGCCTGCAAGTCCCGGGTGTCAAAACAAAAACAAACGTAAGCGAGACGCATTTCGAATTTACAAAAAAAAATTCTTACGCTTCTCTCGAAGAACTCCAGACATAGCATTTGGCTCACAGTCTTCTCGTATCAGCATCATCCCACACTCCCGTCTCCTCTCCAACATTACCTCCTAGACCCTCATTAAGCGCCACTCTTATTTCCCATACACCTCTCGTACCCTTACCAACCTCCTCCCAAGGTCTCTTAAAGCTCTCCTCGCTATGTCTCGTCACTTCCTTCTCACCCCGAAACACAACATCGCTCTGCACCACACTTCCAATCTGATGCACAAGGACGAGCACTCCCTTTTCAGGCCTTGATAGCGCTACAATCATCTTGCATGCCCTGCGTTGTCCGTCCCAATCGAATTGGTGCAGGAACAGACCAATGTTGACTATGCTCATCATACCGTCGAGATCCTTCAACGGGGAGTCAGGCTCGAAGACATTCGCAGTAAGGAAGTAACAGGATTATCAGCAAGAGCCGTCAAATTCTCATGTCATTTTCGATGCCTGCACTGACAGTGGTTCCAATGGTCTCTCGGTCCCGGAAACAATCAAAGCCCAAGACGAGGAACTCGCTTCTCAACTCAGCGCCATACAGAGAAGAAGCAGGAGCCTCAACGTAAATAAATTTGGGGAGATCCTGACCGAAACTGCAACTCAGATCGAGTAACATGGCATTTGGGCTATCCTTGAGATGAGCGAGAATGGTGGGGTAGGACGGAGATTCCGAGAGGGTAGGGTCGAGGAAACGGAGCTGACCAATATATAGCCGTGAAAGAATCGGCCAAGCTTTTTCTCGCTGAGATAAGTGACCTTAGCTGATGCTTTGGGTCGAGAATGAGTAAAATACTATTGCGAGGATATGGGGAATGACTGAGTCAAGAGGAAGGCGAGAGTAGTCGGTGAGGAGGGTGACCTGGCTGTCTGTGAGATTTGAAAGCGTTGGGCTGGACCAAACACTCTTGCCCTCTTTGCTGGCAGCTAGTAGAGGAGTATTCGTTGAAGTGGGTGACATGATGAGATTGTGAGAATGTCGTTTCAAAGAAAAACGGATGAACAAAGTGTTGATTTCTTGTATTTGGGAAGCGAGTGTTGAGGACAGCACTAGTGGTCAAGTTACTTGAATCCATATAGCGACATGGTAGTACAGTGTGAATTAAAGGTGCGACACGATGTTGCACTAAGGTGTAGATCACTTTTGCTGGGAAAGGACATCCTCATGAGTAGAAGACTATGTCAAAACTATTAGTTGAACTTATGCATGTGTCGATGTACTTGGATGAAGACGAACGTGGATTTCAGATGGCTCATGGACACTACAGCAGCACAGAAACCCATGAGTTCCATTAGCTCCGTGTCAGCTCACATAAACACATCGACAAAGCCAATGTCACGCAATGACAGATCCAGAAACTTCTCGCAGAACATCGGGCATATATCACACCGTTATCCTTTCTTTGGGCCTTTCAAATCACACCCAGAATTCCTTCCTCTCCATGACCAAATGGCAGTGTGCCCATCTGGACTGTGCCTCCGCCATCTTCTCCTGGCAGCGATGCCATGCTCATAGTCTTTGGCGCTTCGCAGTTGAACTCAAAGCTGCATACCCACCACTAAAGAAACTCTATTAGCACTGTCCTATCTAGGGCCCTGATAGATAAATAATGCAACCTGGAAATTTGTGCTCAAGAAAGTTGACCAGCAGAACAGCAACTCACCTGGTTATCATCCCTCCAGCACTGTTCATTCTTACCACCCCATCTCTTTCCAGCATAATTCATCACAACGGGGCTCCGTCCATCTTTCAGATCCGTCACGGCGACGTACCGAAGGCGGGAGTTGAAGCTGTAGACATGGCTTCCGGGACCCGAGGAGGCAGGAAGAGAAAAAGGAGATATATCAGAGGCGGACCCCACGATTCCGCACTGCGAGTCAAATAGCCAGAGATAGGTATTGAAAGACTGGTCTATCAAACTGGCAAAGGTACAAATCTGGTAGCCCAGCGTGAAGCGTGTGCTGGGAATACAGTAGTATGGCTGGGCACGAGAGTGGAGAGGCGTTGGTGAAGCACTTGCTGAGTGGGTGAGAGCTGTGATGATGATGGTGAGAAACGTAAGGGGCCGCATCTTCGTATTTGTCGCTTGTTGTTCCGAGAGGTGGTTAAAGTTGGAGTTGTTTTGAGAACTGGGGCTCGCTTTTATGCTTTTCAATGAGTTAGACTGAGAAGCTTGAGTCACAAATGACTTTCGTCCTGGCAAGGTGAATTCATCTTGCTTAAGGCGTATACCAAGCGCCTTTTTGTACCTTGTCAGAAGCTTTCTTCTTCGCATCAACGACATTAAACCGATATCTCTAGTCCCTCTCCCAACATCGTTCTTCTGAACCCTCCTACGATTTCGATAAGATGTCTGACGATCTGAAGTAGGGGATAATACCAAGGCTGGCCTTTGGTATTTAGCTTTCAAGAATCGTTACATTGGCTTCTGTCGCGATGTCCAGCTTCTCAATGACGAGCCGGTTTGTCAAGGAGATACGAATCTTGCTTGAGTCCAAACCATCCGATCTCTTCATGGCTACTGGGTCCAGGGAGGGCGAGTCGGAGGGCCAAAATTGTAGCATTATAAATACCTCCACATGGCCGAGCTTCAGGTAAGCATTCACGAAGTCAGTCTCTTGCAGATTCTGGCGCTGATGGCGTGTTGCATAGACAAAAAGTGAGCAGGCCGAGAAATATTGGCAAGAATCTGTTGTGCGATATGGCAATCCTGGATTACTCGATTCTGGTGTAAGACATCATCTTCAATCTGAATGTTCCCACTGCTAAAGCTCAGTAGGCAGATCTCGCAGGGTTGGATTTGTCCTCCTTGGTTACCTCGCGCGACACGAACATGCCAGAACTTGACGACGACGAATACTACGATGATGCCACGCTGGCACAGATGTACCGCCCAGTCTACGCCTTCGGTACGAGTGGAAGAGCAAGCCAGATTGGCAATGTAGATTGGATGTCGGAGGAAATGCAGCTCGAGACCCAAATGAGCTTGTTCAACATGCCAAAGAAGAATACGAAATACGGCCACGTGGCGGAGAAGGCCGAGAAAACTATGATTACAGTTGCATTGGTTGAAAAGATGGATACCTTAATGGGAGATGCAGAGCAGATGGAAATGATTGCGTCGAAGAGAAAGGCAGAACATTTTTGAAGGATGCAGAAGGTAGAGTATTGCACATATTCCATGTTCAATGCCGCATAATCGTCAAAGGACATTGATTTAAGTCAAGCACCGAGATGCGGTTCTCATGAGTCCTCTAAATGAAGACACGGAGTAACGTGCCTGCCTGGAATGCATATGAGGTTTGGGTTTGATCATAGCATCATCCCACCAAGTCTTGGGCAACGACCTAGCCTCGGGAGATTTCTTATTTCTTACTTGTATTCCAATCTAATTCCCCGCACTGATCCCAACACATCAAAGTTTGACAAGGAAAGATTTGAGGAAAAGGGGCTTTTGCAGACCACCCCGTTCCATCTATGTGGTTCATGATCCAACCACCCCTGCCTGGCTTCCCCAAAGATCTTCTGGATGCCTGCAATGTGATGTGATGTGATGTGATGTGACTTGCCGTTGCTGTATCCGGCATGGGGCTGGATGTCATTCGTCCGGTCTGACCTGCAGGAGGCCGAATGAAAGATGGGATATGCAGTCCTGGAACTGTCAGATGCAACTCCAAGTTTTTTCCCCCTGTCCTTCCGTGGGATGTCTCCCCATACTCCCAGCATCTTGCAGTATTTGGTTGCCTCTCCTGGAGATAAAGAAGTTATCAGATCATAGATTTGCAAGGGACCCCGACTCCCCGCCCCTTTGAAGCTGGCCCAGCTGGCCCAGCTGGACCTGGACTCCTGGAGATGTTGCATTGGGGTCCAATTTAAATTTAGCTTTGTCGTCGGCCCAAAGCGGCATAGTCCCGTCCAAGCCCCCTGTCCCAACTTCTCAGAGCAACTTGTTTCAGGTGCACGATGCCATCGGTGATCTTGGGCCTCGAAACATTTCAGTCCTGTTCTGTTCTACTCTGCTCTGCTCTGCTCTGTTCTGTTCAGCTTACTCTCCGGTCGCTGTCGCCTTCTCGCCATACCTACACTCCTTTGGTGCAGCAAAGATACGATACGATACGATACGATACGATACGATACGATACGATACCAGACGACGTCTCACGACTACGCAGGCCATAGTCGATTCTTTGCGAAACCGACCTGTCTTTCGCCGGCCAGAAATCACTTCCATCCCTCGCCTGGGTCTCTGCTTGATTCAGCCAATCTCGCAGCATAAAGCTGCCTTCACTCCTTCAAGCGTTCCGTTACATATCAGCAATTGACGGCCATCCCTGCAGGGTTCCTTGAATGAGATAATCTGCTTGGTCAAGTGCGGATTTGTACATCGACAAAAATTGCGCAACACCACCACCTCTCGAAGGCATCTCCTCGGATTTCAAGAACCCCATGATCCGGAAACATTATGACGCGACCACAAATTATTCGAGCTGGTAAGCTTTCTATGCCTGGACGTCTCAAGGAGAGCTCGCTGGCTAATATGGATTCGAACAGACTCGATTGATCTTCAGGACCAAAGTGCTCCCTCAGCTCAGGACCACACACGGCAACCTACCAACCCAGCCCCCTTAGGCGCAGGACCTCCAGCTCCACACCAGGCCGAGACATTGCGTGAATTGGCTATAGAGGCAGCGGAGGAAAATCACAGAAGTCCAAGGATTTCGAAGGAATGGTCAAAGGGCGAGGTCCAGCAGTACGATGACGACGACCTGGCGGCAGGGGTCGCATCCAAATTGACGGGCTCCAATCTTCACCAGCAGGATGATCTAGCCATTGCGCAAAATGGGGGGTTGTCAGGGTCGACAGCTGAAGATGCCGACATGGCAGATGCGGAGGGCGACGACGGAATGGACGACGATATGATGGACAAGATATCCAGCTCTCCGTCAATCGATGATGGTGGGTATTCCCTTCCACAACTGTGGCCTCAGCGAGGCATCTCTCTTTCCCAGTCCACTCCGGCGACTTCTCCGACCTGTACACAAGCGTGCTACGAAAGTTCGTCTCCATTCGTGGAGACCCCGGACCATTTTCCTCTAAGACCTCCACCTGAACCTATCGACAAGGACGGGGTTCACGGTATGCAGGCAAATATACGTCGTCATCGTCATCTTCTTGGTGAGTATCTGGACGGCACAGCAAGCGAATCGAACTACGACGAACATACTGCTGAAAACTCCCCCCTACCAGCGAATTATGGACCAAAGGAAATCGATTCTTACGACCAAGACTTTGATCTGAAGCACTTCTCGGAAGAGCTTCTTGCTGACCATCTGGCATTGCTCAGCGACGAGATTGAACCCACTGTTGGAGGCCTTCCCCTAGAGTACCCAAAGAGTCAGGCCAGTGATGATTGGAGATCCAAATGCGACGACGAAGGCATCATCGTACCATATGAAACCTCCGAGGACGAAGATGACGATTATGACATTCCTTATTCTGCTGACTCTAGATTTGTTGATTCCGGTTGGGGTGGTGAATGCTTACAAGAACTAGAGGATATCGATTTCGAATTCGTCTATGCCCTGCACACATTCGTTGCAACTGTTGAAGGCCAGGCAAACGCTACCAAGGGGGACACGATGGTCCTCCTCGACGACAGCAACAGCTACTGGTGGCTTGTCAGGGTAGTCAAAGACAGCAGTATCGGTTAGTGACTAAACCAATCAAAAACTTCTCAAAGTCTAAGAGCAGCTCCAGGTTACCTGCCAGCAGAGCATATTGAGACGCCGACGGAGCGACTAGCGCGATTGAATAAACACAGGAATATTGACGTATGTTTTCTGGTCTCGCCAAGTATATTGGACTAATCGCAATATTTAGCTCACTTCCACAATGCTGGGTGACCAAGAGGCCAAGTCCAAAAATCCCCTCAAGAAGGCAATTCGAAGACGAAATGCCAAGACAGTCACCTTCACAGCTCCAACTTACGTCGAAGCATCGGATATTGACTACTCAACAGAAGAGGAAGATGGCGAAGGCGACTATTATGGACAAAATGGACAGCAAGAACAAAACGGAGACCAACAGGACCAAGCTGCCGATGAGGATGAGATCAAGGCTGTCGAGCCTCTGAAACCCCGAGCCGAGATTCGAGAAGTCAGGTCCGAATCAGCGGAACCAGAAGCGAGTAGGGATCCGACAGGCAAAGGCAGCTCTGATACTACCCGAACAAGCGACGAAATATTCGATGGCAAGGTTGAGAGTAAATCTCGGAATGGGACTGTGAGAAATACAGATTCGTTCTTCAAGGATGATTCGGTGGAGACCCGGAAAATAACCCTCACACCCAATTTGCTGAGAGACGATTCGAGCACATCCACTCGGACTTCCAACGATTCGAAAGAGCTCAAGCAACGTCCTAGTCTTGACAAATTGGAGAAGGAATTCTCGGATAAGTCAAAGGATAAGAAGGACAAGAAAGATAAGAAGGAGAAGGACAAGAAACCAGGAATGCTCAGCGGTCTTTTCAAACGGAAAGAAAAGAAGGCCAAAGCCTCAGTTGAGGATGAAGTCGATGATTTGATGGCTGGGAAAAGGTCAACCGAAAACCCGAGAGCTTCCCCGTCACCCAGTAAAGACTCGGACGAAACTGCCCCAGTCGAGGAACCCGTGGTCGCGCAGACTCCTGAGAGACAGCCGAGCAAGTTGCAAAAACAGCGGAACGACATGTCACCTAGCCGAAAGCCTGCAGCAGCCAAAGAAACGAAGGCTGTGGAGCCTCAACAGGCACCTGCGCCTGAGAGACCACCACCGGCTGACTCGGCACAGGCGCCATCTATGCGTTTGGTCCAGCCAGAGCCTTCGATCGAAGAACTTAGTCAGCCACGGGATGCGTCCCCTGAACTCACACGGAACCAGCAGTCTCGTAATCTGTCCCCCGAAGCCACCAGAGGGCGTAATACTTCCCCAGAAGCTACAAGGACGGCGCCTGTTCTGGCGGCAGCTAAGGAGCAAAAGACAGGGGGAACAATATCCAAAATCCTCCGATCCGCCAGTTCAAGTACTTCCGAACCACGGCCGGTCAAAGCGAAGAAAGCTAAATCTCGCGTGGAATTGGATGACTTTGATTCTTCTAGCGAAGAATTTCCTGCGGAAGAGCCTATGCGGGGAGCAAGCAAGCAGACCCAGCGGCCGATACCTGGTGCATTTCCAGATAGTTATATCGGATCTCCTCCGACCGAGCGATCCAATCCTGCAGAAGAAAGGCTTTCAGAGTCTCCGGTCCAGGTGTCTCCCGTGACAGCTTCACAATCGTACCCTCCTGCACTCATGGTTGACACTTCAAGTCAAGAAGAACCGCCTTCGCCTGTATCATCGCCGTCACCCGAGCTGATAGATGCAGATGATGCTCGCGAAAAGAAAGGCGCCGGGAGCTCTACTACCTCCACTTCAACTGCAACCTGGAGCGATGCCCACCTCAGAACATTCTTTGACGATGACGCCGATATCAAAGATCTGCTCGTAGTAGTATATGACAAGTCTGGAGTGGTCCCCGCTGGGCCCGACCACCCAATAACCGGAAATCTCTTCAGAGAAGAGAACGCCAAGTTGGCAGACATAACCAATGTGAGTTTATGAACATATCTAATGCGTACGCCCGCTAATATGTTTCAGCGCCTGGATGGCATGCTCGGGGATTGGTTAGCTCGCAAAATGAGAACCCAAGCCTCTAGGTAAACAGCACTATCCGGCTTATCCTATGTAAATGATGCACACGAAAATGATGAATGAAGTTCTTACGGGAGGGGCGTCCTCGTCCCATATTTTGGCGCATAGGGTCGGGTTCGGTAACCGGCAAGGAACCTTGGGCAACAACCTGGGTTGGGCGCGGCGTGGCATGGGAATTCTTATTAGTCTATCATATTGGATGGGGTCCCGAGCTGAACTCAGCAGAGTTGGGTAGATACAGTGCCATCTACAAAATTTGTCCCTACCAATATCGACAATGCTTCCTGATAGCTTATCTGAGTCTATTGGGATGTCCCACTTGCGTGCTGTGCTGTGTGCTGTCTCATGTTAATTGATCCCCTCCTACTTCGCTGCCGTCACAGCACGTCCAAGCCAGCGCCGAGATTGAACGTTATTGAAAATTTGAGCACCCGCCACTTCGAGCACTGGCCTGGCCCCCACGTCACTAACAGAAAAAAGCGACAGCTTTCGACTGCTATCGACTGTTATCTACTGGTAATGATGATGGGGTCCAACAAGGCTGGATTCAGAATGCCGCCAGCGCCTCTTGCACCATACCTTGCAGTGGTCCCAATATTTATGCTATTTTCATCTGGCATAGCGTTCTTACCGCTTTGACCCGCCTTCATAGTGCAGACACAGAAAAGCGGCACCAAGTACAGCTCCTGTAACAGGTACCTATTAAATGCTCCCAGGATTCTCACCACAGATTGAAGCCCCAGACAGCTTCCAGGACTCGAATCCATGATGAAGCCATATGTCTCTTTCCATTTCTTCTTCCTAGATAGTATTTTTCTATTAGAAGTGGCTGCTATCATAGTTAAAAGTTTGTTCAACAGGTGGGAATGCGACAAGGTCTTGTGCAGCGCTGCTTTTCCTCCACGAGCCGCCCGCTCTGCCTGCATTACGTTAGTGCCGATTGGCTTGGGTGCGGACGTGCAACTACGAGAAGAACTCCAAGGACTCTCTCAACATCACACCGGTTTGCCATCGCAACAAGGAGTCTCGCGCACCATGGCATTCGCATCGGGCACCGCAATGTATCCTGAGAGTGATGCTGACGACGAATACGAGCGAAGCGTCCACGACTCGTCTCCTATCCTCGCAACAGATTCTGAGGCGACAGATTCCAATCCCTCCTCGAACGAGCATACGCCAACGACATACGGCGCTCCTGGATCAGGAGATAGACTACCCGAGACGATAATAACGGAATGGACTGCAGACGAATGCGCGGACTTTGTAGGAAGCCTGGGGTTGCAACAATACGTAGACCAGTTCTTAGGTATGGACTCTGGCCTAGAGGATGAAATGGGACATGGTACTTATTTGGCGCAGAGAACGAAATCGTTGGGGAGGCTTTGGTAGCTCTGCAACATGATGATTTGAAGCAGATGGGGGTAACCAGCGTTGGGCATCGACTCACGATTTTGAAAAGCGTTTATGATATCAAGACCAAGCAGGATATACCCTTAGAGAGTGACCACTACGTCCCGTTGTGTAAGTCGTGAACGTTTTACAGCCGATACCAGTGCTAACTCGTCATCAGCGGCAGATGCGGAAGCGCAGTATGCAACAGCAACCTTGAAAGATATTCGGCACCTGGTGGAACAATTACGGTTACGAGACGAGAGAATGAGTATTGCAGAGATGGAGCTTCGCAGAATAAGCTCGGAATATGCTAGACTACGAGAGGACCTACTTCCAGTCTTCAGGATGGCCAAGGAAGGACAACCACTGCCTTATCTTGCTTCGGAATCTAACAACCAAGCCTCCTATCCTTATGATACGCAAAACACCATCTCACCACCAGCGCCAACACCTTCATCCACTCAATCTGGTGGCGGCTTATCTCGAAAGTTTTCTACCAAGAAGCTCTTCTTCGATAATCAAAAAACATCATCTCCCACATATATGCAGTCCACGCAGGAAAGGTCTCTCATGGAACAAGCTTTGGATCCTGCGAATGCTGCAGAACGGGCAGTTCTCTCATCATCACATCTGGCTGCTATGAATGGCGGCTCCCAGCCATCAACTTCGCCAGGATATCCGTCACCGAATCAACCATCACCGACCTCGCCTCCTACGTTGGGAGGCTCAACACTCGCCTCCCGCTCTTATCGCTCCGACCAGCCGACTCCGGCACGAAGTACATTTCAGCAAGACAACGACCAGTACCAAGCTTCTACATACTCCCGCGACAGTCAAAAGCCTGCGCCATCGCGGCGAGCCCAAACCCCTGCGCTCGATACTCCCTCATCAAACGGTTCTGTCGAGATATTCAAGTCTTTCCGAGTCAGTATGGAAGATCCATGCTATAAAGTTCTGCCTGCAGCATTGAAGAAATACAATATCAATGCGCCTTGGGAGCAATACGCGCTATATATTGTGTACGGAGACAAGGAACGGTGTTTAGGGATGGATGAGAAGCCATTAATATTGTTCAAGCAATTGGATAAGGAAGGAAAGAAGCCCATGTTTATGCTCCGGAAAATCAGCCCCAACGCAGATACCCAGTCAGGTGAAGGTCCCGGAAGTGCAGGTCTAGATCGGAACATCGGAAGAGGAATGCAAGCTGGGTACGATCCACCAGGCGGTATCATCTGATCTTGTCTATCCTCGGTAACGATTTTCGAACAGCTTTGTCTGGGGAATCTGGGGAGTTCAGCGCTGCTTAAATATTGCATAGCGGAAGCTGAAGCAATTTTTGGATTACATGACATGTTTTCACAGTCTGTCATGCCAGTCAACTCGTGTGATATATACCTGTAAGAATGGGCTTTGTGTTTTATTGGGACGGTAGAAAGTTAGCAAGCGGCACAATTTTTGGACGATACGATACGTATTTTCAGTATTGAAGTGAAGAGAGGAGGAAGGAAGTTAGCCGCCGGCCTGGCTAGCCTGCTCATCTCATGTCTCTTCGTATTTTGAGCGGGGATCTGTTCCATATAAGGGCAGGGGGTAGGGGTGGTTCTTTATTTTGTTGTGGCTGCGGGCATTATGAAATACATATCTGGTGTGGGTGTGTAGAAGAGAGGGGAGGCGCGAAGGCAGTTTCTGGTAGCAATCTAAAGCATGGGGCCGGTGGTATGAATCGACGAAGCCTCGAGCCTGGCATTTGACAAGTCCCCTTTTTTCCATTCTCGCTTGTTTTAGGGGTAGGGAAATCCATGACGAATGTTGGTGGGAAAGCTTTCATTTGAATTTGTAGGTCCTCTCAAAACCTGGGCTCAGCGCTCAAGACGTTCCGATGTCATTAGAAATGACGAGCAACTCACAGAAGCAAGCTCAGGTAGGTCGCAAGCCAGGAACTTGGTCCATGGACTTGAGGAAAGTGTGGCCTGGGCTTGCACGGCCTCGAGCTATCGCTGAATGTCGGGAAGTGAATCCACATTCGGCACTCAAATCTCACCTGGCTGTTGCAATACCGATCCGCACCTCAGCATTGAGTTCAATGGATCGATTGAGGTGATTCTCCATGAGAAAACAACGTTATACCCATCCGCTTCTTACCAGATCTTGGTGAGCCGCTGCAAGTGCAAGTATAAGTGCAAGTGCTCGTTCACCACGGCGTTGCGGCTCGTTCTTCCCACAAACGAGATCCTGCCCAAAGTGGAAGTCGTGCTCCAAACCACGCTAAGGACCGCACACTGCTGCTCCCTTCCCCCCGCCATTCAAGAACACCGAGACCTGTATTCATCTCTGTCTGATCTTCTTCACCAGCACTCTCGTTGATTGACTCGTCTGGCGATAGTGTCGCCAACATCTTCTTCATAGTTCCGCCCCAGGGACTTCTTCTGCGTCTCGCTTGTCCGCTACTGTAGCTGCACTCCAATCAACATGCCTTCCAACAAATCCTCACGAAAGTCAAAGGCAAGGCCCCAGCCGCGTCCTAGACCTGCCCCCAAGCCTTTAGAACCGGCGGTTGTGCTCCAGTCGCAGCACAGCTTTGACCTCGTCCACACTGCTATCGCTGCTACAGCAAGTTCTCCACGTGCCTGCCTGCCAGTGATCATTGACTGACCACTGTTCGATTAGATGTTTGAGGTGATCTTCGCTCGGTATAGCATAATCTACTTGACACAACTCGAATGTTCTTGCGCTGATAGTACTTGTAGGAAAGTCTTCCCCATCTGGACTAAATGGCACAAGCGTTTCTACGACCCGACGAATCCAGACACTGCTTACGAAACCTTCGTGTCTGGTACCCAAGCCATACAACAACGACGCGGCCTAGAGTGGCATGTTCCCGCCAGTGGTCAATTTCTCGTTTTGGACAGGCTCATGGATGCTCTTGTGGGTGCTGACTTCTCTGCACATACTCAAGGCTAACGGGAATAGGAAAATGGGGTCAGAGACGCTCTAGCGAGATCATACCTGAGCAAGGTTGACCTAAGCTTCCATTCAATTGACACGGAACCAATGTGTGAATCCAATTGCATCGAGTCCTATGGCCTCCATATATCCTATGGACCTGCGAACATGCCGTATATCGACACCGAGCTCAGAACTAGTCGGGGCTCCCAGACCACGAGTATGAATGTCCTACAAGGGAAAACAAGCCTTAAGGATATGATCAATGGCATCGCTCACCATTTTCTTTCTTCTGAACAAGCAAAAGTCTTCAAGACTTTACCATTACCGGGTTGGTCTCTGTGCCAGGTATAAAGCCAGCAAAGGCTAACTTCTGGTAGACAATATTCGAGTCAGCCTGCAGGCAGAGTATACTGCCCAAACCCCGCCTGACTACCAGCCTCTAGGCTTTAAACCTGTCAGAGAGATCGCTTGGAAGAAAAATGACATGGTTGCCGATGAAAATGACAAATACAAATTGACAACCGGTTTCCACAGGTACATGAACGTCCATTCCTTATTTGGTCTTCATCACACTGACTTTCCTGTAGTGTAGCATTTACCTTCAGACCACCAGGATATCGCGTCCAAGCTCCGCAAAGCTCTCAACAGGATAACGATCCAGCTAAGCGCATAGCTCCGGGCGCTGATGATGGCCTCCGTAACGAACGCTCCATCGGAAGCCTCCGAGCAGTCGATCGACTGAGAGCGTCCTCGGAGTTTTCCGCATCTGATGGAGGGCACACACAACCTGAGATTCTGAGACAGGTTCGAGGAATAGTATGTTGGATTTTCAGCGGCTCCCTTCATGAAAGTTCACTTAACAATGGACGTTTAGCATTTCTCCAGACTTGACCACGACAGTCGGCAGGACACGCAGCAATACCATACGTCGCCGTCGTCGCCTTCATCAATCCCGCCATATCCGGATACTGCATTCCATGCAGAGCTCTACATTCCGCAATATGTACCAGAAATTCTTGAAGTTGCCAGACTCAGACTGAAGGAACTAGTCGCACGAAGTAATGAGGACTTGGCCACTCCACAGAGTGTACAGATCTATTGCGATTGTGGAGTCTCTGTGAATGACGGTCATTTGGTATTGCCTTTACCTATTTCTTCCCTATTTACAAATTCTTGCTGACCGCCAAAGGTCCAATGTTTACAATGCCATACCTTTCATCATGCTGAATGCTATGGCTATCTCTCCAAGGTTCCCCGGGCTGAGTTTTGCTACGCATGTGCAAGAGATCTGTTCGACAAAAGCCTAAATCTGGGAGACAGAAAATTTGACGCTCAATTGAGGCGTACGATTCGATTCTTCCAGAACGGACAGGTTGCGAGGACGTTGAACGAAATCGCAATGCATCTTGGCATGGGCTCGGATGGTAAGATTCCTTTTTGTAAAACATCTCAACTTCATCTGATTGCCAGCAGAGCGGAGTAAGAGTGTCACAAGGCAAATTCTCGACGATCTTGCAACGGACGGATACATCGTGGAGCGAAAAGTGGATTCGACTTTCTCTCTCGTAATTGGCAAGGAGTCAATTATCCCTAGCACCTTTTTCAATCCGCGCATCGGTATCTATCATTTTGTGAGTTGGCGAATTAAGTCCCAAATTTTACCAGATTGATGATATGACACTTACCTGAACAGTTTCCTGAAAACGAGACGCCACTTATTGAGAGCACAAGTCCTTTCAGAAGTATAGAGAGACCCGAGTCCTATGCCCTCACTTCTGCCTCCGACTACCCTCGAACGCCTGCTGCCTCATATCCACCAAAGCAATACCGTACACTGAGAACCATGCAACACTCTTCCCAAAGAGAGGTCTCGGTAGACGATGCCACTACGCAATCTGCCGTCAGCACTCCAACTCATCTTCCAGGCTATAGCTCTCAAGAACACTCCTTTAGCAACGAATTCCGGACCTTGAGATTAGGGGGAACTGGAAATGGAAGCAAATTTACGACTCCGCTTAATGCGAATTCTAGTCTCCTAAGAGAATATTCTGGCAATAAACGATTGGCCGAGTCGGGTCAGCAGGCTCGGGCAAGTCGTCGGAAAATGGAGTGATTGCTTGAGCCGCCACTTGATCTTGTCGTCGGATAGTGTCAAGGTGAAACACTCGCTTTGCGACATCTGGGCTTACTTCTTTTGGACGAAACACCAAACAGTAGACGTAAATGGTCCTAGAGGAAACTTGGAAGTGACTTGAGTTTATCTACACAACTACTCGCTTGCATCTGGAGACCTTAAAGGTCAAGAAGATGGTGATATTGTGAGCTTTCAGTTGCGCAACAAATATGTAATTCTTGTGCGCAAAACCATGATATCTATCTATGAACTCGCTAAAACACAGCTTGCTAGAGGATGTAAAGGAAGGATGGCGGCTGCCAACACCATGCCGGAGATTACTCCGGAGTCGGCTTCTCCCGTTAACTTTGAGAGACGGTAAAAGCAATGACATTGATTTGAAGCCTGGAGAGGGCAAGGCATCGACTACCAGGGAGTTATGTGGCGGGCAAAGCCTTTGGAGAAGCCCAGCTGGCGGGCCTTTGGCCAGTCCACATCATTGTGCCACAAACAGATGAAAGCTGAAAATTTATCGGATTCCCGATAGCTCAAGACACTAGGCCGCCATGATGCTTCTTTTTCGTGCTTCCACCAAGCGATGTGGCTTGAGAGAGCTGAGATATTTATCGAGTTGACCAATCGACAAGCGCCCAGATGTCGGTTCCAATGTCCCACATCCCTCATTAGGATACTGCCAAAGCCACGAGGTTAAGAATTGTTCCATGGCGACTAGAAGCAAAGTTCGGAAGATTTTGCGAAACTATTTTTCCCTCTTTGATTTTTACTGACTAGTCAATTTTCCGAGCTCCCGTGGCCGACATTTCGCCATAGAGCGAGCCATAGAGAACAGTGGTCCCGACAGTCTCGCAAAGATTGCTTCAATTCCTTAGAAAAACAAAAGTAGTACAGGAGGTAGTCGTGGCTAGGTCCGTTTGACGATGCGGTGGCTCGGGTGATGCGGCGATGCGGTCAACTGCCGATTCGATTTGCTGGTAGCCAACGATCGTAATATTCTAAATTACGGTCCTTACCCCTGGATTCGAGCATACAGGACACGACAGACAATAATAATTGGATACGGATCCCGGAACGCCTCAAGCATCCAGTGACCCAGTCTGACTCCTGGAGACAAGCCCATGATCGCCATCCGCCCCAGGCGCACCGGACAACTCCAGAGCGAGCATGCGCGATGTGACGTTAGGTCTCATACTGTACCTCCGTACTGTACATACACCCTGGGACAGTTTGAGGCTTTGAGTCCCTGTACATTATTTTACTTTACTTTACTTCACTTTACTTCTTTGCAGTACAGGAGGCCTGAGATGCGCTGTTCCTTTCACGCCATGTCTGCTCTGGTCAGCTCTGGTCAGCTCTGCTCTTCGAATCGCGATACCGCACCCGCAAACACAGGCGATCCCTGGCCGCTGTCTGTCGAGCTATTCCGCAAACGCCGTCGCCCCGCACTGGGCTGCCGAGCGTCCAAGATAATAATGGAGATTGCAGAACCACCGCAGTGGCCCTTTCCGGCCACACCAGACGAAAAAGACGGTGGATGTCTTAGTCCGAGCGTCTGTCAATCCTGGACCTACCTAAATTTACCTGACCCTGACCTACTTACTGTACTGTACGCAGCGTAAATTACTGTACTGGACTAGGTAGATATGGTCAGGTCGGTCCAGTGCAGTGCAGTGCAGTGCAGTGCAGTGCAGTGCAGTGCAGTGCGGTATGGCCAGCAGCAACCTGACCTGACCTGGCCTGGCTTCTCGTATCTCTTTCTTTTCCCTTCCTCTTCCTCTCCCACTCCTACTCCTACTCCTACTCCTACTCCTACTCTCCCCTTCAAACCCCCTCGCCTCCCCTCGCCCTCGTCTTCACCAATGCTGAAAAGTTGAGAGAGAGTGAGGGCTAACAACCGATCCTGTCTCCACCTCCCTTTTCAGCTTGACGACTGCTGATTCCGACCCCGCCTCGAAGATCTACTCTCTTTACGGACCCCTCGTCAATGAATGCAACATTGCGATGTCTCACTGATGACCTGATAATCTACGGTGCGAGATCACAGTCTCAAGTAGCCACTGCGAACTTTTAGACTTCTCTCGAAAGTCGTGTTGCGAATTGGATCTGCCAGAACCGCCAACACCAGGAACGATGGGTCGAACAAGCAAATTCTCCTTTCCGATTCCTGGCCGGAAACATAAAGAGGTTACGCCGTTGCATGCCCCATCCGCGTCGGAGAGCAGTAATCTGTCGAAGGCTCAGAGGATCCTTGGGACCACCAATAACCTCAATATCGACATATCACCAATTCGAGAGGAAGGGCAGCAGCACCAGCAATGGAAACACCCGGGCTCGAGATCAAGTGGCATGAGCATATCTATATCTGACTCGACACATTCCTCCGAAAGTGTCCATGAATTGCAAAATGAGCAATGGGAGCATGAGTCCGGTGTGTTACCCAAGAGTATGAGTGAGAAAGCTTCTTCAACATTGCTCGGACGGCGGTATGGAGAGGATGGCACGACTACTACAGCTTCGGTTAGAAGCCGGCGCTTGAGAAGCGAAGACTCGTCTTCTACACTCAAATCGTTCTACGACAGACAGAAAATACCGCTTGCCATATCTCAGCAGACGTCAGCTTCGTCGGCCCGTGATCTGGCATTGCGGAAGGGATGTCCTCCCGTGGTCCAAAGGAGCCCGTTGCTACAAATTGAGACGTCCCTTGACCCTTTTGATGAACATTTTGGGGCAAAAAATGAGCACAATGATACCGGCCACCAAATAAGTCTGTCGCCCGAGAGGAAGAAGAAACCTGGCCGGCTGGATTTGACGAAACTATTCCCGAAGTCCCGCAGGCATGGCGAAAAGTCGGATTCTGACTACATGACACCTTCTCCATCCTCGGCATCCACAAATGGGTCACACAACAGAGGAAGTCTAATCCCGGAATCAGCACGGCGCAAGCTCAAAAAATCGCAGTCCAAGGAGTCTATGCAGTCCCAGAAGTTTAGTATCCGTTCAGAGCGATCACATGAGCAACGACAGACCAATGGCACTCTTCTTCAACTGTACGATCACTATGAAAACTTGCCTGTTCGTTCTCCGCGGATGGATCGGATACCCGAATCCAGTGTCCCTGACCGGATAACCTCTGGACGAGACAGCGCATTAGCGAGAATGGACAGTGATCTCAACTCAGCGAAGCGGTCTCCAGATCCGCTGTCAAGCTCGTCAGGAAAGGAACCATTCTCTTGGAAGAATGTCCGCTCTAGTATGGCAGCTGCTAATTTGACGCCTTCAAGTTTGACCCCACCTAACTCCAACTGGGAGTCTACTAGTGCTGCGAGTATATCCAGTCGAAATACAAGAACATCGAAAACCACTGCAGGCAGTTCGTTCTCGCACTCCGACTTGCAAGAAAAAAGCGTGCTGTCACTCTCGTCTGATTCAGAGGATGATTCGGAGACCGACCCAGGATCGACTATTGGCCCACCAACTAAGGGCAAAAGTAGCGGAGGTAGTAGCGGAAGCTCTCCTCCTTCTACTTCTCAAGTACCCAAATCAACTCAGCCATCGGGAGGACTGACAGTGAGGAACTATGGACAAAGACGCAGTACTACACAACACACACCTTACCTCACAGTGCCCGAAAGTTCCACTGGAACCTCGCGACTTTCAGGTCCTTGGACGCCTCCACCGCAGCTCGCAACACCCCCTTCATCGAGTCACCAACGCCATTCACAACTTCCATCTCCGAGAGAAAAGAAAGACCGATCATTATCCATAAGGTCTGGTACCTCATCCCGACAAGCGAAGGCACCCTCAATCGCTTCTATCCAATCATTACAGACCCCACATACCCCGCCTCTATCACCAAGTTCTATGATATTCCGACAGACATCAGATCGCAGCAGTCGCTTCATGGCTGTAACTGAGCAAGAAGAAGCTCTTCTCGAAGCACTCCGCCAAAAGAGGGCCCGTATGCGAGAAGAGATTATCGAAGAGCATGAGACAACGATGAAAACCCCTCCACGAGAACTAGAGAGCCAGCCCTCTAGGTTGTCTTCCGTTACAGCACGTTCTTCTGCCAGCACCCTTCGCCCTACTAGAGGAGCAGACAAGAAGCAAACGATCCTGCTCTACCTTGATACACCTTTGGCGTCTTCACAGTCCATCGATACTGCTGAGCCATCTCCAGATCTCGATGATTTCCTGAATTTCGGGTCTGATGAGGATCCGACTCCTAGGACGAGCTGGGCCCCAACACGTAAAGGCAGGCCTAGGCCGGATTCCTTCGTTGCCCCTCTCCAAAGGCAAGACACTGTGTCCTCTCTAGCACCACCTTCGGCCGCAAGACTCAGCGCAGTAGGTTCAGCTCGAGGATTCAAGCCTGAGAGGTCTTCTGGAGTTGGGGCTTCTAAGAAGAGAAATACTGGAGTAAGATTTGTTGATGACAATAGTGTCGCCAACAGCGACGACTTCCTAGCAGATGATGAGCCTATGTTATGGAACGTGTAATATCATTATTTGGTGGAAGTTTTGAAGCATTTTACTTTGCACAAATCTCCTTTGATCGGTTTCTTTTGTTGAGTTGGATGCATTTTATACCCATATTCGGATTTAAAGGACATACCAGGGTCATCTGGGCACCGCCATTTGGGCGATAGGATGATGGAATGCAAATAGTAATATGTAAATAGCCACGTGTACCACCAATCTGGGTTCGAGAGAATAGCTCTCATCTTATCTCTAATAATCAAATCCATAGGATTTAAGGCCTGCAACGTCTCGAGACATCCGATTCTGCTGGTCAACTCAGGCACTGGGATCCTTCTTAGCTATGCAACTTTCAGTTCAATAGTGAGGAGCTACAATATTTCTGACACTGGCGAATCTCTTACTGATCTTTGAGTCCTCAACTAAGGTCAGTTTGTTCAAGGCAGATGACCTTCAACAGTTCAGCAACGTCGATGTCTTTTCAGACCACTAGAACACTACGGTCTACTCCTCGTTCAATTGTCTTGCTTGTCCTATGTCACGTTCCCGCACTTGCTGTTCTCACGAATCACTAACACTTTTGAGTACCAGATTAATCAGAAAAATGGCTGTAAAAGATCATCTAAAGCAGACCTTCGGATTGGATGGGAAAAGATGTAATCCTCAAACAAAAAGTAGTCTACTGCGAATACGGCGGATAGTAAGACTGGCAAGGGGACCATAGCTCATCTGATCATCTGATATTTGGCGGTCTGTAAGACTCGACCATTCCCACATCCGTCACCATTTCAACCCAGAGCCGTCAGGGTGGTCGACGGTATTGGGCCACGTACCGGGAAATGCAGGTGGCTCAGCTGTGGTGGTGGTGCTGCATGCAAGTGTGGAGATCTCGGGGACAATGTGACCATCAAACAAAGACACGAATAATGATCACGAGCGATGTTTCGAGTCCAGAAGAGACTTCTCTTTCCCTGCTCTTTTCCCCCCCTAGTCAGTTCTCAAAAACAGTGTATAAATATCGACATTATATGTTGCATGTTCTGTGTCGTTGTAATCCAAAACTTTGCTTGGGGCTTCGATACGTGGCGTGGCGTAAATTAGGTACCTATGTCCTTCCCACACAAGACAACACCCAGCGTCCAGGGACTCACGTCACAGGCACCACCCGCTTGAAGCAGGGTTCTCCTTTTTTACAGTACATGCACGTCAAAACCCCAGTGTCAGGGTGTTGCAGCCACTGGCGGATCGTTTCTAGCGATTGGCTCAGCTCCCATCTCTTAGCCTTCTAGGAGCCGAGAGCGCGATCTTAGTTGCAAATAGCTCAAGACAGCCAAGTCAACCCAAATCGCATCACATCGCACGCATCGTTTTCAGTCCTTTCCACACACCGCTGGCCTGCACATAAGGCAATATATTGTTGGACCAATCTGAATTTTGGACTTTCTCTGGCTTCCTCTGTGTCATTGACCTTGTGCTGCTGGCACACTCGCCGAAAACCTGGAAAAGAACTCCTGGGCAAAGGAGTCTTCAGGCAGCGGAGTAGCAATGGCAGTCAATGACACGCCGTCGAAGGCGCCCTCTTTTATGGGAGTGCCTATGAAACATGTGTCTCTCATCACTGTAGGGTTTCTCTGGATTCTGCGAATTCGGAATATGCTAATTGCAGATAGCTCACATTTCAGAACTCCGCCCTGATACTTGTTAGTACCCCTCCAAAGAGCATATGGGCACCACAGAAGCCAGCAGAAGGACAAGAGCAGCAAGATTAACAATAGTCACAGATTATGCACTATTCTCGGACAATGCCTTCCCTTGGCGGCCATCGCTACTTTACCTCAACAGCCGTTTTCCTCAATGAAGTTATAAAACTGGCCGTGTCCTTAACGATTGCCATGTACGATATATCACAGACTCTCCCCCCTTCAACGCCTGCAACGGTACTTTTCGAGCAACTATACATGTCTGTGTTTTCTGGAGATGGGTGGAAGTTAGCCATTCCTGCGATGCTGTATACGCTACAGAATTCCCTCCAATATGTGGCGGTCAGCAACCTGGACGCGGTGCATTTTCAGATTCTATACCAGTTGAAGGTACTCATTCATAAGTGCTCGTTGTCCCAAGGAATTGGCTAATTGGTTGCCCAGATCCTCACAACGGCCCTTTTCAGCGTCACCATGCTTGGCCGACACCTCTCCTCCAAGAAGTGGATAGCACTGGTTCTCTTGACGGTTGGCGTTGCAATTGTACAGTTGCCCAGTTCCGACTCTGATGCATACTCACCCATTACGGATTCCAACTCTCGATTCTATTTTCCTCGATCCTTCCACGAGCTCGGACAGCTGACAAACGGCGCTGGGGAAGTAGCCAGGGAATTGACCAAGCGTGGAATGGATGGCCTCACGAAGCGTTCAGCGACATATGAGGGCATTCAAGAGGATATGGGGCTTGTAAAACCTGTCATGAACTATTCGATGGGTCTCACTGCGGTCTTGGTGGCAGCAGTGATCTCTGGGTTGACTGGTGTCTACTTCGAGAAGGTCCTAAAGCAGTCAACACAACATGTGACCGTCTGGACTCGGAACATACAGTTGTCATTTTACTCGTTATTTCCAGCCCTGATCGTTGGAGTTATCTTCAAGGATGGAGAGGAGATTGCCAAGAAGGGCTTTTTTGATGGATACAATGCGGTTGTATGGACTGCCATTGTCTTCCAGGCTATTGGTGGCGTCCTGGTTGCTATGTGCATCAACTATGCTGACAATTTATTGAAAAATTTCGCAACTTCGATCAGCATCATCCTTAGCTTTGTGTTCAGCGTGTTCTTCTTCGACTTTCAAGTCACCCTTAATGTAAGTGCCAAACAAAGTACGGTCCACTGGCTGGAAAGCAATGACTAACCCACGAAATAGTTTATTCTTGGTACTGCAGTGGTCATTTTTGCGACATATCTGTACAGTGGCTCGGAGAGAAAGAGAGGCCGTCCGCCTCCTATCAACATTGCGAGTTACGAGAAGACGACAATCGACAATGGCTATACGCCAAGATTGGATGAGAGCAAGATGCTGACTGTTGAGCCTTTGGAGAGCATCAAGCAAGCAGGATTATCAACATCACGGCCATCCTCGCCAATGAGACACCACTCACGTGTTGGGTCATCGAGGGGCAAGATAAAACGAGATGATTGAGTGTATTCATGATGGGAAATGGTGTAACATTACATATGGGTTGGTCAAAAAAGCGGGTTCTCAGGGAATATGTGAGCTAAATGGGAAAACGGCATGGAAGCAAGATATGGGGGCCCCCTCATACATCTGGGCACTGTTAGCATGATTGTCGGCGTTTACGGCTGGTGAGTTTGGTTTTCATGCAGCTGCTACGTGGAATAGCGCCAGGAAAGCTGCCAGCGGTTATCAGGAGCGAAATGTGATGTCAGCACGTGGTGTATACCTACATAAAGGTACCTAGGTAGCACGGCACCGTAACACCCGAATAAACTTGTTATATTCCTACCCTTTTCTCGAAAGGGCCAAAGTTCAGGTCTAAATTGCCTATTGGCATCCAGACCTAAGAGAAAGATGGGAGTTTCGGATGGTTCACGGTCACATGCCCTGGTACGGCCAAGACACCCGCTGTCGCTCCTGCCTCCATCTCTCCTGCCTATTAAGTCCTCGATATCTTTCTGCCTGGCTTCCTACAATGCTCTTTCCTATGATCTTCAAGCTTCAAAGATCGCTTCACGGCTACGGTAAAAGCCAAGGTTGAGTCCCTTTCTCCGAAGGCGAATCACTGACTGTTGATGCTTGTACTTATTCATTGTCACTGCTTTCTGTCCTTCTCTTTCAATTGCCGGGCTTCCCAAGCTCTCTTCTTGTCCAAATTATGGATAACCACATTCAGCAGAGTACGCCGGCAGCAGGCTCCAATGATTACCTCAATGAGCGCTTCTCAGGACACCAGCCAGCAGAGAGTGAGCCAAATGGATTCAGATTCGCACCTGCACCTGGACTTCGGCATCAGGCACAAGAACCTGTATCAATCAGTAGCAATAAGTATGGTTTGTGCTCCTGCAATGCCATCCTCCGTAATTCATCTTCTAATCTTCTACCAATAGGTATGGATCTTGTAGACGCATCTCAGGCTCAATCTGCGTCAAGTACAGCCCGGACAAGACTGTCCTTCGCTCCTCCCAGCATGTACGGTCAATCTGCGCGAGAGCCTAGGACGACTACAAATGCCGACAATCACTTCAGGTTTACCCAAAATCTGCGTATCGGTGTGCCGCTCAGTCGACCTCTCCCGAAACAGCTCAGCATACATTCTATGGACCCAATCAGCCCACTGGCAACGGCTATGTTGACGCAGCAATCGATGCCAATCAGACAATCACAGTCCTTGCATAGCATGAATATTGATATGCTACTTGGGCAAGCATCCTCGGGGCGTGAGAAACCCCAGCCAGCCAGCCTACCAGGTCCGTCGCCAACAAATGCACTATCCCTATCACAACAACCACTACTACAGAGACAGTCTATGTTGGGCCATGCCAATGTCTTTCAAGGATTACAAGCAAATAGGCTTAATCAACTTCAACCTCAAAGGCAGCAGGTCACACCACCTTTCAATCTTGGTGAGCTGTCTTCTGCTGTTGACTTTGACACAGTCTAATACCTTTAGGTGGAATCAGTGGCAGCCCAAATACCTATCAGTCCACGCATAGCTCGTCACCTCTTGCTGGTCAAGGATCAAGCCCAACAGCTCGTGTCAGTCTCCGAAGAGCTGCGAATCGCACGATTTCCACTGTCGAATCTTCTATCAGGGGCATTAGTACGGACTGTGACGAGCAAGAAGATGTGCCACAGACACCCCGGCGACTGAACGCGTACACCACCAACAAATACACACCCAAAACACTGGCATTGAACCATGCACCGCCTATGGTACATGGTATTCAGCTCATTTCTCCTCATGTACTACCAGATCGTTTTCGTCAAATATTTCCATACCAGCTTTTCAATGCTGCACAGTCCAAGTGTTTCGATCCTATATACAAGACTAATGACAATGTCGTGGTGTCTGCTCCAACAGGCAGTGGCAAAACAGCTCTTCTTGAACTGGCTATATGCAAAGCTGTAGAAAGTTTTGGGACTGGACAATTCAAAATTGTTTATCAAGCTCCAACTAAGTCACTATGCTCGGAGCGCGTTCGAGACTGGGACACAAAGTTCAGCCATCTGAACCTCCCTTGTGCTGAGCTGACCGGCGACACCAGCCAGTCAGAAATGGCTCGTGTTCGCAGCGCCTCTATTATCGTCACAACACCTGAGAAGTGGGATAGTATCACACGTAAATGGAGTGATCATCAGAAACTTGTCCAGATGGTCAAGCTGTTCCTCATTGATGAAGTTCATATCCTGAAAGATGCAAGAGGTGCGACTCTGGAAGCTGTCGTATCTCGTATGAAGACGATGGGTGCAAATGTTCGTTTCATAGCTCTTAGCGCCACTGTTCCCAACTCGGAAGACATTGCAGTCTGGCTAGGTAGAGATCATACCAATGAGCATATCCCCGCTCATCGAGAGACTTTTGGTGAAGAGTTTCGACCAATTAGACTACAGAAGCACGTTCACGGCTACGATGGTAATCCAAACGACTTCGCATTCGAAAAAGTCTTGGACGGCAAACTGCCAGCATTGCTTCGTCAATACAGTCAGAAGAAGCCAATCATGATATTCTGCTTCACGAGAAAGTCTTGTGAGACTACTGCCCAAAATCTGGCGGAGTGGTGGTTCAGGCAGAGCCCGGCTGACCGCGTTTGGCCTGCTCCGTTGAAGACCGTTGCGGTCAGTAATAAAGACCTCCATCACCTGGTTTCTTGTGGTGTTTCATATCACCATGCTGGTTTGGATCTTCAAGATCGCATGGCAATTGAGTCAGGTTTCTTGAAAGGAGACGTCAATGTCATTTGCTGCACTTCCACACTTGCCGTAGGAGTGAATCTTCCTTGTCACACAGTTGTGCTCAAAGGAACCGTCTGTTTTCAGGACAGCCACCTCGTCGAGTATTCGGATCTAGAGGTCATGCAAATGCTTGGTAGAGCTGGCCGCCCCCAGTACGAAAACAGTGCTGTCGCTGTAATCATGACTCGAAGCGATAAAGTCAATCGCTACAAAAAGATGGTTTCTGGTCAAGATATTCTTGAGAGCACACTGCATCTCAATCTTATCGAACATCTCAATTCCGAAATCAGTCTCGGAACCATCAAGAATGTCTATGATGCAAAGAGGTGGCTCTCTGGTACCTTTCTCAGTGTCCGGATGCGCCAGAATCCGAACTACTACAAGATCGAAGGTGCATCTCCTGGTGGAGATGCTGACAGACGTTTGGAGCAAGTCTGCGAGAGAGATATTTTGCTTCTCCAACAGCACAAGTTAGCCAGTGATCAGGAGCGAATTGGTAGTACTGAATATGGGGTGGCCATGTCTCGCTTTATGGTGCAGTTCGAAACGATGAAGCTGCTTCTGTCTATTCCATCGAGAGCAGGCACAGAACAAATTGTAAAGCCCTCTCCAAGTCGTTCAAATTCTTTGCTAACTTGTGAAGCTTCACGTAATCTGTCAGGCTGCCGAGTTTAGGGACCTTCGGATGAAACCGAATGAGAGACAATACCTCCGTGAATTCAACAAGTCCCCCTTCCTCAAATTCCCAATTAAGGAAAACGTCACAACGACGCATCACAAAGTTTCACTGCTCATACAAGTTCAACTGGGGGGAATTGAGGACCCTACGGACAAAGAATTTTTCCAGGTGAGACGGCAATTTGCAACAGATCGGAGCATCGTATTTGATCGCATACAACGTCTCATCCACTGTGTCATTGAATGCAAGGCATACGAACGTGACTCGGTATCGACTCGCCATGCGCTCGATCTCGCACGAAGTATTTCTGCAGGATTTTGGGAGTACTCAAATCTGCAGCTGAGACAACTCCCTCAATTCGGTCCTGTTGCAACACGGAAACTAGTGAGCAACAGCGTGTCAACCGTTGAACAACTGGGAAAGATGGACACTGCCAGCATTGAAAGACTCGTGTCCAAAAATCCTCCATTCGGGAAAAAGACGAGGGACGTTATTTCGGGTTTCCCCATCCTGAATCTGACTTGTGAGATTGTGAAGAGAATCACTGAAAAGCCAAAGGCCTCACCCAAGATCCAAGTCAAAGCTCGCCTGTGGTACGAAAATGACAAGATCCCTATATGGAAGGGTAGGAAGCCCTCCGTAACATTTTTAGCTGAAACGACTGATGGCAAAATTGTCCATTTCTGGCGTGGTAATATCTCCAGGCTAGAAAAAGATTTTGATATCAGATTCACTGTCGAGCTTCTAGCACCGGATGTTGATGTCAAATGCTGGGTCGCATGCGAGGACATTGTAGGCACTGTTAAGTCGTGCATCCTCAAGCATAATGTTCCGGCTTCAGAATTTCCACCAGTCCCTGTCGTAATCAAGACTAAAATCAAGACAGCACCGAACACTTCGGAAGACTCAGTCCCTGAGGTCGACGAGTTTGGCACTGGTGAGGTTGATGATGATGACATGATCGCTGCTATCAACGGCGTCGAGACTGGGAAGACTGACTATGGCTCGGATGAATTCCTCGACATCGATGACGCGGCGCTAAACAAGTCAAAATACCAGAAGCCAACGACCGGCAAGCTTGGAAAGGAGGTAAAAGAGAAAGGGAAAAGGGAAGTTGAGGTTTTAGAACCTTTCCAAATGGCTAATGGAAAGTGGACGTGCAATCACGCCTGTCGTGATGGTCAACTGCTGAAGAATGGTCAACCTTGCAAGCATTACTGCTGTCGTGAGGGTCTGGACAAGCCACGGAAGACCAAGAAAAAGGTCAGCCAACTATTCCTAGTCTTCTTCTGTCCAAGCCACGATAAGAGTACTGATACAAATGCCAGCCATCTGTGGGAACAGCTGGAAAGGCTACCTCCGCCTCAAAAGTTTGTTTTTTTAACTGAATGGTTTGTTCCACACTGACTGAGTTTCAGCAACAGAGCAGTGAGTTTTCTGTTACCAGGGGTATGAATTTTGACAAGAAAGTAAGGAACGATTCATAGAGTTTCAAAGTCTCAAACTGTCCTGACATTTGAACACAGAATCTCGGGTCACGACATGAGATACCTGTGCCTCGATCCATTCGTAAACCACAGGTAAACAGGTCACTTCCATGTTTCTTTATACTTGCTGATTCATTTCACAAGCCGAAACTCAAATTGGGCCACTACAGTGATACGGATGACAACAATGCCGAGATGGTGGACCTTTCAAATGTCCTTAGCCCAGTTTCCTATTCAGATCTTGCGCCACGGGACTATCGAAAGCTACACAAACTCCATACGAGTGTACAATCCGACAAAGCTAGCATTCGCTTGAACCAAAAACCACACTTTTCTTATGCCAGCCACAAAGAGCCTGAAATTCCATTCCTCAAGAAGAAGAGCGGCGGGCTTGACGACGAGCAAGACTTTCCATCGCCCTCTGCTTTGGTAGGCGATAATGACCCATTCGATCTAGACTTAGATCAAGTTGAAATCTGTAAGGACAACACCCGGGAAACGCTTCCTTTAGAATCAATTTCTCCATATCGAGATGCTTCCATTGAAAGTCTCGAAGCTGATATGGTGGCGTTTGACCACCCTGTCACAGCTGTGCACACAACTCCAAATGCAGGATCTAGCTTCTGCAATGAGCTGTTCGATTTTGAAGCATTCGAAAATATTGGTGATGAGCCCGTACCAATTTCTGCGTCCGGCGCAATTGGAGGTACTTCTAACATCACTATACCAACATCAGGCTCTACTCCTCCGAAGAGAACACTTTCCTTGAGCCCAGAGAAGACAGAAGTCAAGCACCGCCGCATCATGAAAGATCTCTCAGCAGCCCCGAATGCCTACTCATTTCCTTCATGGGTCAACGAGTTCGATTCTGAGCTCATTGCTGGGTTGGAGAACCTCGTTGAATTCGTTGATTGAGCCAGAGTCAATAGTTTTTGACATCGTGGAAGAACAGCTACTTAGTCTCTGGTCAGAGCTATGAGAATTCAAGATGATCTGCTGAGCTTGCATGGCATGTCGCTCTACCTAGCTATATGATATTTTTGGGGGATGTTGGGGAATCACAAATTTTACTTGCTTGAAGGGAGCTAAATTGATAGATAGATACCTATTTGCATGGCTGTATGTGTGCTAGCTTGTTGTAATTGACTTGCTTGCTTCACGCTATCCCCTCTACTCTAAATACATGCATTTGTGCACCCTGGTGCGGAGAATAACACTCGAACAGACCATTGAGACTTCCGAAAAATGTCTCCAGTTGAAGCTAGATCCGCAGGCTGAACAGTGATACGCTGACTGGCGGAGACACGTTGTCCTTGGTACGAAATTGGATACCTCGGGGTACTAAGGCATAAACCAAAGGTAGATTTTGAGGATGGATTGGATAAGTACTTGCTTACGAAGCGAGTCGAGTAACGATGACCGATTGTAAAATCACAAATAGACTAGTATATCAAAAAAGGAACACCTAGCAGAAAATTGCATACCAAAGAGAACTTGAGATAGCAGTATCTCGATTATTTTTCAGTAACTTCTGCATTCTTCTTCAAGATATGTGTGATATGGCTGGTTATCTAAAGACCTAACACATCACTTTGATCTGCTCTCCTTATGCTTAAAACAAGCTAAACTGAATTAGCCGAGCTCGATGAATGACTTCGGTACTGAAAAGGAAATCTGATGAAAACCAAGAGAGGGAAGAATGAGGTGTCAAACGGGACTCAGTATTCTTACTACTGGGTTTCAATTTTCTAATGGATGTTTTTTGTTTGTAAATATACCCATTGTAAGTTCGGCCACAAAATATTCCAAAGGTCAAAAAAAGGATTCTTTACCCCTAGAGCGGTTAACCCATAATTGTGTCCTGGATTGAAAGGATCAATTCTACCAAGTAGAAATTAATCCTACCACACAGAAGAATTACGCCGCGACTCCTTCGGGATGTTGAATAAAAAAGTTCTAGAAGAATGGGAGACCATTTCAAAGCTCAAATCAAGGATTGCGAGTAAGACTCGTAAAACTCAGCGGCGACTTATGAAAGTGTCGATCCATTGTCAACCGCATTGGTTTAGGATGGATCGATGGTTCTAGAGCGAGACCTTGAAGACTTCGAGATCAAATTAAACCATGAATGCGCGATTTCATTCTGACGAATGGCAAGAACTCCGGCCATTCGGCGAGCCTTTGGCCTGCTGTCCTTTCACCCTCTCAGTCCTTCCTTGTCACAAGTCCGAACCTCTCTTTGATATTGATGGGCTGTGCTCATCTCCTTCTCCCGTTGAAGGGTCCGAGAGAAAGTCCGCATTTTTCTGCTTGCATGAGGATACGCCCGAAGCTTGAGAATGTTTCTGAGAGCTTGCAGAGATTGATCACCAACCATCTAGGAATCGACAAGCCTTTGCAAGTTCGCAGATTGCAGACGCGATACAAAGGGAACCTGGTCTAAGGATTGGGACTATGAAAGTAGCTTCACACTTGACGTCGCCGCTTGGCTACATGGACGAAGCCCTAGGCTAGTGGCGGGTGACGAAGCAAAGCCCCGGGAGAGCACGTATTGTAAATAGTAAGTCTGGTCATTGAAACTTGGCTAAGTTGCTTGGTATAAGCTTCCGCAATACCTCTACCTGCTTTGCAACCATCCTCAGTTTCAATTCCTCAGCCCCGCTGGTGTCCAAACGTCGCACACCGTTACCGTAAAGCACGGTAAAATCAGGTAGAACTTCTCCTTCTGCAACCTCACATAGTGGACCAACTTTACAATGCTATAATCCGTTAGAAAGAACATTGATAGCAAGGATCCAGCATACCTTGCCAATGACAGCTCCCTTTCCAATCTTGGCGTTGACTTCAATGATAGACCCTTCTCCAATAGTCCGTGCTTCCACCACAGCTCCGACCTCTATCACAACGCCATTTTCAATGGTCACACCATATTCGTCATCATCTGGTGGGTCGCTTTGTAGACCGATTTGACCCCGTTCGCTAATAATGCAGTTGCTTCCCACATGTATTGGAGCATATCCGGAATTGAGCTTCGTTCGTGGGTGGATGACGGTGTTAGCGTCGAGGGTTATGAGGTGTGTGCCCGTCAACACAGCCTGATCTGCAATGACAAGAGAAGAAGATAGCTTGGTTGGAGGCTTTGGAGGAGGGGGCATCATGGATGCTCGTTTGCTTGACATCTTGAGGCACTGTCGAAAGTACTTGGCTATGAGCTGGCTGGATCTGGATGTCAATGGAGATTGGGTAAATGTTGACCTTAAGTCGGAGCAAAGCGATATATCAGAAAGGGCATTCTCATTATTTGAAGCTGATGCCGCTTACTTCTTTGACGATAATGCCTATAACAATGGCAGTCAAACGTTGGCGATATTGATCATGTGAATGGTTCACTATTGAAATCGTGATGTTGCGGCAACGCATCCGCGTTCGCATCAAAGTTTCCCCGGCTGCCCGTGCGAGCTTTGACCAATCAACGCAGCCATATCGGTGATGACTTCAAAGACTAAATAAGTTACACTGGATCTCAAACTCAACCTCCGCCCTGCCTGTCTATTCCCAACCCGAGCTCAATTGAGCACAACCACGCATCGAAATGCTTTCGCGACACGCGCCTTCACCCAAGGCTGTTGCCTCCATATCAGCTCGTGTCCTTCCCTCAACAGCGGGCGCCACCTCCCGACTCCCTTCCTCCATTTCTCCAGCACAGCAGAGCCGCGGCCTTGCCACAGTTGCAGATGCCCCTCCTCCTCCGAAGCGGACACAATTTGGTGGATTAAAGGATCAGGATCGCATTTTCCAGAATCTCTACGGACATCATGGAGCCGACCTGGCTAGTGCCAAGAAGTATGGAGACTGGCACAAGACGAAGGAAATCCTGCTGAAGGGCCATGACTGGGTATGCTAGATAGCCCGATAGACATTTGAAATGTCAGGAGCTGACGTATCATATAGATTATCTCCGAGATCAAGGCTTCAGGTCTACGAGGACGTGGTGGTGCTGGATTCCCCTCCGGAATGAAATGGGTACGTTCACAAAATAGCTTGGAATTGAAGAAGATACTCATGTTTTGTAGTCATTCATGAATTTTAAGGATTGGGATAAAGATAACAAGCCAAGATACTTGGTTGTCAATGCTGATGAAGGCGAGCCTGGAACTTGCAAGGACCGAGAGATCATGAGAAAGGACCCTCACAAGCTCATTGAAGGATGTTTAGTGGCCGGGCGAGCAATGAACTGCACAGCTGCATACATCTATATTCGTGGCGAATTCTACCACGAGGCGACAGTCTTGCAACGAGCAATTCAGGAGGCGTATAAGGATGGATTGATTGGAAAGAACGCATGTGGAAGTGGCTACGACTTTGACGTGTACCTGCATCGCGGAATGGGAGCTTATGTTTGCGGAGAGGAGACATCACTTATCGAATCACTTGAAGGCAAACCCGGAAAGCCCCGTCTAAAGCCTCCATTCCCAGCTGCCGTTGGCCTCTTTGGATGCCCATCGACCGTGGCAAACGTTGAGACAATCGCAGTGGCACCAACGATTTGCCGAAGAGGAGCAGGGTGGTTTTCATCTTTTGGTCGCGAGCGAAACTCTGGAACCAAGCTTTTCTGTATCTCTGGCCATGTCAACAATCCATGTACTGTCGAAGAGGAGATGAGCATTCCTCTAAGGGAGCTGATCGACAAGCACTGTGGTGGTGTCCGTGGTGGATGGGATAACCTCAAGGCTATCATTCCCGGCGGTTCATCAACTCCAATTCTTCCTAAGAGCGTATGCGATGAGCAGCTCATGGACTTTGATGCTTTGAAGGACAGCCAGTCTGGCCTGGGAACGGCCGCCGTTATCGTTATGGACAAGAGCACAGATGTCGTTCGTGCTATTTCCAGATTGAGTCATTTCTACAGACACGAGTCTTGTGGTCAATGCACTCCTTGCAGAGAGGGTAGCAAATGGACTGAACAAATCATGAAGAGATTCGAAAAGGGACAAGGTCGTGAGCGAGAAATTGATATGTTGCAAGAGTTGACGAAGCAAGTTGAGGGACACACCATCTGCGGTAAGCAATAACTACGCATGAACATGAAATTGCAGATGAACTAATATGAATGCAGCTCTTGGGGAGGCTTTCGCATGGCCTATTCAGGGTCTCATTAGACATTTCCGACCAGAATTAGAGGCACGCATGCAAGACTATGCCAAGGCTCACGGCGCGAAACAAGCATTAGCAGGTGGATGGGCTCCAGACGCAAGACAGCAGGGACAATTGATTGCACCTGGGCAATAGACGTTTAGCCTTTAGACTGTTCATAGGGATTCTCCTATTGTAATTATTGACGTTCGGCTTGGGTGCTCTTTTGATCGGCGCAATGTATCAGCAAAACGCTCCATTTTCTTTCATTGGTCTGGTCTCGACTTTGTGACATGGTAATGCAACTTTGAGCCTCACCTAGCCCAGCTCCTAGCACGCTGTTTGCAAGATTTCAGTGGTTCGCTAAGCGACATAATGTTTTCAGAGGCTGCCCAAGACAACTCATCAGGAAATATTTGGGGTTCCAGAGATCGGAATCCTTTCCTGCAAGACCAACCTTGTCGGATTCGTTTTCAACATAATGCCTCATCGTGGCCCCACTTTTGTACTGCAAGTCTCAAAAATAATTTGAGATTTGAACTCCTCAGAGCACGAAGTCTTTTGTCAGCGGCTCACCCGCCAACAACATTTCCCTGAGGGCGTCGGTCTCTCTCAAAGCAAATATAACGAGCTACGCTAATGATGGGCGCCTACAAAAATGTAATCCGCTTCACCAGCGACGCCAGTCAGTCCTCTCTCACTTTCATATACACGTGATGCCCCTGAGCAGACAGACATGCATGCTGACAACACCGAACAGCCGCCCTCGAAAAGATCCTTCGACTCTTCCAATCCATCTGCCAAATCTTCGCAGCAAACGCCACATCCCTCGAAAATGCAACGACATGGCTTCATTTACGTGCGCAGTTTGCACTAGGTAAGATCTATATGATTCCCAATCCTCGTGCCAGGCTGCCATTCGGTGCAGCTAGCTACGCCACGAATCCGTCACAGTTTTACATCATGCTTTAATGGTGGATTCTAGAGCAAAGCTTACAGTATTGCATAGGACGCCGGTATTTCCGCTTTTTCCGCTTCCTGGAATGTTTTTCGAGGGCGTATGACTGCTTTCGTACCGTTGATGGCGTGCGTGGCGTTTTTGCCGTTGGAAAATGGTCATGTCTTGGGAGTTATATGTTTTTAGAGTCTGTCACTATTGTAAGTCCCAACTTCTGTTCGAGATTCCCACGTCCACACAGGATTGTGGGTTGAAAGTTATCCTGGCTTGGGACGTCGACTAACGGTTTGGGTAGCTTGACGCAATGGGGTATTGGGCAACACCTTTAGCGGGAAATTGCTTGCTGGAAGGGAACAAGTTCTGGTTCTATTCTTTGGTCTGCTCAATCCTGTGGGGCTTGTTACAGTACATGGATGCAAGTAATGAGAGGTATCAGGTTGCAAGCAAGAAGATGGACGAGGCAACCGGATCCGCTGCTTTGTCTGACGTGGAAGCAAAAGATATTCGAGACTTTGAAGTGAAGCGGAAGGTTAAAATGGACGGAGTTAAGACGAAAATGGTTATTGATGGTTTCGATCTTCTAAGTCCGGGATTTGTCACTGGTTGGATCAGAACATCAGCTTCCGTCGTGGGTTTCTCGAGTGTAGTGAGCACGATGCTTTCCTCGAAGGAGATCTGGGATAGATTGAAGGAATGAAATAGTACGCTGAAGAGCTTAAGAATTTCAATGAACCGACATGATCATGATTATAACAAACTCCATGCCCAGATGTACTTTCAGCCTTCTTGACTTCTACAAAATAATATCGTTCTCTGGCAACTCGTGACCCAATCTTAGTTCGTCAGTCTGTCGACGAAGGGACTTCAACTAGTATGATATTGATCAAGCCATTCTGACATAATGTCCTCTTTAAACGAGCTCCTCAGGACTGTGTCTCGGCTCCTCGCTCTCGGTAGCCCTTCGTCGAGCAGAGCCCGTATCAGCTCCACCAACGCCACTCGGAGCTTGAGTTGGAAGTTTATTGTCCCGAGGAGCAAACTTCGGCTTCAAGTCGGTCAATCTTGCTGTGAGTGTCAAGCTTTTCTGGTCAAAGACAGGAACAGTGACCAACACCTGGCAGAGTCTGTACCTCAGTCAGCAAGGGTTTCAAGTGGGGTATTGGAGAAGACTTACACAACAAAGTAGCCGACAACCACTCCGGCCTTGTACGGTCCACCATAGTAGCGATTCGTAAGGGCGTTCCCAAGAAGCAAGCAAAGTGTTAAAGCAGCGCTCAGACCGATATCCGCGTACGTGACTGTCTTTGTCTTGCCATAGCTTCCTCCAATATCATGTCTCCAAGCACTCTGGCGAAGCTCTACGGTCACTTTGAAGACGTGATCGAATGAATATTGAACGACGCTCAGAAGATTGAGGATCATAAGGAGCGCCAGGAAAATATCGGCAGCAATGAATGCTTCGCGACCATCAACAACAAAGACGATGAATGCTGCAAGAGCGAGAATGAATGAGATGATTCTGAGAATGAGTACAGGACTCAATGTGATAGAACAAGCAGTAGGCATGTGTCGAACCGGACTGCTCTCTGAGGTAGGAAGCAGATGCGTGTGAGGTGAAGCATCATGATCTGTTTCCTCGGAAGCCCTGGGCAGCATAGAGTATTGTGTCTGATTATTGAAGGATGCCATTTTTACTTAATGAAAGAACCCATGTTCAATGCTTGATAGCGAAGAATAATTTGCGTATAGTAACGAGGATTCGAAGGACTTGGAAAACAGTGTCCAAAGCAATTCTTCGAACGATGAGCAGGTATATGAATCCAAGTTGGCCTGTTGGTGTCTGCCTTGAGCAAATCTGCACGTCACCTACATCTGCGATCAACTTGCCTATTCTATTTTCAAAATTCTTACGCTATCCGAGTGGCTGATCAAGCTCTTGGACCCACCCAACAGCCTTGAATACACGTAAAATATAGTGACAGCCATACAGGGCCATGCGAATCGATGAGAGCTGCTGCTAACTCGACCATCGAAAAGGATTCAATGAGGCGCTTGTGTTCAAGTGTGCGGCACAGTTGCCACACAGCCTCACCGAGCCCCGTCAGACCCATTCTAGAGCTGATTTGTTCCACTGATTCCATCATGAAGGATTTACAAGGAGGTTTCTTCGATGTACGGCGTCGTTTCAAGAATACTGACTTTTTGGACCGGCAATTGAATAACACCGAACGAGCTGTGAGTGGTGCAAAAGATAAATGGCATAACACAGGATCCTAGAGTCGTATCGTGCCGAGAGTTCAATAATCAATGGTTTGGTGTGGTGGTTGTCTGATCAACTCCATCATGGAACACAGCTGGTGATATGAGAAGAGTTGGAAAGTCTGGCTAAGTTGACTAGGTTGACTTACCTAGGTTGACTACCTAGGACCGACCCGATTCGTACAGTACAGTAATAACTCGCGCTATGGTAGTGGCACGAGCGAGCGCAACCCCTGCCCCGACCCGTAACCTTACCTCCATCGCAGCCCGGAAAAAAAGGTAGATGTGCCAAACCAGACAACACAACAAGCCCACAACCAGTTGCTGTATCAGGAGCTCACAGTCCTCCCAGAGTTTCCCAACCATCTGCCTCACCTCCCCACTACAACTTTGTTGACTGGTGATCCAGACATTTGCGAAATCGAAGCTCATTCATCCGCAATCCTATCCTGCTCGTAGAGCCTTACCGCGACCATGAGCACCCATCCAAGGGCTGTTGGCCTTCTCCTAAGACTTGTACGTCAATTGAACCAATACAACTCCTCCAACCCCCATCGAGTCTCTGCACATTACTTTGTCCTTGATAGTGCTCCTGGATGCTGACTTCTCGACCATTGTAGAATGCAAAGTCCTTTGAGCCCATAAATGCTCTGAGGTCCAAATTCCCAGCCGCACGACACCCGAAGCAGAAGGATGATCCTCAGCGACCGCTCTTTCCCGTCATATCTCTTTTCCATACTTTGCCAGGGACCAATCTACCAAATCTGCAAGCTAAAGTCTCCAAGCTTGCCGCCGTACGAAAGCCCTGGACGATTAAAGTTGGAGCACCCGTAATATTTCCAAGTAGGCAGCATGAGTTATACGGCTTTGGATTTCAACTGCCAGCGGAAGAGATTTTGCAGCTGCGTCGCGACCTTTACGAGGAGCTCAGTGAGGAAATCAAGGCAGTGGATCCAGAGGGGGTTTCAAAGAAGTTTGCATTTCGAACCAAGACTACAGCGTGGCTGTCCATTCGCCATTCTAATTCTGGAGTCCCCAAGGAGAAGGCATTGGAGGTGCTGAGGCAGTTGGAGCGAGAATATCCAAATGGATTTGGCAACATTGTTGCAGAAGGCTTCGCACTGCAAGAACATGCTACACCGGGACGCATGAGAATATCGGAGGAACTGATGAAGGGCGATTTCCCCTTTGGAGCCAAGTGACATGGACATTACTGTTTATTATGTAGACCAGATGAGCGCGGGGAAACTGGGCATAAAAGGGTGGGTTGCGTACTATCTGAGCAGACCGGAGGCAATTCTGCAGAAAAGTCGTGTACAATAGAGCAAAGGGGTTGATGTAATATTACCATATGACGCTTCACCATCACACAGATCTCCAATGTGCTGATAATAGAGCGAGCAAGCAAATTGAGGGAAGGCCATCATGTCCATCGAAGCCATTGCTTCTTAGCTTCCAATCTGCTTCCTTTGAGACCAAGCAGACCACCCACACCTCTCTTCAGACAACCTTCACGATCGGTAGGAGTCAGAGCGGGCCTTATTAAGAAAATCCATTCATGCTAGGCATTGTTGCCACTCATCTCCATTCACATACCGATCTGTGCTGTTCTACATGTGTTTTCCAGACTCCTACAAACGCCCCTTCTCACCTAGACAAATGGAAGCCGCCGTGTGGCTATGCAGCAAGCAGAGATATCATACAAGAAAAGAAAAATTGACCATGCCCTAGTTTTGTCCCCCGCCCCGAGGTCGCTTTCCAGCGTGTCCTTGCTGTCCGCCCATAGATCCCTCCTCCCGAGCTCTCTTAACGCCTGCTGGACCTGTTGGGCTATAAGGAGCAGCCGATGCATTCAGCCCACCTCTCTGGGCAGATCCACCTCTGCCTCTGCCAGGCTGTCCACCACCTCCTCCACCTCCACGTGCTTGATAAATCCCATTTCCATTCCCACGTCCTCGAACCGACGCATTGCCTCGCATAGTCGGAATTGAAGAGACCCGCTGGTTATTGTTTACCGGAGCCTAGTAAATGGTTAGATGATGCCAGAAATGATCTTGGAAGTACTTGCGTTTGGAATGTTACTGGGAGGCAAAATTGCTGTACCATTCTGGCTCAAAGCAGCATTCAATGCTTGGGATGCCCGGCGTTGTTGGGGTGGCTGGGTCGGTAGCAAGGGTTGAGCAATTGACTGATTGGCGGGTGCTTCGGATTTGACATCTGATGGTGGAGCAGCGGCACCGGAAATTCCATTTGCCTGGGCTGGGATTTCTGCTAAATTGTTAATTTGGGATGAAATGCAATGATGTTTTAAGGAATATTTACCAGGTGGAGCAATGGGAGCCGAGGCACCAGGCGCAGTAGGGGCTAGTGGAAGCTTCCATGCCTTTACGTCTTCCCATACCTCTACAACAGGCTTCTGAGGGGTCTCATGGACTGCTTGTTCAACAACCTCTAGCTTCCCTGTAGCGGTTCGGGCCTTGTTTTCTGACATGTTAATCTTCAGCGCCGATTTTCTGCTTTCCATGAAGACAGCATTTGTCTTCGCAGCTTCGGCCTTTTTAGAAGCCTCAGCTAATGCTTTTGCGTGCTCGTCGACCAGCTTCTGGGTTTCTTTGACCTGCTCATCCTTGGATTTCTGGGCCTCCTTGCTGACCAAATTCTTGATGTTGTGCTTGATAATCGACTGAGCGGTTGGGTTCTTCGCGATGAACTCACGAACTTCAGCCTCCGGGAGATTCAACAATATTTGATCCAGTCCCTCAGGCTTTTGATTTGGAGTTGCGGGAGTGGCAGGTAGTGGTGCATCATTGACTGATGTCGGCGGCTCTGCGGCAGCCTTCATTGGAGTGCTGGTAGGTGCGACCTTATTCTCCGCTAGCCATATCTGCTTCTCTTGCTCTAACTTCAGGTTGTACTCGGCCTCAAGCTCAGCCTTTTGGGCTTCTCTTGACTCAACCAATTTCTTGTTCAAAGCGGACTTCATCCTATCTGAACGAACACGTACTGTGTTGTCCATATCTTCTTCCATTTTGGCAGCCTTCTCCTCTGCCTCTTTCATCTTGGCTTCTGCTGCAGAAATGCGCTCTTCCAGTATCTTTTTCTCTTGGTCAGAGAGCCCGGTTCCTGGAGTTTCGTCGATCTGGCCCTCCTCTGCTCCATTCCGCATCGCACCATCAGATGTTGAGGCATTCTCCTTTGATCTCGCTTCTGCGGCTTCAGCAATGGCAGTATCCCGTTCATTATTCGACTTTTCGAGCTGCTCTCGCAAGGTCTTCAGTTGGGTTTCCAGTGCTTGTTTCTCTTGCTTTAATTGTTCGAGTTCCTTGCGGAGGTCTGCAAGCTGCTGGTCATGAGCTGGTTCCGCTTGTGGTATGACTGCCTGCGTAATCGCTGGCTGCGAAGCTGCTGAGACGTTTTCCAAAGCACGATCCCGTTCAGATTTGACAATCTCAAGCTCTTGATTAAGAGACGTAAGTTGTTGTTCAGCAGCCTCCTTCTCCTGGACTGCAGTCTCAAGCTGCTGCTGAAGCTCTACAAGCTGTTGCTTCAGAGTGTCCTTCTCTTGAATAGCTGCGTCTCTCTCCGCTGTTCGATCCTTATTCTCCTTCAAGTTGATTCGGTTTCTCTCCTTGGCTTGTTCAATCAACTTCGTACGAGATTGCTGCCAAGCGGCCTTTTCGCCCTCAAGTGTTTGGATCTTGTCCTGTAGAGGCTGCTGTTCTTCAACCAACGAGTCGCGTTCGGCTCGCAACGATTCAATAGTCTCCTTGAGCTGTTCCATCTCCGCGGGGTCGATGCGGTCGTATTTGGAGATGATGTCCTGAGTACGTTTCTGCCATCGATCACGATCCTCTTGTAAGAGGCGCATCTCGCCTTCAGATGCTTCCTTACCCTGCTCGAGCTCGCGAATCTTACTCTCCAACGGTTGGATTTGTTCGAGCAGATCCTCGACTCGCTTACTTTTTTCGGCTAGCTGGGTCTGCGCTTGGCGGGCTTCGTTTCTTAGAGTGATGCTACTTTCACGGAACAAGTTCAACTCGTTCAACTTCTCCATGAGATCCTTGTGGGCGATAGAGCTACGACCACCATCGGCATGTTGACGGCGCTCTTGATCCAACTTCAGTCGGCTCTCATCAAGCTGCGACTGAGCATAGTCAAGCTGTTGTTGCAGGCGCTTGGCTTCTTGGATTTTCAATTCATATTGAACTTCCACGATTTCTTTCTCTCGCCTCAAGTAATTGTTGAGTTCCCGTAGACCATCCGCATTACGATCAATAGCTGAATCCGTAAAGGGAGATTCGGCGTTTGCTGGACTTGTTTCGGGTAGAACAGAGCGACTTTGTTGAAGACCTGTGATTTGAGCACTCAGATTCTCCAGCTGTTGGTGCAGAAGCTTGTTTTGTGCATTGAGATCATCACGTCGGGTTCTCAACTCTTTCAACTCTTTCTCAGACTGATCACGCCGCTCTTCCCAAGAGCTTTGGCTTTGAGTCAGAGTCACCTTAGCAGATTCTGCCTCAGCCTTGAAAGTAGCAGAATCTGTCTTGAGCTGATTGTACTCGCCTCGGAGGACCTGGAGTAACTTTGCAGCCTCTGCGTGCTTGACGAGCTCATTCTCATAGTCTTGTTGGGCTTTTGTTGCAATCGCAGCTTGAGCACGAAGATCTTGTTGGTGAAACTGAGCTGCGGTAGCGTGCTTCTCGTCCTCGTCCTTAAGTCGAGTAATCTCTGCTTGTAAAGCAGCCTTTTCCTCTTCGGCCTGTCTAGCTACTTCAGATTGGCCGTTTCGGAGTGCTGTCAGCTCGTTGTTGGTATTTGTGAGCTCCGATGAAATATCGTCAACTCTCTGCTCCAGTTCCCGGATCTTAGCGTCCTTCTGCTCGATAATGCTGTCCATTTCATCGCGGTACTGGTCTTGAGTAGCATTGAAACTGGCCAACTCCTCCTCTGACGACTGGCTGATCGATTTGTATTGCTCCATTTGGCTTTTCGTATTCTCAAGCTCGGATTTTGCAAGTTCAAGGTCTCTCTTCAGTTCTGACACCTCGATGGCGAGTTCCTGCTCTCTATTAAGTTCGCCATCAGCGTCGTTTCCAGTCGAGTCACTAGATGCTTCAGCATTGTTGCGTGGCGTTGGTTTTGGTTGCAGAAGTACTACACGCTCCTCGGCGCTCTTCAACTCGATCGTGAGTTCGTCAACCCGTGATTGTAAATGATCACGAGTAGTCTTGGCAGCAACCAACTCTTCTCGAACCTGGCCGAGACTCGAGGCAAGATCATCAACACGCTTTTGGGTTTGCTGGGCGTCGTACTCTTTCCGTAGTTGGGCTTTTCGGCTCTCCTCGATCTCATCATTGAGTTTTCGCTTCGTGGCAGTCAATTCAGTTTCAAGACTCTCAACTTGAGATGTCAATCGGCGCCGAGTCTCGGAGTCGGCAAGCTCACGCTCATTCTGAAGTGTTTGCTGGTTGGCGATCAGAGTATTCAGCCTGGACCGCTCGTTCATCAATCCTTCATTATCCTGACTAAGACGATCCTGGATATCTTTCCAAAGTTTCTTTTCAGCTTTGAGATTTGCATTCTCGTTCCTCATACTATCTACCAAGCCCTTGGCTTCGACAAGATCCTCGGCGACAGATTGAGTACGCAAGTCTTGCTTTGCAGATGCTTCAGACAAAAGTTGTGACCGCTTTTGCAATTCGCTATTCTCGTTATTGAGCATGGTGTAATTTGAATTGAGTAGGTCGTAGCGTTCATTCGCAAAAGTGAGCTGGCTGTTTATCTTGGCAATTTCGGCCTGTAAAGCTCCTTTCTCTTGAGAGAGTCTCTCCAATTGCTCTTTCATGGTGCGGCGATCAGTAGTTTGCTCTTCTCTGTATTGATCGAAATGAGACTGTAATTCTCGCAGAAGACTAACGTTGTCTTGATTACCTGGAGTCTGCTCGGTCGATTGCATCAGGCTATTGCGGTTACCATCTACTGATTGGCCAAAGATAGATGCAAGATCCGATGTAGGGGGTAGCTGTCCTCGGTGTTGGAGCATGCGCCGGAACATGTCTCTCTCCTTGATGTAACTTTCGGAACGAGTAATCATAGACTGGAGCTCGTCCTTGTAATTTTCAATCTTCGATTTCAGATTTTGGACTTCTTCGTGATCTTGAGCAGCTTGATGTTTTGCTGCGAGTGCTTCTTCGCTCTCCATTTGGGCACCCAATTGGCGTGTGATCTTCAAAAGCTCCTGGTTTTTTTCTTGAAGCTCGCTGACACTCCGGAATACAGTAAGTCTTTGGCTGATAAACCGGTCGGTATCTGTAAGACCGTCGAAGGCTCCTTCTTCCACCTCGCCCCTAGCTAAGCGCTCAAGCTCTGCTCGATCTGCAGGGCTCAGTGCATCCAAACCCCGCTTCTGGGCTTCTATATCACACAGCAACATCTTGAGTTGTGCGCTCAGGTCTCGGAGCTGCTGATGAAGAATGCTTGCTTCGGCGTGGGCAGTGGCAGCTTCGGTTTCGGCCTTTCTTGCATCCTTCTTCGCACGATCTCTCTCTTTCCCAGTCTGGTCCACGAATTTGGACATTGCGATCACCTCTTGATGAAGACGCCCGTTCTCGGCCTGGATCTCCTCAATTTCCGGTTGCTTCGCTTCCAAGCCCTGCACCATCTCCTCCATCTCTGCAGCCAGGCGGTCACCACGTCGTTTTTCGGCTTTGTATTCCATTTGGAGCTTGTGGTTTTCCTCGATGAGTTGTGTTGAAGTAACGACGGATTTACGTACCGATCCAGGAGTTCCAAATTGGGCAGGCGAACCAGATCTACCAAGCATGGAGCCGTTCAAACCTTGTCGAGGGGTTGCTGGGACAGATCCGGCGCGTGGTGCGGACAGCAAGCCTTCGAGGCGGTCGATTTCGATCTCCAGTTCAGCAACGCGGTGCTCTGCTCGGTCTCGTTCCTGTCTTTCTTCCTCCAAGGACTGGTCAAGTCTTGAGACTTGTGCAGCCGCATCATCCTTGACTTTCTCAAGACTCGCTTCAACCTCTTTCAATCGGTTTTTGTGGGTTTCCGTTTGCTGGGACTGGAGTTCTGCTAGTCTGCGGGCACTCTCCAATTCCTGGCGGAAGCCTTCCTCGGATTTAGCTGCTGCTTCATGGAGCTGTTGTACTTTCCCAAGAGACTCCTCAGCCTTCTTTTGGATTTCGTCAACCCGAGTTCTCAAGGCTTGCTCCGTTTTCTTTAACGCCTCGAGGTTCAAATTTGCTTCCTCGTTCAGACGTTGAAGTTCTGCAATTCGGGCACCCTTCTCTTTCCGATACTTCAACGCCTCTGCGCTCTTGGTTTTCAACTCGTTCTCGAACCACTCGTTGTTACGTTTAGCCAGCTCAATTTCCTGCTTCAAGGATTGTTCTCGGAACTTAGCACTTGAGGCCGCGGAATTGGCATTTTGGACAGTTTGTTGCAGAGTGGATATCTGTTGACTAAGTTCTAAGCCCTTCTGATGTTGCTTCTGTAGGTCGTTGGCGAGTTCATCGTTTGCTGCTGTCTTTGACTCCAAAACAGATAGTGTATCCCGATTATTTGCTTCTAGTGACGTGATTCGTGCGTGTAGAGTTTCCACTTCAGACGTCGAGGTCGTAGAGGAAGACTTCAGGGATTGTAATTCGCTCTCAAGAGATGATCTGGTGTTTTCTAAACAATTGCGGATTAGCATGTAAGTGCATTGATGTGCTGTTTATCTGATAATTACCTTCTTCCTTTAGTTTGGTGCGGACCTCTTCAACAGTCTTCTGCGCCTTTTCCACATTGGCACGCAGTGCTTCAATACGCGTCTCTGATGTTCGCACTGAGTTCTCTAATTCGATATCCACCCGCAACTTATCTGCTGCCAACTCATCGTGCTCGCGCGCCTTTACAGTGACAGCTTCGAGGACCGATCGAACGAGCTCCGCCGTCGGCGAATCGAGGGTAGAACTGAGGGCCTGTTGGGGAACACTCAGGTAGGCCGACAAGTAGTCGATATCCAGTGCTGCCATAGCCATGGCTATGAGAAGATCCTCATCAGTTTCGGGGATGTGTCATGGGTACCAAGGTATTGACGTTGTTGATGAAATGACAGGAACCGCGTTGTTGTGCATGCGCTGTGTTCTACTGCGCCACGGACAAGATGATATTAGAAAATCCAAGATTCGAATGGAACACGCATATCTCGCGGGCTATCAACCCTGTGTCGCAAATCGTGCCTTTTGGCGGAGGAACAAAGGTCGAGGATTTGTTGCTGGAAAATGGCTGTTCTTTGAAGCTTCGCTCACAGACCTAGGTAGAGTACACTAGCGCGCTACTAGCGTGCCAAGTCAAGCTTTTGGAGCCTTGCCTAGCCTGGCCGCCCTGGCCTTGCACCGGTGGGCACCTCATTTACTTCATCAACTCATCTTCGGAGCCTGTCTCCATTTTCCTTTGTTTCAATTATTATTTCAACCGAGAACTTGCTCGTGCACAGTCCTTTGAGCATTCCCTGACATACGGCGGCTACTGTGAATGCGGCCTTGAGCTGAAGACTCGTTTCCTCAGTCTTCAGCAAGCTGATACCTTGCCTTTCACCATCTGGAACCAACTTCCCCACAGCATAGGCTTCGCACAAGAAGCAGCCATGTCTTCCTATCTGGAGAAACAGCAGGCTCTATTCAAGAGCGATGCTATGTCTGCAGCACCAAAAATCTCGACCAAGCGCAACCTCGCACCGCCAGGACCCGAGTCTGCGCCATCTCCAGCTCCGTCGAATGCTTCAAATACCTCGAAGAGCGAGAACAAGGATGCCAAGAGAAAGAGAGAATCGGAGCCTAAGAAAAACATCGTCTACTCTCAACCCGCTGCCACAGGCTATGGAAATGAAGCCTTCACCCAGGTCACATACGTAATTGAGTTCCTGAAGAAGAAGGATGAGGCAAAGTCTTTTCACGAGATCTTGCAGTACTTGAGCCAAGTCCATACCGATGAGAATACAAAACAGATGATCGCCAAGATCCTCAAGAAGCACGACCGAGTTCAGTGGTTCCCAGATCAGAGTCTGAAGTCTCAGACATGGGATTCTGGCTCGTATATGCACCGCCCTATCATCAACGTCCGCTCCAAGAAGGATCTCATTACATATCTACAAAAGAAGGTGGATGCGCAAGGAGTCTCTGTCAAGGATTTGAAGGACGGTTGGCCGGATTGCGAGGATGCTATCGACGAGCTGGAGAAGGAGAAAAAGGTTCTGGTCACTAGAACAAAGAAGGACAATCATGCTCGAATGGTTTGGAGCAACGATCCAACTCTCGTTAAAAGCATAGATAACGAATTCCAAACTATGTGGCACCAGATTGAGTTACCCAGCGTTGACGAGCTTGTCCGGAAACTCCAGGAAGCAGGCCAGAAACCCGCCAGCGAAGACCCCAGCAAGCGTATCAAGGCTGCCCCAAAGGCAAAGGAGAAGAAGAAGAGAGCACCCAGAAAGGGCGGAAAGACTACGAACACACACATGTCGCACCTTCTCAAGGATTTCTCACACCTGAAACGGTAAAGATGATATAATCAAGGCTGACGAGGACCTGAGGGATTTCCGACGGGTCGATATATTTTGCATGCATTCCGGGGCGCTCTTTAGGGACACACTGGCATTTGTCTTTAGCGATGGCGTTTGGTCGACTTTGGTTGGCGGTTACAAGGTCTCAGAGGTGTCAAGCCGAGAGAATCCATGCCTTCAAATCACTGGAGGCTCAGTCATACACACGAGTAAGGGCCCTGTCCTTTGTCATGTTGAGTAAGTGTGAGGCACGGATTCCAAGTGATCCCGTTATCGTGGGCCTGTGGGTTCAGGTGAGGAACAGCAGGTATTTGTATGGCCATACTTTGACTCTCAATCGTCTCCATATGTGCAAGCGCGTCTTATATTGACTCTAACCCGAGACTTACACATTAACTGGGGAATTGACCTGCTATCTACGGCCAGTCCTGTCTTCTTCAATGCAAATCAAGATGTCAATCTCTCACACGGCGACATTAATGCTAGCCCTGATTCTTTGCACTCTTCGTGTTCTTTCCAAAATGCTGCAAAATCGTTCCGACAGGTGTGGTCGCAAGCTCGCGGCTCCACCAGCTCCCACAATCAGCCGAGGCGGCGGGATTTGGCGTCATTCGGCTCCGGAGGCGGGGATCATTGAATTTGTTGATTTCTAATCTCCCTAACCAATTTCGAAAACACCACGAGACCATTTCTAGGATAAGTAATCATCAATTCTCTTCTCTTCTGAGCCTTTTTAATTACCTGACAAAACATTCTTGTCCTTCTCAAGTGCGCGAATCAGATTTCCAGCTCTTAAAATCCGAACACTTTTCTCGACCAACGCTGCTCCTTGTGAATGTTCAGGCCAACATTACGCAGGATGACACACTTCAACGTTGAGATTGTCAGTGACAGCGTCTGTCCTTGGTGTTATGTAGGCAAGAAGAAGCTGGATGCTGCCATTTCAGCATACAAGCAACTCCACCCGGATACTGGAGACACCTTTTCAACAACCTGGAAGCCTTTTTACCTCAACCCTGGCGCACCAAAAACAGGTAATAAGTTCTCACCCTGGGACTTTTCACAGGAGTGTCTGATCGAGGAATAGGTATTGACAAGGCCGCTTATTACAGAACAAAGTTCGGCGAGGACCGCACGGCCATGGTCTTCGAGCGGCTGGCGCAGACAGGCAAGGAAGCAGGCATCAATTTCAAGTTTGGCGGCAAGACGGGGAACACGAGGGATAGCCATCGCTTAATTCAGCTCGGCAAGACCAAGTCGCCAGAGATGCAAACGAAAGTCGTTGAGCAGCTATTCGCGGCTTACTTTGAAAACGAGGGCGACATCACAAGTCATGATGTTCTGCTTAGTGCTGCTGTGAAGGCGGGATTAGATGAGAAGGAAGCAAAGGATTGGCTGAAAACTGACCAGGGTGGAAAGGCCGTTGATGAGGAGGTTGAGCAGGCAAGATTGAATCAAATCTCGGGCGTACCGAATTTTACGGTACAGGGGAAATATGAGGTGGGGGGTGCACAGGATTCCGGTGTATTTTTGAGACTTTTCGAGAAGATTAAGGCGACGGAAGAGGGAGCAAAAGCTTGAAGCAGCTTCTCAGTCCCGGATGCCGATATCATAGGCCACAAAAAAGCAGCAATATCACAGAGCCTTCATCGTTAAGCCCGGATGTAGAGACCGTTGGCAGTCCTAAGCAAATGCCAATATCTAATCGCAAAAGCTCGCAAGAACCCATGTATCTGAACGTAAAACACAATATCCCTAATACCATATACATAATACTGTATCTAATTTCATCCTCGGCCACAGAAACACGAGAAGATCAATTTGGTTCATCTTTTCCATTGGCGTTAGCAAAGCCCCAAGGAATCTCCACCTGTGTCAATAATGACTTGAGAATGTTCTGTAGTGATCAGTCAAACCCAAAGACATCCAGTTCGATTTAGTGATGCTGATATACTTCTTTGCCAATAACTGGCAATTATTTTGGGTAAATCCTGAAGCCGATGGTAGGGAATGCTTTGGAAGGTGGTTATATTTCCAAGGTAACCGGAAAAGGTACAGGACGAGTAAGATAACGGATGGGAAACGCGGAAGGAGGCTTCTCCAAGTTGTTGTGAAATCACAACCTTAACCATACAGTTTCAATAGTAACTATTCTTGATTTTGAAGCATATGATCAGATCGAAAAAGCTACCCAAGTGGCTTCACTCTCTCTCTCTCACACACACAAGACATATGGGCTTGTGTCTGAGAGAAGACTGGAAACAAAGTGCACTTTCCATATGCTGGAAAGACGCACAATCAGAACAGCATAAGGAAAATCAAGAAACTGGTTTTCATGCAGATCTTCAAATGCGTTAAAAAGTTTCGTAGCGCAGTCTGAAGGTCAACTGCATTATGGTTGTGTGATGAAAGGGTCTGCTGCGCCACTGTAGGTCTGGAGTTTGGTGAGCTGATAGGGCTGACGCTAAGCTTCATACTCTAAAAGTTCTGCTCCGCACAAGCCTGAAGGCCCTGTAAGGCTCATTGTAGCGAGCCTCTAACAAGCGAGATATAGTGTTCACTTCAGGGCACAACAACCTGAGAACTCACTGAAGCCTCAGCGGGCCTTCGCTATACCATTTTCGGCTTAGCGGCACGTGCGCTGTAGGGAGTGTGCGTCTGGCAGCTAAGGGGATAAGTAAGTATCCTTGAACCACCTCGTCTGCTCTGATGTTTGTTTTCCAATTGACCTTCAAGTGAGGAGTTGATTCATCAATGAGAATGAAGTCGAAGCGGTCGCAATTCTGAGAATGACTGAGAACATTGCACTGGTTTGCTGCTTTTGTCAAAAATCCACACGTATTGACTCATCTGAGGAGGCGGAGCTCCCTCAACGATGAGCACGAGATACGCTCCTTCCCCCAAAATAACGGCGAGTGACTCAATACCTGGGTACCTACCTTAAGTTTCTCATTCCAGATCTAAGTGCTGTCTCATCCAAGCACTTTTAACAATCTCACACATCACGCCTTCAATCCATTCTTTCTTGTTCAAGCAATTACGCATATCCTCAACGCTCCAGCCTAGCCCACAGTTCTTCATCTTCCCCTCAGCAGACTAAATTTTTGAACAATGGCGATGGATCTCACAGCTGTAGAAGCTGCTGAACTGCAGACTTTTCTAGCACAGAACTACAATACACCTTCCGACCAATGGCTGGACGGCCTCGTGAAGCAATTCGATACACTAAAAACTCTGTTGGAGCAAGGTGTCGAGCCCACTCAAAAGGAACCAGAAAGTGGCATCAGCGAGCAACTTGGCACTCCTGCTGCAGCTCGAGCAGCAGCACTACCTGTGGTCAGATTGGACTCCCGTAATTTTCTCATTGGGACGGACGAATGTATGCCCTGCTACGGTATTGGGACAATATCTCCAGGTACATTTGCAGACATCTTTTGGCAGAGGGTAAATGAGGTCAACAACGAGAATCAATCCGCACAGATTGAGATATACCTCGCTCAAGACAACAACTTCGAATTCCGCTTCGGTCGCTATATGTTTCAGTTGATGTATTTGCAAAATGAAGAAGTCGCCAGAAGGTTATATCACTTTCGATCGCTGTCTAGCAATCCACTGATCATAAACAGATACACAGATATCGTCAAGACAGCCCCGGAATCACTCAAAGAACGTGCTAGGACTGACACTGTGTATGGAGAGATAGGTCCAAGCCTTGTATTACGACACCTGGCCTCTAGTCCAAGTCGCGCCTTAGGTATAGAATCAACAAGGAGGGCCTTTTACATTCTGAGAGCGCATGCCATTGAGCGCGGTATACTCTACAACCTTCCGCTCCTTCCTCATGCCAAAGTCTTCTTTCATGCTCAGTACATTCTGATTCTCCTGAATCGTGCTGTTGCATCACTGCTGGAGAAAAGCGTTTCCATCACCTTGCAAAGCGTGATCGCCGAGTGTTACCGCGACATACCAGATCTACACTCATCCCAAGCATGTCTTGCACAATGTCCTGTTGGTCGCGACTTTGATGCAGAACGCATGGCACCTACTCTGATGCCTTTATCACAATCGGTGTTGATGAGAGTCAGAGCTCTGAACATGGACATGAAAATGAATTTTCCTTGTAAGTGTTCGTGGAGAGCTTTTAGTAGTTCTTGTTACTGGTAGTCCAATAAGTCCCTGGGTACATACTTCATTGGCTTGCTAGAATAGCCTCAAAGTAGCAACTGCTGACTGCTCTGACATCTAGATTTTGTAAAAGTCGATGTTGAGCACAATGGGTCTAGCTCCATCCAGCGGGGAGTGTTCTTGGCCATGGTCGAAAGAGAGCTCCATCAGCTTCGCAAGAGTATGTCTTCCCACAATTTGTTAGGACTTTACCCCTTCGCCGCAAGAAGACAGTTGCAGTCTTCGGTCGGGTACGTCGGACTCTTGCTTATATCCAAAGTTAGATATTTCAGAAACTTTGAAGAAACCAGAGGCCACCGAGAAGCCTCCGTGCGTGTTATGGCCTAATCGCCTGGTTGAAACACCCAAAGAATTGTCCGGAGTCAACAGATGGATATATGTGTTGGGATTGACGCCCATTGCTAGAGGGGATCCGGTACGAATTCCAATCTCCAAGTCTTCAAGTCTACACTCACTTTACGGACACACGTGCATGGCTCTATCAAGGAGTAAAGTTCAAACTAACATGGATTTATAGGTCTTTGAGGCAAAGCTCCATGTGAAAGTTGAGGAGTGGAGTTGCAGTGTTACATCCCAGAAAGCATTGTAAGTAAGACCATACATTTTCTACCTTCCGCAATCATGTTGAGCGTCATGCGTATTCTCGACTGCAATGTCTCCAACAACTAGTAGTGGTACTTTCAATGGCCCCCAAACATGATGCTAATAGGATGACTCGAAAGCGACCATTCTTCCTGCTTCATCAAAGCAAGTGTTGAAGACAGCTCGGCCATGATGTGCACTTTGGTCAACTGTACTCAAGATACGAAACCGAAAGCCATTCAGGGGCCTAAGAGAAACCCGGTCTCCGTGGATTCACCCGAGTCGATGAAATTTACGGAGAGGAAGAAGAATCACAAGCAAGAACGTTCCAGTAATAAGCCCACTCGGAGTCTTAGGCAGGCCTCAGATATTTTGAGTGCTCTTAGGCATGACCCCAAGTACGACATCGACGACTTTAAGGTTGGCTATCTTGATCGTTTCAAATCAGCCATCCAAGAAAAGCCTGTGGCGGATTGGCAGACGGACACACAACATGACGAGTTTATCGCGGAGCATCGAATTGAGTACTTCAAGAAGTATCTTCAAGACGGAATTTCCGAGATCTGGTGGGAGAAGAAGACAAAGACCGACAAATTTTTCAAGACTGGTAACTCAACAGAACTCTGATGAAGTCTGCGGATTTCAAGTATGGACATTTGCCTAAGGTAGCATTCCGTGTGGGTGAAGGAAATTGGCGCAAAAGCATTGCATGAATCGATACCCCAATGTTGTCTTTAGCGTTGTATGATAGTTTCCTTTACAAGGAGGTTGTGCTGCAAGTTCACCAAACAATATGAATACCTGAATCAGTGCAGTTTGTGATTGCATAGGGGGTATTTCGGTAACGAAGGTAAGGACATCGGATAAGGGCCCAACGTCAACCCCGCCTCAGGGAACCCCTCTATCCCTACAAAGTCGCCACACCACCTGAACGAATTTTACAAATATAGGTATTACCTTTGTAAAAATATCCTTTTCGAAATCCAGTACCATTCCGGACACTAAAACAATTTCGAGAAAATGTCACACTCCTATAAATTTGCCGTGCCTCAGGGAATCGAACTGGACGACGGTATCCGGGCATTCTTCGAGGAGTTCTACAGGACGAGTGATACGCCGGATGCACATGACAAGTATGCGGATTCGTTAACTGCCGACGCGGATTTTGTGATGGCTAGTAAGAGGGCGAAGGGGAGAGATGGTAAGACTATTTACATTTTGTTGTTCTCTTTTATCCTTGATATTGTGCTTGAGGAAAGAATACTGTTTCGGTCATTGTGAATATCCCGCGCCTGAGCGATCGTCTTGTTGTAACTCAAAGTCCAGTCATTTCAATACCGTTTCTTTCCGTATACTTTCCGAATTTCAAACTGGCGTACGGTGTTCTTAAAAGGTGTTCAAACTGATATATAATCTTCTATAAAATAGAAATCCTAGCCATCCGCAAAGGCATGTGGGCAACAGTCGCTTCGCGTCTCCACACACCAGTCAAGATCTTCTCATTTGGACCTGGAGCAGATGAGCTCATGCTCTACGGGACGGTCAAGTATGTTTTGAAAGATGGGAGAAAGGCCGAGGTGAGTTTCGAACCTTCCGCTTCTACTTCTCCCACCTGCCTTGCTTTTGAAGGATTAAGAGCATTGGAGAGTTTTGGAATTTTGGAGGAAGGGGTATAAAGGTAAATTTAGAATGTGACTGAGATTGCAATAGGTTGAGTGGGCGGCTCGAGCAAAGATGGCGAAGGTTGATGGGCAGTGGAAGATGAGTTTCTACCAGGTGTATTTGGTAAGTTTGTACCTCTTCTCGCTTCAGTGTTTGTAGAAGCCTTTTGAATCTTCCCAAGGGTTTGGGCTTACTATTTTAAAATAGGACACTGCCGCAATGCAGAATGCCAAGTAGAAGGAATGGGTGAGCTTGTAGTTGCGATTGATGCCATTGCTTGTATATATGTGGACCAAATGGGAGTCGGACCAGGACCTCTGCAAATATGGGCGGATTATCAAGTTATATTTCCGTTAGAAGATTGTACCAGTTCCTTCGTTGTCTTGACTGGGGCTTCGTGAGTTTGAAGGTATCAATATCCCGACAAGAGAGATGTGCTTAGAAAGCCAAATCTAACTCGCTTTGCCGCCATCTTTCGTCTCCCAGCTACCTCTGCAGAGCATTGGCCAAGTCAACTATAGCTCTTCTCATAGGCTATCAAATCTGTGAAACATCCATGTATACGCAACCATGCAGTCCGGCCAACGCCTTTTTGTAAAGCCCAAGAACGCCAGACCCCACACTCAGCCAGAAAATACACACAGGACTGCCTCTCAGTCCATATCCATTCCATCCTCCTCCACATCCTGCACCAGAACCTTCCTCCTCTCCTTCATCTTTCCAAACACCTTGCTCTTCTCTCTCTCCAACGGCGCCTCCTCGATCTCCTCGCCCATCTCCGCCGCCTTCGCCCTCTCACTAGCACGCATCTTCGGCAGCAGGTGCTCATTCTCGGCCACCAATTTGCGGTTCGCCTCCTTCTCACGCTCCTTATTGCCAGCCATGCGCTTCTTGTAGAAGACTCTCTCGCGGCGCTGGCGGATCTCAGAAACTCTCTCCATGGCATTAAGCGTCTTGGCCACCAAGTCGCGGTTGTATCGGACAGGGACGTTGCGGCGTGCCGCGAAGGTGAGAGTGCTGTCGACGACCATTTCTTTGCCTGCGGACTTGCGGAAGGCTTTGGTCCACTTCAGCTTGCGGGGGTTACGCTTCATTTTAAACTGTGAGATTGGATGTTAGTAGATACTTTCGGAGGGAGAGTGAAGAGGTTCGTACGTTCTTGTGGCATTTTGACCGGCAGAATCTGAAGAGTCTCGCATCGTTGCGGACAAAAGTTATGCCCTTCTGTAGACACTATTAGCACGGCACCACCAAATGGTTTGTGGGCTTCTCTTCAAGCTCCAAGACATGCTAGGCAAAGTCCATCAAGATGTCCAAACTCTGTCGCAAACTATCCAAGCCTCAAGTCGACCAATCCCAGGAAGTTGGAATACGTACCGATGGGTAACACGGCTGCGAGCAGAAATAACAAGTCTCGATCCTCATTGTGGCGACGGGTTATGCTCGAAAGGGCCGTAACAATGTGATTCTTCTACAAAAGATAACTTTCTTTAACTTCGAAATTTCATGGTCGCTTAAGCCGATAAAAGATTGCGCTAAGCTGCATCACGTTAATTCATTGGTCCGAGCACCTCAAAATTGTTGTCGGCTTCTGACCAAAGAACGAGCCGACGACAACTGGACAAAAGTCGAAGAAAGACTTCGGACCATCAAAAGCATTATTCAAGACCGAATATATCTACGAAACGAAGAGTAATTCTGCGAGTCTGGGTATATCTATTGATAGGGAATCATGGCTTCTATACTGGCAATGGGCGCTGGTGTGGCGGTGGCTGCGTTTTTGGTACGGAATACCCTTCGAAGATCAAGATAGTAACGCTGACAGTCTGAAGGGCAGAGCAGGGCTTGTGGCATTACGGCGATCGCGAGGAGAGGCCGTTGGCGCGCTGGGGAAAGCGTTTTACAAGGGTGGATTCGAGCCTAAGATGAACAAGAGAGAGGCATCTCTCATCCTACAGCTAAGGTCCGTCACTTTGAACTTTTACCTCGGAATCTGCAAAGGAGAGCATGGGACCTGACAGTCATCTACAGCGAGCGTCAACTTACCAAGGAGCGGATACGGAAGAATCACCGAACGCTCATGATGTTGAATCATCCCGATCGAGGCGGAAGTCCATACCTAGCCACAAAAGTCAACGAAGCGAAGGAATTTTTGGAGAAGAATGGTTGAGCGGTCGAATCGAGCGGAGAATATGTATATCAATGTAATAATGTACGATACTGGAGGTTTGAAGCATCAGCGTTGGCGTTCAGCGACATTTGGATTTGGAGGGTTAATGAATGCCATGAAGGGCAGATCTCTTCTCTGAAAGAATCAATTCTGGTCAGTTTGTTTCAAGTCTAGGCTCATCTATGAAACCAATGCTTGTCTATCGAATCAGGCAAAAGCCAGTTTGCGGACTAAAGCTTCGTTTTGAAATCATGCGGCACGAGGGTCTTCCCGTACTACCCTCTGTCTTCCTCTACAGACCAATTCGTAAAAGTCGAAAATGTTTCCGAACATTACGCCTGGCAAATAGTCCATACTGTCTTCCATATCGGAGAGCAAGATTTTGAAAGTGTTCAAACTGCTCCAAGACGTTATTTCCGTGTTCTATCATCAATGACTGTCCACTCCGGTGTAGCTTGAGATGCGCGCGGTTTCGGATTGGACCAGCTAGAGGTGTCGTAGGGTCGATCAGTGTTGGCTGCTGATCCACCTGATCCCCTGGAAATGCTAGTCTTCTTCATGAGACTCTCCAGCTTTGTGGCCTTTGAGCTATCCACAACAGGACCTGGACGTCCGACTGGCCCAGATGCGGATGCTGATCGCCATGCAACGGATTTACCCGTGTCGCTTTGGCTGCGGATCGAATGTTAGTTGATTTATCCAATTATCTAAAATTTCCCGTAAGGTACTTGTGACATATTGAATTGCTGGGAATGGCACAAGCCAAGAAAATATCTTGGAGTGCTATTGTGTCACAAGCTTCTTGAGAACATTGAGATGGAAGGCCACTGACCTGCTCAGCATAGAAGAGAAGGCTTCTGTAGAAGCATTGAGCTGGGACGACGCTGTGCTCCACTGGCTGTGATTGGCACCCCATCCAGTCGTATTACTGGAATGGCTTGTACCCCATTGATTGTTGCTTGTACCCCACGCTGTGCTGGATTGAGAAGGAGCCTCTGGTTTCCAAGGGCCACGGGATTCTCTAGCAGTAGATGTAGTAGGGTTACTCCGTTGCCGAGTCTGAGATTTGAGGAGCTTCTTGACTTGGGGCGAGGGTTGCTGGACGATAGGAACTGGGGCACCTCCGTCACTATTTTCGCCTCCAGAACTCCAGCCCTCTTCTCTCTCGACCGCAATCTCAACAGCTTCCTTGACAGATCTAGCATCACATCAGGGCATGTTCTCAAGAAGAGACGGGTATTACTTACTCGGAGATTCGAATTTTCTTCTCCAGATCTTTGACGTCTCTCTTCTTCTGCTTCTCCTCGATGTGCTTGATGGCAATTCCGATCATGGCTTGAAGGGTATATGCCGCGTCATTACCTGCATTATGCAGGTTCCAGCCAATAATTCCCAATTCGGCGAGAATGCTACCCAAGTTTCGTGGATTCGTCTCCCGCTTCAGGTACCTCCACATGATTGCGGTGTCTGCCTGCTCCAGCAGATTGGAAAGATTGAGAACATCGTAGCCAATGGACTGTAGGTATTGAATATCTGCACCGACATCATGGCCAATTAGAACAATGTTACGCTTTGGTTGCTCATTCTCCGTAGACGAAACATCGCTGGGACCAGAGAATGGTGGCTTGAAGCAGGTGGATATGATATGAGGGGCATCCTTGAGATTGATGAATTCGCTGTCACTGTTTCAAGTTAATTCTCAATTCATCCGAACCCAACAACGACTTGAGACATAAAGGCTTACCCAAACTCGAATCTATCGGCACATCCAGCCACGAATTCGGTGTTGTTGTAATGTTTATATTCATTGATTCTGAAATGACGAGCACGAATCTTCTTCATCCATTCAGTCCCTTCTTTACCAGGGGCCAATGATTTGAGATCGTTGGTATCCAGAGTTGAAATACCAATCTCAGTGATAATTCGGGAGCTCCGCTCGTAAGCCTCAACGTCGATGCACACGAAGACCACAGAACTCTCTTGAATATATGGGGCAGGCTCATCAGTCTTGAAAATAGCTGATGGGGGCATTTTAGCCAGAGCCTCTTTGACAGAATCTTCATATCGGGCCCAGCCATGATCAGTTTCGCCTAGCTCGGCCTTGATGGTAGCAATACGTGCTACACGTAACAATGTCAGTTTCAGCTGTCCAAGAACAAGAGAATCGACGAGTGGGAGTGCAAGGACGCAAGGAAAGTGGAGAATGTTCTCGACATAATAAGGATCTTAAAACGTGTAATTGGTTTCTGAGTCGATGATGCTTACTTGAGGTAGATTCTCTAAGTCCAAGATATCTTTGAACTCTCTTGATCGAGTGGTGCCACGACTGCTGTTTCTCAATTCTGTCCTTTTTCTGCTTCTCTCTACTTGCTTGCTTCTTTCCCTTTTGGGCCTGAGTCATCAGAGCAATCTTCGCACGGAAAGCAGCCAGCGACCTGTCGGAAGGTGTACCCACAGCACCAGGCTCACCATCCAGTTTGAAGTAGTGGGGAGGGACATTGTTTCTGAGAGTCTCGGCCATCTCGCTACTGCTAGAGTAACCTAGATAACGCGGCTGAGGATTACCGTCGTTGGTAAAGGTGACCTGGAAGGAGCCGTTTGCTCCTCCTGTAGGAAGAGCGAGAGCTGTACCAAGTTCCTGGTTTATTCTTTCTAAGAATGACTCAACTTGTCGGGTTGGCACTAATAAAATGGGTCGAAGGTTCAGGTCGGAAGCGCCGCGGTAAATGTAGAAGCTGTATGGGTATCAATAAGTGTGTGAATAAATGAATGAACTTGATCAGGGACGATATGTATCAAATGGGAGAGACAAAGAAAGACAGGTATTTCTTGACGAAACCAAAAACTCGAAGACTTTCCTGTTACATATGGAGGAGGTGGAATTGGAACAAGATTTTTCTTAGGACATGGGAAGATCCTAAATCGGGAGCTATAACAAAGAAAGACTAGGTTCCTCGAATTCAGAGCTTGCAGTATATTTTTTGAATTCGGAAAGGAAGGCAAAGAAAGGTGAGCAGGCCACTTACAAGTCCCAAGGTTCGTTGGAGACTTTCCCTCGATCAAAGAATCCTTCAGCCACCCGCTGACGATTGTTGTTGCCAACATAAGTGAATGGATACTTTTTTACAGCTGCCCAAGGGATGAAGCTTTCACCTTCATTTGTTAATTGCCCCTGCTTGAGTTGATATGTTGCGACCTTATGGCTTGGTTTGTTTACTCCGTCGCCTATTGGGTAGATTGTCAGCACCTCTATAATTTGTAGATACGGAAATATGAGGTAGTGAAAATTCATACCTAGAAGTGTATAAACGACATCCTTATTCTTCGTGATGGCACGACCACTGGTTAAATACTCGTCTGAATCCGAGCCCGAGTCAGTAGGATTATGGTCGTTCTGCTGAGGCTGCACGCGTGGGGGCTGCTGGGATGATGAGAACATCGTTGACTGCAGGCTGTAGATATCACCAGATTGGTTGGTGACATTCGTCAAAGCGTGTAACTTCTGGGATTTGTCCATGTTTGGGGCAGGTACGACCATGTTTGCTAGACCTGCAAAGAACCGAGGATGCCCCGGCACGGTGATGTTATTAGGATATGGTGCCAAATCCAAAAAGAGTAGAATGCTGTAGGTCAAGCAAATATCCCCTGACGCTGGTAGTAAGATCAGGATATGTGCTTAAGGTAGCGAATGAATCTCACGCCCCAGAGAAACGAAGGGCAGAAGGGCGGAAGGGCATAGGAAAAGAAGAAGATGCCTAAAACAGTGAAAGGTTAGCCCTATTTTTAGGCTAGAACTTTAATAAAGCTTAGGTCGCGATCATTGAGCGTATTTTTTAGGTGCATGCTCGGAGCACTTGAGTATATTCACGCTGTGTCCTTGTGAATATCGCTTTTCCATGTTAGCAATTTCCACGATGGAAATTTCGGTGGTTCAACCTTCCCGGTTCAGGAAATTTTCAGGAGCATTACGCTAGCGGAGGGAATAAATGGGAGAACCATCTCCACGAACAGCTTTCTACGGATACCGCCTACATTTAACAGATCATTGAGTCTAGAATTGTAATTTTCCAAATTTGCATCTTTCTGGGCGCGTATTGCTCCAAGGTAGCATTTCAAACCCTCGCAGACGACTACGATTGTTCTACAAACAACAGTGGACCCGAATACCAAGGATTTGTGGCTAGCATCAATCATCGAAACTGCAAAGCGTAATTATAAGGTTCCAGACTCAATTCATTATGGCGCACAAGACAATAATCGACTTTTCCTTGGTATCAGACCCCAAACACCAACACTCTCACTAGCTATCTGTACATAATCTACACATGCTTGCTGAGAAGAGTGATATGGTTCATCCAAATTTCAAGAACTCGGCTGCCTCCTCCTCAGTTACTCCAGCACTTCGGGACCCTCGAATTAGACCAAGATTTTGAAACTTGAAATCCGCCCAAAAGTTCCTTTGATCTCCGAATTCCTTCTTCTGGAATATGCGGGTCTTCAGATCCCCGATGAAGTCATTGTAAATCTCTGGCATGTCTATGTCGATCATCTCGTCTCTCACGGCCTTGATTTGTGAGAATATGATAGCATGGTTGACATCGCCTTTGGTGTTTTTGAAGGACTGCCGCACTGCATTTCCCATTTGACCTACGGCCTTGAAGATATCTTCATCCTTTTCGGTCACTTGCATCAGCTGCTTGAACTCCGGGATTGCATTTTCATGCGAAATATCGTTCTTCTTTCTGCGGGTATTGAGAAGCGCATTGACGTCCAGACCGGACATTGGCGTAATAACCTCTCGTCCTCGTTTTCCCTTAGCCTTCTCTGGTACTACACGCGAAACATTAGCAGGTTGGTGAGGATGGCAGGGCGTATCATATGTACCTTTTGTCACTCCAGAAATCTTCAAAAGAGCTTCTAGTTGAGGCTCAGCATTCGCGATAAGTTCAGCTGGTGGCTTCGACCTGAAGTAGCCCAATCAGTCCAAAAATCCTCTTGATGGACTGATGTAGAGGAAGGCTTACCATTTGGTTAATACAGGGGCTGGCTCACCAACCTCCCCGTCTGGATGGATTGCTCGCTGCCGAATTGCTTGATTCACACGATGGACGGTCGGAGAGAATGTTTCTTCAATGGTCATGAACTCAGTGGGATTTCCATCGTCATCCTTTCCAAGAGTGCTGAGGTCCATGCCTATAAAGGATATCAGCAAGATTGACTAAATCGATACCCTCGACTCTGACAAAGCCAAACAGGACGACTGCTCTGTCCAGTAGAGAAGTACTCACTGTCCACATAATCGCTCATAGCTGTGACCAAGTCATCCGAAGGGAGATACCTGTGCTTGGTGATAACGGTGCCCGACGAGCCTATTACCTTATCCAGCGGAGGAAAGCGATATACTCGGATATCCTCAGCAAATGGCAGTGGAACATCAACGAGGCATTCTAGTTCGGACTCAATGGATGGAGCCAGAAGAAGGAGTTGAGGGGATTTGCCCTCCTTTACAACAATTCGAGCCACGGCATATGAATCCAGCTCGTGTAGGGCATGCACAAGCGAGGACATAGCCATTCGTGCCTTGTCGTTGACTGTCTGAGCAATGGTAATGCAGCTTTCACCCATGTTGAGGTACCTCTCATACTGAATTGTGTCAGGTGGATTGAAAGGAGACGGCAAACCAAACCTACCTTGTCTTTTGGCACGAAACCGATAATAGAAAACCCTGCTTGGCTGTCGAATTTGGTGATGTCTGCTTCGTCTTCCCCAAATGGTACGGCACTACTGCCGTAATAGTATCCTTTAGCCAGTTCTCCTCGATCGACATTTATGGTTCCATCAACACCTGCGGCACTGTTGACGTGGTATGTTCGGGTAGTCTTGACCGCGGAGAGCTCAGGGGCATCTGTCATCTCGGTATCCTCAAGGGTGTGAGATGACTGCACACTTGCTTCCCCGTTCGCGGCAGCCTTGGGAACATAGCTACTGGCCGAGGGAGCTTTCGCCTGTTTTGTTCTAAAGTATCGTTGCACATCAATGTACAACGCACTTTCAGGATACTTTTCGAAGTCACCAAGGCCTGAGAATGACATTAGATAAGGGCTTGAAAAGGAGATAATAGATTGTAAAGAAATATAGAGGAGATTGAGTGTGACCGAGGGTGGATCGGGACCTTAAAGAGGAGATCTAGGACTTGGAGATGGCAGAGTATGCTTACCGAGGCGTCCATCATACACCTTGAAGGGCCTTGTAGACTTGACCGTCGGGTTGGCCAGAGAAGCCAGAGCTTCGGCCATTGTTGCAAACATGCCATTTTTGCAATGCTCGACCAGTTTCGCCAAGATAGCCTCATTGTGCTTTTTCAGAGAAGCTTTATCTTCTTCTTTAAATCCATATTCGAGGTCATCAAAGTCGATACCCAGTACGACAAGTTCGATCCCAACCTCATTGAGTTTCTCGGCAATTGACTGTAAAGACTTAATCATGTGTAGGAGATAGAGCGGCCAAAGTTCATTTTGATTACATTTCTCCTTGGGTGAGAGGAGGCCCATGTGAAAGAGATCGAAATTTGGCAAGGGAGAAAAGAGCTAACGCACCTCAATGTTGTCATCATCAATTCCTCCCTGCCCGTCTGTAACCAGAACTATCTTACGAGCAGACTTCGCAGGCTTTCCACTCTTGAGGGTAGTAAATTTTTCGATGAGATCAATGGCAAGAATCACTGCGGACACAGCGTCTCCCGTGTCGGTAGAACTACTGTGTATCTGTGACCGAAGGATTTCGAGGCTTGGAATGTCCATGGTGCCTAAGGGCTTCAGCACGCATATGTTCTCGTACTCCCCGTCGCCTTCGAGAGGATTGTCGGTTTCGTCTGTTCTGAAGCCAATGACGCCGACGCTGAGCCCAACCCTGTTTGCAGACATAATCGTTGCAATCTTGTCCCATACATAATCCATTCCATAGTCGAGGTCACTGATAGTCCTGCCATCTTGAGAAAGTCAGTGCTAGAACTGCTCGGCTGTGCGCATTGTTGACATCTAGAATTGGGAGTGCTCAAGAGAGAACGATGGTAGCACTAGAAGGGTCAGGATACCGTTACTTACTATGACAGTCACCAGTGGTGGACCCAAGATCCACGATGTAGATGATTGCTTCCTTGCTCGCCATATTTGATGCTGGCGATTACGATAATTGGGTGGATTGCATTTGTAGAGCAGCCGTTGAGACGCGTAAAGAGGTTGAGCTTCAGGCAGACGCTGTCGCGAGGTCAGGTGTTCAAGGCTTGGCGAGAAAGAGACAGTACGGCATTTAGCTTCTGTCAGACTTAAGTGCTGGTCCTACGATGCGACATTGAGAAGCTTCTGAGGCTTTTCAGTCTCAGATCCATTACTATATTGCAGCACAGGCCTGTCCTCGATGTTTACTTAATATCAAAATGCTACAGCACAGATGGAGGGAGCTTTCTCCAGCATGGCTTGCAAGCCCCATGCCTGCAACAGCCTCGGCAGTTTGTCGTAGGCGTCATCAGTCTCATCAGACCATTTCAATATTAACACACCATTGCCCTGCAACGTAGACATTCAGCGACAGAAGACTCGCATAAGACAATAATCTACCTATCATGTCAGACGTATCAATCTTCAAGACTGCGGCTCCGTACCATATCATCTCGTAAGTCCCGAGTTCTTGAGCTCCATCTGTACTTCGGAGTTGATGATGACTGTACAAGATATGGCACATTGCTTGGAACCCAGTTCTTCCAGGTAGGCAAATATCTTGCTGTGATTTATAATTTTCAATAGCTAACATACTCCCAAAGACATTTGTGGGCGGAATCGTAAGCTACAAAGCTCTCGCGCGACCCCAGTTTTCCCAACTCCAGCAGAAGCTATTCCCCGTATACTTCGGCATCCAGACTACACTTCCCGTGGTTGTAGCCCTCACATACCCTGCTTCGAAATTGGGTTTGGGGACATCATCTGGTCTCTATGGCGTTTTCGCAGATGTCAACAGATGGAGCGTTTTGATCCCGATTGCAACTATCTTTGTGACGAGCCTGGTGAACATGGCATTGGTTGGTCCTGCTACAACGAAGATCATGAGAGAGAGGAAGCAACAAGGTACAGACCCTATTTGACTCCTACCTAGTAGCCAGGTTGGGGACATGACTAAAGGGTGAATAATAGAAACCCGAGATGGAAAGAAATACTACGACCCAGCCCCACACAGTGAAGAGATGCAGAAATTGAACAAGGCATTTGGTAGCATGCATGGAATCTCATCACTGCTGAACCTCTCCGGCTTTATTGCGACCTTGTGGTATGGCATTTCTCTTGCGGCAAGAATTCAATAGATGGGTGCAGTGAGGCCGACCCTCCACATACTGTTTCTTGATGGACATAATTGCGGGCTCAGATCTTGGCAGCTGTTTCTTCAGATGCTCTTTGTCTCTAGTGACTCTAGAAAGAAGTTAGACGAAAATCTTGACCACTTGATTGGGTTAAAGAGCTGATATCTATAATGTGCAAGTCGCCCTGTGCAGGAGAGCTTCTAGCGAATGTAAGTGCGTTAGTGTACCACAGAATGATAACAACTGGTTTCCTTCTCCTACGGTCCCATGGAGCTTAATTTGTTATCCAGTTCAATTGCAATGCTAACAAGCTCAGAAAGCCTTGCGCTCAGCCTTGCATCACGCTTGTGGCTTGCTCAAGTGACACAAGTGCTGCTGCCTTCACACCTGAACACGCACAATTTCCTTGTCAAACTTCTATTACTCTCAAAATTACAATTTCTTTTCCCCAAAAGTGCGCACAGCATGGAATCCATAATGACCTCATTCCACGCTTTCGGCCAGCTTCCTCCGGAGTTGCGCTTGAGAGTCTGGATCTTCGCCTTACCACCGCCTCGCGTCATCGAGCTGACATGGATGTCTCGAGCCCGATCTGTGACATCGAAGTCAGGAGCGCCAGCCATTCTTCACGCATGTCGAGAGTCTCGATACAGCACAATCCAGTTCTACCAACAGATCCAGTTTGGGTACTGTTCTCAAGCTGTTCTGCTCGATTTTGATAGAGACACTCTGTTCTTCGGACCAGGCTGTAGGCACTTGGTACCATCCGGCAAATCAAATCCATGGGTAATGCAGAATCGGAAAGTCATTCGAGACATCAAGAGCTCTGTCTCGCTGCAGCAGAACCTTGTACTTGCTGCTTTTGACTGCGATTTTCTTCTGAGCATGGAAGACTCTGAGCAAGAGCGCGCGTTGCATGACATTTTGGATGGCATGGAGAAACTCACGGATGTGGTGGTTGTTAAGACGGTGCATGGATCCCAGAGGACCATGGATGGCTCACCAGAGCCTGTACTATCTGATGCTCGGATGGACTCATGTATTTCTCGACTCGAGATTTACAATTGTATGAGAGAAGGCCGATCGAAAGTCGCATTGAACAAGGCGGTGTACAAGTCGATATCTAAGTGACAAAATCCTGGAAACGAACTTTTTTTTTGACATCGCCGGATGCTTGTGGGGATCACGTCGATTGCAGCTACTTGCAAACCCCTATATCAATGCCATCTGTGCGCTACGAGCCGGCCACAGGGAAAGTCAGGTCAGTCAAGCCTAATCGGACCAGACTTGCTGATTTGACAACTCCCAGGATCGAGAACTACCTAAATTGAAACATGATGGAACGCGCTTAGGACATCCCAAGGCATTGTCGGTGTGGACAGGATGGTTAGGAGACTGTGATATCTATTAAGAATCTATTCTTCATGTACTTTTTCACCAATATCCATCCTCGTAATACACTTTTGAAGAGAAGCATCCTTGGAGCTCTCTTTAGACCAGCAAAATTAAAAGTATTTTGATGTGCTGTTCAGTATGGATCTTAACACTACAGATACCTCTCCGGACTTCCTTCCCGAGAAGAACAGCCTGTCATTAGAGACCACTGCTTGATCAGAAGCGATATATTATGTATTAAGCCCGCCCCCGTTGCGGGTAGACTTCTGGTCAGCACCTCCACCCACCTCCTTCCAATGATAGAACTCGACTGTTAGATTTTGCAGGCATGGTCAGGTAGAGAGAGCGTGCAACCAACAATAATTTAGACAAAGATAGATTCATTTGGTACTTCTGCCACATGTCTTGTCAAAGATGGTTTGGAAAGTATATCTATTGCTTCCCTCGCTTAAAGCTTGGAAGTGCGTTGTTTCCTGTCCCAAATCTCCGATCTCGTCTGACTTAGACTATACGATCATGGGTATGTCATCGCTGGTGGTGTAGGTAGGTGAGGCTCCACGGGGTTGAGCCCCGGGCAGGTGTTGAGCTTTACGAACTGTTGATTGGTGTCGGGGTAGATGAGAACCGAATCTGCTCTGTCAACTCCGTTGATATTGGCAAACTCGACACAGGCGCCTCTTGTTGTTGTCGCTGGGGACACCTGCCCTTTCAATGTCCAGCGAAATGCGCTGGTACCTGCTGCATCATCTCCAAATTGTCCTGTGGCTCCATCATTGCTCCACGCCGTGAGTGTAGAATCAACCAAATCGACAAAGACAAGGTCGTCGCGACCATCACCATTGATATCGGCAAGTCGTAAGGTTTTCCGCTCTTTCCCTTCGGTGTGCTTGATCTGACCTTGGTTAACCATATTATTGACCCCTTTGTTCAAATATCCGTAGAGCTGGCCGTTCGATTGCATACACAGAAAGTCGGCTCTCCCATCCCCATCTATGTCGTTCCATCGAACGCCGAGGTCATGCAGGTCGTAGCCATATCCCTCCTTGCACGTTGCGGTACCCGTCACAACTCCGATGTTTGTAAATGTAAACTTACCATTAGCGAAGTCGTTTCGTAGCACTGTGGTAGCCCCGCTGGTTTTGTCGACGAGAAGGATATCACATCTCTTGTTTCCATCGAAGTCTGCAAAATACACTTCTCTCCGGGATCGGTTGACATTGTAAACGACACCGTACTGCGTCCAAGTACCCCATTTATGATTGTTCCCGTAAATGGTTATTTCGCCCATCAAGGATATCCAGATGTAATCGTCGGAGCCGGACCCAGTCATGTCGCAATAGCGAGTCCCATCTCCTCGGACTGCTGTTCCTCCTTTGCCCATATTCTTGTTGATTGTAGCGTAGACATTGCCGGGGCTTGATTTATCGCTTATCGTTGCATAATCTGCTCGCCCAGTGCCCATTATCTTGCCGAAAGTGACGTTTACAGGGCTGCTTGCTCCAGAATGTGTGACACCCATGAATTTCCACACTGGCCCAAGTCCAGCACTTGATCCTCGCATGTTGATGAAGGTTTCCACTCGGCCGTTTTCGTTCACATAAAGTAAGTCGTCCTTGTGGTCTCCATTCAGATCTGCGAACCTCCAGCGTGAAGGAGAGTAAGATGGACTCAGGCCAGATGCAATTCCTTTGAAGGGCGTCCAGGCAGTCGGCTGAGAGTTGTCTACTGCTGCATTTCTCCAGCCTGAGATCTTTCCATCTTGCGAGATGCCCACGTAGTCAGCTCTGCCATCACCATCGATATCAGCTAATCGAACGAAGTCTTGCGTGTAGCCTTTGTCCTTGATCAGAATGCCCATAGAGACCCAATTGGGAGATCGTGCGTCCGAGCCGACGGTATTCTTCCAGCAATTCAGGTCACCATTTGCTGCAAGGCAACAAAGATCTGACCGACCATCTCCCGTCATATCTGCGAATCGAACTCCACTTCGTAGACAAGATCCAGGAGATGTCTTGACTCGTAAGTATGGACCCATGATGCCGTTCCCTGTATTCAAAGCAACACCTAATCCTCCGTTTAAATCAGTAGATACATAAACATAATCGTCAAGCCCATCTCCGTTGATATCCGCCCCTAATAAACCAAAGAGTCAGCGATTGACAGAGATTTGGGTTCTGAGCGGTTTTTGGAACAAGGTCCTGTCTTAATCACAGAAAAGCGCTCTGCGCGCAGGCAACCTACAGTTAACACCAAGAGGAGCTGGATTCCCAACTCCGAGATATCCACCTCCGGCCACAGCAGAATGAATATAATCTCCATCGTTCCTTCCCGAGCCGGCGTCAATCTGGTAGGGACCTACCTCGTTGCCTGCCGTTTTATCGCACGTGTTGCCTGCTACAACGACGTCCGAGAAACTTGTACGAGTCGGAGTCACGAGCCACTTGCGGGAAGATGCGGCACTGATTCCTTGATACCACACAGCAGCCATCTTCTCATATCCGGCATCTGTTGGATGTATACCATCGGCAGTGAGATCAGCTGTGCTGAAGAATTTGCTTGACATGTCCACCAGTAGGATCTTCTTTCCAGCAGCCTGGCGAGTTTTGACCATTGCTGGTAAGTTGGCGTTGAAAAGTTTACCTCTGGCCGGTTCCACAGTCGTAGGCAGCAAAGTTGAAGCAAGAATCGTAACTCCAGGTATCGTGGCAAACAGGCGATCAATGAGTGTTGCGAGGCGATTATGAGCATTCGCTACATCAATACCATGTATCATGTCGTTGGTGCCAACATGCAGCAGGATAATATTGGGCTGGAACTTGATAGAATTCTCCGCCTTCGCGGCGACTTCAGAGATCAAGTATCCACCCCATGCTTCCATGTCATTGTCAGCCCTATTTGTCTCAACTCAGTACAACTTTCATAACGACTTCGGGATTGAGAATATGGAATGATGAACAACCCCTCCATGCACGAAAGCAAACTTACATGCTCCCAGCTTTGACGGTACCCACCATGTTTACTGGATTGCCGTCCCATACCAGCTTGTTTCTGACGCTGTTTCGAAAGCCATCGCCCTTGGTTGAAGCGTAACCATAAGCAATGGAAGCGCCCAGAGTGAGGATCCTCAAGGTGATGTTGTTTGATAATCCGCGTTTGACTCTTTGTTGTTGCTCATTTCCCTGGTTCGTTGCCTCAGTCCGCTCCGCGAATGGCTCTTCATTGCGATGGTGGTGGAGAGCATTGGTGGCTGCACAGTCCTCATTAATACTTGATATCTCGTGATGTGGTCGTGAACTTACTGCTAGCTATCCAAAATATGGCAACGCATAGCATGAAAAAACGCATAGCGAAGTTCAGAGTAGGGGGCACTACGTCTGAGCTCCACTGAGTATTGTTGAAACCGGAAACGTCCGCGATATTAAGCAAAAAGCAAACTCCAGGATCGTTGACAGAATTGGGCCTGGTTATTTCGCAACCCAAAGGCTCACAAAGCAGCAAAGCACAAACGCTTCTACTCACGAGCTCTGGCGAGCTTGAAAGTGCTGCAAAGAAGTTCCACAGGTGTTCCAATTCTCCATCTTCCACGCAGACAAACTGGAACCAAAGAGCGAAAGATGGAGACAGGAGAAAAGAGACTTTGGATGAACTCCATCGATTTCGTGCGAAGACCTTGCGACGGTAGGGAAAGGGTCCAGGCCTGGCTGGGAAGAAGATTGCAGTCCCCACTCGGGTGCATCCCATCCCCTGACTCCCTGAGATGATTACCTATGAGAGTGAGATTGCCTGTACGACCCTCGCCCGCCTCGCCCGCACGCCACTGCATATTCCCCTGCCATTTAAGATTTAAGCAACGGCCCGTTCACCTTTCGGGATAAACCCACGCCACTTTGTCCTCTTATGGAAGTTATGCAATGCAAAACATAAGGAAGGCAATTTACGAGCTCGATAATAATAATGCTGCAGCTGGTTGGCAGTTGGCAGTTGGCAGTTGCCAGTTGACACACGGGACAAGAACCAAGAATCGTAGATACAGGGGAGCTCTTGGTTCTACCTCCGTAACCCTTCAACACCACTGCACCTTGCGATGGAATTTTGGTCTCGGAGGATCTGGTCGCGGCCTGGAGAACGTGCCGGACTCGGCAGCATCAACTTGAAGACCTTCTTCGCGATATTGACACATCCACCAAATCCGAATTTCTTGGGAAGGTCGGGCTTGAGAATACCTTGGAATAATTGCTGGTCGGAGAATCTCAATGTGGATGATCTTGTGAAAAAAACACAAGCTTTCGCTAGCTGAGCCCCTGCATATGCCGTGCGACTTACCCGACATGCCACGACAAACCCCAAAGAAAGAAACAATATCACGTCTATTGACTATTTCAAAGAGATTGATAGGCCTTTTGTCAAGATGTTTCTATCTGATATGAAACTTGTAAAAGGTATCTGCCCTGAGATAATTAGCGAAACAGGCATATAGGTACCTACCTCTTTGACAATCGCCCGCAGGAGCAAGAACCAGTTCGAACAGTTTTAGTTCTGATATTTGTATAAGTAAGGTATGAACGTTTGGCTGCATCTGGATCCTGCACCCTTGATAATGATGCTAGCCATTCTTGAGTCCCACTGATAGAATGTTGCAATAGTCCAGACCAATGCTACGTTCTGCTTCCTGGCGAAATCCTGTCTGTATTTAAATGGAATATGCCTTGGAGTGACTCTCTAGGTATGTTGACCACGTGGGAGACTTTCAGTGTATCCTACGTATTACCGGTATCCAAGCGAGACGACATAACCTGAAGCGTGCAGCCCTCCCTAAATGCCCTGTCCATTTCAATTGCCTTCCTATTCACACACAACAACCACAGCCTCAGCTTCGACAGAGCATCATGGATTCCTCTCAGCCAGCAACGGCGTCACCTACCACGACCTTCCAGGATTTCCGACGCCTACCTCCAGAATTGCGTATCATGATATGGCACTTAGCAGCGCGCCAAGTTCGCGTCGTCGAAATTGAGCTGGTCAGCGCCAAGTTCAAAGGTTTAGGCTGGATCGACAGATATACGTCCAAGACGCTTGCGCTTGGCATCTTACACGCCTGCGGCGAGTCTCGCTGGATAGGTCTCAAGAGATACGAGAAGATCAAATTTGATGGCATCTTTTCTGGTTCTTACGTCAACTGGAATGTCGATTACATCGGGTTCACACCATCTAACTCCCAGGGTATGTCCTGCTTGCTAAGAGACTTAGTTCACCGTTCAGACTCACGAAGATGCGAGGTACTGAAGCGGTGTCACCGACTCATTAGTTCTGAGCCCATTCCGGATATAAATCACTACTATCATATTAGAAGGTTCCTCCAGGGTTTCAAAAACCTAGAGGAAATCGATTTCTTGTTCCCAGAACACGTTGGTGATTGGAGGGAACGCAGCGGTAACATCAAAATTGCACCAATGGTCAACGCCTTACCACACGAACAAAAGAAGATGGATGGATATATGAATGATTCAAGACTCCAACTAATCCGAGAAAAGATACCTGGGTTCAAAGGATTCGATGCCATGCGATGTGTTAGAGAGCTCGGCAGACACCTGAGTTCTCCCGAGATCACTGGTCGAGGTGTTTTGTACCCTGACAAAACATTAATTCTATCGAGACCGAAGCTCCCAAAACGGGTCAACTTTAAATCCTACAGACTACCAGTGAGTGTTCTCTCCAAGGTCCCATTCCACTTTTGTAACTGTTTTCCCTCTCACGGCGCTATCGGGTTTTCAGGAGCAATCTCTGTCGTAGTTGCACTTAGAATACAAATCATGAGGCTAAATTTTACTTTAGGAACTGGGAAACGCCGCGAAAGATCTAGGACTGAGCGACAAAGGTCTGAAGAAAGACTTGATCGTAAGGCTCGAAGCCGCAGACGTATCACTCTTTCGGGAGGAGATGAGAGAATACCAGCTAGAAATGCTGGAGTATTCAGCAAATGTTGACAGGCTGCTTGTGCTGCCAAAGGTACCCGGCCGAAAACCATACGAGAACGACACCAAGAAGCAGTTATGACAGAGCGCGCACGCGAGAGGTTTGAGCTATAATGGCAGCACGAAGGCTCTTGTGGTTCGTCTTCAGGCATGGTGGGAGGCTGGTTATCTGAAAAGGAAGAATGCTTGGCACCAGGAGATGGCGATTTATCAGAAGATGATGCGCCGTATTGCTGGTCGTGGGTTTTTCTGAAGAAGTTTCGAGAGAACTGGCCGCCATGGCCCATGGTAAGAATTGTTTTCGGCCTCATTGAATGGAGCATTCACAACTTTGTCGATAATTGTCCTGGCAGGAGTGTTTGTCGAATAATATGCCTGAGGTAAGTCGGGCGACTATCAAGCCTGACTGGATACATGACCCAAATACACCTCCCGATACTTTCTTGTCTATCATAGTGCTCAGTGGGCTCCTCAACATACTTCTGATCATTCATGGGATACGTCGTCCAATTGGATCTCGATATGGGCAGATACCCATTCTCTGTACGGTAAGTTTTGTATGACTTGCGCCTTGCAAGAGCAATAACATTTATTTGTTTACATCTATGTTCGCTTAATTCTTGGCTGAAGGCGGGAAGGACAATGCTTTGCAACTCTGCGACTTGTCAATGACTCAACCTAGGAATTACTATGAGACACAAATGCGATGATGATTAATTTTAAAGCACACTACGTCGTGAGGGAGAACAGTGTTCAAGAACATGCTCTCAGCTCGAAGTGGGGCACAACAGCCCGGACAACACGCCTGATGATCCACCTGAGACTGCAACAAGAGCTCACAAGAGTCCCTGGACCCAGCATAGCCATCATTTGACTTCGCATACCTGAATTTCAGCCTAGTATCGTCTCCAGATGTTACCAAGGCCGACAATCCCCCCAGTCGTCGCCACTCCATGAACCACTTCACTCAAGCACAGCACGCATCATCGCACAAGTAACCACGCTCTCCAGTTTTCCAAACTCAAATATCATCGATAATCTCTCACCTATCCAATCGCGCTTACAACCTGCTCACAAGTCAGTATTCACTCTGCAGCATATCGCTCATCCGGACCATGAGCATCCTCAGCATCATCTCCACCAAGGCCTACAAAATTATCCATGCCAAGAACATTGTCGTCTGCGACTTCATCTCCAATATTGATTCCGAGATCGTCAAAAAGCGCTCGTATGCTGGTTTCAGCTTTTTGTTTCCACCGAGCCACTTCCCTTTCTCGTAGGCTTTTCTCTCATTATCTTCCCGCTCCCTACGATACCTTTCGTCCATCAAGCAGCGGGAAGTCAGCACTGCTCTCAATCTTCCCAGCTTTTTTTTTCCACGCGAGACAAGATAATCTAGAAGACTTTCAGCAGTGTAGGGCTCTGTGGTCTGATTACCTATGGTTAACTCTCACGGCTTCAACGCGCCCTTATTAATTGGTGACGTCGTTCTGTTAACGTGGACCATGTCTCTCTTCAGCTTCTGCAAAGTGCATTGATAAACTCAACGATTCTGAGCTGCTGCATGGCACGAGTCCATATCTTCTCCAATCTCAATCCAGTGAGGAACTTCCGGAAGAGCGCAAAGTCTGGTCGCATCTGACCAGTCTCGAATCTTACGAGTGTGTTATTATCTGCCTCTCGAATACTCCTCTTATCAGCCTCGATCTGAAGCCACAGGGCGCGCTTGACGTGGAATAGTTCGAATGCCTCAACGAGCTCGTTGGAGGTGGATTTAGAGTCACCGCCACTGTTATATATCTTTCGAGGGTGTTTAAAATTCGCTAAGATGTGTTTATGTGAAAGGGGCTATTGTGGTAAGCCAGTGGCGTGTTGAGAAAACACAGTCGGAATGTTTCCACATGGTGAACACGCTCCAGTGTCTGTGTATTCCAAGGCGAGGGGATACGAAAACAAACCAACTATTCACAGAAACTAAGCGAGCCTTCCGGCTTTGATATACCTCAGCAAGGGTCTCAGCAATCAGCTGCTGGAGCTTCTTCCATTGGTGGCTGTCTCCTGTCCATATAGAACAGATAGTATGCACACTTCAAATGGCGCTGGAATTCCGACTGGTGACAGTTGTTGATCCAGGCATAGTACTTGCCAGAGGTAAGACCGAAGTTGCCATATTGTGCGGTGGGGACCAAGTATTGTGCTGGTGTAAGAGTGTACGTGGTTGAGCCAAAAGTGGAGCCGAAGTTGGAGGTGGGCTTTGTGGTGAAAACAGCAAGGCCCGAGGAGCTTAACAGTACCTCGGTGATGTAGGTATTTGTTATGCACAGGACAAATGCCACCCATAAACTGTTGTGTGCCTACTTCGTTGAAGCAGTATCGCTCTCTCCTAACGTTATATTGCTGCTAGCATAACGAAGCCGTCTTGTTCAGAACCGTTCCCCGAACATCCCGATCTTCAATGGTCATACAAACAAAGTCGTAAACTTTAAAGTCCCGGCAAATAACACGCGATATGAAAGAAACTTGGTTCTCTGCAAGTAGCTGAGCAGAAAATGTGGTTATTTCTCACATATATGTATATGTAGCAAACCTCAAAATGGCCAATGCCACTATCGAGAAGCAATATGTCTATGACACGCGGGCGACATGGTGCTCTTCTGCCTGGTTCAGCAGCCCATGGTTCACTCCTGAGAAGTCATCATAAAACATCGTCAGCAGGCGCTACTATTGCCGTAGGTCGAAGAGAAACGGTTTAGATTGTAAGTTGGGCCAGGACATGAGAAGATACTACATGAGAATACCACAATGGCAGCAAACAAATATGATAGAAAGCTCGAAATCCAAAATTCAAGCACGGGTACGAACAAAGCCAGTAAACCAACGCAACGCACTTTCTCAATTGCAAAGAACCATCCATCATGAATTCTTCCTTACAGACCACAAAAATTTCAACCAACGCAACCTATCATAAAGCAAAGCCATAAGTCAAGTTCCCCTTTCTTTGCAAGTCGAGAGTAAAACTCAAGCTCCAGCCACGGCTTCATCTCGGCTACCCAAACCGGAAGCCTTTCAAGAGGGGCCGCCAGCTATGACACCAAGTTCGAATCCACCAGCGTCGTAGCGGAGCCGCGGAAGACGGGAGGGAGGGATGATCCGTCTTATGGAAATCTGCAAGGATAGACAGACTCGCTGTTTGTCGCAGGTTTCCAGCCAGATTATTCCAGAACCCCAGGCAGAACAAAATTAACTAACATTTCAATTACCACAGGGGTGTGAAACGGCTGCGTGTGCTGGTCGGCTGTTTCCGCCTTCACGAGACTGGGTTGAGTTGCTGTCACTGTCATGTCATACATATCACTCTTGGGATTCCGGTATAGGAGAAGAAGACACGTAATTGGGGAGAATCAAACCGAACCTTGCATTGTAAGTTTCAAGCAGCAGTTAAGCCCTCAAATCGAATCTGCGTGGTGTTTTGAGACAACCAAAAAAGCCAAAAAAGTATGCTCCCTCCATCCCTTCATCGAGAAGCCCAGAAGCCTCCACGTCCGTCCTTTGACATCCATAAAGATGTCCTGTGATACCATCCCACATTCCATCCTGCATGACTTCCAAGAAGTCTGCCAATAGACACAAGACCATAGTAATTAAAGATACATAGTATATGCAATAAAGCTGCGAATTGTAAAAAAGTCCAGCCGGTGTAGTAGAGACTGTCCACATCCTCTGAGCCCGATCTATTCGGGCACCCACCAATCATAGCATTATGTCGTAAATGTTGCCGACACCGGATGAGTGGAGTTGCTTATTGTCCGAAGCTCAAAAAGAAGTATGTGCAAAAGTAATAGCTGTTACTGGAGAGTAGAGACCGAGCGCACGATTCAAACACAGGCTCGAGGTCATCATCAAATCCACAGCCGAAATCAAACGCCATGCCAGCTGAACCACCATTCGATGAGATCATTGACCAACCCAGTAACATTCCTTCAGATCGTGATAAAAGCGTGCTCAAAAACCAATCGATCGATGCTCGCCGGCAGATCGTGACGCTCATAACCCATTCCGCCCTATGCACCCACCCCCGTAACGCCGCAAAATGTTTATACAGAACCAAGTCGTAGAAGCGCTTCAACGGCTTCTCGCTCCTGAGGGTCGGAAGTCATGCCAAATGCAACAAAATCGATATTATTAGGTGCAGGTTGAGAAGATCGTACTGGGACTGACTTGGCCATTGTTGAAAGTGAAGGACCACCACCGGATCCTCCGTAAATGCGAGAAGAAAGGAAATTGCGTCCAGGGCCCGAGGCTGAATAAGAAGCTGCACGAAGAGCCGCAGCTCCGACAGCTGCCCAATCCTCTTCGTCAGTCATATCATCGGAGTCGCCCATGAGATCATCTTCCGGTGGAGCTTCAGAGGAGGAGCATGACTCATCGCCATCGAGGGACATCTTGTCTGCTTCATTTTCGAGCATCGTGACGTCCATTTCATCGTCATGGGAGAAGACCGCCGAGTCACCAGCCCAGCTGGAATCCGGTGCATTCAGCCGACTTCTGTCCGCCGTCCAGCCGCCATTTTTGGCTATTGGCATGCCACTGGAATAGGAAGATGGTCCACTCGGAGGTGGCGATTGTAGATTCCCTCTGCTACTTCTAGCGGGGTGTCCTTTCAACCTCGCGTCCCAACGTCCCCAGCCGACCTTCTCAAACTTGACATTTCCCTTCACCCCGCCCCCTTCACCACCACTGCCGCGGCCTTCCAAAGCACCAACCACGAGTCTCCTGGCCTTCGCCGGCGGTATTCCAGAGAACCCGGGCACAGCAGTTGTGAGAAATCCCATGATGTGTCGAATCGCCAGCGGACCGTGGTTGAGGAGGATCTCCGGAAGGTGATGTTTGGCCAACAAAGATGGCGTAATATTACCTGCCGCGTCAAATCCAGGCGATCCCAAGTCACGGCCACGCCCTGAGAGATTGTCCTGTTCACTTCCCTGACCATCCTGTAAATCGATGTCGGAGTCAACATGTTCCGGGACCTGTAAAGTGGCCGAACGCGTCCCGTATGGTTTGACCCCATGCGGAGGCAGAGAGGGCGAGATGGAGTTCGGAGGAGTCGGAAGGGGATTGTTTTTGGTCGCTGGGACGCTCCTGGCCTCTACAGCAGTTAAGCTGTCTCGACCAAGAGCCTTCGGGATATCGCGAGCGGAAGATGCCATGCTTGCCATAGTGATAGAGGTTGATATTTACGTTTCTCTGAAGGTGCGCGACACACTATTAGTAGCTATTCATACAGAATACGCGTTCGGTGGGCTGGAGGACGTCTGACTCACTCTCGACTTTGCGAAAGAAACGTGGCGCTTTTGCTTGAGACGCGACACAGAAGCTCGAGGCAACTATTTATTGAGTCGTGAAGGAGCAGGTTAATCGACTTTCGATCTTATCGGGCAATGCAATGAAGCTGTTGCGACGTCTGAAGGCGCGAGCGATGCGAACGAGGCTGACGTGGACGAGGACGAGAATATACCGTGGGAGCTGGCGAACGAAGCAGAAGAGACCGAATCTCTGCTGAGCAAGAAGATCCAGATCCTGTTGGGAGGGAGGGCAGGCAAGACTATAAAGTGCTGAGAGCGACGGTAATGCGAGTGTCTGAATGTAGTTGTTGTATTGGCTGGTTGTTGTCGGAATCATTCCAACGAGAGTAGTGAGTGAGTGAGTGAGCCGGCTTCAGTAGTTGGGGCGCGCGAGAGTGCAGCGCTGCACGCAGGCCGGGGAGGTGCATTCAACCATGGCAGGCGCGCAACGGGATTAGCGTGATTCCAGGACAGGAACCTTGGAACGGACAATGCAGTGCAGGGCAGGGCAGGGGGTCAGGGGCGCGGCGTCCGTCACGACTCTCGATCACCGCAGATTCCCAGCACACCAAGTTGAACCAACACCCCAAAATTACCACATGTCTCGCCTGCTCCAGCAAATGACAACGCTCAGATCTGAAAACACAGGCGACAGCATGACCCTGCTACAAGTAAACAAGTCGTACCTTCCTAAAAACACAGCAGGGTGCTTACTGTAGAGCAAAGAACACCAAAGTAAAACCAGAATGCAGAGAACGACAAGGAGTAAATGTTGGACAAAGCACCTGGGCGTGGGCATGGGCATGGGCATGGGGCATGATTTCAGCGTTCGGACAGGGCAAAGCACCGGGGTGGGGATTGTTATTGTGCTCCGCTGCAGCGGCGGCCACTGTGGACCACAGTGGACCACGGCCCACGGGCCCAGAGCTGGAGTTCCCAGCTTCCCAGCTTCCCAGCTCCCCCAGCAGCCCTGACGGGAGATAGGCGTGGGTCTCCATCATGCCCGTAATCTGGGCCCGACTGCCCGCTACCGCTACCTTGCCTACCTCGCCTACATTACTACAGTACCTTACCTGCCCAAGTTTACCTACCTGCCAAGCTTCATTCAAACATCGCTTGCTCGCTGGTCGCTAACCAGACAGACAATCCACGTTGTTTCCATCTCGCATCTGGGGAGTCAGCAGACACACTCAGCCAAAAAGAGGGGTTACCTAGCCATGACCATGGCCAAGGAAGCTTTCACTGACTTCTTCCATTCACCCATCGCTGCGCTGCGGAGAAGGAGAAGGAGAAGTCTGTCGGGGGCCGAATTGTCAACTCAGCAACTGCACCTACCCCACGTTGTTGGATGCTGCCACGACAGGCCACAGCAAGCCCGGCCGCTAGAAAATGGCTGACGTCTTCCCTCCGCGATTCGCCTTCTTTCTGCTTCTGCTGCTTCTGCAGCGACGTAGAAACCCTAAATTCGCGCATCGTACTCGTAAACTTACTGTACTGTGCTGTACACATTCCACTGTTGAGATGAGAATTCCGAACCCTCCCGACCCACCGAGATAAGAGCACATGAACCACTCGATTGCCATCGTGTTGCAGGGACGGCATGTCAAGCCACCGAGGCAGAAAATGGGCGAAATATGTTGCGCATATGACCAGCCTTGCCGATCATCGGAGAGCTTCTGACGACCCCACAGTGGGATGGCACAGTCACCAGTAAGGAAGGTCCTCTACTCTATGGAAACAGAAGAAGAGATCATTGAAGGTGTCGTCACAGCTGAACAACACTTACTCGCAAAGACAGAAATTCGTCCTGTAGAACCTGTTGTACTTCGTCAATCCAACTTTAGGATCGGCGCTTCAGGTTCTAATAAATTCCGGACACGAAAGTTCAAGAATAAACTCTGGCGCCACCAACGTGACCATGTAATCAAAATGGTTTCATGGAACCGCTCCAGCATTGAGTACGTATCTTCTGCACGACTATGATAAATGTTAGCGGCGTGAGATTTCTCAAGAAGGTGTGTGCATAGGGCAGGGAAACCCTAGGACACACTATACACTATACGTACTGCTTTCAAAACGTCTAACCTCTCTCTTGACTGCTCAAAGACTTGCCTGTACTGCCTCAAACTCTCCCGTAGAACTTCGTCACGGGTTTTCCTGCCTTCACATATATCCTTCGTACGCAACTCCATTTCTTTTCGTAGGAATGGTTTGCTCAGACTTATCTCCAAACCCATTCTATCGTAGCCATCAACGAGAGCAACGCCGAGCGTGGAAGGTATGAACTCTTCCACTCCGCCCCGTCCGCTGGCGGGGGCAGCAGCGCCGCCTCCTCGTCCTCCTCGCCCTCCTCGTCCTCCGCGAGCTGCTGAAGGGCGATCGTTGTTCGCATTACCACACCCTCGAGGTCTTGTGAACGCATAATTCCTTGTTTGGATCATCTTGATATGTTCGGCCATTGTTGCGTCTGTGCCGATACCATTTGCATCCATCAACGCAAGGAGATCTGGTTCCGTCAAATATCCAGGAGCTGTTGTATGTCCTTCCGTCATCATCGCCTCTGTCGGCTCGAAACTTTCGCCAATTGTGAATTTCGGCAAATTAACACTGTTATTCCAGTTCTCGTACGGGTAGACATCAAGGTAATTTCGCTCTAGAACGACAACTCCATGGGCACCAAAGGCCTCTTCTCCATACTCAATCTCAACATCACTAGCTTGACCTTTGGCGTCTTCAGAGCAACACGCAAGGAATCGACGAGCGATGAACTCATACACTCGTCCTTCTTCAGCGCTTAATTGACCTGGGGCAACCCATGCCACTGGGTGAATGGGAGGGTGAGCTTTATCATCGTTTCTTCCTTGTCGTGGTGTATGGAAACCCCCGTTTATCAGGCCTTGAGCATACCCACCCCACCTCTGGTCTGGAATCTGTTTTTCGACCAGCGCGAGTAGATTTATCCCTTTATCGAAGCGATCGGTCTCGGTTCTGGGGTAGCTGATGAATCCTTTGTTGTAAAGTCCTTCGGCTACAGACATCGCCACAGAACTATTCATTCGCAAGAATCGACTTGCCATCTTCTGAAACTCAACCGTAGTCAATGGTAGAGGCTTCCATTTGCTCGTTGGCTTCTCTTGCACTCTGGTGACCTTTGCTATCTTCGCTGCTATGCATCTTTCAAAAAGAATGACAACGACGGCGCGATCGAATAGTCGATTTCGCTTCCAATTGAAAATTACGTCAATATTGTCTCGTCTATGACTGACTTTGATACCCCAGAAAGTTTCGGGTACAAAATTTTTGACTCTGAAGTAACGATCGACGACAAAACCAAGGGTAGGAAACTGACATGACCCTATCGTTGTTAGTAAGGACTATGCCCTGACTTGAAGCATACCATAGCTTATCACCCTCTTATTACCAGCCTCGTTAATCCCCATAGGGCCGCCAAGTGGTCGAAGGCTGTTGGTGAGATATCGTGTGAAGATATAACCAATCCTCAGATCAAGCTCAATTCGAGTAGCGACAGCGATTACCTGGCGCTCATCCAGATTTACAGGGTTCCGAGCAGCCTGTAGGATATGACTGGCTGGTCAGCACTGCAATTTCTCCTCTGGCGACATGATAACCTACGCTCTCTCGATATTGCTAAATCTTGCCCTTTTTACTTCAAGCTGTCGATTACCCTTGAGTGCTTCCGTTCGTACTTCGCCGCCAATATGCTCTCCTTCTAGATCGCAATCTGTCCATATGAACAAGGCCTTGGCTCCTCTGGCTTGCTGCTTGATATTCTCGGCAATGACTTGCTTGTCCTGTTCATGGATTAGCACCGTTTGAGAGAACTGAGCCAGGTGCTACCTACACCATCGACCTTGACCCGCACGGGAGCATTGAATAGGCTCTCTGGCGGGGGATGGTCCCAATTCTGTTCATATTCATCGTCAAATTTGGCTTGAGTCATATGGCCAGATACAGCAGTCATGACTACATCGCAATTGCCCCATAGTTGTCCAAAATCGAACGTGAAAGTGTAGTTCTTGATGTACTGGTTCCTGGTGTGTCCCTACGACTGTAAGTAAGGAGGATAATCGATAGTCAACAGAGAAGTAGAACTTGCAGTAGTGAAGCGGCCTCCAGAAAGATGGTCTGCCACAGCCTTAGAAATGGAGTTCTTCTCCGCAACGCAGAGTATCTTTCCAGGCATGCTTTCACCGTTACCGTCACGTGGATGCGTCCACTCCCTCCCACCATGTACCCAATAGTGGCTCTATGGCCTGGTGCCTGTTCAAGGCATGCACGATGGCATCGTGTAGCATCAACAAGCTACTCGACGCGTCGACAAGAGCTGCGAGGACAAGATATCTTTGTTTTGAGGCAGAATGACGCGTGAATGTGAAGTTTTAGATCCTTCTATGCAGAACAACTTTAAATTCGGCCGCCCCAAGGTTGACATCAAGCGGAAGCGACAATGCCAAGCAAGCTGTGCTGTTACTCTTAATCCCTGTACCTTTAGCGCAGGGTCTCACTCGTCATTGATCTTGACATCAGAACACACACCATCTTCATTGTCCCAATTTCTGCATAATAAGTCAACGGATTAAGGGCAAGCCACGACCTACTGTGCCAACAACCCCTGAACCGCTATTACTATGGCTTTACCGGTGGTCAAGAGCTTTATCGACTGCTCATCTCTCGAGAAGACTGTGTACCCATACCTCCCACAGCTTTACGATCTTCCTCAGCAGATTCTCCAAACCTACAACAACCCGACTGGGTTGAAGAACCTTTACTTGGCCACGAATCCGTTAATCTCTGCCTGCGCTTTCTCATTGTTCTTAGCGCCCCTATTCCTGATCATCTCCGAGATCAACAAAAACTACTCCCAAGTGGACCGACTTTGGAGCATACTTCCGACCATCTACAATGCACATTACACACTTTACGCTCACCTGTCTGGGTTGAATACCGAGCGTCTGGATAACATGATTGCATTTAGCGTTGTGTGGAGTGTGAGTCCTACCAGAAACTCCCTGTCCAGTACTGACCACCTTTCTTGCAGCTTCGATTAACTTTCAATTATTGGAGAAAAGGAGGCTACAGCATTGGGTCAGAGGACTATCGATGGTATGGATCAGCCATGAAGCTCGCACATTCAGTCAGCTAACCACTCAATAGGGAGGTACTCCGACAGAAAATCCACCCTGGCCTGTTCTTCGTCTTCAACGTTCTGTTCATTTCTCTTGCACAAAGCATCCTACTCTTCCTAATTACGACTCCCACATATGTTATGCTTCTGGCAGGCAGAATTGGAGGAGGTCTTACCACAGCAGACATGGTGTTTGTACGAGTTCTGATGGCCTTGGTACTCTTGGAGTTCTTTGCAGACCAGCAACAGTGGAGTTCGTGCCCCAAATTCTGACCCACGTGCGCTTTAACTCCGCTAACAGTGGTCAGATTATCAACATGCCAAGAAGGAATACCTGCAAACAGCCAAAGTTCCACGCTCATACTTTCAAGAAGACCTTGATCGTGGATTCGTGGTCACCGGAGTCTGGTCATGGAGTAGACATCCCAATTTTGCGGCAGAGCAGGCCGTTTGGGTGGTCTTGTATCAATGGGGCTGCTGGACCTCTGATGTTCTGTACAATTGGACCTTAATTGGTGCTATGGCGTACTTGATCCTTTTCCAAGCCTCGACCTGGTTCACTGAGCTCATCACAACCTCGAAATATCCCGAGTACAAGGAGTATCAGAGTCGCGTTTCCAAATTCATCCCTAAACTTTACACCGATCTTCCAGGAGACTTTAGAGATCAGAGAGCTGTCAACATGGTTGAAGACAAGGCAGGCGAAACAGAGAGAGCTATTGAGAACAAATCAGAGAAGAAAGGGGCCAAGAAGAATGGCACCGCCAAGAAGTAGACGCTAGACCTTACGATAGATCCTATTTGACGGACGAAATATACATTCAATTATATCAAACAACGTCGCGGGATTGAGGACCAAACCTTCAAATCACGGAACTGGGACAGCATATCTAATCCCTGGGAAGTCACTCCTCTGAGGCCCGTAGTATCGGACGTTGATTCTTCTGCATTTTTGTATCCCTGCATTGGGTAACTTTTCCTACCACCCATAGCGCAGCGCGACCATACTGGACCGGTGGTTGAGCCTCCCAGAGCTTAGCAATAACTAGCATGTCTCTGTATACCAACTCGCAAGTACATATTTTGATCTCTAGCACGATCGAACCGCGCTTACTGTTCTTTGGTAGCGAGTGGGAACTTAAAAGGCACTATCACATAAGTACCTACCTAAGAATGGTCTATATGACATATGCAATGCTTAAAGAAAGGCTCTAGCCTCCACAAACAATCAAAATGACCAGAAAATGTGCTTCAAAGCTCTTTTACGTCTGAGAACACTCCAACTAAGCTGCAAGTTTTCAGTACAAACCCCGAGGAAAACAGTCCTGAACTTTATACTATCACCCCTTCTGCAAACCTCAACTTCTTTAACAAACCAAATAACACTTTCGCAACCCCAAAGCATAACATACTCAATATTCAGGATGTCTGATTTCAATCAAATACCCGAAAGAGCAGCAAACAGGCTCCCACCTCCCAGCACAATGGAACACGTCACATCCACAATCACCAAGCAAGCAGCAGAAGAACCATTTTGCCCTCCAAACCCACATCGAAGACCACATATTTCCATCACCTCCAGCTCCAGCTCCAGCTCCAGCTTGGGAGCATTTACATCCGCATCCTCATCCGGTATCTCTACACCGACAAGCCTGACACCATCGTCACCGTCGACACCAACTGAATTCAAACCGCATCCGAAATACAACTGCCACGTACCACAACTCTGCCCTAAAACAGGACACAAGATTGATGTTTTACAACGGAGTTTTCCTAAGCCGAAGGAGGAGGTTAACATTGAGGAGGCTTTGGCGCGAGGTCCGCTGCCTGGAAGATATGCGAGGGAGCGAGTTGTTCGAGAGGAGACAGTAGAGCAGAAGATGAGCGAGTTTGAGAGGGTGAAGAGAGAGTTGAGGGGATTGAAGGAATTCTAAGAGAATTTGGAGAGGGGAGATAGAAATTTCAAGCAATGCAAACCAATTTAAAAAAAAATGAAGTCTTATTGCATTGGTATCTCTTACTATCTGCAAATTCAATGCCATGCACCTCTCTCCGAACCAAGTCTTATCCACCTGAACGCCAACAAATCCAATGAGCAAGCAATGTCCAAATGTTCGCAGTAGGTATGCAAGTGCTGACCCGTTGAGGTGGCCATAGGGATTCCATATGAACAGAGTAGAGATAAACACCAGCTGAATGCATCAAACCGCCGACCTTCTATACTGAACGCCAAGCAAAGAAGGGAAGTGCAATTGGTGATCTCGTCAATAGACCCCTCCAAATGTAAAGGCCGAGATCAAACTCTCTGGCTCGCAAAGTCAAGCACCTCGCAATCATCTTCGAAAAATCCCTCTTCGTTGCTATCGCCAGTGCTATCCGGCGCAGCGCGAGAGATCCCCTTTCGTCTTCTGGTGGTAATCACAATCTGCTCCATGTCCTCGGTACTGTCTGTTACTTTCATAACACGTTCGATAGCCGAGGACGGAAGAGCTCGAGGATCAGCAGAGATATCAAAGTCATCATCTGGGTTATATGGTGGACCGACGTCAAGTTTAGTTACGTTCACTGGACCGCCAAAAGCCCACGGTGATCGAGAATCGCTCGATTGGCCCATCTTAGCCTCAACAAGCGCTCGAGGAGGAGAGATGAGAGCAGATACAGATGGAGAAGGTGGTGTAGTTAGATCTTCTTCAGAATAGATATGTAAGCCCACACGTCTATCGGTGTGGAACGGTTGATATGGGGCATTTGACTCAATCTCTGCTTGAGGAATCGACGACTCGGTTGCATGAGCCTTTGCCATGGCAGGTGGTGATAACCTAGCTTTCCAGCGAGATTCTTCAATGTCCCTCTCGGTAAGTTCCAGATCCGCGATCTGGTTGAAGTCCCGCGTCATTTCGGGTATCCTAATATCTGGAAGTGAAGGCAGCCGAAATTCGACATACTTGGCACCCCTCGAGGCCTTCTGTTTATCCGCAGGACGATCGGCTCGGCGATTTTTTATCGTGTAGAATCGAATGACTCCGCCCCCAAGGGCAATAACAGAATCATTTCGCTTGCCGTTGAGCAATAACACACAACCAGTCGTTGGGATGGTTGAGCTTGGGGGGAGATGCAATTTGGTGTTGGCGGACTTGCGCATTTCATTCATCTTTCCTGTTGCGGCTCCAACCGATCTGCTGATTCCAGCAGCCAATGCTTGCGTCCCATGGCCAGCCTGGGCAGTGACTGTTTTAGCAGATACTCCGACGCTGCTTCGACGGCGGCGGCTGACCAAAGGTCGGGCAGCAGTCCAGATAGAATTGACTGCACTGGTAGCTACTCCTGTAGCAGTAAGACCTTGTCCAATACTTTCGCTGCTATCTTCAGATGTTTGCTGTGATGACGGTCTCCGCCTGGGTGGCGGCCAGGCGAAAGCACTAGCTGGAAGATCAAGTACATGTACTGTACCTGGTTCAGTCACCATCGCAGCACGTTCGCCATGAGGCGAAGTCCAAACAACATCGACGATCCTTGCAATGGTCATCCGCGAGAACTGAGCAATTTGTCTCACATGTGGACCTAAAACACCCGTTCCTTGCAGTCCACCTTTGAGGAAGGATGATTTGGCATACTGGACACGCATCAAGTCCCATACAAATTGGACGTCGCCTTTGTTGCTCGCTGTGAACAGAGCCAATCCGTTTGGCGCAAACGACAAGAAGCTACAGCCTTGAGGGACCCGGAAGGTCGCCAACGGGTGAGGCGACGAGCTTGGAGAAGATTGATGTTGACTTAAGACCTCTAGATCAAGAATAGAGATAAGACCAGGATCTTTCGTTACAATGGGAGCTGGAGCTTGAAGACCATGAGTTGGAGGGAACTGTTGAGCCATAGTTGCATGATTCTGATAGGGTGAGGCTCCGACTGCTGGCTGATTCTGAGCGGGCTTGTTTCTGTAGTTGTTCCATGCAGTTAAACCCTGCTGTGTCAAGTAATTTCCTGCCTCGATGAACTTTTGGGTGCCGATTTGCACGATTTGCTTCATGACACTCTCCCCGCCTGGTGTGTCAACGGTACAGTTGACGTTTGGTAAATTAGGGGGTGCGTGGGATGTGACTCCAGGAACTTTGGCGGTAGAGCTCAATCCGTGAATTGTCGCCCGCAAAGAGATCTGGGAGGCTGAGGCGGGTGGGCAATACGCGAGCCAACGGCCGCTCACAGACAGAATCGAAGCTTTATATTGCCTGCGAAATACAGCTTGATCCGCCGTCTGCCTATCATCGGGGAAGGGATACGAGGCTCCAGATTCAACAGTGACACCGTGCTGCACTGTGGTCCAAACCTTGCCAATACATCTGAACTTTTCTGGTGCGCCTTCTTTATCCCCTTGACAGAAGATCCAGGTTTCGCCTGTCGTCCCGGATGATATAATGATATTGCCGCTATCTGCTCGAATCGTCAAGGATCCTACAGGAAGTGGTGCTCTGAACATTGGGCTGGTTGTGGGCAACGTGATGCGTGTCTTTGGTAGCGAAAGCAGGGTCGCAACGTGGGTTTTCATACCCAGCGAGTACACTTCCACAGAAGTTTGGTAGTATTCGATTAACTCAGTCTCTTCAACCGGAAGCGCGTGTAATCTCGGTGACCCTCGGAGGCTTTCGCTTTGTGCACCTGACTTGTCTTTAGATGGCGGTGTATGATCATCGCCACTGGAAGATGCATCTGACGGCAAGACTGGTCCATGAACAACCAGAGCAATGAGGGGTGCATTCAGCGATCCTGGCACTGTCCATGGTAGAATCTTCGCATTGACCACACTACCACGAATTCCCTCCAATCCTGCCGCAGAGAATTAGTTCATGGCTTGAAGGGCCTCGAAATCTCTGACAACTTGGACGGGCCAAGCTTTACTCAGAATATACTTACCAGACAGTTTGCTGACACCTCGCTTCGTGACAGAATAGACGTTGAGCCCTCCTTCGTATCCGTTGACAACCACATCGTCTGTCGTCTTAGATAGGTACTGTTGGGTTGAAAGACTATCAAAGCCACTGTAAAACCCATTTTCTCCTGGAACGAGGCCTGGGATGGGTGGAGAAAGTAACAGGTTGACATCCGGCGCTCCATAGAAATGAGCTTGGGCCTGATGCGGAAGCGGTGGATGCTGAGCATATCGAGGATGCTGAGAGTACATCGAGCTTCGTCGTCCGGCGTATGACGATACTTGCGAGCGATGATCTTCCATTCCCTGAGGAAAATTATTATCGAGCTGGTAACTTAGTGGTCTTCGTCTGCTTGAGGAAGGTGGAGATGCTGAAGAAACATGACCGCTCGGGATGCCTCTCTGCTCTCGCGTTGTCCATCCAAAATTCGCCAGTCTATCCTCGTAAGACAAATTTGGCGGAGATTCTCCCAGGTTGATCAAGTTGCTTGGAGAGCTTGAAAGGACGGGAACATTCCGTGCCCATTCATTTGTGTTCTGAGAAGGGCTGCGATCTAGAGCTGCCGAAGACAAGGCATCGAGTAGAGGAGACGTAATAGGGTTCCCATGGGACGGAGACCGTGTAGGCTTCATATCTGGTGACTGGACGCGGAGCGCTTGAGCTGGTGATGGCTTTGCGTTCCTGGCAGAAACGGCGGTCAATACTGTCCCAGCGTAGTAAAGTTAAGTCAATACTCACGACGTCTTCGAAGCATTCTTTGTCACCGCCGCGAGGACTCCTCCACCACCATCCTTCGCCGTCCCATTCTTTCTGCCGTTCTTCGTGGGAATCTGTACCCCAGACGATGTTCCCTTCTGACTCAGCTTCGAGGGCTGGGAGATACCGTTCACGGAGTTGATATGATCTTGATCGGATGAAGGGGGCATTCAAATGGCTTCTAGAACTCCTCCGGGGGTTTCTATGTTCTGTAGATGCTCCAGGACCTGGAAACCTTACTCTAATGGACTCTGAGGGAGGGTCGGGAAGCAATGACGCGGGGTCAGGAGGTAGCTTTCGAGTGATCAGGCTCCCGCTGTCCCGCGTGCTTTCCTGTGACCAGGAGAGTGCAGGAGGAGCGCGAGAGAGGAGATACAGCGCGCAGATGTGTCTATAATTCGAGTGGAGTTGTTTGTTCTATTGAGGGTTGCTTGATGTGGGAGTTAGTTAGTCAATCCCCCATGGTGAGGCTGGAGCCAGCCCAAGCTCCAAGGAATCGCGGGGCTGGAGCCGAACGCTATGGAATGCGCCGCAGCAGCAGCAAGGTGATTGTGATTGGCCGAAGGTGCTGCATCAATATCAGGGCTGGGCTTCTGATTATCTGCATGATGTAGGAAAATCCAGGTCCTGTGAAGTCGCACGAAATGTCACATAATACCCGACCAAATCATGTTGCATGGTCGCATTCAGCATACAGATGCGGCTCTTGTAACAGCAGTCAAGCATTTAAGGGTACCTGCCTTCGCTGGGCTGCATCTCGAGGCTCGCTGCCATGTTGAAAAGGGGGGGCGCTGCTTCTAGAGGAACGCGACAATCGCCAACACAACAGCACACCAGTTCTCACATGGCAGCACGGCAGATGATGCTTGGCGTAATTCTTCAGTAGAGAATGACTGGTTGACAGGTTGCAATCGGGTATCTGTAGTATTACACGCAACTCTGTTGACACTGTGCCAAGCTGCATTCCCAAATCCGAGTCCTCCAATTCTCGTAGCATGTGTATATGCCCCAGCGTACAAGAGGTTTGCTCATTCCAGATACAACCACTTGCTCGAGGGTTCACTTCTATCCGTGCCTTTTCCGGGAGCGTGTTCATGCCTTCTTCTTTCCGGCAGCCTTGGCCTTTGCTGCCCTCTTCCTGTTGCTGCGAATCATAACCACACTCAAGAAAGAACCGACGACTGCTGAGCCCAGGAGAATGAGGATGACAGGAATGCGGATAGCCCAAACTCGTGGGGGGAATAGGTTCTGTAATGGATGATCGTAGTCGACGAAAGGCTAAACACCAAGATTAATAAGTCGTGGCTGCGCGGAGAGCTTGCAGTCCCTACCATGAGAAGTGTCCAGATGGAGTAGTAAAGAAACACGACTGAAGCAGCGACAAGCATCGCAAGTCCAACAAGGGTGTCCAGCTGCAATAATGTTAGCTTATCAATTTACGATACAGAAGAGGCAGGCCGACCATTGTTGCAGACTGTATTTAAAGAGTGTGATGGTCCAGGTGTGAAGGAGAATCGGCTGTGGTCGTGGAGTGATGATTGCAGGTGCTGTACCTTACAGGATGGATTTCTGCCCCATAAAGTGGATGGACGCTAATTTCGTAAGTCCCGCTGTAGCTTGACCAGAATGAAAGCGGTGAGCCCAAACATACTGCCTGTAATAATTCCATGGTTGCGCCACGCCACCTCTAAATTTCTCTGGCACGGACGCCTCGATTTCTCGACTGCCTCTGTGCCTGCCCTGCCTTGTTTGGAACCAGGTCTGCAGCCTCACTGCGACTCAACACTTATCACACGACGGGATCGCAGTTTCGAACCATCGCAATCATGGAGGTCGCACGGGGAAGAACAGACGAGGAGAAGCAGGCGGCGGCGAAAGCAGAGTACGAGAAGCTCTTGACAATGCGATCGGGGGGAACATATATTCCACCGGCGCGTCTTCGAGCCCTCCAGTCTCAGATCACGGATAAGACCAGCAAGGAGTATCAGCGCATGGCATGGGAAGCTCTGAAGAAGTCTATCAATGGCTTGATCAACAAAGTCAACGTTTCGAACATCAAATACATAGTCCCGGAGCTGTTTGGGGAAAACCTGATCAAAGGTCGGGGCCTCTTTTGCAGAAGCATCATGAAAGCGCAAGCTGCAAGTTTGCCGTTCACTCCGATCTATGCAGCCATGGTCGCCATCGTCAATACAAAGCTTCCCAATGTTGGTGAGCTTCTCCTCAAGCGCCTGATTGTGCAATTCAAGAAAGGCTTCAAGCGGAACGACAAAGCAGTTTGCCTCTCCGCTACCACATTCATTGCGCACTTATGCAACCAGCAAGTAGCACACGAAATGGTAGCAGTACAAATGTTGCTACTGCTACTGAACAAGCCCACGGACGACAGTGTTGAGATTGCGGTTGGTCTGACGAGAGAAGTCGGACACCACTTGGAAGAAATGAATATGGCGGTATCGATTGTGGTCTTCGATAGATTTCGGGGCATCCTCAATGAGGAGGATATTGACAAGAGGGTTCAGTACATGATTGAGGTTCTTTTCCAAGTACGGAAGGACAAATACAAGGACAATCCATCAATCAAGGAGGAGTTGGACCTTGTCGAAGAAGATGACCAAATCACACATAGGATTTCATTGGACGACGAAATCGACGTACAGGATGGACTCAATGTTTTCAAGTTCGACCCTAGTTGGGAGGAAAATGAAGAGCTATATCAACGGACGAAGGCTGAAATCCTTGGCGAAGGAAGTGATGAGGAAGGAGACGAAGACGAGAGCGATGATAGTGACGATGACGAAGACAAGCAGGAAGAAAAGGCCCTAGAGATTAAGGATCAGAGCAATGCTGACCTGGTCGCTTTACGGAAGACTATTTACCTGACCATCATGTCAAGTATCGACCCAGAGGAGTGCTGCCACAAACTGATGAAGGTTTCGCTTCCAGCAGGCTTCGAGCATGAACTACCATCCATGATTATCGAATGTTGCTCTCAGGAGAAGACTTACTCCAAGTTTTACGGCCTGATCGGTGAACGGTTTGCGAAAATAAATCGACTCTGGACGGATCTTTTCGAGCAGTCGTTTGCCAAATACTACGACACGATTCATCGGTACGAGACAAACCGTCTACGAAACATAGCTCGATTCTTTGGCCACTTGCTGAGTTCCGATGCTTTTGGGTGGCACGTGTTTTCTGTCATCCATTTGAACGAGGAAGAGACCACTTCGAGTAGTCGTATCTTCATCAAAATTCTGTTCGAAGACCTGGCCGAAGAAATGGGTATGCCAAAATTGCAAGCTCGTTTAAAGAATGATGCTCTTCGTCCGTATTTCGAAGGCATTTTCCCTCGTGACAATCCACGGAACACGAGATTCTCTATCAACTACTTTACTTCTATCAAGATGGGCCCAGTCACTGAGGAGATGCGAGAGTATTTAGCCAACATCCCTAAGCCAGCTCTGCCAGCACCACCACCCGCTGATTCATCGGACTCGGAGTCAAGCTACTCATCGTACACGGGATCTTCATACTCGCGATCGCGGAGTCGATCCTTTAGCAGATCCCCCCCACGAAAGGCACAGGCAAATAAAGTCACCAAGAGGCAGCGCGATCTTTCTAGCTCTCGTTCTCGCTCTTATTCACGCTCATTATCACGGTCACGGTCAAGATCTCGCTCCTTGTCTCGCTCAAGATCCCTATCCCCATCAAAATCACCCCCACCGCGTCGAAGTCGACCAAGATCTTGGACGCCAGATCGAAGTCCATCACCACCACCAAGGAGACGCAGGAGTCAGTCACCGAGGGGCCGAAACCGAAGCCCATCACCTGCTCCCAGGAGACGAAGTAGTCCGTCGCCTAGGGGCAGAAGTCCATCGCCTGCTCCCAGGAGAAGAATGAGCTCGACCCCTCCTCGGCGCCGAAGAAGTCCGTCTCCTCCCAGAAGGAGACGAAGCCCATCACCTCCACCGAAGCGGAGAAGGCTTTCCTAGATCCAAACGTTTGGCCATGTACAGTACTGCGAAGGCGCTCCGGGGTTCTTTTACTTAGACGAACAGCTATCACCATACTTGTTTCCACCAAAGGCATGGTGGAGGTTCTGACCAAGGCTAACCACAGAGATATCATATCATGGCTTTAGGCTATCGCGGTGGAGCAAACAGAATGCATGTGTTGTGTCGACCCTTCTTTCCTTCTTTCTTTCCATCTCTGGTGACTCTGAAAACGTGAAATGTGTAAAGCTCCTTCTTGCATGCTAGTATGGCTCGAAGGTCTGTATTGGTACTTCTGTTGGTGTTGGACATGACATGTCCTACAGGATTGACTAAGCCTGGTTTAGTCACACCATAACATGATTGGTTCTTGATACCAATGAGCATCTACCAGTTGCGTTAGCAAGACCCCGGCTTTGAAGTGGATGCGGTCATGTAATCGACAAGCGCTTGTGGTGTTCGGGTGACATGCAAAGCCCCAGTCGACTCTCAGCCCGAGCGGATGCAGCCAACCATCCCATACCATAGAACTCTCGAAGGAAGAATCACAGAAGGAACTAAACAGACTTGACCTGTAAGCCCAAGGGCTTACTAAGGCCAGAGGAGTACCCAGGTACCTATTCTTCTCACTTCGAAAAGGTCGCCTCAGTTGGTCGAACCGCCACACGCGGCGCTCTGGCCGTAATGAACTGAGCAGCAAAGCGGCATGCCTATTTATACTATGTCCACGGTCCAGAGAGGAAGATGATGCTTGACGATGCTGTCGTCCAACAGGTCCACTTTTGAGTTCTTTGTCATCAGCTTACTTAAACGTCTAGCTTCGACGTTGCTCGAAGCGGTTGGGCGGAGAGCAAGGGCTCCAGTGACAGGGCAGCCGAGCGAGCAACGACCAACTTCAATTGGAGCTCGGCCTGGCCAACGTTCCCGCTCCCGACGGGTTTCCACCGTGGATTATTATCATCATTAACGTCAATTCAGCCATTCATCATCCACCGCACCACCGCACCATCGCAAGGAGCCATGTGTGGTGCCGTGTATCGAGCCATGTAGTGCGGTGCGGTGCGGTGCGGTGCGGTGCGGTGCCATCTTGCAGTGCGTCAGCCAACGGCTCAAGAAGCTACCCCTGCGAGCGACAAGGTTCTGCACCCCTGAAGCCATGATCTTCAGACCAGTCTCCCAGTCCACCATCCAGGAGGGCAAAAGTGCATGGTGTACATCACTCTACGGTTTTGTTAGTCGGCTCGAACCATTCCTCCTTTTGTCCCTGGGTCCCTGGACATGTAGCTGGATCATGTACCGCAAATCCTGTGCCTGAACAGGATTCGCTGCAAGTATGTAAGCAGACTCTTTTATCGAAATACCTAGCCTTCTCCTCTACACCTCCAGACATCTCACCAACTTCGAATTTGCAGACACAGATCCGTGAAACCTGTGTGTGCCTTCTCCGAAACCCCACCCCTTGCCAAACCAAATCCTGCAGGGAACACGGCCGACTGGATGGGCTTTCCTATACGCCCCCACTACGCATAGGTTCTGGCAGAGAGGTGAGTGGTGATGGATGCTCGGGAAAGGGAAGATTCCCAGTCACGTCGGCCGAGCATCAAGCGTCCTTGGGAGGAGGAACACGTATCGCCAGAGCAAGTCAATATCTGGACAGGAACCAGACTTCCTCCAATTGACGCATCTTACCGCCGACCATCGCTCCCACCACGCTTCACCGAAACCGCAGATATCTGGGAAAGTTATGGCTCAGATTCCAGCGGCGGAGGCGCGAAGAGGAGTCGATACATGAGACATGATTACCATTCACTTCCTCGGGGAGATCTGGGTCTAAGAGGCGACGTCCTTGGGTCCATTGGCTCTCGTGAGTCTCAAGGACTCTCATGTTTTGATATCATAGACTTACCTGCGGAGAAACAGGTTCGAGCTACAATCCGACTCAAAGCTCACAGGAACTGCCTAGCTCCCGCGTCGAGCAGGATCAAGGACGGGAAACCGCAGAGCTGGAAGCACCAGGAGCTTCAGAACATGCGTCGCTAACCAAAGCCTGCCCCAGCTGCAAAAGGCTGATTATGCAGGGAAGTATAGGCGACGAGAAAAGTGATTCGGCTGAAGCTCTCAAACTTTCTGCAGGCTTGCTGAATAACACGATCTTGGTTCTAACTCGATTTATGTTCGAGGCTCGGGGTGCAATTCGTGTAAGTCAACGGACCCGATGCACCTCCCACGACATCACCTTACTGCCTCTGCTGACCGAAATGTAAGCAGGAGGGAGCCAGAATGGACCTAAGCTCAAAATCCGAGTGCCCGCCTTGGGAAGAAGCCGGTCTGAAACATACGCTGCACTGGCTCCTGGACAGAATTCAGCACGTCAATGACCTTGCCGAACAGCTGCTGCAGTATGTACCACAAGACTCTTCGCAGAGAATTGAAAGATACTTTTCGGAAGGTGGAATCAGTGCTCAAGATGGTCTTCAGCACATCATGAAAAGAAGAATGAATGCTGAACTAGGAGACTCAAAAAGATCTAGGGACGAGCAAGAAGATGCCAACACGGATGCCAAACATCACATTCGACGACGATCTATTGCGACAACTCTACCGGGATCTGAAGAGTTCTTGTCATTGCAAAAGTCTGAGGAGCATCAACTGCACGCGGGTCTGCACAGTGGACCAAACCAAGGTTTCCAGATGAACCCGCCTCCACCGCCAGCTCTTAATCGGCAGCTCCCATCGCCTCCTGGACGCTCCCTTCCTTCACCGACATCAATAAATTTTCCTTCACCTTCAGCTAGCTCTTATGGCTCCTCGTCTCAGCCTCCTAGCCATCTCCCGCCGTCCGGCCTCCATCATTCATCGCTGAATAGCTATCTCCCTCCGATCGGGCAGTCGCAGTCGCCCGATGCCCTTCAAGCGCACACAGCGGCATTACAGCATGAGGTTTCCGTTCAAAAAATTGCTTTATCATCCCTCCAAGGCGAGCACAATAAGCTCCTCGCGGCGTTCTCGCGCTCCCAAACGCGGGCGAGCGCACTTGAGAAGAAGCACTCTGTATCTGACACCGAGATAATAAGCTTGACGGAAGAGAAATTGAGGCTTCAATCCCAGGTGGTCGAACTAGAACGAGATGTGGAAGAGTTAGCACGCAGTCGAGACGAATTCAGGCAAGCTGCGGTTCAGGAGGGAGCCCAGTACGTGGAGATTGTCAAGAGAGCTTCCCGACTGGAGGAAGCAGCTGGGGAGGAAAGGAAAGGATGGAACAAGTTGAAGCTGGCAATGGAGCAGAAAATAGAGGAATTGAGCGGTGGCAGCAGCCGAATGGATGTCACCCGTGGCAGCTCGGAGCAACTTGTCAATGTCAACACTCCCACTTCTGACTTTGACAGCCAGGCCGAGCTCAAGTTGGAGCCAGCGGGAGATACTCGACCCACGTCACATCCGCAACTTGTCCAGCAACAATCAAATGAGGCACTCGAGGAGGAGATTCGAATACTTCGTCATCGAGTTGCTGAAGTTGAAACTGCATTAGGAGCCGTCCGAGATGAGAGTCGTAATATGGAGGGAATTGTAGAAGCTCTCGGCCTGGCAGGAAAATCGATCCTAGAAAAGGCTGATGGAACGCTTTCTGGTTGTAGCTAACAGAAATATCGGTCTAAGATGGTGAAGATTTGAGACTCGAGATCTCCGGCCAAGAGACTGAAGAGTTACGTCGCACCTGTACACAATATCTTGGTGCGGGTACCGTCATTTGGAGGCGTTTTGTGATTTGGGAGGCATATATCCATGTAATTAAAAGAGACGATGGCAGACTGTGCCGTGCCATATATAAATATCAATACCGAATGAGCACATTCGTACGCAGACAGACGAACTTCCTGTCACGACATGGCCTTGGTAGCATCTTGGGAGCAGGACAGGTTAATTGCAAAGTTGACGAAGAACATTCGATGACGGTACCCACACGCGACGTTCGACGCGGTGAGAGTTCTTCTGAAGGGGGAACTTTTACTCTTACAGGATCTAAATCACGGCTCATCACGGCAATCCCACCCTCGATCATAGCCATGGCTCGTCTTTGTCATCACATGAGCCACTATCCATCGAACCGTGCTCGAAGTCGATTTATTGACCACAGTCAGCATATTACGTAGCTACGAGAGTCTCTGATAGGTTGTCTCCATTTTGGAAGCTGTCAATTTGAATTGAGGACTGTCTGTATCAAATTTCCTGTACCTTCCATCCGACGTGTTCAATATCCCATGACACGAAACGGGCCGTGATGCAAGGGGCCTTGTCGTCTTCTTACCTCGCCGCAAGCAAGAGTGGCGTGAGATGGAAGACTTGGGCGTCAGGAGGTTTCTTGGCATGGATGTTCAAGTGGACTTGGGAGTCATGGGCTTAGTAAGTGGCTGGAGGTGTTGTGGAGGGGGGTGTTTTCTCCTCGGGATTTGTCCCGGTCCAAAATTGGTGATTCGATTTCACAGCGGGGCGATTCGTTGGTCTGATCTGGAACTTGAGTACAGAGGTGAAGATCGGGCGTTTTTTTTTACCTCATGTTAAAGCCATGAATTACTGGGGATTTGGGTCAACCATTCGTGATTTGTTGACTTATCAACCGATATCAAGACTTTCTATATGTACAAGTCAACAATTTACATCATGAGTTATTCCTATCGTCACGTCCACATCCAGCCCCTGTTGCTTGTTCGCCCTGTCAAACGAAAAAGCAACGCGGAAACAGTCTCAAAGGATCCGCTCGTAATCCTTTGGCAGATACAATTGATGCCACTGGTACTCTCGAAGCAAAGAAAATATTCAAAGAAAAAGAAACTCTGACAAGGCCTCTCTCATTGCCAAAGTAATCATGTCACTCAGTTCCTCCATTACAGTGTTCACTTGTACGCGATGATTAAGCTGTTCCAGAAATCTCCCAAAATATCAGAAAAGTCTCCAAGGGACAACAGGTAACAACTTGCTAAGTAGCGAGCAGCAAATCGGAATCATACTGCTCAATTTTTGCCTTCTCCTTCTTGATACTGGAGGCATCTGCCGGGGAATCTCGTCTTATTGCGGCGTTTCACTCATTGATTGTATTTTGATCATTGAGACACGCGGGACTTCTGGAGAGGAAGATATTGGTGGAAGGTACGTCGTTCTTCTTCTTGTTAAAGATACGAACCATCTGTTCGAGCTTAGACAGTTGGGTTCTTGAGCCTATTGGACTGGCGCGGAGCACTCCAATATTCTCGACACGTACTGCCAAATTGTTGCATTGGAAGGCTGGGTCAGCCCGTCTAGCTGGTTGTGACACGAAAGTCCTCAGCGCGATTTGTATCAGCTTCCAGACTGCCACATCATAATCAATGCAGCCAAAAGATGAAACTAACAAATGAAATCTTTTGTAGCTCCTTCATCCCAAAGATCTGGATTCTTTGCTAACTTGAAGAATAGTTGGAACTGAAATGCGAGAGGCGTACTTGAATCGTTTCAGGCAGGAATAAAACTCAACTACTTGAAGGATTGCTCCACTGAACTCCCAGATCATAAGACAGAGCTCCATCGGCAGTCTTCGAAACTGTGGGAGATGGGGACGTATTTGCTCGGTCCTTTCCCAGGTGTAGCTGAGGCCATTGTCTATGCGTTTCTGATGATTGGAGAAGACTGGGGAGGTATGGCTGTTGCTGGGTGAAGGATCGGTAATAGAAGGAATTACAGCCGAAGGGCCCGCAGAATGGCGTACAAGAAGATGTGTTGCTCTGATCAAATCACCATCGAGGTAGAGAAGTAAGGCTGTGTGGCTGTGATTTGATGAGAAAGTGAGGTAGACTAAACGCGATAGAAACAAAAGGCATGCAAACAATAAGTTAGTGAGTTCGCAACCGCCTGATATATATCATAATCATAAACGAGATCGTGCCTAAGGAAACATTTATTGATGTTTCGAGTGAGTATTCATCATTTAAGTTTTATCTCCAGGCAATAAAATGTTTCTAGAAGGCGAATATGACTTAGCTCACCTCTGGGTCTTCCGTTCGCGTGATTCCCAAGGCCCGAAAAACCTCATCCAAACAACTACATCTCAACCTCTCTTGATATAAAATAACGGACAGGATTCAGCAAACACACGAGAGGCTACTTTGCATGCTATGATGACTGGACTAAGATGGAAGTCATAGGTCCTGTCTTTCGGGACCTTACGAAATTCAAAAAGACATATTTATTGGTCGCAAGATTTACTGGTAAGTACATCAATATTGAGTCGTCGGTGTTCTTAATTGTGCATATCTGTTTGCCCACTTTTCCCACATGTCTTATTATTCTAGTCTTGTGTAGGTCGTTTCTAGATGTAGGAAGTAAGAGGTCCTCGTGTGACTTCTTTGGTGTTTTCATACTGCGCAGGAAACCATTTGTTTTGACGAACGGGAAGTTAAGCGAGGCGGTTCAAAGCTGGCAGTGCTGAAAACAATCGACGAGAACCGAGGCAGTGGCATAGACTCCTGTTCTACTCCCGACTGTACTGCCACAAAATCTTTGATCCGGTGCGAGCGTACCAATAGTTGCGCGTGATATATTACTCGAGATGACTTCACAAGACAGCGAGCCGAGGATCAGAAGTTTCTCGATCTCTGCTGTCTAGTATGGCATTTCGCAGCTAGCTTTTGGATGATACTACGCTGTGGTGTCGAATTGACTACACAGAAGCCAGCCATTGGTGACCATAGATAAAGACAGGAAGAGTGAGGCTCTTGAGAACTTGAGATGCGTGCTTTGGTCTTAGGGAGCAGTCGTGGCCAGAACTTAACGACGTCTAGTGTCTACTGATGTATATAGCTACATACAAAGTAAAATCTAGGTGCCTACACTGTGTCAAATTTCGGTGGGCTTATAACAGGGCTTGGAAAGACAAGTCGAGAGCCCAGCCAGAACTTAGATAATTGAGCCATGTTGGATGAAGGCCAGAGGACAATGATGATCTATTAATCTTGTCTAGATTCTGGGACTTTCCAACCATCTATCCACATCAACTATGCCCATTGGTCAGATGCTTCCCACCAGCGCCATTCGTTGCCGTTGTCGTTGCCTTTGCCTCTTCAGCAGCTTCGGTGCGGCACCTCTCGCACATACACCAACCGCCCAGACTACCTTGCGCCCACTCTCTTCTATCCTGGACTTTCAAGTCAATATCGCAGTAGTGATTCAAGACTTCTTCTCCTGCTTTGATCCCACCTGGCAATCCGCCAATCTTCTTCTCTCTGCACCAAAGTTTCATGCGACCTGCCCACTCCCATTGAACGTTTGGGTTGCAATCGTGATTTGCCAAGCACCAGAGGGGATGAACAGCAGCAACTTCAGGATGGCCGTTTCTCTTGTTGACTCGAGCTGAGGCTGTGCCGCGGAACTTGCTGTAGAGTGTGTTGAGGATCCAAAGATCGTAAGTAGCAAGCGTGGAGAAAATATCCATGTCCATTTTCTCTAGGACGTGCAGTGGGCCAGCGATGTTGTATTGGAAGGAAAATGGAAGAGTCCAGACGGGAGGAGGTGGGGCATTGGGGGAAAGAGAAACAGCGTTGGCCATACTTGGGAGAAAATCGCCCCAGATGTATTTAACTTCTTTCAAATCCAGTGGATGGATTTCTTGGGTTTCGGCCATAGCCAGAGCGCGCGATAGGAGTAGGAGATACAGAGCGAAAGGCTTCTCCCTTGGGTCTGGGTCTTTAGCAATGGTGTCGATGTCCTTGTCGCACACTGCGGGATGGTATTCTTCTTGTGCTCGACTTAAGCAGTATTCGTCGCAGAACATGATATCATCACATTCCGGACAGCCCACCACTTTGCTCTCTGATGTGAGAGGAGGTAGTTCCAAGCTGCAAGCATCACAGAGCGATTCCTTCAGCCTGTTATTGGCTACTAGGAGAGAGGTTTCGTTGAGAATAGGATCGCCCGGCTGAATATCGACCTTAGCGAATAGACCCAGCTGTTTGTTTGTTGGCAGAGTTCCAGAGCCATCAACACTTGTCCCAGCAGACTCCAAAAGGGTTGGCAGTTCTGTGACCCTGACTTCGACATTTGGTGCTGCGTCCGCCAACTGAGCGTTCAGAAAGTCCAAAGTCTCCTGCGCGTATCGGTTCGGTTCATGGTCGTTCCATGGATAAATTTCGCGCCGTACCAGCCCTTGGTCAGGCAGCTCAGTGATATCCACTTTGTCGACCTTCAGTCTCCTCTTCGCCATATTCTCGATGTACTCCTTGGCCTGCAGAAGTTCCACGTCCTCGGGCGCCACTGCCAGTCCCCTCGTGCAAAAGTCGTAGGCGCTTTTCAAACACCCACATAATAGCAGGCTGATGGCGAGGCTGCGGTAACAGCGTATCGAGGCTATGCGCACGAGCTCCAAGGTCTTCCTTTCCGCGTCTGCCTCTGTCTCTGCGTCTGTGTTAAGACTCATGCTCTCTACCCCGCGGGGGAGATCGACGCTGCTGGTCCCTGGTTCCCGCAGCACTATCGGGGTCCCATCGTTGGAGCGGGACCGAAGGGCATCAAGAGCCTCATCGTGGTATTCAAATCCCTCGTTGGCACACTCGTCGCAGAGGAGAAGTGCCTTGTAACTATCGCCAGCAGCCAGGTCGGGGTAGCCCAGCTCTGTGTGCACTTCGGCACGCTCGATGTAGGCGATAAGATCGTAGGGCAGGTGGAGGAGGGCTTTCGTTATGTCTCGGCGCTTCTGCAGCAGGTAGGCGGTTTCTTCCTCCTGGTCGCTGTCCATGGTACCCGTCGGCTATGTCTATGAAATGTTGACATGACATGACTGGAAGGGAAGGGAAGGGAAGGGAAGGAAGAGGAGGGGAAGCTAAAGGGTAGGAGAAAAGTGCAGGTGGTCTGGGAAGAAATATTTAAATTTAAATTTGGGGACGTGGAGCGCACTGCTGCACTGCACCCTCCTTCTCCCTGCCTGCCTGGCCTGGCTGGTCTCTTGGCTGCCCCTCGCGGGCTGGCCCCGGGGCCCGGGCCCCCTGGCGTGCAGTACTAGTAGCACTGTAGCAGTGCCTCGGAGTGCCTAGCAGTTGGTCTCGCTTCGTTGCTTCACCCCACCACCAGCCCAGGCTCCGGAGGATCTGCTCCTATCGAATCAGACGTCCCCGCGCGCTGCAAGTACCCCTCGTTGTTGTTTATCTTTATCTTTATTTTATCTTTTATCTTCGCATTACTCAGTAGAGTTGATGATCCATTTTAAGGGTTTTCAGGGTCTCGTTCTCGTTCTCGTTCTCGTTCTCGTGTGACAGCTAGCGAGTGCGCTGAGATAAGCGGTAAGAGAAAGCTTGCATTGCGCAGTACCGTACCGTAAGTTATCGTACGCACAGTACAATACAGCAGCCGGGGATCTGGAATGGAGGGAAGCGGAGCAGAGCAGAGCATGGCAGAACAGAGCAGACATGCTCGAGTATCAAGTAGGTATCTAACAATAACTAGGAATAGCTCCCATGGAAGCAGAAAAGGAAAGATCCAGGTCCATACAGTACAGTAGCTAAGGTAAGGTAGCTAGGTAGCTGGTGTCGAACCAATGAGCAGTCCCCACGATAGAATATTTCCATTGTGACACCGCACCACATCCACCGAAGCAAGCACCTCCTGTCCTGCTGAAATATGAAACGTCTCGAGTTGTTACAATAAGGAATTACTGCTACTTCTACTTAAGGTAGTGGGGCTCTGCTCTGTTCGTAAGCGATCCAGATCGAAATAGACATCGACTTGAAATTTCCCGACTTGGGGACTTGGCGTACCTACCTTACCTTACCTTACCTTACCTTACCTTACCTTACCTTACCTTACCTTACCTTACCTTACCTTACCTTACCTTACCTTACCTTACCTTACACCCTAGGCACCTCACCCTCTCCTCATCAAAAGTAAATTATCTACTTGGGCAGGTAGGTAATTTACCTACAAGTCTTTCCTATTAGGACGTCCAAACTGCGGATGCGATGCGATGCGATGCGATGCGGTGTGGTACGGTTATTTGATTTGGAATCTAGACCACGATCTGGAGTATGAGTACCACGTCCACGCATCGATGCACGTCCGGCTCTATCAAGTCTGGTCTTACATTCAAATGGGACTGGCGTGAGATTTGAGCTACTGTATCAACACTCTAGCACGCAATCCTTCAGTACCTTACCTTACTTATAATGTTAGTCAAGTTTGGAGCTTGAGAGACTGGAGAGCTTGACCAGAGGCAAGCTCGACCAAATGGCCAGCATTCGCGATCATGGATGGAAGGAAAGTAGGCTAAACTTAACCTAAAGGTCTGAAGGGCTGGCACGCATGATGCTAACTTACTCCGAGGTACTGTACCTGGACATCGTACGACCTACGCTTTTGGACGGTAAATTTAGGATGCAAGATGCTATGCTATGCTATGCTATGCTATCATGAACACTCAAATCGAAGAATCTTGCTTTCAGAATGCACTTCATAGTTCCAGGAGTACAGTAGGTTCAGTTCAGATAACGTTGGTCGATCTTGTTTGGCGTGCACGAAATGTCCAAACTCCAAATCCGACCAGTCAGCATCCAGGAGCTTTGAGTTCGACCACCGCAATCACATGGGAACACAGGACATTATATACAATCATACCCCAAGATATGAACCCAATAGTTCATTTCCTTTCAAATCATCGTGGGACGCTCATCAACCAACTCGGCAAGCTTTCCCGTCGTGGGACTGATCTTGAACCTTTCGACAGCCAAGAACTCAATCTGCAGCGGCGCAATGAGACCTCTTTGGACATGATCCAAGAACATCGGTCGGGCATCATTCAAAGCTGCTGATATGGCTATTTTAGTTGCCTCCTCATCCACTGGCCGAAAACCAACATTCAAGGTCAGCACGTCTCTCATGTTGGCTCTCGAGATTACGGCCTGAAAAGCACTTAAATCTCCAGATGTGTCCAAGGACGAAGCTACAATCTGACGGAGATGCTTGGTGTCGAACGAGACTGGACCAATACGAACGCCGATTATATCCCGACCAAGCACTCTGAAGATTCCTTTCTCATAGTCGACCCATTCGGCGAGATCCCCAGAGGGATATCGGATGACCGGCTGGAGTCGACGACCCATGTTTGTGACCAGAACAGATCCTGGAATGCCGTTGGCTTTAGTCGACGTCAAACCATCCGGTGCAATTTCCAGCATCACATACGGCGACGACACAGCATGCAGTCGACTGTCATTCTCTGATGTTGAGTATCCGAGTGCACCGGCGTCAATACTTCCATAGATCAGCGACCTGATCATGGCCCCTGGGAAAGCATGTGAAACTCTGCTACGTTGGTCTTCGTAGAAGGCCTCCCCAGAGAACATGAGCACACGGATTCCCGGCATTACTTCTTGCCGTTCCAAGAGATACTCGGCGAGCTTGACAAGTGTGGTGACAGTCGAGAAGACGACAGTTGCTGACGACTCCCGCATGTACTGGATGGTAGTTTCTGAGGCACATGATCCACCGATTGGAAGGTGTACCAGCGGAATTGTCAGGTCCATGATGGACAAGACATGCAAGAGAAAGCTCCCGTACATCTCTCCGGCATAAAAGAGATTGGCAACCCGATCATGAGAACGAACGCCTGCCGCAAGTATGCCCAGGCCAAGTTGTTGACTTGCCATGCGAAGTTCGTCTTTCGTGTAAAAAGTCACTTTCGGATGACTTGTCGTCCCTTTTGCAGATCAGTTTGTGATTTTGCATTTCAGATCAAGAGACTTCTCACCACCAGTCTTGAGGACTATTCCGCTTACATGGGGGCCTGTAAGTACTTGGCTATTCATACAAGTGTTGGCAGTCCAGTATGAGGCATGATCAACTACTGGATACTGATCAAGTGAAGCGGATCCGTCAGATGGGACATTTCTCCAGAGTCTTTGATAATATGGAGAATTTGTCCGTACAAAAGACAGGAGATCGTTTAATTCTTGCGGCATCTCGGAATCGAGAAATGTTTCCCCGCCAATGTCGCCCATATTTGCCAATGCTTTGCTGAGATCAGTCTCGCTGGCTACTCTTATATTATCTAGTACAAAGCCACCCTTTAGAATTAGTCAACTCTTGAAACCCATTTTACAAATCATATTCCAATCCATTACATGCTCCTTCTTGACTCATGAAGATACTCTCCAGTGATAAGCATAATTACTTGACAGACCACCTCCTTCTCTTTTTGGTCTTAGATGCATAATAAGCATTAAGCATCTCGTCTCATACAAAAGTATGTTTTCACCGCTTAGAATATAGAAATCTAAGATGAAAAACTATATCGAAAGTATATCTGATGTGTGCTCGAGTCAGCGAACCTTCGTCAAAGTTGACGGCAGACTTTCGTCGTCTTTCCCAATGAATCAGCTTTGCCTTTAAAATTGACACAAGCTTAATGGAATAAGCGCTCGTACCGGTCTTGTCAAGGGGCAAATCGTCAATGTGTGGAAGTCTGATTCTTTGCTAACTACTAGTACCGCCCTCTAAAAGGGTCGGTGCTGACTAAGGCTAAGCTAACGTTCTAATTGGTTGGTTCCCCGTCGGGGTTCCCCTAATATCTCCCCCCCTGGGATGAAAAATGCTCTACTCCTGTAGAGTTAGAATCAGAAAAAGTAATACTGTCTTATGTAGAATCATAATGATGCCCTTTTAAAAACCTTCATCATGTGACTGTTCATCCTCCATCCATTGGTTCCACAGAAGTTGTGCTCCTAATACCAAGTCGCAAGTCCGTTGAATTTTGTGTTTCTCCAGTCAATCTGAGTCTGTAGATGAACCTAAGGTGGGTAGTACCGGCCATTAAATCGCTCCTAGCTGAGGTGTCATTGGAGATGGAACCATTAGTGCCTTTGCTAGTGTGTTCTTGGTAGGAACCGATGGAAGTACAACCTGTACTATGCTCGTTAGTGCCAACAGGGGTTGTGATGTTAATAGGACTGGTGCCGTTGAGGAACTTGGTACGACTGGAGTCGGTGGTAGAAGCGCAGCTGGTGGTACTGTGTTAGGGATAAAGCCCGGAGGAGGAGGGTTGACCTGTTGCTGGCTGTGTGGTACCATTGGTTTTGCCCGAGGGTACTGACAGGGGTCCGATGAAGGAACCATTGTTCCAAATAATCGTCCATTCAGCGTGTTTCCCCAACCTTCCTGATTGACCTTATCCTCGATTGCGTATGTCATCTGTGCGATGGTTCCCGCTCGCTTTACCCCAAAAACTTTACACAAATCCCGTAGAAATGGTGTTCTGTTATCGACTAGGTCGGTGACGCGCCAATTATGGTTCGGTGCCCTGTTCTGTGCTCGCAAGGCTTGTACCGGATTAAACACGAAGTTAGTATAACGTGGTCTCTTAGGTGCCGTGGTGTTCGCTGATAGTGCTCCAGGACTAGTAGTGTCCGTTGCTGGTGCGTCCGGAGTTTTGTCACGACTCCGCTTTGTATATCTCTTTCCTTGCGGAGTAATTGTGGAAGCTGAGGACGAGGGTATAACCTGTGTGTGTGTTGCCTTGGTCTGTAAATCTGGAGGCGATAGGGCTGAACCAGGTGTATAGACGGGAACCTGGGAAAGTAGCGTCTGAGAAGCGTTACCGTCTTTCTTCAAGTCACTCTGAAAAATTGGTCCGCGCTGGGAGAGACGGCCGTGGAACCATGATGTTGTTTCCTCGTCGAAGTTCTCGTTCTCAGCTGGTAATCGGGAAGGAACAGCTTGTTGGAGGACCGGCGGGGAGGATAACGTGTTGAACAAAACAGCAGAGGTTGGGATAGTGAGATCCGAAGCGCTATAAGGAGCCGGATATGGGTCCTTTTGTGGTACTGGAACGTTATAGTCTTGCGCGGAGATATCGAGCTCTGGTGTCAGTGCGCGACGAGATGGAACCGCCGGTGGTACTGTTCCGACAGTCTCGGGTCCAATAGTACACATAACGTCGCTTACGAGTGAGATGACAGATCGGTGAGTAGCATTGATAATTGTGTCTGGTAGGGAATCCAATATAGTGACTGGGTTAGTAACCCCTTCAAGGGAACGTGTGCATTCCGCTGTGACTGCTCGGCTGACTGAAAGTGTTTCGTTGAGCTGGTCTCTAATGTCGAAGATTTTAGTGGAGAAGCCGTCGCTCTGGTTGGTTGCTATAGCATTCAATGCTGTATCAAATCCCTTTAGGACGTCCGTTAACACTGCATGATTCCGTTCGGCGTCGGATACCATAGATACATATGCGCCGTGGAACATCGATGCAGACGTCATTGCCTGTGGGAAAATTTCCCAACTAGGCTTTGTTGAATCATAACCTCTCGCAGGCACTTGGCTCATAATCCGATCGCGCGTGGAACCAAGAGAAACTACAAAACCTTCGTTCTCCTTCCGATCCATGATATCTTCGAGAGCTAAAGCAGCCTGATTGAACGTGTTCTGTACACCTGGCGGCTGGAACGGCTGGAGTTGGCCTACAAATGGTACCTCTTTGTCTTTGTGTTGGTGCTTTAGTGGGTCGCGTGCCGCAAGCCGTTGTTGGCGTCTGACTTCTTGCGGTTCCTGCAGCACTGGTAACAAGGCTGTTCTGCGACAACCGATGCTAGGGATCAACACGAAATAATGGTGGAAATTCATCCACATTTCATGTGTAATATCCGCTTGGGTGAGAGTGCTGCCGCCGTAAATAATGATGTCTTTGTTTGGACAGACAGAGTAGCCAATTCTCCTATCTGGTACCCAGACCCCGTTCTGCGGGTAATCAACTGAAGCCAATCTTGGTCGGAAGGGAACACCGTATGGTACCCGGTCAGAGTACGGGTGACCGTCGTCAGGATTGATGTCTGCGGAGAACCACGCAGCCAGGTCAGGTTGATCAAGGTCAACAAAGGCCGCTCCGAGGTAAGAGTCACTAGGTCGAACACCGGTTGGTAGGAATACTGGACCAGTAGGGCCATCGAACCATATGGAACCGGTGGCAGATGATTTCAATTCCGAGGTACAGGTTTTACTCTCTCCGTCGGATTTATTGATAGGGATCTCGTAGTAAGGCATTGTAACTTGGTGCAGCCCGTAGGGAATGTTGCCGTTAACGTCATTGTTAATGAGAGTGTCCTCGTTTTCGCGGTTCCAGAGACGGAACTGAGCCAGATTTGGCTTATCACGGATGAACCCAACGATATCGTTCGACTTGTAGCGTGTGGCATGGTCGTTACGAGAAACGTCTAGGTGGAGGAACTGGTGCTTCATGTTGTCGTACAATATGGAGATTGATGTTCGTAAAATCAGAGTGGGAAAGGTGAGAGGTGAGGCCGGTGTGTCGGTATTCTGTGGTGGCGCTCCAGCAGAGCTGCTAATCGTTGGAGGTGGTTGCTGACGGTCAGGCTTCCCTCGTTCACCCTTCTTCCTCTTCTTCTTGTCATCTTTCTTCTTTGGTGCCATTATAGCAGTCGTCGATCGTCGATAGTGATAGTAGAGGTGCGAAGTTGATGTTTGAAGATAGTGAGATTGTAAAATTGTTTAGAGAGGAAGATGCGTCGTAATTCAATATCGCTGCAAAGCTCTAAGCGAAAGTAAATAATATGCGATTCACCAAAATAGTTGTCACGTGGACAATTTGCTAACAATACGACAAGGAACGTTCAAACTTATCTACCAAGTTTGGAACGTCTTCTTGTAATATCGCAGCTGGTTCCCATGACGTGGTACAGTATCCGAGGTGTTTAACTTCGTAGTACCATTTTCTGGTGCGGTCACCTGGTTCCTTGCGGAGTTCCTTACAGAGGATTTTCTCAATAGTGTACCGCTCGTTACCTTGATCATCGTGAATAGGTCCAGGCTCTGGCTGTTCCCTCTGGAATGGGTCGTCGACTACCGGTTCTAGGTGTTCAATCGAAATTACCGGGTGTATATCCATCCAGTCGGGCAGGTCGAGTCTGTAAGATAGCGGTCCCAGCTTCTCAATGATCTTATAGGGTCCAGCTTTAATGAATGATAACTTTGTCTGATTTTGCAGAAGTTTGTACCCATGTTCCGTACCTCGGGCCAATTTGATATACACCTCCTGCTCCGGTTCCAGCGACAGTGGCCGTCGGCCCTCGTCGTAGAGAAGCTTCATCCTCCCTTGGGCCAGCTTAATGCTTTCGATCGCTTCCTAGAACAATATTTGGTGATGTTTAATAAATCTCTCTCCCTCTGCTTTAGAGAACGTATCTGGAGCCTCAGGTGCTCCAAGTTCCAGCGATGATTTGACTTTATGTCCGAATCTTAGCTCGTATGGTATAAATCCGGTGGAACTGTTTTCGGATGTATTAAGGACAAATGCAATAGCCGGAACCAAGTCTTCCCAATTGAATTAGTCGAATTTACCGGCGATCGCACACCGCAGTACGTGAATAAACGTTTGATTTGACCGTTCCGATTAACCGTCCGCTTTAGGGTTGTTTGCTATCGTAAAAGCCAGGCTGATATTAGCAAAACCGCAGACGTCTCCCCAAAACCCGCTTATGAAACGACTGTCTCTGTCAGTGATTGTCTTCTCTAGCACTCCCATGTCCGCAAACGCCTCTCTGTAATATGCACTCGCCCACTCTTCTCCGCCCCAATCCTTAGAACCAACGATTACTTTAACCCATTTCGTAAGCTGGTCAGTGATAACTATGACTGCGTCGTATCCCTGCTTAGAAGTCGGGAACCCGGTGACTAGATCCATACAAAAGGTGCTCTGCTATCGTGGCGGAGGGGCCACTGGCATAAGTTCCCCGTTCGGAAGGGTTCTCCCAGGCTTTACTAATTTACAAATCGGACAAGCAGTAACATAGCTCTTGATAGTGCGCCACATCTTCTTCATAAACACCTTGTCTCGTAAATAATCGTACGTTCGATAAGAACCAACGTGAGCCCGGTCGTCATGCGCAATTCCGAGTACCCTTGGAACCAGCTTATCAGGTATACATATGCGTTCCGTCTCGTCCGGATCCCGAAAGAACAGTAGCTTGGTTCTAGGGTCGAAGCGGAAAGACTTAAACGTCGAGATTCTAGCGCTCCGAGGTGACTTTTGATATGTTGATCTCATTTTCCTGTACACTGTTCCAAATGTCCTATCAGTCGGCAGTTGGCGTACTAAGGCGGCGATGAATTGTTTGTCCATATGTGCGGAGATAGAATAGATAGAACCTTCGTCGGTTCCAGTAACTGAAAGGCAACAAACTGTAAGAACTGAAACATCTCCCTTCTCTAACTCCCGTAGTATACTGGAATACCTCGGAACCGGTTCTGGTTCCTTACAGTGTAGACGACTCAGCGCGTCCGCATTGAGATGTATTTTCCCGGCTCGGTGAATAATGTTCATCTTATAGGCGTACTTAGCTAAAAACAGGAACCAGTTATTAAGTCGATTACTTTTTCATCAGGGGCGGTCGTTAAAGTAAGATAAAATAGCCTGGTAGTCTGTGTAGACTGTGAACTCAGTGCCGTCCAAGTATTACGGTAACTTTTCCAACGCCCATACTAATACACCTGTCTCCAGTTCCGTGGGCCAGTAATTCTTTTCCGCTGAAGATAGTGATTTCGATAGGAACAAGACGGGTCGTTCCACACCGTCTGCATCCAGCTGGTGCAGTGCAGCCCCGTACCCATGCTCCTTGGAACCGTCGACATATAAGATGAAAGGTCGGTCAAAGTTTAGGAACATCAATGTTAGTGCCGATGTGAGGTTATCTTTCAATATTCGGAACACCACTTTGTATCGACTTATAAGTTCCTCCATGTTACGCGAGGCCAGCGCAGTCCTAGTAGCGATGTTCTTAGCTCTCCGGTGACGTGGAATCTTAGCGTAATACGGAGCGTCCTCAACTGTTAGAAGTGGTATTAGCGTAGCGTCGGCGAAGTTAGCTCTCTTCTTACCCTCCCTCGGGGCGTTCTTAAATCCTAATATCTTGAGTTCCACGAGTGGCGTCGAAATCGCTACGTAATACGGAACAAATTTACAATAGTAACCGAAGAAGCCGAGTATCTTTTCCAGTTAGGCGAGTGTCTTGGGAAAGTCCAAATCCTGAACCGCTTCAATCTTCTCGTCTAGAGTGCTCAACCCGAGTCTCGAAACTTTATGCCCTAAAGCCTGAACCGATAGTTATGCGAAATAGCATTTAGCTAGTGCCAAGGTTACGCCCGCATTTTCCAGAAGACTTAGCGCCGTGTTAAGGTCGTCGATATGTTGTTCCGGCGTAGTAGAGAAGATAATCACGTCGTCGATATAGACTACTACGAATTTCCAAAGGTACTGCCGGAATAGCTTTTCCATACATGCTTGGAAGAAGGCTGGTGTCGTCGCTAAACCTATTGTGGCTACTATAAGCATCTCATGGCCGCGGTGCGCTGTAACCAGCGCTGTCTTCCAATAATCTTCCGGTGCCAGTGGCTGCTAGAAGAAGGATTTAGTCATATCAACGCTTGAAAATACTGTTGCACCACCTATAGCTGATAATATATCGTCAGCCTTTAGTAACGGATACGCGTTAAGCTGAAGCTTAGTATTAACCTTACGGAGGTCAACTACTACTCGTGGCTTTCCGTTCCGGTATACAACAAAGGCTGGCGCTGCCGCTGGCGATGGTTGATCTAGTGGAACTGGAATCAACGATCCGTCGGCTCTCATGGGATCCAGGATCTTGTCCATTTCTTATCGGTCCCGCTTTGATTAAGGGAATAGCGCTTGTCGTAAGTCATTGATTTCTACTCCTTCTTTGAATAGAACTGGCATGTTAATCCCGTCGTTGAATCGTCCTAGCTCAGCGCGGAAAAGATTAGCGTGTTTATCAAGCACGGCCCGAATTCGAGCCTTGATATCCGGTCCGAAGGCGTCGGAGATGTTTGGTTCCATCCCTGGTTCGTCTAGTAACGGGCGAATAAGGAACGGCGCTCCGGCATAGTGGTGGTCTTCCGGTTCCTCTTCAACCCACGGCTGACCCTCATAGATTCCTGCTAAATTTAGTAAGACGGGAAACTCCTCTGTCTTCGGCGGACTTTCTTCCAGCACGCCTAGTACCATGCCCCTACGTAGCCGTATTGGGGCGTCTCCGAAATTCGCGAAAGGAAGAGGCATTGGTTTCCCAGAGGTGACTGAATTTACAACAGAACCAAATTTCCCTAAGGCTAAGTCTGCCTGTGCATGTGGTAACATCACGTATCCGTCCTGTCGTGGAGGTAAAAGACGATACGTGACTGGTAAGTTCACCCCTGTTCCTGGCATTACTACAGTTGTATTCAACAGATAGATATTAGTACGTTTAGGAACAGGTCGTGTGTTCTGCTGATTTCGAGTAATACGCAGGAAAATGCAGTCATCTGTGCCTGCCCGTTGTAGGCGATGAGGGCGGCCGTTGGTTCCCCAGCGGAAATCGAGGTTATTCTCAGCGAAGAAGTCTAGTCCGAGAAGGATTCCGCCTGGAATTTTAGGAACCACGTAAAAACGATATGCTGGGAACTGTAACTTCTTTTTGCCTGAAATTGTTTGACAGGAGACTGGGATTTCTACGAAGTCCGAAATAGTAGGGCCGGAACCAATACCTGTGAGGCCGACTTATAAGCCGTCGTAGCGATGGTGTAACTGAGCTGATGGGAAATGTTCCAGTAGGCTAGGCTTATCTATAAGCCCGATTGGCGAAGCCGTGTCCGCTGCTGATTCGACTAGGGAACTATTTTCGGTAAAAATCAAAATACGGGCGTAGGTATGCGCCGTAAAAGAGGATCCGTTTATTAGCACTGCAATTGAATCATCTCCTTGAGGAGCTAGAGTTACTTGCGATAGATGCAGTTCCGGGGGTGCCGGAAGAACTGATTCTGGTGCTCGAGTTGTAGCTGTCTCGTCAGGAACACAAGTTAATGTCATAGCGTCACTTAATTCGTCACCGCTTAGAACGAGTATAAAGTCGTCTTCTGGAACGTCTTCACATGTTAGAGATTAGTAATCATATGTTTTTAGTACACCCTTAGGCGCTAGTAATTTATCTGTAGAAGGTAAAACTGATATAACTTTCTCGAATAACGACGCAAGTGTAGTCTTTTGTAGACTTGGTACTGCTGGTAATGTTGTAAGAGATGGAACTGATGTTTCGAGTGGTGGAACAGATAAAGATGGTGTATCCGATACCAAAACGGGGGAGTAAGAATAAGGGTGTGGCAAGGGATTCCCCCCTAATCCTCGCTCTCCCCCTTTCCCGACTCAGGTGCCGGTGAAGGGCTGAGAGTCAAAGGAGACTCGCGACCATCTGATTCGTATCTGTACGCGTCTGGTGTTGTAATAAAACATCCTATTGTGCTCGGAAAGGGTCCTACGTCCTGATAGAAGCCGTTGTAATAATTAAGCATCACTGGAACAGGCGCGGGAGCGTAGTATTACTGACGGCCTTGTTGCTAGTTCCCGTCTGTCCTACGTCCCGCCGGTGCAGAGGCTGGAACCAAGGTAGTCGAGTCCTTTCCTTTATTAGCGTCTTTGTCTTAGCGCTGCTTACGTCTGTACTCAGCATATTCCGCTAGTGGCATCCAGGGTCGCGAGTATTAAGGCTGTACCATTGGTGGCGTAGTGGTAGGGTACGAGTTGACAGCTGTAGGAACCCAAACCGCAGTACTCTGATTCTGACGACCACGGTTATCATTACGAGAGTCTCGTTCCCTCCTAGCTGCTGACGATGAGGTAAGGAGCTTTCGCATTTCCTCAATTTAGTTACTTTGTTCGTCGAGACGATGCTGAGTCTAGAAGTAAGCTTCTCGAGCTTAGTTCTCGATATTAGCTACCTTAGCGCGGAACTCGTTGACTGTGTTGAACCCGTCCTTAAGTGGTACCCCTGCTGCAAGGCTAGGATCCAGAGCCTGGTGCATGCGGCGAACGATCAAATCTTGATTAGTCTCGCCAGCTTCAATATACAGCGAGTATTTTTGATCGAGGAACTTACGTAGAGGGAGTTCCTTCTCAGCCTTAAAAGAGTGTTTCAGGGCGTCGGCTTTCCGAACAGCCTCGCTTGCGTTTATGTGGAACTGGCGTAAGAGTTGAACCTTCCATTCGTCGATGCTATTGGTCATCAAGCTTATAACCTCTGGTGCCAATGTTCCGAGCCAAATACCAGCTTCTTCCTTCATACATAAGGGAAGAACTTCTGTAACCGCCTCTTCGCCGTACTGAGCGACCAACATATTCAAGATAGCAATGTAGCTGGTGACAGGCATATTGGAACCGTCGAAAAGACCCACATCTGTAGCTCGGAGACGGCGGTAGTAGTCGTTAACCCTATGTGATCTTGTGCTTCCACCTCGGTTCCGAGCTGACGAGTGTGAAGGCGGATCCGAATCATTATCGTCATCACCGTCTTCAGGGTGCCCATCTGCAGCTCTTCGGAACTGGCGAGTATTCCGCTGATTGCTATTACAAGGGCCTTCTCAGTAGACGAATTAAGGATCGTGGTGTTGAAGATTCGGGTCTAGCGGTGCGGTTCCTCGCGGAACGTCTCGGAACAGTGTACTTAATGAGCAAGTAGAACGAATTAACATCTCCTCGTCAGGGGGGCCAGCTTTAAATCTAGCCATAAATTGAACAAAGGTATCTGCTGATGATATAGCTAGCGTAGCTAGAAAGCCTAAGGCTCGAATAGCTAAGTCCTTCATGTCTGACAGAGTCGCTGGTTCCAGGTTCCGGCATAGAGACTTCGCTTGTCTCAGGTCCGCAGGTGTAAGTAATTCGGCGAGGTGTGGGAACCCTCCATCCTCGATGTCCTCGTGTAGTGCTACAATGAAAACCGCGTCCTTCTTCCACTGTTCCTTGGAATAGCCTGGGCTGCCGGCCATACTGATTGCTAGTTCTCGGAAAGTTACTGGTGGTCGAAAGGTAGGTTCCGACTGATGTGGCAGTTCTTGGCGTGAGGGAACCGCTGAGTCAATAGGTTCGGTTCCAAGTGCCGGTGTAATTGAGAGGTGCGATGTTGTATCCGACCGAGAGGGTGAAAGGTGCTAGCGGCCGGAGGACGAGCTGCTGGTACCAGTCACTTCCTCGCTTGGGAATGCTTAGTCTCTGAGCTGTTCTAGTTCTGAAGGCAATGAAGCAGTTCAGCGTCTTCGATGGCCAATGACTGTAATAGGCGACGTTTGCTCGTTATTCCGTACCCGGTTTAGTGTTAAAAAGGGGCTCGGCTTTGGTGAGCCGAGGCTGTCTGATTGTTCCGGAATTGGTGATACAACCGGTTCTGAGATCCTGGCTCGTCTTGTTCCAGTTTCTTTCTGTTTACTCGGAAGTAGTTCCTCTAATTAAGGCGTTACCGAAGCAAATCTCCCTCTCGTGTCTCTTAGCAGGTAGTGTCGATTGCTCCTACCCCTTGTGAAGCCGTTGGAACTGCCTCTGTCGCAGCGGTGCATAGGAACTCTGGAACCACCCCAATGCTTAAGATGTTCCGCTTCCTTGGTCCGTGTCTTATGAGGAGAAGGTGGTGTTATACTTGTTCAGAGGGTGGGAAGCGTCTGGTGCCAGTGGGCGACAGTGGATGACGTTAGTCCCGTTGATGGTTATGAGTCCCGTGTAGCTGAGAGAAGTTGCGAAATTCTGCGAACCTCTAGTTCCAGGTGTCATAGAGGGTTTTTTGAAAGTTGATTCGGTGTTTAATAACTTTTTTAGAGACTTTCCAGACACCTCAGAATTGCTACCAAGTGTCAAGGGGCAAATCGTCAATGTGTGGAAGTCTGATTCTTTGCTAACTACTGGTACCGCCCTCTAAAAGGGTCGGTGCTGACTAAGGCTAAGCTAACGTTCTAATTGGTTGGTTCCCCGTCGGGGTTCCCCTAATAGGTCTCCCTCTCGTTCAAAGTAGCGGAGGGCACATTGGACAGCCATAATAAAGCGTATGGATTGCGAAGCAACGATTTTGTTTCGTCCATTGTTCCCCATGAGCATTGTTTCCCACCAGCACTTCCGTCCCAGGCGAGACAGGATCACCAGGACCACCCAGCTGAAGATGGCCACGGTGGAGGTTAGTCCGGTCCACCTTTCCACCTCAGGAAACTTAATTTCAACCGTCCCTGGACCCGCTCTCGTATCCATGAATCTTTCCGTTTGAGGCTGTTCTGAACCGCGACAAGAACTTTACTACCGCCCTTTTCACGAATCATTACACATTACACATTTTAACCAACCTTCCGAACCTTCGGACTCTTCCTCCTGACTTTGGCCGAAAAAGAGCGTTTGAGGTCAAAACCAGGACGGTTCGGCTACAGTACCATCAGGTGCAGCCATGAATAGTATAGAATATGCAAGGAAGTTTCGAGGAAACTATCAAGAATCGATGCGAAGTAAGTCCAGACGGTATTCCAACCCTTCGCTAAACGTTCGGTTTTGGCAAATGAACATATTAAACACTCTAATTCGATCATAGCAATATACCTCAGAAGCAGAATGCCTGAAACTCGGCTTGAATCAACATAAGCAGATGGCAGGACATATTTCCAGGAGCTAGTATATGGTCTCGTCAGGACCATCCTGACTAAAAGTGGACCATGTAACCCGCTGTTGTGGAGATATGACACTCCATTCCGCAACAAGAAGTCGAAAAGAGTTTGTAGACCAGCCCCTCCATCGACCATTATGTAGTCGGGGGAAGATTCGAGCAGCTTCAAGCAGCCAATGTCATGAATCGCCCTTGTGGACCTGTACGTTTCCCCTCATCTCTGAATCCACAATGATCTGGCTTCGATTCGCGGTAGTTACGAGTAATATGTGAAATATGTGTTGCCTTGCCGTACATTAAAGATACAGGTCGCCCCAAGTACGTATCAGTCTTCTCTCCAACATATTCTCTTGATTACTCTCCACTCCACCATCTTTAGCTATACTCCACAATTAAGTGTTGACCATGTCGTGGCCAGTATACTATACGGCAGCAGCCGTGCTACTGTTTCTACTTGTTGCTCAGAAAGCAAGGGCCGTGTTCATAGCTGCTCGCTCTCCACTTTCCAAGATCCCCGGACCGTAAGTAATTCTACCAGTTCCTCGACAAATTGCTCTAACGTTGCACAGATGGTATGCATCATGGACTACCATGCATCTACGATATGGCTGTAAGTTCTCTTGCAATCCTGCAACACTGCACCTCAGGCTAATTCAATGGAACAGTTGCAACAGGCAAGGTCTGGAAACTCGCAGAATCTTCTCACAAGAAATACGGATCAATCGTCCGCCTCGGCCCACGCCAGGTTTGGATATCAGACAAGGAAAGCATGAAGAAGATTCTTGTCTCTGTCGACTTGCCCAAAGTAGCTATGTACGCTGAGATCTCGCGTGACCGATATAATCCAGGCTTGTTTGGTGAAATGTAAGTAATTGAATTCGCTCCAAACCACTCAATGGTACCGATACTGATATGCTACAATGCTAGTCGACCAGAACCTCACCGCAGACTAAAGAAGTTTCTCTCCCCCGCATTCACAGTTGCCTACATCGACAAACTCGAGGTGCTATTCGACCAATGTGTGCGAGATCTCCTACAGAAATACCAGTCAGCCTTAGACGAGGCCAAGACAGAGGATGTGAAGCGTCCAGCTATCGAAACTGATTTCATGGAGGATTTGCACAACGTTGCTCTCGACATGTAGGCTCATCCCTACCGAACTCATCATACGAGATGCTTACATAACTCTAGTATGGGCGAGTGCTCCTTTGGCAAAGGCTTCGGGCAAACAAATCCAAAGAAAGAAGCAGTCATCGGCGTTGAAGAAAAGATCTGGAAGTCCATTCCCAGAGCCATCTTTGATGGCCTTGCCAAACGCTACCAAAATGTCTACTTCAAGCGCTTCTTCCGTGCCTTCGGTATCAACGTCGAAATGGACTGGCCTGCTCAGATGATCGTCGCCATTGACAAGCTTGTCCAACGACGGAAGGACGTCGACGTTGAGAAGAAAAGACCAGATCTTTTGCAACATCTTATTGACGAAGGCAAGAACCCTAGCAATGAGACGAAAATGTCTACCCGCCAGATTGTGGACCAGATGTCCGAGATTCTGCTTGCCGGGTCTGAGACCACATCTGGAACCATCGCCTGTCTCTTCCTCGAGATCGCTCGCAACCCGGAGGTCAAGAAGAAGTTGTTGGCCAGTCTCCCAGTCCGAAACATTCACGATCCGATTATCGACAGCAGAGAGATCAGAAACGCTCACACCTATCGGTATCTAAATGCGTGTATCAAGGAGAACTTGAGACTGCATCCCATTGCGAGTGAGATGGGCCGCAGAACCGGTAAAGAATGGGTAACGTTGATGGGCTACGACTTGCCACCGCATACTGTCGTGAGCGCAAGCTATAGAGAGCTGCACAGAAATGGAGAGTTTTGGCCACAGCCATTGAGATTCTGGCCTGAGCGATGGCTTGAGGGAGATGAGATGGAGGGTGCGCCGGAGCCGGAGTAAGTCCCTTTCCCCTGTTTACCTCGCCAGTACTAAGCGATACAGCATGGCAGCATACTATCCATTCTCTGGAGGTAAACACTCTTGCATTGGCATCAAGTAAGTTTCACTCCATTCTATCAACTCAATCTTATTGCGACAATCGACTGACCATCAACAGCTTTGCTTGGGCTGAGATGCGCATGGTGGCTGCAAACTTCCTGTCCAGATTTGACATCGATGAGGTTCCAGGCCAGGATATAGACTTCAGACAGTTTATCACCATGCAATTCGCAACTGGAAACTGGAAGACCATCATCAGACAGAGATCTGAGGATAATTAGAGAGATCTGAGAATAAGTAGAGAGAATCTGGAGGGAAACAAGGGAGATTGGACATCTGGGCATAGGAAGGCGTTTTTGTATAGAAGGCTCCACTTGGAGGAAGATCGAAAACTGTAGAAAGCAATATTCTAGGGAGATTTCCTAGTACGTTACCAACATCGTTTTGCAAATTATAAAGTATGAATTCCATGTTTGCCAAGCGGGAGTTCTCAAAGTGATCGAGCCTTTGATAAAATCATTGATTCATTAGAGTCTACCGAGATCTCCAAATTGCTCCCGCTGGGGTATCCGTATCGTCGTCCAAGATGTCATCATTCATACTCTTAATCCACTCGACCTCCATTCGCATGGCATCTCGCTCAATTTGCGCCATGGCACTTAACTCAGCCAGCATGCCCCTCACCAGACTCCGAGTTCCGTTGACCACGGTGCTCAAACTCGACCCTTTATCATCTGGCGTACCCAGATCCCTCAATTGATCTCTCCATGTCTCCAGCTTCCTACCCAACCCTAAACAGTCATCCTTCCATCCCCTGTCCAGCTCCTCCAGAAATACAACTTCGTCCCCGTCCAACCCCTCGTCGTTAGCCCTCATCTCCAAAATATCTTGACATCGCCGAAACCACCTCTCAAATTTCCTCACTACCCTCGAGTACTTCCCACCAGACTCGCCTAGATTCCAAACCCCCGTAACAACCTCGTCAAGGACCTGAACCTTCTCATCAAGTCCCCAACCGGGCGTCCCCATATCCTGCCATTTCTTCAACGCCAATGCATTGATCTTGCCGGTCTCCTCGACTTCCAGTTGTACCAATTCATGGTTCTTGTCAATTATGGAATGGAACCGACCTCCGAGTTTCCTCTTCGCGCTAGCTTTCCATTGCTTCTCTACCTGAGTTGCATCTCTATGCAATAAATGCAACTGGAGCAATTCATTCTGCAATTTTGAAGTTTCTGCTGATATCGCTATATTCGAGGGGAGTTTGCTGGGGGAAGGAGGGGCTAAGAAGGCTGCTGGATGTGGTTTCGGCGCAAGATTTTTGGCGGGAGAGAAATGCTGCTGGTATGTAGAGAAAGCCTGTTTTCTCAATTGAGGCTCGGCAGTTGGGGGCTGTAATTTGGGTATTTCGACGGAGTTTCGTTTGGACGGTTGGAGGGCGGTGGACGAGTTTAGGAGGGTCGAGGAGGACCTCGTGCGGGTATGGCTGGAGACATTTCCTCCATGGCCTATTGAACTTGCAGCACTTGTAGAGAAGGAGCTTGTAGAGGCGTTTCGAAGATGGCGAGACGTAACAACTGGAGGTCTTGACCGGTCTTTCTTGACTGGCTCTAATTCTGGCGCCGCGGGGGCATTTGTACGGCGATTCGAAGTCGATCTTTGTAGTCCGCTTGTCGAAGTGGGTTTACTTATATTTGCCCGCGGTGGAGGAGGGCGCATAGAGGCATTGCTTGCAATGCTTCCTGTGGCACTCGGTGGGCGTGATGTTGTTGATATGCTTCTAGCATTGCGCGTCGGCGGTTTCACAGGCAATCGACTTGGAGATTGACTGGTGCGCTCTGGCCGCGCTGTAGATAGTTCAGGGACATCTGAGGTATGTGAGCGATCATTTCTGGACCCGGATTCTGAAGGTTTGCGCAGCGATCGGGTTCTCGAGGGAATGGCGGACATGATGCTTTGTTGATGTTGGAATCGGACAATCGGTGCAATCGTGCGGGCGGGTTCTAGTGGATTTGGCGGCCAGTTCATGGGTCTCGGGATCCTTGGAGGTGCTTCTCGGCTCTGGCAGCAACACTCTTCGGTTTCTTCCTTTGGCAACTTCTGAAAACCATAACATACTCACAGATTTCTAATCACAACTTGGAGTCCATTACGAACTCCAAGAGATATCTTTATAATCAAATTCCTGCGACTATATATGATACATGCCAGGGATGCCGCCTAAACAGTATGTTTTCGATGCATGATTCACGACCCCGCTTGAGCATCTCAAAGTGACGACGATACAGGTCCATCCAGAAATGGACAGTATCGTGGTCTCCAGCTGCAAAATAAACGCGCAGTGATGAGGTCAATTAAATTTTGCAATTCAGTTCTTGGCTTATTCCAGCATTGAAGTGTCCCTTTCCTTCCTAATGTCCTCTGTTCTTCTCGACTTGAAATGATAGTCTAATGGCGCTTCGAGGTTGGTACTTTTCATGATTCTCACTCATGCTTTCTGGAAGAAGTCCAACCCCCATAAGTATTAGCAAGGCGCAGACCTGTCTTTACTATCGTAGTCTTTCGTGTGGCAGGAGTATTCACTCAGATCAATTTGACTATGCTTCAAATGCTTCTTCAGGTCTTCTATTCAAGTGCAGCGGGCCTCTCTGGTTCGGAGAATGTGTCTATTACTGTCTTGCTCTCCTTTGTCCAGACATGAAATTGTCCTCGCATGGCAACATGTTTTGGCATACTTTTGAACATCTTAGACGAGTTATGTGGAGCAAATAATGATGTAATGGACATGAATATTATTTATTAAACCTTCTTCAAGTGCGTTTTCATAATTGACTTTTGACGGGTGGTCGCAGAGCGTGATTGGTGAGTAGCCGACTGCAGAAAGTGTAGTAGATCCCCAAGGAGAAGGTTGTAAGGAGCTGATTGATATCTCCTAGGAGACAGACGAACCTTGAACACTGCCATGGCCTCTAATTTTAATACATATTGGCCCTTGTGTCCTTTGGAGACTTCAGTTGCTGGTGCTGTGCCCCTATTTCGTCGCTTGGTTAGCGCAGCCACTTCGGCTAGCTCGAGTAAATAGTGACGATCACAACACAAGACAAAGCTCAAGACTGGGCTAAAGGCTTAGAATCTTTGCAGTTCTGTTCACCATCAAGCCTGATGTCGTCTAGTCTATCATCTTAACAAACGCCATCCCATCTAACACCTGATTGTAACGTCAAGTCTAGCCTTGAGGTCAAATGTTCTATGTACAAATTTCATCCACGCATGAACTACCCATTCTCCATCCTTTGTCCAGAGGTATCATGCCGTCTTCTATGTGCAGGACATTTTGCAGTCGTCAGTCCATAACGCCATTCCGTACCTATCCCTCGCCCCGTGCTAAATTCCCATACCAGCCCAATGTGCCTGTCAAACCATAGTGCTTGTCCACGCTCCCAATGTGTGTTCTCATTTTCCAATCCTTTCCAAAGCCAGCCGTAGATCCTTTCCTGGCACTGAATCCAGAACTCGGATGCAACTTCCACAGGCACTCAGGCAGCACCACGCACACCTCCATCGCTTTTCGGTATCCCGTCGCTCGCAAACCATGCAAGCTGTAGGGCACACTTTGTTGTTGCAACCCCTCATAAGCTTATGCGATTGGTAGCAATCCAAATGCACCAAATCTAGCTCTGGGCATGGGAAGATTGTACCATACGCAGCCGGACTTCGAATTGTTGGGAAGTATGCGGCATGAGAGGCTGGAGAGGGTAGGGCCAAGGGCGAAGTCTTGCCAGACAATGGTTGAGGTGCAAGCGCATCGCTGCCGTCCCGAGTGTGAGCTGAGAGCTTGAAAGGAGGATCATTCTCTTGTGTAGGTGTATGAGGGGCCACAATTTCTCGAGCAACGATTGTGGCATCACTACTCCCATGGCTTACAGCGAGACTGCGAGACTCAGACTTGCGCGGGACAAGAGGGGGTTTGTCGTCCGGCGGGGTGAACGGCGAGACGGGCGAGAGTATACTGGGCGTTATAGGCTGCTGTTTGTCCGCCTTGAGGTACTCTGGCGTAGGGAGACGCTGAATAGACTCATACGGCTTAGGAGCTGAGGCTGGGTCTTCATCGTTGGAATCCTCCCTCGAACCCTTCGTCTTCAGCTTCGCGAGCTTGTTCCCCATCAATGCCTGTGGAGCTGGTCGAGCAGGCACAGGTCTCCGTGCTGTGATACTTTTTGGTGGAGGAGCTCGATCTGTGGTTTGCTCCTGCCGTCTGGGAGGACTCGCTGTTGAGCCGTTCGACTTTGATAATATCAAATCAGGGAAAGCGATGCTGCGGTCGCTCTTTCCCGAGCGCCTCCGCCAAATCTCGGTCGGTTGGACAGCGTTATCAAAACTCGAAATTGAATTTGACGAGGCTTTATGTTTTTGCGAATCCGCTTTCTCATCTGAATTTTGGCGGTCTTTGCCTTTCGGTGGTAGAGGCGGCGTTGGCCCGTCCTCTGGTGAATCAACACCACTCGGAGAATCTTTCGTGCTGCTGCTACCCGACAAACTCCGTGAGACTCCTGGGGAGTCAGAATACATGGAAGAGACGCTGGCGGTCGATGCTGTTCTGGCAGGCTTCTCGCTCTTCACATCCCCACCAGCCCCGCTGCCTACAGGTCGTCGTGGAATCGCCATGGAGGGCTTTGCTGCGTCCCTCGGCAAAGGTGGCAACTCTGTTCTGAAAGACCTCGGAGTCAATGCTACTGGCGACTTTTCTGCTTGATTTGAAGCCTCTCCTGGCGGCACGGGTAATACTTTCGAGAATCTTGAACGGCCTCTGCCTGGTGTGGATGGAAAAGTCGAGAACATTTTCGATCTGGCCAGCAACAGCTGGCATGGGCACAGATAAGTACTGAATCGTTCTCGGGATTTTGCAAATCACTCAGTCAAGGCCCACAACCCCAGGTCCACAGTACACTATCCACCAGAACTCTGTTACGGGCCATTCTGGATTTGCGATGTTTTAAGAGGATTCAACTCAAGGGCATCCCAGCTCGCCTAGCACGCTGAAACACCACGAAGAATTGGTGGATTATGGGAGGACATCCGAAGGAGCCAGACGGCGAATCAAAGCCTCTTCTGTCGCCGGGAGCCCAGCTGCTGACATTTATGCATCTGAAGTCCAGCCTGCTTATTTGTTCCGGGAGATCATGCTGCCCCACTCGCAATGAAAAATAGGCATGAGGAAACAAAATTACAACGGAATCTGCCTTCGACATAACAGCCGGCGAGGTAGATTGTGATAACTATGTCGACACAGACGAGGACAAGTCGCATCAGTATCAATGGCGAGGAAGGTCGTAGGACTTGGGCGATGGTGTCATTGCGATACGAAAACTAGTCAGGGGCTGACGATCATCTTGCGACTGCATCGTCCAGACAGGCCGTGACCACTGCGAGATCTTCGCAGGGAATATGTTTCCAACCATGATCAGACCTTTTCGTCCCAAGGACTGAGCCGATTTGCCCCGGCATATATACTACGCGGAGATCATGCGTTTACAGTAAGAATAGATTGGCTTAGTCAACTTGAACGACCACACGAGAGTTTCGAAAATACAGAAGATATCAATTGCAAACGACCGACGACGAAAAATTTGTTTGGGTATCAGACAATAACCTTGGCATTTGTCCAACCCTGCGTCCTGCTGCCCAGCTTCTTGCAAAACTACAGACAACCAGTAAGTTGATGTGCGACCTCGGAAGGTTCGGTAAAAAGCATTTCAAATTGGAAAAAATTGTCCAGGCGTGCTCCAGTAATATATGTGTTCGCCAAGTAGCGCTGTTTCTCCCAGACATCTCATTTCATGCGTTTCCTTTTCCTATCCACTCACCATCCTTGTCTAGTAGGAGAATTTCTCCCCTACCAACTTTTCGCTAAGCTCCCATAGCTTGTCAACATTCTCCTTTCCTTGAGCATAATTTTGAAGAACAGGTCGTACAACACAATCTTGAAGAAAAGCGCCAGATTGATCTATACTACAGTTAGTACATCTTATCTCTGTATGAAAAGTCTGGGCAGACAAATTCAAAAGCAAAAACACCTACCAGCAATGGAAGGATCAAGTGCAGCAACTAAAGATGTTGCACACCCTTCCTGCAGCGTCTTCGGCGCCTCCATCTTCGTGGGATCGCCACCAGTCGAGGCTTCAAGAGCTTTCATAACTACTCCCCACATATCTGGTGTTAGGTGAGTGGAAAGATTGGATTCCGTGACAACTAAGTTAGGTCAGCATACATCCGCACTTTGAGTTGATGGAAGAGGCGTACGGCCCGGCTGTAGAGCAAATGACTGAATGCCTCTACTTCTCAACCTATCGGCAAGGCCAGCTGCAAAAAGTACATTTGCGGTCTTGGATTGCGCATATGCTGCCCAGCAATCATAGTTTTTGCCATTCTAAACAGCAGTAAACTTCAGTATTCGAATCTTACATCGAGGGATATACCAAGATCTTACATTGTAATTGACATCCTCAAAATTCACACCTCCCATCTCGAATCCCGTGCTAGAAACATTGATAATTCGACTTCCCTCCCCAGCCGCCAAGATCTTCGGCATGATCAAATTCGTCAGTAAGAAATGCCCAAGGTGGTTACTGGCGAATTGCATTTCAACACCCTCCTTGGAAGTCTGGTAGGTAGGAACAGCCATGACGCCAGCTGTATTGAAGACGTAGTCGATCTCTGGGAAGGCAGCGTTTATCTCAGCGGCAGCGGCACGGATTGAGGCTTGAGAAGCTAGGTCGCAGGTGATGAACTTGGTGGTGATGGATGGGTTCAAGGAGGAGATTTTGGAGATGACGGGGAGGACTTTGGACTCTGTCCGCCCGACGAGGATCATGGTTGAGGGGTTGGCAGTTGCGAGAGAGAGTGCAGTTTCTGCACCGATTGAACCATTGCTTGGACCGGTAATTAGGACTGAGGGATTGTTAGTACTTGTTACAGACGGATCGAAGGCTTGATTAACCTGTTTTGCCGGCAACAGAAGCAGCAAAAGTAGCTACGACCTCATTGCCAGTGGTCTTCTTATTAAATGAAGTCATAGCGATTGGTGTTTTGGGTGGCTGGTATGCTTGATAACCTGAGGTGTGGCAAGTCAAAGTCAGGAACTTCTGCAGAGAACTTTATTGGTTGAAATTTATCGAAGGGTTGAAGTGATGGGTTGTGATGTGCTGAGGAGCAATAGAATCCAGACGGGAACGACTGTACTTATACATCTTGAATTGTCCAGCGTCATAGTGAGCAAGCCATGAATGAGGAAGAGTATGCACCATAATATCCACACGCAACGAAGTTGAAGCGAGCGCAGCAATTTCCTGAATATGGCCGTAAGCTTGCTTTCCCGAAGCATCGGAGTTACTCGTTAGAATGTGCCTCTGAAGCAACATAAGGATATCAAGACTCCAGGAGCTGGTTCTTGGTGTAAGATCATTGGTCTCCTCGTCTGCAGGTCAATATATTTTGGTGGGGATTCGGGCTACCGCTATCTCCGAACGCAGCTGCAGCAAGCTGACACTGATACATTTGGCAAGAAACAGGGCTGATTTAGTGCCATTCATTCCGGACGCTAATGCGCGACTTGTGATTCGGTCAGAGCTGCAAGCCGGTCAGCATAATGCTTGTCACGTCGACATCTCGAAGGAATTTGAAGTCATGAAAAGCTAAGTCACAGCCTCACGGCCAGGGTCATTTGGACGAAGAAGCAAAACAGCGGTAACATTAAAGCTCAGAATTTTCCCTCTCTGTTGTAAATATATCTTCATTCACATAAGACACATTAAACAAAGCTATGGTTATTTGACCAAATTTGACCAACTGCAGAACGACGGGAACAGAAGATCGAAAAGTAAGGAAATAGCTACTCATTCCGCGAGAAGAAAAACTGTTGAAAGCAACGGCAAGAAATTCTGCTTAAGAAATCGAAGTCATAGCCAACAGATTCACGATTTACTGCACCGTACCCTTCGTGTCCTCCTCGGTATACTCGTCGTGTCGCTTCCAATGGTTCATCTTGGTGTCCTGTCTACCAAGCGGGGTGAAGTCAAGTAAGGCGTAAGTCGATAGAATAGGGTCAAGACCTCTCGAATATGTCGAGTACGAGTGGAAAACGTCGTCAGACTCCTTGAGGAAGACACTCAAGCCTGGACGCTCGCCCTTCTCAGGTTTTGAGGTTTTCGTGTACTTTTCATCTGTTAACGACGAGTTGTTTACAAATTGAGAGACGCGAACGTACATTGTATTCTACAGGTACAATAGACTCATCGAGAGTCACATGGAAGTCATAATTAAAGTCTGAATCAAAGGAGGAGCTAGTGATGTCTCGTGTTAGCGTGGTCAGTTCACTATTGAAGGTTGAGAGCACACATACTACCACGGCAAGTTCCATCCCATTCTCTTCTTGAATTTCTCGATCTCATGAATTGGGGCGCGAGAAACCATGACCAATGTCGTGTCGCGAGAGTTGAGGTGTTCACGCGACGAGGGGAAATTATCGGCCATGAAGCAGCACCCCTCACAGGCAGCTTCTTCCCCTGGTGCAAGCATGAAATGGTAGATTACGAGCTGCTTCCGTGCTCCGAAAAGTTGGGAAAGTGTTGCTTTGCCGTTTGGTCCCTCAAATGTGTACTCTTTGTCGAGCTTCACCATCGGGAAATCGTTCTGAAGCTGTGATCTGAACTCCGCAGCAGCGCGGGTAGCTGCTTTCTCTTTGTCGAGGAGATCTTTGCGGGCCTTGAGCCATTCCTCTCGGGAGACGACCTAAGTATAGTCAGTGGCCAATGCCTTAGGAGTTTTGACTGTTCTTGAATGTTCTTACCTTGCCAGGCATGATGAATGAGTACTTTTGATTTGCTGTGATTTTGAAAGACTGAAGTGATTGAGGTAGCAATGTCTTGAAGTAGATGGGTGACTTTGAGCTTGCGTGTTGGAGTGATGGAGCAAATTGATATCTCATGGGGGATTTGGTTCAATTTATCTCTTTCCGATGCTCGGTCTCTACATCCTGATCGTGGGAAAACAGAAGCTCCGTCTGACACGCTGAATGAGAAGCGCGGTCCCAGACGACTATCGTGAGGGGTTTCGTGTCTGAGTTCGACGCGGGCTCACGTGGGCTGCGACGATCATGATTACTATTCACCAGTAGTAGTAGTACACCACATCCATCCAATCGACGATGAAGCCTCATCAGAAGGTTTAAGGCCCCCTCACTTCTGCCTGGCTTCCCGCCCTTGCCAGACTTGACGAAGGCAAGCGTTCCTGGGAATCAAACCCAATTCCCACTTCGCATGGTGTGAAGTACGGCCGTACTTTTGCACCCCTGGCTGTTTGTGACTTGTTTGCACACTATGATCGTCAAAGTTCAGGCTCCCGAGTCTCTGTGGCTCAAGGTGGCTCAAGGTGGCTCAAGTTCAAGTCAAGCCTTCGTCCTGGGGTGCATTGCTAAATTTAGTATCTTCAAAGAATACCTCTTGAACTGGAGGTATCTCGCTGTCTTCCCGCTCGTAATGAGGGGCAAAAGACTGGCATCGTTCCTCGAGCGACTGTGCCGGATGTCATCCGGACGGGAAGCTGATGGAGGACTCCGACAAGTACAGTTGTCAATTCAAGAACTGGTGAATCAACTGTCGAAAACATGAGCACGGACTTTGTCACAGTCACATCCTCGTACTACGCCATCACGACCTCTTCCGAAACCTCAACTAATGCGAACCCTTCCCTTGACCGGTATCCTGAAAATCACAACTACTATCGAAGCCCAGAGGTATCCGAAGTGAAACTATCGACGACGACCGCTGGTGGTATTCTCACCTAACCGAGTCCAGGTGTCATTGCTGTCCTAACAGAATCACCGAGCATTCTATTCACTTTCATTACCACCGACGAGTTGAACATACTTACGATAATCTACCCTCCCTCTTTAAATTGTGGTCATCATCCCACTGCCCTGAACCACGAAGACAGACGAAGGACAGTCACGACATCTATCGAAACCCTTAGTACCACAGAAGTCTCCTCCCTAGGGGTCCTCTTCCACTTACGCCTACTCTTTGTTTATTACAAACATCTCATCTAGCTCAACAGTCCCTTTGACTACCGTCACCTGTGCAGGCCAGTTCAACGCTACATCTTCTCTTGACTCGGCAGCCATGGCTGAGAGCTCAGTTTTCACACCCAACTCGTCCGCTGTCGCCACGGTAATTATAGTCGCAATTACTTTCTCCGAGGTTCCAATTCTGACCTTTCAATTGCCAACCGAGAACTCTTCCAATTCGACCCCAAGCGATACTTCCTTTCCACCAGGTTATCCAGCCTATGGTCATGACACCTGGGCTGCCACTTATGGCGATGAAGGTCCAACTCTCCTCAGGAAGGTCCGCCGAAGTCGTTTTCTTGTCGACTATACAGAGAGCTCACAATTGCCATCTATCTCATATGTCTCGACAGATGAAGACTTGATGGCTCAAATTTGTACGCTCCTCAGCTGAGAACAGCCGAAACTTGAAATCTGCCCAAATGGAAGTTGTTTCGCTGATAGCTGCTCTAAAAGTCACATATGATATTATCCAGTCGAGTGATAGGATTGGGGGTCTAAATGTAGGAGACATTGCAAACCGTGGTTGTAGTTGCGACTGTACCCCTTTTTCACATGTGTCTACTGCTTATTCAAGTTGCTTACGAAGCCATCTCAAAGGTAGAAGCATGGAATGCAGCTTTTTTTTGTTTGATGGCTCTTAGCAACCTTGAAGGAAGACTCGATAGTGATAATAAGCAACAGAATTGCATGTCCAGAACTCCTGTGATCTTACACCTATTGGAAGATAGTGATCACCGTATGATCGATTATCATGCCACTGCAGCAAAAGTCTAACGGTAGTCGCCTCCTTACTAGCTTGATATCTACAATCATGAATAACGAAGCACTCCTCACATTGTTTTCAACGAACTTGGAATACATTCATCTATTCATAGACAAACAGCCTTTGTCTGACCCCTGTAAGGCCATTACCCAAATGAGGAAATTTTGCTGCAGCCAACCACCTCGTCTACTCGCTAAACAGAAGCCCCACATTTCTGGCGAACCAAAACACCAAGCCTGATTACCTACACTCCATCAGACTACCGCAGCCCCTCAATGAGAGTCCATCTCCTCGAATACCGCACTCGAAGTCTTCTATGTACAGCCAGCTTGTGGCTCTACAAATTGTGGAGAACTCATCTCATATCCAGTGGTAAATAAAGTTGTCTAGGTCTCTCGACTTTGAGTAATTTTAGTCACGAAGGCGATCTCATCTCAGCTGTTGTGCTGTAAGTTGTTAAATCGGATTTTACGCACCCAGATGACTGGTACGTCTTTCAGCTGTATCTTGTTGCTTGGAAAGCTTGTAACGGGCCTGGTGGTTGCCCAAGACTTGTGGTGCAGGACCGGCAGTCGTCGACACAGAAGACCGATAACCAGATCGGGTAATTCAGCAGAGAGACCCTAGATTGGCACCAGGAAGTATGACCACATTGCCTGCATTGTATGATATACTGACACCCTGAGAAGACATGGCTAATTCCTCAAACGAGACAGCGAAGCAGTCTTCAGCGGTAGCTCGTGAGACCAGCTCCCACAGTGCATATTCGTTTCGATTCGTGGATGTTGGGACACCATCACAAACCTGCGATGAAGAAGCCCAAGCTCTGATACGCTCTCATTTCATGCGAGACTTCTATGACAGGCGTGACAATCGGAAGCAGCCATGTACACACCCGGAGAAAACTTCTGCAGCGTCCAAAAAGGGAGGTGCAGCTCAGCAGACACATCGTTTCAAGGTTGGACCACAAGGCCTTGAAGAGATCAAAAAGAAACGCCGGAAGCGAGGATCTGTAGCTGAAGCTCAGATAACAGCAATCACTCTGACCACTCCAACCCGCCCAGCAGGAAAGGCTCGGGAGCAAACCCATGATGTAGTTCCCGACTTTAACTTGCTACAACCTGCCGAGACCACTTCTAGGCAGAGTGACAGCCTAGCAAGCAGCTCGGTAAACCGTGAACAGGATAACTCTGAGACAAATATCCTACAGCGTAGCTTGAACCACTTGCTTAGATCTGACACTAGGACTGACTTGCAGCCGGAATCTTTTCTCATGTGGTCGGCCATCGATCCATTCAATACACTTCCTCCTTCAAGATCACCTCGGACTCAACTCCTGTTATATCATGGTAAGAAATCGTATCCTTTATTCCTACTTATAATTCTGCCACTAGATTGTTCACGCTTACCGTCCTAACGACCCCTGTGCCGCTGGTGAAGTCTCATTTCTATCCAGACATACTAATCATTTACGTACTCAGCAACCCGAGGGATATTATCGTCACGGCTTATGGGCCAATTGCGAACAGAGGTACGCAATCTTTATTACTATTCTCCACGACTCATGGTGATAGATATCATCGCTGACATCTGAACATTCAGTGGTTGTCTTTGGCAATTCAAGATACCGCAATGTTTCACATCGCACTCTCGCACTATGCCGGCAATTACGGTCTTGCAAATCAAGAGAATGATCCTGTGGAGGCACTTCGGTTCAGGATGGAGGCAATGAGACTTGTCAATCAGCGACTAAGTGATATCGGGAATGCTTTGGGAGATGGCACACTGGGTACTGTTGCAAGCTTGTCAAGCTACGAAGTATGGGAACATCATTACCAGTGCTTTCTCTGCTGGTGACTAATACTCTCTCTAGGCTACGAACGGAACCTTAACGGCAATTGACACTCACATGAAGGGGCTTCAAAGACTTGTAGCACTTCGAGGCGGCCTCGAGGCTGATATCAATCCCTTCACAAGGCGCTTGATTCTATGGTAAGCTACTGTATGGATCTTGAAGTGTGAAGGAGCTGACAATACCGGTAGGGCCGACCTGAACTGTGCAAATGCTTTGGGGAATATGCCAGTATTTGACCTCGTCAACGGCGAGGGCAGTCGTGAGGTGAAGACTCCTAATGTCGAAGTAATACAAAGAGGACGACACATTACGAGCAGTAATTTCCCTCAGACTGAGCCTTTCGGCGTGAAAGACTCAGGAGCAGTGGGTTTGGAGCTGAGAGACAACTTCACCCGTCTAAAACAATTGGCCATCATGGATGCTGACACTGGTCCGAGGGGCAATGAAGAGAAGATCCGACATAGCGACAAGCTCTATATGACAGAAAGAAATCTGTTGATTCTTGCAAACACCTGCGGCCCAGGCAAGTTTGCAACAGCAGGTTGCCTCGCAGCAATAATATTTCTCGATAATCATCTTCGCGGGATTGGCTTCAATGCCCGGCTCATGGACAGATTTGCTATCAGACTCAAGGTCTCTATGAATATGGTTCTCAACCAATCTTCCAGTCACAAACCCAACGAGAAAACGACCAAAGCTATACTTTGGGTGTTATACGTTGGTGGTCTTGCCGCAGATGACCGACCCGAAAGGCAATGGTTTACCATGCAACTGCTTGACTTCTGCGATACACTTGGCCTAAAAACATGGGAGGAGACGGAGTTGGTATTGAAAGACTTCCTCTGGGCACCGAGCTGGCATTACCAAGGCCAATCATTATGGATTCAAGTCGAAGAAATACGATTTTTGAAGAACATCGAGTGGTCAATGGCCGATGATGATATAGATACTGATATGAGATGAATTCCTGAGATCCTGGCCCTTGAATACGCCAGGGGGAAGCTGGGAAGCACGCTAGTACCTGATCGCCGCTGCCCAGGCACGCTAATCTCGGGAACTTCCCCAGATTATCGAATGCACTCGTCATCATCGTCAACACCACAGACCCTGCATGAAAACGAATACCAGAGAAATCCATGGCCACACCAGAATTGTAACACCAGACTTGAAATAGTACCTACAGAATGGCGAAACCGAGAGTTATTTATTGGTTCAGAACAGACTTGCGACTTCACGATTCGCCTGCATTGAAAGCAGCATTGGATCTCAATGCTGAGGCTTTTTGGCCAGTCTGGACCTGGGATCCTCACTATGTGTATAGAGCACGTGTTGGCCCGAACAGATGGCAGTTTCTGTAAGTTATAGCTTTGACTCAGAACACTCGGTCTGTTACTCAATTTCGACTAGGATCGACTGCCAGAACGACCTTTCCAAATCCATCACAAGGATCAACAAAAAGTCTAGGTTGTTTCTTCTAAGAGAAGCTCCACAGACGCTGTTCCCGAAGCTCTTCAAGGCTTGGAAGATTACACACTTGGTCTTTGAGAAAGACACTGATGCCTATGCTCGAGATCGAGATGCAGCAATTATGGACGCAGCCAAGGAGGCTGGAGTGGAAGTTATAGTTCGATCTGGCAGGACACTTTGGGATAGCGACGAACTAGTCAAGAATAACCACGGAAAACCAACGATGAGTATAAGCCAAGTCCAAACAGCAGGACCAAAAGTAGGCCCTATACCACGGCCCATACCTGCCCCAAAATCTATACCCAATCCAGGAGAGACGAGTCTGGAGTTCGAGCAAGATCACCCCCAACAAGCTCCAGATCTGAATAGTAAATTCAGGAGCTATAATGACAAATCATATGACCAAATTTCTGGACCCAAAGGAGACTTCGCGGTGCCAACCTTGGAGGAATTAGGCTTTCCGACAGCTACTACACCACATCGCGGCGGCGAGACAGAAGGGCTGAAAGCGCTTGACGGCATAATAGCAAACAAAACGTACACCGCTACATTCGAGAAGCCCAACACTGCGCCAACTGCCTTCTCGCCACAATCAACCACCCTCTTATCTCCGCACCTCCACTTTGGCAGTCTCAGCATTCGAGAATTCTACTGGCGCGTTCAAGATGTGGTAGATAGTTATTCTGGAAAGTCATCTCAACCTCCTGTTTCTTTAACAGGACAACTTCTCTTCCGCGATATGTATTTTGGCGCTCAAGCGGCACTGGGCTATTCTTTCGGCCAAACGATGTACAATTCTCACTGTCGATTCATCCCTTGGCACCTACCCAGCAAAGTCGACCATGACACTAAACTCATCACGGGAGAATACCACATTGATTCTCCACAAGCAGAAGAGTGGTTCCAACGGTGGAAGAACGGCATGACTGGGTTCCCGTGGATCGACGCTCTGATGCGACAGCTTCGCCAGGAAGGGTGGATCCATCACCTAGGAAGACATGCCGTGGCGTGTTTTCTTACCCGCGGTGGTTGCTATATCTCTTGGGAGCGAGGCGCCGAGGTCTTTGAAGAGCTGCTGCTTGACCATGAAACGGCTTGCAATGCCGGTAATTGGCAATGGCTATCCTGCACCGCATTCTTCGCGCAGTTCTACAGATGCTACTCGCCTATAGCGTTTCCACAAAAGTGGGATAAAGAAGGTAACTTTGTACGGAAATACGTACCTGAGCTCGCGAAATTGGATAAGAAGTACATTTACGAGCCATGGAAGGCCCCAATTGCAGATCAGAAGAAAGCGGGGGTGAGCGTAAAAGGCGATGGGAAAGTTATGGAGAAGGGCGTGTACCCGAAGCCGATGTTCGATTTTGCGGAGAGGAGGACGATTTGTTTGGATGGGATGAAGAATGCTTATCATGTTGGTCTTTACGGAGATCACCCAAAAGTTGTGGATGGGACATGGAGATCGCTATTTGCTGACGGAGCTGAAGGACCGACAGAGGGGAAGAATTTCAATGATGCGATGAGTGGGAGTGGAAAGAAAATCCGAGATGTTGATGGAGATGAGAATGATGGCGCAGTAGCGGAGGATGAGAGTGGTGCCGCTGAGAAGGGAGGTGAGAGTAAGGGGGGCGACAAGGGAAAGCCAGAAGCAAAACGGAAGGGTGCTGGTCAGGGGACATTGGACGGACATTTTAAGCGTGCGAAAAAGAAGTAATAAGTAATGTCCAGGCAGATGGTTGTATCACCATGCATGGTTCCATCACAGGTTGGCTTGTCTTGTTTCTGATGAATGGTGCTGTATAGATATGTCAAGTCATGTTCTTCAAACCTACATTTCTATTAGAGATCCGAATTATGAAGACTAGGCCATCTATCAATTTATTTCGGACAAGAAAGTTTGAAATTTCAACAGGGGAAAGGTCCATAGTAAGTGCAACACCATGTATCGCAATAGAATTCTCAAATTCATGAACAGTCTCTAAGTGACAAATGGGTACAAATAAAACAAGTCGCTTAATTTTACACCTTGAACTTCTATCCCAGTATTCCAAGCTAACGCCATTTATCATGCAATAATTTTCCTTCTGTAGCCCAGTCCGTCCATATTCATACTCTTGTCATGAAAATACTAGTGATCATGGCCTAGTCATCCCATTCCTCGTCCAGCTGATCAATCAAGCGATTCTCATCCTCTGCTCGGTTGTTTCTTCCCCTGCCGTTAGTCGAAGAGCCATTTGCCGAAACGGACAATGCGCTGTACCCCCTTCTGCTTGGCATGAATCGAGCGCACGACGAAGTTGCTATTATAAAAATATCCTGTGGTAGAGGTGTTAGCATCTGCGGTTCTTGATAGCTAATGTTGTGGACGTAGATTGAGTGAAAGTGGTATAGATGTGTATGGCAGGGCTGCATTTCCAAAACCCGAGTTCGTTATATGCTGCTTTTCTATCGAACAACACCGAGAAGCTATGCATGAAAACAATACAAGAGAGAGATGGCTGTGTACAGGATGGTGGGTATACAGGCTGCAAAATCCCAAGGTGGATTCTGCTGTCCCTTTCGCTTTTGTTGTTGTTTTTGTACAAAATCCCAGCCAATGGGCTGAAATCGAATCGCTCAGGAGAGATGGGAAGATTCCCAGGACGATCGTGACATGCTTGATCTTGACTTCTTCGCCCCCGACGGAGGCCGCACTTCCATCGTAGGTAGAATCCCATCCCGCACTGATGTAACCCTAGGAATGATCTTCTGCTTCGACCGCTGGACACAAGAGCAGACTCTCACCTTTATGAAGCTGCCAATCCCCGCCCACATGCTGTAGTTTGGCAACTGTCTCCATCCGCGCGCGTGCGCTACATTCCGCTGATAGAATACACCGCCAAGGAAATATACCAGAATTGCGATGACACCAATAATGGTGAACACGGCTCCCGGACCGACTGATTGCTTTGCAGGCTCCGCTGTGATGCAAGCTGCGCGGGAGAGGACCTCGAAGTGGTAAGAGCATTCATCTGGGTCAGTCCCAACAAACGTGACGGATGCCTGGGTTGCGAGGGGGTCTTTGTCGCAGTGAAAGGAAATTATAGTAGATTTTCGGCGGGCGTCCGAACCGGCCTTCTTCTCGACCTTGTCCTCATGCTCATTGGCATCCCAGGTCGATCGTCTCTTCTTCTCGGTCGTACATGGAGATCCGTTTGTGTATTGTAGAACCAGCCGCCTTCCTCGTAGAATCAACTCCGAAGAGTTCTGTCTGTATCGAGAGTCAGCAGAATGCCCATCCCTGCTGTTACGTCTGCCTTACCCGATAGAATACTTCTTCGAACCGAGCTCATAATATGCACTGACATTCCTCCAGAGAGCCTCATCCACTCCAACTACATCTTCCACCTTCTCCACAACCGGCGCGCAAATATTTAGCGTGAAATTAGCACCATTGCTGTGGTAGTCGTATCCACGAGCATGCCAGTCATCCACCTTCTCCCCTTTGGTAGGCTTCTTGTCATCAGCCGGTAGAGATATGGATAATGATCGCAGATCGTAGAAATTCCCCGTCGAGGACGATATTGTACATGGCTCTAGTACCTTCTCGTCCGAGGATGCGGCGTTCACTCCACAGTGCAATGCCAGAGTGACCAGCAAACTTGTCGGGAGTGTTGGGAAGTGCATGGTGCCCAATGGTTTTGGCAGAGCGCCTGAAGGCGCAACAGGATAGAAACTTATGCAATAAGTATGTGCGACTGTAGATCGATGTATGTACTCTTGGATGTAGTACGGTGGTTGGGCAGCTTATTGTCCAGCCGTTGTTATGATGAAGAGTAGAGCTTCGACATCATCGGTGCATCCACATTTGGCGAGAACCTAACAGATGGCGTTTTGACCTCGGGATGCACGTGATGTTGACCCCTGAGCCCCTGAGGGAGATCATCCGCTGTTTCTCCATTGGGAAACATGTTTATCATGGACTTGTTCGCTTTCAAGGGTACATACATACTTGTAGAAATCATAGCAAGGTGTTTTTAGATACCTTCGTAATTCTCTGCTAAGTTGGACTTCTCGCCCTTAGAACGACACCAATTGCTAATGCATTTGTCGCATATGTCGCGTTTGTCGCATTCATCGGATACGGCGGATGCGATCGGCTAGGGCCGTGGGCAGAAGAGAGATACTCTTGCGTCCTCATTTGAGGCTGGGGGAGGACACGACAGGTCATCGTAAGACTTGACAAAGTCGGGGTCGCGCCCATCCGGCTTTCAGAAAGGTCCTGTGTGGCATGCGTGTCTTGGGTACCTAGGTGGGTGACCAAGAGCCTCACTGTATCTATGTAGCTATGTGAGTCTCTGCAGTGCCTAGTATCACTATTATTGAGTTGAGACGAAAGTCAGTATCACGGTCCTTTTCCCAGCGAACTATTTTCCCCATCTCGGCACTTGTACTTAACCTTCATTATAGTATTTGATTATTTGGCAAGGAGAGGCCAGGTGCAGGCCGTGCAGGAACATTAAGACGTAGAGCCAAGCCAAGCCACATCTGCATCTGCATCTGCAAGCTGTATGACAACGCCTCGCGCCAACAGCCCAGCACAGACCTCTAGACAGACAGTGCACACCTTGAAGCCATCATTGATTCCTCGATTAAAACACGAACACGACGGAATTTTGACAGCCGGGTGAGCCCATAATCAACAGAGGACAACTTTTCGGCCGCAGACCTTAGCTACCCCTCTATTTAAATGCCCTGGAGGGCCCTTTGAGTCTACTATCTTGTAACACTGTTGAATTTCTATTCGATCACAACATGGCGCCAAAAGTCAAAGCAGTCGCTGTCAAGCACGCCGAGCCTCATGGCTATGAATTCTTTGGACCGTATGTTCCTGCCTGCCTCGCGATACATTGGTCCATACACTGACCTTTACTAGTCCTGGTGCATTCATTATCTCTTTCGGCCTTCCTCTCGTCGTCTATGCCTTCACTTTCCTCTGCAACGACATTTCGGGTTGCCCAGTCCCTTCGGTTCTTGCTCCTTCGACAGCCACCATCGAACAACTCAAGAGAGATGCAGGATGGCCCGCCAATGGCATATACGGACTGGCAAGCTGGGATGCGACATTGAAAGTGGTTGGATACTACTTGCTAAGTGCGATACTTCACCGTGTATTGCCAGGAGAGAAGAAGCTAGGTGTTGAGCTCTCAACTGGCGGCAAGCTCAATTACAAGTTCAACAGTAAGCGCGCCCAATACAAGCTGTTCTGGATGGTATTAATGCTATATAGCATGGTCTTCGACAATGGTTACATTTGGTATCCTCGCAGCAGGTACAGCTTATCAAGGCGCAGAGTTCCCTGTTTGGACATATATTTACGACAACTTCCTCCAAATCGCCACGGCCAATATTCTCATTGCCTACTTCCTCGCAACATTTGTCTATATCCGCAGTTTCAGCGTTAAACCTGGCAACTCGGACCTCCGAGAATTGGCAGCTGGTGGACACTCGGGTAATATGCTGTACGATTGGTTCATCGGTCGTGAACTCAATCCTCGAGTTACGCTTCCCTTCCTCGGCGAGATTGATATCAAGGAGTTCATGGAGTTGCGTCCGGGCATGATGGGATGGGCCATATTGGACTTTACCTTTATTGCTCGCCAGTATAGATCTTACGGTTACGTGACCGATAGCATCCTGCTCGTTACTGCCTTCCAAGTCCTTTATATTCTCGACTCCTTCTGGATGGAGAATGCTATCTTGACAACTATGGATATCACAACCGATGGCTTCGGATTCATGCTTTCATTTGGCGACCTCGTCTGGGTTCCATTCATCTACTCCCTGCAAGCAAGATACCTCGCTACTTACCCACTTACCTTGGGACCTCTCGGCACAGCTGGTGTTCTCGGAGTCGTAAGCATTGGATTCTACATTTTCCGCAGCACCAACAACGAAAAGAATCGATTCCGCACTGATCCGAACGATCCTCGAGTCGCCCACCTCAAACACATTGAGACAAAGTCCGGATCCAGGCTCTTGGTCTCTGGCTGGTGGGGAATGGCACGCCACATCAACTATTTCGGTGACTGGTTCCAGTCCTGGGCATATTGCCTCCCGACTGGTGTTGCAGGCTATCTCGTTCAGCACAGCTCAGTTGCACCCGCAACTGGCCAGTCACTAGCCAACAAATCCTTCGTGTATAGCGGACCAACAGAACATACTGAGGTCCTGCAAGGCTCTGCGAGAGGCTATGGCATTATCGTTACGTATTTCTATGTCCTGTATTTTGCAATCCTTCTTATCCACCGCGAGAGAAGAGATGAAGCGAAATGCAGGCGGAAGTACGGCGATGACTGGGACAAGTATCGGGAGATCGTGAAATATCGCATCATACCTGGTATTTACTAGGTGGTAAGGGTGAGAGTGGCTTGGAGTCTGGGCTTAATTTGAAGCTGTATAATATTTCCTTCTACTGGGACAGGGTCGTCCTTTACGATTAGACAAGTTCTGCCGCATGATGAGTTGCTCTCGTCGCTTTATGCGCATAATGAAGATTTCCCTTACAATAGCAAATGTAATCTACTCGCTAAGAAGCTTATAAGAATGTCAAAGTTTTGAAAACAATACACTTCTCAATTGATAGTGTCATTTTTACACTGGACACGAACCGCGGCACTCTATAATGTAGAGTTGCATGTTAGGAACTTCAAGAATGGGTACATTCGGCCCGATACTTGTAAGATGGAGGAACAGTGGAAACTTGGGCCACTTTTTAAGTTGGGTTGGCATACTGTACCAAGAGATGAGGAGAAGTCAAGCTGCGGGGAGGTGGAGCAGAAGCGGGGTTGCTCTTGAAGGTGGGATAGAGAGATACTTGGATTTGCAAAGGCAAATTATTCAGACCATAATTCTCTATTGATTCTGCTGGGCTTCGTATGTCGAGAATGAAATGTTAATCTCAATCAACATCTTATATTCGAAGGCTTGTATCCTGTTCACTTTTATATCTACCCATGACTTGTACCTGTTGATCCTGGCCATCAACTTGAAGATCAACCCCCCCCATAGCCGGCAGTAGATGGCCCGAGCTGGTACCTTAATAAGAACTTATGAAGCTAAGTCCCACTCTATTGGCCTCGTCTCCAGAGTGCAGAGTGCTCAGAGTCTCCCAGTTCTCCACTTAAATATCATACGCCGAAGATGTGCCATTCTAGATTCCAAGGGAAGTTTTCGGAAGCCCAAAAATATTGACACTATTCGATGGACAAGACAAGATCAAAGTTCCTGTTTTGTCAAAGATGGGTACGTCAAGAGCTTCATCAGCTTTGTGGCTGGGTGTGAGCTGGTGACTCAGAGCGCAGAAAACCTCTCACAACTGATCATAGTCATGCAACGAACATTCCGCTCAACTGTCACGCTGAGATGGATTTATAAGAGGAGGTGTCAGATTTCCAAGGTTGGTAACCGACAGTCCGTAACTGTACAAACTACTCGGGCTGTGCTTCAACAGCGGCCACACTCGGTGAGATTTTGCTGAGATGTTGTCAGATGCGGAGAATGGTGAAGCCAATATACATGATCATGCAGAGACATGGAGAAAAGTTGTGGAGACCCCCGGCCAACCCGCACGCCACCTCGGGATGTAAGCAGGGATGCTCGGTAGTGGCTCTTCATGACGTTTTTGACAATAATAGGACAAGAAGCCGAGCTTTCGAACTTCCACGCTCTCGTCACGAGCTCTCCGGACATAACAGAACAAATCGCATAGGCAAACAATCAAAAGCAAGACCGTTCTGCTTATGTGAAAAGAATAATATTCAAATCTCACGTCGAGTAAAGCCCTCATAAATTTCGGCCCTACTATCTTTCGTAGGTCACTAATCCCTTCAATATTTGACTCCGCGCCGTCTTAGACCAGCCTGGCTCTCGCGACCGCGGAATGTCGGAATAAGCTTGGTGGCTTGAATCTTGTCCATCGCAGGAACTTTTTTGCGTGATGGAGCCGCTTGGCTAAGCCAGATGGAGTCTGAGTACCTTACGAGCTTCTGCAGAGAAGAAAGCTCGAAAGATGGCTAACGGCGGGGAAGCTTGACATCCTGGACAGAGGTTACGTCTCTGTGGAGCGGCGGGGTGATCAGCGGGGGTATTAAAGGAGCTTGCCTGCCACTTTTTTGAAATATTTGGAAATCTTCTTGAGACTTTGACATTCAGATCAAAATCCCGTCTTGTTGTGATTGTGGTTGTGAATTTAGTCGATTGGTTCATGATGTTTTCTCTGATCGCCGTTGCCGCGTTAGCAACGAACCTGGTTGCTGCCACTCACATCTTGCCAAGACAAGTAAGTCATCATCACATCGCATCTCGTTTTCATGCAGTATCATCCAGCATCCATAGAGAAGCAGAATCTACCTACTGGTCATGTTGGTCATGAAGGAGCTGGTGCTTGCGATCGCGAGCTATCTCTGCGGTACAAATCTGTTACTAAAACAACACCAGACATTTCCCAATGAGACATCCCCCGGCTCAGCAAACAACCAATTTTCACCGCCATTCTATCCCTCGCCATGGATGACTGGACAAGGAGATTGGGCAGATGCTTATGAGAAGGCGAAAGATTTTGTTTCACAACTTACTCTTTTGGAGAAAGTCAATCTCACAACTGGTGTTGGATGGGAGGGCGAACAATGTGTGGGACAAGTAAGACCCCTGCCAAAATAAAGCAAGTACCTGTGTTGACATAAATAGGTTGGATCGATTCCTCGTCTGGGATTTAGATCGCTGTGTATGCAAGATGCTCCCGTTGGAGTGAGATTTGCGGATTATATCAGTGTTTTCTCATCTGGGCAAACTGTTGCTGCGACTTTTGACCGAGGCCTCTTCTATGCTAGAGGCCATGCTATGGGGAAAGAGCACAAAGCTAAGGGCGTCACTGTTCAGCTTGGCCCTGTTGCTGGACCACTTGGAAGAGCGCCTGAAGGAGGCCGGAATTGGGAGGGTTTCTCACCTGATCCGTACCTGAGTAAGTGCTTTCAAAGCAGCATATCTAAACTTGTTTCTGACGACATTTAGCTGGCATTGCAATCGCCGAGACCATTAAGGGAACTCAAGATGCCGGAATCATTGCTTGTGCTAAGCATTATATCGCCAATGAGCAGGTATGCCAGGATCATGCAACGTACTTTTTATTCCATTATCTGACAGCGACCTAGGAACACTTCCGTCAAGCTCCAGAAGCCATTGGCTACGGATACAATATTACGGAGTCCCTCTCCTCAAACGTCGATGACACTACTATGCACGAGCTCTACCTTTGGCCATTCGCTGATGCAGTCCGTGCTGGTGTCGGCTCCATCATGTGCTCTTACAACCAGATCAACAATTCGTATGGATGCCAGAACTCGAAACTTTTGAATAATATCTTGAAGGATGAGCTTGGATTCCAAGGCTTTGTTATGAGTGATTGGCAGGCACAGCATACTGGAGCTGCATCGGCTGCTGCCGGTCTTGATAGTGAGTTCAACTTGTCTTGTGTTGTCCTTGCAAAGTCATTTTCAAATTGCAATGACCCTCCTCCGAATGCCTTGGAAAGTTTCTACACTTTCTATCCGCTCCCTGGGACGGGTATTGCAAAGGAGCGGATACTGGGAATCCCATCTCTAACCAGAAATTTCACCAACCCTTCCATTCAAACAGCGCATACTGACTTGGTAATTCTAGTGAGCATGCCAGGAGACACTGCTTTCAATACTGGGTTGAGTTACTGGGGTACAAACTTGACTCTCGCCGTCATCAATGGAACAGTACCAGAATGGCGCATTGACGATATGGCCATGAGAATCATGGCTGCCTATTTCAAAGTTGGTCTTACCCTCAATGAGCCTCCGATCAACTTTGATTCTTGGACTCTCGATACCTTCGGTCCGTTACATGCTTCTGTTGGAGCCAACATTCAGCAAGTCAACTGGCATGTTGACGTCCGCGATAATCATGCCACCTTGATTCGAGACATTGGCGCCAGGGCGACGGTTCTGCTCAAGAATGTCAACAAAACGTTACCCCTCAATAAGCCAAAGTTCCTGGCTGTAATTGGAGATGATGCAGGTCCCAATATTAATGGTCCAAACAGTTGTCCAGATCGTGGTTGTAATAATGGTACCTTGGGAATGGCGTGGGGTTCTGGTAGCTCTAACTTCCCTTATTTGGTTACACCAGATACTGCTTTGCAAAATCAAGCACTTGCAGACGGCACCAGGTACGAAAGTATTTTGGACAATTACGCTACGTCCCAGATTAATGCCCTGGTATCCCAAGCGTATGCAACTGCCATTGTGTTCGTAAATGCCAATTCTGGAGAAGGTTACATCAATGTCGATGGCAATGAGGGTGATCGCCAGAATCTCACCCTCTGGGGATCTGGTGACGAGCTGATCAAGAACGTATCTGCACGTTGCAACAACACCATTGTTATAATCCACTCTACTGGACCAACGCTTGTTTCTGAATGGTATGACAGCCCGAACGTCACAGCAATCTTGTGGGCAGGAGTTCCAGGTCAAGAGAGCGGAAACAGCATCACGGATGTCCTATACGGAAAGGTCAACCCGGCAGCTCGAACTCCGTTTACCTGGGGGACTACCCGAGAAAGCTATGGCACTGATGTCCTTTACGAACCAAACAACGGTGAAGGGGCGCCGCAAGATGAGTTCACGGAAGGCGTGTTTATCGACTACCGTGCTTTCGACCGAAGCAATACTACTCCGATTTATGAGTTTGGTTTCGGTCTATCTTACACCACTTTCGAGTACTCAGATCTTACTGTGACGAAATACAATGTCAGTGCTTATACGCCTACCACAGGCACAACCGAAGCAGCACCAGTCCTTGGTAACTTCTCCACCAACCTAGGCGACTATCTCTTCCCCAACGCAAGCTTTCCCCACATCTGGCAATACATCTACCCATATCTCAACAGCAGCGATGCTCGAACGGCATCAGCGGATCCCGAGTATGGCCAAACAGCAGATCAATTTATGCCCCCAGGGGCCATTGACGGATCACCACAGCCTTTACTCGGCGCCGGTGGAGCGCCAGGAGGAAATCCTCAACTCTGGGACGTCTTATACACCGTGAAAGCCACCATTAAAAATACCGGCTCCGTCAACGGCGAGGAAGTCCCTCAATTATATGTCTCCCTTGGCGGTTCCAACCAACCCAGAGTCGTTCTTCGAGGTTTCGAGCGCCTGAGTATCGGAGCTGGCGAGTCAGCTACTTTCACAGCTGATGTTACTCGACGAGACCTCAGCAATTGGGATACCGTATCTCAGAACTGGGTAATTACTGATGCACCAAAGACCGTATACGTGGGCTCGAGCTCGAGGAAGTTGCCTCTGAGCCAAGCCTTATAAGTTTGCATCGTTTTGATGTGTCGTCTTTACCATGGGTGGAGGTGGGAACAGTGGTTGCGATGGAGAGAAGTCGGTAAAAGACTTCGATGACCCCAGGGAGCTGAATTGAAACTCGTCAGGAGTATAAACTGCCGCTCATGACTTATGATAAATGATATGCAGAGACGAAAATGGGTTGGGATTCAGCTTTCGGATACGAGAAAGTACACAATAAAGTAATTCGTTATCACAAACACTCAACTGTCCTTCGAAGCTCGTTGTTCATGCTCTAAGTTTTTTCGCTGTCCATTCTACCCACGTTGGTCAGAACTTGTACTGTTGAGATTCTGTTTCTTGATCTCAATCAAGTAGCCGCCTGCTTGGACTTAAAGGAGGCCTGTGAAGTTATCGCTTCTAGTCTGTCAAGTAAATATCATGAGTTTAATTTGAGACTTTACGAGGAATTTCGAAATCAGCCTCGTCCTCCCTTGCCCTCGAAAGTCTACAGCCGAATGAACGAATATGATAAATCGATAACGACAGTTTATAATACAAATAGCAGACTCCATTCATTCCCGTGGGTATATAACGCAAGCAGTCAAACATTGCGGCAAGATATTTCTCCAGCAATCTGTTCTAATAGCAGCAATTGACGCTGGATTTGAGCTACTCATTTCAGCCCAGTTTGACTTTTTCAGACCCGTCATGATCCCCATGTCCTCCACTGGTAAGCATCTTTGGAGACCGATGAGCTATTATGCTCCGCATACCCATTTGATACACGGTCCATGCTTCAGGGAACAGAAACTTCCTGAAATTGTCTCTCAAATTCCAGAAAGCTTGGGTTGTGGTGAGGAATTCTGTTACATCTTTAATCGCCGTTGCATCCAAGCCATAGACTCCTAGGCCGTCATGGCCGTTGTCGGATTCGTCGCTATCAGTATCATCGTCTACAACTGGTTCGCCCGCCAACGTGGTCATCAAACCGAGGTTAAAGAAACTTCGGAACTGGAGAAAGTTTACCACTCCTGCTCGGCGAGATTTCAAAGATTCGGGCATGCTATCATTTATGATTTGCTGATCTCTTATGAAGGTTTCAAGTCTATCTCTTTGCAGAGTACGGGCCTCGGGTCCAGAAGCAGGTAAAGGATCAATCTGACGAAGTACTCCAAGAACGGTAGAGGCGATCCTAGTAGTGCTCATTCGGACGAGTCTGATGCCCTGTAAATGCAACCTTGACTTCGCCTCGACCATTAGGTCCAAAGCATATTGCCGCAGCAGTCGTTCAAAGTTCCTATGGAATCGACTCTCACCTAGCTTTACTATTGCAAGGCCACACAGCTCCTTGACAAATGGATCGTTGACGAGGATTTGGGCAACAGCAAGGACGGCAATATGAAGAGAGTTGTCCCTCGAGATATGAGAGACTGAAGACGCTGCCGAGGTGGTAGAGTACATCGAATGAGAGGATGACTCTGATTCGTTGCCATTCTCTGGCTTGTTATGAATCCGCCGACGTAGAGTTGATTCTGGATTGTCCCTGGAGATATGGCTAACATTTTCGCCGTGAACTAGTAATACCTCGTTCACTGGCTCTTCAGCTAGAGTCGAAACTTCAGGGACGACCAGAGCTGCGTCACCCATCTTCAGAGGCTTCACAGCTTGATTGTCTTTGGAAACATGGCGTGAAACTTCGTCTTGCCCCCGGGAGACTTCTTCGAGCAGTCTCTCCGCCAGTGCCGAAGCTTCCGAGTTAGTCAGACCACCGCCACCAGTCCTGTAATGTGTCAAAAGGATCTTGACACATTTGAGAGCGAGGAGCGGCACGAATAACGCAGTAGCGAAGTGAGTAGATAAGCTCATCCAGGACGCTGACGAGACACTGGCGTCATTTGTCAAGCCCGGTGTCCATCTTTTGATCATGGACGTGTACGGCCGGGGCTCTAGAGGAGAGGCTAGAACAGTAAGACATTGTGGAGCTACTGAAATGTCCTATCATTGTCAGTTACAAGTGTGGTGAAATGGAGTGGATAGCTTGCTACCTACATTCAAGCCTGCACAGTATTCTCGCTCATCCTTCTTTGTTGTCCATACTTGAATTCTGTCCGTCCTATACATAAACCAGATACCAGCACTACCAAAAGCCACGGCAAGAATTGTACTCAGTACTTGAGAGATGCTTGGAAGTGAAGAATAACGTGCGCTAGCTTGGTTGATGGTAGTTGCCGCAGAAGGTGGCGCCTGAACCACAGAAATGTTTTGGCCTACGGCTTGAGAGGGAGTGTTAGGGCTGTTAGAGTTGGCGGCGTTGCTTCCATTGGAGAGATGAGCTGTGTTGGGGATGGCAGGATTGGCAACCATAGGAATGCTCACGCCTGGTGCTGCCGTCGCCATAACGAGAACGGAAGTTGCGGATCAGGTGCCTTGTTACAGTCTGCGAGGATAGACAGGCTTCGCTATGTCAGAGTTCCGTGAGGGGACTTTGCTTTGCTTTGACTCGAAATAGAAAGGTAATATTCGAAATAATCGCTGAAAAGTTGCAAACACAGCTACCCCACCATGCTGCAGCCTTGCATATTGAAAAAAAACTGGCCCCCACGACATCCTGCTCGGGAGGTACCCGTGTATATCTGTTAGATGCTTATATGAATGGAGGAGGTGTCGTGGATTTCTACTCTCGAGAGTCGAAGAATATACTGAGTTGATAGGAATGAAGCTCGAATCTGCTGGACCGACCAAATTTTCTGCTGGGAACTACTTAGAGAAGTTTCTGTTGACATTGGCTTGAGCGGGGAGTACACATCAAGCTGAATTGTGACTTTTAATATCTACAAAACAGAAAGTTAGCATTTGGCGGGTTTCACGATGTAAGACTGGGTAGATACCTTACTTTAATCTCCGGATTTCTCTCTCTGCTCCGTCTAAAGAGACTATACAGAACACTAGACCGTAAGAGAACAGTGTTCAAGGTGAACGAAGTTTTCTGAAACAAACACTACTTATGGTCTGGCCCTTCTTTCCTCCAAAACTAAAACTCCTGTACTCAATCCTACCCTGCACACTCAAGTCACCACCGGCAAACCACTTCTCCAGCTCCTCCTCGGTCCAATTACAGCTCGTGACCAGCAAGATCCCACCCTCTCTCACAAGCGGAACAACCCTCTCCTTATATCCCTCACAAATCCTCCTACCCTGCGCATCCTTTTCCTCTGAAAGACTGATCGCGTCAAATGTTCCCTTATCCAGTACAACATCCCATCCTTTCTCGTTCGCGCCTGAGAGGACAATGTTTGAGGGGTCTTCGGTCATAATGTCCCATTTTTGAAACTCAACTTCCTTCTCGCTACCGTCTCCGAACCCTTTATCACCAGCAATACGTTTCGCGAACTCAACGCTGCGTTCAGAGTAATCCACGCCTAACATCCTGCCTGTCCACCCACTTCCTTCTCCTTCTTCACCGTCCTCCTCGTTCCCATCGCCATCCCTCAGGGCGAATAAGAAATGTCCATTTCCGGTCCCCAGATCCAGGAAACTGCAATGCGATTTGGAGATCTCGGCACCTAGTATTTGCTCTTCTGCAATCTTCTTCTGTAGAAATGAAAGGACTTTGTCTTCGGCGGCAGAGTCGTCGAACCAAATGGTGCCTTCATCAGTAGGATCTAGGGCATGATTTGAGAGTTCGGTGATATAGAGGTTGTCCCAGCTGTTGGAGGGTTGCAGTGTTAGCAAGTAGACTCGATAGGGAGATGTGCGGGGATTCCAAGGCGAACTTACTATTCTTTTGTGCCTAGCTGTGAGGGCTCGAGATGATTTGGCTTTGAAGGTGGCATTGAGGTCATGGCGATAACGGGAAGCTAACGGAAGCTCTGATTAATGAAGGTAGGCTTCTGTCCTTTCACTTCAGTCTATTTTCAGGGTGAGGCGGAAAGTCGTGCAAAAGTCTGAGGACATTGGTGGGGGGGATCTTGAGCAAAGGAGGCAGAAAATTACCCCCCTTTTGCGAATTCGGAAGCGGTGAACGTCACCCAACATGACATGGGATTTAGAGTAAATCTTATCGAATTTCTAAAGTCACGCATATTATACAGGAAACGCCAGTCAAAATGAAAAGGGACTATGCTGGTATTCTGCTCCAAATCTAGAACAACGAGGATGCCTCCAGTTTAGGCACAATCGTAAGCCCCAAACACATGCATTTTCCATCAAGCGCGTCTTTATTATCTCATCTATGGGGACGTGTTCATAGGCTCGCCCGCGATCAGAGAGGCAGCTGTTGTAGCAAAGAAACGAACATCAACATCATCATCCTTCTGCAGCTTCTCCAAATTGGGCAAGATTCTCTCCTGGATGAGTGCCTGGCTTCTGGCTGACGGTGGAGTGGTGTCACCAGCTTTCTCAAGCGAGTAGACGGTTCCCTCTTCAGGCAAGCGCTTCAGGACTGAAATCAGCTCGCCATATGACTTTGCAACGTTGAACTTGATATTTGGGATATCATCTGCAACGAGTTTGTCCATCATTGGAAGTATTGATTTTGAGATGACGTCCAAGCTGACAACTGTTGAGAGAGTCTACAAGGATTAGTGGTATGCCTGCAAAATATCCGAGATATACTCACAGTGATTGCGAAGCAGGTGGTCATTCTGTAAAGGTAATTAGGATGTGCCCCCATGGCCATGACCTTTGGAATTATAGCTTCGTTAGCCCACTCGACCCCAAAAACTTCTGTCAGCTTTTTGAGATTATGTGTTGCAGCTTCACGGATGGAAAAGACAGTGTCGCCCAACCATCCCATGCAGAGAGCGGCCAACTTCTCGTCGAAGAACTTGACACCTAATTGACTTGCAAGGAGAGGAATATATTCGATGATGGCCAATCGAACTCTCCATTGCTTATCTTCTGCGAGTTGAACGATTGCTGGGAGGAGTGACTGAGATAGGAGCTCGATGCCGATGACTACACAAGTTAGCGAAGTAACAAAAAATACACTCAGGAGTAAATACCTTGGTTGACCAATTCGAGTTTAGAGATGATGTGAAGACGGACATCAGGAAACTCATCCTTCAGCATCTGTAGGAACATGGGTAGAAGATGATCAATGGTCCTGAACAACATTAGATGTGCCACATTTCGCTTCCTTGGAACTTACTCTTGCTTGCCAAGGATTGGGGCAAGACCGCTGATCTGGGTTCCGAGCGCTGCACGGACATGTTGAGAGGTATCAGATACCAAGTCCTCTACCGTCGTCATCACATCGTTGAGAAGAATCGTTCTGTCAATCAGCTTGCAGAAGCCTGTGACCCATTTAGCAGGTAAATAAAGAATAAAAAGGAAATACTGACCTGGGATTTGTCCAGCAATAGCTGTCCGAACTTCAGCCTCGCTATCCTTGAGAAGTTTAACAAAGGCTGGCACGAGATCTCTTGTGACAACCTCATCATCTACGGCCTTGGCAATCTATATCTCAAAGTCAGCCATAATTCCACATCATATTAGTCATTCAAACCTTCTCAAATCTATCCGCAACCATATATCTAACTCTCCAACTTTTGTCCTCAATCAAACTCCTCAACGCCGTAAGCAGGACACCATGACTTGACTGCTGCTCCTTGGGGACAACCTCTGCAATCGCAATCAAAATCTCAACCGTCAATAACCGTACGCTATCCTGGTCATCGCTGGCGAGGTGCTGGAAAAGGGGTATCATTTCCTCAACAACGATTGTAGCTGGCATCTCCTTGACAAATTTCGCGAGATTATTCGCGGACTGCCTTCGGACCATAGGAGTCTCATCGTGAACAAGGAGCCCGAATTGCTGTCGAAGCTGCTCCTGCATGGGTGGCGATGCTTTCTTATAAGGAACATTGTAGAGTCCGGTCGCGGAGATTTTTGAGGTGAACCAGTCGGCTTTCGAGAGTCGAATCGTGAGAGGAATGAAGTATTCTTCGACCTGTTGTGGCGAAAGCTCTTCACAGATCTTGTTTAGGGACTCCACAGCCTAGAAAGTATTAGCTAGTATCGACAATGGTGTATTAAATCTAGCTTACCTTCTCCCGCACCAGAGGCTCCTCGATCGCCGCGAGGTTTTCAAGCGGTGATAGTAGGACATGACCCCATTCTGGACCACCAACATACTCGACAAACCCACCTAGCTCCCCACTCAAAGCAGTAAGAACCTCATCTTCATCTTCAACCGATTCTGGGACAAACATTAGCACAAGTAGGAGACCGATGTAGGCGCCTAGGCCCTACCGTCTAAGAATGGAATCAACTCGTCTCTCGTACGCTCAGCTCCCAGAGCGAGTGCAATGGTTGAGAGGCGGTGTATGGCATTTAATCGTAGGAGGACATCATCATGCTATTTCACTGTGAGCAGATGCGCCAATAGAGCTTCCCCACACATGCGAAGCTGTGTTTTGAATAGATACCTTTAACTCGTCGATGAGAACTGCTATTGGGTAGAGCTCGTCCGTCTTGTCAGGGCCGTCAGACATTGCGAAGCTACTCGGGGGATATTTCGTGATAGAACGAGGTTCGTAAAAAGGTCAAATCGGCCTTGTCCCCGACCTGTTGACTCGTGCTTGTGTACAAAAAGGCTGATCGCGTGTTGGGGCCGCCTAGCCTCGATTGAGGCGTCGTAGATTGGTCGAGGAAAAACAGTGAGAGAAAGGACGGATCTAGAGACGATCTGTATGTTCACGTATCAGTATGGCTAGTTGACGCGCATCATGAAGCTTGTGAATGTTGGAGAGGTGGTGGGGGAACCATAATGACGGAGCTATTCCAGGAAAGGTGCGGCCTTGGCTGCACAACAGCGGCAACTCAATTGGAACGTACCTGCACAAGGATATTCGTGGACGTCGTGGATCGAAAGGGCGTGATGGGTATGGTGAAGGCACAGAGTTGTGGTGTTGATGAGGAAATTAATCTGAGATCACTCCAGGGCAGGATGCTCATCACACCGTTGGTGTGCCGTGTGGACTCTGTCCGTGAATGGGAAATATCAATCAACCAGAATTTTAGGGCCAAAATTCAGGCCAACACGAGGCTGAACCCCAATACCTTCTACCCCTCGATCTGAAGGTCGAAGTAGAAATCATTAGAAGAATTCATGTTGTTAATAGAGTTAAACTAGAAATTTCCGTACTACACCTCTTCCTAGTCTAGCTGTGCTACTTATACTATGGTTATATCTCCAAAAAGCTAATAATTAAGTCGCTGCATGATCCCAAGTTTGAAGTGCTCGGCTGTGACTCGCATTTTATTTTTTGGACAACACCAGACTCACACCGCGCGCCCTCCTAAACAACAACCCCCGCCACATTTCAAGGCAGCCCAACACAGCAGTACTTTTGGGACTAGGCGGTACAGCCTTTCTAGAACCGTAAAGATGCCAACCATCAGTGTAGACAAGGCTGAGCTTTACAAAGCGCTCGGGCAAGAGTAAGCTTTCAGTACTCCTCCAGGACGAGACTGACCCCGCCATAGATACACGACCGCCGAATTTGAGGAATTATGCTTCGAATTTGGTATCGAGTTGGATGAGGACACATCAAATTCGGAACGGCCTATCGTCAATGGCAAGCAGGCGCCCGCCGAACTCAAAATCGAGATCCCCGCGAACCGATATGACATGCTGTGTTTCGAAGGAATAGCTCTCATGCTGAACATCTTCCGAGAAAAGACCCCGCTTCCAAATTACAAACTCGTTGCCCCAAAGAGTGGGGAAATACAGACAATCACAGTACACGCAGATACCCTCAAAGTCCGACCGTATGTCTCTGGATCCATTCTGCGGAATGTCAAGTTCACGCAAGAGGCCTATGATTCCTTCATCTCGCTGCAGGACAAGCTCCACCAGAATTTGGCCAGGAATCGAAGCTTGGTTGCTATCGGAACACATGATTTGGATACGGTGAAGGGCCCTTTCACATACGAGGCACTACCACCAAAGGATATAAAGTTCAAGCCGTTGAATCAGACCAAGGAGATGAACGCTGAGGAAATGATGCAATTTTACGAGAATGATAAGCATCTCGGAAAATATCTTCACATCATCCGTGACAAGCCGGTATACCCAGTCATCTATGACTCCCAGCGGATTGTCTGCTCGATGCCTCCTATTATCAACGGTGACCACTCGAAGATTACGCTAAAGACCACGAACGTCTTCATTGAGATGACCGGAACCGACAGAACGAAATTGGAGATTGTGAATAACATCATTGTTTCCATGTTCTCCCAATACTGCTCTGAACCGTTCACAATCGAGCCAGTCAAGATCATCTCTGAGCACAACAACGAGACTCGTCAAACACCTGACCTCAGTCCACGTCTTGCTGAAGCCGAGGTGGACTACATTAATAACTGCTGCGGTCTCCAAGAATCACCAGAGCGGATATGCCAGCTTCTCACTAAGATGTGTTATACCGCCAAACCATCCTCAAAAGACAAAAATCTCATCGAAGTCTCCGTACCACCCACCCGCGCCGATGTCCTCCACCAGTGCGACATTATGGAAGATGTGGCCATCGCTTATGGCTTCAATAACCTCCCACGTACCTCCCCTAACAAGGCTTCCACCATTGCCCAACCCCTCATGATCAATAAGCTCGGTGACATTGTCCGCCAGGAAACTGCCATGGCAGGCTGGAGCGAAGTCATGCCTTTGATCCTCTGCTCACACGATGAGAATTTCGCCTGGCTTAACCGCAAAGACGACGGTACCACCGCAGTCCGACTCGCAAATCCAAAGACAGCAGAATACCAAGTTGTTCGCACGTCTCTCCTTCCCGGTCTTCTTAAGACTATCCGCGAGAACAAGAAGCACAGCGTCCCTATAAAAGTCTTCGAGGTATCAGATGTAGCTTTCAAGGACGAATCTCTAGAGCGTAAGAGCAGAAACGAGAGACATTTTGCTGCTGCGTGGTATGGCAAGACTAGTGGTTTCGAGGTCGTTCATGGGCTGTTGGATCGTGTTTTGTTGATGCTGAAGACTGCATTCATCACTCACGAGGAAGGCCTCGAGGGAAAGAAGGTAGATGGATACTGGATTGAGGAGATCGATGAGCCGACCTTCTTTGCTGGACACGCTGCTGCGATCTACCTCCGTATTGATGGCAAGGCAGCACGTATTGGAGAGTTCGGAATCTTGCATCCTACTGTGCTGGACAAATTCGAGTTGAGGTAAGCGAAATCCTTGATATCTCCCCATAAGACTTAGCTAATGATGAATAGGTACCCTGTTAGCACACTGGAGATAAATCTGGAAGTGTTCTTATAAAAACCTTGTGTTCCAGAATAGATGGGTGGGACGTCCTCGTTTGGGTTTCCTTGAAAAGCATGTAGATTTGCATTGCACGCATGATGAGCGGAATTGAGTTCACGATCTGAAGTCACAAAAGTCCCAAAGTCAGACTTGCTCTTCTTTGCCGTGAGTTTGAAAGGCTTTCCGATGAAGTGGAACTGGTAATATTCATTCCAGTCAGGTCAGCTTGCGCGGCTACCATACGGTCTGTCAATAAACGGGTTATTGCTTGCCCGAGTCAAAAAAGCCGTTGTGCTATAGTTGATTCGTCCGTCCATTCATTCTCCTGTTCTACCTGAACTCCATCCATGCCACTCCCGCAATGCATCGCATGTATGTAAGCTTCCCTATACATACCAAAGGAAATTCCCTACCTCCAAGGCTCGCTTCGCAGCCTCTGCCCCAACGCCAACCCAATCCTGACTACCAAATAGCAAGAATCCAATACCCGTCAATCAACCTATTGCATCTCCACTTCCAGAGCGGCCTTTCCATTTGATGGACTTTTAGATCCCGACCCACCCTTGCCCATCCCAATCCCCAGCCCAGCGATCCCATCTCTCAAGCTCGCAAAACTGCCGGGTATAGGCGTGCTCCCATTAGGGACAACATTTGCAGTGCTGCCTGCGGGGACAACGGTATGAGCTGTCTCCACACCAGTGAGAACGCTACGACCCGCACCCACCGTATCCTGAGTGCCAAGATATTTATCGGTCGCTGCATTGGAAGGTCCATTCATATCCTGGTCGGTGCGGTTGAAAACTTCGTTCCACCACCTGATTTTATCCAGTTTCGGGAAAAGCAGTCGCTCTCTTCCTTTGACGTGGTCGTCTATATCACCACCGTCGTAGTTTTTATTCGTGAATTCAGCGCGCCGGGACAGGAAGTATGACCAGACACTTGCAGTGCGTTCTCGCAGCCGAGCATCCAAACGTGATTTCTCGTTGTTGTAGAGGAATGTGCCGTATTGGCAGGAGTAGAGGTGATAGAGCAGTCTTCGCAGGAAGCGCTCGTTGAATTCGAAGCGAGTAGGATATTGGTGGAGAAGCTGGAAGGTGGCATCCAAGAACTGATGGAAGACTGGACTCGTTTCTTTTGGTTTCGTAGCCTCCTTGTCTGCAAGACTGTCTTTGCCAGAGGACTTTTTAACTTTTGGCGAGTCCTCGATTGGGACCATCTCTCCGTCAGAATCAGCTATGGCGTCTTGACTCTGGTTACTTTTATTGAAGAACCTCTTGGCACTGAGCAATGCGTTTTCGATTGCGTCGCTTCTGCCGTCACTATTCCCCCCTGGTTGAATTGCAGAGCCTGCAAGAGCATCATTTTGCGTTTGAAACCACTTTTCACTGTTAAGAAATCCTGAGCGATGCTGGAACATATGACCAAATGCCAACCAGTCTTTCTCCACAAGCACGATAAAGCCATCGATCGTTCGGAAGTATGGATCGAGCATGATTTGAGATAGAGCACTGAGTTGACTTGTTCGATCCCAGCCGTCAGAGCAGTGTATCAAAACATGAGAATGCTGAATCCCAACTTGTCGAGCGATCAAAGCAGATCCATCAAGTAAGCCAGTGATATGCTTGAGCCATCCGCTTTTAGCAAGAAGTTCTCGATTTGGTGGTAGTTTCGAGATATCAGAATCTTTGATAGCCTCGATCACTCTTTCCAGAGACGACCTCATCACATGGATGTTATCAATTCCCAAGTAAGCTTTTGTAGCGAACTTGTAATGATCCATGTTTTCTGACCCAAGTCCAACGGCCTGCATGGCTAATGCGTTTACCGTGGGTCTGGCATCTACAATGAGATTGTGCTGCTGTGCTCCGTAGATATGGGGCTTTTCGCCTACAACTTCGATGGTGGAGGAAGATATAAGCTCATCCTCCAGCCTCTCTGTTTCCGAGAACTCGCCATCTGTACTTGACGAGCCAAAGTCTGCTTGACTGGAGGCTGGACTTGCTCTGGACACGGACGAGGAAGAAATCTCAATCTCATCAGGTTGTGCACAAGCAGAGAAGCAAGCACTGACAAGCTTTTCGTCTTGTATGCTACGGTTACCCCTCAAACCGGCAAGCGGCTGTGAACTTCTAGTAATCGAACAGTTGTTGACTGGATGAAGGTATGTTAGAACAGGTATCCGTACTCTTGAACGATATCTCCCAGCATAATTCAAGGTATTGTCGGATATTGTGGAAGGAACCGGAAGTAACGAGGGATACGTGGGGGAGAAACCGTAATCTATGTTGATTTTCGATATCCTCCACCCCCTATCCACGCCCTTGTCGCTGATGCCCTGGCGCTTCCATTCTGCCTTTGCATCGTACAATTCCCATCCATTTATCTTCTTCTCGGGCGGTGGAGGCTCGTAGCTGAAGGCATATAGTTTTTCTATACTTCCAAGCTTGCATGTCGCTCCCTTTATGCTTTCAAAGGCATCCCTAGCTTGCTTATCGTCAACGAAGTTGAAAGTCAAGAACCGAAAGTCGCGACCTCGCAGTCTTATTGATGAGGCTAGCCCGGACCCTGGCGGAGTTGGACGAAATGTGCAGAAGCCTATCATAGGATACGCAATCCATGACTCTCTTGTCCTGGGTTTCGGAGGGGGTGCGGAGAGGTCTTGTGGTAATGGCGGGGTGATGGTCTGAACCAAAATGAGATGATGCGCCGTCAAGTGTAATGTCACTGTGGATATTTCTCCTCCTCCAAGTACCTGAACGTTCTCGATCTTGAAATATACGTATCAATCAGTATGTATCACCGGTGCAAAGTCCAGTTTGCTTCTGACCTTTGTTATCCTGAGCTTGTCGACCATCTTGTCCTCTGCTGATGTTGCGCTCGTACTTCAGGAACAATACATGAATAGCTTCTCATAACCCGAACCCACTTCCGATAAAAATGACCTTTCTTAGCATCCGCCAGTCGTTTCTCGTTTCATGAAAAGTCCTTGTGTTATGGAGTGGTTGTCTGAATTCCACGGTGTATTGATGTTGTGTTGGCTGTACCTTGCTTCTAGCTTCGGGAAGCATTCGTTTCTACCCAGCCAGCTCCTGTCAGACAGCTGCAGAGAAATGCAAGTGCAAAGGAGCGGACGATTCACTTGGCACCTAAGAAAGCCTTACTTGTGGACAGAGTATAACTTTGAAATGGTTGAAAGGTTCTCAATATTTTCGAGCACATGAACATGACCATTATCACCCCCATTCAATTGTTTGGTAGCCTCGCGGCTGACCTCTGACCTCGATTCGAGGGGCTAGTACAGTCACATGACCCCGAGACGGACGATTTTTGGCTAAGCGAAGCCGCCCCGCGCACAATCGTTGAAACTCCGATCCAATCTCGAAGTTTTGTCGACAACCACGATATCGCCGCCAACAACGACTTGAACCTCTTTCAGCAGGTTCAATCGACACATACAATCCGTCAAAATGTCAACTCCCGGTGCTGCGATGTAAGAAATCCCGCTTTGCGCAGCGTCCCAGCGCCGTCAAAACTACTTCCAGCGAACTTCGAATACTAACCCTCGAATAGCTCCAAGAGACGCAAGTTCGTGGCCGATGGTGTCTTCTTCGCTGAGTTGAACGAGTTCTTCCAGCGCGAGTTGGCTGAGGAGGGATACTCTGGTGTTGAGGTCCGCGTTACACCCACAGTCACCGACAGTAAGTTGAAATCCAGCTTCAAGAGGACTTTGTCCACAAGGTCTAGAGGCTTCAATGGCAGAATCCATTTCTGGATCTGCAACATCTGTTTTCAGAATGCTAAATCTTTCTAGTCATCATCCGCGCAACCCATACCCAAGAAGTTCTCGGAGAGCAAGGACGAAGAATCCGCGAACTCACCTCCCTCATCCAGAAGCGATTCAAGTTCCCAGAGAACTCCGTCTCTCTCTACGCCGCCAAGGTCCAGAACCGTGGTCTCTCCGCTGTCGCCCAATGCGAGTCCCTTAGATACAAGCTCCTCAACGGTCTTGCCGTCCGCAGAGCATGCTATGGTGTCCTCCGTTTCATCATGGAGAGTGGTGCTAAGGGTTGCGAGGTTGTCGTTTCTGGAAAGCTGCGTGCCGCTCGTGCGAAGAGCATGAAGTTCACCGACGGCTTCATGATCCACTCCGGTCAGCCAGCAAAGGACTTCATCGATTCGGCCACTCGTCACGTCCTCCTCAGACAAGGTGTTCTCGGTATCAAGGTCAAGATCATGCGAGGATCCGACCCAGAAGGAAAGTCAGGACCACAGAAGTCGTTGCCAGATTCCGTTACTATCATCGAGCCAAAGGAGGAGCAAAGCGTTGTCCAACCAATGTCCCAGGATTACGGTGCGAAGGCTGCTGCTGCACAAGCCGCTGCTGAGGCTGCACGTGCGACCGAGCAGGGTGAGGAAGCTCCAGCAGAGGAGCAATAGACTACTGGGGATTGGGGACATTCTTTGATATGGCGCGTGGGAACATTTGCAGACCTTTCGGTTGTGGGCTTGTAATGTATCGCAAATGAAAACACAGGCTTTCGAAACTTCATACACGAGAGCATAGCTGATGAATAATGAATTTGGACATGTGAATACTCTCAAGATTCTAGTTTCTTGAAACCTTTTCCTCCATGCTATGGTTACCAAGCGCCAGTATATCATACAGAAATGTCTTCTTTCTTATGGTACAGAAGCAGACCCAAAACGCCGGAACCTCATGCAATCGTATGAAGAGACTCTTCTTGCAGACCATGCTGCTAACCGGTCATCTTAGGATTGGCCGTACCAAAGCTCCTGTCCCGCTGACCATATACAAATATTTAAAGTGCGGTATCCCAACATGAAACTTCAGGTCACCTTGACGATGATTTCCTCGGCCGATCTATCGGCTCGCTGAAGCTCCTCTTACTCGCACTCGCACTGGCACTTCCATTACCATTACCATTCATCTTCCCGTTGGCGTGGATATGAGAGTCATCATCGCTGTCTTCAGTCAACTCTGTAAGACCTAGGCCCTCTTCTTCATCATATGCGTGTATCAGTCCCTCTCTGTCTCCTGTTCTGCCATATCCACTGCCCACGCTCATTCTGTGCGGGTCCAAACTTCTCCTAGACTGCATGCTCCTTCGTGTCTGAATGCTCGAAATGATGTCCGTGGCAATGCCATCATGTGTAGTTCCAGCAATCATCCTTTGTCCGTTCGGATCTCCACGCGAAATGTTGAGGAGATATACCCCGGTAAATATGACCAGGAAGCCGCAAAGTAGAGAAATTGTGTTAACGGCATCAGAAGTGTTGAATCCGCCGTATAGAATGAAGGAAGCTGTAAGTGTTGCTGTGGTAAATGTAACGTAATAGAGTGGATTGACGCTGTTCTTTTATTAGCTCAGCTCCTTGTATATAACCGTGTCGTGTCTTACATTGATGTTGGGAACTGGCTCAGAGCCTTGTTGAAGTAGTTCATCTGCGTCATGATGCAGACTGAGCACAAGATAATGAAGACATATGTCGAAGGGTGAGTAAACTGGTTGTTGCCAGCCAGAGTCAGCTTCACAGCGATTCCAAACGCCTTGACAGACATGACTGAAACTCCTCCAACAGTAGAGCAAATCGACAGGTAGATTAGAGGGTTCTTCTTCCCGTACTTCGGCGCGATTTTGTATATCATGAAGACTGCAAAAACGGCCACTGCAAAGCAAAACAGCAAAAAACCTTCAACCCAGTCAGTTCTGAACTTTGTCAGCACGGAAGACTGCCCTTACCAGGCTGGATCGCATAGTGAAGAATCTCGTCAATGGTCTGAATTTCTTTATCCGGAGGCGCATGAAGCACAATGATCACAGATCCGATGAGGCAGGTTGCACATCCCAGTTTCCCCAAAGTTCCCAGCTCCTCTTTCAAGAAGTATGATCCTAACACAGCACCAATTAAAACACTCAGTGCCCCTAGAGGTGTTACCAAAATCGCGGGGGCAAATGCATATGCAGCGAAATTGGCGATCTCTCCAGCGACCACTATACAATGTCAGTGGTTGCAAGAAGAGAAAGTGTGGGTGAAGCGCATACGTGCTAGAATTCCCGCCCACCATATGGGGCTCTTGAGATATGAAAATCCATCTCCCTCGAAGCCATGCCTCTCTTCAGCGTCAATTAAACCCTAGTGTTGTTAGTGCCAAGTTCTTCACAATATATGCCACTTGTCTGTTCTGGAAAAGGATCGGAGTGTCAATACCTTCTTTGTGATGACGAAACTCGTTCCTATAGCAAAGTTAATATTCGTCCGCAATGGGAGCGGACATTTCATACCTATCGCCAGAGTAGATGTGATGGCCAGAGCCAGGCCAATGTATCTGTCATGGAATCAGCCCTTGAATCTCCCCCGTCTTGCGCAACCCGAATGCGCAACACCAGTTGCCGTGATGTGCTAACGTACTTGTCTTCTAACATCTTTGCGCAGCTTTCAGACTTCCCCCTCCTGTCGATCCCAACGTCTTGCTATCAAGGAGGCTCGCGCTCGCTCGTCGTGAAGGGTTCGTCCAGGGGTCTTGATAACCAAGTCCAACGCAGAAGCGTGCCGGTGGGCTCTCTCCCGCCTTTGATGATCGTACTGATATATGTATATGCCGAAACGGTGCGGAGAATCGAGTCGTCGATCGCAAATTGAAGAGACCTTCGAGTGATGGTTTCGGGCCCTGGTCAGGTATGCTCGCGGATTCTACTGTTATCGAAAGCCGAGGCGATGGTGTGTGCTGGCGGCTGTGGATTTCGCGACCAATAAAGGACGAAGTAAGTGAGTGTAATCTGAGGGATTGGCTGGTCTCGAGATGAGGCCACAAAGCAGACAGGTGGGTATGTGCGTCCCTTCGCGTGCGAGTGGAGATGCGTGAGGTAAGGTAAGGTGGTGTTTGAGACGAGGGCTCAGAAAATTGCTGGACTGGGCTGGGCTGGTTTGAGGCTCTGGGGTTTGCTTTGCTCTTTTCTTCGTTGGAAGTGAAACCCTTAAACTTAGGTTTGTCACGTTGTCCAGTCCAGAACCAGCATCGGACGGGCTGCGCCTATTTTTAGTGTACCTTAATATTGGCGGCGCTCCGCCATTCTCAGTAGGTAGGTTTGCCTTTTACCTACCTAGGTCCTGGTTGTCCCTAGGTATGATCCGCCCCTCTTCGTTTAACCCCTTTTCCCCTGCATCCATCAAGCAAAACCGCTGCAAGGACGCGCACTTCAGTGGAGCTGCGGAGAATGGTTTCTTGCGAGAAATAATTGTACACGAGCCATCTTGACGTTTCCCATATTGAATGATAAATATATGCTTCAGACAGTAATTTGTGCCTTGAGATATGGCCGACTGCTGCTGGCAAGCAAGATAGGAAAGAGTTCTACTAGGGAGGAAAAGGCAAGGGAGACATGCGATAATTTCACACCATTCCTTACAAACATGTCACGTACTGACAGACCAGCGCTAATGGAGTTTTACTGGCTTGAGTATTTTTTGAGATGCTCATCTACAACATCGTTCATATCCCTCTAATCCTACGTACGTGAAGGCACACCAGACTTGTTCATAGAGAGCCAGCAACATTCGTCAGTGTCAGTCGTTGCTATCAAAGCAGTAATCCACCCCTGAGCTACGTCCACTGAATGATATTTAAAAGTCTCTCTGTAAGGAAATTGGCGTCAACCCTTCTTCATAGGCGCCATTCAACACCCAGACCTGAATGCAAAGTAATAACGAAGAAGAACGCCGTGCTATGCTAAACCGCCAGAACCGGACCTTGAAGTGTGAAGCTGGTGTGTTACGGGTATCATGTTATTTTGGAGGGGAAGAAGCAAAGGGGCGGAACGGGGGAATGTATGATTATACCTGTCGGACTTACTGTAAATGAGTTCCTAAGGCACTGTTAGTAGTAATCGTACATGGAGGTCGAGCTCGGGAGTCGACTGGGTAAATGGTAGGAGCATCCGATATCATGCATCCAAGAGCGGTGTCCAAAGGGTCATGTCGATATGAAAGTTGAGATGGAGCCAGTTGCAGCAATAGATCCGGCACAGATCGAGATGCTTGAAATTGACCAGAAGCTGAGTCAGAGATGAACGCAGCGACGCCTCCATATGGTGGGTGAGATCATGACCGTGGACGCTTAGCATCTGAATTGTATTAGCAGATGCTTCGTTTCTTGTTCAGTGACCTGAACATACCATTGGCCAGAGTAGTCTGGGAGTCAGTGGACTCAACATCTTCAATTGATCTCTTGCCATTAACATTTTGGTATCCAGGAGCCTTGAGTGCGGCGGTAGGAGCTGGCAGCGAACGCTTTATTTCCTCGTCATCATCTTCATAGTCAATTTCATCCTTCTGCTCTGCGATCTCTGCAACCCCAGGACTTGTCGCGAATGTAGCACTCATGTTCGGCTCAGCCACCGTGGTTCCTTCGAGCATACCGACTTCATACTGGATCTCATCCGCACCTATTGTGACACTTGACTCCGCCGTGTCAACAACATCTAGACTGCTCGCCTTTGAAGTATCTAGGGTGTCGATGTGTCCATTCATTTCATCCAGCCCGAGGAGATCGTTGCCTTGCTCTGGTTCACCTTGGAAGGGCAACCCGACAACCTCAAATTCAAGGTCATTATTGTCATAGTCTGAAGTGGTACTCAGATGACTAGCACCTTGTTCAGCTTCGTAATCATGATCCAGCTCGGCGTAATCATGGTGCTCAAACTCTCCTTCATATTGCTCCAAGGTAGCATTGCTCTCATCGTTCTCTGTACCGACTTTGGCAACACCGCTCAATGTGAAGGTATCATGATCCGTTTCCTCATGGTCACATTTCAAATCGTTTCCGGCGAAGTCGCCGTAGTCGTTGTCGTCAACGTCCTTAACCTCGAAGTGCTCATAGCCGATTTCGTTCTGGTCAGTATAAATTTCCTTCTCAACTGTTTGGGTCTCATCGCCGAGCCTAACAGCGCCATCGTCGGCCAGTGAAATTATCTCGCCTTCATCGTTCGATTGCTGTTGCTCAAGAGCTCTCTCTTCGGATACCTTGTCGTGCTCCTCAGGGGTGGCTGCAGCGGATGACTGGCGCCTGTCGAGGGAGCGACGATGTAGGAGCTCATCCCTCTGTTCGAATTCTTCTACGATGAGTCGTTGGCATTCAGAACAGAAACAGGTTTGGGGCAAGAAACATGTGGAACGAAAGAAATCGGTGTATATACCGGTAGCTGTCTCATCAATATCTGTGTTTCGTGCAGCGGCTTTTCGCTTCTCCTCGACTTTAGTACCCTCGTCATCTGAATAATCGATCAGATCTCCATCTTCATCGATATCACTTTCAACCCCCTGCTCAGATTTTGTTGACTTGAGAGCTGTCGTCTTCGGAGTCATGACAAGGGGATCGTTTGCAGAGCCAGTTAGCTCTGGAGAAGCAAGCTGTTGTTCGCTGGCGGATTTATTTTCTGGTTTCTGCATATCAATCTGCCCATCCGCTGGTGCTACTAGAGTCTGGCCAGGATCTCCGCTTTCTGCAATCTCGTACTGCGACTCTTCATGGAAGTTTTCCGTAGCTTCGGCGGGCTCTTGGTCTGCACCATTCGAATTCAGGTCATGTTTGCTCTCTCCTAGGTCCTCGGAATCGTCCAGACCAATGCTCTGGTCATCCCAATAGGCAAAGTGAGACAAGCCTTTACCTTCTGCAGCGCCCGCTAAGAGAGTCGAAAATCTGCGAGAGAAGTTGGTTCTCGTCTTCAAGACAATATGACACTCCCCCGAGTTTTCAAGGCCATCGTTTTTCGCCAGCTTGGCATGTAGGCTCAGTACTTCTAAAAGGGTTACATCACCGATAAAGGAGGATACCTGTTCCAGCTGAGTCAGCTTCACATCGTTAGAATTGTTGTTTATAAGACCAACCTCTTCAACCTGAAGACCAAGACTATCCACAACAAGGCACAACTCATCTTCATCGGTAAGGTCGTTTCGGATTACCTCGCGAATCGCCTTGAAGAACTCACTGAGGGGTTTCTCAGCTATGGTCTTGTCTGACAGGAAGTATAAATCTGGGTCATCATGCTCTGAAGCGGAGAATAGAGCGTACTCGACTTCTCGATACACAACTACCACAGTTTGGAGGCTGGGTGTGTCATTGATTGATGCGATATCAAACCTGCTATTGTTCGCATCATGAAGCTGTGCCGAGTCAATGTTTTCGTGTGTACTGTGAGGAGGACTTGGGCCAGGCTCGAGAATTGAGGCTGGAGGGCTTCTAGGTTCGGTGGGAGCTGTAGGAGGAAGGCTTTGACTTGGACTAGAGACTTGCGATCCTTGACCGGCAGTATTTTGAGCAACGGTTTCTGCACTCTTAGTATGGGAGTCATCTTGGACTTGAAAATCTTCCTCTTGGAGAACGACCCCGGGCTGTTGTTGAAGATCAAAACCAAGCTTTTCATCGCTCCTAGCATCATATCCGTCATAGAGAAGGCCGTTCGTATCAGCTGCAAGAAGCTGATCCCCATTTTGTCCATACATCCCAATATACGAGGCATCTCCATCAGTGGCGAAAGACATCGACTCCTGCTCAATAATGTGCTCGGTTTCTTCTTCCAGTAGCTCTGCGTCCTCCATCTGGTAAGATTCGTTGTCATCGTCAAGCATTATATCGTCGTTCACTGTAACTGATGTTTGGGGATGGAGCTCGTCTTCGATGTCATCAAGGTGGGAGGTGGCATCTTCAAGTATGAAGTCCTCGTCACCATGGTCTCCAGTCAGATCCAGGTCAAGATCGATATCACCCTGTTCATCATTGTGACCGTGATCAGAGGAGATCTCCATCGTGTCATCTACCATGGCTGTGAGACTGGGAGGCGCCCAGAAGCCTGAAGTATAAAGGTGTGCAGGGTAGTGATTCGAAGAGAGGTTTGGAGCCCAAGCAGCAGTTCGAAGGTGACAACTTGGAATAAGTAAGACCTCCACTAGTCTTTGAATGATGACAGTTTGGATGTCCTTCGGGAGATATGTACGTTGCAACTTGTGAGATTACAAGAGAGGCGTTTCTACCTGTTGTCTGACAAGGAGTCACAGACGAAGCTGAGAACGCTCTGGAAGAACGCGTTACAAAGCGATTATGGAGTTACCCAGAATAATTTGAAGGCTTTGCTCGTAGAGAAGACGCGAACACAACAAACTGGCCAATGTAGTCGTGATTGAAGACAAGGCGATTCCGGCGTAAGACGTGTTGAAAGTTGCTGTTATTTAAAGCTCGAAATCTGTAATGCTGCGAGCAGCCTGTGAACTAAACTCACGTTAGCGCATACTTGGCATGAATATTCGGCTAAACTGCTTTGAGACAAGGGTGGTTGTGGACACACTCTGGCCAGCTACCACCATATACAGCTTGGGCGCTTTCCTTCATAACTTCTACAGACAACACAGTCCAACGTCGCAAATATGGTACGTATATCCAGCTGTAATTCCGCTCAGAATGCCTCTACTTACCTGTACAGGTTGTCCTAGCTGCTTCCATCTGTACCCGCGGGGGTAAAGCCATCATTTCCAGACAGTTTCGAGAGATGCAACGATCCCGAATTGAAGCCTTACTGGCATCCTTCCCTAAGCTGGCAGATACTGGAACCCAGCATACGACCGTAGAACAAGATAATGTGCGGTTTGTCTACCAACCGCTCGACGAACTCTATATGGTACTTATTACCAATCGCCAATCCAACATCCTTCAAGATATCGATTCACTCCACCTATTCGCACAAGTCGTCAGTAGCACATGCAAAACACTGGATGAGAGAGAGATATTGAAGAATGCCTACGAATTGCTGAGCGCTTTTGATGAGCTGGTTACCCAGGGGTATCGGGAGAACCTTACCATCAGCCAGATCAAAACATTTTTGGAAATGGAGAGTCATGAGGAGCGCATACAGGAGATCATCTCAAGGGTAGGAAATCCGTGGCTGTCTGAGAACTGCGAGCTAAACGTTACCAGAACAAGGAATTGGAGGCCACCGAGGAACGGAAAAGAAAAGCAAAGCAACTTGAGATGCAGCGCAAGGAGGTCTCACGGAGCGGCAGAAATGCTGTTCCCCGAGCGCCTGTTTATCCCACATATACACCACCTGCCCGTTCTGCTGTAACCGAGACCTACGATTCATACGAGGCGGAGAAGAACAAATCCTTCAAGTATAAACCCTCTCCACAAATTATGTTTCCACGTTCTGACCGTGTATCAGGTCCGCTCCAAAAGGCAAGGGAATGCAATTGGGTAAGAAATCAAAGACCACGGATATGTTTGAACGCGTGAGAGGCGAAATGGGTGCGGAAGTCGAGGAATTGGCCTCGAGCCCATTAGTCCCCAATAACCCTGTAAACGTTGAGCAGACACCAGCTCCTGCCTCTCGTATCTCGTCCTCCTTGGATCGGGATGCAATTCATGTCACTATCGCAGAAACAATATCTGCCAAGTTGTCGAGAGAAGGCGCTTTGAACTCGATAGAGATCAAGGGAGACTTGCAGTTGAAGATCTCCGATCCAACCCTGACCAAAGTCAAGCTGGATCTGGTCGCCAATGCGAGCCACGGTGTCCAGTTCCGGCCGCATCCTAATGTCGATAAGGCTCTCTTCAACACTTCCAAGGCTTTGCAGATGAGTAATACAGCAAAGGGATTCCCCGTCAACATCTCCGTTGGTGTGCTTCGATGGAGAGCTGTACCAAAGGCTGATGATTCAAGCGCTCTCCCTATCTCGTTCACAGTCTGGGTCAACAAGGGATCCGATGACACTTACAACATTACTGTGGAATACGAGCTCACTGGAGGTGATTCATTGAAGGATGTCACAGTCATAATTCCTTATGCCACCAGTGAACCGGCTGTCTCCAGCTTCGACGCACAGTACGAGGTTTCCGGGGATAGCTTGGAGTGGACGATTGGTCTAGTTGACGACGACAATGCTACTGGCTCTTTTGAATTCGAGGCACAAGCAGGCGATGAGAACGAGTTCTTCCCGATGCAGATCAAGTTTGGAAAGACAAAGCCATTCATTGATGTTGACGTAAGTGTTCGGTTCCAATTCGTGGATTAATATTGACATTTTGATCAGGTTACAAATGTGACGCTGTTGGAGATGGATGAAGCCGTTACATTCTCGAAGGAGATCAAATCTGTAGCTGACTCTTATGTAATTGAGTAATGGGCGTGGGACGGAAGCAAAATCAACTTGGGGCTGGACATGGCGCAAGTCAGGTAGTGTCATGGCCTAGATCGATCAGGTACTTGCAATAGAGAAATGAATAAAATTAAAAAGAATTATACACTTTCAAGGACTTCCACATGCCGTTGTCGAAAACACCTGCAGTGCTCGTACTTTGATGTTGCTCGCTTAGCTTAAAACGCGAACCACGCGTTTTGGTGGCTCTTTCCGCTGAGTTCTTGACAGCGTGACTATCTTCGAAATGCAAGAAGTTCAAGTTCACCATATGCTCTGCGATCCGACTTGTACCTTATGACAACAAATCTGAATATCACTCGGCTAAACGCTTGCCATCGATATGGCTACGCCCACAGATCTCCAAATTCTCAGCGAAAAAACACTCCACCATGCAGCGGACCCTGGCCTCATTACCTACTGCCCGTCGATGGACTTGCTTGCACTTGTGACCACAGATCAACAGGTTTTCATCTACCGTTTGAATGGACAACGAGTCTATGGCGCCGTACAGAAGACTGATAAGCTGAAGGTTGAGAGCATTCGATGGAAGCCAAATGGTATGCCGCCTTTGACAGCATACCCTTCGCTGCGAATGAAGCTGACCCATCTTTGTGCAGGACAACTGCTCGCTATCGCATGGAGCGATGGATCTGTTCGACTCGTCAGCGCTGAGAGCTCTAAGATCGTGCTTCAATTCTCAGCAGGGGACCAGGTGGGAGGCATCACGTGCATGGGCTGGGCGACGAATACGATACACAGATCCAGCTTATCGAGCTCAAAGAAGAACGTAGAGTCTTGGGCGTCTTTCCTGGCTGCAGATGGAGATTTTTTCGACGAGAAGGCGCCCTTGGATCTGCCACAGGATCTCTCGTTGATTGATATCGAAATCAGCCTTCCGAAACTGAGCGTCTTGGCAGCTGCTGGGAATTCGTAAGTTGCGAAAATACCTCAAATTTCTTTTCTTAACAATACTTCAGGGAAGATGTCTTCTCTTCAAGGTCATCTCTCGATGCTCTCTTTCGTCCATTCGATCCTAAGGACAACTCTTCTGTCAACGTTATGGTTGTCGGCACCAAGGAGGGAAATATACATCTCAGTATCTATGACTCGTTTGAGATTGGGTCTTTCTTATCACCAGTAACGATTGATGGAGCTCCATGCCATCTTATTCGTCATGCATCCTACCAAGACTTCTCTACTCATGCTTTACTTATGGGACTACCAGAGTCGGGCAAATCACTGTACTTTGTTCCCATGGACCTTCGCTTCATCTCCGCATCAAGCGAATACCTTTCTCTACTTGCATCGCGGTCCACGGCTCTCAACAATCTCTTGAGGTACATCCACCAAGTCCAGGTTCTGATGATCAGTGAGTGGAAGTCAACTCAGGAATTACCGAGTAGATTTCTCCGGAACATCAACGAAACCCTTGCAGAGAAGGAAGACAATCGAGATATCGTTCAGGCCCTGTATCACTCTGTGGCTACCGGCCACACATTTCCATCCGTACGAGAATGGCTGGTTGATGAGCTTTCCGAAAGGGTATGACTCGCAACACTACCTTCCTTGACTCGACTAATGCCAACAGGGTCACAAGCGTTGGGATAAGGCTGTTACGACAGGATTGGAAAACTTGCGACGTCTTGTTCACGAAAATATGCTACCAGCACTGGAGAGATGCTCTATCATCCTCAGTCGATTCCTTGGTATCGTGAAGTTTCAAGGCTCAAGCAGCTCTATGGGCTTCACAAGTCAACAGATCAATCTGATCATGGACACTGTCGCTTGCATGCATCTTGTATCGTCCAAGATACTGATTCAAGTTGTAGATGAGCTCGAACTATTTACGTCATTCTCGACGTGGCTTCGTCATGAGATTGACAGACTTGCTTCAGATTCATCTTTGCCAAATGAAGATGTTGACAAGGAGTCCTCGATTGATCATAGCAAGGTACTGCTGTACATCCAGTCTATCATGACTTCCAGCCCTCTGGCCATATACCTCAACGACCCTTCATCATCTGACGATAACGAAACCTGGACCCATTCCAAATATGGTGTGCCCATGTTTGACCTCTTAGACAAGGAGATTCAAAAGCAGGAGCGTGGCTTGTCATACATAAAACCACTCCCTCGCGTTGACCTCCTTTGCGCATTTTTTCAACAACAAGCACATTCTATTTTTGGTAAGATTGCAGAGGCCGAGAAAAGAAATGTATTATTTGGGAAGCCTCAGAACGTGGGGATCGTCGAGGTTGATGGGCCGGTAGATATGCGGATGAGTGCAAAAGTGAGTAGCTTGACTTCCTGGCTGTCCCTTCTAATTACTGATTAGGGCCAAAATGTCTCCCAAACACATATAGCGTCCGTCCCCAAAGGCTCACCTAGTGCTGGTGAGTTGTTCAATACAGGCAATCACTGTTCACACTAACGCGAACTAAGTGCATGTTGTTCGGATTACGTTGTCCATCGAGAACGGCATAAGTTCTCAGCACAGCATAGTTTCCTCTACAATTCAGCTTGGTACTGGCCAAGTTCGAGACGTCAAGTTTTTGGACGACAGCAGCCTTCTCGTGCTGTGGGAACTGGACGGTATGCTGCAGCATTTATGGCCTTAGCGTTTTGTTAGCTGACTAGGACAGGGACTGTGAGCCTCTTGAGCATCTGCTATACCTCGACAGAGAAAGCATATTCGTTGACCTATACTCCACATGGAGGGGCAACAACTCCCATATCTGTCAACAATGAAGATGTTTTGAAAATGTTCCCAGGTTACAAGTTGCCTGGGGATGGTTCATTTAACCCTCACAAAATGGAGATTCGGGGAATGTCTGCCAGCAGGGGTAAGGAAGACTTGCGGAGATTGTTCCTGCTTGGAAAGAATAGGACGCAATACAAGATTGTCAAGCTTGCGGCCAAGGATTCTTTGGTGGAGCGACAGGATGAGGATTCTTCGATGACCTGAAGACAAATGTCTGGCACCCGTCAGTGCAAATTCAGTATGTTCCAATTTTCACTCATTACCAGAAGCTCTCCGAGCTTCTAGATAGACGCGTCGTATCGGTGATTCCGCCCTCGGTGAACTTCAACGTTCATTTAGAGATCCATTTTAGGCGAATTCTTCCTACTGGCAGGGGTCTGCGACTAACTTTTATGGTAGGAGGGTTGACCAATAAATACTCGATTGGCATCGGACGCTCGCCTCGGGTGGGACAAGATCCAGCGGCATCGTGCATCCTGGCTCCTGGCTGCTGGCGACCTGCATGCGGGCGGCGGCGCGGGCGGGGCTGGATAGCGGAGTGCATTTAGAGGGTAGAGCCTATGGCAGGCAGTATTTCCACGGCGGATCGTGCCACTCTGTACGCTAAAGCTGTAGGTCAAGCCTAGCAGAGTTCCGGCCTAGGTCTACTACAGGGTTCCGTCAAGAGATAAGACTGCGGCGAATCCCAGGACAATTATTTGTGATTCCCTTTTCCAGTCAATTTTCTACACGCAAACTCCTGCGACAAATTGATACTGTTTTTCCATTCCATGAATTATTCTCGTCCTTTTGTTAAGCCTTCTCTCACACTCGTTACCCAGCCCATGCAATCACCACCTCGTGATACGCAGCAACGACATCATGGCCGCCCAAGGAGCCTCGGGTGACATGAAGAGCCCTTATGATTCTTCCTCCAGGGAGTCGGCTCGGAATCCAGAGGCTGCTTTGATGGCATCTGAAGCATATTCAATTGGCCATGGCGATAAGGCGGATTTTCAAGATATGCTGCGTCTGGGGAAAAAGCAGGAGTTCAAGGTAAAGGCCAATTTTATGTCCGGTATGAGTGACATGAACGATCAAATACTAATAATTTTGGGACAGAGAAACTTCAATCTGCTGTCGACTCTGGGCTTTATCTCGATTTATATGGCAACTTGGGAGTTTGTGCTGGTGTACGTCATGGTTCTTCCTATCTTCCTAGCCTGGCGAAAGTTTTCCGGCCGGAATCACTCAAAGTGAGAAAAATAAATTAACTACTTGCAGTTCTCTGAGTGCAGGTTTCTCGAATGGAGGATTTGGTGGTCTTTTCTGGGTGTTCATTGGCACTGTTACGTGCTACAGCACAATTGTTGCATCTCTCGCTGAGATGACGAGTATGGCGCCAACAAGTGGGGGTGAGTTACCGGACACCAAAATGGCACACGAGAACGAATCCTAATTGGTACAGGACAATATCATTGGGTTTCGGAATTTGCGCCTGCTGGTCAACAGAAGTTCCTCAGTTATGCTGCAGGTTGGTTTACTCACATATCTCAATGACATTGGCTGATTTCAATAGGATGGATGAGTACACTTGGATGGCTGGCCAGTGTATCCAGCAGTGTGTTTGTGATGACAAGTCTTATCGAGGCGATCATTGATGTCTCTAATCCTGACTACCTTTTCAAAGCCTGGCAATATACACTGATCATGTTAGCCTTTCTCATCATCACCATCTTCTTTAATACCTGGGGAGCGAGAACTCTGCCGAAGCTTGAAGTCCTTTCGCTGTTTGGACATCTTGGAGGGTTTTTGGTCGTGATGATCCCGCTACTTGTCATGGCACCGAAGAACTCAGCGAAAGAGGTGTTTACCGAGGTCGTGAACAATAGTGGATGGAAAAACACTGGGACATCGTGCTTAATCGCACAAGTTACTGTGATGTATTGCAATCTTGGTAAGTTTGCCCTGACCATAAATTCTTGGCTTTGAAGTTGTGTACTAATATTCTACAAAGGATCCGATAGTGCTGTCCACATCTCCGAAGAGGTCGAGAACGCATCTATCAACGTCCCTCGAGCTATGTGGTGGAGTTACATCCTCAACTTAACAATGGGAATTACCATGCTTATTGTCATGCTCTTCTGTATTGGGCCCTTGGACGGCGTTCTAGAAGCACAATCGCCATATCTCGCGCTCTTCAAGAATACAGGATCCGATGCAACTGCCACCGCTCTGCTCGTCATTCTCTTCCTGCTCATCTCGCTGGGTAACATTACTGCGCTAGCCACTACTTCGAGAGAGATGTGGGCATTCTCTCGTGATAAGGGTTTCCCGTTCTCGCGCTGGATTTCGAAGGTAGACAAACACTTTACCCTTTATCCCTCTGAGTCGTTGACTAACACTTCAAACAGATGAACCACAAACGCCAAGTCCCTGATAACTCCGTCTACCTGACGTCCATCATCGCCGGTATCCTTTGCCTCATCAACCTCGGTTCCACATTTGCCTTTAACATCATCGTCTCTCTGACTCTCCTCGCCCTCCTCTCCACTTACATGATCTCCATCGGCTGCGTCCTCCGCAAACGCTTACTCGGTGAACCTCTCCCACCGGCCCGCTGGTCCCTCGGTCGATTCGGTATCCCTATCAACATGTTCGCATTCTTCTATTGTGGATTTGTTATGGTATTTGCGTGCTTCCCAGCGGAGTTGCCGGTGGATACGTCTTCGGCAAACTGGGCGCCGGCTGTGTGGGCGGGTGTGCTGGTATTGAGTGTGGTTATCTATGTTGTGCATGGTAGGAAACACTACACTTCCCCTGTAGTATTTGTGGAGGGCAGGAGGGCGGAGGGCACGGAATTGCAGGGTGTGAGTTAAGTTTATAGAGGAGCAGAGATTTGGAAGTAATGGCTATTGAAAGGTAGAAAAGCTGTAGATGAGAAGGTATGAACTCAAGAAATCATCTGTTGCTTGACATTTAAAGAGTTTCTGTTTGTTGAGGGTAAGGCTCGTGTGAGGATTTTCGGTCCAACAGTTGTAACGAATGCCTTGCATTTGGTTCTAGAGGATTGTGGTGCCATTTCCACATTGTAAGTTGCATGTTTCTGCATTTTTCTGGTACATATACAGCTGAATCTAGGTATCTAGTTGAACCTCTAGTCTTGCATACTACTCTAACAGTCATCTGCCAGCTCTCTCGCTCCATACCGCACAAGATTGAGAGATTCTTGTAGAGCACTCGTTCCTTTCTTGTTTCTCTGCGACGAATCTACGTCGACCCCGCCTCCTCAACCCACCCCCCAGATCCCCAATGGATCAGCCCCAACACTCCTCCCCTCCTTCCTCTCTTTCTGCAGCCTCCTCACCCTTTTAACAAGTGTCCCAATTCCCAGCGGCCCAATAATCGTACAGAGTACAATCGCCCACGTCACAACTAGATAGATCTCTGAGCTTTGAGAGCTAGGCTCACCAGATGGAGAAAACAGCCCAGTTGTCTCTGCCAGGGAGGCGATCAAGAAGCCAATCTCGCCACGAGCTGTCATGGCTGTGCCAAGCATGGCTGCTGGGTAGAGGGAAAGGGGTTTGTTGATTTTGGGTGCCGCTTGCGAAGGGGAAGAGTGGGGTGTAGTGGATGTGGGTGTGGGTGTGGATGCATGAGGAGACTGGTCAGTTGTTTGTGTCGGCGGCACTCTGTCGTCTTGCTTTTTGCTTGCAGCCTTCTGACTGAGTTCCATCCCCTCTTGTCCTGCTGCTGCATCCCCCCTCGACTTTCCTTTCGAGCTCTCCTTCGAAGTTGTGATTCCCATACACGAAGCTGGAAATCTAAGAATCGAACGCAAAGCCTTTGGGATGTACGGTGTTGGTCTCGAGATGTCAAGGCGGACGAGCCACACGCCTGTTACGAGCTTGGCAAGGAGCATGAGGATAGTGTAAACGATACCTCGCCAAACGACTGAGCCTTTGAACATGTCTGTAATGGGTATGGCGAAGCCGATTGATGCCTACCTTTGTCAGCTGGGATTGCGGTGATGGGATGAAGTGAGTGGCTTACGAAAAAGAATGGCTTTAGGATTCGTTGAAGAGCGATTTTGTAGTATGCGTGAAATACTGCAGCCCCAGTTGATGCAACTGAATCATGTGCTAGGATTGAAGGTGCGACTTCAGCTCCTTCAGAACTCCTGACCACCTGATCTTGTGCCTGGGTAGCGCTTGATACCATTGCAGTTGATGAGATTTTCTGTTGTGGGCCTGATAGCGTAGGACTTTTCACCTCAGTCTCAATATGTGGTACCTCACTATCCCACCAACTGACAGAAGCTCCAGCAAGGTACGCAGCAAACAGATTCGAAGTACCTGCATACGTAGCACCAGTAACAAGTCCAATAAGAATAAGCGTGTGAATAAGGAACGCGGTATATGTCCCTTTACACATTCTGTCCAGGGCACCTGCCGGACTGGATTTCCGCATTTCATTGAGGAGACAAGTCAACGGTAATGCAACAAATCGGCATACCAGAGGGACAGCCAAAGCGAGGCCAACACTAACAGCCAACGGCCTCGCAACTGTGACCGCATTAAACGAGTCCCTCGATTCTCCCAGATTAGATATGACCTGTACCATCACCAGTCCAACAACATCATCCATCATCGCAGCACTGCTCAGCACGGTTCCCAGTCTCGTGCTCGACAATCCACTCGTACTGAGGATCGTGAACGTAGTGCCTAGACTGGTGGAGCAGAGCGCTGCTCCAGCCGCGAAGGCCTGAAGAGGTGCTGCGTTGGAGAGGGATTGCAATACGAACGATAAGGCCATGGGGAAGCTGATTCCGGTTATTGCCACAGCGGTGGAGAGGAAGAGGTTCGCTTTGAGGGAGCGGAAATTCGTGTCGAGTCCTCCTATTTCGAGGATTAGCATTTATACGAAGCAAGAAAAGGCTATTATTACATACCTTCATAAACAAGTAATATCAAGCCCAGATACCCCAACTGCACAATAACATGCTCCGTTTCTACTGAGAGCCATTTTGCGCCAGGTGTTCCCCACGCTACACCAACGAAGACTTGACCTAGTAGACCACAGAAGATCAAATGATCGAAGACTGTGTTGATGAGATTTAGTACGAGAAGTAGCGAGGTGTGGATGAGGATTGTAACGATCCCTGGCTCGTGATATGGTAGGAATGAGGTGGGAGTTGGATTAGTCGACATGATGTCAAACACCTTTCAAGCAGGATATTCCATAGGCTATCATGGGTGCATCATCAAGGCTTCATCTTAGTAAAAGAGATCCGGATGGACATCCCAGAGAAAATTGATAGGCAGACTATTGTTGACAATTCGGTTGGAGGTCAGAAGAGAAGTTCTCAGACGAACGTCTCAAATGACATCATTCTTCGCTAAGAGTGCAGGTGTGCCCCAATTCTACAAGTGATTGAGTGAAAATTTAGCGATTGGATGCCCTGGAGACTGGTAAGCAAAGGCTAAGTTTCCAGGATGTGAAGCGCTGTGGGCGCTGATAGCACTGGGAGGGGATGGTCAGAAGATAGCAGAACTTAGAACACCTCAAGAATGGATGGCGTTCACAGCGTGAACCAATTAAAGTCAGTACTGGAAACTCATGAATACACTCTCAAAAACCACAAGGGCGCGAAGACCAGCTAACAGAACAGCGATATATGGTACCTATTTATTTGAGAACAAACCAGTAAGCATAACCCCTTCTTTCTCCATGACCACCTTACTTCCTTACATGCCATTCTATTTCCATTCCGTTCTCGGATAGCATCCGTCCTAGATTTCTGCATAGCATACACTCCATCCAAATTCTACTGGAATACTTGTATTAATCCACACAAACACAAGATGATACACGCCGGGGCCTTTCCCACAAAGTCACACCAGCCCATGCCAAAGCCCACGCTGTGGATCCCGCCCAAGACATACCGTACCACCCGCCCACCAAGTAATCCAGCCCAGAGTATACAATACACAGCGTCTGACCTATTGTACCACCGGTACTACCAACGTCGGGTTTCTCGCCTTACGTTCCACAGCAATGTTCAGTACAAATCAGTACCTCCTCCCATCCACAAAACTCCCCCGGTTCCCATTCGCGATCCCATTCTCCCTCCCCACAAATCTGCCCGATTCCCTCGGAGGTCTGTCGTCAAGCTCTTCCGTAACGACAATCTCCTCATAAGCCCTCTCTCTATCTCGCTCTCTTTCTCTGTCGGGTATTCTACTCGGTGCCCTGCTTGGAGCTCTACTCGGAGCACGACTTGGAGCACGACTAGGCGCTCTACTCTCCCTTCTCTTCTCAACGAGAATCTCTTCCTCCCTATCCCGATCTCTATACCTTCCCTTCTCCTTCTCTCTCAACCTCTCTCTAACCTCCCTCTCATCCACATCCACCAGACTGTCTTCACTACTAACACTAGGACTGTACGCCACGGAAACCGGTCTCCTAACAACCTTCTCGCCACCTCCCCTGACATTGCTTCTCTCTCTATCAAGAAGCACACTCGCCGGTCTCACCCTCATGCCCGCTTTCTCACCGACAAGCCTATAGTTTTCCAGATCCTCGCTTCCAGCGATTGTGATCGGTCGGTCCTTCCTCCCCCGCCGCCTCTCGGTTCCGGTTCCGGTGCCGCTCCTGCTACTTCGAGTCTGGCTGCTGCGGATTGGAGGTGCGGATTTGTCCTCCACGAGATCGCCTTCTATGTCGTATTGACCGTGGTCATAGTCGTCTTCTGGACGGCTGCGGCGTTTTCGTCGTCGAAAACGCTTGTAGAATTTACGGCCTGGTGGATTTGTTTATGTTAGCTAGTGGCCAAGTTGTGTGCGGATTATACTCTAGATTAGTTATAGGGAGAATCTGAATTCGGTTCTTAATGAAAAAGAAATAGACAGCTACAGCTATGCGAGCAAGCCACGTCTACGAGCCAGATATTCTTCTCCTTACACAGCAATATTGAAGTACCGAGTAGGGCTGGGGAGAAACCACACATAGACCAATCAACAGTTACACCTCTTGCTTAGGGGGTTTGACTATAACCAAGGTGGGATCGTCTCCAGTAACCAGATTCAACATTTCCTTACCTTTGTTCAGCAAGAGCAGCTTACGCTCGTACGGGCCAAGAGTTTCCTCTACCATATATCGCTCGACTGGTGCGTCTTCCTCTGGGCCAATGTATTCCCACACCCAACGGAGCTCTCTCGGACCAGGACCCTATCAGAAGTTAGATTGTTCCAAATCTAGTCCAGATATCCTACCTCTGGGCCAGGGGCTCCGGGGCCCCAAGATGCGTTGTAAGGGATGGGGTCATGGACTTTGAGGGGAATTTGACGAAGTCTCCAGTACTTATTCAGTGCTTGAGGATCATAAAGTCCTTTATCGTCGAGACCTAGTCCATCGAGCTCAAGCCGAACACGGACACAGCTATGAATACGCTCATTTGTGTCTCGCATGGGAACGTCCGTGAGGAGGCCAGTGTCGGGGTTTGCTCGCATGTTGAGTCCCGGCGTTCGCCATGCTGTTCCGCTCAGATGCCAGAAACTCGTCTTTGAGTCCCAAATCTTGCCGAGACCCCAGGGACGAACAGGCTTATGCTTCTCATAGATTGGGTCTACTGCCCATTGTGGAGTGCGGGAGATCATATTTGAGAGCTTGGCTTGTTGTTTTGGAGGGTTCTCGTAGTAACGAACATTCTGGATGAATACTTTGTCGATGTACTCGTCTTGGAACGCTATTCCAATCGATGCGAGCTGGTCCATCATCCTGCATACTGTTAGCGACGGCGTATGTTAAAGACTGGAATAATTACCAGGCAAGAGTAATATTCGCAATCTCCTGGTCATCGTAACCCCCACCAACATTAGAATGGGCTCCAGGAAACCAGACTTGTCGCAAGTCAACTGTCGTTTGCCGCGAATCTGCTCTCTCCCAAACAGCTGCCTTGAATGGCGATCGACGCTCATCAAGAGCCAGAGCTTGAAAAGCATGTCTGATGTTGCCTGAGAGATTGGTGTCGAAGAATTTGTACTCAATCGTCGAATGAGGAAGTCCAAGTTTGGCAAACAGTGAAATGTTTGGAATACCGAGAGAACCGACAGTATCCCAGACTGCGACTGCATGAACCATAATTCTGTTGCCATTGGGATCGCGGACTCTGGTGAAGCCGTCCTAGATGATTAGCTGTGGAACAAGGTGTCAGGAATGAACACTTACTCGCTCGAGTCTTTCCTTGTACTCGTGAACAGCGTTGGGTCCAGATGGCTTATTCGAGAATGGAATATCTGGGAATATGTCCCGATATCTCTCGTTCTTGAAGTTCTGCTGGTCTTTAAAGATGGGGTAAAAATCGTTCATTCCGGTACGGGTCAGCAGTCCGATATCTCTGATCATACTAGCCACGCTGCGGACAGTGAAAGCTCCTCGACTGAAACCAATGAGAACAATTTCATCGCCTGGGGTGTAATTGGCAGCGATGAAACTGTACACTTCACGAATGTTCTTCGTCCGAGTCAGCACGATGCAGCGAGTCATAGCTGTATACTCACCTCAGAAATTCCTATTCCAAGTAGACCTCCCGTGAGCATGTCCACCTTACTAGAACCTGTGCCAACTCCGGAGTGGTAGTAGATGATTTGAGGAATGCCATCGAGTCCCGTTCTTCTGAGAGCTCGACTGATTCTCGTGACATTCGAAGGAACTTGGAGAACACCAGTTGGCTGGTATGGGATCAATGTTGGTTTCTTGAATCCGTCATCACTGGATAAGTCAGTAAAGTTACTAGGCGGCAGCCTTGATACGATGATCGAGGCTGGATCTCGATCCAATATTATAATAAGAATTCTTGACGGAATGAAAAGAGATCCGCGCTTTGATGCAGCGATGATTGGTAATTCTCAATCATTTACGTACCTGTCCATCCACTATTAAAAATAGTTAGCCAACCTGCCATAATTTGGGAATGGATATGAGGAAAAGGCAATGGTTTCGAGAGATACCATTAACTCTCGAGAGCAGGGGGGCTACGAAGTCTGATACACTTACGGTACCGTCGCAGCAAATCACCAGACGCTTGATTGTGTTCGTTGCCATAACTATGATAGGGGCGATGTGATCCGAACGATTGAGGAAAGTTTAATGAATGAATGAAAGGGAATATTAAAAATTGTTCGACTCGACGTGTAAGGCTTGATGCGTATAAGCTACAGCCTGACGAGATGAAGGTTCAAGAGACGTGGTCAAGGTTTTTGGTCAGCTGCAGGAGTGTCTGTTGTCGATCAATTTCTGGCAGGAAGCCTCGTTTTACGGAAGGTGCGGCCATGCTCTTCTGTTCATTTCCTCGTAAAACAATACTTGGTAGATGATGAGGTGGTCGCCGGGCGTTACCATGACTTTTCAGTTGTGTAAGGTCGCCTCAGCTCGAAAATTCGTAGAAATGGTAACCCCAACCGAGCGAGATTGGGATTGTCTGACCACGCCGAGCGGACGACGACGACGACGACGACGACGAGATAAAGACACCCGAATCAAACACTGGCAGGATGAGACTTCCAAGAAACGACAGTTTGCTACAAGACAAGACTACAGAAATTGAACAGAGCAAGAGGCTGAGGCTGAGAAGAAAAATATCGGGTAGGGTGGATGTGTCTAATCTTACTGCAGCCTTATGGGGGAGGTTGGGGTGTCTTAAATGCTGGGCAGCAATGATTGGGCACACATCGACAACCCATCCCAGCCTTACAATAATGGACACGAAACCAGCACGACCCATTTTGCTGCTCCGTCTTGTCTTCCATTTGTTTTTCGAGTTGCCTTTTGATCTTCCCTGGTTGCTGTACTGTATCATGCGATGGAACTGGAGACTCTTTTTGGGGAAAGTGTAGCCATTATGCACTGCCAATAATGCAAATATGACAGCCGCAGTGCTACTTGAAGTCTGGTACTGCAGAATCAAAGAAATGGAGAAAAGGAAGCAGAAAATCGACCGTTTGCAGGGTTGAGGTCGTCAATGTCTCCAGGTCATCCCCAGAACACAAATCTTGAGTCGTCCGATATCTTGGTGAAAAGAGTCAAAACTCCATAGCTGATCTCGATCCGCCTACGCCTTCTTGATGCTTGATGGAGCTCCGTCAATAACTACTTGGTTACTGCTTGGAGATTGTGAAAAGTACAGGAGAATAGAACATTGACAGAATGGAAATCCTTGCATACCATTCAACCCCCCCTCCCATATCAAAACGATGGTCTAGAAGTGAACGTGGAAACGAAACAATACAGAAGAAAACGAGAAAGAGAAGAGCAGGACATCGCCCTCTTTAACTTATAGAGTTTGTTTACAATTTACACCAAGCAAGTTAAGTTTCTGTTCCAAGGTTTTGCTTCCATTCCTCGCTACAAGGGAGTTCCGGGTACAGTAAAAGTGGACCGTGCCTCGGAGCTTGAGCTTGAGCTTGAGCTTGAGCTTGATGAACCTCATTCAGCGAGACATCGCAAGCTCCTGTCAACAACTCCTCGATTCCATTCCAATACAGCGGCTCTCGACCATCCTCCACTCCAAATTCTCCCACTGAGCACATGAACATGAATCATGCAGCCCAGACACCCTCTCACCCAATATATCTCAGTGATGTCTTATCTCCAGGTCACCCGACAGAAGCTGATAGGATAGCATGCAAAGGAAGCGTGGGGTAACTCCAACTTGACGCGCATCTTCGTCCTACTCTCCCCCCCCATAAAGGCTTCTCGCCCAAACAAATCTAATGTGGCGAACGCAAGTATTTCACTATGTCTGTTGGGCAAAGCTCAGTTGTACAATCCATCAATAGCTTCTTTCTGCGATCCGGATTGACAGCCCAAGACCAACTCGATTGCTACACCTTTGTCCAGAAGCTCTATCCGAACAAATCTATTTCACCAGCAACATGCCAGGGCTACTGCTCACTGACAGTCTTCGTTGGCGACGATACAGTTATACAGTTCCGTCCCTCGAATTACCGACTGGATCTGCGAATCACTTCGGCCGCGCGAGATGTTTATGGTAGATTCGCTCCTAAGACGGAATATATTGCTACACTTCCAGCGTCGGACTTGTTGGTCTACCGAATGGAAAAGATTGGGGGCATACCATTCAAGGATCTGCTATATAGAGGTGCCATCTCTGGGAGATCAATGTCCGTCAGGGTAAGGCTGTGCAGAGACTTTGCTGTCTTTCTCTCGAAATCATGGCACCGAAGCTCGACCGAGCATCTGCCTCTGGGAACCGTGGGCAGAAGCATACGTGCACGCCTCATATCTCTTACCGAGGACTTGCCAGTTCGATTCCGGGCCAGTGCGCGGCACGTACTGGTAGGCCTACATCGCATCGAGGCATTACCGTGGGTATTGACCCATGGCGACATTGTGGCTGCAAATATCATGGTAGATCCTTCATTTGGGGTATTGACTGGTCTTGTGGACTGGGCTGAGGCTGAAAACCTTCCATTTGGAATCTGTTTGTATGGAGTTGAAGAGATTTTGGGAGAAATCACACCGACTGGGTTCCAGTACCGACCTGACGCTGAGTATCTTAGAGCTATTTTCTGGGCCGAGTTGAAGAGATCAATCCCTGCTTTGGGAGTAAGTCACATCTTTGAAGCCGTGAAGCTTGCCAGAGATCTCGGAGTTCTGCTTTGGCATGGCATTGCCTTCGATGATGGTGCAATTGACCGAGTGGTACAAGAAGGCCGCGATGTTGACGAGATCCACAAGCTGGAAGCATTTCTCACGCTGGGCGATTGCTCAAGGCTGGAAGAGTCAAAGCTCGAGGGAGGTTGCCCGAAGTTGTGACTCTTTATTGCTCCGTATATTTGTCTAACTCCGCCTCTGGTCCAATCTGGGAAACATGTAACAACCTAGCATACACTGCAGACTCACGCACCACAACTCCAAGCATATCGTTAAGTCTACCATTGAACATATAGCAGTATTCTATACATCTTCTTATTGCGCAGCTGGATCTCATATTTCTCGAAGATGGTGATGATCTATTAGAATTAGAGGGTCTTATCCCTGTTCTTCAAGTATAAATTCATTGTGGTGGAAGGTCTACCTCAATTGGTATGCTAAAAGGGTCACACTCAGCGCGGCAATATGAATAGTCAATGCCTGCTGGTTGCGCACCATGCGTCTCGAAGACTTATTGTAAGAAGAGTAGTGGAATATCTGGAAGCGTTGCTGATCTTGCAAGCAATTACAGAATCACAGCTTTTGCCCGTGACTGCATCTCAAATCTTAAATCTGCAATCCTCAATCCTCAGATTTCAATTTTTCAATCTAGCTGGTCCCAGAGCACGCAACAAAGTTGTTCCCACTCGCACCAGTGTGCGTAATAGTCCCGGCTTGCTTGCATGCCGGCACGTTGATGATGACGCGGTCTGGACCAGGCGAGCCTTGAGAAGTGTCAACGTTATTTCATTCTTTACCTCTTTTATAAAGAAAAACTTCTTACCACCCGAGTACAGAGCACCGCTTGAGAGGATTGGAAATTCCTGATAAGGTCCAGCGACTCCTCCGAAGTTGAAACCTTCGTAGTTGTTGTAAGTGTGAGGATAGCCACCGGGTGCGGAGCCGGCCTTGTAGTAAGAGCAGGCTTTCTGGGAAGCTGCGTTGACGGCCGCTGCTGAGTACTAGAAGCTCAATTAGTATCAATCATTGAAGCGTAGGAAGGTTTAAGAGCCAGAAATTTCAATCCTTCCGAACACCTCGATTGGGATGCTTAAAGCCAAAAAGAACTCACGTAAACAGAACCACAAGTCGCTGCTGCTCGCTCTTCGAGAACTGGAATGGCAGTCGACGTGACAAAGAGGAGCGCAAGAGGCAGAAGAGCCTTAAGTTCAAACATGATGAGCGAGCTTGTAAGATTATGGCAAGTATTTGAGTGAACAATCCGAAGACTGAAAGAATACTATCGCGACACTTTCGTTATTCCATCAGGTACAACTGGAGGCGACTACTTCATATACTATGAGGACGAAGCCCCTGGGACTTTCGGCCTTTGCACTTTGATGATTTCCAAGAAGCATTAAAGGCGTCCCTCTACGTTTTGGGCTGATCGTCCGTCTGCACACGGCAAGCCATCTCAAGTCTCTCGACTACTAAATATCAACAAACCTCAGGAACCTATCCCGTCGTCCCACAATCCGAATCCAAGAAAGTATCCGAACTTCCCTTCGTGGCTAGTTTTCCTCCTCATCTACCAATCAACTTCCCGAGAACAACACCATCAACAACGTGGGGCAATGAGGGGCACCAGAGGGATTGAAATTAAGCTTCAGCATCACTGACCACCCCCACGATAAGATAATCGCCCCCCTCGAAGCGGCAGGTGTTGCATATCTTGGCATTGGCGTGCGAGTGCCGTTGGTGGAGAGATGCAGTTGAAGAGAGACGACTGCATGCATAGCAAATGCCCTTCACCACGTACCAGGATCGGCTCGGTGCGCTAAGCTGATGAGGAAGCTCGAGAGCTTTAAGGAGCGATGATCTTCGGTTTGTGAATTGCACGTTTCCACGGTACTGCAAATACTCCGGTATTTGCTGTCATATTTCGGCAGTTTCCTATCCTTGAACCTCACAAAGTGTCGGGTATCGCCTTTGTCTCTTAGGTACTTGCAACGACACTTGCAGAAGTGTGACAGACGGTAACGAAAGCTCAGATACCAAAGGATTCATAGTATAAGAAATTTGGAGTCACTAGGTAATGAACCTGGTTTCAACAGTCTGTCACTCTGAGTCTGGCTTCCTCCACATCTAACGACTCGAAAGGTTCGACGATCTTGCCCAAGACTTCTTAAAGTCAACTTTAACGGGAGTACTACCACGCCAAAACCACTACAGCAAATCAGAGCAGGCTTTACACTTCACTCTATCGGCAACTGCCTACTCTTTCGACCAACTCTACCACAGTCTCAATCAATCACGACTACCCCCATCATGGCTTCGACACAATCCTCAAGCCTCACTTCAGCACTCAGCTCCAACTCCAACCCCACATCCACGGCCGTCACCTTCACAGATCCAATCACACACGCCATCTTATCCGGCGCCTCATCAGAAATACTAGAAGAGAAACTCTCCACATCCTGGCGGACAATCATAGAAGTCGCCTCCAAAACAGAACACCAATCTCAAGAACCACTAATTGAAGTTCTCAAAGCCGTACAGCAGCAACAATTCAGTAATGAGGAGCGATCCAAAACTATCACGATATGGGGATCACAGGTGAAGCTATGGGAAGACATGCCCTTATTAGGAGCGAGTTTGCGGTCAGCGTGGAATCGAGGTATTGCAACTCCACCCTCAGAAGAGCACAATTTTCCTACGAGTAATGCTAACACTTCCAGCTCCCAACTCAGGCAGCAAAGACGACTTCTCAACAACAGAGTGGACCAATCTCAACGCGTTCGTGGCACGACTTACTGCGCTCTCGCTGTCCCTCTCAATCCCAGCTTTTGATTTCTCGCTGTATGCTATCTGGACGATGCGCTCTGCCTTTGAAACGGGCGAAGCAAACATTGCTGCTGTGGAAGCCGCGAAGCTGTGGTTTCTGTATGCTGGAGACGCGATTGAGCAATTGAGTCGTGATGGAAAATCTTTCGAAGGGCCGATTGCGAAGGCTGGGGAGAAGTATGCGGATCGAGAGTGGACGGGTTTTAGTGAGGAGAGGTTGACGGTTTGGAAGGCAGGATGATTCTGTGTTTGGAGATTGGGCTATGCTATATGCTGGACTACGGTCTTGCCTCGTGAGCTACACTTCATAAACACTGTATACTTCCTTTTTAGACTGGTGGATATAGATGATCATATCATCATGCTCTTCGGGCACAAGTTTTACACTCTATTATTGGACCTTCAGCTCCACAGGGAGACGTAAGTGACGCAGCCAGGGTGTTTCAAGGCAACAGAGTCTAAGCGAGAGATCAACAAAGAGCGCATACGGTTCCACAACATACCCAACCATCCAGGTCTTTGTCTCATTTTTGACGAAATTATACTCGGGCGATAGGGTATTCTTGACTTTGCCGCTCTGACATCTTTATTGCTTTCTTCCCTTGTGACTTTGTCAGATTGTCCAGCGATCTTGTTGAATCTCAAGCTATTCATCGTTTCTATCACCGATCCTTGATAGCTTTCTAATTTAGAATATACGTAGCTTAAAAAGTAGAAATTAAACATGTTCGTTCTCCTCATAAACAGCTGTTTCAAATGTTCAATGAAGACAGAATATCAAGGTACTATTCTCATACAAAACGATATGCGCCACCGGTTTCAGCCTGCATATCGTTCAAAGGTAGTATGTAAATTTATACACACCCCTGACTTTGTTGAGTCTTTACAATTTCAGAGTCTTAAAAGGTTGTCCACCGCACCTGTTCCTTCTCCCACAACAGTAGAACACTACACTCTCCAACATCTCCACGCACCACATCTAATGACAACAATGACAACGCGCTGCACCCAGCTTGATACCTTCTACCACTCATGCGGTCACCAAATCGTTCAGATCATCCATGTCCGCCACTGTCTTGAATCGCACCCGACATTCTTCCCAGACCCCAATGGTAGCGTGACAGCCATCTCATGCCCAAATGTTGGGGAACCTCGCTACAGCTACATCTACTCCACCTGTCAGAACTGCCCGATTCGTTTCGTTCGCAGTCCATTACAGCGAACCGAGCAGCTGAACATTCTGAGAAACGCCTTCTGCGCGCGGATGCACGAGCAGGAAGCTCGTGATACTTCAAGGGAAGCGAAGGGACCGATTGCGAGGACGACGAATAAACAGGAGCAAAGAAAGAGGGTGGATCGTAATGAGGCTTGGTTGCATGAACAGAAGCGCCGACGGCGGATTTCAGAGGCGACTAGAACCCCTCTCAGGGATCAATCTCTGGCGTACAGTCCTGACACATCTAGTAGCCTGCTCCTCGCTCCTGTTGAAGGAGATGGTGAGGACTGTAGTGTCTGTACGGAGAGTATGAAGGTAGGTCAGGATGTTCGATAACTACCATGTAAGCATCACTTTCATATGCGATGTATAACGCCGTGGTTCAATCGGGAGAAGAAGACTTGCCCTTTGTGCAGACACAGATACAACTTGGTATTTATGCCTCGGTTGAACAGGACTCCTGATGATGCTCCTACACATATGCCATTCGTTGGTTCCTATGGCATGGTCTAGACGCATTTTTCGATTCTAGAGAACCGTTTGGAGAAGGCCATGCAAGAGGGTCGTGGATACAGTAGGTCCATCATCCCTGCCTGGTCCTCAACCCCTCTCCCAGGATTGTCTTTGAAACATCACAAGAGATGAATAAGTCAGAAGTATAGTAACTCTCAGCAAACCTTAATACTTTAAATCAAACCCTAAACTTCCAAAGGAGATTCAAACATGATTACCACAAACGTAAAATGAACATATGCTGTTGATATTTCAATAACAAAATCAATGATGCGAAGTCGCAATGATTATGATGATAACGTTCATCGATTTCTCTCGCGCAAAATTTGAGTCAACTCAATATTCGAGAGATTTTGGTGGTATAATCCAACCGTGTATACACAATTCAAGAACGCCTTCCATATGCAATGAAGTTGTGAGACCTTGCCTCTTTTTAATTCCCCAATAGACGCCAGCCATAACAAACAATAAGACCAGATTAGATTCTGCACTGCATCTATTCAGTTTTGTCCTCATAGAGCTTTACCAGCGCCGGCTTGAACGCCTCGAATTTCGCAAAGTCTTCGATCTTGCAACGCATGTAATCAAACGCAACGATAGCGACTTGGTCCTTGCCCTCAGTCTTCATTACTGGGATCTTCTGATATCTTTGTGAGAAGTGCGTTAGGAGAATCCGTCTGGCGTTCATTCTCTCTCCGACACCCAAGGCTTCTGAAGTAGTGGAGTGCTTCTTGGCGATAGCATCGGATCTGAGCTCGTCGTCAAACGTAGCTTCATGGATGAGTAGAGTAGCGTCCCGGCCAATTTCCACAAAGCGCTCTGAAGGCCTGCAGTCTCCAGAATAGGCTACTTTGAAGCCATTGGGGAAGTTGAATGCAACAGCTAACGCACCGTGACAATGCTCAACCCCACAGGCTTGGATTGAAGTAAGACCAACTCTTTGGGTTTGCTCATCAGAAAACTTGTGATAGTAGCCACCATTCTTTTTCTCCATGACGATCGGTTGAACTCTGTCGTAACCAAAGTCTTCGACTTCAGAGTACTCTTTGAGGAAATTGGTCATTCCATCATGAGATGCCACGACCAAAGAGTTGTTCTTCGTCTGGTCGTTTGTTGCGGTTTCCAAAGCCCATTCCTTAATGATTCTGACTGTACCAAGGTGATGATCTGCATGCAAGTGGCTGATCCAAATGGCCTTCAACTCGCGCAAAATTTCTGGTGTTTCGTCACCAAAGACTCGGCTCAGCTGTCCGAATGTGTTCTCACCACAGTCAAACAGGTAGCTACCATAGCCAGGAACACGGAGTAAAGTAGCAGAGACGTTTCTATACTTAGATGGTAGAGCTGATCCTGTACCGAGAGTAACGACCTCTGCATCTTTGCAAGGAATATCCTCCTGAGTTTCTTCCAGACGGGCTAAGAATGCCGCGTCGGTCACCTCCTTGCGAGCCATCTGAGCAAATTCTCTGACGTCGGCAGATTCTTCCTTAATAACAGTAGCAGTATCGAGATACTGAACAACGGATGTATCTTGGATATCTACCTTCGGCTCTATTTGTATGGTTTGGCCCAACCTCGCCTTGACGTAGGGGAGATTCTCAACTGGCGCCAGAGGAGGATCGTTGCAGAATTTTGGAATTGGGAAACGCTCAGCATCAACAAGATGAAGACGGATGGCAGCTGCAGCTGGGGACTCCAAGGCAAGATAGTTTGCGCAGGCATCTTTTGAAGACACGATGTGCTTCAGCTTGCTATGCTCTCGCATAAATGCTTGAAGTCTCGAATCCTGAACCACGCCAGGTCCCAGGATCCATATTACTGCGCCAATACCCGGCATGACATGTCCTGAGGCCCACTCCGGACGACTAATCAATGGCCCAACGAATGAACTATCCGGTAATTCAATGACAGCAAATCCACCGCCTTCTGTACTCTTTGCCATGACCATATCCGGTGTTACAACATTGCCGGCGGCTGTAGTGACATTTTCGCCTCGTGTCAACTTGCTGAAGTCCGATCCTGGAGTGACACCGAGCTCCTTGGCCACCTTCGGGTTGAACTTCCCTCGTTGTGGATGGTTCTTAATGAAGTAGCAAACGGATGTTGCTGATGGTGTTGTTGGTGGAAGTGTCTCAATCAGTGCTCCTGGCCAAGGATTGCGTACAAGTACGTCAATGTTCGGCACACTAGGGTCTTCATCTATCGTCGGACCATGGTATTTTTGGATTTCGCCTTTGTCATTTCTGAAAAAGATGGCAGCAGGTCTTTGAACCTCAGAGAGCTTCTTTTTGACCAGAGCATCCAGACGCCATTCTGATTGGAACATGGCAGAGACGACAGATTGCCTCATCTGGTCATATCGATCCTCTCGCTCCTCTGGCGTTTCTTGCTTGCCATCCAGTGAGGTGGAAACTTCCTCTTCAGAGAACTCCTCATGGCTTCGTTTCCGCGGCCGCGTGATATTCTTCTCGGACTCAAGGACCACAGCCCACAACTTGATCTGATCGTCCTTGAATGTTGGCTCAATGAGGTTTATTGCATCCGACTTTGCTCGGAATTCATTTGTGTACAACGGCATGCCCTTTCGGAAGACAAATCGCCTCGCGGTTGCAAGCAAATGTGTAAGATTTTTGCCGCCATGGATATTCAGGAACTGCTTATCGACATGTTCAGGCCGCTCCAAGCCCTTTTTTAACCTGGTCTGCTCAGCGACTTTTTTCTTCTCTTCCCAGGAAACAGTTGCAATATCCGCCAGTGTCAGGATCATTCCCAGTATGCCTCCAGTATTCGCCCATCCGATCGTACCAGTCAGGAAGATGTCTGCGACCTTTGACAAGCCCAGTTTCCGTTGTATCGCCGCACGCTGTGTTCCTTCTGCCACATCTCCAATCAGATATCTTTTACTGTCGAAATGTAGAAGCAGCGTCGTTCCAGGTGTGTCTGCCGTCGGTGTGCTCAGAAACTGCACCCAAGACTTCATCTTGTTGAAGTCACCCCGACCCTTCTTGATGTACGGCTTCCAGATCCTGGTGAACCTGCTGGCACCGTTCTCCTTCTTCTCGTCAAAGAGTAAGTAGTAGTCTGAATCTTCGTATTGCTTGTATGCCCCCAGTTCCGGCCCTGGAAACACTCGATCGAGACTGGGAAGTTTTCGAGGCGTCCAATGACGTTTGGCGCTTCTGGATCCAAGGATCTGGTGTGCGAATGATCGAAGTCCGTTATATGACGATGGGGAGAAGGACCTCTTTGCAGGCAAGAGTCTGGTAATCATGGAGAGGAAGAGCACTGTCCATGACTCTACGACTCGATTTCGCGTACCTGCAGTTCAAAATTATGCCAGCGCCTTGCAGCGCCAAGGCTTACGCGAATATGCAGCCTCGTGGTGCTTCCAACCAATCAAATGGCATAAATACTATATAAAAACGTATTCATCCATCTTTCTGCAGGTTCACACAACACTAGATATGTAATTAAGAATATGCTACTGAATGAGTAGATGTGGTAGGAGAGAAAGTTATCAAGAGGTTGCTACAGTGCTGAGCTTAGGTTCGCCAGAATCAACATTGTGAGAAGCTCTACAGAACACATGACTGAAAAATGAGTCGTTCCTTACGTTTAGATACATGGCATCTTACAACTCACAAGCAACTGCCTCATGGTAGAATTACAGCATCAATCTTTCAGTTCTGGTCGAGAGAAGACAAGCTGCTAAGGATATCAGAATTCAGCCACGAGCTATCTTGCCAGTTGTGGAGATGCACCCACGGCCAATTGAAGTCTGAGATGATAAACGATGGAAGGTCATGACGTTGGTGTTTGTCTCCATTTATCCTCCAAGAGCTCATCTACTACCTAGAGTAGAGCTAGTAAAACAAGCTGGACCCTCGGGGGATAAACAGTATCAACAAAGTCCCACCACTCTAACAATCAAATACAAGATCTTCTCATATGCACTCGGCTTGGGCAATTGTAAAAATCAGGCTTCTGTGAATTTTCTACATCGGACCTGAGAACAAACTCAGGAATTTTGTCCACATCGTGGAAGAAGCACAACGCCTAGAAGTGATTCCAGAAGCGAAATGTTGTGACAGAACACCATCCCTAATCGGAACAAATTATCACTCCACCATGCGTGCCTTGAACCAACAGGGTGAACCATCCAAGTGCGTAAAAATGAACTTGCTCCATCCCCCCATACCCAGACGCCGTCATTCATGCATTATGTTAACTTCTTATCCTCCTAACGGTAGCCATTACTGCGTGGAGGTGCAGGTGCTTGTTGACTAGCCGCAGCGAGTGCAGCTTGTCTATTGGCCCGGATTTTCGCGGCTTCTGTGCCATCATCCGGTGTTGCTGCTTCCTTAAACCACGGGTGTTGAAGAGCTTGCTTAGCGGTGATACGTTCTGCTGGGTCGTATACAAAGATCTTCTCGAGAAGGTCTAGGAAGTTCCTGCAGAACTTGTTGCTATCCGGGATGATTTCCTACATCATGTCAGCAATGGCGGTCTGATACAGCCCTGTTTTGAGACACTTACATTGAGATGCTTCATAGCCTTCACGAATCGTCTTGAAGCTCTGGTGGTCTCGGGTTGCGGATAGTCAAGCTTTAACCGCTTGAAGAACCTTTACAATGGTTAATATGATGCTGCAGTTTGGATTCAGAGACTTCTTACTTCGCAGCTGGATTTTCTCCGTTTCTCTTCGCCATCGCATTGACGGATTGAATGAGATGGTTGTCCAACTTCTTATTACACACACTCTCCATCATGGCTAGGTGCTCCAGGTTGTCATGTGTCTGGAAAAGAGCGTCCCCAGTAAAGAACTCAACCAATATGCAGCCGATGCTCCAAATGTCGCAGGGAAAGGACCATCCAAGGCCAAGGATAATCTCAGGCGCCCGATAGTGGCGCGTTGACACGACCGAAGAGTGGTACTCGTCCTGAAAGGTAGCAGAGCCAAAGTCAATGAGTCTAATCTCGGTGTCGAGAAGAACTTTCCTCTGTGCAGCTTGGCGATTTACTGTTGTCGAGGAAGATGGAATTTTGCGGCTATAGGTGAAAGCCTGGTATGCGCTATCGCAGAGAAGGATGTTTTCCGGCTTCAAATCGGTGTGTATTAAGTTGAGATCATGTAAGACTGGATTAGGAGTTAGCATCAAGTATGGCAAGCTCTGGCTGGTGACTTACAGGCAACGCTGGTGAAGAGCTGCCTGGCAAAACTCTGAATCTGACTGTTCGGAAATGGAACAAACGAGTTGCCCTTCAAGAAATCAAACACACTCTGGCCAAGTAAGTCCATGACAATGCAGATATGCCCTCGGTAATCGAAACAATCTCTGAGATGTATGCATCGATTTCGGTTCTCCTTGTCGTTCGCCTTCAGTGTCGCAAGGACTCGAAGCTCGATTCTCGAGGCATCTCTGTACTTCTGCACAGAGCGGATGATCTTGATTGCAACAGACCTCTTGGTTTGTCGATCCCTGGCCTGGACTACTTTGCCAAAGGTTCCCTGTCCAAGCAACTTTGAGACTTGGTCTACAGCTGATTAGCATCGAGTTTCCAAGGAAGGGGTTCCAATCACGCACATCTTTCTGTGAGATCTGACTCTGGAACGACTATATAATGGCCATCATCATCATCCACCTTGGTGTTTTTGGTATATGAGTTCTGTGTGCTGTCAGTTATATCCTTCTAAAGTCGTGGACGGTCACTCACATCAGAAACCTGCTTGACCTGAACATCAGGAGCTTTTATCGGTGGCTTGGGAGGAGGCTTGTAGTTTGAAAATGCATCTCCGTTGACCTCCAACTCCTTTCTCTTGGCCTCATTGGTTGTCTGCAGTCGGGTTGTCTGTCTCTTCCTCTTCGTGCCAGCCTGCGCAGCTACTTCGTAACCATTTTGGCCATTTGATGAGTGCGACCCCAACGATGTCGCTGCAGTGGTGTGAATGGCAGAAGTTGTTCTGTCGGTAGAGGCAGATCCTGTTGAATCTTTGTATTCAGGGCTTACATTGTTCGAATATGAGGGCTCGAGATGATAGACAGGGTCATATGGGGGTCCGACGTCATCGCATCTCCTCTTCTTCGCGGCGTGTCTGCTATTCCCGGCGATGGTAGTGCGACCTGCCTGGGCATTTGACAGAACAGAAGCAGAGGGGTCTGGGGTTGGAGAATCATCTATGACAATAACTTCTTTGGGAAGACCATTCTCATAGAATTTTTTCCAGTCGGGATTCCGAGGCTCTCTTGATCTTTGTCTCTTCTTGGGATTTTGTTTAGCGACGGCGGATGACGTGGCAGGCATTTCTGCGGGATTTATTTCGAGTCTCGAAGGTTGTGTTGTGTTTTGACTTATTCGTGAGGGGTCGGGTACACCGACGATGTTCGATGATGTGCCGCCGTTACTCGAAGGGGTCGGAAAGGTGTATGACGCTCCCAACCGGCTGCCGCCGTTCAAGAGTGTATTGTTGTTCGCTCGATAGCCGTTGGTGGATTGGTAATTCTGATGGTGGGAATATCCGTAGTTGTGAAGGTGAGGAGGCAGAGTCGAAGGCGTCGACATTGCACGGTGGTGAGAAATGTATCGTTTTGAACCCGGAAAGGTTCAGTTGACCGAGAATCGGACGACTCGTCTCAACGTCGCTGGCAGAGCTTCGATTCGAGAGTCAAGTCGAGGTCATTGAATCTGCAGATTCGCATACCCTGAGTGGATGACGATATTTGGTGAATTGCGCGGTTGACGTGTAGTCTGGCACTGGTAGTCGGACGACGGGCGCGTGGGCGGAAGGCGCTGAAAGGGAGATTCCAGGTCAGACCAGGGGCATATCGGCCGAGATTTGAGGCCGAGAGAGATGTTGGATGGTCTTGCATACAATACAGCACGAGTGACACCTGGATAAGCAGTGGTGTTGCCGTCCTGGAAGAATCATACCAAGTGGGATCTTTTCAGGAAGTTGCAAGTTGGGGCATCTCGCCATCAGAAGCGAGGCTAGTGCGCGTGTTGATGGACTCCGCTCGCTCAGAGCGCAGCGCAGTGCAGTGCAGTGCACCTCAGTGTACTGTAGTGCGGCGCACCGAGTGCTGGAACAGCCAGGCCAGCACGGGGCTCACGCATCGCCGCCGCAGGATTGAACTGCGTACCTTACTCCACCTTAATAGGCCGAAATCCTCCTCAATAAGGTAGCAAGATACTTTTCGATCTATACACTGCTAACATGCCATATCACGCATCCATGACCTCCACTCCAAGGGCAGGTGTCAGAGTCAACTCGTTTTGCTGTGTTATCTCCGGCGTAATGGGACAGTGCCGTTTTATCGCTCTGGGCAACCAGGCTCATTACGCAGCATTTCCCCTCACTTATTCATAATCCAATGCAGTGCACTGCACACAGTACAGAAATCCAATCCAATCCAATCTGTTCAAGCAGGCAGGGGTGACATGTTACCCAACAGCGAGATAACTGTACATACAGTACTGCGTCGCCTTTGTGATTTCCTTTCCATGGCAACCTCCAGGCACCGTACGGCACCGCAAACACTGCACGCCGATGCCCACCCTCCACAACACCGTAAACCTTACTGGCTCGAATTGATATCAAGCGTAAATCTTGTCCTGTTCTCCGCCCTAGACGTAAGCTCAGCTGGACAAATGGGCAGTTGGAAGAGCCGAATTCCCCGCCTTGCAGCATTGCTCTGGGTCTGGGTCTGGGTCTGGTTGATTCGATTCGATTCATTCAGTGATTGGTATTTGCCGGCCAAAGACCCTGATCATTCTGTTCATAACTCTCAGGCAGTCTCCAGGCGGGTCATCCAGGAGCATTGCAGCAAAGTTGCCAAGAATAGGTGCTCATTATTATTCAACGCATCACGTTTGACCGAAGGGCCTGCCTTACTTACCCCATATTAGATCACCGTGTCATTCGTCCCCACTCACTGTGGAAGGTTTGCTGGATGGACGAGGCGAGCCTGGTGTCGATTCGTCGAAGCTAGATTTTCTCACGCGTTCCGTTGCCGTTGCCGTGGCTGTCCATTTGTCCACTGGTCCCTCACGGGGGCCCAGACTTTAACTCGTCCCGGGTGGCAAAGTTCACAAAACGTTGTCTGTTATGCCTCGTTTCACGGGGGATTTCCGTAATCTCTTCTCCAGGCTTTTGGAAACATCTCAAATTGCATAGGAACTAAAACGTTTCTGCTCCAAAGCTTATATGGACGTGCGGGAGGTGTGATCGCCGGAGTCGAGGGCATCTTCGTCGCATCTTTTCCGGGAGCATTACTGATTCGCTGGATGGACGGAGAGTTGCCTCAGGCAACATAGAGAATTACCTTTTGATGGTGAATTTGCCAGCAAGACTCGCAAGGGACCGACAATGACGCAGAAACGGTAGTGTTTTGTGGATCCTGAGAGAAGTTGTAGGCTGATGTATCATACAGAACCTTTGTTTAAATCTTTTTGAGCTCTTCCAGCAGGACGCGCATGCACAAGGGACGTAGTAAGTAGATGACTACTGAAAAGTGAAAAAAGATGAGAACACATGCGGAAAGTGCAGATTTGAATAGATCAGCAATCTTCGAAGATTTTGATTCGACACTTATTTGAAGCTCCTTCTAAAACGAAAGGCTGGCTTGTGTCAGTAGCAAAAGTCCAACGCCGCCCAGAGTTACGTCTAGAAAAACACCGAACAGCAATGCAGTGAAAAGTTGCTTCAGAGAGTCCGAGTATGTCTGTAGTCCATCTGAAGAACGCCTTCCGGGTATCAAAGGTGTCGTATGCTTGTATCGTCAGGTATGTCCTATCAGAGCCGTTCATATGCCTCTGTTAAAAACAACCTTGCCATGCTCGCCCCCCTTGCCCCAGAATTCCTCCTCCAAGCTCGAAGCATCCACAGCCTGTCTCTGAGGGAAAGCTGCAAGAGCCAGAGGCAATGCAAACAAACTCGTAGCGAAGATCAGGCCAACATTGACGGGCAAAGTCAATCTCGGGTTGTTCTTCAGCCATTGTTGCTTCTGCAGTTTAACGAGTACCAACGGAGGGATGACCATAATCGGAGAGCTGTTCAAGACTCTACTGAGAGCGGTCTCGGAGACTGCCAGAGTAGCAGCCTTTTTGCTCTTGCCAAGTGAAGCAACCGCAGATTCGGACTTCCCTTCCTCTGCCAACTTGGCCTTGTCTGCCTCAGAGAGAACAGGGTAGATGTCAATTCCTTGTCTGATTTCCTCTCCGCGCATCAGGAACACATTCAGAGCACCAGCACTTGCCACTGCGGCAAAAGGCACCAGTCTTGTGAGGATCGTCTTCGTGGCTGGGCTAACTCGCTTCAATCTTGGGACGAGGGCGTTCAATCCAAGAGCCACAGAGCAAGAAGCTCCAACTGCAAGGAAATATGATTGGGCGATCTTTGAAGTAGAGAGAGGAGTGGATTTGTTCGCGTTTGCGTTGTTAATTGCGACGTTGAGAGATTGATTGGTTATTTGCCAGAGGAGAGTTCCAGTCGTCTGCCTCCAGATTAGACTTGAGGAGCAGTTCGCAGAGGGATACTCACTCCGAGACCAGGTGTAAGCATTCCGGCCGTAACTACCAAATTCGACAAGGCGAAGCATGACATTCGAAGTGGTAGAAAGACTGGTTCACCGGTATCTGCCACAGTCAACATCTGCGCTCCAATGCTCTCCAGTAACACCTACCCGGATGTAACGTTGAATCCACTATCTTCTTCGCCTTCCATAGCTCTTCATTCATCTCATTGATCTTCCCCTGCTTGTATCCAGCTATCAGGCCCTTCGCGTGCTCGAGACCTGCTTGGTTTACCAGGAGGGTCCTATTCCAGGTCAGCCAGGCTCGTTTGAAGCACCTCCTGACATGCACCACGACAACTGCAGAGAAGTTGACCACGCCCTTCTCACCTCGGATCTGAAATGTTTGCGGAATGGCGAACACGCCCCCAGTATGTGCTCAAGTCATATTGTGATGCGGGGAGCTCTCGACCGCCTGGGAGAGAGGCCGACATTGTTGAAGGTCGAAGCCTCGCAGACACAGGAATCCTTTCAAATAAGCCAATTGACCCCTCCTCCCAAAGTTCACCGGCGAGGACGGCTTGCGCGTGGCGGTGAAGATACCTTGGTAGATTGTCTGGTTTCTAAACATGGGCGTGTTTTCATGTCGCGGCGCTCTCTAGAATGAAATAAAGTCCGATCTCGCTTGTAGACTTTGCAGGGATCATCGAAAGCTCCATAATTCTTTCCACTCATATTTATATCGAATATTGCAACCTCAAAGATTCCTTCTGGTCTCAATACCAGAATTCAGTGTCTTCTGTACCCTCGTTTTGACTCTGCGAGCAACCATTTTCTATGGCTGTCTCTTCATCGGTCGAACGATACTCCGAGACCGGCGGAATACCCCTTCCAATTGTGCCCGGTCAATCATCAGCCAAAGCTCTCTTGTTGGTAAGTAGTGAAATAAGCGCTTGCTCGCAAATAACCGTGACTATCGGCCCAGTGGCCTAAGTAAGTATACTCGCTCTACTTGGCCTGGAACCAGGCTAATGGCTCCCAAAAGTGGTTAAGGCGCTAGATTTCGGTGCAAGCCATATCTCTAGAGATTGTAAGTACCTCACAGACCGTCACTTCACACGAATGAAGGTTCTAATTGTGCAATAGGGGAGTTCGAATCTTCCCTGGGTCGTCCAATTGTCTCTAATGAAGTTAAACTTCATCTACTTTTTTTTTTTGCAATCTTGCAATGTTTTGTTCAAGGCCATCTAGGCTGTAGACTACTTATGTGGTATTGATGAAGTTGGAGGGTGGCACAAGGAGGCGTGAATAACCCCGCATTTGGGGTCGGCTCAGCTTTAGGAATAAGACAGATAAATGCTTACCTAGGTAACGTCGGCGACAAGGACCATAACGTTAATACAGTGCACGTCTTGTAGACTAGTGTATCCTCAGTACTTGTGGGCACTTTTCTGTACACAGTAATCCCAGCTCTTACAGCAAAATTCCTATGCCCCATTGTAGATTTCCATGCTTTCAATCTGATACTCGCCCAAGCGGAATAAAAGAGGGGACTCAAGCAATTGAGAGTACACACAGCTCACGCGTTCTGATACGACCCCCACAGGGTCTTTGAAGGAACAAGTCTCTATCATTTTGAGAACCTGCACTATGAAAATAGTGCTAGCAAGAACAAAGCCAAACTCAGAGCTTTCTCATGCAAATACAGACATTACTACGTTACCCCAAGCCCTCTCTCATCCTCCACAACCACAAGATGAAAAGTTCTATTCAGATCTGCTTCGGAATGGGTATGAAAAGTCATTTGGAGGTGCTAGAAGCTCTTGAAAGCCGGCTGGTGGGAGTGGTTAAAAGGTATGGCGAACACTTCTAGTGGCTTGGTTATGACCCAGTCCTGATTGGCAGAGCAGAGTCTCACATCACTTTCACTGCTTCTATGTTACTTACTCGAAACAGTGGCTTCAGTCAATGCTCCCTTGTTCTGTCAGTCCACAGTTTGGAGAAAGCATGGTTTGTTGACCACGTTTGGGGGTAAGCGAGAATACGTCTGAGCATTCCACAGACGCCTCGATGGATATTGTTCTTGTTCTGGTCCTTTCCAAGGTTTCGGAAATGAGTCATGACTTAGAGGCTTATTTTTCTCCAATAGATGTCTGGGAAATAATTTGGAGCGTCTTCAAGATCTCAAATAATATGCTTTATCTTACCTGTAACTTGGATGGACCGTAGCCTGAAATTTCAGAGACAAGCCCCGGAACTTCGCACATGTGCCCTGAACACCCCACCGCAATACCATAGCTTCGCCTAGCAAGTCAGGATTATTGGAACCAATTTCTTTGCCTACTGTTCATATACTAAGAAGATGCTTATCTCAGGATCATGTTCTCCGTTCTGTACCTTCTGGCAAGCGTTCATTTTCATATTGATTTTGCTGAGAAGAGTCTGAGTGCAACGAGCGGCAGAACTTAACCTAATAATGACGTTGCCAAGAAACCACCTTGGCTGCCCACGCAGGCCAAACCCCCCCTTTACCTCACTCTCTTTTATCGTATCGATTACTGCAAACATATCAAAACTTCTACTGCTTGAGTTTTACGTAGGGCTAGACAATTGTGCCACATCTGTTCGCTTCTCTTATTTCATAGTGATGGCTTTAAAGCAATGTACACGGGGAAACCTCTCCCCCACAATGGAGGTGCTTCATCAACTGATAAACATCCTCGGTCATGATTTTACGACGGACCTAAGCTCTTCTATAGCATCATTACAACCTCAAACTATACTTCGACTCAAGTTGAGTGCCGAGATCTTTATAGATTCCCATGAGTCCGATGGCGGTGATACAGTCCAGGCTCCTCCACTTCACATGGTGCGTTGCGGAGATTTCCCTTACAAATACAGCGAAACATTAACGTAATGTAGGGGTCGCTCAATTTCAACACTTTTGAAGTTCAGGAATACTTGCAACTTCATATAAATGACAGCAGCATTCCAACGCCGGCACGAAGTTCTGTAGACAGGGACGATTTGTCTGTTTCAAGCCCAGTTCGGAGCCCTCTGTCTAGACTGGATACTCCGCAGGACCGATCTCACACCTTTAAAAGCAGTCTCCAAGCTTACGAATCTTATGCAAGCAAAAGGCGGAAAACAGCTGGTTCCCTGCGTGTCACTGAGACAAATGTTCCTCGTTCTCCTACGGGGTCCTCCACGCCGAGTTCTGGAAGCTCGACGGCCAGACAGCTGCAAACCAGACCTCGAGAGTTTCCCCAACGCAAAAAGAGAAACGACGATGATGTTCATCATTTGCAGCCATCTTCTGTAGAGCGATTCATCACAGGGCTATGGAAGCAAGTTTTCAATAATCTTGAGCTAAATCCAACGTCCATGGTGAGTTGGAAGTCTTACTTTTGAAGGGTGTGCGAAGCTAATGCTGGGAAGCATAAGGACATGTCAACGCCAAATTTAATGGGCAATAGTGGCAATATCGAGGTCAATTCCAATGATGTGTATTTTGAATAACACTGACATCACTAGACCTTTCGAGAGATAAATTCTCTGTGCTTGAGAATCACGACGATGGGTAAATGCTCTCGTGCTTTAGAAACCATTATCCAAGCACATTGGGTAGATTGCTTTGAAGCTCGGGTCAAGAATATTGGTGCGGAAAAGTCATTCCTGTCCAGCACTGAAACCAAGATGTCTGCTTTGAGAGAAGCCTGCGCCATCCTCAAGTGGTCAGAGAAAGAGTTGAGAAACAGATTGTACGTTCCTAAACTAAGAACCTCCAGACCTCTGTGTCTATTGAGCTGTCATTCTCTGACATCTCCAGATCAATCTGGCGCGGCTACAAAGAAATCAAAGACATCGGTGGTTGGGCTTGCCTCGTTTTTGCGGGCCCTGGAATCTACAGATTCTGCAAATACCGAGGAAGTTTCGGCAAGAATCTCACAACAAGACTTAGCCGACTACGAATGAGTTTGGAGGTTGCAGCAGACACAATACATCCTGAATGGCGAAAGCTGCTTGCTATTATCGGTCAAGATACTCAGAGGCTTTACTTCGGCCATCCGCATGATTGGGTGGTGAGAGATGGGATGTCGCCTGTGACTCTCAAGTCTACTTACACTCAGTGGAATTCAGATTTCAGCTTTACCCACATTGAGGACTCAGTGCTTGATCGGCTTGCTTGGAGAGCAGACGACCCACGGCGAATATTTGGCGCGAACACCGCGTTTTGCAATGACTGCGGCTATTTCCAGTCACAGAATGTCTCCTCAAACGAATGCAGATGTTTCCCAGAACTTTATGGTGCATGCAAAGTTCCTGTGCCGGTACAGGTTTTCCGCACACCGTTTGGGAAGAACAATGGTCTTATTGCTCGCTGTGTGAGATATTTGATTCTATATCTGCCGTTCATGGCCATTTCTAACCGACTATCAGGCATTCTCTCGTGGTTCAGCGATCGGCGAGTTCACTGGACTAGTGACTAAAGGCCTTGAGGGGACGGATGTGATGCAAAGTGGCGATGATGACAGATGCTATCAAATATATCAGGGGTCAATGGGTTTGTGTAGCCTTTCCCATCCTCGCAATCCTGCTTACATCTCACCGACAGGCAATTATACCCGTTTCATCAACCATTCCTGCGCGCCGAACAGCCAGTTTCAGAAGTTCTGTTGGCTAGGTTCTGAGCGTATCGTATTGGTTTCTCGAGGCATTGAAGCTGGCGAAGAAATCACAGTTGACTATTCGGACGAGTACTGGGAAGGACTAGACAAGCAGTGCTTGTGCGGAGAGCCATGTTGTCGGTATCTCAGAAGGGATCGGTCCCTTTGACTGAAGATGTCTCTAAATATCCCGCTATCCCATTGTTCTCCTTAATTTACAGGCACCAGAGTGATTCTTTACATCTATATTTTCTCCGACCTCAACACAAAACCTTATATAACCACCCACTCACTCACAGCCAAATCTATGCTTCGAAGCAACTTTAGTGTAAATCATGTCTAGCATCTTCAGCTCAAACGGGACTACAGAAGCTCTCTAACGGCCACGACTACCAGCCCTCTGTCGTGGTACACCTATCTTACTCTCACTGAATCTACGCTCCAAACCATATTCTTCCGCTGTCGATGAGCCAGGAAGATTCGGCGCACCCCCAAAACTTGCGAGGACGACTTCATTGTTCGCTGTCAAATCATCCATGATTTCAAGTTCCTTTACAGTGAACCATCTCGGCATCGTCTTCCAACGGAACGGAATTAGTGCGCAGACGAGTACCGGGAAGCCTATGAGGTGATAATGTCAGCTCGTCGATTTGGACCGTGAAGAAACAGCTTACCGATAGCTGCGATTGTTTGAGAAATCGCGACCGGAAGGATCACACCGACTATCTGGAACATGAGATATAACCATATCTTACGTCGTCTGACTTTCAGGAGAGGCTCCGCTTGCTGGACGAAACGGCGCTCAGTCATTAAGAACAGCAATTTCTGAGTGATGCCATTGCTCTCGATGGATCCCCACCCAACAACAAAGAATACACCACAGAAAATAGCTCGTGGCATAGTGTGCAAAACGATCAGGAGAGGACCAGTCATGGTACCGATGATACCAAGACCCATAAGGAAATGTGAGATTCTCTGCTCAACGACGCCGGTAGCTCTGACAATAGGGCGGCGAATCTCGTTCCCTTCACCTTCTTCAGTGGCGATTATCTGGAGATCTGTTTCGAAAAGTGTCAAGGAATCGGTATGAACAGGTGCCTAGGAGCGAATGCTTTAGCATCGAGCATGGTTCTTCCTCGATGGGCACTTTTTACCTGTGGAACGAGACCGTTTGGTAACGGAATACCGATGATACCTGAAACGAAGGTCGTGCATCCGAGCAAGAAGAAGTCCCAGTGGAATCCACCGGGCTTCTTCAAAGGATACTGCTTCGCCTGCGCAGTCAAACTGCTAACGTTCTTCATAAACCATCAGATTGTGTCTGGAATAAGAACACTGTGAGAAGAACTTACATGATCGTAGTAGAAGAGAAGCATCACCAAGAAACCAAACGGCATTGCCACGAAAACCCACTTCAAGTCCAATGTCCAAAAGTCGATTAGCCAGCTTCGAGGTTGTGTTGGGTAGAATGCTCGGCTGATAGGCAGAGTGCTGATGTTGGCTCTCTTGATTGTACCAGGAATGTGGGCAAATCCGACCCAGAAGATGGTTGCGATCTGCGCAGGCCGTCAATATTCGTGTTCGATGTGGCTAAAATCATTATACGTACCGGATAGGCATAATCAGCGAGAAGTCCTCGAGCCCATGGTTTTGCCAGTACCCCGCTACCGATTTTCTCCAAGGCATACACCGTTCCGAAGTAGAGGATCGCAATAACACAGCTCAAATAACCGTCAACACTTCCGAAGGAATCAAATAAGCTGACCAGCTCCTCGACTCCTTTGACTATTCGACTCTTAGTAACATTCTTCTCGTTTATTAGGAGAGAAACCTACTCATGTAAATAATCCCAACATACATCCCGAAAGTCTCACTTGAGAAATCCGTCACATACCGCATGTAATCGCATAGGTTCCACACCGCAACCAGCCAGTGCCAGATAGCGGCCCAAATCGCAGTCCAAGTCATGAACCGAGCGTACAACGTAACATCGTAGATCTTGATGATGTCGTAGATGGTGTAGTTGAAAAGAGAGATCAGTCCAGTGATACCTACGATTGTCAAGGGCTGCGCACTGATCGTGCTGAAAACCATAGCTGCAAGAGCGGATGCGAACAGTGACTCGTTGACGCTGTAGAAGCCGTCTGTTCGTCGCTGCATGTCCAAAGTGTATGCTAGAGCTGGCAGCAGACTGCGAGTCGTCAATCTCTATCCTGGCTGGGGTTGACTCGTGGAAAGAAACTTACTTGACGAAGTACATTCGCACAGTACTTGCAAAAGTACGGTAGGTGAAAGCATCGGTAACGTCACTCCAATAATATGGAAGACGTCGACAGATATCATAATACATTCCTCGACCCGGCCGCAGGACTCGGAATCTCCTCCACCCAGTCACTCCATCACAAGTGTAATCCGAGGTGTTCGATTTTGAATTCGTCGCATGCATTTGAGGACGTTCTGACCGAGGTTTCTCTACAGTAGGATTCAAAATTGGAGTTCCAGGTACTCCACTAGCACTGGGAACATCCGTTGCTGAGGATGTGTCTGATCTTTGCATGTTGGAAACAAGTAAGAAGGGAAGGAAATTATAGATCTGGGAGAAGCTTCATTGTCATTTGGATGAGCGCCAGCATTGATATAAATTTACAGATACATTAGTACCCACCTAGTTCTACACTACGAATCGGAGTAGCGTGACGGATGCTAACGCGGGTATCATAGGTGTTGCCACTCGGCAATTTTTAGGAAGGGAAATACATGACAGGCATCTAAGAATGGCACTCCAATATGGGCTTCGACGTAAACGAAGTTCTCATTCTTGTGATTTTAATCCTGCTGTAATGCACCAATGAGCTTTTACTGACAGTAGCTATAGCTTTGTCTTTTTCCGAATACTCCTTGTGATTGCTGGAGAATCCTAACCGTTGAGAAAGTCATAACGCCAAGACTGCATTTTCTGCTCGGGCAGAAGTTTGAAGGGGTGGGGGTGGCGCGACACTACGCTTCAACGACTTCTCCGACTATTCCTTTAGAGGCTGCCAATCATTTCTCGTTCGGTTAAGATGTATTGCACTTCGATGATTAGTAAAGGAGTAGATATGGCGATTTTTGCCATCCGAACCATCAACCATCCAGCTTGTTTGGTTTTGCTTTGTTTTGTTTTGGAATTTCTGGTGATGAGTTAAGCGAGCTCAGTTTGTTTCTTGGAACCTCCATTACTGCGAGCGGTAACAGAAGTCCTCAAACAGCCACAAACTTGGCATATTTTTAGATTCTCAGAGGCTGCATACTACTCATCACTCTCTGTCAGAAGATGGTGTGTCAGGACCGAATGTTCTGATTATTTTTCCTCAATGCGAAAGATCACCAGATTTGCTTGGTTCCCAAAATTCTCAGCTTTCAGCCCAGGCACTACAGCGAGGTCAGTCTTATTTTCATGAAGAGCCCACAGATTTTCGCACTGCTTGAGACCTTCCAGCTGAGGAAAGATGTCGCTATATCGGATTTGCAGTACCTAGCAAGTAAAATTCGAGGTACTAGCACATACAAATGCACTGGTTGGATTCTCTGTCTATTCCACAGCTTCGCTGTGCGAATAATTGCTAATTATCTTCAGTAGACATGAAAGACCAGCCACCTTACCACTCCGTATTCAATTCCCCCAACCAGCTAACCCCCACAGCCCTGAAAATCCTCACCTCCCCACTAACCATCTCTCCCATATTGTATCTCCCCTTCATAACAACCTTCTTCCCACCCACATTCTGCTCGACAACCCTCAATGTCCCATCACGATCTACACCCGTCACAACAGCCGTATGATCTGGGTCGCCCGCAGTCTGCCATCCTCCATTACCTGTCTCAAATCTCGCTTTCAATATCTGTATGATATCTCCTCTTGTCACACCCGCTTCCAGTATCCCGCCTGCAGGCACAGGTTGTGAAGATTGGGACGGGATGTATGTGTAGAGAATGTGGCCGTGTACAAGGCTCTGAGATGACATGCATGGTTCTTGATTACTCGAGAGACAAGTTTGAGCGATGGCTTTGAGAGCTTCGTTGGCGAGGGTCCAGCATTCGCCGTTGCCAACCTTGGTGCCCATTTGGGCTTCGCTCCATGAGGCTATAGATTCGGAGTATCTAATTACGGAAATGTTAGAACTGTACAAGGTGCTATTGAAGACAAAAGAGAAACTCGTACCTATCTCTACAATCCTCAAGCTCTCTAATGCTGAGTGCAGGTGGTGGAGGGGAATGCCTCTGCTCTGCCTTGACCGTGTACTCCGGACTACTTCCATCCCACGTCACGCGAATCTTGGTACTCGACAGATCTGCGAAGCGCATGTGCGCAACAAGCCAGTGGGATTTGCGGCTCCCTGAAGAACTCCAGCCAGATGATGTGGTGAAAGATTTGGTGGGGATGGTTCGAGGTGGGAATTGACCCTTGACGAACCATTGAGATTTGAGATCTAGGTCGAGATCAACGGGTTGGTTATGATTGGATCTAGATGGCTGATTTGTTAGCAGGTGAGTTTTGTGTTGATACATATGCTTCACTGTATGAGATAGCTTCGTTGCGTGACGAGGGTGATTTGGTTTTGGAGCAGGATCTAGAACACTTCGAGCCGACACTTGCTTGTGGTGAGGACGGGGCTCCTCATCTCGGAAGTATTGTAGCAACTTATCGAGCATTTTGGTATGGAAAAGAAACGTGCGCGAAAAGTCGTCTTCCAATTACTCGAAAGCTGAAATAGCTTGAAATAAAGCAGGGAATTGCAATAGTAAGGTGCCAGCAAAGACCAAGACAAGTCAGAGTTTTCCAATCTCAAGACCATGTCAATCAAAGTCATGGCATTGTACAACCAACTCATGAGATGGAGCATCTGTAATATCACTGAAATGACGTCTAGTTGACTTTGGATGACACGTACGACACAAGTAAATTTCCATGCTTGGGGAATAGAAACTAAACAATTCAACAGTGATACACTAACGATTACTTACTTGAGGTTTAGGTTTACTTGACAGTGGTATCGGCGGCGGTAAAGGCTCCTTTCCAACTCCATTCCCCATTAGCTCTTTCTTCTTGGCTGGGGGAGGAGGCGGTGGTTTCTTCTTCCCCAGTACTCCTCCTTCAGGCCCAGCAAGTGGGCTACTCGTATTGTCCCTCGTATCAACTTGAGGGCTTTGGGACTCCAGTGTTTGCGCATTCGCTGGCGCTCCAAAAGCCCCTACCTTATCTGCAACACCATACTTTGTGTTCAACTTGTTTGCAGAATGCCACCCTGTCTTGACTTGCTCGCCATGCCTCTCCCGGAAGTTGTTTGCTGTGCTTGCTGCTGTCCTAGCATCACTTAATGATACCGATGACGGATCATTTCGGAACGAGGACGCGGTCTTGAGGGCAGCTTGTTTCTGGGCGAATGTTGTGCCTTGACTGGGTGCTTCCGGTTTGGGGGAGGATGAGGATGACATGCGGGAGAAGCGAGATTGGAGCTCGTTGAGCTGGGTATTAGCTATGGGGGAGGCAACAGGTGCAGGGCTGTGAGTAGGGGATCGAGAGGGCGGTGGTAGTGGTTGTTTTGACTTTGCTCCGCTGATGCCGAATCCAGGTACAGAAACACCAGCAGCACCCAACCTATTCAAAGCCCCTTGATTGAGAATACCTCGGTGAGCATCCGGCTCGGGTGTGTTTGCAGCATACGGAGGAGGTGGAGTAGCAGAACTACTGGAATTCTGTCTTGGAGGGAGTCGTGGCGGAAGCCCGGGAGGTTTTGGTTTGTCTGCTGGAGGAGGCGTCCTTCCATCTGCTCCATCTTTGCGCCCTGGAGGTGGAGGAAGATGTGCGGTCGAAAGACCTGTCGTATCCTTTCTATACGGTACTGGCGGACCTTTCGGTTTCGCTGCCTCTTCGGCCTCCCTCCGTGCTTCCTCCTCCTCGGCTTCCTTCTTTGCCCTTATGTCCTCCTTCGACAAAGGTGCACCCCACCCACCAGTATGCGGCGTAATTTGGTTCGGAAGAGCTGCACCGCCATGATAGTTGACATTCTTTGGCGGAGGCCCGAAGGCCGCGGGATCCTTTAAACTGTGCAATGGCCGTGAGATATGTTCACCCTCGTCTCCTCCACCAGGACCTTTCTTCTTGCCCATCCAACCTGCAACTTGGTCGATGCCTTTGAAGTCTCCTCGCCATGATTCCTTGGATTTGCCGTCTTTACCCTTGGGATGCCATCCTCCCTTTGCGATGCCTTTGAAGTCCGGCATACCGGCGTTGTACTGAAGTCGGGACAATTGTACTGGAAGCCCGAGAGTGACATGTGGTTGTAGTGGGGCAGTCAGATCAGATTAGGGTGAGGATAGAACAATACGGCGTGGAATTAGGAATATCTGACCTCTCTGTCTCCACAATGCTTTTTACTTTCTACTATTTCAAACAATGTATTCAGAGTTCATATCTTATAGGCTTTGTGTATTTAATTTTGGTACGGACTTGAAACCCCTTCCAGCAAATAGATCTGAAACTTATACCTCATGATGTATCACAAGATATACAGCCTATTGCATGCCGCCCTCCATCCGCATCTCCAACTTATCGAGCCAGCATGTAGCATCTTCAGACTCAAGACTTCTCCTTGGAAGAACTTCGCAGAGAATGGCTTCACATGCCTCCGATTATCTACAGAAAACTTCTCGCCAACAGGCTCTCAATTATGATTTGCGGTCAGCTTCTACTCAAGGCGCTTCCAGTCTCTTCTTTCTGGAATTTTTTTCGCTTTGTTATGTTTGAGTAGCTTCAGTATCGGCCAGAGTCGATAGTGAAACTTCAAGCAGACAGAGTCAGAGAAAGGAGGCGGTTCTATGGTAGTCTTGTAAGGAATTGAAATCTTCACTTCTTCCACCAAAAGTGATTTCTAGGTGCTGGCTGTTGAGCAAAGACTTCGACATAATGCAGTGTCTTTGAGCAAGAGAAATTCCCAAAGGTTGGAAATTCGAGAGTATGGTTAGGTCTTTTTTGTCCTCTCAACTTTCATCTCATGACAGACACAATACCAGGCATCTCTTTGCCCTTATCAAACATCAGACAGTTATTCTGGTCCTGTGTCCAGGTGATTCTAGCTAGCCACCGACCATTCTACCTCGTCAGTATAACAGCCCTTCTCCCAACATCGGTGACCGTGTCAACAGACACAACAGTCTTGACTCGCAAGATGGCTTCCTCATCTTCCTCAGGTCCAAGTGCATCAGGTGACGTGCCTGCCAGCTGCTCCGAGCGGCCCTCAATGAAGAATTTGAAGAAATCACCCAGTCTCTGGTAAGCTGAGGCAATGATTTATACACCTGGGCTTGAATTTCACTGACGCGACTTCAGCGATGAGAATCACGATCTGGTTACAATCATAACGAAAAGCCCTGCTGGTATCCCGGATCTCAAATTCGTCATGCATACAACTATTGCATGCTATCATTCGCCCGTCCTTGACAGAGCGTTCAATGGAACGTTCAATGAGGGCCAAACTCAGACCGTGAAAATAGATGTCTTTGCCCCGTATTGTACATGCGCTGCTGTTCAGTCTTGGACGTACACACAGAGAACAGCTAGCTGGAAGGAAGAATGGGGCAGCCGATACCACTTACGACTGTTTTTCACCTGGATACTCGCCGACCGTCTGATCATGCCGAATCTACAGTTCGATGTGATGGCGCTGTTGATTGGATGTTCCATACCCTTGTGCTTATTGGACTGGATCTACGAGAATTCCTCGCCTGATAGCAAGCTTCGCAGCTTCGTGGTTGACAGCTGTGGCAAAAATATGTATAGGACAGACAAGCAGACATGGTTGGCAGCAAAGACACCAGTTGAGCTTCTTCTGGACATCTTGCTAGCTCAAACGCGACCAAGCCGGTCGTCGAAGGAATGACCGAAGATAGAAGATTGTTTTGTCAAGGTCGACTGACCAGTTGGAGAAGGAGTACGATATTTGGAGAATCTCGCCCAAGGTGGATCGCTTGTGGATGGACAAAAGGGTGGAAGCTTGTCATTCATTGTAGCTTTGATGTTGGATTTAAGACTTTGGCGGTGTGAGCTTCGGATAGATCTCTGGAAGTGCTCGTATCGCGATGAGACATTATCTCATGCCAAGAAAAATTATATCTCCAGGTGATGAAACAACAGTGAGAAACCACGTTCATTTATGCCCCTGTAGACTTTGAGCGTACAGCGAGAAGTGGCAATAATGTCTCGAGGTCTACCTACCATGCACCAATCAACTCCCATCAGAAGGCCGGTATTTAAGCTCTCCTTTCGATGAAGAGACACCTCGACATGAGATTTTCATGTCCCAACAGACAAATTGCGAAGGTCCACCTACGTAAGAAATAAGGAGGTTCCGCACTCAAAGGTCGTTGGAGTAGTTCTAGTCTAATAAATGCACGAATGCAGTATCCAGCTCAAGACCAGCAGCTGGAGAACTCAGCTGGCCGAGCGAGGCAGAAGACAAAATAATCAACAGCAATGCAAACAGAAAAAGTAAAACTATATGGAAAGTGACGAGGGAAGCTGCTTGCAAGAACCTTGGCTGGGGACAGATATTACCCCAAGGCGGATATCGGCAAGAGCCTTTGCCATATCTGCTTCCAACTTGTGCGCCCGACCTTGGATTCGAACCACGGCATAGTGTGCTCGAGGTAAGCTTTGAAAGGACAATTGCAATGCTGTTCAACATAAGCGCTGGACCAAGCAGCTCATGAATTGACGCTGCGTAAAGGTTGTATTGCGATTCCCTATTCGACAGTACGGGTACGAGCGCAAACCCATGCTTTGATAGAGTAAGCATGGTCAGTTGGACACGTTGTTAGGGAGAAGATGGTGAACGAACCAGAAACAAACCATGAGTTGAAATTTCTGCAAGATCCTTAGCGCCGGAGGTTGGCTGTGGACGTTGCCGACGTATCTTCGCAGTCTGAGCCAATCACTTCGTATCCCGGCCTCTGGATATCCCATCCCAGCTTGTTGCTTCTGGCAGGTGGACACACGACCATCAAGGAAGTCATTAATTACTTATACTGGAAACGCGGCCGCCGGCATCCATGTCTGGAGAAGAGAAAATGGTGGCATCGCGTCGCTTCTGTCTGAACTGGCAAGTAGAGACCAGATGAGAAAGACGAAGATGTGAAACTTGTAGCTTCACTCCAGTCCAGGGAACGAACACAAGTAATTTACTGTATGGAATTAAGATGACGGCTGCTTTTTGGGGCTGAAGCATCCAATCCGGATATCTTTTATTTCTTCCTTCGTGAGGCTAAATATAATACGCCTTTCCCTGCTGCTTGCTCGCTTCCAAGATGTGCAACTCCATGGTGAAGAAGTCAATTTTTACATTACGTTGGCTGTGACTCGACTCTGCTGGGAGCGGTGACAGGGTTGGATGTATGTTTGATTTGAACGTCGTCATCCTTCTGCACAGTATCTTTGCATCCCGAATCTGCTGGCGGCAGCAGAGTGCACTGGAGCCGTGCATGTGCATGGGTTCTGGATAAGGATGCGGCTTTCCGTCTTGGTTGACGCCAAAACAAATGCAGCACCACCAAGGACACTGCCAAGGACTTTTGCAGCCCACTACTGTAGTGATTGAACCCAACCCAGAAGGAACACTCCACCACCACCAGCACGAGCTGTCCACCAACATGACTTCCTCTTTCTTTCCAAGAAGAGATCCTTTCCTTCTTCCTGCGAGAATTGATCCTCCTCCTTACCCTCACCCTCCAGCAACTCCCCTCCTCCCTGCCCCTCCAGGTCCGACTCTACCAGAACCTACATCCCAGCCGTTCCTGATCTCAGCCTCCCGCGGATCCCGACCCTCTCCAAGCTGGACAGTCAAATGCGGAGGTATTCACAGAGTCCACGGTGTATGAAGTGCAATGCTGCGGTCCATCTCCAAGCCTCTCTCGATACGCGACCGAGCCTCAGCTGTGGTTGAGCGGGCGTTCCAATTCCTCATTGGTGTCATGATTGTGGGCGTTATCTACAGATACTGCTGGATTGGTATGTACAAAGCTCTTGATCCAAGAAAACCGAGAATTGTTTCCAAGATGTACGCTAACATTTGCCCCTCCAGACGTAGCCGACCCCTTCAAATGTAGCGCCTTGCAGAACCAAGGTGAATGGCTTGATCCAGGCACAAAATGGAATACACGGAATGCTTTCAGAAGCTGGCAGCCACCGGGATGTATGATGCACGAATACACGAAGAGAGATATGCAAGAATGTTTCCAGAAGAGGCGCCTGGTCTTTATTGGGGATTCTACAACGCGGCAGATTTTCTGGGCGGTCGCGAAGAAGATTGATCAGCAGAGGGCCCAGAAAGAGATTGAGACGTTGGATCTGGACGAGAAGCATACGGATCTTGCCTTTGAGTCTGACGGTATCAAGGTCCAGTTCGTTTGGGACCCATGGCTAAACTCAACAACATTGGCGGAGGAGCTGAAATTGTTCAAAGCCTACTCTCCTGCAAAGTCAGATGGGCCTGAGAGTGCTGGATTACTGTTGCTTGGGACTCCTGGACTATGGTATGCGAGGCATGGCCAGGAGAACTACTTTAAGGAATTCAGAGACTCAATTGACGCTGTGATTCCGTATATGGACCACCTGCCCGAGAATGATACCTCGATATCAGGGGTCCCAATGACGCTCGCATCTCGTCAAGAGTCGCCAAACCTTCTTCTAATGGCGCCTATTCAAGTTCCTCGATATGAGGCTCTATCTCCTTCGAGAGTGGAGACCATGACACCGGAGAAGATTGACCAGATGAATGATTTTCTTCAGCAAGTTTCAGCGCACTCAAGGGCGGATGTTGTTTGGAGCTACTTTCTGATGACCTCAGATGGGGACGAGCCATATGAAGAGAGTGGACTTCATGTCGTTGAGAACGTAGCAACTGCGAAAGCGGAAGTTCTCCTCAACCTGCGCTGTAATGCCGATGCTGCGCAAAGAGGTTATCCGTATGACCGAACTTGTTGCAGCAATTACACTCAACCAGGTGGGGTCCAATGGATACTGGTTCTTGGTGGAATGCTGGGTCTGCCAGCGATTTTGTTCACCCGTCGGAGACATGTCGTCCAGATTGGACGCTTCCTACCTCAAATAGAGGTCTTGACTGCTCTGACAGTCTTTGGCCTGGTTGTGTGCTATTGTTTCTACACCGACAGAACTCAGATATTCGACAAAGTCCACAAAAAGTTTGAGGAAAGCCGGTTTCTCGCTGCATGTGGAGCAGCAGCAGTCGTGGGTGCTCTCTCGATACGAAGAAGCAAAAGCCCAACTGCTAGTGCCAAGGCCACCCAAGACATTGAATTCCTGCCCCGTGAGCAGACAGACGAATGGAAAGGCTGGATGCAATTCATTGTTCTCATCTATCATTATACCCATGGATCCAGTAATCTGGGAATTTATCAAATCATTCGGCTCCTCATCGCCGCCTACCTTTTCATGACTGGATATGGTCATACAATGTTCTTCCTGAAATCGGAAGACTATTCTTTCAAACGATGCGCAACAGTGTTGATTCGAATCAATTTGCTGAGTTGCATATTGCCATATATGATGCGCACCAACTACTTATTTTACTATTTCGCCCCCCTCGTTAGCTTCTGGTTCCTCGTCATTTATTCCACGCTCAGGATCGGGCACAGCAAAAACTCGAATTTGACCTTTCTCATCGGAAAGACTCTCATCTCAGCAGCACTCACAACTGCTTTTACGAAGATACCCGGAGTTCTAGAATTTGTTGGTACTGTCTTACATTACACCTGCGCTATTTCTTGGAACATCTCCGAGTGGCGTTTCCGATCTTCTCTTGATCTGTATATTGCGTACATCGGAATGCTCATCGCAGCACTCTCACTTCGTTCTCATCGATTGAAGGCTGGCGGCGTCACACCAAAATCGGCAATCGACCTTCTTCTCCAACTTACTATCAAATATCGCCTCCTGTTCCAGGCCGCGCTTCTTGCACTTGCTCTCGGCCTCCCACCTGGAATGTGGGGTCTGCTCCGAAAATCACACACTAAAGAAGATTACAACTGGTGGCAGCCATACATCTCTGCTATTCCCATACTTTGCTACATAGTCCTCCGCAACGCTCTACGGGCATTCCGCAACTACCATTTCACCGTCTTTGCATGGCTCGGCCGCTGCTCTCTCGAGACTTATATCCTGCAGTACCACATCTGGCTCGCAGCTGACACGAAAGGTCTGCTCAGACTCGGTTTGTGGGACTCTAGCATTGAGACTGTTTTGTTAACAGTAGTATTCTTCTGGGTCAGCTGGCACACGGCTGAGGCGACGCATACCTTGACCAGATGGATTGTAGGGGATGCCGCTGGAAGTTTAGCGCAGTCTCGGAAGAGTAGTGATAATGACGACCTGAAGGGCGAGAAGAACTCGCCGTACCTCCTGCCGAAGGTCAAGACCGAGGATGCAGCGTCCTCGTCCTTATTGGCAGATGATAGAACTTCATCGAGTGATGAGCGTACCAAAGGCGTTCTAGGGAAGTTGAATAGTTCATTGAAGCTGAGGGTTGGCTTGATTATGTTTATCATGTGGCTCGGGAATATGATGTACAGGTAGACCTGAAGGCATTGGTACAGTATAGACGAGCCATGGCTGGTGCATAAAATGGCAGAGACAATGTATTTATTGCAAAGATAGTAGATATTGTAATGCCATAAAACTAATCATATCTAGATCCTGACATTTACAGCGTATCCTGTGTAATGTATGGCAGCGATGCGTACAGGGCATGGACGAGCAGACTTGAGAAAGTGGAAAGCATAGCTAATGCATCATCTACATAAAAGTTTGAGACTTGCTCAGCAGATAGACTTGATACATAATATCATGCAGTACTATCAAAGCCAATTGCTTTAAAGAATTTCCAAAAGCTCTACCTTGAGAACGTGGCAACACTGAAATTGGAAAATCGCCATAGGAAATCCTGATGCTGAACCGAGAATACATGCTTGACATCTACCTCCACCGCGAGAGCAGGTAAATGATTGAACAAGTTAGGGAAGACCATATGACATGGCATGGAGTGGGGTTCGAGGATATAACTATTGTTGAGAACGGAAACTCAGCAGTTATCTTAGAGACTTCTCATATTCGCAGCAACACTTGTAGTTGTACCTTTGGGTTGTGAGTACAAGTACTGAGTCATAAGTTCTTTTGAGCAGGAAATACATTGAAATACTGCGTACTAATTGATGTGGGTAGTTCACCTCCGTGCCCAGAGAACAGAACCGAGTCGGATGTCATCGGGTAACGTTTGACTTCACATCGTACATGGCTCCGCAGCAAAAGACCCCGAAGAAATTGGCACGGGTGCAAGCGCCTTCTCGTTTCGCAGTTTAAGAAGACCACCTGCTGTTCGCATCTGCTAAATATCTTATGACACTCGAGCATTTTCCATTAGCATCTTACGTGGCTAGACATAGACTGGCGTCCTCAGTCTATTCTACGAGATGTTTATTCCTGAGATTAGCGAATGGTCCCCTAGGCTATCCCATGGAAGCCAGCTTTCAGCCTATCGCGAGTCACCCCACGATCTCAACGCCACAGGATCCAAGATCGTTTGCGATCTGGGCCCAACTCTGGCTCCTTGCCTTCAAGCCCGTCAGACTCTAGACACGCCGGCAAGACCGTCATTTATCAATTCCCCAATATGCACCGCGAACGAATTCCTAATCTCGTCGACTTGGCCGGCTTGGGTGTTCAATCTCTGCCTTCTCGCCTCCACTGCTTTACGGAACATCGGAATGCCAACTGCTGTGGCCGGCCGGCCAAGCCCCTATCTTTGCTAAGCGAGACCTGTAAACATCTGTGCCCAGCAACATTCTCTTGGTGGGATGTCACTTAGGGAAATACACATGGGTGCGCTTACGGTTGCCAAGATACCTGAGTGGATCTGTAGCGTTCCGGTCTGTGAAACTCTACAAAGCTGTACTGCGATAAAAGTTTGGCTCGGTATTCTTGGTATGCTGCTTCTCTCGGCGATTCTTGGCGTAAAGTCGGAGTGAGTGTGGAGTGGATACCTACGCAAGGCGGTGACGTGATGAAAGTGCGCTGCACCTACCTGTATAAGACTTACCTATGCCCTCTTGAATCTACCTCTTTCTTGGAACGAACAATCGATCAGAAGAAAGTTCTTCTCTGTTTGATTCTTAACGAGAAATCAAATTCTAGTGACTTCAGCCTCAGCCTGATCGTCTCGCTCCATCACGGCTAACCTGCATTTACTGCTCCGCCAGCTACACACAGCACACAAATCAAATAAATTATACACAGCTCGGAGCAATTGAGTTCCAAAAAAGAAAAATCTGCAGCCATGGCGGGCAGTGACAAAGGGAAGAAAGATAATGAGCCTTCGGCCCATGTATCTGGACAAGCCAACGAGCCTCTTTCTGGTCTCCCTCACACTTTGACAGCCGACCAACTCGCATCCGAGATAGGAGCAGATCTCCTCGACGGACTGCGGGAAACCGAAGCCAAATCTCGTCTTGAGAAATACGGCCCCAATGAGCTGGACGATGGCCCAGGTGTCAACCCGGCCAAAATCCTGCTTCGCCAGGTTGCAAACGCAATGACTCTAGTTAAGCGTACCACACATCCCTAGTCCGATCACAGATTTTCTGATCCAATTCTACAGGTGTTGATTCTGGCCATGGCTGTCAGTTTCGGAATCGGCTCTTTCATTGAAGGTGGTGTTATCACTGCCGTCATTGTCTTGAACATCACAGTCGGCTTCTTTCAGGAGTACAGCGCTGAGAAGACTATGGATTCTCTCCGCTCTCTGAGCTCTCCTACTGCCAATGCTATCCGTGAAGGCAAGAATGTGGTTGTACCTACGGCACAACTTGTCTTTGGTGATCTGGTTGAGGTCAAGGTGGGTGATACAGTTCCCGCAGACATCAGGTACGTCGCGTTCCCTCGAGGATCTCTTGACTTCGATTCTAATTTCCGCTAGACTCGTCGAAGCCATGAACTTTGAGACTGATGAGGCACTTCTTACTGGTGAATCTCTCCCCGTTGCAAAAGAAGCAGCTGCCACTTTCGATGAAGATACTGGACCTGGCGATCGCCTCAACGTCATCTACAGCTCTTCTACTGTCACTAAGGGCCGCGGTCGTGGTATCGTCTTCGCAACTGGTATGACCACAGAGATTGGATCCATTGCAGCAGCTCTTCGTGGAGGAAATTCTAAGCGAAGACAAGTTAAGCGCAAACCAGACGGGACTGCAAAGCCACATCGTTACGTTCAGGCATGGGCCCTTACATCTACGGATTTTGTTGGACGATTTCTCGGTGTGAACGTTGGGACTCCACTTCAGAGAAAACTATCGAAGCTCGCTCTATTACTCCTTGGAATCGCCGTTGTTTGTGCCCTGATTGTATTGGGAGCTAACAAGTTCTCCAACAATACCGAGGTTATCATTTATGCTGTTGCAACTGGGCTTTCCATGATCCCCGCTTCGCTTATTGTGGTGTTGACAATTACGATGGCTGCTGGTACGAAGCGTATGATCAAGCGAAACGTTGTTGTGAGAAGTCTGGATTCACTTGAAGCACTTGGTGGTGTCACTGGTAAGCTTGAACAAATATAGTCCTGAGATCCTGTCAAAAGCTAATTCGATACAGACATTTGCTCTGACAAGACCGGAACATTAACTCAAGGTAAAATGGTGGTCAAGAAAGCCTGGATCCCCAGCAGAGGCACCTACTCTGTAGGAACTTCCGACAATCCCATCGATCCCACCTTGGGCAACCTATCTATCAGCGAAATCGAGCCAAGAAAGGAGAGTGAAGATGAAAAGCAGGACCCAGAAGGCGTCGCGTTCGAGGAGCTTCTGAAGGACAACGACGACCTCGAGCAATTCCTTACTATCGCAGCCCTTGCCAATCTCGCAAACGTACACCAGTCTGACGGCGAATGGAAAGCACGCGGCGACCCGACGGATATCGCAATCCAAGTCTTTGCTGCTCGATTCAACTGGAACCGCTCTCGCTGGACTTCGGACGCCGAGGATGCCATCTGGAAGCAGCGCGCGGAATACCCATTCGACTCCACCATCAAGAAGATGTCCGTCATATTCGAGTCCGAAGACACGTCCATGGTATTCACCAAGGGCGCTGTGGAGAGAATCTTCGAGTCCTGCTCTACCATCATTCTTCCCAGCGGCGAGACTGAACTCACAGAAGAGATTCGAAACCAGATTCTCGAGAATATGGAGGCTCTGGCGAGTCAAGGACTTCGCGTTCTGGCACTGGCCAGTAAGAAACTTCCAGGTCCCATCGATGAGCTCAAGGTCCCAGAGCGGAGCACTATCGAATGTGATCTAATATTTCGTGGCCTTGTCGGACTTTACGATCCCCCTCGCCCAGAGACTGCAGGTGCAGTCACTGCCTGCCACGCGTCTGGAATCGCCGTTCACATGCTTACTGGTGATCATCCAAGTACTGCTCGAGCTATTGCACTTCAAGTCGGTATCTTGCCCTCGAACATGGCAGCTATCTCTGCCGACAAAGCTGCAGCCATGGTCATGACAGCCGGACAATTCGATAAGCTTTCTGAAGAGCAGATCGATGCTCTGCCACTCTTACCTCTTGTTATTGCCAGGTGCTCACCTACCACCAAAGTCAACATGATCGAAGCACTCCATCGACGCGGAAAGTTCGCTGCTATGACAGGTGACGGAGTCAACGATTCCCCTTCTCTGAAACGTGCAGATGTCGGTATTGCCATGGGTCTCGCAGGCTCAGACGTAGCTAAAGATGCATCTGATATTGTACTTACTGACGACAATTTCGCCTCGATCTTGAACGCCGTTGAAGAAGGTCGCCGAATGTTCGATAACATCCAGAAGTTTATTCTGCATTTGTTGGCTGAAAACATTGCTCAAGCTTGTACCCTACTTATCGGTCTGGCGTTCAAGGATGATAGCCAGCTTTCCGTCTTTCCGCTCGCACCAGTTGAGATTCTGTGGGTTATCATGATTACATCCGGTCAGTAACTTTCCGACAAAGAACATGCTGCATACAATTTACTGATATCTTCATAGGAATGCCCGACATGGGTCTTGGATTCGAAGCCCCCGCACCAGACATCATGTTACGCCCACCCCACCCAATGGAAGTCGGAGTTTTCGCCTGGGAAGTCATGATCGATATGCTCGTCTACGGGCTCTGGATGGCCGCACTCTGCCTCTCAGCCTTCTCCCTCGTCCTCTTCGGGTTCGGCGACGGCAATCTCGGAAATGGCTGCAACGACCACTACTCTGCGGAATGCGACACCGTCTTCCGGGCCCGGGCTACTACTTTCGTCTGTCTTACTTGGTTTGCTCTCTTCCTTGCGTGGGAGATGGTTAATATGCGTCGCTCGTTTTTCCGCATGCAGCCTAAGAGCACGAAATACTTCACTCAGTGGGCTATTGACGTTTGGAGAAATAAATTCCTCTTCTGGGCTGTCATTGCTGGATTCGTCACTATCTTCCCTACTCTCTACATCCCGGTCATCAATCACAAGGTGTTCAAGCACACAGGCATCACCTGGGAATGGGGCATCGTCTTCATCGAAGCCATCCTCTTCTTCGCCGGTGTCGAGGCCTGGAAGTGGGCTAAGCGAGTTTATTTCCGCCGTCAGGAGCTCAAGAGAGGTGGCAAGCATGATGATCTGGAGAAGAAGGCGTTCGCGGCTTACTTTGATGAGAAATCTGATTGACATGAGTTGCCCATTGGCTTGGGCTTACTTGTATCATGTCTTGTGGAAGGGTTGTTGTGGATGTCGATGTGGTGGGACGGAGCGTGTTGGTGTGGAGTCGTTTCGCAATATGGACAACGACTGAGAGAGAAGCATGGGAACTTCGAAAGAGGAAACCGCCGTCTTCTTCTCGCATCGGAGTCCTTTTCGGAAGGGGTTCTTTGGTCGCTCGAGGTCGACAACGAACTGTTTGAATTCCAAGACTCAGCGCCTGGTGCAGAGACGACTTTTCTTTCTTTCATTTTCGTTTTTCTACTCATTTTCTTCCTCGTCATTTTCCTTTCGAGTCTCGTGAACATAAAAGTTACAACAGCAGTAGCGGTAGTAGTAGTGGCATGCTCTCCAGCTCTGTGGATGCTTCCCTCCTTTGATAGGGAAACATCCATCAATAACGGAGAGGGAGGTGGAAGTGGATGTGGGAGGGAGGAGAGAGACTTGCTACTAATTGATTTACAGGGCTTTACAGAAAGATTGAAAACGCAAATACAATGGAATACATACCAAATATTGACTTTGATACTTGAGTATGTGAAAACGTGACATGATAGTGGCGATGGGGGGGGGACTCGCTGAGTCTCCAGTACAGTGAGGATCAAATCCTAATGTTTTGTGGAATTCGCTCAGCACAGGTGACGGAGAAGCTTCAATGGAAAAGATATAACAGCTGAACACAAAGTCCTGGATTGTATTTTTTTCATTTACACATCTGCATGGTTCTGCGTCTACTCGTCAGATCTATTTGTCTTGCTGCCCACACTTCAGCGCACCGATTGCCCCTCCACAAGTATATCCATCTTTTTCCTCATCGTCCTTCTTCCTTCTCCTTTTCATTTCCTTCTCCATCTCCCGTATGTCACCCACGAAGTATTCCAACAAATGAAACTAGTTATGTCATGGGGTATCGTCCTTTTTTCTTTGATTCCTTTTCCGTTCCTTTCCCCTCCATCCCACCCACAGCCCACGCTAATTGCTCCTTCCATCAAACATACAAAGGTCTCAACCGACCCCAGAACTCCGCGCTAAATGCTCTTACCAAAATATCCCGAAAAGCAAAGGCAAAGGAAGTAAGCTACAGAGATCACTCGCTCCGCTCCAATCTAGCTCCTGGCTTATAGAACAATGAAAACGAACAATGAACAAGCGAAAAAATCGATCAACAATTTGTACAGATAATTTGTCGTGACAGTGACAGTAACGTGAATATGTATAGAGAAAGAGCAAGCAGCTCATTTCCCGATAATAACATCGCCGAGATATCCCATCTCGCTGAGAAGTTGCTGCAGAGCAGTCATTTGCTCGACCTCCGGCTCGAATGTGGTTTGATGCGTGGCACCAAATGTGGCACGGCTGGCTGATGTCGGTGCGAGCTGCGAGAGAGGAGTATCCTTTCTCAGGGTCTGTTCAGAGGCACAATCGGCTTCCGGGAGGCTGTAGCCAGTGAATCCTTCTATGGGGATGTCGGCCAGAACAGGACTGTAGGTAAACTCGTCACCAGAGCCAACATCTGCTGCGAGATCCACATCGTCATCATTGATATCAGATGATATGGAGTGTTCGGAGCTGAAGCTGAAGTGGCTATCTGAGGGGGAAGTGAGAGAGGTCGCCAGCGTTGAAGTGGAGAAGTGGGAGCGAGGAAGGTCGGCTGCAGAGAAAGCTGGACGAAGGCGGAGAGGTGGAGGGAGAAGTTCTTCTTCGGGGAGTTGGGGAAGGGGTTTTTGCATGTCCTTTGCTGTGCTTCCAGACCGTTGACGAGCTGGTGGAGAACGTAGACCTGCTGAAGGTGGAGGCGCAAGTGGTGTAATGCCCTTCTCCAAAAATGACATATCATTGAGTTGGCTAGCGAAGTTATCGTCATCCTCACCTTCCTCCTCGATCTCATCTGGGATCTCGAGAGTGGTTGTGTTGTAGGTGGTGCTCTCCTGTACAAGATGTCGTAATGGCGAAGGATCTCGAGTCTGCAGCTTCTGGAATGATTGAGGCGATGGTTCCCGCGTATGTGGTACAGACTTCGTCCTCCTTGCCTCCTCTCTCAAGTTTGGTGTGCTTGCATTTGATCTTCCATTATGGACCTTGCTCAGCGAGGACGACCGTCCACGGGTATCAATAGGGAGTGATGAAGGCTGACTTGGCAATCGAAGACCGAAGAATTGTCTCGGCGACCATGCCGATTTCTCGGGCTTTGGTGAAAGCGAACGCGCTGATCGTTTCTTCATGAGTACTGACGAGGATGTGTTTAGACGTGGTAGCGAAGGGGGTGGTGGTGGAGCTCTAGGTGTCATAAACTTGTCGGCAGGGTTCATCGTTTTGATATCTCCATTGGCCATTGAACTCATAGATGCGCTGCGATATCGTAGAGGTTGTACTTCGATTGGTACGAAAAGGAGGTTGACTGGTTGGCCTGGTAGATATGGACAAGCGGTGGTAGATGGTATCGACGGGTCGTAGTGCTCGGTTCCATCATCCAGCTCGTACTATATATGTCATGAGCCTCAACCTTTGTCAAAGTTTCGAATAGAAAAACATACGTAGTAATAATAAGTGGATCCCATCTTCAAACCACCTGTGCGTTTAGGACTACTCGGTCCATCCCCATCGCAAATAATATCCTCAAAAGTATAGCAGCCGCGCCACTGGGATCGTGACCGTCTGATGTCGCGTTCCATGGGATAATGTTTGGTGAAGTTGTCCCATGATCCAATTAGATGAACTGATTGAGTTGAGTGGGGGGTTTGACTGTGGTAAGTTAGCCAAGTGAAACAGGGATCGTGATGCTATAAATGGTTACGATCCGAAAATCCGTGGGGGAAGCGTTGCTCATAGATTGGAGATTGGTGGCAGATAAAGATGAAACAGTACATTTTCCCCCGCTCATATGACTTCGGATGGCCGCACAGAACTATAACACCGTTTGGTATATAGATGGATATTTGGGCTGGCACTTCAACCAGACAACCAATCTCCTAGAAACTGCTTCCGACCCCGAGTCGAGGAAGAAGAGGTACTTCGGATAAACTTGAGTGTCCTTTTGAAGATCAAACAATTGCGGACTACGCAATTAATGACTCAATGCCTCAAGCCCGCCAGAACACGAATGCATAGTCAGGCTGCGTATCGAATGGCAGTTTGCATGGCAGACGCAACTCATTCTTTTTTTGTACATCAGATGAGACTTGTTAGAGGTGAAATGTCTTGTTGTTCTCCCAAAATCCAATGTCCGTGTGTTGATTGCTCACAGCATTCGAAATAAGCTCTGGCAGTTGCCAGGTACATCTCGCGATATTTGAACTCTCACCCGATCGGTTGATCGAAAGTCAAAAAAGTATCTTCAAGTCATGAAGAATCTCGAGCAGGGGTAAAATGATTGCTTCATCGAAAACGCATCGAAAACAACAAACAATGCAAATCGGGGAAATGTACGTACATCATGAAAGTGATAAGTGCGGTATCCATATTGATATGTTTGAGTCCAAGGACCAGCCTGAGGAAGTATTAATATTAAGTTGATGGACGTTGAAGTTGACAACGACGACAAATTAGATCCAGTCTTTGGGAGGGTTTGGTTTAAGGTCTTATAGTAATGAGTGGTTGCATGCTCCGGGAGCTAATGTTGGGTTTCGAGAACTGCGTAGAAGGATTGGACGAAATCTGGAATGGAATTTCCTTTGCGGTCTTCGGATCCGTTTGAGATAGCCGCGAGGTTTGAGATGCGCGTATTTGGAAGGGTGATGGAATTGTGGTGAAGTTCTTCTGACCAGTAACAATGGGATTTGACGGAGGAAGCGCCCGTGATCGCTAGGATTGCCGGATTGAGCGCTTAGAGAACCGACGCTGAGGATTCGGGAATTGCAGTTGGTGTTTTGGATGTACAGGTCATGAGTGAGAGACGGGCTTATGCGTTACTGATGTCTGGAGATCCTTTTGGCGCTGAGATAGTGGAGTGGTAGGTGCCGCAGTCGAGAAGTGTTTGATCCTTAAACTGGTGCTGGGTATCCTGCCTTTATGGCGGGGCACGTACAGTACAGTATTTTGAACAGCAGGGACGAACAGGAGAGACAAACAGGAAATTGAGGAGGTTTAAGTGGATGGGATAGGTCAGTTGTGGCTCCTCTAGTGCCTCTAGTTGGTGGTAGCCTCGTGGAATCCCGTTGCAGCCGCCTCTAAGTGAAGTGGGAGCGGAGCTTGGGGGGACTGAGCTGGATCTGATCTCGAAGACCAAAGACAAGAACCATGTGCTTGTGGATCTGTATGGCCATGCAGAGAACTCAGACAGAAAAAGAGGTGGTTATGTGCATGGAAAAGCAGAAGAAGAAGGGGAAAATGTCTGATAGAAGAAGGAAGGAGCTCAGGAGAGGTCGAGAAGAGAAGAGATGAGGAAGAAGAAGATGCCATGAACTTGCCGTCCGTGAGCAACAGCATACAGTAGCAGCAAATGGAAGAGCATAGCTCGATCGTGGCCCCAATAGTGTCTGCCAGGCCCTGCCTCCCCGAGCACAGCACGACATACAGATTTCAATAGTGCCGCTGTGTGAGTGGACGCGAGAGGAACTGAGCTGAGTTGAGCTGAGCTGAGCTGAGCTGAGCTTGGGGAACAGGAGAGCGGAGAGTAAGGTAGAGGATCATCAAACAGGGCAAGGCTTTTCGCCAAGACAGTCCCCCAAGATCCAATCGGCGGCAGACGGCAAGTGCAGGGACGGCCAACGGCCAACCTGGGAAAGTTTAAGAGGGGAGGGTGGAGGATGGGAGGATGCGATGCGGTGCGGTGCATGAAGGCATGACAGACCTGCAGTGGATCACTCACGCAGCGGTGCCGGTTCTTCGTTTCGAATAATAATAATGTGCCATCCGAAATATGCTTGCCGGGCTGCAACTCGCTCGTCCACGTCCACGTCCACGTCCACGTCCATGTCCTCCCTCCAGCTCTCTCACTGCCACAGCAAATGAGCAGCAATCGCTGGAAGAAATGAGAGGGGGCATGACTTCCATGTCCCATGAACCAATTAAAGTGACAATCCATCCATCCTTTCGCCCATTATATTGGATGAAGCGCCGTCGCACCCTGACAGTCAGTAGTCAGTAGTCACTCAGTCAGTCGGTCATCGCTCGTCAGTCGTCTTTGCAACTCTCGGCAGATTCGCAAATACTGTACTGTACTGTACAGGGCCCGCAGCAGCCCCCATCCCATGTCCGCGGTCAGATCATCTCATTCCCTGCGCGCGAGCTTGTTTGGGAGACCGCGACCGCTTCAGCCATGTGCGGTGCGGTGCATCTCTGTGTCCTGTTGGTCGAAAGAGGTTCATCAGCAGGATGTGGCTGATGAGCGCATTCAGATGCAATTATTAGCTGTCCAGACCCTGATTTCGACGTCCCCTACGCCTACCTCGAAGCAGTCTAGTTGCTTGCCTATACAAGTACTTGTATTTTGCACTGCATGTTCCAATTCGTCCTTGCTTGCTTTTCCCCTGCCCTGCCCTGTTCTGCCGGCTGGATCGACGGTAGCGAAGATTCGGTTCTCACGCTTCATTCAGTAAGCGCACCAGAAGCCCCCCTTTTCCACTTTGGTTTAAATGAACCTTGAACGGGTACACTGACCTATCACTTCCCAGCCAACGACGCGTCCAACGCGTCCAACGCGTCTGAAGTTCGAGACTAAGGTACCGAACATGGCCAATTTTAATTTTAATTTCAACCTCTTTTTGGAAGGTTCAAAGTCTTCACAGCTCTCATCTCCCACCCTCTCGTCAGCCTGTTCTGCCGATAGAACCGATTGGTTCGCAAGCTACAAGACGACCTGCCCTGCAATTCTTTAGAGTTTGAGTCTTGCTACTTAATTGCGACGTTCCACTTCGAAAAGTCTTTCGCCAGGACTTGGTTTGTTTCAGAAGATCCGTAATCTGATGTCAGACTGGGGTTCTTCGGTTAGTTCCTGGTGCCGGCTCGGACAAGAGAGCACGACTTCACTGGTCCAAAGTTTCGTTTCCTGACTTGTGTCACGACGTGTGTTTGATTTGATTTTGATTCTGAGAAATGGAATCACGGATTATGCAGCTTTTCTCATGTCATCCTTTTCTTTCTACTCTGCTATAATGGTCATCTCATCTCTGGTTATTCAACCATGATCTATTAGATTCCGTCTCTTAGCTCATCCCATCCTTAATTTCTCCCCAGCCCACACTGGGTATTTGGAGGGTTGTCTCAGAACTGTCTACCTATGACAGATCCATGAAATCTCTGGTCTTGCATCGGTGTTGGATCAATTGTCCAAACTACCGAGAAGCTCGGTAATTCCTTCGCCCCGTCAACAATTGCTTTGTCCTGACACCCGAGAATTCGGGATCGGATTCAGGCTGCTGTCACATTGAACAGAGACATGGTTCATGTGCACCACATTTGCTCCCGGCATCATCTCGTTGATTGAATGTCCAGTCTTTTACAGTTTAAATGCGTGAGAATAATACGCAGGCTTCATCTCAGCCTCTCATCAATGTGATGGCCAAATTTGATGAATTATTGCTAGCATCTTGAGACAAGACGCCTTGCCATTCTCGGGTCAGGTATCGATCAAACTCCTTCTTTCTACCATACAGTATTCATCCTTTCCGATTCCAATCTTCTCAATGTAACATTCGGTCATGGTATCGGATGCACTTTCATTGTGTATTCAATCTACACCTCATTTGTTTACTACTGGCGCTTCTCGCGTTGTTTGTATTTGAGCTCTAAGCAAGCAAATACGCGAGTTTTGAGAGCGACACTGTCTTCTGACTCAACGTCGGCGAGATATTCCATTCCAACTGTATTACGTCGAATGAGGAGGAAGAAATGCAAAAACCAGCACATAAAGCACATAACCGAGGGCGCTGTGTCCCTTGCTACACTGGCCACGAGGATTCCGTCCTTCGGTACAGCATCCTATGGAAAACGCGTGGAAATACTGTACTGTACTACTGTGCTTGAGAGTACAATGACACACTTATAGGCTCCCGACATATGACAGACGCTGTCCCTCTTTCCAGGTAGCTTAACAATCTGTCCGACTTCGAAGCACAAGACGAGACACAGCGGCAAGAGAAACGTGTTTTCTTCCCAAGTCGGCGGGTTTCGTTTGATTCTCGTGCTTCGGCGTACATGTATTTCCAGCTTTGGAGTCTCTAACTTCCCAAACACCTGGGACGGATTCCACAGAGGTCGAAAAACCTGTCTACTGCACTGTATCACGACATCCCCAGACTTTTGTCAGTCCATTTCATTTTCGAGCCCTGAAAGTGGCCCGTAACCAGAAGAAAAAATGGAATAGGAAGACGGCTTAACAGGACAGTATAGTACTAGATGAAATCTCTCCCTTTCTCTCTCTTTCTCAACATTAAGGCATGCTGTAGGGAAATTTGAGGTCAGGTGACCTCCACTCGCTCACTTGTGTCAAAGTTATTTCCATGGATGACTTCCATTACCACCACCGCGGTTTCAGTAGTCCCGAGACGAGCAAAGCTAAGGCGAGTTACCCCCGCGAGACGAACCCGAGTTCATCGCGAGATGCATGAACTGCTCTTTCCTCCCATCCCACCCTCCGCCAGTAACTTCGATCCTATCCGATCTACTTTACCTTTAACATTCAGAGTTCTTATTTCCAACTCTTATGTCTACTTGCAGCAAACTCTAAAAATCAAGAACTCCCCTTCTAAAGCAAGACAAGACAAGAAAAATGTTAATTATTGGGAAGGGGAAAAGCTTCCTCATAAGCGTTTTATGTTGGCCAAGAGTAGTGCTGAAGGTTCGACAGAGTAGCAATGCAGGATTAGGTTGATATCCGCTGAAGCGAGTTCTGTAACGGGGAATGACTCGATGAACCGAACCTTGACAGCACCTTACTCAATGCTACTTGGTTTCGCGCAGAGCCTCCGGTTTCTTCTAGACTCGAGATTTATCTAGCAATCCCATGCCTTCAATGCTTCCCGCAAGACTTGGGCTCACTCATTCACTCACAGCTGGATGCAAGAAGCGTGCTCCAAATAGATTGACAGGAAAAGAAATAGGTATATTATTATTATTAGGTATCCAGCACCTCTGGCCTCGCAAGACAAACAGACATACAGCTATTCCCGCCCCACGTCTGTACATGTAGTTATACACATATCAAGCAATCCAGCCAGCAAGCGTGCGTGCAAAGTTTATCAGCACAAACCCTAAACGCCCATCCATCCAGCCATTCAATCCAACCCAATACTGTAGTACCTCCAACCAAAACACCCCTCGTGAACGAATGACGAGAATGAGAACTTCCCAAACCGACAACAATGCTGCGCAGTGCCTGCAAAATATAGTACAATCAATTCTCTTTTCGTGAAATGCAAAGCTCGTCACAGCTCAACTTTATCAGCATCAACCTTAAACTGCGCTGCTTTCCTGTCCCTCGCATACCGAGAACTCGTATCACCCTTCCACATCGTGCCCAACAGCCCATCCCAAAACGTAAAGAACGGCTGCGAGAAATTCGACTTGATGCCCCAACTCTGGTGGTGGATATCATGGTATCCCGCATTGTTGCTCGTGATGTGCTGGATCGGATCCCACGGTAATGCGTACCCGCAGTGGTCGTCGACGGTCTTCAGAGTCGAGAAGCCGAAGAATGCCATGCCTTGGCGGGGTGTGAGACCAGCGACTTTGTAGGCTATGCTTGCGCCGAGGGTGTCGAGGAGGAAGCCTTCGAAGGGGTGGTTGTAGAGCGCGCCGTAGGCGTAGGGGACGTAGAGGCGGTGATGTCTGGAGTGGAATGTTGCTAGGTTTGGTTAGTAAACAATTTACAGTTACCAAAGCAAGAGGACCAGAAGAGAGGGCTTACTGTAAAGCCACCGGTTGACGTGCATAGCCCGGTGGAGGAAATACTGCCAAGTATCCACGATGACAATCGCTAGCAAGAACTGCATCACAGGCACAATGTACCAGTACAAAACCTTCGCAGCGGTGATCTCCCAGCTCGCAAACGTCGCCACCGGTGCTCCACTAACAACGTCCAGCCCAAGGCTCAAAGAAGGATATCTGCCACCTGCAAGGAACCCCGCCAACACCGGATGTGACCCGGACATATTCTTCGAAATGGCCGCCGCATTGAGACCGATCAAGCCGAGGAGCTGCGGCAGAGCTCTCTGCGCAATCCGTAATCTAGTCGCCCAACAAGCAATGTCATATTCCCCCTTCCCAACCAGATCCTCTGGCTCCGTCAGTCCCATCAATGCTCCCACCGCCGTCTGGATAATCTGCTGTATGATAACGTCGCGTGCCACTTCGTATCGGGAGACATGATTTCTCTTGAGGATCTCGGCGGGCGTGTGCAGTCGGTATTGTGGCCATACGTCGTAGACATCGATGAGGTGGAAGAACATAGACACTACCCAGTAGACGGCGACTGGGACGACCAGGCATAGGTAGTAGTCGGGTAACCAGGAGATGAGCGGAGGCGCCGGAGAGAGTGTGTAGGCGGGCAGAGGTGGAAGGTCGTTCATCGCAGAAGCGTTGGCGGCAATGCTGATGTTTGCCATTGTAATTATTAGGAAAGTGAGTATGGCCGGCAGTTATCGTGGTGCGCACGAAAGGAGAGTCGAATGTGGAGGAAGTTGCAAAGTGAAAGGAAGGGAGCGGAGTGAAGTGAAGTCAAGTAAAGTTTGCTTTGTATGATGGATGATGGGAGTCCTCGCTCCCGCCACAGCAGTCAGTAATCGGCGCCCTATCAAATCTCGCTTAAGCTTTTTCTATCCGTCAATCCCGCGATCTCCTGTCAAAGAGCCTCCTGACTTTCTTCCGGTCTAGAAGCAATGAGGAGTCTTGCGGAATGCATTCAGCGGTGAGGAGAAAGTTGGTGTTTGTTGTTCAACCTATTGTTTCTATTCAATCCATAATAAACTGAGAAATGCATCCCCTTTTCACTGCTTCTTAATTTAAACATTGTTGCACGGCACTCCTTTCCTCACTTCCTTCCCAGCCCCACCAGCCTCATGCATTCCTGGTCCTATCCAATTCCGTCTTCCCAGTCTCTGGGCTCTGGGCTCACTGGGCTCACACTGACATGTGGCAAACTTGATGCCTGAAGGTTTCAGGCTGCAGTGAGTGAGTGCTGCTGGTCCACTCTAACCAGTCCTGGACAAGCTCGCTTTCTGCCCCTCCACAAAGTCTTCCGCGATTTTTCCAAGTCCAGCCCAGCCCACCCACCGCAGAATTGCAGATTAGAATTTCCCTCTATCTCAATCTCTCCGACAAATCCTCACACATCTCCCACATACCAAACCGCCAATATGATCATTTATAAGGTAAGAAATGCTGCCCAACCCGGTCTGATCCTATCGTGTTCTGCCAGAAAATGACCCCGCTTCTGCGACTTGCTCAACCACAAGTGGAGTTGGAGAACATGTGGGGGATGGGATGGAATGGGATGATTTGGTGATATGGGATCAGTTGCTGACCACGTATGATAAATTTAGGATATCATCACCGGTGATGAGATCATCTCCGACTCTTACGACTTGAAGGAGGTCGATGGTGCCGTGTACGAGGTCGACTGCGCCATGATTACCCTTGGCGCTGTCGAAGTTAGTACGTATACCTACATCTATACCGATACAAACTGTGGCTTGGAATGGGGATATGGATACAAGATACACCGCTGATATGGGGACACAGACACTGGTGCCAACGCATCTGCTGAGGAGGCCGAGGAGGGTGTTGAGGATGGTGCCGTACAGGTCAACAATGTTGTCAACTCTTTCCGTCTCAACTCTACCCAATTCGACAAGAAGTCATATCTCAGCCATCTCAAGAGTACGTCTCTTATTTCCCCGGCCAGATATACAGTTGATTAACATGGTGGTAGCCTACATGAAGAAGGTCAAGGAGGCTTTGAAGGCAAAGGAAGCCCCAGAGGAGACCATCACCGCTTTCGAGAAGGGTGCTCAAGCCTACGCCAAGAAGATTGTCGCCAACTTCAAGGATTACGATTTCTACATTGGCGAGTCGATGGATCCTGACGGAATGTACGTCTTCAGAATCCTCCCGGTACAATACTCAGATTTATACTAACGTATCTCCAGGGTCGTTCTCATGAACTACCGCGAGGATGGTGTCACTCCTTTCGTCACTGTCTGGAAGCACGGTTTGGTTGAGATGAAGGTCTAAAGGGGATTTAGGCTTGCATCTGGGGTTTCTTTTTCATTGTTTTGTGCTCCCTTGAGCAAAGTAGAGGCATTGCATATAGCGTGCATCTCTTCCTCCGATCCTTCGATATCAGACCCAATCCAATAAAAAGTACCGTCCTGCCGTTCATCCTCCAAGTATTGCAACCTGTGGATGTCTTTAAGAGATGGAGCACAGGAAAAAATGCAAGCAACGAAGCCAATTTCTTTGGGCGTGCTTGAGCAAGCTCGAAGTATGACAATGTTCATTTTCGCCCTCTAATGCTGCGATATCTGCCCAACCGACAGGAACTCCTTCTGCGATATCAATTTTATGAAATGAAGGCCCTTTCCTGTTATTTGATCTCCTCACGAAATGCGAACCATTTGGCAAGTCGTTTTGTCATGTCGATAAGCGAGCGGTGCGTGTGCTGGTGCAGGCGGTCATGTTTGCCTTCTTGAGTACCGCACAAGTCTCCGTCCAGTCCAACGAGACTTGCCCTTTGACCAGTGCTTACATTCTCGGATCGTTGAGAAGTTGCGATGTCTCCCAGGCTTTCCCACAGATCATACTGCCTCTCTTAACGTAGGAGATATCTGTCAGTTGGTCATCAAGGTCACCTCCGCATCTAGTAAGTATGTCAATACTGGTAACTCTCCCTTCTGAGCGGCTCGATCCAGGTGTTGCCCTTCACCATGCTCTGACGAACCTGCTGAAGCATCTCAAATGCGAAGTCGGGGATCTCCTTCTCCAATCGCTGGAAACGCGAGCTATAGTCTGTGAGGTCGAGAGGATGTCCCTGGTAGTTTGGGCCATTAAGAGACAGGATAGCTTGTGCGGCTAGTGTCCGGAAAGGGTCCTCGTCTCGAGTGATGCGGAAGATGAGTTCAACGTGATCTGGGGTGAATTCATCAAACAACTCGAGCTCTCGCGCCCTCTCTTGCAATCCCTTCTCCAATTTCTTGTAAAGTAGCTCGCAGAACACCTCACCCAGAGCGAATCTGTCGGCGTACTCGATAATTTTCATGCATTGCCGAACTGGCATCGCAAACTGGCTTTGGTTGAACTCAGGAAGGCTGCCATGGAGCATGAATTCAACAACCATTTCGAAATCCGACACTTTATCGTCGAGAAGCTCCAACTTCTGCTCTTGCGCTTCCTTAAAAGCACCTTTGAAGCAACGCTCAAAATATTTTTGAGTAATAGCAAAGCAGGTTCTTTGGCAGATTGTAATGCTTCTTCTTTTTGCCAACGTAGATATCTACCTTAGGACCTGAGAGCATCCTGTACAGTGTATAAATGTTAGAAGGTGAGACTCTTATCTTATGGAGCAGAGAGAAAGAGACGTACTTGAGATACTCTGAGGTGGTTGGTTTCTTTGGAACGGCGCTCTGAAAGGTAGGTTTTGCCATTTTTGTTGGGAGGGTTTGAGTATTCTTTGGGTTACGATGTCGGTTTGGGTTGTGTGTTTTGTTGTTGAGTAGAGATTGAAGGAAGTAGGAGTCTTTTTGTATCCAACAGTCTGACTTCTAGGCATGTTGAATTCACTCTCTTCACGCTCGGTAGGTACTATTCACCTTCAGTCATCCTACTGCTTGCCTGAGAACTATGCTTAAGATTTCACAAAAGTGATTGATCAATCCTTGTCAGTCATTATCAATATATTCAGAAGTAGGTCAATCATTGCAAAGGTCATGTTAGGTCCCGAATTTTTCGAACACTTCGTCTCCTAGGGACATTGCTAGATCGAAATTTAGATTAAAATCCTAGCGATAAAGAAATTCAACTTTTGAGAGAGTTGAAGTCACTTTTAACAGGGAATGTTGTTGTTATCTCTTGATCTTCTCGGGGAAGGATGGATTGATTGGTTTTCTTAAGCTGAAGAGTTTCCATTGCTGAGATCATTCCTCGGCACCGCTCAGCTCCAGAAAAGCACCATTTGGTCAATCTTGCGTTGCATCCTGATATCCCCCGAACGGGAAATTATCCTCTAGAAATCGTTTGTTCGCAGATAGCAGCATAGAGGTTGAGCAGAACTTTATCCGAAATCGGTCCACTCCAAAATCGTGGCTATTTGGAAATCAAGCTTTTACTCAGAAGAGTCTTGCAGTGCCTGTAATCGGGTCAATCCACTTGCTCTCGGAAGGATATAGTTTTGAAGCCTTTCTAATCTCCTTGAGCATCTGGTAAGCAAACTCAGGAATGTGCTTTTCCTGTTTTTGGAAGACCTTGCCGTAGGGACCTTGTCGCGACAGTGCAGCCTGCGTAACAAGCTTCCTCAGCTTGTGGCCTTTCTCAAAGACCCGGAAGACCATCTCAACATCTTCTGGGGAGGTTCGGTCACCACAAGCAAGTACTGTAAGACCTGTCTTAATAGGGAGATAGAGAATCTCTCCGATGCAGTGTTGCATGTTGTACTTGTCGGCATACTCGAGGATACTCATGTACCTGCGGACCAGATCAGGGTCATTTGCACCTTCGAATCTCGCCTGGATATCCTCCAGAGGAATGTTTCCGTGCAGGATGTACTGGAGCAGAATCTCGAAGTCCTCAACGTCATCACCCAGAAGCTCCAGCTTGCCCTGCTTGGCCTCTTTAAAGTCGCCATTAAAGCACCGTTCGAAATAAGTAGAGTAGTAACAAAAGAGGTCCTTCGGAACACTGTCGTGTTTTTTGTTCTTGCCGACATAGATATCAACGCGGGCGCCTGAAATGAACCTGTGATCAATACATTTTAGCAGTGGAGAGGTGAAGATGTCTTTCTCTAGAGGATTGTCTTACTTGAGGAACTCGACCGCTGTCGGCTTCTTGGGGATTTTCGATGGAGATGCCATGACTTGATAGCACCTAGCAGTCTCTGGTGGGCGTCGTGTGATGTTGACACGAGAAGAGTTCAGTTGTGCCTGTTCGTTCGAGCGCACAAGATCTGGGGAAGTTTCTGGTGTTGTGTGCAGAGGTGAATGATTTGGCTGAGAGCAGAAGCCTCCAGATTTCACTCCAAATAAGCGAAGTTAAGTCAATATGTCACTGGAATAGAGTCAAAGCAGATTGGTAAGAGCTCGAGCGAGATCTAATTGTCGTCTAACCTGTAAACATATTGTAGCGATGACAGCTCTAGAGTCTCCCTCTGCAACACATTGTCGGCAGCAAGGTTACATCGTCTTCATTGTGTCCCGCACGTCCGATGCTTATGCGTATGCAATATCTGGTCGGCATTCTCAAGTATCTCTAAATAAGAGAACCTTAGATGATATGGAATCATTCGAGTCATAATCCTCCAGAAAGGTAACCTTGTCTCTGTCTTCCTTTCGCAGAGGGTCCTTCCAAGAAATGTATGAGCTGGCCATCCTGAGCTGCTGAAGATATTCTGCAGCAAAGCCAGGTACCTCCTTCTCTTGCTTTCGATACAAGCCTTTTTTACCAACATCTCCAATTGAAAGGGCTGCTTGAGTAATCAATACTCTTAGTTGACTTCCTTCCGACGTGGAATCGAAGACTCTCTCGATGTGATCTCCACGGAAACCCTTGCTATCCTTGACAGTCATAGCTTGCTCAGTGTAGTCGATAGTTGAACGGCCGTTGAACGACGTCGTTTTCAGGTCTCTCAACGAACTGACGTTTTAGTACTATAAAACGAACTGCGGTTCGTTTTATAAGGCTATAAACGAACGGAACGAGGTCGTTGCCAAGAACGAACGAAGAAACTAGCCTTTTATAATCTATTTTTAAAAATATACCTAAATGTAGTATAAGTGTTAAATTATTATTATAATGTTATTCTTATATAAATTACGTACTAAAACATATAGAATAATACGTTCAGCTGCTTTACATACTATAGAGGGTAAGTTGCATTCCACTGACTAACCTACCTTAGGTACCTACTAAGTGATCTCGCTAAGGTTTCAAGCCTGAAAAAGGCTTAGTAGGAACTATACTAAAACGGGGTTAAACGACCCCGTTCCGTTGGAGATCTGACCAACCAACGGCCGTTCTAGATCGCTTAAACGAACGCCAGTCCGTTTAGGGTTAGCATAAACGAACGGCCGTTCGTTCCCGTTTTGCCAAGAACGAGAAAACTATCGACCACGCTGAGCTTGCTTGAGTGATCTATAGACAAGATCATCAACAGAATCCAGGTCATACTTCTTGGCGTAAACCAGAAAGCTGACACATCTTTCGATGGCCTCATCGCCCCATTTGTCAACGTCCAAAGCATCGTCGACACTGCCGGTGATGACAAAATCAACGAAAGCCTCAATATCACCCGTGTGGTCCTCTGGAAGTGTGATGAGCCCTCCTTGACCCTCTTGGAATGGACCATTGATGGCAGCATTGAAGAAAGGGGAGTAATGGGCTAGTATGTCTGCCGGCAGCTTGTATTCTTTCTTTTCGGGGCCAACGATGAGATCAACCCATCTGCCAGAGGCTATCTTGCTGAAACAAATGTTAGATTAGAATTGGATGATATCACAGTATAGAATGGTCTGAGTTTAGACTTACGCAATGCACTCAATGGTTGTCATCTTATTTGGTCGCTCCAAAGATCGCGAGGCTGGCCGCTTGGAAGTTGAGGGCACCATTGGCGTTGACGATGTCAATCGGAGAGGAGATAGACTGGGCCGTCTTTTCGCGGACTCTGATTTTGTGAATCGTAACATGGGAAACAGATACCAGAAGTCCCAGATAGATTGAGGTTATGGCTTTAGATCTGGGCAGATGGAGCTGGTGATGAGAAGCACGAAGTCAACGTGGAAGAAGATTGAGACCAAATACCCTATCGTAGGCAGCTATCTTGTTCTTTCACCTGCCCACTTGTTACTTCCCTGCTGTAGTGCTGTTGAGTTTTCCACTTTCAGCAGGAGCGACCGCCTGCTTGGTCACATGCTTGTCAGTTGCGGTATCTCGAAGATACTCATTGCCACTGCTCTGTACCTTCATCCGATGCTCCCTAAGAAAGACATAGATCATTGAAACATTCTTCCTGCAGCGATGAGAGACGTCGCTTTGCATTGTTTTGATCTGTCCTCCGACCATTCACCAAGACGGTGGAACACCGAACATTGACGCTTCAGATTGCGACGTGGGCAATTTTGAAGGAAAAGAGATGCTGCATTGCAATTTGAGAAGAGAACATTATGCTAGATTCCATCTCAAATCCATCGGGGCAGATTTTATGTTAATCGAACTGGGGGTTGTCTGACCGTGTTGCTAGGAACACCCTGAAAGGACTTCAGATAGGCCAGACCCCAGTCAACTTCTAAAGAGCCCAGTACATGTCAAGAATATCCATCAAATGTTCTCTGAAGCCCGTTGATTGGATCAGTCCAAACCCAAAAGCTCGCAGACTTCCTGAACTGCTTCAAGACCTCGGCAGCGAACCCAGGAACATTATTTTCTGCATCCTCAAAAGTTGTGCCCTTCAACCCTTCTCTACTCAGCACATCTTGAGCTACTAAAGCTCTCAGAGCATTCCCAGTCTTCGTCACATTGAATACCACCTTGATCTCGTCTTCCGTAAAGCTTCGCTGTGGGATGTCACGACGCGGAACGTTGAAATTGGATGGAGGAGGTCGTCGAGCGGGATTCTTAATTGCTTGACGCAGCGGTTCAAGGACAGCTTCGCACACCAAATCCCCCATATCAATATTTCCAGAGTACTCGACGAGCGCCATGCACTTCTCAATAGCCTCGCGACTATTTGTCCAACGCTTGGAGATAGCACCTTGAATCATGCACTCGAGCAGCATGTCAAATTGCTCCGGTTGGCAGTCGTATAGATGCTTGGCGTTGTTTTTTGCCCATTTCGCCTTGTGCCAGGTGCTTGCTTGTCTGATACAGACATCTTTGGTGAAGTGTGTGTTTAGAAACCCGGAGTAGTAGCAGATAAGCGCGCGGGGTACTAGATATAGCTTTTCTTCCTGGCCGATGTAGATCTTGATTTTTTCCCCTGACATCATCCTGATCACGAACTTTCATTAGCAGTGTTCCAACAGAAAGAAAGAACAAACGAAGTCCGAGGCGCGGACACTTACTCCAGGAACTGATGAGGACTTGGTCGCTGGACAGCCATTGTGAAGAGTTAGAATAGGGGCCTCAAGGTTTGGTCGAGATATTCAAGTCCATGTTGTAGTTGGTAAGATGTGCGCTCTGCTGATGGTCCTAAAGTATTACCAGCGGAATTGATTTGAATAGAGATGAGTCAGAAAGATTGGAGGAGCTTTAGACATGTTTGAGCCACTTGTAACGATAACCCAAGAGATCAAACATAGCCTTGCCACGCCACATTATTGAATTCTTCAGTATTAACTGTAGAGATAAATAAGCCTGTCTTAAAAATTGAATTGACAAGAATCAATGGCACCCTGTAACTCACTTCGTCAATTTTCCTGTTGGACCATAATCTTGACATATTCACAGGTCGGCCATACGGTCCAGAATATTGAATTCGTAGAGGTGTTTTACGCTGAGTGGGGACTTCCTTTATGAAATCTCAATTGCTGCCGCAGACCAAGCACAACAGAATCTAAACCGATTCCAGATATCTGCAAACAAACAACAGCTTTTCACCCATCATGCTACACCGTGTTTAGCCTAGAATCAAAAGGAAGAAGTACCTAGTTCCCAGGAGCTTGAGTCTTAGCAACGCCACAACTCACTGCTCATCAACCAAGTAGTCCTCCAACAACAATCTCCTACCACCTTTCGCTCTTCCCCACTCTCCACCAATTGCAATCACATTTCGCAACTCTCTACCATCCCTCTCATATGCCAACGAGACATCAAGCAAGAACTGCGCCGGCATAACAAGGTCTCCCGCCTCCCCCTCCGCACCCCCCTTATTGCACTCAAAAGCCCAGCGATCAACCCACAACTCTCTCAGCTTTCCATCAGGGATAGGTATCTTGTATAGCCAGCAGATAAGTGGTAGTGGGCGGCTAGGACCTCTCTTGGTAAACAGCTCGTCCATAACGTCGTTCTGCAGCTTAGGCATGATCAAGCGGTCGGCGAGGATCCAGACAAGGCACAGGCCAGAGGTGAGAAGCTTGGCATCATTGGGGCCGCAGAGAGTGCGGGTATACATCCAGTGTTGGACGTTGCCAAAGATCTCAGGCCATTGGAAGTCGTCGATCACCATGTGTCGGGTTTGGCTTTCGCGGAAGGGTCCATTGAAACCAGCTGCCAGCATGGGGGAATGGTAGCTTGCAAATTCCTGGAAGAGGGTGTAGGTACGCATGTTGGAGCCTTGACCGATGGTGAGCGTGACGGTGGTGAGAGGGTCACTGCTTTCATGGTTAGCGTTCGTGTCGAGCGGCCAACCAGAGGGAGAGAGGCAGATTGATATCGAACTTACGTGAGACTGGGAGGGGTGTCCTCTCCATTGGGTGCCTGTGGACTTGGTCCGTACAGGACAAATGGGTCAAGTTTATCGACAAACTGTTGAGTCACATTAGCTTTATGTCAAGTCGACAGATGAGAGTCAATCTACCGGCGCCATCGTGCAAGTTGAAGGGTAAGCCAGGCCAGCGCTGCTCAGGAAAGCAAGCAGGTCGAGTACTGAGACTCGACGCGCTGAGGTTGTTCGATCTGGAGGTTTGAAGTTGAATGGAAGGTGATAAGAGACTCAAGGCGAAATCAAAATAGCGTTCGGTTGCTAGCTCGGGATCATGAAATTAATTGACGCGGGAAGCGTGCAACCTTCGATCCACTCACCCTTTTTTCAGGATTTCACGCGACCGACGATTAAATAGGATGACTATGAGTAATTTAATAGCATGTAAGCTGATACTATTGCCAGTCAGTCGTTTCCAATCGTCCAAATGGTAGATATATGACGGATCTCGCTAAAGTAAACAAGCTCCACATGAAGTAAACAAACCCTGCAATAAACCATTTACATACAAAAATGACCCATTACAGACATCTAGCTGCTCCTGGAATTGTAAATACTATATATAGTCCATCTAGCAGCTCTATTTCAGGATTGGAAGAAATTGGTACAGTCCAGCTCGAACCCTTACATAATAGATGCATGCTTCCCACACATGATCTCATAAACATGCTTCAACCAACTCTCCCTCCATCTCGCTCTTGCATACACACATCACTCAACTTCTGTAACCTATCAATACCTTTCTTACTCTCACCCCAGACCTTCAATCCCTTCAGAAGGTTCTGCCCCTCATTCAGTACACGCAAAGGGCCTTTCGCACTACACAGGTTTCCCACACCAGTGATATTCGCACGCATACTTTGACCTCTTTTAACAAACAGCTGGACTAATTCGTCATCAGCAGGACGGTCAAGCTGAATTGACGTCGGAAAGAGTGATGTAGCTTCCGCATCTTGATCGGAGTCTTGCGGCGCGCTATTGGGAGTTGTGGAATCGTTGATAGCAGCCTGCTTTGGAGAAGTGTGAGGTGCGAAGGTTCCGTATGCCCAAAGGGCTAGCGTTGCAAGAATTACAGAGGACGATTCGTAGAATGCGTCAGAGGAGTAGCGACGGACATGCCAGAAGAGAACACCGGCATGTATGACAGCAAGTCTTGCTTTGTGTTGATCTTCGAGTGCCCAGCGTTGGACGTACTTTCTCAGTGTCATAACCTGGACATCTTCCGCTAGTTTTGAGGCGTCTGTCAGTAGTTTTGTCAATTCGAGGATTGATTGAATTGGTGTCAGTAAGATGACTCGCGCTAGGTGGAGGTGCAAAACAGTCGGATGTTCCATCCCTGATGCTGCGCCTATGACGCTATTCGCATGCCAATGCAATACGTCAAGGCAGTCGCATGCCGAGTTCCGCCACTTCGAGTATATTGAGTTACCCGGAAGCCAAATGGGAATATGTTTTTCAATTACTTGCAAGCTTTGCTTTTCTGCTGTTGGAGTCCAGAGAGTGAGGGGCTGCTTTAAATACTTTTCAACTTCCCAAGTTCTGTGGAAAAGAGCATGCACGCAAAGAATCCGACTGAATTCTCCAGTGGAGGACCGAAGGTATTTCTCGACGTAGGTAAGCTTTATGGTGTCATGAAGAGAGACACTTGCTAAAGACTCGTTAGCTTATGGATATGTTTATTGTACTCTGACTGGATACTTACGTGCGGCACAGGCATAAAGTTGCTCCCAATCTAGGGAGGATTCAGCTTCCCACAGTACTTCCTGGCATGGTATTGGAACTTTGGCATCTTCAAGTTTCAGAATAGGCCGCATCTGGAGATGAAAAGACCACATGCAGTCCAAAAGCTACGTGGATGTTAGCCAAGCCCTTTCGAGCTAGATTTCGAGCTTACCCAGATGCAATACCCTGTCCTCCGTATCGTTTCTGTTTGTATCCATGTTTGCCAATCTTGATCTACTTGTTCGGTCCTCTCTGGATACTTTGAAGTGGCTGCAACGGAGGGACCTGCCCAATGCACTGTACAAAATGCCGCTAAATCACTGTGGTAGCCTCTTGCCAATGTTCGGAGTCGATCATCGCCACAATACATCATTCCAACACAATTCAGCAGCTTCACTTGCGCCAAGACCAGCACTCCAGGCTTTGAGCTACCATCTAGCTCAATCTGAAATTATCAATCAGCTGTGTGAAATCTATGAAATGACCAAGACTCACTCACCGCCATCATTATTGCACGCCTGACAAACTCATGCATAGCAACAACAAGAACGCCAGACGATTCGTTGTCAGCGTATTGACTGCCGAGGGCAGACATCGCCAATGTTAGGAGCCAATGAGTGCTCGAGATGTCAAACGTTGCTGGATGAAGAAACGGTAGTGACGGACGAAAGTGTTGCGTAAATAGATGTACAAAATAACTGAGAGCTCGAGATGACGGGAATGAATCACCATAAAAGTTCGGAAACATTGTCGATGATTCACAAGAAAGATGATAAATCCTCGTTATCTCATCGTATACGCTTATAGGAAGCTCGTCGAAAGACCTGGTGGTTGTATTTCCATCGCCCGTGGGGATCTGGCCCAAGTCCGGGAACATGAGGATGGATGATGACACTAAAGTGCCGTTTGAGGCATCACGAGAGTTTGTATCTGATTGTCTATACGGCGCTCTTCGAACTCGTGGGAGTCGGGCACCATCTCCGTCAACGTAGAATCGGCCGGCAGACTGGGTGCTTTGTGATCCTGGGCTCGACACTTCATGAAGATCTGCAGTTCGAGGAGATATGTGGTTGTGATTTAGTAGAGCCTGAGAGTGGCTCAAACTAAACGTTCTGGGGGGTTGTTGATAGCTGGATGGAACATGGTCTGTATACGGGATATCATGGTTATGGTCTAATGATCCCAATATCTCTCCATTCATGTGGAAGTCTGGATTCCAGTCTTCAGGGAGCCAGTTTATGGATTGGAAATTGTTGAGCCAAGGTGTAGTAAGCTGATCTGAGTTTGCATTATTCAAGCTGACTGAATGCTGTAGGGGATGTAACTGATGAAACTCAGAGCCTGAAGTTCGAGATCTAGACATTTGACCTCCATCAGTAAGCTGCTGCCTTCTGGGATAATCTGGCGAGTCAATATCTTGGGAAATATTCCTTTCTTCTGTCCTGATCGAGTCTTGATTCTGTAAGGGATTTGCTTCAGAAGAGAACGAATTGAGTTGCTCTACTCCAGAGGAAGTCTGGGAAGGATCTGCGTGACTTGGCGATCCTTGGACTTGGCCTGGAGAGCCGGATGTATTTGACCAAGACATTGGAGACTCGTGAGAGTTGGTTGTACGTTGGTCAAAGGGTGACAGTGGTGAGACCTCATCCCCTGGCGAGCTCAAGCTGCCGTTTGCATGTGGCAGTGTTGAGGTCGTGCCCCGACGTCCTGAGGCTGGATACTGGCACTCTAATGAGCGTTTCTGGCAACCCAAACAAGGTGATTCTCCTGTACATTTTCTCCGAGCATTCGCGCACTAAAAAGTCGCTGTTAGCAGTGGTTTGATGCCATCTAAGCGGCTGTCGGACATCATCGAGTCTATAGTGAGATTGCGCTATGAGAAAACCCCGCAAAGACTAACTTACAGGAAGACACGCTCGAGCACCTTTTCCAAGAGCGCTTCGTTTCGGTTCTTTATGTACTTGCTCGTGCCGTCTCAACGCATCTCTAAAGAAAAGGCTCAGCAACTGAAGGTCACGTGGTAGATGGGAGAATTTGTAAGCACGTCAGGCGACATTCCCGTCGGTCGAGAATTCGAAAGGTCCATTCAAATGTACATACATTCTATAGAATCCTTTTCGACAGTAAGAGCATTTCAGCGAGCGCTCCTTTGCGTGGCTTCGTGAGTGCCGAGTCAAGTGTTCAACACGACCAAATGTCTGTTGGCATTCCTGGCACTGCAATCGACTGGTTTGACCCGTCTGATTGTCATCAGCCGTACTGGTGTGGAGATCCATACTCCATCTACTCATATGTGTCAGTGCTCAGGAGCTTTCTGATAGATTTGGGGGCACTGCTTCCGTACCATGTATCGACAAATTTATGTCTAGCTAGCTAATGCCGTGGTGCCAGGACGCCATGGATTAGAGGCCGCAGATGTCAAGGATGCCTGGGGATATGTTACAGAATAGCTTTGGGGTATTCGAGAAGGAAGAACAGTATGCTGTACGTAGTCAAGATAGAAAAGGTCCCTGGATGGACGTGATGGTTGGAGGTAATGGAATGACGAAGACTACCTAAGCTGTGGGGTAATTTAGCGCCCCAATCATCTCCGCTACTCGACAAACAGTACCTGCCTAACCCAGGTAGTCGACAACGTGAAAAGCACTTCCACAGTGCTGACATTTTATCAGTATTACGTCCGACCAACTTTTAGCTTTGTTAGGTATTTTTTATTCTCAAAGCTATAGATACTGATTCATTGTGAACATGATATGCAGGCCCTACAGAATGAAATTCATGAAGCACTTTTATGTTTGCCCCCACACATACCCTAGGGAATATCTGAATATGCACACTTTATGAAACCCAGCTTATTTGACTGCAAACTCGAAAGCATACGCTGTGGAGATGTCAGTCTGGTAAATAGGGAATGTGACGCTATCTCCAGAATAATCGTGAGAATAATATCCAAGGTCATTCGGAGATTCCACCTCTCCAAAATGGCCACCTGTGAAGGGGAATCCCCAAGTATGGATGTTGAGAGATCCGGATGTCGGTAAGCCAACAGATGACAGACCATTGATTGTGACTTGCCATGTTCCAGTGGTAATGCGCACTCCAGTAAGTACTCTGACCATATCTGTTCCCACGGTGGCATATGTGTCCAGCTTCAGGTCTGCGGATGGAAGAGAACTAACACGGTGCCCCGTCATGTTCTTGTTGTAGTACTTGTAGACTTGGAATTCGCCATTCGGAAAGTACCCGCCAGAAGTTGGACTGTAATTGGATGTTGCATCTGGCTTGGAGACAAGAGAGGCCATGAAATCGTGGAGTTGATATCCACTCAACCAATTTCCACGAAGGCCAATTGCGTTGACTCTTTCCAGTTGAGAAATCCACCACGCTGCGCCTGAAGGACACTCTTCGGAGTATATGGCATACTCGTCGATGTTCAGAGGCTTATTTGGGAGCCCGTACGTGTTAAGCATGGTCTGTAGCGCTCCGTTCGCTCCTTGCATATCTCCACCCCCAGTTTCCATATGCCAAACATACTGATCTGGCACGCTTGCATTGCTCTTTACGAAGCTGAGGTAATTTGTCCACCCTGTCAACATTTAGCTTTGATCTTCAGGGATGTCGGGAATGAAATTTACATGTATTGCTGGGATTTGGCTGAGCAGAATATGCTGGACCGATCAGGAGTACACCGGGCAATTCATTTCTTTCAAGTAAGTTAGCAAAACCAGGGTCCCGAAAATCAGAGACACATCAACGAACCTCAAACGATGATATGTCCTACCCCACATCTGAATGTACTGTGCTTGCCCTCGATTCCAAAAGACGGTTAAGTCCGGCTCGTTCCAGATGTCAACTGACAAGCCAGCAGTAGCACCATTGGCTTTGATGTCCGAGATCCATTGAGTAAGATAACTATCCCAAGACGTCCAGTCCTCATTGTCGCCCGGATATGGTGCAGAGGAATTTTGAGTTCCATCTGCACCCCACAGGTCATGAATGAGGAAAATGAAGGGCGCGTTGTACTTTCGTGCGGTCTTGTAATTAGACAACGCCGAAGCAAATCGAGCCTGCACCACTGTCAGAATTCTAGTGTTTGATTCTGAAAGGATTGTGGTGACCCACTTTGTATTCGGACAAGCCCCAGATCCAGCCACGGCCGGGGGCTGCCACTTGAGCTCCTCCAGCACGTGCGTAGTTGAACCCAATATCTGTGTAGAAATGATCGGGGATCTGGTTCGGGGTGTCTGGTATGCCGTAGAGAATACCGCTAGCGAGATGTCCTGGAGGTCCGGTGTTCTGGATGGTCGTTAATTGGCACATGGCTTAGAACACTTTTGACGTGACATGAAAAAAATAGACATTGTTGATCCAACTGCAACGAGAATGATCACTTACAATGTTTAGGTTGACGACTGATGTTCCTGACACCCTCTTATCCAGAGGACTGGACGCCACAGACACGGCAAGAAGAAGGGTAAGAAGTGAATACATCTTGAAAGTGACGGCAATGCTACGACCTCGAACTGAGAGATAACACAACATGAAGCTGAAGACTAGAGGAAAGACGTTCTTGCTCTACCTTATATAGACTTACTTCGGAAGATTGTGTGTTATTAGAAGCTCCGAGATGATCTGCTTCGTCCCAATTCTCCTGCCAAAAGCATCATATGTTCCTCACTCACTGCCTGCAGCTGGGATCAAGCTAGTCTCTGATCGGCAATAAGAAAAGCTTCCCTACCCCGCATCTTCCCCAGGTCACATTCACTCCGTTGGGGTTGGCGTGGCATGAAGCGACCTTTGTGTTTTGTGCTGTCCCGGTACTTGACGGGCATTCGAACTCTTTCCTGGAGAATGCAGGTGGTCAAGGTACGGTCCACCCCCACCGGACAGGGCACTCGGCTAAAGATTTAGCGTGACGCCCCCCCTTCAATTGGAGCGCGAATATCCTCGAGCCTGCTTGTTGTATCATTCTCGCAGTATTCTTTATGTCTTCAAGCAAGTTTCGCAGTCTCCATTCTGCAGCAAGGGGATAGCCTTGAGCACCTGGGATACTGCCAGCGAAATTTTCCTTTCTGAAGTGCAGCAAAGAGATTCTCCGGGAAGACTTTCTTATAATTGAAAACACAGTCTATTGTTTTAACTGCGGTAATATACTAAATTTCAACCCCTGCTGCAAGATCTAATGCTTCCGACGAATGCCAACTCTCATATGTCCTTTCCCACCCCGATTATCGCGAAGAGCATATGGAATAAATCGCAAATTCTCAATGACCTCATTCTGCCTATAAGAGACCGAACCAACTGGTCCATCCTGTCTCTTCTCGTTGCCGAAGTCAAGGAAATAAGGCACTCCCTGAACCGTCAGAGCAACATATGGCTCTCCAATTTCTTTCTCTGAAACCTTGCTCTCGTCAACAAGGCTGGAAGGATCCAGCACAAGGCTTTTGAAGTGGTCTTCGACCCAAGCGTTATCGAAATCCTCGAGACAGTAGACGAGCGGTCCTCGGGCGAGTGCAACGATATCTTGGTTCGTGTAAGGGTGAGGCGAGACGAAGCGTGGCTTGAGAGGTATGTTCAGCTGGAAGGACGGATTGATCTTCACCCAATGTGCGGAGACTGTCAAGTAACCCTTCTCGAGTTGAGAATTTGGGACCTCTGGCGAGATCTGGGACAGTCAGTATTTGCATATCGATACGAAGGAGGAAACCCACCTCCCAAGTCTCGGCCCAGCTCGGTATGCGGATTTTGATGGTTGTCGACACTTTGGAAGGGTTCCGAACAGAAAAATTGACTTTGCCTTCCCATGGCCAGCTTGATTTCTGCTCCAACTCCAGGACGCTATTACCGACTGGAATATTCAGGGTTGCCGATGAGAACATATGGACATTTACCTCCACCGACCTCTCATCACGCACGTTGAAGTTCCAAAGGTAACCCCCAATGTATCCGAGAAGTCTGGTTACATTGGGAGGACAACATGCACAAGTAAACCATTCTGCTCGTTTCGAGAGATCAGCATCACTCGATGCCATCTGATTGACGTATGTGAACTGTTTGCCATTTGTTGACATTCCAGTCATAACGGCATTGTAGAAGCAGAGTTCCATGATGTCACCATATTTACCATTAAGATCCAGCTACTGTTCATTAGCAACAAATCCGCGAGTCTGAGAATCTACTGTACCTGAAGAAGTCTCTCGGCCAGCATCATGACTCCAATCCCTGCACATGTCTCTGCATAGCATCCACCTTCGTCAGTTGATGATGGGAGAAAGTAATCAATGCCGAATCCTTCCCACTGTTTCTGTGCACCAATACCTCCAGTGAGATACATCTTTTTCTCCACCATATTCGACCATAGCCTCTTCAAAGCCTCCTTCATTGGCTTCGGGCTCGCTCCTTCTAGTCGTACAAGGTCAGCTGCTGCGGTAAGAAGGTACATGGCTCGAACACTATGTCCCTCTATTGTCTCCTGATCGATGATTGGCTTGTGAGCTTGTTGGTACCTACAATACAAACCGTCAGGGTCATCCATATCATAGTACAGTTTGATACTCACCAGTAACTGCGGTTGGCTGGCCAATATACGGGCCGCTCGTTCTCCCTGTCCCCACGGGCTTCGCTTTCGACGTCGTAAAAATGCCGTCCATCTCGTCCCGTGGGATTCCCACGTTCTTCGATGAAATACCGAGCGAGATCGAGATGTTCTGGTACTTTTGTTTTCTCGTACAATCGGAGAAGTGCCAATTCGATCTCTGGATGACCTGGATAGCCATGTTTCTGCTGTGGTCCTGGCCCAAAAGTTTTGCACAGCAGTTCGACATATTTGAGGATTGGCTCCAGCAGAAGATCATTTTGGTAATGCGCATTGTGTGCCAGTGCAGCTTCGATCAAATGACCTGCATTGTAACTGGATTGTCATTTAGCGAATTGAAACTCAAGAGGAAAATTCTCGAGGATTCTTTACAGTTCATGTAGATCTCGTAAATTTGTGAAACGCTTCGTAGGTTCAACAACCGTGAAGTGTATATTGAGATACCCGTCTGACTGCTGAGCCGACCGTATCATATCCACTAGCTCCTTCACAGCAGCATCGATCTCAGAATTTTCCTTCCATTGTAGAAAATAACAGGCACCTTCGATCCATTTGGCAATATCCGAATCCCAAAACAGGTGATTAGGGACAGGCCAAACGTCTGGTTTGTCATTGTACGACGGGTGCCATTTCAATTTGAACGCGTCATATCGACCAGTCGTCTTCAAGACATTCAATTGATACAACAAAGTATTGTCATAAACAACTTGACGCCTCCGACTGATGAAACTTGACTCGGGAAATGACGTTTTCGAGAAGGTTTTCTGAGGATACGCCATGGTTGTGTTTGAAGAACGAATGACTTTCAAGAAATACTGAGAATATGCAGAGGACAGCCTCGTGCCACTTTAAACCGAGGCAGCAGCTCTAAGGATGACATTTCCATCTATTTACCAGTGGCGAGGCTGAATGACGCGGTTGAAGCCCACCGGAATAACCATACCAGGAGCCTTACTTGGTTGTCCCCCACTGGAATACTGTAGACTTTCGCTTGCCAAACGTCGGCGGCGCTGCCTGGTTACAGTAGGGGGCTACAAACAGTACCAGTAGCCTGGAACAGGTCTACCCCGCACCCACCGGGCACCTGCACCAGTAGACCAGATTGCCACTCCGGTGGACAGCAGCTAAAACCTCATGAACTGTCAATCCATCTTCACTGAACGCGGGGTCCCTAAAGAGTATATGATCGTCGCCATGGAACGACCAGTTGACCTCGATAAATCCAAGCAGCCTGCTCTTCTTCGCTCCAGGACAATTCGAAACACAATTGCTCAACATGGGGTTCTTTCAGACTTTCCTCCCAAAGGAGGACCGCTTTGCAGCTTTGATGCTGTATGGCATGGTCTTCAGTACTTGTTTCAATGGCTATGATGCTGGAATCATGACTGTCATCCTCGCAGATAAACAGTTCATCGATTATTACGATGTTGATGCGACTCGAAGCGGGGTCATCGCGACCATTCCCTGGGCTTCAACTGGTAAGTCATCGTTCGGCCTTGTTCATCAGCTTCTCTCCTTCTTGTGCGCCAAATTTTTAGGAACCTTGTTGCTGCAGAAGACTACAATCTAAGTCACATCAGATCTAACACCATTTAGGTCTTGCACAACTGTTCGTCGGTGGAACTCTGGCCAGTTGGGTCGGAAGACTCTGGGCCTTGAGAATTTCAATCGCAGTCATGATTGTTGGAGTGTAAGTCCTCGCCCTTTCCGCTTGCTGTGGCCAATTTTACTAAGACAGGAAAGTGTCGTTCAGGTGGTGCCAAATACCTACGCAGTTCTCATCGTCGGACGCCTCATCACGCAAGTCTCCCAGTACTCTAGCTGTTCATGAGAGCTAACCTATTCTCAGCGGTCTGGGTTTTGGTTGTGTCTATATCGCAACGAATTTGTATGTCGCGGAATGTGCTCCTCGATCCCTCCGTGGTAGTTTCGTCGGAACTGTCTCACAATTTGGCTATCAATTGGGAACGTTAATTGCCTTCTGGTCGGGCTATGGAATGTCTTATCATCACTCTCCTTTCAACATCGCGTGGCGAATCTCCAACGTCATTCAGATCCCGATCGGTCTCACTTTCATCGTCCTCTCATTCTGGTATCTGGAGTCACCCCGATGGCTTCTTGAAAAGTATCCCGAGACGCCAGAGCGCTGTCTGAATGCGCTGGCCAAGCTTCGGTCTGGAACAGTTGATGATGACCGAGTGCGAATCGAGTTTCACGAGCTGGTTTCATCCCATGAGTACAGAAAGAAGTTCAAGACCGGATACATGGGAATCCTCTCCAGTGCTGGTATGCGGAAACGTCTCGCTTATGGCGTTTACGCCATGGGTCTTCAGCAATTCGGAGGTATCGCTGCTCTCACCATGTATGCAGCCTTGATTTACCAGTCTCTCGGTTGGGACAAAGGTCACCAAGCGCTTGCAATCAACGGTATCCAAGCAGCACTCCAACTGGTCGTCGTGCTAGTCAACACATTCACCGTCGATCGATTTGGTCGGAAATCGCTCCTCATCGTTGGCTTTGCCATCCAGTCTGTGGCTCTTTTGATTCTCTCATCTCTCACGACGAGCTTCCCAGATAATAACAACAAAGCTGCAGCTGTCGCAGAGATTGCAATGCTGTTTATTGTCGGGCTTACATACTGCTGGTCAAATGGACCCATCCCACCCGCGATTGCGTCCGAGATCTTTCCCCAGGAAGTGAGAGACAAGGCTTTCGGTCTCTCTCTGCTCGGCCAGACTACTTGTTTACTGGCATTGACTCAACCTTGGCCCAAGTTCAATGAAGAAGTTGGCCCAAAGTCCTACTGGCTTTTGTTCTCCTTGAACGTGGTTGCAATGGTATGTCCAACCTCCCCCGTTTCTGTCAATCAGAGCGACCCTTTTTGTTTCAAAAGACTGAAGCTAAACGTTCAAATAGATCAGTGTCATTTTCATCCTCCCAGAAACAAAAGGTATCTCGCTCGAGCGTATGGACAAGCTCTTCGGCGAGGTCGATGCTGTGTCAGCAGGCGAAGAGCAAACATCTGCTGAGAAGATCGAGGCTATCACTTATAGCGGCAAAGCGATGGATGAGAAGATGATGGATGTGAGCGCAAATCATGTCGAGAGTGCGAGAGAAAAGGGCATCTGATTAGGGGATGTTTCCTTGTTATGATGAGGAATAGCCCTAGAGAGACATGAAAACTTTGGCCTGCATAGTTCTTTGTTCTAACTCAGTAAGGCCAGTCTCAACGGCGAGCACCGTACTGGACTCCAGGAGAATATTGATTTGCTCTTCATACCTCACCATTCTGTTACACAATGTGCTTCGCGATATGTGAAAGGACTTCGACAAGCGAAACTGATCTACCGCTTCTCCTCTTGGCCCCCCGCGTGATTGTGAAAGCCCAGCCTCTCTATTCTCTACTGAGCATTTGAACAAAGTCTTAATGCAGCGATTGGGATTGAGCCCAGGCTCGTTCTCGAAACGGTCCTGGTGTCCCGCAAGCTATAGGAGAGTGGTGTTCTGAATGAGAATTTGGCACTCTTTGAAAATCCTGGCCCTCTGCAGCGTTATTCGCTTATCTTCACGAATGAAGGTATCAGTGGAGTGGTAAGGAAACTGTTCAATAGGGTAGACCTTGATAGAAGATACCACAGACCAATATGGTGCCGATGAGCCACCAGCTTGCTGCATCGCGACATGAACGAGAAAGTATTCAGAATCCCTTCAATGCCATGATTTTCCCACCGCATCAAGGCGGCAATCTGACATCAAAGTATTTTAACTTCCCTCACATTACAGGTTTCTATGCTATAGCTGCTTCAGCTGCCTCACAGTACTGACGCTCGTGGTTTTTAGTGGGGTGGCTTCAAAGTCTCGCCGTTGTTGTCATTGCCTCTAAGCGACTTCGTGCCGATGTTATTCCGGTCAGATTCACCGTTTTTCGGGTGAACAAGGTAGCCCTTTCTGTAACGAAATGAGCAGAAACAGTCACAAAATCGCTCTCATATGCCTCGCGAACGCTGTTAGCGGATCTGCCCGTCTTATACTCTGGCTGCTTTCAATAGCAAATTTCAACTAACAGTGCAAGCGGGTTTCAGGTGGTAAAAGCCAGACGACCTTGGTTTCTACACCGAACTAAAAACTTTTCGGAAAGTTTGCAACGATGTTATTATCTGGTGCATCTTCAGAAGCAAGACCCCTCAGGTTCAACCGGAGTTTCCAATTCATATGTTGAGATCAAGAACTACCTTAAGTCCCAGTTCTCCTGGGCATCAGTAGCCAGTTACTAAAGCCTTCTAGATCCATAATTTTCCCCAAGGTATCCCCATTACATTAGATTTATAATCACTTACCTATCTAGTAGTCTTTAATAATTTTCTTCTTCTTATATTCTTTTATTACACTAGGTTCTTATCCTTTAGTTCGCTGACTTAAGCTGAATTTCATTTTCTTTATCTTACTAAGGACCCCTATATCCAATCGCTTGTTTTACGCTCTTCTTAGTCTTGTTTATCTGCTTGCTTCTCGTCTGCCCATAAAATACTTCATCTTCCACTTACATTGCTACAGTGCAGGAATATAAGAGACTTCTCGGTATATAAAGTTACGTCAGCTTAGGTACTCATTTTCTAGGCTTCGCGCACAGGAGAGCAATTCGAATTCCCCTGTAGGGGCCTATTCTGTCAACAGAAAAGAAGACATGCCAGGACAGGTAAATGCCCAAGTCCTCTAATTTGACAAAGAGATTGCTTCCGCCGGAATCTAAGCTATACGTTTGTAAGTAATACTACTGTCCAGATCTTTGGTCGAGATGCCGTGCAGGATATTTGAGACGACCAAAGGTGGAAATTGCAAACGTTCGGTCTGATCTTGAAGCGTGTGTGCAACTTATTGCCACCCCGACAAATTACATATGAGCCGTGGATCCACACGCAAGGTATATGCGATGACATTAAACGTGCTCACAATAAAAGCTTGGCCTTTTTTTCTGGGTACCTTACTTACCTAGGTAGGTTTGTTGACACGGAAAAGACTAATAATTAAGCGAGCCCCACAAGAATCATCTCCGTGAAGCGCAACAAAAGAGGTGGCGGAAGACATCCAAACCGAGGCACGCACACGACTTTTTCTTGATGACAAAGCCCTCGTTACCGAAACAATGAGGTTCATTTTGCCCGTAGGGCGTTTGCAGCCTACTGGCCCTCAAAGCTGGTACGAGTCGTTCAAGCTTTCATTTTTGATAGGAAATAATCATTCGATCCTTTGCATCAGCAAGGCGCTGTCGGCGTGAAAGTCACCAGTATTACTTGCCGACTGGCTGCTTACTAAGTGCTTATCGTATACCACTATGGCGAAATGAAGAGGCTTAAGCGCTAGAAGGGTGTGTACAAGGAGGGCCGGAGGCAGTCTCTGAGCGAGCCCGCCATGCTTTTGCAGCCTCATTCAAACTACAATACATTGAGAACTCAGCCATGTTCCTCAAGTACTGTCTATTCTCCCCATCTATGAGTTTCTTGCAGCTCTTGAATAATTCGTGTGTAGGTGGTCATCAATGAATTACTACCATTTAAACAGCGTAGTGGTCTGCATCGAGGGAGTACAACACCTTGGCTCCAGCAGAGGTTCTATCCCCTTGATCTCAGCGCTCAGTCTCTGTAAAATTTGGAGAGTTTGCTGCTTCTCACAAAACCAACATGATCCTGCGAATTCAGCCACTTCAAAAGCAGAACATTCACCATCAAAGGGCTGTGCTAACTCTGACCTTGCCACTGAGAAACGCGTTGGAATCAAGGAATCAGAAAACAAGGACTCACATTCTTCCAAGGTAAAGTACAGTTTGTCAAAGAACATCAATGTAGCTAGCCATGTCTTGGACAGTGAGGAGGCATCCGGAGATACGGACAGCGATGACGTTCCTGTAAGCCAAAACGTGGTTGAGAATGATAAGTCCAACGGCGTCTCTGCCATTGTCAAGGTGGGGGCCAACATCTGAAGCATCAATGATCAGTGCTAACGTTTGTTCTTAGGAGCACCGCAAACGTCCTACTCCAGACGCAACCACCATTTCCAAGCCAGTCAACTATATGAGCAATCCGATTTTCAAGCTTGTAGGTCTGGCCTCTGAGCAATACGACGAAGATCCTGCTTTAAGGAAGATGATACCGAAGTGGACAGCGAAGTCGACGACGAAGATGAATATGAGGACGAGAAGAATGTGAATTATGAATACGAGAAGGAGAGCAATACTGCAAAATGGAAGTCCACTCCGATCTTCTCGATGCCCGCTAGAGCAAAGCAGATCTGTGTTGGTGAGGAGAACTGGCCAGAAAACTTCAACTTCGACACAGACTCCGTTACAGCATATGCTATCATGGGTGAGAATGGATTGCAGGATGTCAAATATTTTTTGTACAAGCCCAATTGCGACTGGATCGAGTATTACCCTGCTCTCGAACCTGAGTCTGCGCCCGAGCCGAAGTACAAGGGTAAAAAGCTGCGTGGCACGGGTCAGAAGTTCCTGGCCCAACACCAGTTACGCCCAGATCCGCCGGGCAACAAGGACCACAGGCTACATCAATGCCCGCTGGGATTAAACACCTAGGCTCGATAGCAGATGCAGAGCGTTGTCATCGGGAGGTGGCCTCTGCGCCATAAACTGCACTACCGCCTGTACCCAGACCTCCGACAGACAGTAGACCCCACGCAAGAGCAGCAATTTCCAAGTCAGCTTCGTTGTCCTCGTCGCCTTCATCGATCCTCTCACTATCCGAGGGATGGTATTCATCATCGTCTTCCCCCTTTGCTGGATGTGCACGTCTACTCGCACTTTTGGAGTGCTTCTGCCGATCACTACTTGTTTTTGGAGGACCTGCACCTTCTAGGGCTTCGTTTCGGGCACGCCTCGCTGTAGATGGTTGTTTTCTCTCTTCCGTTCCTGTACTCTTGCTTGTTTCTGTTTTCTTTGGTCTGCCAGGACCTTTACGAGATTGATACAACGATACGCCATTCCTGTAATTTGTCGCTTCTGGTCAGCGGCGAATCTGTGTTGGGAGGGAATTTCGTGGGCAACGTTTGTACATACTTTGATGCTGCGCTTCCTAATTTTGTCTTGATACCCCCGAAATTACTATCAACTGAATTCTCTTGGCGGCTTTTCCTTGCGCGACTCATGTAAATCATGATTGATCTCAACATCTCTGTAGCATCTAGCCCTCTAATAGCTGCCCAGATCCCAAGGCTGAGGCCCGTAAGGAGAACATCCCAAGCAACTGATCCCACAGCAGGATGTTCACCCATGGCTGCCAACACTCGACCAATGGCGGTAGATCCACGACCTAAAGTCGTCCGGTGCTCTTCTTTGAAAGGATGCAAGAGACTGTGTCGATAGTACGTGCTTTCCGGTATATTGTAAAAGAGTGCCGCGGCTGTTGACTTTAGGTGGAGCGCTGCCGAGAGAGTCGAGATGACTCGGAATAGAGTAGTGTAAGTTGATTGTGAATCATGAGGGTGGCTTGGCACAGCCCCCCATCCTGCAGGTATCGCATATGGCAGGAAGAGAAAGCAGAATGGCAAGATCCCTGAGATCCAAGAAACGTTCACAAAAGCGGTCGTGTTTGCAGCATATGGTACAAGGAACGTTGTAACAAACGAAGCAAGCAGAAGGGAAATGTATAGCGCCGGCCTGGGAAGGAATCCATCTTGTTTCATAGGGAATAACTTCTGAAGGAGATGCGAGTACCTAGTCATAAAGTGAGTGATAGCATTTTCACAAGAAGGTTGGCCGCACCTGCTTGAAGTGACTGGAACAGAGTTTCTTGTAATGGCTCGAACATTTGCGGGGAGAGGTACAGGAGTAAGAAGCACAGCAATAAAGAACAGATTCTGTGCATATGACAAGTTGACAAGTTGGGCAAGTCCCAAGAAAGCCCAGAGGTTTGAGATCTAGGTTTCCATGTCAGTAGCGACACTGGCTGTGGCGATTTGATCTATTGGAGGTCGAATAATTTAGGACATCATAGAGCCGTACCTTTCGTCTCTGGCCTTCAAGAGCTAGGTAAGTGCTGAAGGAGATGAGTCCGAGGTTGACCTGTTGACCCCACCAAAAGTGACGAGCCTTCTCGGCCACAATCTCACGAGAATCACGATAGAAGGGCGTATCACTAAGCCATCTCACAAGATGAAAACGACCAGGATGTTCACCTGCTCTCAAAGCTCCTTTATCGCCAAAGAGACTAGCGAGACGTCAGCGTTTCCATCAGCATTCAATATAACCGGACAACAAACCTTTCAGGCAAGTCAACACCTCGTTCTGTAGACCAGACTCGGTATGATAAGAGAGCAAACTTCACTCCGAAGAAACCTGCTGTGGCGAGGCTGGCAATTGCCAAGATGGAGAATGTCTGAACATATCCTTTTCGCAAAGGTTCTCGATGCCTAGTAGCAGAGGATGGCGGAAGAGCGAGAGGTATGACCGATAGATAGTACGGCATGCAACTAGGGAAAGGTACACGACTGAGAAGAGATGAGCTCCTACAACAGCCGTGTGGATGTAGCTATCTCGAGGTTAGTGATCCATGTCCGAATAGAGCGCGTTTCAAACGAGATATCGATAAGCTGCAGTGCACGTTTCATAGACGCCTTGCCAATCTGAAGTTGAACGATAGGCGCTGTCTAATATTACCTACCTCGGAGACGACTCAATAGGAACCGGTGCCATGATTTCACTTTGCTCAGCAGGGTATTTATCCGTAGCCGGAAAGCTTGAAGATTTTGGAAGCAGAGTCAAGAGATATGTTGTCTTCATGAAAGTTTCCTAGCAGCCTTTGTGATGGCTGGAATAGTTCTCCCGCATACTTACACGTCACAAAGAAGGAATGTTGGAAGTCTCCCCCAAACTTGGCAGTTGTGTCACGTGTCTAATGTCACCAATCTTCCATTCCATTGGGAGGATAAACAGCCCAGCCCGCCCGCCTCAGCCTTGCAGGAGTGCAGGGGTTCAAGGCCCAATTGACACATGGACACGAATCGAGAGCTGGACTTCCATGCCACGCTCCCGGCAAGGCTGTCCACTGTATGAAGAAGACACTTGTAGAATTGAGGACTAGAAGCGGTCTTTACAGCCTTCACTCTGTCTTCCCGTTCGGCGTTGGGATAAACGGTTCAAAATGTATCATCTAGCCAAGGGGCTGTATTTATATGCGACCAGCAAAGAAGGTATATCCTCATTCCCCGACTGCAGGTCTCTAGGCTTGTCCTCCCGTTCAGCCCTACTGCTGCTATTGGCTCTGTTCAAACCTTTTTCTTTACTATATCACGCATCTACTAATGCCCAAACAGAATACTCTGTCCTCCTCCTTGGCCTCGACAACGCAGGCAAAACCACCTTCCACGAACAAGTGAAATCGCTCTTCCTACCCTCCCACCCCAACCCCAAACTTAAGACTGTGCCCACAGTCGGTCAAAATGTCTCTACTATCACCATGCCCGATATGTATCTCAAGATGTGGGACGTTGGCGGGCAGCACAGTCTACGCAAGCTCTGGCAGAGTTACTACACCTCCTGCCATGCCATCGTCTTCATAATTGACAGCACGGACATCGGAGACGGGAATCTGGAGCACGATAATAGCGGACGGCTGGAGGAGTGTAGATTGGTGCTGGAGGATGTCCTGCAACATTCTGAGACGGAGGGTGTGCCGCTGCTGGTGTTGGCGAATAAGCAGGATAGGGAGGATTGTGTGGAGGTGGTGAGAATTAAGGAAGGGCTTGTGAAGAAGGTATTCGAGGGAGAAAAGGGTGCAAGCATCAGGGATAGTAGGGTATTACCTGTGAGTGCTCTGACCGGGACGGGTGTAAAGGAGGCGGTTGAGTGGGTGAGGAGTAGGGTCAAGTGGAATAAGGAGGGGAGACCACCGGTTATGAGGTAAGGATGGAGGGGTTGTTGCTTTTGGGAGTTATAGACAGCGAGGCGTTTGGTATGGTTTGATGCCAGGTGGGATCTGACGACTAGAGGGCGATGCATTGAATGGGATTACTGATGAATTGATTAAGTTTTAGACCTGGTGAAAGACTATTCTTACAATATCTGCATACAACGTCAAATTTTCGCATCTTCACCTTCAACACCAATTACCTGTGTCAACAATCCCGTCTCAGTATCCTGTACAAATCCCAAAATCTGCATTCCTTTGAAGAAAGGACTCTCTTTTAAAATCCCCACATCTTCCTTAATGCTCTCGTCGGGACTTTCCTCGTCAGCACTCTTTTATTTCCTTTCATTCTTCTTCTCCTTGAAGTCCCTCAAACTCCAGAGCAGTAAACTCACCTCACAAATGCCCCAAACCTCACTTCATCCAACAATTTCCCCGCCTCGGCATCAACACTCCCCTTCAAGGCCTCTCTAATCTCGTCCTCATTCGCAGTCTGCAATCCACAGTCCGTATGATGCACAACCATAATAACACCTTTCTTACCCAGATTCCCTACAGCTGAAAGAACCAAGAGCGTGGACATGGCGGCGTGGACACGGCCGCCAGCGGTGCGGACTACAGTAGCTTCTGGAAGGTGGATATGAGGATGGAGAATTAACAGTTGGAATGTGAGGAGGGGAAAGTAAAAGGGAGACTAACTACTTGATGAATCCATACCCAGGAACTCTTCTGGTGTAACACGGGGGTCTGTACATGCGACTGGTGACCCACAATTAGATGTCAGTATGAAGAAAGGTATTGCACCTCAACTGCCAGAGCCTGTAACCAAGTCTCCACGAACCAGGACAGTCAATATTGCAAGAAAACGAGACAAGGACAGAAGATTACAATCAATGCAGAAACAAAGGAACTGGTCCTACTCTTCTCTTTCAAATATCAACTTCCAGTTCTTGACACAAGACATGGAAAGAGAAAAACTCAATATTCGTGCCTTGTCACATCACAACGTGAGACTCAGCGAGATCAACATTGATCTTTCAGTGGAGAAACAAAACGAAATACAAGAGCGCTGGACTGAAAAATCAAAGAGATCATGCACCCACCAACAATAATCGTCCCATCCGCCCTCTCCCTCCCCTTCCTCTGCATCTCCACAAACGGTACAGGAGCTACATAATCTCCCCTCTTAGCCCACTCCCTGTATATTCATCATCAGTCTTCCGTCTTCAGTACTTATCCAAAATGAGCAAGAGTTCTAAAGCAGACCAGAATGTTGGCAAACCGCCAGACCAGCCTAGCTGGCTAGAAGCGATGATTGGGATCAAGATAGATAAGAGATAGACATACCTATTCCTCTCCAAATACATCTCAACCCTCGGATCCATCATATGTACTTATAACTACCTCCAATCCTCAGAATAGAATGCCAATCAACTAGCTTAAATCTAACCCTCGTATCTCTCTCTCTTTTCTCTCAACAGTCTGAACTTTTCCTTACTTACTCCACGCTCGACGGACCCGTGCACGCCCTCCCAGCCAGCCAGCCGGCGAGCCAACACCGAAGCTCACTCACTTCACTCTCAAGTCCAGACGGGAGAGAGGGGACAACAAGACCCAATCAAACTCTTCAAACTCAAAATACAGCCAGCCAACTTTAAACAACAAACAAAGCAAGGATTCTCTCTCTCCCTCCCTTCATTCGAACAGCCAAAAAAAATAGAAACCCAAACCAACAGAGTGAGATCTGATATATGATAAGCCTTCCCCCCCCCCCCCCCCCCCCCCCCCACTCCAAAAACAATCCATTCCCAGCCTGTCGGATCGGCATCGGCTCACATACAAAACCCCCACCCCACGTTTCAACGCTTATCTCTCTCTAAGTTACTCTAGGACCTACAGTAGGTATCAGAGCGCGTGTCTGAGCCATGACATAAAGTAAGATTAAGATTAAGATGCTACTGTAAAGATGCTAAAGCCTAAAGCCTAAAGCCTTATCTGTACTAGTGAGGGGTTGGGAAAAAAAAAAGGTAGATAGGCTCGATAGGTAAGGAGGGAGGGAAAGGAGGGAGGGAAAGGAGGGAGGGAAAGGAGGGAGGAAGCTTTAGCTAGCTTGTGATGGTTTGGGAGGAGGGGTAGAGAGTGTTAATTGCGTGTTTTGGATTTGGATTTGGATTTGGATTTAGCTTTAGATTTGGATTTTCGTGTGTGGCGTGTGTGAAGGGGGGGAAAAGTCAATTGGGGTTGGATGGATAGATTGGAGTTTGACATGTGCTTGCTTGAAACTCATATCTTGAACTGATGGTCCTCACGATAGAAATTACACAGATTGAAAGGTGACGAAAGGATCTATCCAAATGGGATTTGATATCATTCCATCGAATTGCATTCTGCTTCCCTATCTGCTGTAGTAGAGACTATGCTTCTCCCATCCACCTATCCATAGACACCGTGGATCAGCATCATTACCACATTAACACCGCCAACCTCCATCCACCCATCCGTTCCAGCCCATTCCTCCACCATACCCCCTCCAATCCCTCCATCCATCCACCTCCCCACACAACAAACGCCAAAAATCAAGACCTTCATTGCAAATCCAGAAACACCAGAATTACCCTTCCCGTCCCATCCATCTATCCCATCGCTAAATCTCAAAAAGAGGACTAATGTTCTCATCTCTAATAACGAAAGCAAGGCTGCTGAAAAATCTGAAAATTGAGAACCGAGAAGCAAAAAGGTGGTCAAGCCAGCGCATCCATCAAACGCACGCTAGCAACGCAATCTGTGGTATTGAGCTCAGAAAAGATCATGATCGTGATTCGTCGCCAAATCAAATCAGATCAGAAGTACGCACGCATTCAATCGGGTATCCATTCTTCTCGGTCGTCGTGTACTGTGTGTCGTATTCTGATATTGTCCAACTTCCCGCAGACATAGGCCGAGATCTCGAAATGGAATCTATTCATTCATCCTTCAAATCGTATGGAAACCGGCCGTCTCGTCGTGAAAGTGGTAACGTATGTGTGGTGCGTCCCTATGTACTGTGCGGGTGGTCCGTTCAAAAGGTGCTCCAGTTCCAATCCCTAGGCACGCTGGCTCCCAGACTCTCTGGTACGCCTGTATTCTTCTGTCCAAAGACACTGCCGATGCGGCCGATACGGGTGCCTGCGCAGCTCACGGTGGGTGTAGTAGGTGTGTCCTGATCATGGGAGCTCTCGCTGTTTGAACGGCTTGAGCGCGCGATCTTCCATCTCAGGTAATCTGTGAAACAGTGCTCACAAGCACGGACTTTGGCACCTTCAGGGTGGTAATTTGCATCTTGGTCAAGAGGGATGGCATGGCTGGAGTGTCTGTCGCAGAAGATGTTTCCGCATCGTCGACAGTGATGCTTTCGTGAGAGGAAGCCGAAGTAGACTTGGCAGGTTGTATCGTCGCAAACAACGGATTCGGAGTCGGGCTGCACGAAGAAAGGTAATTAGCATGAGATACGTAATTGTAATTGAGACGAGGCAACGAGAACCAAATAGTTTCGGGTATGAGCATGTGCTATGTCCTGAAAAATTCGGCAGGGCACGCGAGCTTCTGTCTGGCCAAGCGATGCGCTGAGAATGTTTCTTGCATGGGTTGATGCCCTTCACAACATTATTTCAGCACGCAATACCCCTCAAGGTATCGCGACATCAAACTTTGATACACCATATAAACCCATGAATATCCCCACCTTGTTTTGTGCAGGTGCTGAGTTTCAAGAGATTCTGCTAACGTACCTTCCAGTGTTCTCTTGTTGGCAAGCCCTTGACCTTTCCGAAGCTCTCCAGTCCCTCGGAGCTCCATTCAGCTTCAACTATTGCGCCAAGTCCACCCTTTCCACTGTCACCAGTTGAGCGTCTGCTCAGTGTCCGCAGAGTATCTGTGTCGTCAAAACTGTTGTCCTTGCTGTGTGGCGGGGTCAGGGGTGATTGTCTGGCTGTTCTCTTGGGAGGATCTGTAGGTCGCAAGACTGCAGGCACATAGAGAGGGGACTTTGGCGGGCGCAGTTGTCGAGTATGGGCTGCAAGATGCGCAGGCACGCCTGCTCGAGGAGATGTAGGAGATGTATTATTGGGCGTGGCGGTCGCAGAGTTGATGGGGGAGGTTTGTTGTGAGTTGAAGAGACTATACTGAGTCGGCGATGCTGTGAACTGTTGCACAGGCATCGCGAAATCCGTTGCCATGTTCTTTGTAGTTTTTTGGGGGCGTTCGAAGTTATCGTCTGACGTGGAGAAGGTGGGAGGGAGGATCTGCTGAATCGGCTTCTCGAGAAACATTCAGATGGTAGAGAGGAGTCGGTGTGGAGAGACAGTGAGCATGAGATTGAGCAAGATCGGAAGACGTATTATCGCGACAGTACGATAATGCGACAAGAACGTGTGCCACCGTCAGCTCACAGTATTAGAGTCAGAAGTCGGATATCATAGGCCTATCGAGTGGTACAGCCTTGTCGAAGTTGAAGTTGTACAGTGGACGAGATGGCAGCAAGAGTGGGCAGATCAACGACCACGTTCCTGGCAGACCTGTATATCCACGGGTTGATCTGCGGATGATAAGTAAAGAGCGTTGCAACGTTCGCGTGCGAAGTTCGACTGTGTTACGTCGGAATGTTACTGCAGATGAATTATCGTGGCTGCTCCTGGTGTTTTGTTGCTAGAAGGGCGAGGTTCTGGACTCGGCCCGCGCCCAAGATGACGGAAGGTGCTGATAAGCCTGGTGGTAAGGTAAAGGCAGAATCTAGCAGACAGGCAACGATGAGGCTATCTTTGACGAACAGGTTCTGGATAAAGCGGTTGCACAAACAATGTTGGATCTGGTGTGAGTATGAAGTGAGGGAGGTGGTGGTGGTTACTCAATATGAAATTCACGGCGGGACAGGATAGAACAGAGGAGGGCTCTCGAGATGAGCAGGGAGGGTCCTCTGTCGGGTGCAAGTACATAATAGCTGCAAAGTATGGCAGCACTAGATCCGCCCCTCCAGTTGATATGGGCCAGAAATTATCAACAGTTTGGCTGTGATTCGCCGATTCGAGGACTACAAACAGGGATACCTTATGGGGGCAACGTCGGAGCGCATCTCTTGAGATCCCTGGCATTTTAACTTTAGACTTCGAGGGTGGCATCGGCCTTCGACGGTAGATGGGACATTACAGTATTGCACGTGTACTGTAAGTGCAGGCCGTCCAGATCACTTCAACTCAATTCAGTCCCATTCAAGAATGCTTCTCCAGCTTTTTTTACTCGTAGACAAGAGAAGAGGTATCATATCCTCCACGACAGCCACGCCATTCAGCCGCATGTCTGCGTATGAGAATGATAATCAATCTTTGGCGCATTGGAACGAACGGCAGTCGGTCGGACTGGGGGCTGCCCAGCGCTACTGTACTGTATCGATAATCTCGATGACTTCTGGGATCGTCCAGTGTCCACAGACCTGCGGACCTGCGGGCCCACCGCCAAAAGACTGTCGCGTGTGCAGCACGCTAGAACCTCGGCCAAGGGTCCAACTTCGGATACGGGGCTCCTGACTGGCTGCGCTGCCCGTTCTTATCGCTGAGAGATGAGTGGCCAGGCGCACGGCGGTGACATTCTTCCCTGCGGTGCGGTCGAGTCGAGTGCAGCGCAGTAGTGCCATCCCAGCCGAGCGAGAGCGAGGGGCAACAATGAATGAAGCCTTGGAATTACCCATAATAATGGAACCTAAGATAAATTTACCTTGGTAATTGGATGCTGCGCTGCACTGGTGGAGCCGAGTGCTCGCCCAGCAGCACAGCCAGTGGCCACTGAGGAAACGAGGCGACTCGCGAAGGTTGCTTCTCCGACTGCTGCATCTTATCTATCTTGTCGAATCATTATTCGCTGCATCATCCATCATCCATGTTGGCAGCATAGGGAAAGCCTTAATGCTCATCAGAACGATCGCTGCCACTTCGAGGATGGCCCCAGACACGGAGGAAAAGGAGAGAGCCTCATTCCCAGGAACCTCCTCGCTAGCCTCCCAGCGTGCAATTTTGACACCTCGCGAAACCCTCCTAACCTTCCTAACAGAGTAATTCTGACTCGTGTCGGGCGGGTCTTTCTATTGGCGGTGAACTGCGAAATATGCCTCGTTTGGGACGAAGGTCTTCATAAAACGCCGCCATACGATCGCTTCCTGTTTTTGTTAACGGCACGCGAGCAAGCCCGCTATTGGGCCGCCAAATCCATGTATCTAAACTCAATTGACTATCGGGCCAACCCCCTCGGCTGTTCAGGAGTGCTGTGCTGCGCCGGGACATCAACTCGCCTCGCTGGACGTCTGTGGCTGAAGAGGCTGCGTTGCTTGGTCGTTCATGTACCTCCGTCTCCGTCGTCCCAAAGGAGGCCGCTTCGTCCTGTCATTAATCTATCACACCTGGGACGGAGGCACATCTTTCGGTATTCTGGGGAAATGTACCGTTATCTGTGGGGAAGCTTGGGGATTGGAGCCTTGGAGGCGACTGTGATACCACGAGTCCGCGGCTAAAGACCGCGAGTGTGGCAGCCAGCCAGCTTCAAAGCATCTTGAGTGGATCGTACTGTGAGAGTTAATGTACCGGAAATTCCGGACACGAGGAAATGCGTAAAGCTCTGGCAATAATTGGCAAGTCCAATTAAATCGAACATTCTATGTATTGGAGTTCTCCTGGCACTCTGCATGGTAGCACAAGTCCGGTTAGTGGGTGGCCTGGGAGTATCTTTGTAACTGATCCTGAACTCTCCACAGGCGAGAAAGGACGTGCAGTGCAGAAAAGAGCTTGTCGAAGTGATGTCGGTGTGGTTGATCGGACCGCCCAGGATGAAATGGTTGATCCTTCAAGATTCAAGAGCACACCTTGATCCTACGCACTGCAAACAGCTTTGGCGATCTCAAGTAAAAGGACCCTACATCGAAGATCGTAGCAAATGTCTCAAAAATGGGTTATGCTGTACGTTGCAGTGTGACTTGCCCATCGCGGAATCAAGAAGCGAAAAAGGTCAATACCAGAATATGTTAGATTGTGATTGGTTGGAGGTGGGTACCTCAACATGGATAATGTCCATATGTGGACCCGGCTGTCGCCCGATCTGATATGAAAGAGAAGAAAATAAGGCCGAGGTATCCTTCGCAGTGTAAAGGGTATGCCACTTATGTTCAATAACAGTAGAAGCCAGGCGGCTGGTGGCGAGAGGGAGGCAACAGCGAGACGAGATATTCCTCTTCATAGCTTCAACTTGACGAGATCTGCCGAAACCGTCGGTGATATTCCGGTATCAAGTCCTGGCACATTTCCATCATGGTGATGAAAAATCGGAAGGCGAATTGCAGCACTGCAGCACCCAAATCTCAGGATCAGATGAGCACAGCCGAATGCGTGGACAAGCTGTCCAGTGGCAGTGTGTTGCTATCAAAAGCTTGACATCCGACGGCTAAGCGCCTCTCATTCTCGTGGCGTCGGTGTCAAGGTTCTTTCTCTTCTCTCTTTGAAAACAGAATTGCATCGGAACATCTTTTGTCCTTCAAGCGTTCTCTTGGAATGAATTGCATACAGTACCATCCTGGCACGGGTCGGAGCGATTGTTAGTTTTGTCCCTTTTCACATCAGACGAACAGCTACCTAAACTTACTCTTGACGGCGAAGCTAAAATGGTTGTGATGTTTTTTCAACACTTGTTCGGCGGTTGACCTTTCTTGTTCCTTTACTTTTGCTTAGAAGAGACTCTTCGTTCAAACAGAACTCAATTGGCTTTTCGAAATCCTGCATTGTTGGTTCGTTGGTTCGGAATGGGTGTCAAGTACCGCCAAGCCACTCACTCGCTTGTCCCCGCAGTGAGATTGCCGGCAGCCTGCAGCCACTTTTCATTCTGATTCGCTGTTTAGCAAGAAACTCCATGGGCATGTGGACCTCGGTCTCCACTGTTCAACGTCGTCAAAGAAGAAATCATAGGGGGTCGAGTTGCTTCATGTCTTGATGGGTCAGAACACATTTATGCCGGGTATTCCGCGTCAAAAATCAAAAATCTGAAGAATACTGGATGTAGACATCCTTCCTTTATAAAGTCTTATTACCCCGAGATCTCGCAAGGAGCTTTAAAGCTTGGAAGAGCTGTGCGTCAGCTGTTGTGACGAAGGAACAACATCATGACGTCCAAGGTTATTGAGGTTGTGGGCCATCTCCCAACACTCCTTCCAGATGGACCAGAAGAAAGCCCTTTTACTGATGCGAATTGGACTACACTGCTAGCTATAATGGACACGGTCATCCCCACAATCAGCAGAGAGGAATCTACTAGCAAACCTGACCAAAGAGTGATTTCAAAGGAGGATTACCAAGCGACTGTTGATCAAATTGTTGTTGACCTGCCAAATGAGAAAGATCTGGATGCCTTCTTCAAAGAGCGAGCCTCAGACATTCCGGAATTTCACGAGCTCCTCAAACGAACACTAGTCCATTACACGCCCGAAGATGCCAGGGAAGGACTGGGGTTCATCCTCGCTTCTCTCAAGTAAGTACATTTTCCATCTCGAAATGAGGATCAAAACAAAGTACCAAACTAAGCTGTCAACAGCACTCTCATCGGCTCACGGATTCTCACTGGCTATACAACTCCCTTCCACGAGCAGCCCATCCTTATCCGAGAAGAAATTCTTGAGCGATGGCGCCTCTCCTATCTCCGACCACTAAATCTCGTCTACAAGCAAATGACAGCAATTGCCAAACACGTCTGGCTTAAAACTAGTCCGACATTCCCCAAAGTCACAGGATACACCCCTCTTCCGCACCACGCCAAGCCGAAGTCAAGTCACGAGTACGACTTTCTACAGTTTTCTTCCGGTGAGCAACCAGAGACTATCGAGACAGATGTTGTGATCGTTGGTTCAGGCTGTGGCGGAGCTGTCTGTGCTAAGAACCTTGCGGAGGCTGGTCATCGCGTATTGGTCGTCGATAAAGGGTATCACTTCCCCGCATCACAGCTACCCATGACCGAAGAGGCAGCAGGAATCCATCTCTACGAGAACGGAGGTGCCGTTCAGAGTGATGATGGATCCACGGTCGTCGTAGCTGGTAGCAGTTGGGGAGGTGGCGGGACCGTCAATTGGTCAGCCAGCCTTCAGACGCAGAATTTTGTCCGGAAGGAGTGGGCTCAAGATAGAGGTCTCACGTTCTTTGAGACTGCAGAATTCCAGGAGTGTCTTGATAGAGTTTGCAATCGTATGGGTGCTTCCACGGAGCACATTCGTCATAATCACGGAAATCGCGTCCTTTTGGAAGGGTCCAGGAAGCTGGGATATCATGCCAAACCAGTACCACAGAATACCGGTGGTTCAGAGCACTATTGTGGACATTGTACATTAGGATGTGGCATGGGGCAAAAGCAGGGTCCAGTTGTGTCTTGGTTACCAGACGCCGCCAAAGCAGGAGCCAAATTCATGGAGGGTTACACGGTCGATCATGTCATATTTGACGAGTCTTCAGGCGTTAAAAAAGCGGTGGGAGTGACAGGGAAATGGGTTTCGAGAAACTCTAAGGGGGGAGTTGATGGGCCATTATCCGAACGGACTGAACGAGAAGTTATCATTCGAGCGAAGAAGATTATCGTGTCATGCGGAAGTCTATGGAGTCCCATCATTCTACTCAACAGTGGATTAAAGGTCAGTCATCCATGCCAAATCAACTATTGTAATATAAACTCAACTGAGCCTTTCAGAATCCTCACATCGGACAAAACCTCTACCTCCATCCAGTCAACACCGTTAACATGGTTTTCAAAGAAGACGTCCGGCCATGGGAAGGTATCTAGCCACCCTCCTCAAACCACATTGCACCAAAACACTAATATCCCCCACCTTAGGTGGTATTCTAACCAGCGTGTGCACGACCTTCGAAAACCTCGACGGCCTCGGCCACGGCTCCAAACTCGAAGCCACAATCATGATTCCCTCCCTCTCCCTCGTCCTCCACAACTGGACCAACGGCCCTCAATACAAAGCCGCAGCCCTCAAATTCCGCCACACAAACGGCTTTATCTCCATCGCCCGCGACCGCGATCCAGGACGCGTGTATAAAGACCCCGTCAGTGGCAAGCCGCGCATCCAATACACACCCAGTGCGTTCGATCGCGCGAATATCATGGAGGGTGTGATTGCGCTGGTGAAAATCGCCTATGTGGAAGGCGCGACGGAGATTCATCTTGTGAATTCGGGGGTAAAGCCTTTCATTAGATCAACAACTCCATCAACGTCAGAGGACAACAATACCTCCCCCAACCCAGGCATAACCGACCCTGACTTCACCGCCTGGGTCTCCGAGCTGCAACGTATTGGCAACAAGCCACCCATGGCAGGTTTCGCGTCGGCTCACCAGATGGGTACGAATCGTATGAGTGTCCGCGCTCAAGACGGCGTTGTTGATCCTGAAGGTAGAGTCTGGGGAACGGAGGGGCTGTATGTGGCGGATGCGAGCGTGTTCCCGAGTGCGAGTGGAGTTAATCCGATGATTACGAATATGGCGATTGCTGATATGATATCGAGGGGCTTAGGGAGGGAGTTGAGTGCCGAGAAGGAGGAATGAGGAGATAAGTGGCTGTATGATAAAATTTGTTTTGTTTGTTTTGGGGATTACAATCGTATTGTTCATTTCAGTCGCTTAGCGGATTGTTTGTTTCTTAACCCGACGTGGTGCTGGCTCGCGGATCTTGTCCTTCGCACCATTCCCAGCTTAGATTCTACGGAGCAAAACTTCTCACCATTTATTACAACTTCAAAGTCGAAGTTCAAAGCTCCACCCATGAGGACAAAACTGATTAAAAACGCAAAAATATACTCGAGAGTTCCCAACCCCGCTCGCTTAATTTTACTTGCTCTCAGTCCACTTTGCCGTGCCATCCTGTCTCGTCTGTCTGAGATAACTGGATTAATAAACGTAGTGTTTATGAGAGTAAATATGATATTGAGTTGAGCAATGATGGAACATTCCAAAAGTCCAATTCGGCATTTTGTGCTCCTTTTCCGCTTAAATTATGGGTTGGCATTGAATCGGCACTGCACCTGTTTGTCCACACTGAGCTGACCTGATCTCTGATGCCAGCGAGTGCCGATAACAAGCCATACAAACTGTTGTTGAGATTTCGACAGCAGAGTTATGCTGAACCAACGAGACCTGGGGGAGCGATTTGAGAATAATAAAGTCTCAAATTCACATATCTCATCTTACATGGCGTGAAATGAAGCTCCTTTTCATGGCCATAGCACGTGTACATTCTTACTCGTACCCGCGCAGTACGCTGACAAAATGAAAAGGGCAAGAAAGAGAGTACATAATCGATACTATTTACAAAAAATCACTTTTAATACCAGGGAAGCATTAGTAAGTACAGTTCAATCTGTAAGCTTTCCAAAAGGCGGGAATATAAGCAGACTACGATAATCTCAACATCTGCTCGCTATTCATCGCCCAGTCCGCCGAGCTCCTTTTCAGTACTTTCTTTGTTTCTTTATATCAGTAAGCTGATCGATTGGTGTCTCATGTATACCAGCTACTCGATGAATGCTCCATCAGCACGCTCTCCTGTCGAGAATTCTAGAGCAGATGGACAAACTTACCACCATTGTCTTCTGGAGCAGAGCTTGCTACATCATCCTCCCCAAGATGATCATCCGCAGCCCAGAATTGGCTTTCCCAGCTTTTTATTTCACGGTCCGGTTTAGGTATGAAATCGGACGATCTGTTTTGAAGGGTATCCAGATGCCCGAAGTGAACAAGACAAATCTCCGGGTCACCAAAGTCTGGCAGGGAAGATTCTTTCCAAGCACATGTATGTTCGTCATTAGAGTCTGTGTATTCGAGCTCCTCTTCAGTTCCACACATTTCGTCGTCATCAGGGTCTGCGTATTTGGGCTCCTCTTCATCTCCACACATTTCGTCGTCATCAGGGTCTGTGTATTCGAGCTCCTCTTCATCTCGACGCAATTTATCATCATCCGCACGATCAACGGACTCGGGGCGTAGGTCGAGAAGCGCCCCTGAGCTATCAAGGTACACGACCCATTTAGTAGGCTCTCTGTGATCGAAAAGCCGTCCGAGAACAATCGCCTTCAGGTATCGATCGCCACTCGCTGTGGAAAGAATGATCTTATGAAGTATGGTATGATCGCTCCCAGCAACAGAGTGGTTGTTTAACCAGTCTCTACCAACAGTCGAGACGTATAAGGAATAGGTTTGTCCGAGAATGAAAAGCCGAGTTCTAAAATTAGGCTCGGAACGTGTGGTACTACCCCAGGTGGGGGAATTCTCGCGTGGCTAATTATCAAGTTTCGTAGTGTCTCCAATTTGGAAATATTGAATGGGAAACCTTGCTGGAGCATGGAGCTGAGGCTTTCTAGGAGGACCTCCGTTTCTATAAATTTGGATTTGAATGTAGGCGCCCTGAGTTGACGTTTATTCATGTCCTTTAACTCCTTCGCAATCTCAGGTAAAGTTGACTGATCAGCTAATTTCAATATCATCTATGCATGAAAACTTATGATTATATCGGAGCATTTGCTTAATTCTCTTTTGAGCCATGGTAGCAAGGTATATCGACGCTCGCAGCTGATGCACACAGAGCTCTCGAAACTTTACGGTGCAGGTGTTGGAGCAGAGGCAAGCAATAATAGTCTTGTAATAAATAGGAAATCTACATAAGAAACTCTAGCCAAAATAAGTTGATCAAAAGGTCATTAAAAGGTAGGGAATGGATACTCGACACTCCTATTCTACAGTCTAGCGATTCAGTCCCTGTAAATGCTTCCCTGATCCTATGAAACTCTAATCTAATCATTTCATTGTCTATGAAAACGTACTTTTCGAACGAAATCCTTTGAGACTACTTGGAATACTCCAGTGATGAAAGAGGAGCCCCGCCCACTACGACGGAAAAAGGCTGTCCGCATGCAGAAATCGCCCCATGGAATTTTGATAGAAGTCATCTTTTATCTCAAATGCTGATAGTTACGTACGGCATGGACTCGCTACCGATGATAGCTAGCTGCAGTGAGTTTGGAAGGACTCTTTGTCTTAAGTGGGGATAGTTGTGAAAAGTGTGTCGCAGTGGAAAAGGTCGAATTTGGGGGGTGTTTCCGCTTTTGGAGGAACGTGAAGGAAGCTTCCGTGTGGGAGAGATGCTGAAGACTTTGTCAAAGGGATTTCCTGTCGCGGCAAAGCTATTCTAATACTGAGCTAAACCGCAACACGTGTCGGTCTGAAGAGAAAACAAGAGAATATCTTTCTATCGAGGGCCAACAACACTTGGAATGCCAAGCATGTTCAGGCTTACCTTGGTACTTGTCAATATTGGACTCTAGATACAGGCACTGGTCCTCAGTATCAAATCTTTATGGCTAATCAAACGATGAGAGAATTTGCAATTCTTGTCACTCAAGAGTGGTTGAAGGGAAAGGGCAGAAATTTTCCCTCGCTATTGCTGCATGCAATCCACGAGTCGAGCAATAAGTTGAATGCTGCTTTATGTAACTTCCAGGAAAGCTCTATGTTCTCTAGGTAGAGCATTCGAGTATGGACCAGAGCTTTGTATATTCTGGTATGGAAACTTTACGAGTTCTTTGTATGGTAAAGCAGATGTAAACAAAGTAGAAGGAACCCTCAGTCTGTTACACCCATACACTTGAGCAAAAGATTGATTCCAGAATGCCGCATCCGAAAACACATCAGAATCGCAGACAGAAACGGAAGTCTAGACAGCAAAGACGGCGGGTCCAACGACGTCGACAGAGAAAAAGGAAGAAAGCTCGAAATTTCATTTTGACCAAGTTACCGGCATTTTCAACAGACGTCTTCCACACCCATTGATTACAGGCCACCAAGCCACCGGAGTTTTTGACATATGTTATTTCCACTCATAAATTGAAAGTCAATCCGCCTCCCCAGTGGCCATCGATCTTGGACGAATGTCAGCCTCGGGCATGTTTCCGTGATCAAGATCCTTCAAGTTACCGCAACGTTCGAGCCAGTGATTTCCGCAACATACTCTGGCCTCGTGGCGGTCTGAGGAAGGACCTAATTGACCAAAAATTGCTGTGGATTAAGCAGGACATCGCTATCGTTTCGTCTCTAGCGGAATTCTTGGCGGAATATTACCAAGAAAGAGAGGACGTTCCGCAACCGACGCTAAAGAGAAAACGCTTGAGATACATGTCCACTCGGATATACGGTGGAGGTCTCATCAATTGATTTGATGACATTGTGTTGATTTTGCGTAACCATTACCATAGAGCAATCAAGTGTGCAGCGAAGCTTGCAAGATTGATGCTAAGGAGCTGCAGATATATATCCCGTAAGCTGCCATTCAGAACACACATTTCTCCAGTGGCTTAGCGTAGCGCATGTGCCCTGTGATTCAGGCAGCCCCTAGAATCTTAGCGCCTCGCTTCAGCACCTCGCCCTGCAAAAGTTGTGTTAACGGCAGCCTCGAGCTTAGGTAGGGGATAGTCAATCGCGGCTAATACTCAGACGCCAGAGGTCTATCATGCAGAGCAGCTGCAAACCCATTATTTTGCTACCAACGTCAAAGACACAAACAAGCAAGTAGAAATGGAAATTCGTGAAGCTCACGGGTAAGCTTTACCTCCAGCCAGTTATCCTTCAAGGCATGCCGCTTTGATCTGTACGTTATTTCATGTCCTTCGATTGTTTCCTTTTTGTACCCGTCGAGAACGTGTGGGAGAGTCACTCGTGGAAATATTGCAAAGCTTGAGGTTCCACGAAGCTCAACCTAAACCTGAAGTCCACCTCTGACATAATATCATTCTTCTTCAGAGCCCGTCCGGCTTCCTAGAGGTCGCAGAAGAGACTGACTATGGCACATCGCGGGTATCAGGGCCACCCACCGTATTGGGTCTCGTCGTCAGACCAGTGCCAGAGCCTGATATGTTGGCTTGCTTTACTCATTGTCACACGGGCTTTTATACATCATCCGTATCGATTCATCCCTCCTACCCAGTCTGCTCGTCAGCACTTGCATCGTGCCCAGCAATGCTGTTCGTCTTGAGATTTCTGAAGCCACTCTTTAGCCACTACAGTTATTTTGACGTAATCGCGCAGTGCGACATCAATGCTGAATGGATGGGCAGTTTTTTCATATAAATGTGGTGCAGATGCATTTCATTGCTGACGAGTTCCAGGAGCGGGGTACAGCTGTTCCCATAACTAGTTAGAAACCACGGGTGCGCGCCCGCCCTCATCAAAAATCGTTTCCCCCCCCCTCTCTAGAAACCTACCTACCTACATCTTTATGAAACGCGATTATAAAACACTATAACTTTATAGAAATAAACTAGAACACTAATATTCTAACTTATAAGTTTCCTAGTTTTAATTGAATATCTAGTTGTAAAGTTATTAATTGATTAAGCTGCATAGGATTTGAGGCTCAAGTTAAGAGCTCAGCCTTGAGGTGGCCCGAGCGCAAGGCAAGCTGAGAAAACCGAAAGTCCTAGTTCTAAGGAAATCAAATTAAGTCTGTTAATATAACTCTACAAAGTAAAACAAATTAACAAAGTGAGTCAAAATATGTTAATCTTCAATTATTTAAAAAATCTAGGTATTATATTAAAAGGTGGTTGTGATGCAAGTAGGTACGACTCAGAGAGGGGGGGGGAAACGATTTGGATGAGGGTGGAAAATCGGTCCCGTGGTTTCTAACTAGTTATGGGAACGGCTGTATGATTGGCTCCTCCAACTTCACCTGGATCCCCTCTGTCAACCTTATCAGACCCGAAGTTTACGAGCTTACATGAGCTTTCCACCCATTCTGGGTGCACATTGAGGCATATTGACCTTACACGAGATTTATTTGCTCTCAATATGCGCCTTCTTAGAACCACGACCCTCGAGCTGGAAGATTTTATGGGCATTTCTCCAGCATATGCGATTCTTTCCCATCGGTGGCAAGATGACGAGGTTTCTTTTCAAGACATGATGAACGGCGAAGCAGCCAACAAAGCGGGGTACAGCAAAATTAAGAAGTGCTGCCGTGAGGCGTCCAAGCAAGGATTGAATTATGCCTGGATTGACACCTGTTGCATCGACAAAACTAGCAGCGCAGAGCTTACCGAAGCCATAAATTCCATGTATCAATGGTATCAAAATGCGAAAGTCTGTTTTGTTTATCTTTTCGATGTCGATGATTCAGAGGTCGATGCACATTGTTCAGATGACGCTGTAGACAGCGCCCATTTCGAAAACAGTTCTTGGTGGACCAGAGGGTGGACCCTACAAGAGCTCATTGCACCTTCAGCGCTCGAGTTTTACAACTCGAAATGGAATTTGCTCGGTTCGAAACACGATTTGACTGCCCTTATCACCACAATTACTGGGATTCACCATAAAATGCTTCAAGGAGCAAACCCCGAAACATTCAGTGTTGCACAAAGAATGTCTTGGGCATCCAAAAGGACTACAACGAGAACTGAAGACATTGCATACAGCCTTCTTGGTATTTTTGGTGTCAACATGCCAATGTTATATGGCGAAGGAGAGAAGGCTTTCATTAGGCTGCAGGAAGAAATTATGAAACATTCGAACGACCATTCTTTGTTCGCATGGAGTGTTGAAGGTGAGGGTTATCGGGGTCTTTTAGCAAAATCTCCTGCCAGCTTTCAACAGTCGTACGATGTCGTCCCTTCGTTCAATAAACTCAGTCATGTTCCATACTTCGTCACGAACTTTGGGCTGTCCATCACACTGGCTTTTATACCTTGGGCAATGGACACATATTTTGTGGCACTCGATTGCGAAAGAGAGGATAAATATGACAGCCGAATAGGCATATATCTTAAACTTTTGCGGGAAAAGGATCAAGCCGCAAGAATATCTCTGGATGGAACAGACTTCCCGACTTTTGAGTCGAGAAACTTTCCGCTGGTTCATCTTCGGCAGATATATGTTCGTCAACAAGTCTGGTTCGTCGCTCCCCAACCGGATCGACTTTATGGTTTCTGGATCCGAACACTACCTCCTATGATAATGTTTGCAAAAGGGTCAAGATTTGCTGTAGCCGACTGTAACCAACCTATCTATAGAACGGAAGTATTGTCAAGGAATGTCTGGAATGATGGAGAGCGGTTTCTCAAACTTGAAACAGGCGAACACGGTACAGCAGGAAGAATATGGTACGAATCGGTAGATAAACATCGATATACTGTGTTCAAGATCGGATTTGATGATGCATTCAATCCTGTCTGCCTCTGTTCAACTCACGGTGTGGAAGGGTCGCTACGGGACCTGCCTGTATCGGATAACAAGTGGCTTCAATACCCCGTGGGAAGGAAAGACGGGTATCTGCAAGGTGATAGGTTCTTGGGACTACGTGAGACTGTGCACCTTGTCACAGTCTCGGTAAGTAAGGAAGTAGTTGGGGGCCAGAGAATGTGGGTCATTGACATTCATCCTGTCTTAACGGACGAAAAGCAGAGCAGATAGGAACTTTAGAGCATGACTTACCAAAACTGCCGGTGGTGATTGTCGATTGACATGCTACCATGTTATTTTACCCAGGCAGATGCAGACGTAGATATCCAATCCTCGCTTCACTCCAACTTCATGACAGTGACATCTCCATACGCCACCTGTGTGCATAATCTATCATTCATCAAGCGAGACAAATTCCGGACCAAGATCTGCGACTTTTATAACTCAACGTCTTGGGGGCGCAGGCTTATTCGTTACGGCGTTGACTATGTCCCGCACTCCGAAGTGAAAAAAATCGATGACATGTTACATTTGACATCGTGATCATCAGGAGTCGACTAACAGACGCGGTAGTACCACTGTTACTGCAACACATAAATATCACATAGGAGAGCAATTTGAGGGAAAGAGCATTTTCGATGTTTGTTTCCAAGACACTCAAACATACAGCAAGACCAATCCTTTTCAACCCATCCGTTCTCATATCGCGCAAAATGGCACAAGCATCTCAGCCGGGAGAGAATTTCGAGGTTCGACAAACGTCTGCAACCGAGGACTGGCATCCAGATGTGAGTAAACACACTGTAAAACTCAATTGACCAACGATTTCGGGGATGGAGCCATTTTTCGGTCAGATTTTGATAGTTTTGGCGACTCGATCACTAATCAAGCCTCAGCAATCTAAGTCCCTTCCTTTGGACAAACCCAGACAGGCACTTGTCGATGACATTATTGCTCTCTACAGTTGTGAACCAACAATTGAAAGAGTCAAGAGATACACCCCAGACTGTATTTATGATGACCAGTTTGTGTACGCCAATGACCGGTAGGCTTCCCGACTCAGTTACCAAGAGAAGAGCTGAAAGTACGTAGATACAAAATGGCTGGGCAATGGTTCGCACTTCCAAAACTGTTCAAAGCCTCCAAAAATGAAGGTTACGAAATTGTTCGCAGTGACGACGAGGTCATTCAATTCAAAAATGAACAGGTGGATCTCACCCCAACGAACTTCGTATCAACCCTGGCCACTTTCTGACATATTGTAGTCTTGGACTTTCAAAATTATTCCCAAGACAGCGACTATCAACGCTTTGGTGACGCTCTCGTTGGATCCAGAGACTGTCCATAGTGACTTCATCCGGGTCAAGTACCACAAAGACCAGGCAAATGACAAAGATTATTCTCATGAAGGACTTGGCTTTACTTTCAAGAAGTGGCAGGCTGATCAGGTAGCGAAGCATATGGATAGTAAAGACGTCGAGGCTTTCGAGGCCGACAAAACTGCAGGTAAGGAGCATGTGAGAAAGTATGGCGATGGGAAGGGAGATGCTCCGGAGAAGAACTTGTAAAAATAAATGCGCCTAAAGAACGACTCCATGGCTTGAATCTACTAAAGGCGTGAGGAATTGGTTATACACAGACCGGCTTTTATTGAGATAGAATTCGTCCATATTTTATGATTGCTGATCCATACTTTTGCTGAGTCCGGTCTTTCCAAACAGCTGGAATTAATCATAATGTAACATTATCCTTAGCATCTTCATTGTTGACTCGTGCAGATCTAGTGAATTAACGTTACCATGGCGGACTTGGGCACCTCCAGGTTTCCATAATGAATCTTAAGAGGATTCTGTTCTCTAAACATCGCTTCTCGGATTGTGTAGTCAGAACTACAATAGTCCATTAGTCCGGTTTGATCGGAAAGATTGCCCGGAACATCACTTGCATTGTCAAACTATTTCATGGTCAAGCCTAAATATTGTCCACCGGTTCACACGCCGATTCTTCGACTAATATCCAATTTTTGACAAAGGTCAAATATAGCCGAATAATATACGAAAATATATACCCGGCATACAATTTTTCATGGATCGTCATTCTGGCGCAAGAGTCTGTTTGAGCGAGTAAACCTCCTTCAGCTCCTCATCAATGGGGTGAAATATAAAGAAAGCAGCGACTCTGAGAAAAATTCAGGGCAATTGAAAAGTATTATGATACACTTGACCATCTTTTAGCCTTTGCCGTTATTCTTGCCTAGCGCAGGTATCTCGAGAACCGAAAGTTCTCGTTGAGACGAGATCAGTCGGGGATGGCTGCTTATCTATTGACAACACCTGAATTGAAGATCAAGGGGAATCATAGGATCTCCCTTAAATATTATTGATAGCAATTGAGTGCTACTTGAGTGTCTCGGTGCCTCGCAGGAGATGTGACTTGTTCGTGAACCCGGCGCGGCACTATACCAGTTGATTTTCCGGACACAGTAGTGGATATAGTTGCAATTGAGATGATGTGTACCTACTCCGCGTTGACTCATAATCTAGCGTACGACTACCATAATACTTCTAGTCTCCCCAAAAGGGTTTCTATTCTCTGGTTGTGGATGAGCTAGTCGCTATCGTCATTTGGCTTCCTTCTGGAAGTGAACTAACGTACGCGAACCACGAAAAGCTGTGAGGATGACAAAATTGGCCAATTATGATCTGGACTAAAGCTAACGATGTGTTCACAAGGCTCACAATTATTCAAAGACGATTTGAAGTCGCACAATGATTATTTCTTCATCCTTGGATACTTCACCTGCTTCCAAAACTCCAACCACAATACTAAGCCACACACAATATGAAGCTGTACACCACAACTTCGAGTTGTCACATATACCAGCGTCTGCAGGCAAGGAACACTTCTCGACTACAGCTCACTCAACAATTCCGATCTTCAAGAAACCACAGACCAACAGATATCGCTCATCAAACATCAGAAAAAAACTCGAACAACCCAGACTACCACAACAAAACACACGAATATCCGAGGATTCAGTCAACATGAGCAAGCGAAACATCATCTCGGTTCAGCAAGCTGAGCTACCAGTAGCGAAGAAGTCCTGTACTACCCAAACATCCCAGAAAGCGGCGAAACTGGACCAAATCAGAATTTCCTCTCATCCCATCAGCTTCTTCGGCAAAACAATCAAGAGAGGTCTCTCATCTGAGCAAGAACAGGCAAGTTTCAAGATACATTACACTTGTCCCAAGGAACAAACAACAGCAACCACCAAGGAGAAAGCCAGTGCAGTCGGACGACAATTCAGTATGGATCAACTCCTCGACCAGTGGTTCGGATCGGATAGGGATAAGAGGAAGTCTCTCCGTTTCACTGGCTTCCGTCCCGTCCAACAACCTGTTGCAAAGAAATACGACACTGGCAGCAACAAAACTACTACTCTGACCAACAACAAAACCACTGCTCTGAACAACAACAAGACCACTACTCTGAACAACAACAAAACCACTACTGTCAGTGACATACCTCGTCCAAAGACGACCAGAAAGAAGACTGTCAAGCAGGCTTTTACCATTTTCGAGGATGACACCGGTACCGAGACTACCAACCCAACACCAGACGACATAAAAAACGACCCAGCATTTCAGAACTTTGGCTCCACAGAACAAATAACCTCATCCACCACTTATATCAGACGCGGCACCAAGACAGTAATGCAGCTGGCTAGCTGGAAATACGCCAGCTACGTTACCGAGTGGTTGAGCCCCCTGACCGCTCACCTGGACGCATTGGGAACAGAGAGCGACTCAGGGTTTGTAGAAAGATTATGTACGTGGAGGGACAGAATAGAGAAGGTGCGAGAATACGGTGTTACTCATCCCAAAGGAGTCCGATACGGGACGTTGCAACACACGCATCACGACAATGAGGAGGAATGGTTCACTGTGGAAGACGTGGAGGAATTAGCGAAAATCATGGAGGACATGCATCAGTTTATAGTGCTTCACCAGCTAGGGGACTTGCTTAAAGAAGGGGCTGTCCTGCAGGTTCATGAGCACTGCAGCAAGACACTTACCATGATCGCGGGGTATTGTCTGACGTTTGGCGGAGGATTGGACGTTGGAGGTCCTATTGAGATGGGCTATCTTGAAGATGGGAGGAGAAATCCGGAGTTCTTTAGACGGCTAGTGGCGGCGTGGTCGAGGATCGTGGAGTTGTATTTGGATGAGGACCTCGAGAACCACTGGAATGGGACGAACGGAATGCATGTTTGGTGGATCAGGAGGTTGAGGAAGAGAATTGGGGGGTTTGGTGTGGACGACTTTATCGATTGGGAGGTGATGGAGAATTTCTGGGGCGATAGTTACCCGCCGTGCGAGCACGTCAGGAGATTTGGAGGAAGAGTTATTGTGGCAAAGGAAGATCCGTACGCAGAGGAGAGGTTTCGGATGGGGATCGATGAGTTCTTTTATGTATAAAGTGGTTGGATTGGGAAATTGCCAGTATGGGGACGAGCTTCGGAGGGTGAAAGTGTTGGGAACAGAAGTGGCTGAAACGCATCGGGATGAATGAATGAGTGAAGGAAATGCCAACCTCAACTGAACATTACTCGTGATGACAATTGCCTTCCATTGAGACTATTCTCATCCCTTCGTAATTTAGCATGCTTTGATTCTTTCCCATGACTCTGGACAGTCATAGGTAGTGGTCGGACCTTGGGTCTCAAAGGGCCCGCTGATTTGCCTCATCATCAGACGATGCTAAGAAGCCTCCCTTAACACGCCTTTTCTTCGGTTCCGTCAGCCAGACTTACAGCTCTCTGTCGTTTGTCTAATCAACCAAGATTTTCTCCTCGAGCTCTCCGAAATTCTCGAAGAAGCTCTCGAACAATCTCACACCGTGCTCGACATCATAAACGCCACCGCACTCACGAATGCTGTGCATGCTCAACTGAGGATTGCCCAAATCCAATGTGCGTACACCCGTAGCAGCGCTAAGCATAGGACCAATTGTACTTCCGCAACTCGAATCGTTTCTTACAACAAATAGCTGCAGAGGAACACCGGAGCTCGTAGTTGAGTCCGCAGAAGGCTTGGCACGGCGAGCGACTTCTTGAAGGAGGACGATGCCTGGAGAGTTGGTGGCATATCTCTGATTCGCATTGATCTTGATGACCGTACCCTTGTTCATCTCTGGACGGTGGTCGGACTCGTATTTGTGGGCATAGTTCGGGTTAACACTATGTGCCATATCGGCAGAGATGAGGAACGATGCAGAAAGGGTCTGCTCATAGGCCGTTGCTAGATCTAATTCTTGCTCCCGGACCTGCTCGTAGGAGTTGTCGGAGACTGAATCATGATTGCCTGGAAGGACCGAGAGACGTCGAAGCACAGCGGGCAGAAGATTCGAGGCTGCTCCATGCGCAGATGTGCTGCCGATCTCTTCGTGATCAAAACATGTCGTTAAGCGAATACAAGACTCATTATCCAGGGCGGAAGGCGACGAGTGACACTCGATGAGACCCTGCACGGCGCAATAGGTCATACCGAGGTTGTCCAGCCTCGCAGAGAAGATCAACTCGTTATTTATACCCCCAATGCATGCCTTCTGTGTATCGTAGAGAACCATCTCGAAATCGACGACATCTTCCACTTCTACGCCTGCATGTTCTGCGATGATCTCTAGGACATATGGGTGATGCCTCTCGCTCATCAACTTCAAGGGCTTAAAGTCCTCAGTATCCTTTGCGTCTTCCTCTGTCTGCTCTTTTTTACCCGTGCGATTCAATTCAGCAGCAACGAGCCCGGCAATAGGAAACAGTTCCGTCTCTTTGTTTGGGTCGAAGTTCGCGGAACGGTCGAGATGGATCGCCAACGTTGGGATTCTTAGGATTGGCCTGTCCACCTTGACCAACTTCTGTACATAGTTGCCCTTTCCATCTCTCACCATCGCCCTGCCAGCAATGGACAAATCTCTGTCAAACCACGTGTGCCAAATGCCTCCCCCATATGTCTCGACTCCCACTTGCATGAATCCAGCACCAGTCTTCTTGCTCACAGGCTTGAGGCGTAGACAAGGTGAATCAGTATGTGCACCGATCATGGCAATAGGATTCCCTGGCTTCCACTTATGTCCGATCGAGAATGCGACAATCGATGATCCGTTTCGAGTGAGGTAGAACTTCCCACCTGGGCGGAGGGTCGACGACCAACTATCGCGTTCTCTGATCTCCGAGAAGCCCGCTGCTTGCAGACGTTTGATGGCAGAGTGTACCGCATGGTAGGCTATCAGACCATTAGTACAATATGGATGCAGGACTCCAGAACAGAGCTCCGAGGAGGGGTATACTTACGGGTGGGGGAAGCGTTGACGAAATCGAGGAAGTCGTTCGCTTTCGCAATAGCTGCAGAGACTTTCTTGGTTGATGACATTTTGACAGGATTCACAGAAGAATATGAGCGTCGAAGGATACTTGGAATCAGAGAAGTGCTCATAAGGAGAAATCAATAGCCAGTAGAGCTTGTGATACTTTGAGGTCGGCCGATGATCCAATGTTGCAAGCTTGTCCCACTTTTTCCCTGATTCGGTCTAGGTCCCAAATTCAGATTGGAGAGGCTGAAGACTTCAGGTTGTGACAGCAGAGCCAAACAAGGCAGCAGAAAATAAGACAGTCAGAAATCTGTCCGAAGTATGAATGTAGGATAGGAGAACGAAAAAGCGTTATACTTGCTCAGTTTTCGACAATCTGCTTTCGCAGGCAGAATTGATGCATCTTCTGTGGTGAGTGAGAAGCTTGAATTGCGGGGATGGAACCACGTCCGTCCGTCAGCTGTGCTTTAACATCAAGACCATAGGTACACTGGCGAGACTGGATACTGGAGCAGTTATGCATATAAAATCAAGCATTGTAGTTATTGGCAATATCCAAAGACAGTTCACTTTTGTTTACAAACGAGTGCCGAAGGACGAGAGAGTTAAAAAGGACACTAGGCTCGATCAGGTACCGGCCTGACTTAAGGTCACACGCTCACCATTGATCAACTGCCAAGTCATAAACATCTATTGAAAATCATCTTCTGTTCTCGTATAATCAGTATTTTCTACAACTCACAGGATCGCCATTCTCTGACGGTTCCTCGAGGCGTGGTGCCGATTGAGCAGCTCCAGCTGTGCTTCGTTTTACTGTCCCTCAGAACCCTTAATGTCGACGGAGGAGTCTCCGCAAGTATGGCGAACAGCTAGAGCTTGCAAGTACAAGCTACGAAAAGGGGCGCTCTTTGGCACGTCTTCTTGATTTTGTCGGCAGATCCGACTTATGAAGCTATAGTTGGATCCAAGAAAGACTCTAGTCACCGGAGCGATCCGAACGACGCGGTTGTCTCGCTATTTCCCGCTGTTCTTTCCGCTGTCTCACCATTGCCATTATCCCCTCTCCCCGACAGGCGATGATCCTTTTTGCTAGTACCATACACGAAAACCGCCGAGAAAGAAGGTTTCATTCCCTCGATCATTGAGGATATATCTTTGAAGATCCCCTAGCAGTAGCTTCGCTTGGAGTTGCACCTTCATGTAGTATCGTTTGTGTTTGCCCTGGATCCTGTCATCTTGACAGTCGACGATCAACTGTCAGCTATCAGCTGTCACCGCGGAGCCACCGAGGTTTATTCGGTATATGTGCGCATAAGATGGAGAAATGGAGACATGTGGTTTGCTTCCTTTCTTGCCTTTTCAATTTCAACTGCCGAGGTCTTTCCACGATTTGGCGTTTCGGTATTGGATTTTAGTCTTGAGAAGTCTCGCAAGCTAGTGAATGGTGAGGCGAACTCTAAAAGCAAGTAGCCAGAAGAGACGGGATGTTTCAGTGCTGCGAGAATGACTACGGAAAATAGTACGGGGGATCACTTTTTATTCCGTAGTTCTCATGCCATCAAGGAGAAAAGGAAGTTGAGCCATCCAGACGAACGGATGTGGCATGGAGGACTGGCATTTAGGGTAATTGCCTTTGCCCATTTGGATGTATCAGTTTCCAACATGCTGTTTAGCCCTGCACTTTTGCTTCCACATTTGGGGAAGTTCTATCTCCTCGGTACCAGTATATGCAAAAGGCCTCGCGTACCAGCGACGTATATTCGGCTGAATTGGGCGCGTTTGACAATTATTTCCCCTGCATGTCTGCGTGCATGACAGATGCAGTAATAAAGACTGGTGTGTTGCATGACAGGAGAAAGGGGACATGTGAAATCTAGAATTCTGTTGTTGGTAAACTGGAAAGAACAACTTCTAGCCATTTTTCTTCTGGAGAGATGACTAAGAGGAGACGATTCATGCATTGATGCCCAGACAGGGCGATCCCTACACCGACCGAGAAGAATCCAGAGCTGGTGCTCACGGATGTTGGCGCATGGTTCGCGATATTTCTTCGGTACGGCTATTTTTGTTCGGATGGCAGAAGTTTGTTTTCCGGAGTTTGGCTTAGCTGTGGGTGGGATCTTCGAATGAGCGTTGTTGGGATGAGGGTTTGAGATGTTGGATCAAAGCAAAAGAATGGAAGTTACAGCTGCCTGTTGAACTCCACCAGTTTCCAGCCTCAATGAAAAAGAAAGGTTAGGAAATGGCTGGATTATATCGTATCCTGGTCATAACACCAGATCTCGGTACTTGGTGTTTTGTGAGACCGCGGAAGTGGATGAGGCTCCTATCTTTGAGCTTGGGCGGTGGTTGGATGAATGATCTGAGTTGTCGTCTGGCTCAAGAGAATAATCAGATCAGATCGTCGGATTTTCTTCAGCATAAAACGAGTTCAAGGAACATCGTGGTTGGTGGTCGATGTGATCGAGGTCAGACGATTTTGGCCGAGCGGAGAGACAATGATAGGGAGGGGCCGGAAGGCTGGGCTTGATCAGATCTTTCGCGTTATGAAAAGCAAAGAAACATCTGAGAGGTCAGATCAACCATCGATTGAATTTCCTTATTTCGGAGGATTATTAGGCGGCACAGACAGCCTGCGCAGTGCTTTGATGTTGGCGGCTGGAACAGAGTCCAGGTAGCTGGATTCGCACAGACTTCGGAATTTTGTTTAGAAGTGTGCAATGGTTCGATTGAGTCGAGAAGGCTGGGGATGTTACAGTACTATATGACGGTTATTATGAATGAGTGATTCAAGTTGCATTTCTGTGATGAGGCAGTGAGCGTTACAGAGGTTGGGCTGTGAAAGCTTCCGCAAGCTGTTTTTCCGATGTCACGATTAGAGTTGGTCTTTTTGGGGCGGAAAGTCAAACGCGGAGGATCCTGCCGAAGGACGTTGAAGTTCTACGAGACGTCCTCGTGTCTCTTGCACTGTTTTGGTGGTGTAATATGTTTGCAACAATGGCGCGGCGCCGCGTCGCCAGTCTCAATGTGTCAATAACACAGCTTCATTATTGCTGAATTGGGACGAACACCTTGGGACGATGGACGCTGAGTCGGCTGGTAAAATGGAATACTGTATGTTCTTCGGTATTCCAGTTGTAAATGCGAGAAGTGGGCAAGATCAGCGTCATATAACTTTTTTCTTAATAAGGTTATATTAACACACACACATTACCAGAACTCGTTATGGATGGCAGCGCGTGACGTACAACAAGAATACCTGGCATCAGGCCACACCCTCTTGAGCTTCGCGCAGCTGCTGGGGAAGTTTTCTCGGTACCAGCGGTCCAACACATTCGATGTTGACCGAGAAAGGTTCCAGAGCTTTCCAACATAATTTATCCAGTCTTGGTGCATGCAGCACCCCGAACCCACTTCATATTGCTCATCCGCGTCTCAATGACAGCATGTTCTTGACCATATCCACACCTGTCCTAAAAAGCCTCACTCAATACGATGATCTTGACCACCAAACCAAGAGAAAGATGGCGAGAGTGTCGCGTTTTGTGAAAGCAGAGCTACTGAGGTGGAGAGGCGTGGAGGTGTGGGGGCCTCCTGATACAGTACGTCCGGTATCCATTATTTACTTGTGCAGCAGGACCTTGGCTAAGCCGTTCAAGAACACATCCACTTTCATTTTCAGTAAGGACTGACTCAAAACTAGAGGACCTATCTGAGACATTATTACTATCGCGATGGGGCTCCCTGACAGCTGCGTATTTAACCTTGGTGCTTGGCCGAAGAGCTTCCTCAAGGACCTCCTTCCAGACCAGGTCATGCCTGCCTTTCATGAAGCCGGGTCTACGTCCTTCAGTGGGGAAGCCGTGGGAGCTTCGACGCCGAGGTTTAGGTGGAGCTTTCCACGATGCCGGGAAAAATGAACAGACTGGAGAGCAGGGAGGGCAGCGACCATCTCTCTCTCTCGTCCCCGTCCCCATCACATCTGCCAAAAGCAAACCCACTTCCAGCCACCAAATGGACGTGCGGATGACAATCATCTTCCCCAGTGTCAAAGAGCGATCGATAAACGCAGTAACAAATGGCCCAAAGTCCAGGCCATCTATGATGCTATGGTAGCATTGATTCGGAGTTCCTGGAGAAAATATGACTGACCCAAACAATTTCGACCTTACCGTGTTTTCATACGGAGGGTATTTCAACGGGTTTCTAGGCCACGCCAGGGGTCGACGTCGCTATTAAAGTGACAGGCAGGGGCATTCTAGGCACTGGCTTGTGATTTGTCAATTCGGTCTTTAAACATCAGCGAGGCTTGTCAATGAGCTAGGTCAGCACTTTCAGTATACCCTGCAAACGACCAGGAGCTTAAACCCCTACCACTTTCACTTCCACCCCAGTGTTTCTTACTGCAGCTGCACCCAAGCTTCATTTGTGATGTGATTGATGATCTCCAATCTTCTGTGCGCCGCGGAGGAGTCCGACCCTTGCTCTCTACCTTCGCGGCCACAGAAATCACTGCTCTAGCTGACGAGGCGTCGAATGCTACTGCATACTTGCGTACAGTACTTGCATGCATGCATAATTCTACATGCGGCCAACCTGCAGATGGAAACCTCTGGTCCGTCTTGACGGGTACAGACGAGAGAGCAAGGACACATATGGCGATTCAAGAAAAGTACCAAGAAGGGACGACAGCGGGACAACTTTGACTTGCAGATGCACAATTCTCATTGGTGGGGGAGCCTTGTTTGGCACCTTTTCGTCGGGCATTGTGAGCTCATTGTTATCTTGATCAACTTTGCAGCTGCTGGATTGGTCAAGTAGCCTGGAACTCTCATGCGAAGCTGCGTGATTGTCCAATCTCAAGAACCGGAAGATGAGGTCTCGAAGCGGAAGTTCACAAGAGCCAGACGTATCTATCCAGAATGGGACATTATTGCTCATCGTCCATTCAGAGACGTTTCCACGGAGCCAAGATGTCGATGGATGCAACGAGCGAGTAATACCGTAGGATTCTGTTCCACGCCCTGTTACAATTTTGAGGATTCTCCTAGGGAGCTCCCGTCCGTCCCAGTGTTAGAAAAGGGAAGGGCATGAAGGAATAAATAATGACAGCTCGCATTTCTCACACGTTGTTCGTGTCCCATAGGCGCCAAAAGGATCTAAAGAGGGCGATGACAGTATCATGGGGAGCATGCTTGCCTACAGTACACGAGGGAACAAAGGCGTGTGTGCCTAGGTAATTTACGATCATTGATTCGCTCTCGTGTCTGCTTCTTCCCATCTGGCACCTCTCTGCCACTCGCCGTCATGTCTCCCAAATATCTTTCAAATAATCTCTCCTTTCGCTGCGGGCCGCCATTATTGAAGCAGCTTCTGCAGCTAGAGAATGCGGCTTTTTCGAACACGGCAAGGACGGGAGAACGGTTCTTGCGAAACCGAGCGACCACGCTGGTGTGGTGACAGGTGGTAATACTGCACCAACCACCTGCCAGTCTGCTCCAGGGGTTCACGTTAAGCGCGAGTAGGTACCGAAGCCGTGGGAAGACGGCGCAGTTTTGGGCGAGACATGCAGTTGAGGTTGATTCTGTTAACGGGGCCAAGAGAGCGACCGCGTAGGCAGGTCTGCATTTGTGGGCTGGGCTGTGGCAGTTGGGTACGGTGCAGCAGTAGCTTGTAACATTTGTCAGGATTTGCAGCCGGCCGTGGACGCTGTGCCCATTCTTCTTCTTTGCTGCTGTCAGGCACACCGCTAGAGAGGGAAGCCTTAACTTATCATCCGGGTGTGGATAGCTTCAATGCGCTCACGCAAGGCACAGGCCTCACAGACGCCTGTGGAGCAGTAAGTTATCCAGTGCAGCCCTTCTGCAGGAGGTTGGATTCTCTGTAGTCGTCCGGCATTGGGACGGGTGTTGGGTAGGAAGCTGATACACAGGGAGAAGGGAGACAAAATCGCGAAGCTAGCAAGAACTTCTGAGAAGGGGATCGGTTGCGAGGCCATCGAACGTGAGAGACTGAGCGAGGGCTAATATTTGGTGTTTTCGCTTTGCCAGGGGGCAAGCGAAAGGTAGTATTTGGCTCCCACAGGGCACAGGGTAACGTAGGGGCAGTTCAGCCTTTATCATGAAGTATCTCGGTGATTCGGGACGGGTAAGGTACAGTAAATTTACATACAGGACACGCTCTTCCTCCAACAAAAGCCATGCCATATCGAACTCGGCAGCGCCTCACAGGTGCTTGCGTTGCTTTCTTTGTCTTCTCCCTTTTCTCGTCGAGGTCACACTGTTTCTGTCTGTCTCCCTCCTGCCTGTACGGATCTCCAGTAGAATTATCCCGAACCTTAGTCGCGAGATATAAGACTCGAGAGTTCAGAAAAACCCTTATCGTGACGGGTTGGAGAGCCGTTGCGTTGCACCCATGATCCATCAACGAGAGATACGTCAACTGAATTGAAAGTCAGTGCAACCAAAGTCTCCGAGTGAGACATTTCACAAGCAGCAGCGGCTGGCGTTGTCTTAAGTGCAAAATGGGGGAGGCAGAGAAGCATGGATAGATGGGGGATGAGCGAGGGGATGAGGCCGAGAGTGCTCCTCGGCCTTCCTTCATAGACGGGAGTGATTGACGATGGGCCTTGAATGATATGCCCTCTCCCTCGCTCTCTGAGTCTCTGCATGTGCAGTTTTGTGCAGGTCCAACACCAGTGAAAATGTGATGTCCCTCCTCCTCTGCCCCGTGAGTTTCTTCTGGATGCCACAACGAATCGATGTCGTTGCAAGTCCATCCCAAGTACCCAGCCAGACATGGGCGAGATATGCCCTCAGGGGTAAATCCGGACCTTGCATGCCCGCATGCCCGGGCTCTAGTTGAAATCCACTCAAGGGCTCACGCAGCCAACCACCGCAGCTGTTGTCTCGTTTCACAACAAATCACAACGGCTCGCTAAGGGACTGGCCCCTAGACGTTTCTTGATTAAGGTAATTATGCTCAAGTTTCCTCTATTATTATTGCACCAAACACCCCTCCATGTAGTGAGGTCCTACTGTACAGTACTGTACAAATCCACTCTGACTTCGCCGGCGCCAGTAGTCCCTTGAGAGGGAAGCACATCCCGCTCAGGAAGACATGGATGGGTTTGGTTCGCCAGCCCCGGCGTCGACGTCGCCCTAGGTCTTTCGACCCCCGGCTGCTCCTCCCCTGCCTCTCTGCCCGTCCTCTTCCTCTTCCTCTTCCTCTGGCCCTCAGGGCCGAAAGCACCAGATCCACTTCCCTGCAATCCCTGCAGTCCCTGGCCCCAGAAGGTCCCCCCAGGTCTTGGTATTCTTCAAGGACCAGGGCCAGTTACAGTAGAGGAATCCGGAAGGCAGGCAGCTCCTGGCTTGTGCTGGCCCGCACAGGGCCAACTGGGATCAGTGCCTTCATTAGCCAATCCTTCCAGAAATAATGTCGTCCCTACTCCGTACTGTTCCTGACGGCCAGAAATCAATGTGACATTGAGATATCCTCATATCAGTCAGTCACTTGCAGCCGCCCAATCTTGCGCGGAAATTCGTTTACAAGCATATCTTATACATTGTCTTGTCAATCTTGTCATTCTTTGGTCCCTTCAGCCTCTTCTGCATGTCGATGGCCAGCGAGAAGCAGCTCTGTTCGCGAGAGGTTCCTGCTTCCGTCCTTGCATGAAAGAGGGCTTACTCCAATCTGCGTCGTCAAGGAGAGCTCCCTTCACTGCTGCAGCCCCTTCACAGCAGGACGTTTCTCGCATCTCACCTCACCAGCACTTTTCAGTCTGCTCCCATTGGTTTCGTCTACGCACTGCATTCTCCTTTATAGCATGTTGTATTGAAACTATCTCTCCCTACTCAGGTACGAGAACTTTCATTCCTTACTCTGTCCTGTGCTATATCAGACTTCCTGCGCTTGAACTGGTGCCAAACGAACACCGCATCTCTTGTGCTTCTTCTTCCCTGCCCCATTCGGACACGATCATCCCTGTGGGTATACCACGGGAAATCAATTTCCTTAACATCGCCCTTCGATCACATCCATGTTATAGCACGATTGTTATAGGGCCCGCATACTAAGAACCCCCAGCCAGAACGCCATCTTGCACAAGAGCAGAAAGATATCAACCCGTGCCGCCGTCTGGCTCGTCAATCGAATGTGGAACGACCTTGACAAAAAGTTTTAAAATATATCCTAAGCATTGTGTTCGAAAACAGTTGCAAGGCTGTCCATACTTCTCGTGTTTCTTGCAGCCGACACGCGACTGGAATATCCAACACGCTTCTTCCGACATATTGGTTGGGTTCCCCGGTTCTCATCAATTCTTTAAATATACCTCTCCACCGGGATCCAATTATTCGCATTTGACTTCGCCAGTTGTCGCTCCTGCAATCTACCCGATTAACAAGATGTTCACGTTTGGAGGTGGGAAGGCTCCTTACCCCACTGTCTACACCGTCACCTCACCAAAGAAGTCATCTAAGAAAGACACTCCTCCCTCGTCTCCCCAAAAGGAAACTCCTTCGTCCCCGGACTCTCTTGAACCAGCAATCGATGGACCTCCATCTCCCGAACGTATACGAGCCTATACCGAGCAGATGAAGAGGAGTTCATTGTTCGGTAACAATTCCAGGACAAATACACTTTCCTCTGGTGCCTCTTCCTCCCGTTCTCGCGAATCGACAATTGCCTCAACGGATAATGTGAGCTTGTCTCGACGGTCATCTAGTCGATCCACCGCCAGCAGTATGCTTCGCCATGACAGACCGGAAAGTGTTCAGATATTCGGATCGCTGTTTTCTCGAAGCGCGAGAAGGACAAAAAGGGATACACACAATCTCGGCCTCCGCACCTCATCTTCACTTGGTCTAGATGAGATGGTAGTCGAGGAGGGCTCCGCGAAAGAACATTACTACGGAAAGAAGAGCAATTCACGACGTCGTCATTTTATCTCTGGCCCATACAACTTCCAGCATGTAACTCACACACGGCAAGACCATCTTCCTGACCTTGGACGAACGAGCCGGACCGAACTTGTATCGGAGTTCTCAGCTATTCGAGCATCCCAAGCCCCAACACATGGTGAGTTGAAGGGAATCAGGGCTGATGACTTGCATTTTGAGAACTTCTCTTCTGAAGCTCTGAGCGTTCTGCCAAGCGAAGACGCTCCTCCAGCAACTTCTCCCCAGACGAGCCCCCAACGCCGGGTGCTTCGCAAGTCTGTTCAACCACCCCAATTGCCTTCTCAACGAGCAATGGGATACACCAAATCACATGACAATCTGAGAATAGCACCACCTCGACCACCCCGCTCGCCACTGTCACCGCCGTGTCCACTGGCACTTCCAGCAAGGACCTCCTCCCGCACAGCTTCTGTGCTTTTCGATACCTTTGATCCTCTCGCCACAACGACGATTACGAGACCTCATACAAATGCAGGATTCCGCAAGCCAGCTCCTTTCATTCTTCTTCCTTCGCCGCCACCAACTTTGGATGAACAGCAAGACGGAGGCGCGCACGCAGTAACAACACCAGGCGATGAGGCATGGCCATTGACAGGATCATTATCTGGAAATTTTGGTAATGAACTAGCAGATGTTCAGGAGGAGGAGGAAGATGTTATGTCAAGGAGGTCGTCGCGAATGTCAACTGCTAGCGCCGAGCTGAGAATGTCTCAGTCCGTGCCAGCGCTTCGACTCAAGTCACAGGCACAGGTTGATAGGTCCGAGGCCCGCATGTCCACGACATTGGGGCAACCACTGACCGCAGCTGCATTCTCGGCCCCCAAGCAAATACCAACACCAAGCGGCTTCCAAGTCAATGACTCGTGGGAATCCGATATCGACTGGTGTTATGAAAATGGAGAGGAAAGCTGTGATTATAACTATTGCTCTGAGGAAGGTGATACTCCTACACAGACACCTGCAACAGTCGTCCAAGAACCGCTTCACTTGAGCCTGCAGACCGAAGAACGTACTTATCGTGGACGATTCCGACCTTCCCTTTTGGTGTCGTCGTCCTTCGATGCGCCTGAGCTATCGCCAAGATCGATCAACTCTACGCCTTCATCCGATCCCAGAACACCAGCGAACTTCTTACGTCCAAGTCATATCCGATCTCCCTCGCATGCCTCGTCCTTCAAGGAGTCTCATGGCTTCCACCTCTCACCAACCCTTCTCATTCCTGCTGATTTCCAGTCACAGATGGAGCAAGATGCTCTCTACACCGAGCACTACTCCAACGACTCGTCAAATGGTGCAATTTTCATGCAGGACTCTTACGTCCATGCCATCTCTCCTGTCGACGAAGGCGAGTCAAGCACTTCTTCATACCGCTCATCTGATTTCTCCCGTCGATCTGCGCGCAGCTCATCGAGCACACGTGCGTCTGGCACATCGAGAGGAAGTCAGGATTCGATGATGTTGCTTCGCCGCTCATCGAGCATGAGCCATGCCCATCATAGCATTGGGTCTAATTCCTCTCTTCCAGACCTTGTTCCTTCAACACTGCGTCAGATTGATCATGATTTGTCTACAAGCATCTCTGCTTTGTCGGTCTCAGATGAAGTTGTTGACTCTGCTCCTTCTCCAGAAATCGGAGGCCCACACCCTGCTCTTGCTTCGATGCAACATCGACGCAACAAGTCTCTGGTGCTCGAGAGAGATCTCCGAAACGGCGAGACTCAATTGGTTCCTTCCAGTTCCGCAGAGCAGAAAAAGGATCTCATTGATGTGGTGGGCAGCCTCAGCCCAGTTGCAGAGGCGTTTCCACACGTACCAGCCGAGGGCAAGGCACCAGTACACGGACGAAAGATCTCAGCACCCGAGGCAGTTGCACCCCTCCGAGAATTCAAAGGAAGAGCTCGAGCCTCAACTGTCGGGGGAAAGCGAAGGGGAAGCTACATGCTGTTCCCCCAAATATAAGCAGCCACATATCTAAGGCTATGAACCGCGCCAAATATTGCGCGACTCATGGTGTAACGTGGGCACCAACTGCGAACCCAGAACATGGCTGAGTTTGCGACGATTGAAATGTTTGATATGATTTTATGTATTCCCTTGTTATCGTTTCTTCATTTTTGTACACACTTGTGTCAATTATATCGGGCTGGCTTTTGGAGTGTATCAGAAAGGACGGCCATCAAGCTAGCTGGGTCAAGCTTGCGGGAAAGAGAAAAGCAGCATTGCGTTTAGGATTTCGGAGACTGATCGTCCTGTACCACTATTGTCGACTTTCTTTGATCGACCTTTCTGTTTCGGACAATGTTTCCTGGGTATCTCATTTGTTATTAATCTCATTTGTTGGAGAGGGAGGAGCATTGTATGGTATGGATCTGGGCATTCATTTGGGCAGGACCTGGGCCTGGATAGGACCGACTTGTGGAAAAGGGAATGATGGGAGCGAACACGATACAGATGGAATCTGAGTGGGACAGGAGCAAGCAGAGCAGAGAGATCACAGACACAAAGGCTTGTTGATTGGCTTGCTGGTATGGAAGCGGGTACTTGGGAAGGTGACGAACGAGATGACATTTTATACCTCTTACCGAGAGAGGCAGGTTGAGATGCTCACCCGATCATGGGAGCAACCTTTGTAGAGGAGCTACTAGTGTGATGGGAGGGGTAGAGATTGAGGAAAGGATACTGTACAACTCTTGTGCTGCATTGGAGGAGCCTGTTGTTACCATGAATAGAACATGGATGGACAACGAACAGTAGACATTCTACCCCCTTTTAGGGGCCTCTTTAGGCGGGACTGGAAAAATGAAAAACCATCAAAACCACAGCTGGTCCCATCTCTTTCTGATTCGCACCTGAGTTGAAAGTACCAATGTACGCCTTCCTTTGCTCCCGATGTCTCACTACCCCAACCGAAGAAGCCACCCCAAGAATTGCTTTCATTTACAATCCTCTTCCAGAGATCACACCTCAGGTCCTTCCACCCTAGAAAGACAGCTTTCCAAACATCCGAGACACAAAACGTTGAAGATAGACTCTGAAACACTGGTCCTCCTCCTGCATTCCATATCGTGGCCCGTTCTATCTTGTCCAAATCACGAATATAGCCAACCATTCCTCAACTTGAAGCCGCACATGATGTTTAGCAAGGTTAACACTGCTGGCCTCGGAAGCCTCATTTGACGTCTTCAGTGAGGTATATTCTATGCATTCTCTAACAATCTACAATGCCCCGATCTTGAATCCCTTTCATGTCGTGTAACGTGTAAAGTTGCCTCTCTAATGTATCCCTGGGCCCAGGGACCACTCTCAGCCCTGCAGCTCCTTCAACCCTAAAGACAAGCTTGAATCCTGCATAGACAGACACCATACATATTACTTCTTGTCCCGATCTCAATCTTCGGTCTCAGTCCTGAAATAACCGCCAGTCAGTCCCACGTGCAGCTCAGTGGCCAAAATGCAACCCCCCCATGGTCTCTCCTATCCCACGTGTTCCCCAAGTCCCAAACATGCTTCATCCAGCCCTACTAGAAAGAACCACCTTTTCCCATCCGATACCAAGACCGCGGGTTGTTATCAGAGCCGTGGGGGTGTTATCCCTTCCAACTATACAGTACCCGTGTGTACAGCTTCACACGTTTCGCTTCAGCAACACGGCAAGAGACTGTATGCAAGGCAAGCGGATGTAACCTAACACAGCACACGCTGTTAGAAATCAATCTCCAACTCGATCTCAGTCTCAGTCTCGCCCCATTCGTTCAGTTACGCAACCACACACCCTCCACTTCAACGTCGTGAACAAACCAATTATGTCCTTCAGTTCGTGATTCTCCAAAACGTCATCGAGTGCCATCATGGAATATGGAAATGCCACGAGGAGATGACTGTAACACAAACAATATCCGTACCGTCCATGCACAACTTGCCAGCATACAAACTACATGCCGATATACATACATTATGCGTCAGCTGCATCAAAGTCAGCCCACCAAGCCTCATCTAACACTGACTGCATCGGACAAGGAGCTCAATAGGCCATCCATACCGACCCTGCGCATAGGCTACTACTTCCACTTCCACTTCCAGTTCCATGTGCCAGCGTGCGCGTGCGTGTATGTACGGAGGGTTCTCTATGCTTAAGTGTGTGTTTATTTTGTGTCCTGGTAGGCTGGTAGATGTTCGTTCCAGGAACCCGGTCCGCATATGTAATAGCAGGTCTATATCACACACGGGCCGGGCTCTCCTCATTCCGCTTGGAAGGAAAAACAAAGATACTTTCTCTACCCCAGAAGCAATTACCGCATCTGCATACATACATCTTAGGGTTACAGCACCAGGTTGCGGCACAGCTGCCGACTGTCAGAAAAGAGAAGGAGTCCAGATCGGAAACCACGCAAGCACCGCCCTGCCCTGTCAGATCGATAAAAAGCAAGTGCAGTCCCGGAAAACACCCCATCAACAATGTTACACGATGTCCACCAACAATCTCACATGCACATGCCATGTCATGTAGTACTGCAACTGTCCTGTAAGCGAGGGGGAGCATCGGTTGGTATCAGAATTGAGGTGATATTGAAGTCCTGTTAAGATGTGACCTATCCCCAGATTTTCCCAAACCCGCTCGATCTCCATATACTTTTACAACAAAAACATACATGCCCCGGCCCATCCCCCAATGATCTACATCGCCATTGAAACGAGACAATGCGACGTAACGCAACCCAAGTCAAAGCTCGGTTGCGCAAGGAGGGGGGGAATAATAAGATCACTTCTTGCATTCTTGTCATTGCCAACATACTGGGACGCTGTCATCAATGCTCTGGTCTGGTCCCCTCAATTTCCAACAGTCATCGCAGCGTGACATCCGAGATCTCGTTCTCGCAACTTCATTCGTCTCCGGAGACTTCGAAGAGGTAAGTAGGGAGGCTATCTACTCGTCATCTGAGTCCGCCATTGGTGTATCGGCACCGTTCGCCGTTGCTGGCGAGTCTTCCTTTGACGCATTAGCTTCAGGAGCAGGAGCAGCGTCCTCATCTTCGTCCTCATCATCCGAATCGATCATTGCTCGTCGACTTTTGCGTTTGGAGGCTGCAGGAGCGGAAATAGTCTCGTCATCACTTCCTGCATCGACGTCCATTCCGTTGGTTTCGTCCTCAACATCGTTGTCCATTTCCCGTGCCGCAGCGGCGGCACCATCATCACCGTCGCTGTCACTCTCCACCACAATCTCGCTACTCTTGTACTTGTTTGGCTTCTCTTGTGCCTTCTTCGCCAATCGTCTCTTCTTTGGCTTGGGCTTCTCCTCGTCACTGTCTCCGCCACTTCTTTGGCGGTTCCGTCTTCGGGGTTCAGCTCCGCTCTCCTCGTCATCTGTGATCCCATCCTCGTTCTTCTTCTTTCGCTTGCCACCAGCGCCACCAGTACGAGGCTTCTTCTTGCGCTTGACCTTATCACCCGTCTCGCTGTCAGTAGTGAGCTCTGCAGCTTCTCTAGCTCGTTCTTCCTCGTGGCGGGCTTCGGCCAGCTCTCGGTCTCTTTCGAGGATCTTCTGTCTCTCCTCGCCAATCTTGAGTTTGCGTGCACGTTCGGCCTCTTCGGCGGCAATTCGGGCGTCTTCGCGTTTCTTGAGCTCGATTTCTCGGGCCTGCTTCGAAGCGAGAAGTTTCTCGGCGTTTTTCTCTTCGTACTCCTTCTGGGCCTGGATCGCACGCTCTAACTGCTTGCGCTGGGTGTTTCGTGCCATGTTAGCTCGCTGCTCGATGTCGTGTTTTGGGTAAGGTGTTGCTGGATGCAGAGCAATTGCGTCTAGAGACTCAATGGCTTCCTCGAGCCCATCAGCCGCCGCCTGAACCTCAGCTAATGTTCTTTGTATTTCACCGAGACCGTAGACAGTTTGAGCAAGCTGAATCTGCACAAATGCAACATTGAACTTGTAGTGTATTTGATCAGGGGCAATTGCCAGAGCCTAGGTTCCGTCAGTGTGAAATCCAACAGGAAAGAAATGAAGTACCTACCTTCTGAGAGTAATCCAAAGCATTTCGGAATGCCTGTGAACTCTTCTCTGCCTTGCCCTTCAACAACCACGTTCGACCCAAGCAAGCCAGGATCAGCGCATCATGCGAGCGGTCCTTTGACAGTGCAAGCTCGTAATGCTCGATGGCCTTGGAGTATTGTCGCAGTTCCGCAAATATGTGCCCAAGGTTTACATATACGCTTGGATCCTTGACCGTATCTCTGACTTTGATGAAAATCGTCAAGGCAGTCTTGTAGTCTTTCTTGTCTTCCACCAAAGCAATAGCAATACCTTGAGCAGCATACGCATTCTGAGGGTCCAGTTGCAATGCCTTATCAAAGAACTCGACTGCCTTCGTGTACATGTTGCTTCGCTTCTGCTGCTCTTGGTCTGTTTCACGGCGCATTTCACGCGCGCTCGCAAGGTAGAGGTTGCCCATACCGATCAGAGCATATCGATCGTGCTTCTCATATTGCTGCAAGGTATGCTTGTAATGGCGAAGCTCGGGATCCTCAGAAATGTGGCCCTTCTTCTTGTTGTGGACCTTTCCAAGGAACCAACCATACAAGGCTCGTACTTCGAGATCTGCAGAAGAATCTTGGAAGAGTTTGGTGATAGCCTTTGGACCATCATCTGTTGGGTTTTGTCGAAGAGAAATGTACGCAAGTCGAGTTCTCGCATCAGTGTAGTCGCTGTGGCGGGTGAGCAACCCCTCGTAGACTGTGTTGGCTTCGTCTAGGAGTCCACTGGCCTCGTAAGTTCGGCCCAGATTGTAGCTGATTGTTGTTACAAGAGCATCTGTGTCCATCTCTTCCTGTTTCTCTCCGACCTTGATGCAAGCGCTCAGGGCAACCTGGAACATGTCTCGAGCCTGCTCGTACTTCTCCGCTTGATAGTAGAAACAACCAATATTGTTGAGAAGCTGAGGCGGTAGACCTTCTCGAAAATTGAGCTTAAAACTAGCTTCCTCTTCCGGATCCTTGGGCTTTTCGTCGTCAGGAATCTGGTCAAACTCGAGTTGCTCGACTTGCTGCAGGCATTGTAAACTCTTCTCGGGCTGGTCAGTCTCGTAAAGGCGGGCCAAATTTAGAAGTACAGATGCGTCTGGGACCAGATTCTTCTTCGAGTCCTTCCAGGCGGTCCGTACGCTCTCCAGGTATCCAACAGCCTTTTTGAATTCTGTTGACTTCTCCTCCTTGGCTCCTGTTGGCTGGCTGTGAAATACCTCTTCGGCATACAACGTTCCCAGTAGAATCATAGCTTCGACGTTCTTCGACTGTTGAATTATTTTCTCCAGTCTCAGCTTCGCCTCTCCAAAGTCGCTCTTCAACACAGACAGCTGAGCTGCGCCAAACTTTGCAGGCAGGTATCCACGGTCCGCTCCACCTCTAGCCTCATCGGCTCTTCGGTAGTAGTCTGCAGCTCGCTCATAATCGTCTTCATAGTGCTCCTTTCGGGCCAAAAGATACCATCCGTCACTTGCAATAGCATTGACGTCTGTGTACTGGATAGCCTTGTGGGCAAGAGTGTCAACATTTGGGAGGGATTTTCTTGACAAAAAGTACCCAGCAAATGTCGCACAAGTCAAGGGAAGGTCCTTGTCCGCCTTAAATGCCTTTTGTGTATATTCCGTCATCGCTCGCTTGTATAGCTTGATGAATTCTGGTCCGTTTGTCGGTACGCTGGAGCTCGAGTCAAGGTAGAAGAGGCCAAGGAGGATATTCGCAATCTTTGAATCTGGGTTGATTTCCAGGGCACGTTCCCAAGCTATTTTCGCATCCTCCTTGAATCCCAACATCCAGAAACAACAGCCAATTCCAATACGGGGATCTGGATCTACCAGATCTGGCATCCTGTGAAGAGCATCTTGATATCCTTCTAGCGCCTCTGCATATTTTCCTAATGAGAACAATGCCCTAGCTTTCCCTAGCTGTGCCAGCATATTCCTCTTTCCGGACACTCGAAGGGCATCTTCGAATGACTTGAGTGATGCTCGTAGAATATCGGCCTTGTCTTGATCTAAGGCGCCAGGTGCCGAGGACTTCGACGGAGGCTGTAAAGAAGCTTTGAGGAGCTGGAGGACACCGGATGCCAGGAAAAGAGGTGGGAACCCGGGGTTGATTCGTAGCGCCTCATTGAGAGTTGATGTCGAGAGCTGCAAATAGTATTCTTTCGTCTTGGCCTCCGAAACCAATGCGCCTTCGGGGGCAACTCTGGGAGCTTCTCTGCTCTTCCACAAATACATCCAACACAAACAAGTGAGCATACTGAGTTTCTCTTTCGGGCCACCCTTCATGGCTTGCCCGCCCTTGATCAGCATCTCGATGGCATGGTCGACTTTCTTCTGTTTCGCATATGCCAGAGAGACCGTCATCCAATATGTTCGTGCAGCGCCTTCATTCTCCAGCAGTGTACACAGTTCGGTCGGATCGTCTAGAAGAACTTCGAGATCAACTTCGACAGCTTGGTCATCGTCTTCGCCCTGGACTGGAATATCGATCGCTGAAGGGATGTCCGAGAACCGTTTGCTCATCACCCTATGTCCAGGAGAAATAGGAGTATGCCCATTTGCTCCACCATTTGAGACTCCATTCTCAACTGCCGCCATGGTAGATGGAGGTTATGATGCGACTTCGTGGAGATGGCCAGATGTGTTGTCTTGAGCTCGAGCGCGTCGTGGCGCAAACGCTTACGAGTGAGAAAGGGGTGTGGCTAAGGGACGTGGGACATCTGTTCAGAACAAAAGACTGGCCAGCAATGAAATTTGTTTGTTTTCGAGAATCCTCGGAGGATTGTGGTTGAGTGTATTGTGCTCGTGAGGCTGTAAGAAATTTAGTGTCCAAAGGTCGCGCTCCCATGTTCAGCCTCGAGCTAAGCCTATTTGAATTCAGCAACACCAACTCACCCATCACCATGCTTAATGACCAAGAAAGTGAATTTTCAAACACAGCAAAACGAAAAGCAAATTTAGCTGGGAAGTGACTTGTACAGCATGGATCTTTCTCTATTTGTGGTCTCAATCACAAGGGGTTATTATGTGAGCCTTGATGAAAAGGGAGTTGGCACCTTTGAAGAACCCTGTGATCATCTCAACAGCACCTTGTAGTTGATTGCGTATCAAAATTTGAAAATGAAGCCATCCAGTATATTACTTAAGGTACTACAAGTCATACATATTCATTGTCTCTCTACAATACAGTCTAGGCGATCTCAGCCCAAAAGCAAGTCTCCGGAGCCCCGTTGTAAGAGATTTAGTGATCTCCAAGATTTTTCGCCTGTGTAACGCCAATTCTTATCCACTCCATACCAGCAACACCAAATATGCAAACTCCGCCTCCCAAGCAATCAGCTCGCTATCGTATTCCACCAACCAGTTCATGATCAACCATTGTTCTACTTACTCATCATCGCTTTGGCGACCACTGCTCCCACCGTTCGCAATAGCACTTGCGTTAAACACAAGCTTGATTTTGCCATTGGATGCACCTGGGACAGGAGTGCCCGCATTAGTCGTGGGAGCAGTTGAACCGCCATTTGGTGAAGAATCGTCCCCGTCGCCAAGCTCAGGGTGCTCCTTAATCTCATCTTGAATCATAGACTCGAAGGCATCCTGGTTAAGATTAGCACTCTGTATGATTTTCGAAATCAAGAAAATGGACTTACTTGGATCTTGACAGCGTCAATACAAATAGCGCTGGCTTCCTCATTGTATGTCTTCGCGTTGCTGACCATCAAGCGAACATCCTTCAGCAAATCGCCGAGGCTTGAATACTCTTCCTTATTGATCTTTTTCTCCATGGTCTTCAGGGCAATGGGCTCCTTGATGATGCCATAGTAGTCTGGGAACGCCTTCTTCGATGGCAGGGATACAAAAGGACCAACGAGAACATATGGACCCTTATTCTCATCGGCGGGTCCTTCTTCATCGCTATCATCAGAATCGGAAACCACGACAGTGATGTTCATGACGGCATCGTAAACTTTGCGCAGGCTAGTTTGGAGAGTGCTTCGGTGCTTAGGAGTCATGCTATCAGCATTCGAAGCACCTCCCTTGGAAGGTCGACCTGTTGGGCCACGCTTCCGCTTGGCAGGTGGCTCATCATCAAGTTCATCTGCCTTCCGCTTCTCAACCTTTCCAGGCTTCCGACCACGGCCCTTCTTTGGTGTTGGCTCAGGCTCAGGTTCTTCGGTGCTGTCACGACTTCCGGCAGGGGAGTTCTCAATGGAGCCAGGCAGTTCGCCTGCTCGCTTGAGTCGATTGTTCTCGCGACGCTCCTTGCGAGCTTGCTTCCGTGCGGCAGCGGCTTCTGGGGTATCCTCATCATCATCAACGGCTTGTAGCCACTGCTCCTCAGTGAGGCCATCATCGTACTTGACGCGAGTCCGCTCACGAGCACCACGACCCTTGATCTCCTCTGGCTCATCCGATATTGGGTTGCCGTCAGACATGTAAATTTCGGGAAGTTCGCTCTCAGCCATCAGACGCGGGACGCGCTTACTTCCAGGGCCTATACCGTAGGTCATATCCTTGGCTCGCTCCTTGTCCATTTCATCGAAGATAATTTTCTCGTTCTCACTACGGGCAAGGATCTCGTTGAGCTCCTCATCGTCCATCTCTTCTTGTTCCAGAGTCTCGGCAGCTTCGGCAGTCTCCAGCATGACACGGAGCATAGCGTCACGATCAGTCTCAGAAGACTTGTTGTCGAAACGACCAGCCTGAATAACCTTACCATCCATGTCAAGCTTGAATTTGGCACGCTCCAAAATCTTCTCCTCGACCGAATTTGAGCTAATAAGTCTCAAAATTCGGACCTCGTTCTTTTGGCCAATACGATGAGCACGATCTTGGGCCTGGAGATCCTGATGAGGATTCCAATCAGAATCGTAGATGATGACAGTATCGGCTGTCTGCAGATTCAGACCCAGACCACCAGCACGAGTAGAGAGCAAGAACATGAAGTAAGGTGAATCAGGCGCGTTGAACTCGCGGAGGAGATCTGAACGATCATCAGACTTCGTGGTACCGTCCAATCGCATGAACATGATGCCTCTATATCTCAGATAATCTTCCATAATGTCCATGATGGCTGTCATTTGGAAGAACATGAGGACTCTGTGACCTGTAGCCTGGTATTTGGGAAGGATACGATCGAGAAGCTCGAATTTACCAGAAGTCCTCCACAAGAGATCATTGCTGGTGTTTAGAGGATTCATCTGATTTTCGACCTCGTCGAAGACAAAAGGATGGTTGCAAAGCTTTCGGAGCTGCATGATCATGTTGCTGAGACCTCTTGCACCAGTTTTTCCACCCTTGCCATCACTTACAACAAGTTTGTTGTGGGTGACCATCTGCTTGTAAAGACGAGATTGCAACGATGAGAACTTGCACTTGATGACTTTCTCGGTCTTGTCGGGAAGATCCTTCTCGACGTCTTTCTTCAGACGACGGAGCAAGAACGGGCGCAAAACTTTGTGAAGACGACGAATGACAAGAATTTGTTCTTCTTCAGTAAGTTCCATCTTGTCCTGGCCACCAGTATTTGCGAACGGGGTGTTGAACCATTCATCAAAGGACTTGACGGACTTGAAAATGGTCGGGAGGACAAAATTGAGAAGAGCCCACAACTCGGGGAGATTGTTCTGCAGCGGTGTACCAGTGAGAATGAGACGGTATCTTGTGTTGTAGTATTGTGTCAAGGTGGCGCTCAACTTTGAGGAAGAATTCTTCATACGGTGACCTTCGTCAATGATCATATGAATCCACTTAATCTTGCTCAAAATAGGTCTGTCCTTGATGATGTACTCATAGGTCGTCAGGAGAACCTGGAAATTGCCGTACCGAATTTGTTGCTGCTGTTGCTTTCGAGTGGCGGGAGGACCTTTGTAGACCACCTTTGCGAGGGAGGGAGCCCACTTCTCAAATTCGAGATTCCAATTGGTCAAGGTACTGAGAGGTACAATGACAAGGAAAGGACCATTTTGCTTCTTCTTCTCAACAAGATAGGTGAGCAAACTGATCGTTTGAATAGTCTTTCCGAGACCCATCTCGTCAGCAAGGATGCCGTTAAGGTTGTTGTTGTACAGAGAGATCATCCATTGAAGACCCTTGATTTGATATTCCTTGAGAGTACCACCAACGAGAATTGATGGCTGTGCGGTGACTTCTTCCTTGATGCGATGCGCAACAGCGTAGTAATCGATCTTGCGGACATCCTGTTCCTCTTCTTCATCATCGTCAGAAGAATCGTCCAAGAAATCATCAGCGTTGTCTCCATAGCGTTCAGCAGCCTTTCTTTGTTGCTCTTTGACCGACGATGCAAGTTGCGACAAGAAACCGTCGGTTTGGCGGAGCAAATGGGTGATACGAGTGTCCTTTGCCTGGTCAAGCAGCTTCAAGTATGCCTCTTCATCGTTGGATTTCAGGGCCTGGAGACGTTGCTTGGCTGTTCTCTCAATTCTCTTCTGCTCCTCCTTCTCGATGTTTTGGTGTTGCAGTACCATCATGCGGCCCAACTTGCCAATCTTCACTCTTTGGTTGTTAGCCGCAATGTTGACCTCGCGAGCATGATTAAGCACGGTTGTGAGATAATCATTATGCTTTTTCTTCTCACGCGACTCTCGAGCATCACGTTGCTGCTTCTCAAGCTTCTCTGTAATGCGTGCCTCGCGCAACGTTTGCTTCTTCATGCGTCTGTAATGGCTTCGATTAGCAGTCATGGCAAGATTGTCATATTGAATCATTTGGCGTCCAATTCGCTCTCGCATATTGCGTTGCTTCTGGACCAGACCAAGCAGCTTCATCTCAATCAAAGCTTTTCGCTTCACAGATTCCTCGAGAGTTAACTCGTCACCTCGCACTTCCAAGTGTGCCATATTTGCTGGGAGAGCCTTGAGATCCGCCAGCCTAGCTTGGATACGATTATAGATGACAATCTCTCTCTCCTGTCGAATCTTCTCGAGGTTGACACCAGATGGCATGATGCTGGGAATAAGTGGTCTTGTCTCACGTTTCTGGTGGCTAGAATAACCAATTTTGTCCTTGAGGCCTGAGCGTGGTGATTCGAAGCCACTATATTCATGGACTTTGATCGCATCGACATCCTTGTTTCCGGCTGCCCCATCAACTCCATTTGTGGTCGGTTGCGCATCATCTGTCTTTGCCGCCGAAGTTTCGAGAGTACCGTCGACTGAAGGGGCCGCCTTCTTGTGGGCTGTGAAGAGTTGCTGTTGCACGGCTTGTGGTATGCCCATATTCTTCGACAAGCACTTGAAAGCGAAGATTTGCTGCTTGAGTATGCCCAGCTGCTCTGGTGAGAAGTAACCTCCGCTTCCTGCTGCTGTCGATCGCTGGACTCCACTCTTCTGCGCAGATGCAAGTGATGCTGTTGCAGGAATAGCCGATGGGCCAAGCGAGGTTGTGGCAGGAGCTTGTGAGGTAGGAAGGGTGGCTGGTGCTGGAGCAGTTCGTGTGCCGTTTGTACCATTCGCGGCAGGGCTTCCTGAATTTTGTTGATTCATCATCTGCTGCTGTTGTTGAGCAAAGGCAACCCGCTGCTGTTGGAATATGCGCTGTTGCTGCATCGAAGTAAGGTATTGGTGGAGTTTCAAGAGTTCAGGGTCTTTATCCGACACGCCTGCATCTTTCATCTGCTTGTATTTCTTCTACGAGTCAGTATATGGCAGGTGTAATGAAATGTGCCTGGAAGGAGAAAGGTGCTTCATCCCCTCGGAATGTTACTCGTAACCAAAACGTCAATCATCGTCTCCCTAGGAAGAAAACAGGTCCGCCAACGTCCCTGAACAATTCGAAGATTGTCTCAACTAGTCTAGACGATTTGACGATTTCGGACGAGCGACACACGATGGGGAGAAAACTCAACTGTCCTAGAAGGTAGTGGGTACTTACCTGAAGTGCGTTTTTCATGTTTTCTGGATTGCCCATGGACATGGCCGAACCAGGCTGCTGGACAGCCGGCGCGGTCTGAACAGAAGCCATGATTGCGAGTTGATAGACCTTTCACTTGCAGACGGCTTTCGTGGTTGTGCTGATTAGCTTGGGCGCATATCAGGATCCAGCCTTGCGCATCAGGTCTGATGTGAACAGACGAAGCCGTATGGTAGTGCGCGGATTGGCGAAGGCGGCAATGGCCAGAACGACTGTCAAAAATGAGTCGGGTAGGCGAGGGATGGAGTTGTCGCGCGATGAGAGTGTGCGGCGCGTCCAGTGTTGATGTTCAATGACTTTTTGTAGATGCACGAGCTTGGCGCGATGTCTTCGCTGTCGTTGGACGTGGATGACCGAATCGAAGGGTATTAGGGGATGGGCAGGATCCCGTCGAAAAGGGAATATGGGATAGGATATGCGACCAGCAGTCGCGTAGGATGCGACGTGGTGAATATCGAGATTCTGGATATAGAAGCTAGGGATGGGGGATTGGCGGCGCAAGCGGTCTCGTCGCGGTAGAATCTGCCTCCTGGTGGATGGACCTGGAGTTGTGATGGAGAAACTGGCGAGGCGAGTTGGGGCAAGTGGCGGGACTTGTGAGCACGAGGCGTTTGCAGCACGCTAAGCAGTTTTAAGTTTGGCGCTAGATGAGCCGAGGCTTATGTCATCAGCAGCAGCACGTGAATGCGGCTCTGCAGGTGCAGCTGAATTCATCCAGACCCAAGCTGACCTGACCTTCACCTTCATAGAGATGCCACCAGACACACTGGGATCATCGAGGGCCACGGTATTGGAATGACTGGCTTTGCCTGGTTTCACGAGACATCAGGTATCTGACTAAGATAAGCATAATCACGTGAATCTAGCAAGCTTGCTGGCTGGCCAAGTGTGCTCTCTGCCAGGGAGTTCTTCGCTTGTACTGATCGTAAGGTACCTACCTACCTAGGTATACTTACTTCACTTTATCCTCTTGGGCGTGGTACTGGCTACTGTATAATAGCCGAGGAATGGCCTTCTAGAGACAAATGGCGGAAAGGAGACCCAGTCACCCAAACTATTGTCGCCTTGGTCATCCTGTAATTCTGTACAACATCTGGCGATATTTGAACTATTTTACTTGTGCATCCTTCTCTCCAAGGGCTATTCTCCAAGAATGACAACAACTTAAGATAGGTTTAGCGACAATGCGTTGTGTCTCTCCATCGCTTTGCCATTGCGTTCCTTTCGGCCGCCCTACCGAACCCTCCTCTGTTCCAAGGAATCTCAACCTACAACCTATCTCCATCTGGCGGCCAATTTTGAGTACAGACAATAATTCAGTCTGAATTAGTATCTCCCCGTGCTTAAAATCAATAGTTCCGGGTTTCAGAGACAAAGTCAGAACCTGGGCATGACCACTACTCCACCAGCTCCCCGCCATCAACCTGTTGACAATCATGTCTACCCAAACACGAACCCCTGAGTCGCTCCAAACAACCTCGCCAAACGTCACAGTCAACACACCCTCCCAAATATCCAACCACCCCTCACCCATCTCCTCGTCCACATCACAACACCTCATATTCTTCATAACCGGCAATCCCGGACTAATCGGCTACTACAACACCTTTCTTCACAGTCTCCACAATATCCTCAGCACATCTCAGGAAATTCAAGATGTCTATCACGTTCATGGACAATCTCTGGCAGGTTTCATAGATTCAGACACAGAGACACGAACAACGCCGTACAGTTTAGAAGAACAAATCGAAATCACGCTATCAGCTCTCAGATCCCAGCGCATCCCTTCAGGGCCAAAGAAAGACCAGCACTACGACAGCGTAATCTTAATCGGGCATTCAGTCGGGTCGTACATCCTACTGGAACTCATCAAGCGACTGGGTAAATCCTCACCAGTCAAGATCTCAGCTGGTATCTTGCTATTCCCTACCGTCACCCACATCGCCAAGTCTCCAAGCGGGGTCAAAATCAGCACACTATTTCGCATCCCGAATTTTGCAAAGAAGGTGGGAACTATTGCGAAAGGACTTGTCTATCTGGCGCCAGGTGGTGTGTTGAAGTGGCTGGTGGGTCTGGTGGCAAGGATGCCGAGTGAGGCTGCTGAGGTTACTACGAGTTTTTTGAGGAGTAGGATGGGTGTCTGGCAAGCCTTGTGAGTGGTTTTCAGAGTGGTAAAGAGCGACAATACTGATTTGTTCAAGGCACATGGCCAAAGATGAGATGGATTTCATCACTGAAGATACGTGGGACGAGGATATCTGGGGTATCGAGCAGGAAGATCCAGATACGAAGTCCAAACCTCCGAAGCTTATTTTCTATTTTGGGCAAAATGTTTGTGTCATACCCCGCCTCTGTATCTTTCAGTTGCTAACAATCAGAAGGATCACTGGGTTGCAGACCATACTCGTGATGCACTGATTGCTGCCAGAGGACGTGAAGAAGGAGCCCGGCAGAGTTCGAAGCCAATTATGATCATCGATGAGAGTAATATACCACATGGATTTTGTATTCGTAAGTCTCCCCATGCTGTAATTTCTGCGCAGTTCTGATTGGAACAGGGCACAGCGAGACGGTCGCGGAGAAAGTTGGTGTGTGGATCAAGAGAGTGATGGTGGATTTGTGATCAGACTGATATTCGAGAGAGCGATCCATACAAACTTGAGACTTTGTAGAGTACATGTACGAATAGATAAACTATTAGACTGTTCCGGTATGTGTTCTTGATTCCACTCAATACATGGCAGACCACTGTCTGGCTTGTTCTGGATGCTGCCGGGGGCCTTCCAATCAAAAGACTCGTGGCCATTATCATACCACACTCTCTTGAGACCAGAAGCTTGCTTCTCCAATGGTTCCCATCCGGCAGTAATCTCAGGCGAGGGTGATAAGGCTGGGAAGGCGAAACTCGCTTCCGTGTGGCTGCCAAAACAGTTGGCCAAAAAACGCATTAAATGAACCCTCGTCATGTTTTGAAAGATTAGTATGTATGCATATGGAGAAGAAGATCCAAAAATGAATTATTTTCTTTCATTCGTTCCCCTCCCCCTGTGTACGTCACGGATCAGCATTCCCGGCAAGCACCCAACAACTAGCGTTGCACGACCGTCATTACATGATGACTGGAAGTACCGAAGACGGTATGAGATAATCAACATCTCTGGAGCATCTTCTCGCGCGAGTGTATCATGAAGACGCTCCTGCACGCGAGTTTCCTGTGCTTTCGTCTGTTTCCGTACATGAAAGGCACACTCTCTCGCTTCGTGGATTTGTTGGGTGGCTGATGAGAGGCTTCTGGCTGAGCTTTCAAATCGCCCCAAACAGCTTTCTGCTCCAAATGGAGTATAGTAAGAATTGGACGTAATGTGTCATAGTTTAGTTGTTGCTTTAATCGAAGATAGATTTGCTCTCGTTTGTACTTATCGATCAGAAGAAACAACAATTGGAATACAATCATTTGCGCACACTCTTTTGATTAAAAACCTGTCTCAAAAGCCGTTTCAGTGCTACATACGTTGGCCTTAAGCCGTTCGTTCTTATATTTGACTTGCCAGGTTCCTGGAAGACTAAAGTAGTGTCCGGTGGGAAATTTCTCCTGTGTAGGGTCTGTCTGCACCGCAAACCCCAGTATATACTGTTCGAATCACATCTGAGACAGTGGAAGGAGTGTTTAGGTAGATGCTTCTATTCTGTAGTTTGCCTTCGCGTGTGAGCTCTTCAACCAACCGTCCTAAAGAGATCCGCGCGTAGACTACATCTACCAAACTCTATCGAAGTACGCATATCTGTTGATTCTGACCAAAAAAGGCCATCCTTGTTTGCTAGCCTTCTCTAGATACGCCAATGCATCAATAAAAGCACCAATGCGCTGTCTGAAGTAACATTGTTCCATGCAGTGGTATCTTTCCCATAACGCCTCGTGTCAATGAAGTCCTCCAAGAGAGCAGAAAAATTGAATAAGTGAAGGTGCATGAAGAGGAAAAGGAAAGTAAAAACAGAGAGGTTGTGCAGCTCCATTTCGATGCAAAGGCCACCATGCGTGCTCAGTCATTCTTGGAGAATGAAGGAATAGAAGGGAAAACTTTGCAACACCGTCGGGGAGTACACACTCTTTGGCCCCCATTAAACCATTATAGGTGAGCTGCTAGAACTGACCATGAGTCTTGGATGACTTGGAAACTGGGGGTTCTCCCTTAGCAAGACGGTTGCGATTGATCCGAGCCATGAGTTCGTCATCGTCGGTCTTGGTCGCCTTAGGAGTCGAGACGTCTCGGCGAGATTTTGAGCTTGAGAATTGACTATTCATCGCCTGGAACATAGCGGACTAAATTCGTATTGCGTTAGCGCTCGGAACTGAACATCCGCATCAAAAGTCGGGTGAAGTTGTTGCCAATTTTGCTTGGAGCAGACTCTACGGCTGGTGCTATGGCAGGTATAATCTCTGCAGCATCGCCGTTCCCTGTGCCTCCATGCTGTTTCTCAGCCAGAACCTCATGGCTCGTATCGTTTGCAAGGATCAAATTTGGGTCTTGATCTCTGCAGCGTTCTATCAATTCCTGTCTACTTCCAATGATGCTCAAATTTTTGCTACATAAGTAACGCTCGAGCTCATTTAGAGAGAAGGTATCGAACTTTGGTTCTCTGGCCGTGTGATGAAGGTCTGACATTGGCTGTGAAGTTGAAGTCATCAGAGTACTCTGGGAACTTCCAACAGCATGTGCCTCACGTCTGAAAGGAGATGTAGAAGATTGGGAAATGCATACTGATTGTTGAGCAGAGCTAGGTCCACGGCCCAAAAGACTTTGGACAAAGTCATCACCGCTCAATTTGGATTCGATGAGTTGGCAACATGTTGCAGGGTTCTTGCTAAGAACATCCAATACCAAGCGTAGCTGTTGTTCACGGTCATCGCAACGTGCAAATCGCTTATGGATGGCGGCTCTGATGTCGTCGTTCACAGACTTGGCTATCTCGTAAACATCGTCAGAAATTCGCGAGGCACCTGAGGCAGCTGAAGCCATCGGGTCACTGGATTTGTATGCACTGGCGATGATGGGGAAGAGTCTGGTACCGGACTCCTGCGTGGAAGTCAGTTTCAGTTCGTGGTCACTCAGTTCGAAGCTGCTATCACATACAAGTTGTTTTGACTGACTAGATCCACCATTGGAAGTGGCTGTAGGCGTGCTCCGCCCAGTCCTATCCTTGCCAGGTCCAGGAGTAGAAATCATGTTTGCTTGATGGCGAGCCTCTTCGGCCTTTCTGTATGGAGGCGGGGTCTGGGAAAGTGCGCGTGTGTTAGCACCCATGATTGGAGGATTACTCCGGTCATTGCCACCAGAGGCGACAGCTGAATAAGTTCTGGCGCTCGAAGATGGAGTAGTAGGTCCTCGAGGAGCTTTTAATGGTGGACGGATCGGGGTTTCATTGCCGGGTTTTTCATGGCCAGCGGAATGTGGTGCAGACATAGCAGGGGGGGCAGGTCGGTTCACAGACGGATTTACGTGCTGAATGCAAAACTGTGCGGCTGTAGATGGGCCTGATTGTTTCATGGACCGGGCAGAGCGATGTGCCTGAAGCTGTGGCGGCATGGAAGAGTCAACTTGCATCAAAGTCGGGCTCGGACGTCGACGATCAGCAAGTTGCTGGGCTTGCCGCTGGGCCTGCTGAAGTTCGAGTTCCCGACACATCCTATCAACCTCCTTCTGTTCTTCAGGCGTGAGTCGATCTTCATCGTCCATTTCGAAAGTATCGGTCTGAACAATAGAGCGGATTGTGGATCTCTGAGCTTGAGATGCAAGAATTTTGTCTAGAACTTCAGGATCCATTCCTCGAAACTGGGAAAGATCCTTTTGTGGAAGGTCCTTTGGCTCGAAAAGAAAGTCCCCAAATTTCTTCTTCGCATAGGCCAAGGGGCTCTTCTTGTCAACCTAGGTCAAAAGTTAGCTTTTGTTGGTAGCAATCGAAGTGTTGACGTTGGTGGGTCGACAGAGATGCTATCTAAAGGACTCCAAGAAGGGACTACGGATTAGATATTGCATCTTGCACGTACCACTCTAGAAGCAAGCTGAGACTTGAAAACCGTCTTGTTGTGAACATTGTCTTCAAATGTGCCTCCGCAGACAAAGCGGTAGACAAATGTTCGTTTCGACTGCCCAATGCGGCTACGCAACGTGTCAGTATACTATTGTCAAGTACTATTCCAGTATGAAATCTGATAGGAGCGGTATTCTTGTATGTGTTAGGGGTGACTTACAATGCGCGCCCCACAGCCTGCTCCTCTTGGATCGGGTTGTACTTGAAATCGAAGATGACGACCCGGTTAGCGCTCTGTAGATTCAAACCAAGCCCACCGGCAGTTGTCGATATGAGGAAGACGTCGTCATATCCCTTATTGAACTTCTTGATGAGGCGCTGACGCTTTGCCATTGCAGTCTTACCATCAAGCCGAGCTAGTGTGCGACCTTGTCTCTTAAAGAGATTTTCCAGGAAATTCAACGTCGGAATTGAAGAAGAGAATATTAAAGTCTTGTCGCGAGCCTCCTTTGCGGCATCCAAAATCTGACACAGCACTGCGACCTTGTTTGACAAATTTACTTGAGTGAGATCCTCATCTGCAAACAGTCTCGTAACCTCTTCGATGAATGTTGTCGAGAGCCCTGTTTTAGCAAGGGGGACGTCGATCAACTTGGCTGTGAGATCATCGTCAGTCGAATTTTCTGGAGTGGCCTGCTTTGATGGAGCTTCCTTGCCCTCCTTCATCTTGGCATCGAAGCAGTACGGGTGGTTGCAAAGCAAGGAAAGCGTCGCGAGCCAAGACCAAAGTGTAGTCTGTTTAACCTCACCATCTTTGGTGAGCTGGTTATCGCTAACCTTCAGATATTTGACATATAATGAGTAGACCTTGCGCTGAATATCTGTGAGTGGCACAGAAATCACAAACTCTTTCTTCGGTGGCAAGTCGTTTCGCAGGACTGATAAGTCAGCTCTGTTAACCTTAAGTGCGAGTTCCTTGTTTAGAACACCCAGCATCTTCAAGGCTGTTCGACGTTGGAAAGAATCCGAGTCTGCGAATAGACCTTCCTATAATGAGAGAGTTGTCAGTCACTTTACCGTTGGGACACAAAACTTGATAGAGATCGCTGAACTTCGAGAGAATATAATAAGAGATGGGTGACTCTACCTCAATGGGTTCCTTGTACTTGCTACGGAACTCAACAACGCCACCAAGATAACCAGGCTGCACAAATTCAATCATTGAATGATATTCCTCAACGTTGTTGGCGAGAGGAGAACCTGTGAGAGCAATACGGCATCTGGATCGGAAGCCTGAGGCGGCAGAAGCAAGGCCGGATTTGGCATTCTTGAGCTTGTGAGCCTCGTCGGCGATGATTATGTCGGGGCCATTCAGAATCTCATCAAGGACTCGCTTATGTTCCTCCACTGTAAGTGGGGCTTGGCGAGTAGCGGTTGTCTTGTTTTGAACGAGGTTGCGAAGCATCTCGTAGCCAACAATGAGAACTCCACCAGCACTATGCCATTCAGAAATATATTGCAAGCGATTCTTCACAGAAAGAGAACTGCCGATTTTCCAGAATTCACCCAAGGTACTTCCAGGGGTCCAGTAAAGAAGTTCGTCCATCCAATTATCAATCAAACCTGGTGGGCAAAGAACAAGGGTTTTCGGCGTACCTTTCAGACTAGAGGGGATCTGAGAGGAAATTGATGGGTCGGAGGACGAGGCTGCCTCTGAGATTGCAACTAGAAGAGTGATGACTTGCATGGTCTTGCCAAGACCCATGGTGTGGGCTAAGAGACAGCCTTGCATCGAGTGTTCAGTGCCAACTGCAACGATCTGGTTCCACATGAAACGGACGCCATCAACTTGGTGTTCCTTGATGCGATGGCCAATCTCCTCGTTGACATATACATGTCCTTGATCGAGTGTAGCAGCATCATTGATAATGTGTTTAGTCTTTCCTTGCCCAAGAGTGTTACCCGATTCGGCAAGCTTAGCCTTGAGGATGGTCCGACGACGTTCTTGTTCGGCTATACGCTCCGCGTTTCTCTTACGAGCCTCGCGAGCGTTCATGTCCTCAATTACTGGCCTTTTGCGTGTGCTGTGAGGTGACAAGGTTGCAGGAAAGGCCCCGTCATCTTCGTCGGCATCAGTAGAGCCTCTAACGCGTCGACGCTTCGTGGGACCTTCGTCTTCGTCATCGTCGTCGCTCTCGGAAATCTGGCGCTTCTTGAGCTTGAGTCTGTCGAAGTTGCTTGGCAATGAAGGTGATCGAGGTTCAGGAACATATGAGCCATCCAGATACCTTTCCATGCGTGAGCAATGCTTGTAAAAGCCAGGCCACCAACCTTCCGCACCTAGCAAAACTTCGCACAGCACCTCGTGCATCTCTCGTCCCCATTCCACAAACTTGCATTCCATGTACATAGCAAGGACTTGAGCAATTGCAGAGAGTTGGTTGAAGGTAGTAGAGTGCATGTCATCGACCTCCTCGCTGCCTACTTGAAGAGCTCGCACAACTTCGCACATGAGATTCCAAAGCTTCTCTTCATTACAGCTAGCGAATAGTTGAAGAATATGTTGTGGGTCTCGCAGTTTATAGAATATACGGATCAACAGTCGGTGTCTGTCTCCAGCTTTCTCCCAGTGCTCAAAGGGGAACTCCGCAATGGCCATTGGGTTCGTGAACGGTGGCAGCTCCACTGCCTCCGAGTCGCTAGAGATGATAATTGGGCTTGGGCTCGGCTTCCGGTTCAAAAGCCTGACTTTTTGTGCCTTCTGTATAGCAGGTAATCTCTTTTCGGGAGTAATAAGATCGACATCGCACGGTCCTAGAGGTGGTGAGTCGGTCAGATCAATGACCTCTGAAACTCGCTTAGTTGACTGTGATTTTCGAACTGGAGTTCTGGGATCGTCAAGGGATCTGTTCAGGTAATGTTGGCCATTATTTGGGCGATCGCCTTCGACAAGCTCATCATCCGAGTCCTGCATGCCCTCAACCATTTCCTCTTCTCCGCTTCCTTCTGCATCGAAGGCTTCGTCATCAGTAATGAAGCCTTCCATATCATCTTCTAAGTCATCGTCTGTGTCAGCCGCAGCTCTGGAAGCTTTGGTCTTTGGTTTGGACACGCGCTTCGAAAGACGCACAAATGGCACCCCAGGACTGGTCTTCTGCTGGAGTGTATCGATCGTCCATTCCAAAGTTTGGATACCGAACACAGTCAACTCCATGTTTCTGCAGCCTCTAAGAGCTTGAGTCCAGCTAGACCATGCGATACTATCAAATTCGGCCTGTTGATTGGCAAGGCGATTTTGGAGATGTTGGAGATCATTCTGAGCGGCTTTAATTTGGACTCGCTTGGTACGTGTTCTGCGAGAGCCCAACCAGATACCAGCGGCTGTTTTCTCAAGCTTCGGCAATTTCTGCTGCTGCCACTTCTCGATGTAATCGTTAACTGCCTGGTTCCAAATGTTTTTGAGCTGGATAGGATTAAGATGAGTTCCTCTCAATCTTGTACGACGACGACGAATATCACCTCGCTCTCTATCAATCTCTTTCCAGGTGTCTGTATCATAACATCCTTCCTGCCCAGACTCGCCCCACCCAGGCAAGTTCTCATTACTTCCAGTTTCCCAGTGAAGGAGGGAATCGGGGTCTAATTCGGGGCGACGGCCGATTAGTTGCAGGGGATCGTGAGCTACGAAGTCCTCATGGTTCTGGCGTCCCATGAGCTCAGGCCAATCGACCAGCTTCTCGCGTCTAGCACGAACGGTGCCTTCTGGAGAAGTATAATACAGAGTGAAGGAAGGTGTGTTGAGTAAAGTCATGAATCCAATCTTCCCATCGCCTTCATGATAGGTACGAACGGCAGTAAACCGGGTGAAAACCCTGTCATCCTTAACTTCCTCTTCGTCAGGGCCCTCACAAGAGTTCGTTGTCTCAGATGCTACTGCAGGAAGTGTATCTTGCTCAGAGATCATACCAGATACAACATGTGAGTCTCTCGATACAGCCTCTGAATTTTGTGCCACCTGGAATCCTTCATCGGATCCCGGCACAAAAGCCTCCCAGTCAGCATCAATGAATATAGATGAATCGACAACGACTGCGGGAATCTGCTTCCCTTCTGCATCTCGCAAGATATCAACGGCCAGCAAGTCATTCGAGAAGTTTGTTCCAGAGGCTCTTGGTGTTCTGTCCAGATCTTGCTTACTCAATATGTAGTTTCGGATCATCTTGCCAACATACCGGACTTGACCGGGTGGGATGTGGTGTGACTTCACATGACTGAAGTACTTGTCTTCAGGTTCAATAGAATCAACTGGCAGATCGGCACCAAACGGTACCTTGCCGTAGAAGATATCATCTACTGGCAGCTTATTCATTGGGAGATACTTGGCAGCTCGAGCACGACGACGACGGGCATGAGTCGCAGGCTGCGGGATTACAGGCTGCGGAGTAGGGAGGATTTGCGCAAGAACAACTGGGTTTTCTGATGGCTCAGATTCCTCATGATCAGATTGCTCTTGGTGAAGCTGATTAGCTGCCTCGACATCCGATTGATCGCTACCGATATCTTCTTCTGAAACTGCCCACGCAGACTTCGCGTACACTTCGCTGTCAGTTGGTAAGAGTTGAGGAGCGACTCTCTTACGATTGACAGCACTAGAGTCGGGGATATCAAGCCCAAGGATGTCGTCCTCATAGGTAGGAAGGGCGCGATTTCTGTTTGGGTCGATTTCGCCAACATGGGTGAGCATTCCAAGAGCCAATCTCTTGGGTTGCTTCTGGACTAGCGGCTCCGCCTCTGATTGTGAAGACGAGACTTGGGAGTCGCCTTGGGCCGCAGGAATGGTAGCTGCAGCTTCAGGAACCACAGGAGTACTTGGGCTGGGTGGTGTATTGCTAGGATGGTCGTCATCATATTTGGCACTAGAGACTCGGACACCACTTTCCGAGTCGAGAACAGCGTCAGCTTGAGGAGATAACCCATGACTGCGGTCTTCGATAACATGGCTATCTGGCTCAACACTTGATTCAAGATCGACAGTGCTAGGTTCTGGTGATGGAACAAGGTCAATCAAATCCTTAGCAGAGCCAGCATCTTCTTGGGCACCATTTACAAACAGAGGAGCGAAATCGGCCGTAGGGTCTGCACTGCCACTCTTGTGACGCTTTGCAACTGGCTCATCTGATCCTTGTCCACTATTGGCTTCTTCCTCGCCATCATGATGCAGATCACCGTCTGTATTCAGTTCGCCCGTAGCAGCGGACGTATCTTGTGACGAGTCTGTTGCACCAGAATTGACTTTGGAACCAGGAGGAGCGATTTGAGGTACCGATGGGTTAGCCACTGGGTTCGGAGTTACAGCAGCGATTGTAGAGGCAGGAAGACCTGGCTGAGGTCCTGGTTGCGAAAGCGAGTTCCCTAGATTGTTGGAGGCAGGAGCAGGGATTCCATATAAACTTCTGAGCCTCGCAGCTACCTGTTGGAAATCTTGAAGCCAGTTCACCAAGCTGTAAGCAGGAGACGGGTATCGCGACAAATACTCGGGACTGCTCCATTGGAATTGTGTGATAGCGGCGAGAAGCCAGGTCTGCTGGTTGATAACGAAGATCTTGAAAGTATTGGACAGATCTCTCCTTGTGAAGTGTGATGAAATGAGGACCATTCCATCCACACCGTGTTCAAATAGCTTGCGACGAAGTGACTCCGGATTGGGCGATGACAGCGCAGGAGGGTTCCATGATCGATCGTCCGTGGTGAGCTCCTGACAAACTCGGCCCACATCCCAAAACCACGGGTCATCCACGTCATTGGTGGCCATGATAAAAGGTGTTCATGAGGTCAGAGGTGGTACCGAAAGGTGTTTTGGGTCGACCGGTTTCTTCGACCTGTGGTGTAAAAGTTAATCATCATACTCGTAAAATTAGAGCAGGATAGAGCTGGGGAGCGTTGGCGCTCAGGTAGTTGACGAGGCCAAGAGCTGGACTGGTGAAATGGAAAGCGGAGCTAGTGAATTGACTTTGAGGATAGAGCCATGGTATTGGAGGCCTTTGTATGGAGGTGAACACTAGATATGATGGGGCGGAGTCGAGGGAGTTCAGGGTACAGCGGGGTTGAACATAAATGTAGAGTCCACGCTTTCAAGGTGAATGAGCCTGGGAACTTACCAAGACAGCTTGAGAGCGAGTCTCGAGGTCTGAAGCGCTGAAAACCTCATGCAGTTATCCGCAGGATGGCACAGATGCGCTCACTGCCTGTCTTGGGTTGGCAAACCGCAATTGCGCAGGATGTTAGGAAGGTGATCGAGTCAACCATGGGAGCTCAGGCGCATACGCGTAAGTAAATTCGTAAATCGTGAAGGTCGTGAAAGTGGAACTGATCGTGCTCTCACGGAACAGAACGAAGGTGGAGTGCGAAAGGAGAGGAAGGAGCGTGGTGGTTAAGTTTGGAAAAGAGAGTTGAAGTTAACGGAACAGACAAGGCTGCACTTCCATCGCGATCGCGTCCTCCTTATCTTAGCTTATCGGATTACAGTAGCGTCATCACGTGAGCATTTACGGTGTGGATGAGAATTGGCTTGGGAGAATTGACTCGGTGGGCTTGTGTCTTTTTGTGGAGAGAAGCCGAAGCCTCAGCGGGATCTTGCTGCTAGGGGTGGGATGTCGATGTCTTAAAGGCAGCCTCAATTTAGACGTCACGTCACGTCAATCCACAATTACCAATACTTCTCGATCCCGATATTCTCAATTTACGGCATTGCATCTGTGTGAAGGAGTTGATAGAATCTGAGGGACTTTGCAGTGCAGATTGTCAGCCTGAACAAATTTTCAAGATGGCTCCTAGCAGAGCTGCAGATTCTTATCCTCCAAATTTGCAACCATCCGAAGCTGAGCAGCTGGTCACTACTATAAAGGACTGGTCAATAGCCCATGGATTGGCAGTAAGACCGCCGCCAGCTGTCATTCCGGCAGAGGCAGACCCTCACGGAATTTTGGCGACAACTGTCCCTGTTACTCTGTTTCCCAGTCCATTTCCTCGAATATGTTTCGAGCAAGCCAAGTCCATTCAAAAGGCCTACAATAACCTCTATGCATCCATTGCTCAAGATGAGGAGTTTTTAAAGGAAATAGTCCAACAGTAAGTTGTCCTTCAACTCCGTTACGTCACAAATGGCCATGATCCGATTGAGTTTCTTGACAGATCGATCGGTTAACCGAATGTCTCAGGATCATTGCAGTGGACGATTTTATCGCTGAGCTATGGCAAGTACATCTGAAAGTTAGAGAAGAGGGTTATGTTCAGGTAGGTGATATCTCGACTGTGCCGGGCTTTTCGTTGACTTTTGAAAGAATCTCTCTCTCGGCCTCTTCCGGTCTGATTATATGGTTCACCAAAGCACAGCCGAGGAGACGCCGACAATCAAACAAGTTGAATTCAACACCATCGCTTCCTCTTTCGGTGGACTCTCTTCCCAAACATCAAAACTTCATAAGTAAGTATGCTAACATAACCTGCTCCTCAATTACTCAAATTTAAGTTATCAGACTAACGTCTTCCAGGTACCTTGCTGTCAGTGACTATCCTCTGATAGAGAAGCCTCTTCAAACGACAGAGTTGGACCTCCCAAAGAATGAGAGCACCAAATCTCTAGCGTTTGGTCTCCGTTCTGCTTATGACGCTTATACCAAATCCGAGACAATTTATCCATCCTGCATTATTTTCGTTGTTCAAGATCCCGAGCGCAACATCTTCGATCAGCGCCATCTTGAGTACGAACTGCAGCAGCACGAATCACCAATACCCGTGTTCCGGCTCCCCTTTGGAGAGACCCTCTCTCGGACATCTATTGCAGAGACACCGAAACGACAACTTTTGTATCACTTGCCAAGCAATCCATCGAAGGTATTCGAGGTTGCAGTGGTTTACTTCCGCGCCGGATATGGACCAGGAGACTACCCAGATGCATCTGCGTGGAAAGCCCGTCTGCAAATCGAGCGCTCCAATGCGATCAAGTGCCCAACGATCCTCACTCAGCTCGCAGGTGCAAAGAAAGTCCAACAAGTCCTCGCAACACCTACCTCATCCTCCACACCATCAATCCTCGCCCGCTTTATGAAAGCCGACGAATCTTCCATCCAGGGCCTCGAAAACACATTTACGAACATCTTCCCACTCGACGAAACACCTGCCGGTCTTGAAGCTCGCAAACTCGCCATTGATCCGGAAAAATGCAAAGGTTACGTCCTCAAGCCACAGCGTGAGGGAGGAGGAAATAACATCTACCGCACCGCCATCCCACCATTCCTCAAGTCTCTCCCAGAAACACACTGGAAGTCTTTCATCCTCATGGAGATCATCATTCCGCCCCCAGTTCACAACATCATACTTCGCAACGGCGCGCTAGAGCAAGGTGGCGTCATTTGCGAGCTAGGGGTGTATGGTACTTGTCTCTGGAATCAAGTTACAAAGGAAGTCCTGCACAATGAGGAAGCGGGATATCTACTACGAACCAAGGGCGATAAGAGCGAAGAGGGCGGAGTCGCAGCTGGATTCGGAAGTATGGATAGTTGTCGCTTGGTTTGAGTGTGGACTATTGCGATTTGAGGATGCCTTCATTTATTGGCCGAACGCTTTGGTAGCCGATGACTTGTGCCCGATCGCGTATGGTACCCCCCAAAAGTGGCCATTTTATGTGGTAGTTAGCCACAATCATTGCGAGTATTTCAGCTGCCACAAACTCTGAATCCTTCCTGCCTATTAATCAGTGCTGCTGACCTTCCTACGTTGTCTCTTTTGGATAGATTCCGCTCCCAGAAATATATTTCATGTTTGTCATATATGCGCTATTTATTTTCTAAGTGCTGCTATCTATTTACAATTTCCTTGATTGCGCTGTTATTTATTTGCTGTTTGTAATATCAGTTATGTCTTCACATCTTTCTACTTCAAAAGCTCAGTAGCTGCGATCCTAGCCCCAGGCTGCCGCTGCCCGCGCCGCGCGCTCCCATGAATGCTTCGAGATTTTCAAGCGTAGGGTTCTGCTGAACTTTGATGACACGATACAAGGTCCTTTGGGCATAGGTAGCTCTTTCCTCTCGGGATACTAGCCTAGCTCTATTATTCTCGCAAGGTCTGCACATTCACATTCGCGAGTAGACTTCCACGAGTCTCTGCTGCTATTAGATGAAGCCTACGACTAGTGTAGGACCACTTCCCAATTGTGCTGTTCCAAAACTAAGCAGCATGTCAGTAAGTCGATCGCTGCTTGTCGAATCTTTTGCATATCGTACTACCTCCCAGATATTTCCGTGTTGCTGTGGGGAAATGGCAGAACGCAACAAGGTCAGCAGCGAGCTACGCTTTCCTGTCGCCCAAAATGTGCCGTCTATCCCTCCCAATGAGTCGCGTCGCACGGTGACCTGTGCCATATTCTTACACATACAAAGAAGCGAAATTTGCACCTCGACGGCTTAGCAGCACTAGATGTAGGCCATTGGCTCCCAATATAAGAATACTTAAGTCATGGCTCATCAACGCGCTATCTAAGTCTTGTTGCGCATCGTCAGTAGGCCTGGAACTTTCCACGCTCTGCCTTTCCCATCCATTCATCCAGGACGGCGTCATCTTAGCTAGCTGAGCTTGCAGGGGTCCCAACAATCGTCCCAAAGAAGCCGAACCTCCCCAACCTCTCTGTTGCACATCGCCACTAGGGTCTACCATCTTCATGTGCCGACTCTCTAGCTGTTTTAGTAGCAAACTTGAGGTTGTCCAGCCCATGCCTGGAGGGTCGAAGGCCGGTCAGCAGCTGTACCATGAAAGTCAAGCTTCAGCAGGTCTAAAATGCCTTTCTGTTGCATATCGGCAGTAGGCCTAATTACTGGGAAAGGCTTCTTCGTAATTCTATACTTGCAAGCTTGTGGGTGCTCAGACCAACGAGTGGTCAACCTATCAAAGACACAAACCCATGAGGGCCTATAGTACTATTCTTGTCGCATATCGGCAGTAGGCCTAGATACTAGATGGAGGTTTCTGCATACTATTGTAGCTACGAGCTTTCATGTGCTCAGGACATCTAGTGGTCTGTCTGTGAACCAGATGTGAGTGACGAAGTCTTTATTGCATTTCGCTCTAGTGCCTAGAGTGAAAGAAGGGTCTGCAGCTATAGGAAGCAGACCTATTGAGTATTGCTGAGGTCTTTTGGGTGCGATAGAAATCTGAGAGGCTTCTGGCACGCAAAGTCATCCAGCAAGATACCCAATGAGAACTGCAGCGCCAGTGTATCATTCAGGAATGTAGATTTGCCTGTCATGCTGGCACCTTCCGCCCATTTTTTCGGGGTATCTCTAAGATTGCGCTGATGGTCAAAAACTTCGAGTGCCCCGAAGTCGTTACTTCCTCCGGAAGAAGAAGGACTGGGAGGTCACTAGGACCGAGAACATTTAACTCGCTGGAGACATCTCGATCATCCTTTCTACTGTGCCCTCAATAACTCCCCTAAATCTTGTGATTTCAAGTCGCAGGTTAAAGAAAGTTTTCGCAGAAAAGCAATTATAACTTAAGTGCTGCTTAAACCACAACACTGTATTGTTGTGAAATCACGGACTTTGCTTTACTGCCGCCTCTTTCCGTCCCCTTCCATGGTGATGGCATCGTCATCACCAGGTATCGTCGTCGCACGTGATCTACAATCTCTCGGTCTTGAGGCATCTCGCTCGTTTTCCGAAATTGCTTTCGAAAAGAGCCGCCCATAGGCGTGATCACAGCCTAAATCCATCATATCATTCGATAACTGGCTGTTCCTACACTGGAAGTAAACCATGGCTGCCCCGAGTGGCTTGATCCTCAATCCTCTCTGAGAAGATCCTGCAAACTCCTAAGACCAGCTTCTTCGGTCCCAATGTTGATTTTTGGGACCGCAAATATAGTCTTCTTCCATCTCTGGCTCACTTTCATCATTTCTAATTGACGTTGTTTCAACGTTAGTGCACCATGTTGACGTGAAGCCGGCTTCAGTCCGGTTCAAGCCCCACAGATCTCTCGCTTGACCTTCTCATTCTATTTGCAGAATTCTGGACACCCTCGAAGCTAGAGATACAGGGTTGAGTAGGTGTTCTAGCTTTGGGATCCAATAGGGCATGGTTGTGATGAAAACGGTATGTGTATATAAAGCAATTGATGCGTTGCTGTTGGCAAGCTTTCCCAAATTCTCTCGGCTTGTCGTTCAAAGAAAGCACACCGCTTACGACATCAAACCTCCCTCCTGCCGACTATCTCCAGAACTGAGACTGGAGCTGCTATGTCACATCAATGCTGATCAAGTCCTTTGGGTGCTGTCATTGGTCGTTGTTGCTAGTTACAGGCAGGTCAAGTTTCGTTGGGGGGTACAACTTTGGTTCGCATTTGATAGTGGTCTTTAGCGCGCTTTCATGTCACTCTCGCTTGTGGAATTTGACTGCTTTCTAAGAAGTCCCTTATGTATGGACTGTTTTAGTTCCACCATCAACTAGGCTAGTATAGCAGCATTCTATTCAGTTGAAATGTAAATCATGCTGAAAAATCCACGGCCTAAGGGTATGAATCAGCCTAGAATCCAACCGCCGAGCCCGAAGCAGGCAGATTTAGCGCACAATGCCTCTTATGGTACGTTTATTCTTTCTGAACTGGGAATTATGTGCCAGTTGAGATTCCAATGTCCCAAGTATATCAAGTCAACCTAAGCCCTCGAGTTCTCAACTTTCTCTTCACCACACTCAAATTCGTCTCGTCTCATACATATCCATCAATCTTCATACCCTTCACTACATCAAAGCTTCTACTCTTCTTCCCTCACACACCAGCAACATCTATAGTGAAACAAACTCCACTATCTATAACATCCCTCCACCACGCCGGCCGCTACACCATCTCCACCACCACGTCTCTTCGTCTTCCCCACCACAGCCAACTACCGCCTTCACCATGGCGAGGACACTACGCCAAAACCCAAAAAAGTCTGCCAAGGCTTCGCTAAACGCCCACACGGGTGAGAGTTCTAACGGTTCCTCCCAAAGTAATCTCGCAACAGCCCAATTTTCCAGCGAGATCGCTGACCAACCAGCAGTAAAAATCTTACTACAAGAAGTAAAAAAACTCCAACACTACGCCAATGGCTTCCAAACTATACTTCCGGATCCGGTGAAGCACCCACACCTTTCTTATCTATTCGATGACCCTGTTGGGGAGCGATTCGGTGTCTATATTTTACCCGTTCCTCCAGGACTGAGGAGTTGGAACATCGATCGTATGCCAACTGAACAAGATCGGGAGTTTAAGTATAAGAGCGATAAGGACTTGACGTTTCGGCATAGACGTATAAGAGATGGGGTTCCAACATCCGCTGAAGTAGAGGCTAGAGAATGGCATTATATTGTGGGAGAGCCAACGCCTGATCAAGCCGCTGCCAGGGTCGAGTTCGAGAATGCACGGGTCCGACAAGATGCGATGGGCTATCAGCGCAACCTAGAGCCCGATATTTCGAAAATGCGTGTCGATGCCGGTCCCAAGAAAGGAAGCCACCTGGCGAAAGAAACTGCACCAACCGAAGACAGTCAAATTCCTCACCAATCCCAGGCCCTAAAAAGAAGAACTCCATTACCCTCAGGCCGACCTGCTCCTCAGCCATATTATAAAAATGTAAATGGCGAGGATAGATTGACTTTGAAAATAAGAACAAAAATACACGCCCCGGAAGAGAGCTCCGACGCCTTACAGAAGCGGAAGGCAACAGATACTGAGCCCAAGAGAACTACTCCTGATACGAAAGAACCTTACAATTTTAAGAGAAAGGCCGTCGAACAAATGAATGCAAAGGTCGCCAAGAAGCAGAAGATAATGGCAGCCTCGTCATCCTCAATATCTCATCCTTCGTATCCAGCAGCACGCAACAGACATGCTGCGATGACGTCGGTCCAAGCTTTACTTGCCGACACCCCAGGTCAACAAGCGCAGAACGCAGGCGAAATATCAGCATCTGACGAGAGACGAGCCCAATTGCAATCCATGGGCCTCACTACAGAAGAATTCCCAGATAAGATCCAGCTCCCTGGTTTGTGTGCTGAACCTCCAAGGAAAGGCCGAACAGATCAAAAGCCTTCCTGGGCTTGCATTGCTTGGAACCTTCTAGCCAGAGCACCCAATCACAAATTGTCTCTGAATAAAATACGTGATCTGGGAACCACGTGGTTTCCAGAGCTAAAAGAAACAAAATCGCAGACCTTGAGAGCATGTCTATGCAGAAAGGATTGTTTCTACTCCATGGGTGACACCAATTGGCGCCTGAGAGGACAAAATGAGCCTCAACCCCAAAGGAACCCGGGCCCAAAAAGAGGAAAGAAAATCGTTGACCGCCAAGCTGAAGAGGAACTTGACAATCAAGATAACGAATACGATGATGAAGTCGAAGACCAGAAGCCCGATGACAAACAATAAGAATGGCGAACACAAGTAACGTTGATGAGAGGGCTCAGAGACCCCAAACTCTGAAGCATCAATAAGCGTGCCTGACCTGGATCTGATGCTATCGCCCCCTCTTCGCTGAGCGGAGGAATCTTAGCAAGAAACAGTGTAGACACAAAAAAATGACTTGACCTCAGCACTGGCATGCCTATGGAAACAACACTCAACAAGACCGACTTTCAACATACCCGCAGAACAAAAGCAGTCAACAATCATCAGTACTAGCTGATCATGCCAGGCCTCGGCCAAGTCGCCCAAAAAAATCAGAAAACATAAAAAAGTCATCAAAAAAAATGGACCCGCTTCTTTCTTTGTTTCCTATGTACTTGTATTTCATTTCATCATTTGCATGTTGAGTTCAAGGAGCGTGGAAATGGAAGAGCTTACTTATTCTGTACTATGCTTGTTTGTCTTCTTTCTTTGTTTCCTATATCGTTTCACTCAGTAAATTGACCACGTTGGGTCATGTAAAATATAAGAAAAATTGGATGAGAAAGAGCTGGATACGGTGGAGTGATGACCTCTGATTTGGACTTTGTTGGGAGGGAAATTGTTTCTGACCTGTGGTGGGCGAAGGACAATGGTTCAATCAACTATCATTCATAAAAACTTCCTGTGCAATTAACTTGTCGACTGTGAGATGTGATCGTGATGTTTGAGCATGAACGTGGTCGCTCTTGAAATGGATTCTGACTTGAATAGGTATGTTTGGGGTTTTGTTGATAGCGAAGCGAGATTCTGGCTAGGCAACAGCTGTTCTGCATATGAGGTCTTGGCACTGATACTGATGATAACGTTTTGGTAAGAAGTTGTCTTTGGCTACAACACTCGGACTCAGCTGATTATATTCAGCAATTCATCTCATCTCATCATTCTTCTTGAACTCGTAACTGGGCCACTCGAAATACATCTCCAACCTTCCTGCATCTTCTCGCCAAGAACTAGAAGTGGATTAGAAGAAGCCATTTGGTTCTTTTACCATCAATTTTATCAACTTCTGAGGTGAAGTTTTGATTTAAGAATTGAGATTAAGGTTATGAGTGTATAGCCAGTGGGGAGAGCATCGGAGACAGAAGCTCAACAGTCCTTGAAACTACACACAAGGTCGCCGACTTCAATTTGTGCCTCGTCGAATTCCTCATGCACAACATCATCAATACAGGCATTGCTTTGGTGGTCCAGCCGGGAAATGCCAATGGTCCACAAAGACTTGCGTACTTCAAAAAGTAAGAGATCGAAACGTGGCCTGTACACCAGATACTAGAATGATACGTATGCATCACCAAGTTGCGACATGGCAGCAGCCGAGTTGCGGTTGGAACATCTAGAATAAAATCAACAAATGTGAGAGACATGTGCTTTACTCCCCAAAATGGTGTACTCCAGGACTTACGGAGGGCCGCGGCCTTCCGTCACACGATTTTGAGTTGGGGGAAAAGCTGAAATGAGCAGATAGAGCAGCCTTCCTCGAGGCATTCACCTCTAAGCACCTCGAGGCCAGCAAATGAGGATACGGCGAACACAGAGCTTGTACCCACCGTTTCCCGGCCTTGAGTTGACACCATCCTCAGTATAATGCCACTCTATCCAGAACAGGTTCTCCAAGTATCGCACAATCAATAGCAATCGCGGGTGAAGGTTTTACATAGTGAGGAGAGATTCATTGCTTCCAAATGGACAGACTGCAATCATCACCCAGGTCCCCCCCGCCCCCTCCATCCATCAAAACCCTTCATTTCTTACAAGCACAAATCATACATAGTCCAGCCGACCCTATCAGATACACCAACGCCCAATTATTTCTTCCACGTAAAAATCGACAAAGGAAACCAAATGATATGTAATCAGCCGGCCAAGAGGTCATGTAGGCGGAGAACGGGTATTCGAAGAAGTTGGATCTACTGAGCCTGGGCGGGCTTCTTGGGGGAGAGAACATCGAGTTGTCCTGCAGTGTGTTAGGCGTGTGGTCAACAAGGGAACCGGGCAATGAGTCTCGTACTTTGGACAATGTTCAAGGAGCTTTTTGGCTTGCCCTCGGAATCTTCATATTGGCTCATCGAAGCCTCTCCTTCAACGTAGACAAGGGTTCTAAAGGGTTGTATGAATTAGCAAGTTTTTTTGGTAAAATGTAACAAAATCCATGTTCTGCCCAGAGCCGTCCACCTGTGTCACTTTCCAAAATCCGTCCATTTCCACAAATAACATTGCAAGTTTACGTACCCCTTTTCTAAACCTGCAATGAAATCTCTTTGCGGTCCCTCAGGCAAGAAGGCAGTAACGCGGAACCAGTTCGTCTTCTGGTTATCTCCACGTCCACTGTTTGTACCAACAGAGTATCTTAGGATCTCCTTTCCTGTGCTTGTAGGCAGAAGCTCTGGGGTATCAGCAAGTCTGCCGACGATGGTCATCTTCGCAAATGAGGATCTGGTTGCGCTGCTGGAAAAGGTGCGAGACAGAGGAGCAGCGGTGCGCAGGGCGCGGCGGGCGAAAAAGGAAGACATCTTGAACTTTGTGAATAGGACGAGAAAATCTGGGATGGGTAGAAGTTGAGCGGTAAAGGGAAGAAGTGTATTCAGATCGTGGTTGTTTGAGGCGCAATGTGTACTCTGGGGACGCGACTTGCGCGATCAGGGGTTGCGCCAAGGAATTTTGCAGACTCACGTGATACGCATTCAATGAACTTCCCGTCGTTGGTGACAAATACATACACGATGCAAACCAGTGTGTTATTTAATGGATTGAGGCATGATCTACGAGGAATACCTCGCAAGATTCTGAGCAAAGATAACAATGAGTACCAAAGAAGTCTTGACCATTGTAGGACAGCGGACATGGGCCAGCAACTTTCATGCAGGTAAGTGAATGTCAACAGGACGAGGACTGACCGAGCCGAGAATAGCTGAAACATTGATTCAAAGACCGAGAATCTATTTTTTTAATATAAGGAATCGTCCTTACAGCAGCGTTTTGACAGACTCAAAATCTTAGCATGATCTGCTCCTGTCAGAATCAATATCAATCGCTTTCACGGGTTTCTCCTCTCATCTCCGGGCAAAAGAATTCTTAGCAGGAGCAGGAGAGGAATCGCTACCTAGTATTGTGCCTCAATCAGAGAGATCCTAAGAATCCAATTTCACATTAAGAGTTTTGGCCCCCGTTTCCAAAGACTGAGCTTGTCACTTGTGCAACCGAACCGCTTGGACATACTGATAACTCACAGCCAGATAAACATTACTCCCTAATATCCCATCCACCTTCCACTCTCTTCAGCAATGGACACTTAAATACCCAACGGACGTTCTCAGCTCCCTCTGTTCCCAATCGTATTCGCCATCTGGCCCCTTGATTCATTACAACTCCACAGCCAATGACTTCACAACCCACCGCTTCAAGAAAGTCCCAAGACGCTTTCAATGTCTTGCCAGAGCTGACAGCATCGTCGATGATCATCACCTTCTTTCCTTTCAAGAGCGAGATTTGGTTAGGATCAAGATAAAGTTTCTTCTCGCCGGATGGAGAGGTGATGGATGAGACTTCGGTGGAAAGCAAGTCTGTGTACCAAAACTTTCGCGAATAACCCAAAGGAACATATCGTTCTAAGCTCCATTAGTAGTAGGTTCCCGGCGTAAGCAAACTGGTGTAAATTAGGGGAGACTGCATACTGTGACCCAAACCTTTAGCAATTATGGGAGCAAGTGACAGCCCAAGAGTTGGAAGTCCAACGATAACCTCGGGGTGGAATGGCCGAACTTGATCTACAAGAAATTCTCCAAGCTCTTCAGTGACATCGAGAGCAGCTTGATTGATAATGAGAGAAGCAACGGCTTCGTTCGCATTTAGGGCCCGGATGGGTAGCTTGAGGATTCTTTGATCTGGCAAGCGAGCAGGAAATCCATATTTCCAAGGAGCTGGGATTATTTCAGTATCGGGAAGGATCGTCTGCCAGTATTCGGTCGTTGGCTCTGTGAATGAATCCTTTGGCATGGTGGTGAATCTTGAAATTTCGTGGCCGTTTCTTCATAGGCTTGATGAGACTGTGGTGTACAGGCTAATCGAGGTTGGAGGTCATTGTTAGACAGAGCTGTAATATTGGGCTCCATGGATGAGTTTCGCTTACATTTTGCGAAGCGGTTGATCGAAGTGAACAGACCTCCGATCAGCGGGCAGGGCTGTTGCAGTAAACACCAACCCCACTTATGAAGAATCCCAAGCAGTGACCAAGTCTTTAGGAGGCTAGGAGGCTTGTCCAGCCCAAATCATGAAGTATTGCTTTTAGTGGGCTTGCAGCTTTGAGTGGTAAAGAGATGGTGCCCGACTATCAAATAACCTTGAGCTTGCTAAGTAGATGAACAAAACTGCAATCAAATGGCGATGAAGGGACGATCAAGGGAGACGAGGATCTGTAAGTCAAGGATGCAGCTGCGAAATATTACGTCTACCTAGTAAAAGGTAAACTTTACGAAATAATCGTCCCCAGGTCGGAATATTGCAAATGGGTTGTGAGAATTTAGGATGGGAGTGAAGTTCAAAACAATGTAGATCCACACTCAAGCAAATAAGCGACCTGTGGCAAGCGTGGTGGCTTGAAAGCGGTGGCGTTGTGAGGTCACAATCCGCCGCCTGAGATAAGCCCAAACAGGCAACAAGCGTCATTGATATCGAAGCAGCACGACTACCTGCACGTAGTGTCCCTTTATATAATATACACTATCTACCACGGGCTTACTTCAAGTCCATATGCCATTAGTCAAGGAACGCCCTTTTCACACCTTGCCGGAACTCCATGAACAACAAGCCCAAGACCCAGATCAAGTTATCAGTGGCGAAGTCCGTCAACGATGGCCGAAGAAAGCTGTTGTACTTGCGCGACACTCCTTAAGAACGTGTTGCCGCAATACGATGAAAAGAGTGAGAAACCAAAAGGTCATGACCGACGACTAGAATGTTGCCGGAGGGTCATCTGTGGGAACTGCATAGCTGTACGCTTGATGGATGATGATTAATTGCCCTTGTGCTAATCTGATGTCTAGGATAACCAGCGATTTGCTACTTACTGTAAGTAACGACTCTCACATGCTAATCTTATAAATACTGAACGAAAGTTCCCAGGTCCTTTCTGCCAAGTATCCACCAAACCATCTCCATTACCACAAGGGCTTCGCGATCCGCCGACATACACGCCACCTTCCTCGACCTCCAGACAACCCCAAGAACCCCCCGCATATTCCGACGAGCTCCCTAGCTACTCATCGCTCACAAACCCCCCAATCGTCCTCCCTGAGAAATCCTCAAACGCCCAACCCGCTGAAGACGTCCTCCATTTCCTAGACCACGAAAAAGATACCCTGACATCCTTATCCTTCCGCTATGGTGTTCCTGTAGCAGCTCTAAGAAAGGCAAATAATATCACTTCGGACCATCTGCTGCTGGCCAGACGGACGGTCATTATACCCGGCGAGTTCTATAAAGGTGGTGTGAGTCTAAGTCCGCGGCCAGTGGAAGGAGAAGAGGAGGAAAAGAGGAAGGGGATTGTGAGGAGGTGGATGGTCGCGTGCAAAGTCTCGGAGTACGTATTTCTTCTGGATTGGTGACAAGGGGGATGCAAGGAAGGCTGACGTAGTAGTGTTGCTCCGAAATACAGGTATGATGTTGCTCTAGTATATTTGAAACAGGTCGAATACGACCTCGAGGCTGCGATCGAGGCGTATAAAGATGACGAGAGATGGGAGAAAGAACATCCCATAGAGGCAAGTGTGAAAGGCAAAGGGAAGAGGCATGACGTTGGGAAGAGGAGATTTACTGGCCAGAGATGATTTATGACTCTGCGTGAAACGGTAGCGATGATAGACCATTTGCTTTCACGAGTTTATATTTTGTGTCATAGTCTGATTGACTAGATGTCATGATTTCATGACCGGTGCAAATCTCATGCACGCCTCCTTAAAATACACATAAGCCAAATTTGCCCACCCCGAAGCGCCAATTAGTATGCTGAACGTGTCCGAATATCCTAGTACGATGTTAGTAGCTACAATCTGATCTTGATTGATGGTTGAAACTTACAGATATCTTTCGCTCGATTTCCCTGACCGACCGATCTAACTCCCCAGCAATCATTTGTTTCTTGTCCGTAGGCAAGAGGGTATATCTTTCACACAAGTCTCCATCAATAACTCCTTTGACTGGAACATAGTAACTCCGGTAGATGAGATGATCTCGTCCAGCCAGTGGAGCATCCTCTGACCTGAGATGTTGTTCGAGAGTCTGGAAAAAATCCACATCTTCGCGACTCACGAATGGGATCAGAATACCAAGAGTTCCTTGGATGCCACTCCATAATATGCAGTCTCGGCCGCCAGCAACCAGATTGGTCTTCTGGATGCTCATTGGAATATCTTGGGAAAAGAAATGAGCCATCAATGTCAAACGATGAGGCGAGCCTTGCAGGTATGATCGCTCATGTACAAGATGTGCTCCGGAACCCTCTTCATCAGCTTCCTCGCTTGCCTTAGCAGGACACCTAAGAAGCCATAGATTACCAAACTTGTCGCCACCAGCAACGGTTTCATAATCCACCATTGTCGTGCAGGACGTCCATCGAGCGATAGTATCATCAACGAAGGGAATAAGCTTGTTTTCTTGGAACTTGTACACGACCATTACGACACTCTCTTGAACATCGCTGACGACAATTCGACTTCCTTGTGTTTGAAGACCAACAACCAAGTTGGGCACAACTTCTGCTTGAGCTTTTCGGAGAAGCTGTCGTATACCTAGGTCGTAGATTCTCAGATCCTTGCCAATGCCAACCAATAACCTTCCCTGGAAAGCAAGAAGGGCCATTGGTGGTTCTTCAACTTTCGTCTTGTGGATAAACTCGATCTCCTTGCCATTTTCATGAAAGCGATAGACGTGAATAAAACCAGATGTTGAAGATCTGGGGCTGACGATCATGTCTTTGCCTGTTCCGACAACCAAGAAGACTTCGTCATCTTGACTGGCGAAAGAAACCGTAGCCATGCTGACTGCGGCCTCATTGTCATCAAGATCGATTTTTTGGAGAACGCTCTTTTCCGTCACAGGGTCAACGACCGAAATACAGGATGCCCAATGATTTTTGCCTCGTGGGTAACCGAATTCTTCAGCTGGTAATACGGCAGCATCACCATTGACCACTGATGGATCTTCTAGTAGCTTAGCTTTAGTTGCTGGGGAGAGAATATTATTATCGGATTCTATTGTGTAGAATAATGGGTGCTCAGGGTGTCGAACGAAACGTCGGGGTGTATATGTGAGTGGAATGGTCTCTTGGAGTAAATTATCGGTGAGTTTGTCAATGGAGAAGATTCTAGCAAGTATGGAATGTCAGCATATGCCATTTCTAGATTGGCAAGTGCGAAATGTGGGGTTTGTGAGATTCTCAGAAGGAACAATTGGATTTATAATAATTAATCCGCATAGTCACATTGGACTCGGAAGTTAACGATAAGAAAATCATCATAGAATCTCTGGGGTTGGCAGGATGACAAGAAAGCTAGACATACCTCAAGTTTTGTCCCTGAATGCCGACCATGCCTTCGGTACATTGTTCGCTACTGAAATTCCAGCCCCATTCAAGACCGGGATAATTTAGCGGCGTAAGCATGAAGCCTTTAGTGACCGGATCTGAATATCCAAGCCACGGTCTTGAACTTAGAGCAAGTACAGCTGTCTGGCCTTGAACTGAAACTCGGAAGAGCTTGGCGGGCTTTGGACCAAGGAATCGAGTACGCGTATCTGATAGCTCTCCGGTAACTTCATCTAGAACAGTTCGTAGATATACTCCCGAATATAGCCCAATGTGGAGGTAGAGGGTAGAGCCTCCAGATGATGAATCGGCCATAGCCATAATTGAGAGGGCGGAAGGAGCCGATGTCAAGGCTTGAACCGATTTATTTTCCAGTGTGGAATCGGGATCGAGACTCAAAATACGGACCGTTGAATCATCACAACCCACAGCGAGGAATTGACTGCGAACGCGTCCTTCGGGAACCTCCCCGAGACTCAGGCAAGTAACGGTACCACTCATCTCCTTCTTCTCATCGTATTCAGCCAAGGATCCATCGGAATCCATTTCAAAATAAACAATCTCGCCAGAACTAAGAGCAACAGCAACTTGACGTTCGTTTGTTGTAGCGGCGACAATCGATCGATGCTGGGGAGCAGCCCACTCGTTCACACGACGATCAGCTCTAATGTGTCTGATACCTTTCGGGTGGACTTGGATCAAGCCATCTTCGCCGAGTTGCTGCACAGCCAGGGTTGGCGCACTAGACAAGAAACCAGTATCTGTTACCTCCTCGACAGTTTCGCCAATGCTGAGAACCAAGGTGCCATTGGTAAAGGATAAAATGATGTAGGCATCGTAGGTGTCATTTCGAGTGAGCTTGGTAGTCCAAACAGCTGACGGTACACCGGGCAGTTCAGATTCCACAATCTCGGAAACTTCTAGTCCATGTCTCAATGTTCTGAAAGTACTTCGAGCTCCAGTTCCACAGATGGAGTAGATTTGAGGCGCATCTTCTTCAGTCAAGTTAGCAACCTTGCACTCCATCAAAGGGTTCATAGAATCGATGCTCTCAACGAGACTCAGATTTTCTGCTGGGCGTGGATGGAAATAAATGGGTGTATATGGTTCGGTTGGATCGGTGGGAAAGTTGTCGCTTATGAACTCAATTTCCTCATCATCATCTCCGAGCTTCTCGAATTGATAGAACTGATGGTTACCAAATTCGCTGGCAACGAATAAGAAACCACTCTTCAAAATGCAAAGACTTGTAGCCACAGGGACGGTATCAAAGTACTTGATCTTGAGACGCTTGACCTCTCCTGTGGGTTGGCCGTCATCATTCTCAACCATTTCAATGGTGACCTTGAAGAGATCACCATCGTCAGTTTGCAGCAAGAAGAAGAATGCACCGGCAGCACCCTTCAACTTGTGCATAACACCGCCAACGATAACGCGCTTTCTTTTTGGGTCTTCAGTGGCTCCTCGTCTTCGAGGAATGGCAACACGGAAAGCTTCTTGATTCGAGTGTCGATATGTGATGTTGTCTTCACCGCATACCAAGACTCCACTAGGGCCATCAGTGCCTCCTGGTACCTGGAAAAGAACAGTGGCTGTCCGGTCTACTGGATCTGACCATTTTCTTACAACGTGGTTCAAGCCAAGATCTAGTTCGTAGTAGACTAGAGTCTTTTCGATTTCATCGTATGCTTGACCCGTTGGGTCCTGATCCGAGTCCCCGTAGTCGACCTCGAGGGCAGCAAAGACCGGATTCGCGTACCCAACATCCAAAGCACACATAGCAAACACCAAAGTTTGTGCTTTGTGTGCTTCCAAAGGAGATGAGATTGTCAACTCTGCCTGGGCATTGCGGTTGAGTACATAGACAAGCTTATTCTTCTCAACAGAAGCGATCAAGCAAGCTCTCCCCTTCGGGTCCACGGCAAGATATTGCCCTGGAATAACTCTCCGCACACCAGACTTTCCAAATGTTTCCAAATGTAATCTGTTGAACTTGTTCTGTGCAGGAAGAAACTCGACAATTGTGATTCGGCCAGAGTCGGAAGTGATGATAATGTAATCTATACACCTGTTTAGCAATCATTCTTCCAAAGCGTCCAATTTCTATACCACTCTCTGCCGGTGACGATTCATGGTGGAATTTCTCGTGCTGCCATCCATGCTTCAAATCACTAAGTGAAGTTCAAATGACAAGATTGATTGACTTACCCTTGTTACTTCCAGCCAGCCTGAAGGCTGCTATAGCTCTAATGATACCAAAAACATCGTGCGAAAGGGCTGTGACAATCTTGCCCTGCGACGGGTCTGGTCGGTGCAATGTAAGGCGAGAGCCTGACGCAGTGATGATCTGCTGCTCCTTTGTGCCTGTGAATTGGCCCAGGATAGCTTGGGTTGTGGCGGTGGGTGGTTGAACCGTCAAGCTGTACATGAACATAGAAGAGGTTGTCGCCATCTTGTCGCTGGCAGCGCAGGAAGTCTGCGCAGCGTAATTGACAGTACGAGTGCCTGCGGGCACGAAATTTGAAGTGTTTGCAGGCTGGTAGAGCTGACAAGGCAGCCTGTCGCAGCTTAAATCATGTCGAGGTGAGATACTTCGCATCCTGCAATCTCGAATGGAATTTTAAGAGGACTTTACTTCGACGCCTTTCCTCATTGGGACAAGTCACAATATCTTGAGCATCACTCCACACCCCAAAACACCAGAGCTTCACGATCAGGGCCAGGAACTGCTGAACGTTCCAAAAATGCGTAATACGGCCTCCTATACCTGTCATAGGTGCTTGAATGCGCTCAAAACCACTTCTCGAGTTTCACAAAGACCGGTGTTTTCTTCGCGAATAGCCTTCGGTAGAAGAACAATTTCAACAGGCCAGCAGAATGGACCAAAGTTACCTGGAAGGGAGGATACAACGCAGAAACCAATCGGTAGAAGGGCAGTCTCGTCACTGGGAGGTCAAGGACAGAAAGTGAAGAATGAACCATTCGAGTTCCGAACTCCACCAGGCCTCGAGTCAACACCAGCCCCCGAAACCGAAGGCAGACCCCTCTTAATGCCAAACAACCTCTTCCACCCCTTTTCCAGCTCGCCCTCCCCTGAAATCAGAAGAAGAGCTGCTTTCATGAAGCAGAATGCCTACTGCCCGCACCCTGACCACCACCAAACTCGGCTGCCCATGAACCCGGATGATCCAGAAGCACGAAAGTCTGTGAAGGGACCATTACCTCCTGCGCATGTGGACTTCGAATGTCCAGACTGTGGCATACCAGTTTCTTGCTCGGAGGAGCATTGGGCAGACGATTATGAGGCACATCTGGAGATTTGTGATACACTGAGAGAGATCAATGAGGATGACCACGATTTACGGTCCGGCAGGTTCTTTCCCGAATTCGAATATCCTGGAGATCAGATTGAGGAGGCGATGGTCAATATGACAAACTGGGATACATTCCTCTTTTCAAGAGAATTTAAAGCGATCAATGACGAGAGAAGTTTGCGACAAGCAACTCGACTGCTGACCTATCCGGTCACTATTGGTAGCGTCTTGCATGAACTCAGTCCATATAGCATAAAGAAAGAAGGGCGTCTGACCGTTGAGGGTCTGAAGAGTTTGAGTGGTATGTTTTTTCTGTTCATGGGCGAGGCAAAGCTAATAGACGTAAGCTCTGAGATACTCCCTTCACCCACCTCGTTCTGGAGGAGGTCCTGATATCAAGGGACTTCGACCTACCCCACCACCAATGAGAATCTTCATTCTCGGAGCGCGTGCAGAATCGTCTCTTCCGCGAGAAGTCTGGGTGCAGTTGACCCACCTTTTCCCCCGAGTTGCATTCCACCTAGTCTTCATTGGCCCTGAAAGTATGGCAAACAGAGATGCCGAATTCCCGCTTCCAGAAAGAACTCCTAGCAATCCATACGGAGCCATTGTGGAAGACAGGATTACGAATTCCATGAAAATAAGCACCTATGTTGAATACTACCACACCCTTCACCAAGCTGGACACTTTTACCCGTACGATCCATATTTCGACTGCTTCATGCTTTTCCATCCAGGTCTCGGACATCCTGCCAGCTCACATGAGTGGGAGGAGACGATTCCTCAGTTACTGGAGACGAAGGTACCTATCCTGGTCACAGGTTACACACAGTACGACATGGAGAGAGATATCGATTGGGTCAAGCAGAAGGTCGGAGGAGAGATGGATATGTTGATGGAACCAGGCGAGAACCGCTTCCGAAGTTTGAGGTGGGATCTCAATGATCTAGATCCTCAAGATATCAGCTGTGGAAATTGGGGAGTGTGGGCGTTCAGAGGCAAGAGGTAAGTCGATCTGGCTCTTGCGTTCGGATTAATCTGCTAATACGCGCTAGGTACGAGACGACCAAGAAGGGCCTTGAAGCGGAATCTTGAATCCGTCGAGTTGGTGAGGGACAAGATGTATCTCGGTGGTAGAGTGCACAAAGTCTGTATGAAAGATAAATTATGGCTTCTAGCCAGTGTATTTTAGGTCACACAACTCTAGGACGTCCCGAAGATTAAGGCTTTCGGGTTATGAAAATACTGTGAGGCGGCTTTGATAACACATAGAACAGCATTACATTGAGAAGCCAGCACGGCAACCCGCATATGCAGGAACACAACTCAATCTTTACAGGTGAATGCCTCTAACCAATCGAAGCAAACACCCTTTAAAAACTGCCACCATACCAACATAATCAAGGAAAAAACTTCAAAATTTCTCAAGAAGTCACGGTTTCTTGCTCTAGATATCGTTCTCTCTTTCTTCCACATTTGCTGTTCTAATCAAAGATTCCTAAATCATAAAGCCGCCTTGTCTTTCCCCCCCTCTCAAAGCAAGCCTCCTTATCTGGCAGCCGAGGCTAAAATAAATATCGATAAACTTCGTCATCGATCTTCCGAAAATAAACAACCATGAGTCTCGAAGTAATCTATGTAACCCGCCATGGGGTAAGCTCTTTTCTAACCGTCCCAAAATACTCTCTATACTCACAATCGGAAAAAACTAACAATCTTCGGGGGTTTAACTGACAATGCCTCACAGTTCCGCTCCAACTGGGTCGTCGACCCCAAAACCGGGGAATATTCAACCTCCATCCCTTCCCCCACAGGAATAGCCAGCGACCCCGAGCTGGCAGGTTACGGCGTCGCCCAATCCAAAGAACTCGCCTCGCATCTCGTCAACCTCTCCCCGCCCATCGAACGCATATACTCCTCCCCTTTCTACCGCTGCATCCAAACCATCACCCCAACCGTCACCGCTCTCGCCTCCTCAGGCAAACCCCTCTCCCCGTCCACAACCAAAGTCCGTGGCGAAAATGGTATCGGGGAATGGTACGGCATGGCGCGGTTCGACCACCCTTCTCCTGCTGAACCCGCGGTCTTGAAGAAATTGTTCCCGCATTACGATGAGGAGTATAAACCTACTATCAAACCGAGCGTGAATGGTGAGACGTTGGGCGAGTTGCATGATAGAACGGCTTATGCGCTGCATAGGATCATCGAGCAGAGCGATCGCGAGGGTGTAAAGGCTATCTTGCTGTGTACACATGCGGCGACGTTGATTGCGATTGGGAGAGCATTGACAGGAAGGATGCCGGAGGATATTGCGGAGGAGGATTTCAAGCCATTTACGTGTGGACTGAGTTCGTTTGTGAGAAGGGGGAAGGAGAATATGGAGGTGGGTGTAAAGGAGTGGGAGGGTCCTGAGACGGAGATTCCGAGGGTGGACTGGAAGGGTGGTAGGGGTGTCGGAGGTGGTTGGAATATTACTGTTAGCGGTGATTGCAGCTTCTTGAGTGGTGGTGAGGAGAGAGGATGGAGGTTTTCTGGAGACGAGTCTTTCGATCTTGCGGCTGGAGCTGGGGCTTCTGTGGATGCTGGCACTGGTCTGGGAGTTGTGGTTGAGGGCAAGAAGGCACAGGGCACTTCTCTAAGCCCGTCACGATTGTAGGATCTTTCAGTTTTGGGGTCTCGATGACTTGCTGCATTTTAGACGAGAGCATACTTCATTCGGATTGGGATAGATACCCTGGGAAATGAATACTACTACAAGACCCTTTCGTGTACATAGCTTTGGTCTATCTGCAGAGAAGATTCTTCCCTGTTGTTTACAATCTACCTGTCTAGTAGCGTGTCCCATTTCTGTTTGTCCCCAACGCCATATGAAGCATACGATCAAGGATACATGGCATGAGATGATACACACAATGCGAGTAAATTCAATATCCCGAAGGTTCCGGCTTTTCTGGGAATGCGGTTGCTTCCAAGTTGCTTAAGCATTCCTGTTTCCAATGTGCTGGTGTGTATTTGTCGACAATACTCTTGAAAGCCTCCTGTTGAGGTGAGCATGATTGTCAAATTGGCTTGAACTAGAAGAACTTACAAGAGTGCAAAAGGTATCATCTCCCTCGAGATGTTTCCCTGCCGCTTTACAGCCTGGAATCGACATGACCTTGTCGTTGTATCGTATTCTGACATAATAGCCATCTAGTTTTGACCGGTCCGATGCCTTAAGGTTTTCGACCTTTTGCCTAGCTATTGCCGTGGAAATTGGTTTTGATGGTCCGCTCCCAAATAATGTTCCAAACCAGCTAGATGAAGCAGATGCCTGATCTTGCAAGTGAGCCGTATTGTGTGACTGGAACCCAGATTTTCTGAAAACTTCGAATGCGATATGGCTAGTGTACGGAGGCCAAGGCTCTCCATCAAATGCTCCTAAGCTGGCCAGAATACCGGCGAGAGTCGTGTCGTGACATCCGCGAAGGGCCAGCTTGATGCTCCTTTCGCCCCCTCTACCCTCTCCAGTCGATCCGTCTTTCCCTCCTACTTCCTCATGTAAATCATTGGCATTCTGCTGAACACTGCCAACCATCTGCTCAACGACATCACCCATCAAAGCACCGATACCTAGAGTCCGATATTCTCGAGATTCTTGATATCCACTATACCATTCCTCGACGGAAATCTGATCGATGATTTTTCTACCTTTAGTATCATAGAATTCCTTTGGAAGCCTAGTTGCAGGACCATGGGCCAAGGTTGAATTCATTGTATCCATGATTCCAGAAAGTCGCGGATGGGAATCCACCGCAACACGTTTGCTGGATTCTGGCATCCACTTGCTGAGTAGTTTATTCAAGTACTCCATTTCATCCGTCTCATTCCAGCGATCGGCAGTTCTTTGAGCAAAGGCTCGGGAAAGCTGTGCAAATCTCCTACAATTGCTGTCATTCGGGAAGAGTGTTTCATCAGCAGGAGCACGAGTTATGATAGTAACTGGTGGAAACGAGGCAGCCCGGGCCTTTGCAGGATACATTCCCCAAAATACTTGTTGAAGCGACTCTAGTGCTCTGGGTATTGGAGTTGCACGAAGATATACCATATCTGCGTCATGGATCATAGCCGGCATGTACTGCAATTGATCCACGTAAAGATGTCTGAGTCTTCGACCAAGCTCAAAGGTCGTTTCCCGTCCCTTGTCCGTCAACTCGCCCAAATTGCAAATTGAGTCGACATTTCCGCCAGGTCCAGACGCTATCACAGGGTTGTCGTTGCTGCCGAACGTCTCCAACCGTTTGCGCCATTGGAGTGGCGACCATTTCCCTTCAGTGGCTTCATAAGTTGAGCTGACCATCTGTCTAGCAGCAGAACAATAAGGCCAGTAGGCGTGGAGGCCTGCGTTCTGAAATCTAGCGGAGACCGGAGAGCGCTCGCCGTGACGCAACAAGACCTGAACGAGCTGGAGGTCGAGGCCGTTAGGATAGAGTTTCTGCAGCTCTTCTTGGGAGTATGGACCCCGTGGCTGAAGAGTCGTCATGGCGATTTGATATGAATACTATAACACACTCAGCCCGAGCTGGACGGGATGTAGAGGAAACTGTATTTACTTTCACCGCGGGTTAGATGAACATGAAGAGTGGGAGGGTTGTGACTCTAATTGCTACCCTAAGTACGTGTAAGTGAGGTACAAAGGAACCCGAGGCACCGCACCCCACCAGAGCTCTCTGGTACTTATACTGCAGGGATGTGGGCTTGGCGACGTCCTGCTGTCGCGACTTCTGGGGAAAAAAGATCGCGACAGACTTCTGCAAGATGCGAACAAGCACTTACAGAAAACACTTTTCACTTACCCGCGAAAAGAACGACTCGTCATATCTGCGGAGGTAATGAGCTCCCCTCACATCTGCCTGGCATGCCGTCGATCCATCCGCCAGCTACGCCCTACCACAGTTGTGCAATGGAGGTCCCGAGCTGCCTTCATTTCTCTCAGTAACAACAAACCTCGAAGCAAAGATGCCAGGTCGTCGAAGGATGGCCAATTGAAATCCGACGAATATGATGGGGTTTCAGCTGTGCCTCCGAGGAGGAAGACGGTTCGACCAAAGAAGGACGTTCCTGGAGATGTTCTTGAATCTCTCTTCGAGCAGACCATCCACCCGCAACGACCAGAAGAGCAACATCACACAGATCATGAATCAATACTGGAACCCTATCAAAAAGTGCAGGAGTTAAGCAAGATGATGAAGGATGGAGCACCTTACCCCGACCAATGGGCATTCTTTGTCGAGAACTTCGGTCCAGCTGCACAACGTGCACGAGGCATAGCCCGAATATCAATGCCTTCATTCTTACGACCAACGATCAGCTCTATGTGGCACTCCATCGTACAGGCAAAGGAAAATGGCCATCCATTGCCAGAATCACTTCCTACTACTGCGGAAATTTCAAGGGTCTTCATGAAACTCGGTTATCTCCAAGGTCACGATTGGATTGAGATGGTGTCTCATCCTATCCGAGCCATCTTAACGATGAGGAACAGGGAGTTGGATGACCCAGAGATGGAGAAACGTCATACCGAAGATCTGATTGGTGCCTGGAATATTGCCTGCCGGGATATAGGGCAGTTGGAAAATATTCATGATAGCGATTCTCCATTCTACTGGTCATCATTGCCAGCCATCTCGACAGCGGATGCACTCAAAGTACACAAGAAACTAGGCTCCCACGATTGTTTTGGGCTTCTGGTTCCTTCTTTCTCACTGGGAAGTCTGAAAGCATTCCCTGTAGTTGCTCTTGCTACCTTTGGGCTTTTGACAGAACGTACCGTCGCTACAGAAAAGCTGAACATAGATGTATCGCCTCTTTTGATGACATTGAGCAGAGTGATTAGCGTTCCCGGCTTGGATTATAGCAGAATCTACTCGCCATATTCTACATCAAATGTCGCCCAGTGTTCGGATTATGTCAAAGCCAATTGGACTGGAATCTTAGCTAGGGCAGCAGAGATGGCACAATATCACCATCCTGAGGTTGACAAGACAAAATCAGAACGCGTGTCGCGTGCACCCGTTCAGATCAGTGTAAGCTACATCAACAGAAGACTTCATGAAGCTTTTACCAAAAAGAACCTACGGCAAGTCGACGAGATCTGGGCGGACGTGTCTAAATGGCCGGTGAACACCTCAAGCTCTGATGGCCCATCCACCGAACCAGGAACGATGTCAATCACTTTGGCTAATTACTTGATTCTTGTCTACATGGGACTTCGCCAACCGAATCGTGCCATCGATGTTTGGAATCACATGGTTAACACTGGTTTGACTCCGACTTTGAGAACCTGGGATTCAATGATGACAGGAACTATCAATGCTAGAGACCCTCGGGCACTAGAACAGGTCTGGACGAAGATGAGAATGGCGCAAGTTGAGCCGGACACAATCTGCTGGGCGACAAGGGTCGGTGGACTGCTCACATGCAGAAGGACTGATGCTGGGGTTGCCGCACTTGATGAGATGGGCCGTATATGGATCGAAGCGGCGAGGCGGAAGTATCCCAGCATGGAACAGTCCGAATTACAGTTGAGAAATGATGTCGCCGGCGCGGTCAAACCTTCGATTGAAGTAATAAATGCCGCAATAGGGGCATTGTTCAAGAACAACTTGGCCAAAGCTGCCTACAAGATTCTGGCATGGGCTGGAAAGTTTGGCATCGCCCCAAACGTTGATACCTACAACGCTCTCCTCGGGGCCTTGGTTCGGGAAGGTCGTTCACAAGAGGCCATGGCTCTGTTACAGCGGATGCATAAGACTGGCGTGCAACCAGACAGCTACACCTTTACGACAATTCTAGACGAAACATTCCGATCCGTGGATGGACATACACCAGAAGAGGCCAAGGAGATCGTTCAAAGTGTCTTTACTGAAATGGAGCTCGCAGGCCTCAAGCCCAATGTTCAAATATTTGGCAAAATCATCCGCCAATTACTTCCTCAAGAAGTTGTTCCGCCCGAAGAATTGGCCACTGTCCATGCCGTGATTGACATAATGAACAAGCAGGGCGTAGAACCTAACTCTTTCATCTTCACCATGCTCTTAGAGCAATACTTTGCTCAGACACCGCCAGATATGGACGCTGTGCGGAATACGATTGAGCGCGCGTCAAACACTAAGGGTGGAACCGATGGTATATTCTGGGACCGAGCAATTGAAGGGTATGCCCGCCTCAATGAGACCGGGCCCGCCATGAGGATTCTTGGAAAGGTTCAAGCCTCGAAGGGTAGGGTAGGCTGGACAGCAATGAGGCTGTTGTTATTGGCTTTGGTGGAGAATCAGGAATGGGAAATGGCAAAGACATTGGTCAACAATGCTATTATAGATAATGGGGCACCAGTGCCACGTGAAGTACGAGGTCACGAACGACAACTGAGTTGGGAGTTTTGGAGGTTGGCTCGTCAGTTTGGTCTTGTTGAGCAAGGGCCGGAACCCAAGGCGCAGCATATTAAAAATACGCAGAAGTGATGTTCAGCGGTCTGTCGCTAAGTTGTATATTAGAAATTTCCATTCATAATCTCAACGGTTGCCATCCCTGTACCAATAGCAGAGCCAACCTAGAATTTTGGGCGCAATTTCACTTCAAGATACCAGAACCATTATTCATCCCATGAACTCCATACAACCGTGCTGGCAGGGAAAACCGACACCTGTACCATCCAGAACCAGCCTCCCATAACACTGAACTCCGTTCCCATTCTTTCATCGCAGCAATATCTTTACGGACCTTGATCCATAGGATCTCCTCCGACCATTCCCACCACCCTCTCCAAATCCTCCACCTCTCCCTTCCCCAACTTGCGCCCCTCGCCTTGCCACTCTCCATCTCTTACCTCTCCCATCTCGCCCAACTCCAACCCTCTCACATTCTCCAAATGCCTCTTCGTCTCCCTCTCCACAAACTCTAGCCTCTCCCTCCTCCAAGACTTCTCCTCCTCCCCCACCAATCCCTCCTTTCCCCCACCATTCGCCAACTCCCCCAGCCTCGGCCTCAAATCCTCCAATAGAGTCTTCAGCGCCGGTAGCTGCGAAATCGTGAACTCCGTCGTCGTCGTAACGGGATGTTTGACATCCCCCGTTAATTCTCCCTTCTTCTGCAAAAACGCAAACGGCGCAGACGTCTGCGCTTCTTCCAGCCCAGGCTCCACCTTCTCTACTTGATTCAACAGCAACGATTTTAAAGACCTTATCGTCGCCTCATTCCTCGCCGACTCCGCCCTCAGCAAAGCATGCAATTTCTGCGTCTCTCTCAACTTCCTCCTCTGCAGCGTCACACTCTCCGTATTCGGCGCCTGCTCATCCTGCGCAAAGCTCAGACCCTCGTAATGGCTCAATCGGATCCAATCGCGCACTTCGGGGGGTACACTCAGTATATTCCGTAACGCGTAGATCTCCAGCTTGTCAAAGTTCTTGTCGATTTTCGCTTCGAGGAGGGTCTCGAGCTGGTGGACGCCGTTCTCGATTTCATGTTTTGCTTTCTCGGTGATGGCTTGCGCAGCAAAGGGGTCGAATGAGGAGGTCTGGGAGGGGGTCTTGAAGCCTAGGTCTTTGGGGTCGGCGGAGAGGAGGCCTTTCTCAACGGCTTCGGAGGCTTTGAATGCGAGGACGTTGATGCTGTGCGTTATGTCAGTATTGGGCCTTGGGATGGTATTTTTGGAATGGGCGCACCTATTTACTATATCATCTATTAGGGCAGCTGGCCGGTATGTGAGGTGTTCTGTCAATAGAGTGACATCTGAGTTGATTGACGCGCTCATGGTGCCAGTTGGTCTTGTATGGAGGGGTTTGCGCCAATCTTGATACTGGGCGCAACTGAGGTCGCACAATGACCGCAGATGATTGTATGTTATGGGACTTATCGTAGGTACTAAAACCACTCCTGGAGTTGTCTACGGGTGTCTGTTGCGTTCGTTTCTTGGTGAAGTCTGAAAGTTTCTTGATGTTGATATTTACTTTGCGGGGAGACGCGAAGTGCAGCGGGATCTAAATTGCTCGGCGCGACCTCGGGCTAGGCTCTGAACCTCGCCTTCTTCAACTCGGCACAGGCAACATAAAATCGTCCATAAATATTTTCCCAAATGCCATATATCGGTTCCCATATTTACCAGATGTTCTCGACATGAAATATCCCAATCAGGACGCCCCCTCATTGAATCTATTAGAACCAACACTCCAAGCCCAAGGGTCTCGTTTCAACACCCACTTGAAACATCCAAACATCCAAGATCTCCAATCACACCCTCAAGGATTTCGAAAATCTTATGATCTACACCTCTTATTAACTGTATCAGATGTCATCGCCATTACCCGTATTCCGACGTCACGCCAGGTCCAGGTTCTTGAAACCTCGAGATGCAGGCCCCAGAAGACCCAGATGAGGCTGTAAGCTTTCTGATACAGGTGTGTACTTCGCGTCGCAAGTTTGGGTAATCGGGTCCCCGGAGCACGACGCCTCCTGAGCATGGCATTGTAAACATGAGGTTGTCGTACATGCTTACTGCGCCGCCCCCAATTATACTTGGACTTTGCTTGGAGTTGAAAGAGTCAAGGCTCTTCGGCTGGATGAGAAGGCTTGGAAAGTTGCCAGTGCGAGACTCATACGCCGAGTGTGACGTTCTCCATGGGGTCAATTAAATGGTCTTTGATGTCCGAACATTTTGATGTCTGAACATTTTCCATGGCAGATTTGTATAGTAGCTTTCGTTGGCTTCTCTTATTCTCCGTCTTGTTACTCTTTTCTATTGATGGGGCAGGACCTCTTCTGTTCACTGGCTGAGAGTTACAAGTTACGAGCTGAGGGTTTGAATATGGGAATTTGTTGGTAGGTCATGCCAGATGCGGAGACGAAGCTCCGCCCTCTACCGAGTTTGACATGAGAGGTGGCTCGAGACGCTCTCCCCGTTAGGCTTTTGAGACTGAATAATCTTTATTCAGTCAAACCGGGCTCTGTTGGTTTCCATCTGTCAAGTGATGGATCGAGTGCCACGGTTAGATCACTTCTTTGGTTCATAGGATGGCCAGTAAAGCTTGTCCGTCCCAAGAAAGTTTGAAATCTGCTATTGATTATTTGGACGGCCTTATACCGGCTCCGTCCAGATGATGTTAGCCGGATTTTTACTCTGAGACTGTCAAGTGACATATCATTACGCGGCACTATAATTTTCCATCAATAACCCCTTTCAACACAAACTTATCCCATCCACTACACCACATGACTTCTCGTAACAACCGAGGATAAGTCCAAGAAGTTTTTATTATCGATTGCGTCAGGAAATCCGGCAAATTTCATCCATCCAAAGATCCCAACATGTTTCACCGAGTTCAAACAATCACCACACAAGCACAGATTCCAAATCCAAGATACACGTTCCAAAAGCCCAGCCCAGAAACTCGGCTCAAAAGCTGCCCAAGGCTTCTTTGTTGGTGTTCGACTCCCCGTCTCAGTCGTTTGATCTCCCTCTCTCCCTCCACACGTTTCAGGAGCCGGGAGAATCCAAAGGTGAGATGGGACGGAACCATGGAACCCAAGTACGAGGTTGCCAAGCGATAATGCACGAACCTATGTGTACGTATAAGCAGCATATAGTGTCAGAGACCCAACAGAGAAGATACAGAGGCATGGTAGGGTAGGGATGACATTGCCACATATCTGGACATATCTGGTTTACGTTCACTTTGCGGAGGCACGACTTGGCTGAACTGGGCGGGGCTGTTGGTTCGGCTACATCTGACCTGCAGCAGTTGCAACTCAGAAATCCAGTCACAAAATCTAAAGAAGAGCGTTTCAGATCCGTACACACTTTTCTATGAGAGGGCTGTGATTTGTCGGGGTTTGTGTTGGAACACACCTGCGCCCAACATTTAGGCTGAGAAATTCAACCGAACAAGACTTTAGGTGGAGAAAGTTGGAGAAAGGTTATCCAGAAGCTTATCTTCACCATGCTGGTTCCGGAACCAGGCAGGGAGGGACAAGGCACGAACATGATCTGAAAGCAGGTAAGCTCACGAAATCAAGAATTTGCACGAGATGATGCGGAAGAAGGTTCGAAGAATATGTTCATGCCATTAATTGCCCTGCTATGAATCAACCCAAACCCAAACCCCAGTCCACCCCTTCGCGACCACCCCTGCGCCAGCCAGCCAGCCAGCCATCCATCCATCCATCCCGCGAACACCTTTTGCCCCTGCATGCTCCAGTTCACCCACCCGCCGGCCTTTAATCGCTGCCACTGTCACTGCTCCGTTCGCCACAATAGGTAGGTATGTAGGGTAGATGGGTAAGGTAACAAGTAGCAGCGTGATGAATTATCGTATCCCTCTCTCTGTATGTAAAAAGTATGCTCGCCCCAATGTCGCGTGAGCGATGCGGGAGCGGAGCCGAGTGTTGGAAGTGAATTATATTGGTATCGGTATCTGTCATCTATGATGTGCGTGCAAAAGTGATGCCGTTTCAAACTGCGTAGAACCAGTACCTAGAGGGAATTGTTAGTGTATGTTTTGAGAATCTTGTTAGGAGAATGCGCTTACTCAGCAGCGTACTGGACCTCGAAGGAAGCAGGCATGCCAGTGCATGATGTAGGCGGATTTCCTCCAGCAGTGTTGATTCTGTAGACTTCCTGGAGACCACCGGTTGCGCCGTCACGAGTAGTGAGCTTCAGCCAAGCGACGGTACCGAAACCCTCACCACCCTGCCCTTTGGTCGTTAAAGCTGGTGCAGGAACTCCGGCATTCTTCTGGCAGGGTGCAGTGCCTAGATCTTTGCCGGCGACGTTCAAAGTGAAGACTGGGGTGGTGCCGTTAGAGAAGTAGTGGTGACCGCTGATGACGAGGTTGGATGGGGAGAGCGAGCGTTGGTTGGCATCTGTGAGGTTGAATTGAAGAGCTACGTCTGGGAGGGCGGCAAGTAGATCTGGGTAGGATGCGGCTACACATGATGCGTTGTAGAGTGTGGCAATTGCTCCATTAGCGACCGGAATGGCGGTTGAATTCTTGGTATCGCATGTGTAGTTCTGTGTTCCTCGTCCAATTGCGACATGCTTCAAAAACAGGCCTTCGGTGACAGCAGGTAGAGGTGTTGGAGCTAAGAAGAGTTAGTATATATTTTCTATGATAGTTCTTCGAGTACCTACAAGCAGCAGGCATCTTCGCGTTCTCCATGTTGCAAACAGGAGCTACGGCCATGTTCTTCCCTTCCTGGATCTTCTTGCCCAACATTTGAAAGTAATCAGAGAGAATCTTCATGTCTGTAGGCTTGTCTGCCGATCCAGCGGAGAATGTGAGGGTTGGGGCAGCAAGAGCACCAGCGCACAGCGCGGAAACACTCCAAATTTGAGAAAGCATGTTGATGTATGCGAAAGGTAAAGAAACAAATATTAGAGATATTAGGATGTAGAAGCGGACCAGGTGGAAGAGGAGGAGCACGGTTCGAGAGACGAAAAGAAAACAGCGACCACAACGATTTTCGAGATGAGAGACCAGATGGATATATAGATGGGATGGATCAACTGATGGGAAGGGGTAGTTGATAGGTAGGTCGGGAGGTAGGTTGTTGTAAAGCGCACAGATGATATGAGAATCAGGCTCCTTACCTGGCTGGATCTGCGAACGGTCTTATACAGGCCATGAGTATGTGCAATTTCTTGCCCAGTTCCAGTTTTAGAATGCAGAGGGTTGGGTTGGGTTGGGTTTGGCCGACCACACTACGAGTACATCGCGCTGCAAATAATCCTGGGCAGCGGTAACCATGTATTCTAAAACGGGGTGGTTCCATCGCAGACGCTGATTCGCAATAAGTCCCCTGCGGGCGAGAAGCGAGGATGCGACCCCAGCCTATCGTGAGAGCGGGCGCTGCCAGGAGGAGGCGGGAGCGGAGCTGCGCTAACCGAGAGACATTTGACGCTCGGTCGCTGACAACCAGACCGCTTGCTGGACAAATAGGGAGGGCAGAGGGCAGCCTGGCCCCCCTCTCCCCTTCGTCGAAATGGAAAGCCTAACTTATGGCTTGGGGCACCTTGGGGCACTTGGGGGTTCTTCTCCCAGGAAACACTTCGCGTCTCGAAGTCCTCTCCTTGCAGCGCTGCCCAGAGCATCAAACGCTGTTCGTAGATCGCCGCCCCCTTCAGCAGAGGTCCCTATGCTGAATTCAACTGAACTTGTTGTCAGAGCTTCTAAACGCTGCAGCGATCACATCACTTCAGCCTAATCCTGCCTCTGAAATAGCATAGGTGTATGATCCTCTGTGCGTCTTAGAATAGGGTTTGACTGATAGCGGCCGTGTGGAGTAAGAATTATGGGATGCTTCCACCCGCATTTCCTGGCCATGTTCTCCGAACACTAAAACATAACATTTGTGAGGCCGGGTGGATGCATATGCTGCATACTGGAGCACATTAGAGCAGTCCACTAAAAGCACAATTTCCATTGGCAGCTTGCTTTGCTTCATACTGTAGCTGGTCCTGGTAGAACAGCGTTTAGATATCGTGTATCCTGGAACCCTTCAACCGCGGAGTTCATACCAAGACCTCCACGTATTTCTTGCAGTGACGCTCCCGAATCCGCTAGAGTGAACCTGGGATGGAATGAAGACCTTGGCTGTCCTCCCAATATTTTGACGCCTCCAAGAGGTCCATAGCCGCGATTGATTTCTCGTCGAGCGTGGGAGTGTTGGCGCGGTAGAAAGTATTGGATGGCAGGCAATCTTGAACAGAAGAAGCTATTCATAGCTGACAGATCGCCAGCGCTTAGAGAAAGTATTTTTGGACCGTGGCGTGCGGCTCCCCGCCAACCTTATCTGAACTGGCCAATGGGGGCAGATGTTTGTTCTATCCGAGAAATGATCGTCTGAAATTGCGGGTCGGCTTCTGCGGCGGCCAGTGGAGTCGATGAGGATCCTCTGGCGGGAATCGCTTTTTGTGGCTATTATTATGCAAGCAATTGAAAGAGCTTCTCGAAAGCGTTTGGAAGTCTAGGAAGAGAATCCCGATGAAAAAAATCTGGAATCGTGGCGCCTGGGCTTGAAGCCTCGCTATGCCGCTGAAGTCAAATATGACAAGACTCGAGACTTGGCCAATTCCTGGTCGCTTGTCTCCACTCCACATGGCTTCGGTCAGTGAAAAAAAATAACACCAGGCTCATGGTCACCGCATGGTCTACTGTAATCATGCAAGATTCAATTGTCCCTGAACGTAGTGGCCCATCTGTACTGGTTTAGGTCTGCGCAATTTCGACCACAGGTCAAATTACCCCACGCTGAAAAATTGAGCCTTCCCCAGGAACCATTGATGGAACAATCAAACAAGCATCTCATGTGCGGGAATCTAGGAACGGATCAGAAACTGGCCTTGGCCGCTATTGATTGTCACAAATAATACATTCCTCTCGCATTCTCACGATGACTTGTCGCTGAACCCTGCCTGTTTCCATTCGCCGTGTGTTGTCAAGTCCTCCCCGGGACTTGCAAGAACTGGTCCCGCTCCAGCGGCAGCGACTGCTCCTAAATTGCTCCCGGCATCCCCTGTACCCAGCCAGTATAGGGAAAGGAACACAACGAGATGCAATGCCACGCAGTACCCCGCAAACAGGTTGCGACTCGTCCTGGTAGCCAAAACCATTCTTGTAATCGAAAAAACTATGCGCTCTGGAAGGCTCATGCGCTTATACGCTCGAGCTGACTCTCTTCCTCGAAATGCGGCAAATGGAGAAATGTTCGATTCGTAGGCTGAGCGATAGCGATCCAGTGCAAGTCCAGACGACGTTGAATTGGACATTTGAATCGTTGAAGGGTTGGGATTCGTAGAATACGAAGAAGCGGAGGAAGCTGTCGGCCCGGCTCTGTTGTATGTAGAGACATATCGTGTCTTCTCGTACAGATTTAGATTGTCCTTCTGCAAGGATGCTACTTCCTGTCGCAAAGACGAAACTGTGCGATGGCTCTCTGAAAGCTCATTTTCAAGTTGAGTGTTTCTTTTCTTGAATCGATCACGCTGTGCTGTGATCATTGGTAAAATGCCGGACCCACCGCCGACTGGTTCTCCAGATCTCAAAGCCTCAAGAGAAGTTGTGCCCAATGATGCTGATCTTGGATCGAATCCGGAGATAATCGACGAGGTGGGCGATACTTTGCCTTTACGACCGAAATTTGCTGATGACTGGGGATATCTGCTTGCGTATGTTCCAGCAACTGATGCCCCAGACGGATAAGCATTTGCAGACTCATGAACATTTGCTAGGTCGTTCTCCAGGGTAGAGTTCAGATGTTGAGCTCTCTCAAGTTCGGTGTTTGTCTTAGACAATTCCTCCTGCATTGACTGGAGCCGGCCCTGGAGGTCTTGGTGTGAAACTCTGAGAATAGTCAATTCGTCACTGAGTTTTTTGTTTCGAGCAAGCAGAAGCTGCTCTAATGTGTCCCCTTTCCCTTTGGCACCGTTCTCTGCTCCAGCCTGGGACACAGGTGTTGCATCAGCAACATCTGGGTCATCATCATCTCCTGTTGAAAATTCAATGCTCTTCAACACTTCCAGCTCCTGTTTGACGTCTTCATAGTCGCTCCATTTCTTTACTTTGGTGAGCAGAGTATCACGCTCTTCCTTCAGCATTGCAATTTCCCGTTCAAGAGTCCGTAGTCTCCCATCCAATTCTCGCTTTCTAGAGTCCCGCTCAACCCGTGCAGCATCAAGCTTCCGCAAAAGGGACGAGTTCTCAGATCTTATTCTCATGAAAGATGGGTCATCTTCTAGGTTCAAGGCTGGTTGACTAGGTACTTGAGATGCTGATTGCGCGAGCTCGATTCTTAATTGTTCGTTCCGGGCTTCAACTTCTGCCAATCGCACACTCGTTCGCTCGAGGTCCGAGTTGACCATTTCCAATTCCGCACTGGTAACATTTCCCCTGCCGCCTTCATTTTCCGACTCAGACTGTCCCAGACGCTGCGTAACTTCATAACTGGCCTTAATCTCGTTCAAAAGTCGGTCTTGGTTCTCCACTTTCTCTTCGAGAAGTTTTTCTTTGGCTTCCCAGTTATCTTTCTTCTCTTCCAGCACGGCTGCCCATGAAGTCTCGACCTCCTTAACTTTTGTCTCCAAACCCTCCTCAATTCCCTTTCGTGTTGCTCTTTCGGCTTCCAGTCGCGATTCCGTATCTTCCAGTTGTGATGTAAGCTTGCTGACACTCTTTTGTAGATGCTCATTCTCCTGTGTGACTTTTGGGAGCGTATCTTCGGACAGAAGTAGGGAGTCGACCGATGCCTCTAGAAGTGGATATGGATCGGGTGCTTCGGAAAGTGAGGAGTAGACTTGCAGGAATGCAGAGTTGGTTGATTTGGAATGATTCGTGAGCAGGTCGATGAAGGTTTGGTATGCTGAAATTGAACGTAAGTTTCATGGCGAGCATCTATCTTCGTCAACACGCACCTTTCAACAGCCCTTTGATCTCTCCGAGCTTGGCACTGTCGTCCAATTTCCTGAAGTCTTTCGTTTTCTGTGCCAGGTCTTTCCGCTGCACAGTCGAATCTCGTTGGTACTGCACAATCTCCGATGCGGTATTGTCCAGGGATGGAATCATCGTTGTGAGATTGATGTCTTGTTGTAATTAGCAGATGACAGCCTCTCAGGATATGAATGCCTACTTCGCCATGCTGATATCGCCTTCTGGAATTTATTGTCGGTGTCCTGCCCTGACGATCCATGATGCTCACCAGCAGAGGCCGAATTGGCAGCCTCCAGCATGGCGGCGTCTGCTAAATCAGCCATGTCGCAAAGAGCTTCAGTAAGTAATCATCAGATGTTGATCGAATTGCCTGCGTCTGCCAGAGCGTCTCTGTAGCTCATGGATTGTGCCAGGACGAGTTGAAGTGTTTGAGCAAACATACATACATTCGAGAAGTTGTTGAAGCGTGTTCTTAGAGGTCCAGGCACAGCACTGCACAACACCAACACAGCCCTGAAGCTTGGGCCAGCCCCTGTCCATGCTCGTTTCCCCAGACTTGTTCAAGGCTAGCGCTCCCGGACATTTCACTGCTAACAAAGGGAGGGTGGTAGAGGTAGGTAACTATAACAACAACTTCAATTTCATAGTCCGTTTGATCAGATTGTAATTGAACACCCGGAAGTATTGTCACAATGAAACTAGAAGGGTTGTCATTCTTCCAGGTGTTTTCTTTGGTTCTTTCAGCTGTGGACTATTCACCAAGCATCCTGGCCTGGATGCTTCGGTAACCCCTGGCCCACGCATTCCAGGAGAAGTCTCCTTGAAGCGAGGGCAATATCGGACCTAGCCACCGAGTCGAAGAGCCGGTGAGCTCATCAAGAAGTGGGATGTACTTCAGTCCTTCACTTGCAGCTTGTTCAAGCAAGTTTTACGCAGTCCATTGCCTATGAAGGCGTCTTTCGTGTTTTCCCCAAAAATCGGCTGGTCCATCTGCATATTCACGGAGCTAGGCAAGCCTTCGCTAGGCAGTGCCCTCTCACCGAGTACGCAGCAAAACTTGCCGAAGTACGGAAAAACCACAACTCTTGATTCGATGGCTATGCATATAATACGGTCGGTCCTCAGTCCAGTTGACTCTGATTCGATCTGAAACAGGGTAAAGCTTGTTAGTAGCCTGCGATACTGCATGAAATAGTATGGAGGGCTGAAAATGGCTTGCATGTCAATGATAAGCGTCTGGACATTGGTTCGTGCAATGCCGTCTCGTTGCCTGCTTTCAACCTTCAAGGCTTACACAGCCCTACCACCATATGCGGGGAAGGAAGCGATAAATATCAGTGTATCCCTCAGCAACTGTTGTATTGCCCTTCTCATTTCCTCAACCTCTTTCCTGCTTTGCTTAGCGAAATTTTGAGATTCTGCGAACTTATATTGCGAAGAAAACCGACTAGCAAGCGTCTTGACACCATGGCCGCCACAAGTACCCATCCTGGTGATTCCATCCTGGCGATTGGAGAAACTGGGAAGTCGCTCATGGCCGCGTTCACAAGGTTGATAACGTACCGCAAAGTTCATGACAGGAGACTCGAAAACCTGTATGCCACCCTTTCGCTTACAACCAACATGCTCACGGAGCTCGGAACTACGATCAACACATACGAGAGTGACTTCCGCATCAAGGATGAAGTCACCGGTCCGATATGCGAGACTGCTAAGACAAACCTTGAAAGGCTTCTTGTTATGGTCAATGAGGGTAATGCAAATGGCGTCTGGAAGAATGACGGTACTATCGGTGGGCTCACTGTTACTGCCGAAGCTGATCCATGGTTTCTCATCACAATGGCCTTGGGTGGCCGTGAAGAAGCCAAGATGTACTGGAAGAGTCTTGATGACACCAGAGACACGCTTCTTGAATTGAACGACATTATCAAGTACCGGATTCTGAAGACGCTTAGTGACAAGTATGCCTCCTAGATTGATAAGATGTTTATCTTATGTTGACTAGATTCTAGAAATGCCCTCAAGCCGGATCAAGTCGAAGAATTCAACAAGCTAACCTCGCTCCTTCCCCACATCTTGCAAAGCCTCGAGAAAGCCGAGAAGGGGAAAAAGCTTGAGGCTGAGGCTGCTGCGAGAAAGAAGAAGCAGGAAAGCGACCGGAAGGCAGCTGCTACAATGCCCGACCTCTCTCGGAGAGAGTCCAATGTCAGTGACATGACTCTGATTGTTGAGCCAACAAGGAAGAGAACCCCTTTCGTCAAAGATGTGGATTGCGACTCTATCTTGTCAGTCAGCTCGTCAGACTCTGAGTAAGTAGAATTCTTCATTCTGGAACATGCTTGAGCTAACAGGAATATAGTTCGTTCATTGATATCCCAGAAATATACGAAGAGTGGTCCTTCCGTTGGAATGAACCTATCAAGAACGTCAACAGGAGCTGGGGCTTCTTGGGAATCAAGTTCAAGTCCTATTTTGAAGATACTGGGTTCTGGGCGACCGACTCGGAATACAGGACTCAAGGTGAAATGAAGGAGCAACACCAGTTTGCCGCCGGCGATCTCTCTCCAGACAAGCATAAGGAAGCGATGCAGAAGGCAATCCAAGCGATCCCAAATAAAATCGGATTCGAGGTCGACAATCTCATCGAGACACGCACCGATGCTTCGTCGCACGAAGGGGCGAAGCGACAATGGACTGTCGTCGCAGTTCGACCACAACAGAAGTATCCTTATGGCTCGGCCAAGAAATGGGGTAAAGACCCAAAATATACCAACTGGTTGGTTACCATCAAGGGCGAGACTGTCGATAAAGTCGAACGCAGCCGTGCTTTGACCAGGCGAGACGATCCGTGGAGAAAACAACGAGGCTGGAGCCCACGGTCTCGCAGCCCACGTCGTCGGTACCCCATCATTCACGATCGGCCTCGCAGCTCATACAGCCCTGTTCGCATCCCGATGCCGAGACCTTCATACCGAGGTCCACCAGGACCTCCACCACCACCAGTCTTCGCTCGAGAGGCCATACCAGATGAGGGTTTCCGTCAAGGAAATATTGTTATAGGCAAGATTCTCAGCAAGGAGGAAGCTGTGAAGAAGATGGATGAAGTGTGGGAGGAGATGACAACAGTGAAGGAAACTGTTGAGGCTAAGCCTACTGTTGACTAGGGTTTTCTGGTGAATTATCGTGAATCGTTTACGAATAAGATGTTAACGAGTTTCCTTCTTGGGTTGAGCCCCTCTCTGCTGGTTTTGGGATTCCAGTTTCTTCTTCGTTTTCGATTTTGCCTTCGGAGCACAGTTCTCCGGTTTGATGATTTGCGATTCTTGGAATTGGTCAACTTATGATTTGGTAGTAGCGGTCATATTTTCAGCAATTAACAACCCATTAAGCTAGATTACGTAGGTAAATAAATTGCTTTGCCACATGGCAAGCATTTCGCACGCACAGTTATGGATCGTGTAGCATTCCCCCCCTACATCATTCTGACTAAGACGACTTGGTCGCCAGATACTTCCTTGGAGAAGTTAGTACTGATTGACACCATGTAACTTCCCCTTGAAATATATACAGGCACTGCGATAAGCTTACCGGAGACCAGGAAAGAAGACATGGTCCAATTCATCATTGGATAACACTACGGTGGCAACGGTTCTCCATTCCAATGGAAATATTCTCCATAAATATGGAGGTATTTTATGGAAAATCCTTCCATGGGAATGTAGAATATTTCCATTGGAATGGATTTCATGCCATACAAAACGAAACATAGAAATATCCATAAATCCATAATTATGAATTTTCCTCTATTTTTATATATTCAGTTCTATAGATCATATTTACAGTTTCCTGCTCCCTACTTTCCCACTTTCCTACCCCTCCACCTCCTTACCTCCTTACCTCTATACCTACCGTAGAGAGACCTACTGTGGAGAGAGACCTACCGTAGAAAGACCTACCGTGGAGAGACCTACTATAAGAAGACTTACCGTGGAGTGAGATAGAGAGAGGGGGGGATAGAAAGAGAGGGAGAGAGGGAGAGAGGGAGAGAGGGAGAGAAAATAGGGGGGTAGAAGGGGAATCATATGGAAGGATTAAAGTTTGAGTACTCCCACACGAAACACGCTTTGACAAAGAGAAAGTAAGTTCCATAGGTATGGAAAGAACTTCCATGATTATGGAATAATCTCCATCCCTATGGAGATTCTTTCCATGCCAATGGAGAGATTTTCCATGCTAATGGAGCTATTGCCACCGTAGTGTAATCGGATTCATATCTTCCAGATTTACCCCCTTAAATGGATCGGTTCTTTCATCTCATCGATCATACACTACCTCTCAACCGACGTAAGCTTCTCGTGGACCAGTACTAGAATTAAGTTCGGATGGATACTGGATCCACTATGCAGAAGCAATGCCTCTCTTGTTGACATTCGACCAATGCCCCTTGTTTTAGCGAGTTGACGCTTGTGCCGCTCTGACACAGCCCAGCGAGCCAGCCCAGCTCTGAGCTGATCCCTGCAGAGCTACGACGCCCAGCCTTCCGCACCTTGCCTCGTGTTGGAAGCTCATCCCACCAACTCCCCCAGATCACTTTGCATTTCGGAGCAGTGAAGCTCGAAACACAGCGCAGAAACATGCGATAATTACTGTTCGGGCGCAAGCTTAATGAAACATGGAACCCAAAGACCCTGAGGAGACTGCAGTGAGCAGGCGGCAGGCAGCCGCAGAGACGGGACCATTCGTACTTCGCGCCTTGCTCGAGGATCTGCCATTGTCTGCAGAAGGGGATAGAGATGATATCGAGATAAATTGCGTGGAATTTCTAGGTATTTCTCTGCACGATCGGTCGCTGGGTGCTGGTAGCTAACATTGTGTAGAACAGAACCTATACGTAGGAACGTCCGCATCCGAGATACTACACTTTGTACAAATACCTCCCGACCCCGAAGATCTCTCTGGAAAGCCATCGTATATTCTGGCATCAAGATTACCTCCCGCATATCACGAACCTCCGACCGCTGCTCGACCGGGCGTGCAGCAGATATTGCTCCTACCTAAAGTCAATAAGGCTTGCATATTGTGCAACTGGACAGTAACATTCTACTCGCTCCCAGAATTGAGCCCTGTGTTTGGAACCACGCAAATACGGCCGTGCAATTGGATTGGTGGCATAGACTTGAATATTGACTTGAGTGGGAGTGGACAAGATGTCAAGGCTCCTTCTGTTACGGTTCTGGCTTCTTTGAATAAGAAGATAAGGGTTATTAAGATCAGTGAAGATCCTCGTGGGCTTCGGGTTGGTATTTGTCGAATATGTGCCAACTAATGCTAACAAAAGGACAGACAATCGACTTCGCAGGAAGTGTGACGTCTGTTCGCCGAGACTCATTCGCTTGTGTTGCTGATTCTCACTCGTATGCGCTTCTGGACGTCGATCGGTTGCTCAAGATACCACTTTTTCCCATTTCTTCGCTAGATGATTCACAGTCTGGCAATATTGGTGGCTATGTTGAGGATATATCTGGTAATACTACTGGAGGCATATCGCGAAGTACATCTTCGGCCCAAGCATACTCCAATACGCCTCCAGATGACAGGGGCCATGGGCGCAGTACGAGTTTAGGTACATTTATGACTGGTGGTGCTCGTAGACCAGGACAAAGAGCTGCAAGCGGCGATCGTACAGGACGAGAGACACCAGAGGGAATATTTCGAGAATCATCGCCCGCTGCAGCAAGAGAGCCAAGTCCAGCGAATAAGCCCCTCCCTGCCCCTCCATCTGATTCCGAGGCCACAGAACAACAGCAGCCGCCAGCGCCGCCAGCTCCTGTATTACTCAAGCCTCACGTAGTGTCCCCCACGCCTCAGGAGTTCTTACTTGTGACTGGTACTGGCCCTCGTGATCCTGGAGTTGGCATGTTTGTGAATCTCGAAGGAGACCCAACCCGATCTACTTTAGAGTTTGACAAGTATCCAGACCAGCTCGTGGTCGATGGTCGCGGAGTTGGCGTGGACCCGACCGCAACAACGATTGATGACGATGAGGAGGGATTTGTACTTGCCTCAATGTCTCGTGATTTTGGCGAAGAATCTCGATATGGCGTAGAAATCCAGCGGTGGGACTTGGATCCTGGGGAAGGCGATATTGAAAAGCACTGGCTGGAAGCGCCGTTATTGAAAGCTGATAGCAGTCCTGGGAGAATTGGTCTTCGGTCTGTTGTTGATGTTGGAGATGTCTTCTTTGAAGACGTTGTGGAAAGATTGCGGTCGAAGCGCTTCCAGCCATTTGCGACGAGATCTATGGACGCATCTATTCTATCACTGCATAGTGTCGATTCTAGGACAGCAATGTCACTGGAACGTGTTTCTGGCGAGAGAGAATTATTTGAGAGCACTGACGATCTTCCACAAGGATGGGAAGACCGTCGAAATGAGGAGGAGCAACAGTTTGCCCAGCCGCTTGGACACGCTCGTACGCGCTTAGTTGCCTGGTCTGGAAATGCCATTTGGTGGACAGTTCGGAATCCGCTTGTTTTGAGGTTGGATGCCAGCCTTACAGATATTACTACTACTCAACTCCGAGAAGACCAGACGTACCCTTCAATCGACCGAAGAAAATTGATCGAAGTGGTCAACTCGTTGCGTGGCCGTGAGGCCAAAACGGAAACTGAGTATCTTAGCCTTGGGTATATCAGACAGCGTGCAGGACTGTTACTGTTCATGAGTGGTTTCGATGCCCTGGCACCACCGCCTTCAGAGCCCGAGTATCGGATATGCGAAGACGCTTTGCTCGAAGGTGGTTTGGATCCACGAGTCATTCTTGCCATTGTCCCATATCTCAGAAATGAGATCGTGGAAGGTCGAAAAGGCATATGGATTCACGGAGGTGTCAAAGATGTTGCAGATAGCTTCATCACAAACAGCATCTCTGAAAGCTCAGACCCCACCAAGCAGAGCGGTATCATGTCCGACCATATCTTAAACTTTCTAAGAAGATTCTTGACAGCATGGAGGAAAAAGAAAGGATTTGGAAGTATCGCCAACGAAAATGAAGTGTTCAGAAGCGTTGATGCGGCACTCTTGATTGTTCTACTTCAGCTTGACAGGGCTACTCCTCCTGGCCCTCCAAAAGGGAAGTCTGTGAGACTAGACCTATATGAACTTGTTGACAAGGGAGTTGATTGTTTCGAGCGGGCTGTCTCCTTGCTGGAGTCTCACCGACGTTTATATGTACTCAGCCGACTTTACCAAAGTCGGAAGATGGCCGGCGAGGTGCTTGCTACTTGGCGCAGAATCGTTGAGGGGGAGCCTGATGAAGGCGGGGAGTTCCGAGAAGGCGAGCAAAAGGTTCGGGACTACCTTACCAAAATACGGAATCAAGCCTTAGTACAGGAATATGGTGTCTGGCTGGCAACTAGAAACCCTAAGCTTGGTGTTCAAATCTTCGCCGAGGACCGAAGCCAGGTTAAATTCGAACCGAATCAGGTTGTCGAGATTCTCCGGGCGGGCGCGCCTGGGGCAGTTAAGGATTACCTTGAGTATCTTGTTTTTAGCAAAAACCATGCCGAGTACATCAATGAGCTTATAGCGTTCTATCTGGACATCGTCACCAGCAAATTAGAGGAGTCAGAGGATGCAAGGTCGATTTTGGCACAAACCTATGACTCCTACCGGGCACTACGTCCTCCGAAGCCGACCTATCGACAGTTTATCACGGACAACGCAATCGACGAAGAATGGTGGCACAGTCGGCTGAGGCTACTGCAGCTATTAGGTGGAAGTCAAGGTTCGGCCTCTCAGTACGATGTCGGTGCCATTCTGGCAAGGATTGCACCTTATACCCGGGAGCTCGTCCCAGAGGTCATCATTCTAGATGGCAGACAGGCCCACCACGAAGAAGCCCTCAAACTCTTAACCCATGGTCTAGGAGACTACGATACAGCCATCAACTACTGCCTACTCGGCGGTTCGAGCATCTATCACCCTGTATCCGGAACAGTAGCAATGGAAAGTCTACCGAGCCGGGAACAGCAAGCCGAGCTTTTCGGCTTTCTACTATCCGAGTTTCTAAAAATCGAAGACATCAGCAATCGTGTTGAGCAGACGAGTAATCTACTTGAAAGATTTGGAGGTTGGTTCGATGTCGAACACGTGCTGAGCTTGATCCCAGATAGCTGGTCTGTGGACCTAGTAGCTGGATTTCTGGTCAGTGCTTTGAGGCGTATTGTTAGAGAACGAAGCGAGACTATGGTCGTGAAGGCGCTGAGTGGTGCGGAGAATTTAAAGGTTGCTGCAGATCTCATTGGGAAGATCGATGCTGCAGGGCCATCAATTGAGGCCTAGAAATAATGAAATAACTTAATAATCACAACTCAACGACAATTGGACTTAGTGGGGGGTTGTCACGTCTGTATCTTGGATGCGATTGATACTCCATGAGCACGCCTCTTGACTTTGACTTTGACTTTCTGTCTTACCATCCGACAGTGCTCCTAGTTGCAGGCGCAGTTGATCCCTGAGGATGTCGCAGCCAGGTGATGTTGTATGCTTAAAGCATGGCTCTTGCAGCACCAGCTCTCAACTCCTCATCCGAATCAGAGCCATCCAATCCTAGGACATCAAACTGATTTTGTCTTCCCAGACCCAGTCGTCTCATGTCCATATCCTCACTCACCTCATGAGCCACATTCCTATCAAACGCAGAAATCAAGCTAGCAATCTTCCCAGCAATAAATTCGGCACCCAATCTGGCGCCCTCGAGGTTTGGAGCCGCAGGACCAAGCCTCAATCCGCCCAATCGTCCCGTAATGAAGAACGGAATCTCGTCATTCCACATCAGCTCCTTTGTCAAGCATGGCATACCTCCAACAGTCTCAATCGGAAACTCATCAAGCATCGGTCTCACGGCTTCAACACGATTGATATCCGCCACAATGCCCGTCGCATAAACGACATGATCGACGACAACCTCTTCCCGCTTCTCTCCATCCGTCCTACTCAGCTCCAATACCCAATTCTCCCCATCTCCATCCCCACCTACCCTCTTCGCCCCCACAACCTCCGTCCACTCCCAGACACGCAGTCTCCCCTCCCCAACCAACCGCTTCAGAATCCCTCTATACTCCGGATTCACACTCCCCCCTCCCCTCGCATCCCTCATCATCTCCGCTCGCTCCTCATCGCTATCCGCTTTCCAGAACGCACTCATACTGTGGTTCTTGAACTTCGCAACCCAGCAAAGATCGACGTCGAAGTGCTTGGTTTTGAGAGGGCCGCGGACGATGAGGTGCGTGAGGGGGATATTGTTCATGGAGGCCAGGTGGGCGATTTGTGCGGAGGTTAGGCCGCCGCCAATTATTGCGAGGGTGGAGTGGGGTTTGGTGAGAAGGCTTGGTGGGAGGATGGCTGGGTTGATGTTGGCGTTGGTGTTGATGTCGATGCCGAGACCTTTAGTTGGAGCTGGGGGTTTGCTGAAGACATGTTTGACGTTTTTGTCATTTAGCGAGATATTGCAGAATGGACAGTCGGGTGGGAGAGATGGCTTTGCAGCTGCGCCAATGGCGAGGACTACGACCCGAGCTTTCTTGATGCCAGTTGAGGTCTGGATTTTGAAGAGGGAGGATGGGGCTGAATAAGTAATTGATGACACCGCTGATTTCTGGACGAGGTTTGAGAGGTCGTAGCGCTTGACAATCGAATTGCAGTAGTCCTTGAATAGTGCTTGACTTGGCCGGAAATAATCATGTCGATCTCGCTCATCAACGTATGTTGTTTCCTGGGGTCGTTTGTTCCTGAGTGTGTTAGTGTTTACAGTTACTCCAAAAGTCTCGCTTAACGTGGCTGAGTGTATTAACCCGTAGCAAACACGACGAGGAAAGTCAACATACCCATCCCTCAATTTCTTCTTCCTCTGATGCTTACTCAACTCCTTTCCTACAACCCCTGAGATCTCTTTCAACTCTCCTTGTCTCCCCTCCCTAACAGCAAACTCTAACATTCCATCTCTATCTCGTGGGTCAGGATGGAAGAACATTGGACTTCTTAAATGCGTGATCCCCAGGGACTCGAATTTTTCGTTCCAATAACTCATCCATTGGTCGCTGTTTGCGTCTAAGACTGCGATGTCAAGATCATGGTTGAAGATGGAGTGTCCCGGGAGAAGGCGGTCTGGTGATGTGTGAGCGCGGCGGCTGGTACGGATAGGTTTGTTTTTGCATTTGTGATTGTGATTGGTTTTAAGGTTTTGCTGAGCTTTCATGAAGTGGAATTTTTGGTGTTCGGATTCGGTGAAAAGCGCTGAGGGGGTGGATTCCCGGAGGCGGGCTGCCACTGCTAGACCACAGGGTCCTGCGCCAACGATTAGGACATCGTGGATGGGGATTTCTGCTTCGAATTCTGTCATTGTTATCATAATACTCAAAGTGTCTTTTTTAAGAGAGAGTCATTGTAATGGACAGATAACGTATTGAAGGGTAAATGAATGATTTAAAGGGCCGTACCTTGATGGTTATCAGGACGAGGCTAAGTCAGCCTTGCATTGTCAACTGAACAACGGGTTGCCTCTTCGAGGACCTGGATGGCTAAAGACTCAGCATCGAAAGATAAAGGAAATAAGAGCGTTTATCAAATGGCCTAGTTTTACAGTCTTCTTTACAATGTATTTCTAGTGCAAATCCAAGATCAGTCAACGTCTTACGATTCGTCAACCCATCCAATAGCTTGGCCCATCTTGACCGTCTGTCCTTTCTCCACAGCCCAGTTCCATCCCCCCTTTCTCTTCGTCTTCTCGCCCATCCAGCCTTCATCCAAACTTGGTCTTTGTCCTTTCGGGGCTTCGAATACAAGGACAACTGTGCTTCCCAACTGGAATCCTCCCATTTCTTCGCCTCGCTTCAGGGCGTGCCCATGGAGGATAGGACTTGCCGCCTCATAAGTAGCCTCGGCAAAGCCACTGTAAGGTTCTCCATTCTTTGCTGCTTCTTCTGCTGCTCGATCTGCTGCAGTGTCTGTAGTCAAAGAGTTTGTTCGGAGTTCGCGATCAAAGTTGATCTTGATGGAGCCAACGTTAGTAGCTCCGACTGGGGTATAAGAGAAGAATCCCCATCGCCATCTTCCCAAGAGTACAACTCGTTCGTTGAGAGTGAACAGCCCAGGTAAGGTTCGTTGAAGGTATGGGGACACACTGTATAACTCTCCTGCGAAATGACGACGCTTTTCTGCAACCCAGGCACAGGGCGAATGGAAGCGGTGATAATCCCCAGGGGCTAGATAGATGACAACGTAGTAGAGCGAAGTCCGATTTTCAGAAGTGATAAGCGAGTACCATGGCCTTTCGCCTAGAGCTAGATCTGCGCGAACTTCGGCTTCCGAAGCTGGTGTTGGGGTTGTAGAGGCGTCTTCAGCTTTCTTGCCAGACCGCTTCTTTGGCCCAGAGAACAGATTTGGGAGAGTGTATGAGATGCCGTTGACAGTAGCGAATTCTTCATCTTGCTTGATGATCTCTTCGTCTCCTGCTCGTCGAGATGTGGTGCTGGCGTCATTCTTGGGTGAGAAAATGCTTCCTGGCCTCGATGGATTGGGTGATGTTTCTGGAGTCTTGGTACCAAGTAGGGCATCAAGACTGTATGTCATGCCTTTGACTTGTTCTACCTCACCACTCTCAATTGCGCCGAATTGGAGAACACGGCCATCAGAAGGAGATAGCAGAGCATTTTGGCGAGGATCGAGGGGACGGGCACCTGGTTTCAGGGTCCGATAGAAAAAGGACGCAAGATTTGGGTATACATGAAGATCAGGCTCTGATACCTCTGAAAGACTGTCCTTTGGTCAGTGTGAATATTGCAATATATGGCAGAGATGTCGTACTTGACGCCGAATATGAAAGAGTATAATTTGAACCCAGGAACACGCAGATAATAGGGGATTTCAAGCTCATTGAACTTGCCCCAGATTCTAGACATAGCTTTTAACGGTAGAGTCGACATGACCTGGACCTGCCTAGGAGCTGTCAGTAAAGCTTCATCTGATACGGTAATTGATACGAACCATGGTCCTGTCGGTCGAATCCGTTCTCGTCTTTTGGGCCTGCCATTAGGTTCGCCATCTCCACCAGACCCTGCCGTTCTCACTACTCCATCATCTTCCCACTCCTCCTCGCGAATCCTCGCTTTCTCCCGCTCGTTAACCCTGTATAATTGACCAAGGCCAAGAAATCCAATCCCCAATCCAACAGGAATTGGATACCATCTAATCTTCGTTTCACCAAGAGCCTTTCGCAGACGAGTACCGAATGAGTCTTTATAGTGCGGCTGCTGTCTGTAAAATCTAGCGGAGGAGGAGAATGATCGAGGGTTGTGGCAACGGCAGACGCATTGTGATTGAATTTGGGAAATGAATGTTGTACCGCGTCGAGTCGTTTGATACTGAGTAAGCATTCCCCTCTTAGCGCCTCTTGCTATCGATTGGGATGTCATTGGACCTTTGATTCAAGTCGAATGTCGATTTTGTTGTCTGCTCTGCAATCCATGAATGATTCCAATCCTGCCTGGCCAGATGCTTATGACGAAGATGCGCCTCTGAATTCTGGCCGGCGATTACATTCTGCCAGCCTCTTTGGGTCACCGCCTCGGCGGGTGATAAGACGTGCATCACAGTGCCGCTTGCTCACTTACCAGCGGAGAAAGCTAACATAAGGCGCAAGTTGAAAGAAATATTGAAATATCATGAGTGAAAAATAGGGAAATCAAAATATACCATCAATCATCAGTCGTAAATAATATAGTACATTGCAGTCCGTTGATTCCCGTCTAATCCAGGCTGAATCTGCAGGTCAGCCAGATACCATGAACAGGTGTCTTGGAGCTTAATCGGTCGATACGCCATACGTGGAGCCATCGAACACCCACCCGCCAGAACCTATTAACAGATCCTCTTCCCAACAGCACAGGCAGAACTCGCCCCGGTTGTCGCTCTGGGCGAGAGATAATTTTGATTTCCAACTCATACAATTGCAATGATTCTTTGACAGCCCAGCCTATATTTCGTGTTCCGGCAACTCTAGGCTTAGATATTTCCGTTTGTTCCCAACCGGTGTCGAACGCCATGGCCGAACCTTCAGCAGCACCACTCGCAGATACGGAAACGAAAGGAGAGGAGGCTCCTGGACCATTGAAATTTACCCTCCATGTTGTGTCGCCTTCAGTCGGGGTGTCTGGTCCGCTGAACTTTGCAAGCTTGCCTGCAACTACGACTGTGAAGGATCTCAAAGGCAGGATCCGAGACGTTCTACCATCAAGACCTCCAGATGAGAACCAACGCTTGATTCATCGTGGCCGCATGCTGGGAAGGGATGCTGAAACTATGCTAGAGATCTTTGGTCAGGAAACTGTATGAGCTCCACGATCTTTCTCCAGATTATTAGCTGACTTCCTCTCTAGTTGAGCAATACCGATTCCCAGACACTTCACTTAGTCCTTCGTCCAACCGCTCCTGAAGCTGCTTCACTTCCTGCGACTTCTACGCCTACTCCAATTCACCCACCGGGCATTGCCAATCCTCCAATACCCCCGCAATTTCAACCCCGCCCTCAGTCAACACCTGTGAACCCACTACAAGCTGCTCTGCATGGTGGAGGTATTCATGGAATGCAAGCACAGCAGCCGCTTCCAGGTTTCCAACAGATTATGCAACACCAACAGCATACACTTAACCAAGCACAGCAAGTTGCTCACTTGCAGCAAGGCATGGTTCATAGACTTGGACAGTTGCAGCAGGAAACCCATCGCTTACAACAGGAGATCAACATATTCGAGCAAAGGGCTCGAGCAGCTGCAGCAGCTATTCAGAACGGCCAGCAGGCGCCTGTTGGACCTGGAATTCCTCCGCAAAGCATATTCCGACCAGTTGCAGCGCCTCCGCACTTCCCTGCCTCTATTCAGCAGCTGATCAATCAACAGCAACGAGAGCGAGCGGCTGAAGGACGGCAAGGTGCGCAGGATACCGGTGGACTCCCTCATCCTGGCCATTTTCCTCAAACAGCATCGGGTAGAGCTAGTCCTAGTATCCACCGTCCTGATAGCACTACTACATACACGCGGGAGGGTGTTGGACCCAATGGGGAAAGATGGTCTGTTACTGTGAACGAGACCACCACTACAATCCCCGCACCTCAGCCCCAATCCCAACCTCATCTTCATCACCATCACCCAGCTCCGCATGCAAATCCAGCTTTGGATATCCAGGCTGTGTTACGGAACGCAGACCGATTCTTGGCACAGAATGGACATAATAATATGCAACGGAGTGGTTCAAGTCCAGTACCTATGCAAGGTCTGACTTCGGCCCCTGGTATTAACAGACCAGAAACGCCTGGACAGGCGACTCCTACCACCACAAATAGTTCTCCTTCAGCATCGACCTTTTTGAATCCACTTGTGAACACAAATCTCCCTACCATCAATGTACCAGCCCAGGCTGCCTCGAGCACTAGTTCTTCTGCATCCAACCAGCCAATGGTTTACCTGCTCTCGTCACCATCAGGTCCTCGAGCTCTACTAGTCACTAACTCAGAGACCTATTTCACTCCACGTCATTCCTCAAGACGCCGCCTCTCCCCGACCGCGACTGTACAAGGGCAAGCTGCTGATGGAGTAATTGGGCTTCCGGAGTATCGTAACAGACCACAACAAAATGTTCGAAGAGTCAATCCCCCACCTAATGCTGCCCAGGCGCCAGCCCAACCTATCCCAAATGCACCACATGGGAACCCACCAGCTGCAGCAGTGGGTGCTCAGTTTGGCCAGATTGTATGGATGCTCGTCCGTCTTGCTGGCTTTGTCTGGTTCTTCACATCTGGTAATCCTAGTTGGACCAGATGGCTCATCATCGTCGGCTTGGGAGTCGTCGTATTCCTTTACAACACTGGCATGCTCAACGGTATTGGCGAGCTTTTCAGCCCTATCCGAAGGCACCTAGAGAACTTGATACCACTAGCAGGACCCGAAGCAGCTTTGGTTCCTGCGCAGAATGCGGCTATCCCTCAAGCACCTGCTAGAGGCGCTGTCCCAGGTGGAAATCTGACCCCTCAACAACGTCAACGTGGCGAGCTTGATCCTGCTGAAGCAGCAGAGAGAATTCTTGAGCAACGCCGACAAAGACTCGCAAATGGAGGATGGCTCGTGGCACAGATTCGACGAGCTGAACACTCGCTTCTGTTGTTCCTTGCTAGTTTGGTACCTGGTGTGGGCGAGCGTCATATCGCGGCTCGAGAGGCAGAGGCCAACGCTGCAGAAGCTCGTCGTCTAGAGGCTATTGCAGCTGCTGAGGCGGCTGAACAAGCTGCCAATGCTGAAGCGCCGGTAGAGGGAGAGAGTGGTGTTGAACGGGCTGAGGGCACGGGAGAACAGAGGGCAAATGATACCAATGAAGGCGAAAATAACGATGCTGCTGCTGCTCCAGTGCAGCCCTTGATCCAAGTGTAAGATGGGAAAACAGGAAAAACAGGAGAGTGTAGAATACCTTATGTTTTGATAGCTAGTAAGGTAAGCGAGTTTTAGCTTAGGGAATGGAAAATAGATGTTATCCCATAAAACCCGACAACGGCAATCTCACGTATGGATTGGAGCCTATTTCAAACAGCCTCATCAAAAATCAAAGCTCATGACTCGCTTCTGAATATGTCATTGCCTTCTTCATGGGCAATTCGGCCGGTGTCGATGGGTTTGAGTAGTAAATATACAGTCGTCCCGTTCTCTGTAACGTACACCATCTTTACCTTCCCAAAATCATAGTCATCAAGTTTATTTGCTCACTTATAAAAGGACTCTTCATCGGATGGAAAGAAACATTTGGTCAGTCGCGGTAGTATATATTGATGAGCTGCAGTAGCTCAATTGTGTAATTAATTGTCTATGGAATACTCTTGCAAGTCTGAAGAAAAACAATATTTGGTAAGAAACATCATGCCGACCTAGCCGAAGCTACAGATGATTATTGAAGCGGCTTAAAGGGATCGTGAGTAAGATCAGTAGGTCAAAAATAACGCAGGACTTCCTTTCACTCATGGAGTAGACCCTGCTGGAGCAGTGCTATGGAAACATGTAAGTTCAAAATCTGACACCACACAATGTTAGCTATTGTATCTACAGAAGCGTTGGACCAAAGTGTGGTTGAATAGGCAAAGGATCAGAAGGTCTCCAAGAGATCAGCATTGTGCCGTAAACGGAACCTCAGAACAGGTCTGTAAATCTTGTGATTTTCATCATTTTGCGAAGGGTAGTTACAGGCTTGAGGTGGTACGAGCTGTAGGGGAAGTGAACATACCAGTATCGATGTTACAACCATGGCAGTCGTGACGCTTACTTGACTGGTCAATAATGATAATAATTCATCATTGGCAGCTGTTGAAGGCCCTTGCCTAGGATCGTCCTCAGACAGGCTCAGCATTGTCCAGTAACTCTCATGACATCCGGGCATAGGACAAGTCTCAAGTTTGAAGGACAAGTTGACTGGTAGCAAGCTCAGGCAGTGCGAGAAACCCAGTCTTGTAATCCATGATCACACGCGATGCTGCTGTTGAGGATGCTGAGGTTGGAAATGAAGTTGAAGAAGAAAGGTGAAGAAAATTGGCAGGTCAAGAATTATTTATGGAGATTGAAGGGTCTGCTCGGTTCGCGGGGTGGCTTTTTTTGTTAGTCCATTTTTGGACTAGTTTTGCTCGCTCTGTCAGCTGTATCACTGCGTCAGTGGTGGCATGGCATCCAGGTTGATCCGTGGGAGAAGACAGGGAGAATACGAGACGAGAGAGAGCCAACACAGACCAGACCAGGTACAGAAGCAGGAACAAGAACAGAACCCCAACCCAACCCAACCCAACCCAACCAAATTCTTGCGGCATTGTCGTCATGCCCCAATAATGCTTGCTGTATATTCACTCTCCATTCACGACAACGACGGCGACCTTCTTATTCTCACTCGAAACACCACTTGCTACCCCTTATGGTCTCGAGACCTCCACACTCGTTAAGCCTCGACTGATCGCAAGTCTTTGCGACGGAACTGCCATCGGAGTTACCCCACGTGTCCGATTTAGAAAAAATGGACGTAAACCACCCTGAACTGCAGCAGCAGTTGCAGCAGCTGGAAAACGAACTAGAGGTCAGTTCCAAACTTCCTATGTGGGGGATGCATTTGGGGTTTTCTCCAGGTCATGGCAAAGTGTCTGCTCCAACCAAGGGGAATATGTCTGGAGATGATATGCTTTGGGACTCTGGCTGACGGATCATAAGGATGGCGACATTACTATGAAAGGGTAAGAAGAAGAAAGTAGGGGAGAGACGGCCTTGAGCATTGGGGCTGACCATGGCTTCAGATATCAGAAACGGCGCACAATTTTGCTTTCGCAATACCTTGGAGACTCAGCAGCTGCAGCAGATCTTAAGGGGCTGCGTGTACACTCTCCTGATAACACTGCGCACCCTTCGAACGACGGATCCCGCAATGCCTCTTTGGCAGCTCTCAATGCGAATTCAAACGATTACGATAACCAACACGATTCAAGACCGCCCATACCGCCCCAATCACCTGCAAGACCAAATTCAGGTGGAAGGCTAGAAACAATGGCGAGTGATTATGGCAGTTTTGCAACCAGTCGAGAGCAGCAGCCCGGATTTTCTGGGCCTCCTAAACAACTCCAATTGGGAGTTCCTCCTGCCGCTGTACAGAGAATGTCGTCGTACGGTAACGAGACATTCCTACCCTCCACTTCCATGTTTGGAGGAAACTCTCCAGAACCGACGATGACCATGGCATCTTCAGTTTCTGGCGCAAACTATGCGTTCAATCCTGCGTACCAAACTGGGTATGTACAGCAGCAGCCAAACGAATACGAAAGCCGAGCTGGGACAATGATGGATTCTCATGGCACAATGTTGGGAGAATCGCAGCAGGGCTATTTCTCAGATTTTGCTGGCCAGCAAGGATATGAACATGGGCATTCGAATTCATATGGCGGAGGGCCCCACAGATACTCATCTAGCGATGCATTTTCACCAACAGCAGCAATGGCTCCACCAATGCTGACTACCAGCGATCTTCCTCCACCTGCTGCGCTCGAATATCAGATGCCCCTGGAACCGCGAGATGTTCCATTTGCTGTCTATGACCCCCACGATTCTAATACACCAATGTCCAAATTCGACAATATAGGAGCGGTTCTAAGACATCGTTCACGAACGAACGGGAAAAGTCCTGCATATTGGGTCCTAGATGCCAGGGGAAAGGAGATCGCGTCTATTACTTGGGATAAGCTAACTAGTCGCGCCGAGAAAGTTGCTCAAGTCATCAGGGACAAAAGTTCTCTGTACCGTGGGGATCGAGTTGCATTGATTTACCGGGATACGGAGATCATCGATTTTGCCATTGCTCTTTTGGGCTGCTTCATTGCTGGCGTCGTTGCTGTACCCATCAATGATCTTGAAGATTATGCCAAACTTAATGTTATTTTGACATCTACACAAGCACATCTCGCACTTACAACAGACAACAATTTGAAAGCATTTCAGCGGGACATCACGACACAGAAACTGAACTGGCCGAGAGGCGTAGAATGGTGGAAGACGAATGAATTCGGTAGCTGGCATCCAAAGAAGAAGGACGACACACCGGCTCTCGCTGTTCCAGACCTGGCGTACATTGAATTTTCACGAGCTCCGACGGGAGATCTACGTGGAGTTGTCATGAGCCATCGCACAATCATGCATCAAATGGCCTGTCTTTCTGCTATATTTTCAACTGTACCGACAGGTGCAGCGGGCGATACTTTCCATACCGGGCTCAGAGACAAGAACGGGAGACTCATGGCTGGTAGCAACAACCAGAGTGAAATTCTCTTATCGTATCTTGATCCTCGCCAGGGAATTGGCATGATCCTGGGCGTTCTGTTGACTGTATATGGCGGGCATACCACTGTCTGGATGGAGAACAAGGCTGTGGAAACTCCGGGTCTATATGCACATCTAACCACGAAGTACAAGGCTACGTTGATGTTGGCAGATTATCCAGGCCTCAAAAGAGCCGCATACAACTATCAACAAGATCCCATGACTACCAGGAATTATAAGAAAGGAATGGAACCTAACTTTCAGCATGTCAAGATGTGCTTGATAGATGCCTTGACAGTTGACAGTGAATTTCATGAAGTATTGGCAGATAGGTGGCTTCGTCCCATGCGAAATCCAAGAGCGCGAGAACTAGTTGCTCCAATGCTATGTCTACCAGAACATGGAGGCATGGTGATCAGTATGAGGGATTGGCTTGGCGGAGAAGAGCGAATGGGTTGTCCGCTCAAGCTTGATATGGGAACGGACGACGACTCCATTGAAGAAAAAGTAGAGGATAAGGAGAAAGATCAACCACCCGCAAATGGATTTGGAAGCTTGATTGGTGGAGGAACCACGACGAAAGTCCAGCACATAGAGAGAACGGAGTTGAGCGAGGTACTGCTAGACCGTGAAGCTCTCAAAACCAACGAAGTTGTTGTTGTTGCTATCGGAGAGGAGGCCCGAAAGAAGGCTGGGAGTGAGCCAGGAACGGTACGAGTGGGTGCATTTGGCTTTCCTATCCCCGATGCCACCCTGGCGGTAGTGGATCCTGAAACTGGCCTGCTTGCTTCACCCCATTCCGTGGGTGAGATCTGGGTCGATTCTCCATCACTTTCTGGCGGCTTTTGGGCGCTACCGAAACATACAGAAACGATCTTTCATGCACGACCTTACAAATTTGAGCAAGGAGACCCGACACCGATGATGGTCGAACCCGAATTTCTGAGGACCGGTCTCCTGGGCACTGTTATCGAAGGAAAGATTTTCGTGCTAGGCTTGTACGAGGACCGTATCCGACAAAAGGTTGAATGGGTTGAGCATGGCCATGAAGTAGCCGAGCATCGGTATTTTTTCGTCCAACACATTATCGTGACTATCATGAAGAATGTGCCAAAGATCTACGATTGCTCTGCCTTCGATGTCTTTGTCAACGATGAGCACCTACCAATAGTATTACTGGAATCTCAGTCAGCCTCAACAGCGCCAGTCACCTCAGGTGGGCCACCACGACAGCTTGATACTGCACTTCTTGACTCTTTGTCAGAGCGGTGCATGGAAGTGCTGATGCAAGAACACCACCTGAGAGTGTACTGTGTCATGATTACGGCACCAAATACACTTCCAAAGGTTTTGAAAAATGGAAGAAGGGAAATTGGGAACATGCTGTGTAGGCGAGAATTTGATCTCGGCAACCTGCCCTGTGTTCACGTCAAATTCGGGGTTGAAAGGGCTGTCCTCAATTTGCCCATTGGTGTCGATCCTATAGGAGGCATCTGGTCTCCGCTGGCTTCTCAGACACGCGAAGACATCCTTTCCCCTGGCGACAAACAATACTCTGGTATCGATCGCCGTGAAGTTGTGATAGACGATCGTACTTCTACTCCTCTGAACAACTTCTCTAGTATAGTTGACTTGCTGCAATGGCGAGTCGCACGACAAGCAGAAGAGTTGTCGTATTGTACCATCGACGGTAGAGGCAAGGAAGGGAAAGGAATAACGTGGAAGAAGTTCGACACAAAAGTGGCAGCAGTGGCTATGTACTTGAAGAACAAGGTGAAGGTTCGTTCTGGCGACCACTTGATACTCATGTACACCCATTCCGAAGACTTTGTTTACGCGACACATGCCTGCTTCTGCCTAGGTGCAACGGCAATTCCGATGGCGCCTCTGGATCAAAATCGTCTGAACGAGGATGCTCCAGCTTTCCTGCACATGGTGGCTGACTACGGAGTCAAAGCTGTATTGGTCAACCAGGACGTCGACCATCTAATGAAGCAAAAGCCAGTATCACAGCATGTCAAACAATCTGCACAAGTCCTGAAGGTAGCAGTCCCCAATATCTACAACACCACCAAGCCTCCAAAACAGAACAATGGCTGTAGAGATCTCGGCCTCACGATGCAACCAGCGTGGGTTCAGCCTGGATATCCAGTGCTCGTATGGACCTACTGGACCCCAGATCAGCGTCGAATTGCCGTTCAAATCGGACACGATACTATTATGGGCATGTGCAAGGTACAAAAGGAAACTTGTCAGATGACGAGTTCTAGGCCAGTCCTGGGCTGTGTTCGAAGTACAAGTGGCTTGGGATTCATCCACACTTGTCTAATGGGTATATTCGTCGGTGCTCCAACCTACCTAGTTTCCCCTGTGGAGTTCGCCCAGAATCCAATCTCGCTCTTTTTGACTTTGTCAAGGTACAAGATCAAAGACACTTATGCTACACCTCAAATGCTTGACCATGCTATGGCGATTATGCCTGGCAAAGGCTTTGCTTTGCACGAACTGAAGAACATGATGATTTCTGCCGAGGGACGACCACGTGTTGATGTCTTCCAAAAAGTCCGCCTACACTTCGCCCAGACTGGCCTTGACCGTACAGCCATCAACACCATATACTCTCATGTTCTGAATCCTATGATTGCTTCGCGGTCATATATGTGCATCGAGCCGATTGAGTTGTGGCTTGATACGCAGGCTTTGAGGCGGGGTATGATATATCCCGTGGATCCCGAAACAGAACCAAAAGCGTTGCTTCTCCAAGATTCCGGAATGGTCCCCGTTTCAACCCAGATTGCGATCGTGAATCCAGAAAGTCGCACGCTTTGCCATGAAGGAGAATATGGTGAAATCTGGGTGGAGTCAGAAGCGTGTGTGAAGTCCTTTTACGGCTCTAAGGATCCCTTCGATGCTGAGAGATTCGATGGCCGCACTACTGATGGCGATCCAAACGTTCAGTACGTGCGAACAGGGGATCTTGGTTTCTTGCACAATGTCAGTCGACCAATCGGACCCAATGGAGCCCAGGTCGATATGCAAGTACTTTTCGTCTTGGGTAGCATCGGTGAGACGTTTGAGATCAATGGGCTCAGTCACTTCCCCATGGATATCGAGTATTCGGTTGAAAAGTGCCATCGCAATATCGTTCCTGGAGGCTCGTAAGTACAACTATCCCTTGAATCCGAACATGGCTAACATTTTCAAGCGCTGTTTTCCAAGCTGGTGGCCTCATTGTGGTTTTGGTCGAAGTGGGAAGAAAGGCGTATCTTGCGTCAATCGTCCCTGTCATCGTTAATGCAATCCTTAACGAGCATCAAATTGTCGTTGATATCGTGGCCTTCGTCAACAAAGGCGATTTCCCACGGTCTAGACTTGGTGAGAAGCAAAGAGGCAAGATCCTGGCCAGTTGGGTACAACGCAAAATGCGAACCATGGCACAGTTCGGAATTCGAGATGCAGATTCTGGTCTGTCGGATGTCACCGAGACAATGGAACCACGTAGTGGCGTTGGTAGTGTCAAGAATGGAAGTGTGATAGCAAGCAGTCTTCGCCATGTGGAGTCAGCTCCTCAGATCATTGAACAGCGAGAATACGAGCGTCAACAGATACAGGCACAAACTAACTTCGCTCCACTGCCAACCGGCATTTCGGAGATGCCAGCACAGAACTACAACGACTCCATCGTTGGCTCACCCACAAAGGGAGAGAATGGAACTTCTACAAAGAGCGATGATACCCCAACGGATACACGGCAAAAGAACCATTTTGAGCTCCCGACTCACAACTACTCTCCCGAGAAGAGCACTTTCCTAGACGGATCCAACGATTTCCAAGTCCCTGGCTTCGAAATCTCTAACGCTCCGCAAGTGCCTCCACCTCGAGTTGGGCCAAAGCCAGGCACGAGCCCTCAGATCAATCTACCTGCAGTCGAAGGACGAGAAGGCGATCTGTGGAGTTTACCTTCCCAGCAAGCTCGCGGGGGTGGTGGCGGCGGGTTGAGAGTCCAGAATGCCTCGAGTGACGATGAGGACGATGCGTGGAAGAATGATGCAATTATGCATATGAACTTAGCGGGGAGGAATTAAAGATGAAATATGAGCTCACCTACTCGTATTGCATGCATAAACCGTGGGCAGACGATAAATGGTCATACATCAGCGAGTATATATTGTTAGATAATGAATGGGATGATGGATGTGCTTGGATTCTCTTTGCGGGCTGGCTGGACGGCGTAGGTGTTGTCATTATGCCTATCATAGGTGAGGAGAGCATGGATGCAGATTTGTGTGCATAATGAGACGATGAGCATTTTCATGATACAAACAGTAGTGTATATACATGTGATTCTTGAGATTGTTATCATACGGACTTCGGTTTCTTAGCAGGCATTTCAAAGATTCCTATTCAGTGGATCTTCTTTCAGTTCTGTTTTTCCGCTTATTTTGACTCTGAAGCTTCCTCCTCGCTTATCTCTATTTCCTCTTTTGGTGTCACTAAACGTGAGCATAGTCGTGCTACAGCCTAGCTATCCAGGGTTCTCCGGGTCATTCGGCTATGTTGACTCCCGCTTCTGTCTTTTACCATAGTTGAATTAGTGGAGAAGATTAGGCACATCTCAGAGCTCAGAGCGCCAGTAGCCTCGATGTGTTATCCGGAAACATACATGCACTGAACGACAATGCTTGTGTTACTTATCCGGCCAATGATCTCGTCTCTTTGTTCTCGTAGATGTTTACCGGAGACAAAGACTCGCTGATACGATAACAACCTCGATCAACAGCCCTCGGCTCAGTCTGAGTTCTCTCAGTTACTGCGTCTGCCTGGTATCACCTACTTGCACTATTACGACTACTGAACTCGACACGTCACGCACAGCTTGGTGCACATGCTGTGATTCGGCCATTTTGACACTATCTGTGGTACAAGAAGAGGCAACAGCAAATCTAGGCCTCATTTCATTCATTTCGAAGTGCTTTTTGGAAGTGTTGAAACGGTCTCCCAGAGTTGCATTCCTCAGAACAAAGTTCTCAGCGAGACATCCTAGACTGCTTACATAACAAGCTCTCCCATCTACCAGTCCCCAGGGTCCAGGTAAACTCTTGGCCCTCAACAAGGTTCACTCTTATTTCGGGCGATTGAGGCTATTCGCTACGCCGACAGGGAAGGGAAGGGAAGGGAAGGCTGGGCTGCAGAGAGGGCTCCCAGTCCCGAAGAAGTCCAACAATTCACAACCATACCAACATCTGTATCGACTTTGTCACAATACCACCGAGCACACAGCCTACTTTCCCACCTATCCCCGCCTTGCTTCTTCACCATCTACGCTTAACCTTATTGCCTGAAGGAGAGGAGGTGGGTTTCGAAAACGTCCATCACGTGTGCGGTTGCCGGTCTCAGTTCCACCCAGGCCGGTCCAAACCCCTCCAGCTCGCTCTCGCTCTCGCTCTCGCCCCGGCCGTCTTCGTCTTCGTCTCTTGTCAGCTCCACGGGCCACCACATAACTTCACCACAACCTTTCATCTCAGGGGTCACACCAACCTTCGGAACGCTGCATTAAGCACGAACCCTCGAACCCGCATACTCAAAGCCATTGTTCTTTGTCCTCACCAACCATACAGTCATTCCTCTCCGATCCTTTGACTTGCATTCTGTCTCATCGAGAGTGAGAGTCACGCGCGATACGGAGCTGAGCGCTCGCTGAATGCGCGATGGGGATTACCAGCGACGAGATGCCGGCTATGCATGTCGTTGTTTTGGTGAGTGCAATACTTTCTACTTTTTACTTTTCTAACTGAACTCTCCTATGCGCCTTCCCTTCCCTTCCCTTCCCTTCCCTTCCCTTCCCTTCCCACGGCACAGATCGTCCCGACATTCAGGCTGCTTGCAGCTGTCTTACATCAAATCCCATTGTCTCCCTTGCTTCACTATTCATCAACACAACGCAATTGTTTTGCGATTATATTCGCAAGTCCTCCGATCTATTACATGTTGTTCCTGAGACGAGATCGTCCTATTATGTTTTTGCGAAAGACAAGACTTCTTTGCGCTGTTTGAAAGAGCTGCTGCTAATGTGGATATGCGCAGGGTGCTGGTGGTGGTCCCGATGAAGCCAATACTACTGCCTTTCTTGTTCGCCCCACAGCTGCTGGAGTAAGTACAACGCCTACAATTCCATGCTCAAAAGCCCTTGAGCGTTTTTCTCCTGAAAACGTGTCTCGATTCACTAGAGCTACTCAGTACTCATTTCTATTACGTTGTAAGCAGAGCTAATATTCCCTAGTGGAGCAAAGGCAGTGTTCTGGGTGTTGACGGTGGTGTCGGTATCTCAAAGATGAGAAAGATCCTCAAGAAACACAAGATGATCGTTCGTTCCAAGAACGGAAAGCAGACCAGTGGATCTACTTTGATTGATGGACCTTTTGAAGGACTAGACTTACCCCACGTCAGCCCCGGCGCAAATGCAAGATACATGTATGTTGAACTGATTGACGCATTTCTGTTCACGCATCCTCACAGTGAGTCTCCACCATCTCCACAAAATCCTCCTGCTTTTAAACACTCCTGACTTGGCGATGCTTTTAGTGGATCACATCGCTGGTGCTGTTGTCAATACTGCGGTCAATGGATTGACTAGACAGAAACGCTATGCTGGTTTGCCCACTACTATCGAGGGTCTAAAGAACCATGTTTTCAATGGTGTTATTTGGCCGAATCTGACCGATGAGAATAATGGTGCTGGAATGGTCAGCTACGTCAGACTAGTCGAAGGAGGATCCCCAGCATCTGGAGAGGGCGATAGTAAAGGTTATGTAGAGGTGGTTCCTGGCCTGGGAGTCAAGGCTCTTGGAATCAGTCACGGTATGTTCGAACAGATTCAATCCTTTTCTGTTTTCTCTTTGCATTTTCAAAATTGTCCGGAGGCAAATCTTGTCATTCTCAAGGTACAGCGTGACACCCACTTACCATCTCTTCACTCTAGGCACTTGCATGGAACGTCACCCTCGCCGTGGATCAACCCCATTACCCTCACCATCTCATGGCGACAATCAACACCTCGGCTCACCCTTCCCAAATACCCGTATGGCTCGAAGCGACTCCAATGCTTCCACTTTCGATCCTTCCGTACCCAGACTTAGTCTCAGCACTCAAACCATACAGTGCGTCTATAATAGCACCGCGTTCTTTATTCGAGACACAAATAGTGGCAGAGAGATCATCATATTTGGTGATGTAGAGCCTGACTCGATTTCGATGTTGCCAAGAAACGAGAATGTCTGGGCTCTGGCTGCGCCAAAGATTGCTTCTGGTCACCTAACAGCAATTTTTATCGAGTGCTCGTATGATGACAGTCGTGAAGATGACCAGCTTTTCGGACACATGACGCCTTCTCACTTGATGGTGGAGTTGAAGAAACTTGCGGACATGGTAGCTCGAAATAGCGATAATGAGTTGCGCAGTAAGGCTATGTCACCAAAGAGAAAGCGAGCCAGGTTAGTCCCCATCCACGAACAGATCCCAAGAAGGTCTCAGGATTTTGTGACATTGTCCCCGTTACTAAAATGCGAATAGCAATGGGAACAACCCAACACCAACGACAAAATCATTACGCCAAGTATCACCAGTCCGATCTGATAGTCCTGGTAGACAGACTGTGTTTCGATCGCCTCCCAAGTTCGACCAGAATTTCGCCAGACCTGGACGAAGAAGTGCATATTCTGGACCTTCTAAGGCACAAGCTGGTAGCAAGCCCCCAAGCGATAAAGCTGCGGATAAGTCTCCACGCCCATTAGAGGGTGTCAAAATTGTTATCGCGCACATCAAGAACGAACTTGATGATGAGAGGGATGCTGTAAGAAACCCAAATTTTTCTTGTTGCATGTGTCAAAATTCCTCAACATATTTCCCACCACTGTACTGATTAGACAATCACTAATTGCTCTATCAGCCCGACATCATTCGAAAGCAACTTCTTGACCTGGAGAGAGAGGCCGGTCTGGGCTGCGAATTCATCGTTTCTCATTCCGGTCAAGCATTGTACTTCTAAGCCGCCTGTACATTGGAGTTAAGGTCTACGAGGACGGGGAGAGTGAGTGGTCAGGTTTGGTGTATATATGGATGTACTGTATTGAAAGCGTGGCGTTGTGGGTCTGGTTTTGCTATACTCTGGATTGGCGTTATGTCATCGAGTATGGGGGGATGGCTGTTATGGAGTTTAAAGGCGGTGGATGCGGTGGATGCGGTGGATGCGGTGGATGCATCCGATTCTTTATGTAAGCTAGAGCAGTAGAGTCAGTGAATCGAATGGACGAACCGGTTTTGATGTACGGTTTCTCTTCGCAACGCTGCATGCTTCACTCACATGCCACAAATTTCGTACTTCTAAGACGTCTTTAACCACAGAGATCCGAGGTCAACGAAAAAGTCTAATTATCCGAGTAACAATAATCAGATGTCGAGGAATCCCGGCTACTTCAGGCAAAAAGCACCACTGAGACCCCAGAGTCAGCGACAGCAGGCAGCCGAATCAAGACATGTCACGCCTAAAAGAGCGAATTAGTAGCTCTGAATATGCCGCCTTCAAAGGAAAGCCCATGCCCTGCCTAATCTGACTCAAGCCGTAAATATCTCTCTCATAATCCGCTCTCACCTCGAGGATAGCGTCAGCGAGCATGACGAGAGACGTTATTGAATTAGCCATCCTCAGTTCTGATCAAGTCAGAAGCTTTCTGAAAAGTCGTACCCGGCAGCCCTAGATTTTGGTCCTACTGAAGGGATAAAGTTGCCTTTGTGCTTGTCCACCTTGATCTTGGCAAATGCTACCTTTTGTGGAATTTCATAATATTTTGTGAAGATATGACCGATGCCGTACATTTTGGAACGGATATATCCATCTTCATTATACTAGGATTTAATCTATGGTACTTCTAGGCTAGATCGATACCAATACAAGAAGCTATCTAGCTAAGACCCTCTGCGTCTCCCTAGAGTTGGGAGAGATGGTCAACAAGTGTGTCTGGTCTAGATGCAATAACAAGCTATCCAATTTACATATCACTTATGTATCTTAGTTAAGATGTGAAGTATAGACATGTTTTTTCGTAGTTTAGCAACTTTACCATCTAAATGACAATGACTTCTATTCAATTGCAATTTTTTCACCCCAACAGGAGAAACTTCCGAATTTGGCAATTCGATACATCTGACAGAATCTGCCATACGGGCACATCTATTTTGTGATTAATAACTATTCTACACCGCAGAAAAACATAATTACGAGCATACAGTGGAAATTCGTACCCCGAGCAGTCAGGGTGGGATCCCCACAATTCGCTCCCTTTTGGCGTGGAAGCTACGTCCAAGTAAAACACCAATACGTATCAAATCCAGAACTATGCTTTTCCGAAAGCCGCTCGAGCTCTGCATCTAGTCATTACATTCACTAGATAGTCGACCGTGTCCAATCTCTTCTCTTTGTAAGGCTGAGGTCGCGGCTACTAGCTGTCAACAATAGCAAAACTCACAACAATTAAGCGAGATCCACCTCCCTTTTCACAATAGCAACAAAACTCGCAAGCGAAGCAGAATACGATCGCTTTGATCGATCGTTTCCTATGCTTAACCATTATTTGGAGAGTGAGAGAACAGAGAGGCGGAGATACCAAAACTCCCTCCTCCTGAGCTTCGTTTCATTTTGCCCTTTCTCTCCTTCTGGTTCAGTTACAGACTCAAGGACGATACCGATTACCAGATCGATCTCATCACAAGCAAAGCAAAGCAAACAACGACTTCTTTCATTCACCCAACCACTTCGTCTCACATCTCAATCCACCACAAAGACACTTCTCACTCTTCTACCCCTTTCTCTCTCATCACATCTCTCACCAAAAATGGCAAACACCAGAGCAAGTTCAGCACCAACGCTGCGCCGCAGCGAACGGAACAAAGTCCCTGCCGCCGCGAGGCCTGTGGGTATCACCAAGAAGAAGGCCGCTGCAAGACCAAAGCCTCCTCCAAAGGCAAAGAAGACTTCCGGGGTTCCTGCTGTCGCTCCGACAGCCAACAAGACCACTGCCGTCAAGGCAATAAAGAGAAAGGGTTCTGCTGGAGAGGACGAAGCATCTGCGCCCAAGGCGAAGAGGTCTAAAGCCTGTGAGCCAAGGGCAAAGGTTTCTTCGGTTCCTGCTCCTGCTCCACCAAAGCCTGCCACTCACCGGTATCTCACCCGGTCGAAGAAAGGGGCCGCAACACCAGAGCCAGAACCGGAGCCAGAGAATCAGCACCCTCCTCCTGCCCCCCTTCCCTCTCTTCCTCCTCGTCTCCCCCCTCCTCCACCACCACAACCCGTTCTCCCTCTCCTGCTTCCCCATCCACTGCCACCAGCTCAACCAGCTCCAGCTCCAGCTCCCTACCGATCGATCTACTCCGCCAACACCACCCCCACACCACCAGCCTCGACACAACCCGGTTACCTCTCCAAAATCCGCCAACAATACCGGCAAGTGGTACCCGCCCGCCACACCCCTGGCTACAAGCCAGATTACGAGCCACGGAAGCAAAGCTCCAAAGCAACGCTGCTGGCAAAAGGCGAACAGAAGCGAACCAACCACTTCACCAACCTCGCCTACCAGCGGAAAGAGGAGGCCCGCCTCTGGGACGTGGAGGACGACGACCCAGCGGAGGATGATTCGAAGAAGAAGAATTCGCTAGCCAAGCGCTTAGAGATGAAGGATAGAGTGCGGACGCATTACGAGGGGTACCAGAAGAGGGTGAGGCAGGAGAGGGTGGTGGCGCACCAGGCGAAGGTGGATGCTGGGGTGGAGAGGTGGAAGATGGCGGAGGTGCATGAGAAGTCGTCGTTGAGGGAGGAGTGTGGTGTTGCTTGGGGGAAGGAGGCTGAGGAGAAGTTGAGGGTGCAGGCGAGGGAGAGGTTTGAGGCGGAGAAGGCGGCGGGGAGGGTGAAAGATGCGGAGTTGTATGGGAAGGATTATGATCCTCATGAAGAGGATTACTAGCTGGGGAGATCTTGTTGTTCTGTGGTGTACAAATTTTTTTTGGCGATGTTTAGGAGAGGAAAGGGGAAGCGAGCTGGTCTCGCTGCCTCACTGGAGAGTGTTTCTGTTTAGTGCGTAAATACCAGGGACAGATCAGCTCAGATCGAGATGCCCACTCCTCATGATTAAACTTAAACATTCTTGCATGTGATGCACATTCTGGGCAATTGTTCTACTTACTTCTAGGACTGTTATCTCATGGATTGACTTAAGCCCTTCCTCGGTATGCCACTTGGAGTTGAAAGATATCATCCACTAAATACTTGTAAGCTTGAACCTGATCACTGCCTCCTCGGACGGCGAATTGAGGTACCAACTTGAGGAGCTATCAAGTACCTCTAATATATCAAGTTATGACCAGAGCACGGCTACTACGAATCAAATGGCAGTCACAAAGAGGTGAAAGCAGGACATCTGATGAGATATAGAACTTCGAGGAATAAGGAAAGTCATTGATAAACCAAAGCGAATGACAAAAAATCACTGAACTGCGTTAAAGTAAGCAAAACTGCAACAACATGCTGCAGACACTTGGGGAGGGAAGTAGGCAGTAGATGGGCAAGAAGATAGAAGGGATCGAAAGATGAAAGGGAAAACAGACGACAGTAAAGGGTACAATGTCAGCAAATACGCCGGGTCTACTTTCTAATGCCTCCCTAAGGGAAGGTCAGAGAAAGAAGTAGGCGGTGCCTTCCTCACTTGTAGCCGAGTGACAGTGGGAGCTACTTCTCTCCTCGATCATAGTATAGATGGGAAGGAGACTGGTGAAGCCAACAATACGCTACCAGACAATGGCAAATGCGGCGGATGTCCACGAGAAAAAGTCGAGAGAAGATGAAATGAATGGTAGCCGAGGTAAACAAGCAGGTCTGAATACTGGCAAAAGATGACAAGCGCTTGATGTGAGACTTCAGCCGGCGTGATATCAAGGCCAAGACATGTAGAAATCAAGGAAAGGATGCAAATGCATCTACCAAAAGAACATGATATCGTATTGTCTTTGTGCGTGTATCCACTTCCTGCTATGCTACATTCATCCACCCCGCCTCTTATCTCAGCTTCTTTCCACAGTCGACTGAGTCTGAATCCTAGCTCATCCCATCTGGTCCCGCCTCTCATCCCCCGTACGCCTCCCACCGTCTCACAACTTTTGGACTTGAACTTCAAACCCCAACTCCACGCTTTCAAACGACCACTCCAGCCCACGTCTCTCTCACTCCATGCTCCTTTGCCTCTAGCTAGCACCTCACTCTCCAACCCCTCCACTCATGGTATAAAGAAATAGACCTATAGGATGTCGAATCCCGTGCTGTGCAATATAATTGCAACGCCCAAACGCCCAAATCTTCAGTTCAGCTCAAAAAGAAGAGCTCGAGTAATGAACGAAGAGATCCACCCAGCCACCCACCGATAACTCGCTCTCCCTTAAAACAGACGCAGAAAAACCCAGACAACGCTGCAACACACTAAGCAAGAATAATGTCCTCCTCCATCCCGCTTGAACCAAAAAAAAAAAGGGAAAGCGCAAAGGCAGGATTGTAAAAGCAAAAAGCCGGCCTTGAACACGCTATAAGTAAATCAATATCGTACCCATAACAAAGATCGCGCCCAACTAATTTTGTTGCTCAGATGCTTTCTTGCTTTGCTTGCTTTCTTATTCGCTATGGTCATGATCTAGATCCAGATGTTCCATCTTGCGCTCGATGACTATTACTTCGATCTCGATGGCTCTGACTTTGGCTTTGAGCCCTTGCTCTTGCTCTGTCCTCAGCTACAGTATCGTTGTAGCTAGGTATCGGCGGCGGGGTACTCTGCCGCCTTATTAAGGGAGCCCTGTCGCTGTCGACACTCCCTCGAGGGCTGTTGGCATTTGATTGATGAGGGCTTGTATACTCAGGGGGAGCCTCGGATACACCAAGTCCGACAGTTGAAACTGTGGTAACTGCTGCTTCGGGACCACTGCCTGCTGCTGATGCTGTACTCGGCTCTCCAGGCTCGTCGTGCGAAGGGATATGTGTAAGGTGGGCGAGGGAGATGTCTGTTGGAGAACGGACAGGCCCAGGACTGGTTGGAGGCCCATGTCTGAAATTTCCACTCCTCGTTCGTCCATGCCTCGCATCCGAGTAATTTCCCTGACTGCTCTGGGCTCCTTCTCGTCCAGCTTCAAGCAGAATGCTCCCTTGTTCACTACCATATGGAGGTGGTGGGGCAAGACTTCCGGTCATGGGTGCAAGGCCCCACTTCTTAACATTTGCTTCAATAAAGACGAATCCCGATTGCCCAAAGTTCACATGCACCGTACAGGGGCCGTTTGCACCGACTGCAGGGAAGAGGTTCTGGGATTTGAGGCCATGGGCAACATCTTCTAACTTCTTGCCGTTCCGTGTGAAGAATATTGTGCCTGTTCGAGGTCGATATCCAACTCCGATGACATCTCCTTGCACGAACTGGGGTCCATAGGTTGGTCCGCTGAAAGGTTGGTTATATCTTCGGTGTCCAGTGGATGTGTAAGCAACGGAGTATTTGTGCCATCCTAGATATTGATTAGAATTAGACCCTATGTTCGAGATGTAGATTTCATACCTGGTAGCCGAAAGAGCGGGTAAGGCTTTGTAGCAACACCTATACTGATGAGAGTCGTTTCCGGCTTATCATAAATCTTCGACTCCCAATAATAAACCTCATTCTGCTTCGGTATCGGCAAGTTCGTCAGTGTCGAGCATTCCGAATCAAAGAACTCAATCTCCGTCCTCCCTTCTACGAAACAATTCGCAATTTCTAATTCTGGTTCAAACTCCCATGCTGAGACGCCTTTTTCTTGAATCGCAAGATACTGTGATAACGAGATGTCGGTCGGTAACGAGTCTGGGGGATTTGCTTGAATGAACGCTGTAGCCACCATATTAGCACAACTGCCTTGCGGTATTTTCGCACTTCAAGGCTGTTTAAAAACACACCTTTTGCCCTCAGATACTCAGTCCGTTGTAGATCATCCATCTCCTCGAGTGCCTCCGCCTCCTCCCTAGCATATGCCTGCTCATCGTCATACTCTCCCGGCCTCCCAATCCGATCCAGGAAAATGCGACCGCTGCTTGTATATCTGAAGAAGTAGACGATGAAGAAAATGAGGGCGATCAGGATGGCGCTCCCAAAGGAGCTCAGCAGCCCGATCATGACACCATTGATGGTTGAATCATTGCGCTGTATGCGGATCTCGCTGTCGGTCGGTCGGAAGGTCGTCGTCTGGCGGGCGAGGAAGGCTTGGATCTTGGCTTGGGCATCTTCGGCGATGGAGGAGAGCACTGTCGGCGTGGGTGTCGTTCTGAGGGAAGTCTTGAGCGTCGTGTGCATCCCCCGCAGGTCCTCCATCGTTGCTGTTCCGTCCCTCTGGGCTTATCGCACCCCGTCCGTCCGTTGTCGTCTGCCTGCCTTGGTTCGAGTGTATTCTGCCTCGATTTAATGCTGCGTACCGGCGTTCTCGGCCAGCGAGTCAGAGATCAATCGTCGAGGATGCGTGGGTTGTCGCCGACGACGATGAGGCTGTTGGGATATTTGTTTGTGAGAGAGGGAGTTGAGGGAGCGAGGGAGTGGAGAGGATGGTCCTCAGAGTCAAGTCAAGTCAAGTGGACTGGGGCGGGCCTGGGATGGCGCAGGGATCGTTCACTGCGGTGCAGCGAACTGTGGCGTCACGCAAATGCACCGCCGTTCGCAACCAGTGATACGATTCGTAATGCGGGCAGGGCTGGGAAAAGGTGCAGCTTGCTGATTTATGAGAAGGGGCGAAAACTCAATTGAAAAAACTTCAAGATGGAAGTGTAATAATTTCTGACTTTGGAAATGCAGGTAAAACACAGAAGCGGTCTAGAGCTATTGAAATGTGCCCTTGCTTGAGGCTCAGGCAGGGCTGGCCTTTGTGGGACTTGAAATAAACTGTGCGAGTTTCAGAAGGCGCCGCTGCACGTATCAAGCTCCGTTTCAACGACTACGATTCGAGCATTCACGCCATAGCCGGTCTCAACTTGTGAGTGGTACGCAGTTTGACTTGCTGAGGAGCCTCGTGGGATGATTCAAGGAAGGATCAGTCAACATGGGCTTGGAACTTGCTTGCGTAATGCTCTCTTTGGAGATATGGGAGCATGGTACTACGAGACAAGGGAGAGGCAGTGTCTCTGATACTCAGCCAGGCATTCTTCACTCTGTTAAACATTCGATACTTCTCTTCAGCAGAGGAATTCTTGAGATATTGATTAATTCCGTAACACTGCTGGAATATACTATGGAATGGGTAGACGGCTGTTTGAAGGAGATACCCTTGTGAATGAGATCTAACGTGAACGGGGCTGCAAATGTATAGGATACTCATACTGGCATTGCTCATGAAGTGTCTTGGTATCTTTGTGGACTTGGTCTACGTGAGTATATCATTGCAGCCAAGCTGCGACTTTCACTCCCTCCCTCTCAGTCTGAGATTCTCCAACGCCACAAAATGCATCCCAGTAACCTCAAATCCATGGTATCTCATTACGCCGCAGCTATTCCCATGTAGGCCTATTATCCCCCACTGATATCGCATCAACCCACCATCTCCTCATCCTCATCCTCATCTGCTGCACCGCCTTTCTTCTTGCGATCCTCCGACCTCTCCTTGGTCTTCTTCTTCGCATCATCGACCCACTTAGTATAAGCATTAGGTCCTTCCTTCAACTTGTCCGCAATGACACCCTTCAGCACCTCCCCAGCAAAGCCCACGAAATTGTGTCTTCTCAGCGCATTCTCAAACTGCCAATCACTCCTCTTCTGCTCCTCCCTATATAGCATCTCCTGATCACCAACCTCTCTCGCGCGAATCCTCAAGTCCCTAACCATAGCAAGCAAATTGAACCTGATCTCGTGCGCAGGATATCGCCCAATGCGTCTCTGCAAAACCGGGATGACCTTCTCTGGGAACTCATCGAATGTGCTGGCACCGTGTGCAATAGGCGCAGGTTGCAAGCCGTCCAACTCGTAGAGAACACCGTTGATCGGGGTATAGGCAATGAAGTGGTAGACATCGTCGTCATCCGTCGCCGTCCTCTGTGTCTCATCCACAAACGGACTGCTCTTCGCAAAGCTGTTATGCACATCCCGAATCAACTCGCTGTTGCTCAAACACTCCCCTCTGAACTCCGCTGGAAACCCCGCCGTGAATTCCTTAAAGTCCTTCAATGGTGTTCCGACATTGATCTCGGCGGTTTTGTTTAGAAGAACTGAGAGGAGCGCTTGTGTACCGCAGGCATTCTGTATGGTCTGCGCGGCGAAGAAGAGGTTCTCAGCCGCCGCATAGTCGTATTGTCCGTCCTTCGGCGTGCCGTCTGCGTTGGCTTTCTCGCCTGTGGGGTATTTGAAGAGGAAGATTACTCCGTAAACTGGACCAAGTTGACGCAGATAGTCGGCATCCAGCGTGATCATCTCCTCGAATTGCACATCTTTGACCCCGAGGTTGTCAAGGAGGAAGGTGAAGACACCCTGGGAATGTCAGCTCATAGCTACCTATTTCTAAGAATTGCCTGTCGGTACGAACCGCATCTGATTCAACTATTGAAGAATTAGTATTAAAAAGTAATTGCAGAAGAGCAAAGCTTACTTGTGTTCCAACCGCCAGACATTTTGGCAGCTGTTGTTAGGTTGTAAGTGAAGCACCTGTGAAGCTCCAGGAGCTCTTCCAATTAAAGCTCCACATACTCGATAGCGCCCGTACCTAGGTAAAGCTTGGCACTCGGAATTCCACGTGATATTGTATAAAAGTTATGAAATCAATAACCGGAATTCCGGGACACGGCTACAACGGCTCTCAGAAGTGCTCACAGAATTTACGTACATCTGAATCACGGATTCCAATTCTGGAATCCTTGTAGGGTTAGTGGGAATTATCGGTCAACTTTCAGAGCCAGGAATAAGTCTTGGCAATGAAGGCGGTCAAGAAGCGAAAGAATGAAAACAATGGAACATTGTACGTAGACTAGAGTGTCCGTATGATAAAGTGACAAATCGCGTGTGGCATTGGGAAACACGATGACTCGAGATGAGGTAATAAGCATTGATTCTCTACCGTTCTTGTTGAGTACTGACTCAACAGGGCTCACTGATTTGCATTACAAAATGCCGCTATGTCTAACGCCTAATTTTCCAACAAAATGCAAAAAATCCAAAATGTGAGCTCTCATGGCTCTTCCCTCCTTCCTTCAAAAACTCCGTTTTCCATGCATATGCTGAGGTATATAGTTCGTAATGACCGTGGGTATGTATTCGTACAAGAATATCATAAAGACATCATAAGGGTCGTAAGCCGTTAGAGTAACAGGTGATCAAGGAAAGTCGTTAAAGGTGGTGGAACAATTAGGTGTGAGATTCGTATAATCTCTGATCGGGCGGTGACAAAGTAATTAAGTCTCGCGCTCCTTGCCTTTCCCGGAGTGGCCAGCCGGAGAAGGAACGCGAGAAGGATTGCGAGGAGGAAAGCTGGGTAGGTGCGGGATCTGGTGATGGTGTTGAGGCATCTGATACATGCCGCGCTCGTGGGCATGTTCAAACTTGATCTGTTGGTGATGATGTTGCTGTGGTTCGAACTTAATGTGCTGATCTTCAGGGGTTCGAGACTCGAATTTGAAGACCGGTGGTGTCCTGGGCGAGATGTTAAATCCTTTCGTCCGATAATTCATATCCACACGGTGGTCGGAAGCACAAACCCGCCGAAATTCGAGCCTGGGCCCCCTTGTCCATCATAAAGCGCAAAATCGTCTCCCTGGTCGCTGTAGACGATGGAACCTTCCCCAAAGTTTGAAGAAGCTGGGCTATGGTAGCCACCAAAACCGCTCGGAGACGGAATCCCGAGGTAGTGGTTCGTGAAAGGATCAAGTGTCAATGGGCTGATGGCTGAGGCGGATATTGGATCAGGTGGCATAGTCATGAGATGTTCTTGGGAGTACGTGAATGCCGGATTGCCATATGGAGAGAGCGAGATTGTAGAAGGGTACGTCTCAGCCATGCTGAACTCGTTGCTGTGGAAAGTCGGGAATGAGGCAGTCCTCTCAGGTTGAATCCAGCCCATACGGCTTCGAAACTTGGAGACCATGTCGATGGGATACTCCATGAGGTGGAGTGGAGTTTGCATACCCGAGTCCGACGACTGAGAAACGTTGATCGAAAAAAGTCTTCGTGCAATCTCTTCGATAGGACAGAGCGATAGACTTCCAAAGTACGCAGCTCCAACCTCTGTATGATAAATTAGTACCGATTCAACTCAATGTGTCAAAGCGAACAGGAATATTGCACATTCATGAGAAGAGGGGATTACATACCAGGGAACAGTGGCTCAACGACCAATGCAACTGTATAGTAGTGGGCCAGGATGACTAGCGCAGATGGAGATCCTCGAGTCTGTTGCAAGAACATAACCGGAAGCCAAAACAACCAAGCTCGAAGAGGATTGAGCATCTCGAAACGCTGAGCAGCGGTGTGACTTGGCGAAACCTTTCGCACACCCCGAACAAAGCTCATGAGCTGCTGGATAGCCTTGATGTCCTCTCCATTTCCCTTCAGATGAGCTTCGACCTTCTGGAGTTGGGCATAAGCTTGTTGCAGAGAATCCAAATCCTGTTTCCGAGGGTTGCTAAGCTTCTTGTGGCCAGGGGCTATTTCTGAGTTAGTACTGCTTTGTCTCCAGAGCGAGCCCCCTAAAGTGGAGGATAGGACAACAAGGAACCCATGCTTACCCGGAGAGGGAGGGGCGGTCGGAAAGGTGCTTTGCTCTGCAATAAAGTCGCCGAATTGAGACTCGTTCTTCCACGGCTGCATGGCATCGATGACCTATCGAATGGTTAGTTACATAAAATAGCGCATGAAGGTTCCACAACATACGGACGAGGTCCCATGCATCAATTGGGTCCAACCACGCCTGTTTGCCAGTCAGTGAGTGCAACCTGAAGAGCTCTCGGATTCACTGACCATTCAGTTGCTTGCCAGGAGAGCAACAGCGAAGCAGCGAGAACAGCATCGGAGTTCTGCCTGGAGAATCCACCGATTGCCTCATGCAAACCCTTAAGTGCGATTCCTCGATGTTCATAAGCGATGTTCGCGGTAAGTGGGCACTCCGTTAACCATGCCAAATGTGTCGCGGACAAAGCCAAGAGTGCATGCATAACAAACTGGTAGTCTGTTCCGATTTTGAGAAACCTGCCAGTCTGTCAGTAAAGTATGTTAAGAAATCTCCAACACTCTTGGTACTTACAGCGGAATTTGACGAGTCCAGATGGTGAAGTTACCGGCATCATGGGCAGACAGTTCGGACGAGACTGAAGCAACGTGGTGGATCAAGCGAAGATCGTCGAAAGAGAAGAATTGAGGTGCGGGAGCTGGGTAGATATATAGGTCTGGGAATGGGAAACTTCCAGTCTGTTGCCAACGTTCGATCTCTGCCTCGATTTCTGGAGTCCACAACAGATCTGCCTTTTCAGGAGTTACTGCTCTTTCTTCTTGCACAGGCATGTCCATGTATGGACACCGGCAATTATGCTTGGTACAATTACGGCTGGACAAATTCAGACTCGACCTCAAATTGACTCCCTTGATGAAGATGGACCTACCATTGAGGGAAGTTTTCGTCACAACGAATGTGTCTTCGCTTGCAAGTTTCACAGCCTTTGCGAGATTTAGTGTGACTATGCCTTGTTAGCAACTCGTAGATGCCAGGAAGCATAAAGACGTACCTCCGACGAGGAGGTCCACCACCAGGGCCAGCCATTTAAACGGTTGAGGGGAACAGATAGAAGACGACGAGGCTTGAGCGAGTGAAAGCCGTCGACAAAGCCTTCTGATCTTAAGGTCGACCAGTCAGTAATCGACTGACGGTGGGATGGTGCTGAAGTAGAAATAGGCAGATCAGGTGCTAGGATTGTGACAGGCCTGAAGTTGTTTGGTATATATAATGTCGAGCGAGTGTGGTAAGGCTGCAGGAGCAGTCTGGGATATCTTTCTGTATGAATACAGCCAGTTATGTAAAGCGTAGCGGCTGAAGGTAATGTAACCGTCCTCCGATGTGGATAGTATTTCGGCCAAGCCAGGAACAAGTGGGTATCAACGCTGGGATGCGTTTCTGTAGCCGGAGTCCCTGAGTTAAAGGTATCGTGACACAGGTGTTCTGTAGTTCAACGAGGGTGATTCAAGGCTACGAAAGGAACAATATCCTCCGAAGGCTTGCGGTAGGCTCGGGCTGAGTGAGGGCTACGCAACGCAAAAGCGAATGACAGGAGCCAACGAGGGCTTCCTAGGGATAGATGCACAAAGCGAATGTGGGTAGAGGTAAGCTGCGGGCTGAAATGTCTGAATTCAAAGATCCTGCAAAAGCATGTTGGAGCTGGCGATGTGGGCAACTTAATAGAAATGGATGGTGGTGGCAGAATCACCGAGAAAGGAAAGGCCTGGGGAGTGTGGCTAAGGCGGAGGCAGCGGAGAGCGCTTGAAGGAAGTGCATTGGTAGGGCAGGGGATGTGGGTCAGTAAGTAGCGGGATGAGATGTGAGAATAATAATAATAATAATGATGGCGGCGAAGGGAGCGAAGGGAGGCTACGGCCAGGGAAGATCGAAAATAACAAAATGGGTTTGGCAGGGCCCGGCATGGACGAAGGAGAGGGAGAGCTGGGTGGGTGGAGAAGAGAGAGCGTGGATGGTGGATGTGGATGTGGATGTGGATGTGGATGTGGATGTGGATGTGGATGTGGATTTGGATGGGGGTGGGTGGTCAGTCACTTGGAACGAGTAACGTTGAGTGGAGCTCGTCACAGTACAGTAGTAGCTTAGCGTTGAAGTTAACAGCAGCCGCGCAAAATGGAGGCCGCCGAATTTAGTCTCTGACTGACCTGAGCGAGGCAAAAGTCACTCTGAGGCCACCACCACTGGCCAGCAGCTAGCATCGTGGCAGCATGGTTTCAGTTCAGTCTTTTTGCAATCCCCAGGGGCGATCTTGGGGCTGTTTGACATGACGAAAAGAGCTTCAGGCAACACGCTAGAGCTCGAGGTAGCTAGACACAGAAACAGAGGGGCATTCAAGTGCATCCTACTGTACAGTACTAGGGGCTAGCGGCGATGTCATACTGTAAAGGGACTGACAAGCGTGAGCACTGAGCAGGCAGGCAGGGCAGACCATAGGTAGCGCCGTTGGGTCGGGATAAGGGATGGACGGCCGAGGCGGTTGAGCCGGTCGAGCTGCTTGGTTGGTTGATGTTGTTGTGTTACTGTAAACATAGCTGGACGATATTTGCCTGAAGAGGGAACTGAACTGACAAACCACCTGGTCTTACTGGCCACAGCCCTGCTACTTGGGTCTCCCAGATGTAAATTATTGTATGGGGCGGCGGTGAGTCTGGAGGTACAGTACTGTAGTAGTGGCCAGCTAACAGCTGCTTGACCTACCTGAGGCTTGGCTCCTAGGATCGGATCATCGGATCTGGGGCGGCGAGCGAAGATCAGAAGATATGCTTTGTTTGCTTGCTCTCCGAAGCCTGTTGTGATGTGAAGTGGATGTGATGTGACGGATGGGCGTGTGTACTCGGGATAAGGTGGGACTAAGGGGATTTGCGACGACGGCCGAGCGAGCGAGCGAGCCAGGGCGGGAAGAAAGCGAGACAGACAGACAGACAGACAGACAGACAGACAGACAGACAGACAGACAGACAGACAGACAGACAGAGAAGAGACAGAGAACAAGAGCAAGGGCACCAACCCAACAGGTGCATCGCAAGCGTGGTGTGGTGTGCATATGTTCCAAAAATAAACACATGCACGCTTTCTCGCCAAAGCATGCCCGCCTGCCCGCCTTCCACTCCAGCACGGCACCCTGCTGGCCATGCCATGCCATGCCATGCCATGCTACTGTACGGAGTATGGCCAGTGCCACCGATTGATTACTCTTACTCTGACCGTCTGACGGCCGTGGACCTTTTCCGCGTTCACTTGCCATTTGAAGGTAGAGCCAAGGGCACATCTGGCTCCTGATTCACAGGCTGGTTGAGGGTTGCTGGCTGTTTGTCATCCCGACATTACTGTAGATGGCTAGCTGGGCTGGGGAGCTGCCTCAAGTCCAATATTAAATCTTGGCTCTGGGGTTCAGTTGACGCTGATGTCTGCCCAGCGCGTCGAACATTCTTTCTCTGAGCCGGAAAGTTCCCATCAGTCCAACGATCCTGGCATGGCATGGCATGGCATGGACTTGGACTTGGATCTTTTGCTGCTCAGTCGTTTCCCTGACCCCATGAGATTTGCAGTAAATTTACAGTAATTTACTTGTACATGTCTGAGCCTGTGCAACCCAACCTCAAAGGTTTCTCATATTATTATCATTCTTTGAAGGTCGTCCGGATCCCTGCTGTTCGCTTGAGCTTGACTTTGACTTCGCCTCGAGCCATGCCCCATCTAGCAATGTCTGTGTCTAAGCGGATGCTGCCCAGGGCCACCAGGCTCGCCAGGGCCACCAGAGGCCAGGATTTGTGGTCAAAAACGGACGCCAGGGCTCCCAAGGACATGCCCCGCAGCGTCCTCAGTGCCCTGTACTATCCCGTATCCATTTTTGTCTGCAGCCCAAGGTCAACGTTCAACGTGCACCGCCCTCCGCCAGTTTTAACGTCACAGGATCTTGGGACTCCTCACGGAGACTTTACCGACAACTTTCTCCATGCCATTGGTCGAAACAAATGTCGCATCTGGATAGCCTGTCCACGGGTATGTGGATGGCCGCTTGAGAATACCTAACTGGGGCAAGCCTTCGCAGTGCAGATCTGCTCTGCTCTGCTCTGTTGTGCTCAGGTCAGGAAAATATTTTTTTTCGCACAGCGCTCGGTGCCAGAATACACCATAATGTCCAGGAATACACAGGTTATACACCTGTCCTTGGCGAGATGAATAATCCATGCAGCCCATTTCCAACTGCCTGGTTTTCCTGAGAATTATTATTGAGAGGACAGCCAAGTTGGGCTCGTTCGAGATAGCCTCAGAACTCTAAATAATCCCCATGACCCTGAACTTAGCATGGTTGAACTCGGTATTTCGGCCTTACAGGGCCCGTTGTTTATGCTCTGCATCCACCTTCGAAGTAATTTACTTGGGTTAATGAGACAGCTGCAAGGAGTGTGTTAAGCTTTTTAATCACTCTCCTCTTGATCCGTGGCATGATTCTTGGTCATGCTTTCCACTACTCGAACAATCTGGTGGTTGGCACCTTTCTTGTTGTTCCTGTTTCTCCGTCTGGCAGCACGATGTTTCGGAGCCTCAACGCGAAAAGACCCCGCCACGGTAGGTGTTAAACTTCGAAATGGATACAGCAGTGTTCATACTTCTATCGAGTATTTGGCTCGATGATCACATGCACTAAGAGCCGATAATAAAACGATCAATCAGTAGTATGCTTTCCGTCCAGGAGCTGGAAAAAGTGAAAGGCGAGCTTGCAACGAAACCTCCCCCAAGTGCGTTCTCAATTTCGCAGGTCGACGCCACAGGGACAAGATTTAGACTGATCAAGAGCCGGGAGCGCTTACTCACTGTCCCAGCGTCCACTGCTGGCTCTTACTGATCAGAATGACGGAAAACGTACAGAGGAAAATGATCTTCATCGACTGAAATCGGCATTGTCCCTCTGTTCGCCTCACCATGATGTTTACTGTAGAGATTTTGGTGTTGAGTTCAGCAATGCGCGCTGATGATTGGTGATCATGTTCCAACGAGAGCAGCCTCCTTGCTCGATGGAGTCAAGCTCGCGGCATCGGTGCATGGATCCAAATGCATGTCGGAGCTATATTTGGGGTACCTTAGGGCCCTTCTAGAAAACCGAAAAACCTTCCGCGGCATGACCGAAACACGCTATTGAGCGCTTCCAGCAGAGTTGCTGAATGTGCTGGATGGATACAACGTAGTATCTTTGGCTGAGCTGTATATTCACCAGTGATAATTCTCAGTGCAAATCGTTGCATCCGTAGCAACGGGCAGAAAGTACCGCCGAAGACAGCTGTCAGATCTGATCTCATAGTCGGAGTGTTTCCCGTGGATATTTTTAACCTTTGACGAAGTAAGGGTCTGGCTGTGCCGAGGCACCCAGTTGCTCAAAGACGGCCTGGTCATGATAGTCACAATGGGGTACAGTAGTCGACCTTGCAAGAGCCTCAATATACACCTACCTATCACGGCCTGCCTGCCGGGATGGTATCCAATTTCGGTCAGAAAAATTGCGAAAAGGCCTTCGTCGAAGCTTAGGGACAAGTTTTGGGACCGCAAAAGCACAAAGGGCTTGATATGTGGGGCAAAGAAGCCTTAAGAAGAAGGAGGAGAAGCCATGCCCGAAACCCTTGTGGGGCTACTAACAGGGTATCCCAGCTGCTGTTTACACATCGCTGATTGCTGTCAACAATAATTCCTGCCTTGGAGATATATCTGTAATGCTGCGAGGTGAAGTTAATGCTGTACAAAGTCAACATGAGCCTGCCATCATGCACTTTGCCTGCCATTTGCCTTTCACCATCAATTCCAAATCTGGGTGTAGTTGAGTCAATATCAGCCGTTGAGGTCAGCCGACAAGACTTGAAAGCGGTGAAGAAACTACGACCTCAGCCCTCTTTTCGGTGTCTGCTCAGGCAAGTAAGATGTAGGCAGGTGCATGAGGCGTTTCTGAAGCCCAGAGCACAGCCAAGTCTCCTCTGGTTGGACACATATCCGCATGGTTCGGACATAGAAAGGCATGATTAAGCGCAAACCAGGGA